GAAAGTAATTGCGTTAACTTTAAGAAATAAATTTTTAGCATAATCCTTAAGATATATTAACTTAAAAAGTATTTTTAATAAAATATATACCTTAAATTATATTATTAATAAGTACTTAATTAAGATTAAATTAATATTATTAAGCATTAAAATATTTATAATACTTATTTTAATAATTATAATTAAAATTACTTAAGCTGCTTTTTCTTTAAGTAATAAGGGTTATTAAATATACTTTTTTAATTTTAAGTTTATTATACTTATTAAGCTTATTTTTATTATAAAAGATTTAATATTTTCCTTTTAAATTTAATTTTAATTAATAAATAAGTTTTTTTTTTCCCTTATTTTTTTTTATTTTTTAGCTATAACTTATTATTAATAATTTAAAATTAATTATTTTTTACTTTTTTAAAGTTTTTAAGTTAAATATAATTAATTTTTATAATTTTTATAACTTTATTTTAATCTTTAATATCTTTAATTATATACTTTTTTTTAATTATAATAATATTTATTTAAAAAAGCTTATTATTATTTATAATTATAAACTTTTTTTTAATATAAATTATATAATTTATAAGATTTATAAGTATTAAGATTAAGTTAACTTTTTTTTAATTATTAAGCTTTTAAATTACTTTTAAGGCTTTTAATAAAGCCTTTTCTTTAAATAAAGAATTTACCTTAATAAGCTTATAATATTTAATTATATAAGATAAATTAAACCTTTCTTTCTTAAATAAAAACTTTAATTAGCTATAAATATATCTTTTTAAATTATAATTACTTTAATTATAATATAATTAAATATAAGTAAGGTTTAAATACTTTAAAAGGTTAACTTAAGTATTTTTAAATAAGTTAAGAAATATTAATAATTTTTTTAACTTAAAAGCTATTAATAAATTATTTAAGAAAAGTTGCTTAAGCTTATTATATTAATATATATTATGGTTTTAAGAAATATAATTATAATAAACTTTAAATAATTTATTTTTTTTTAAAAAAAGCATTGAAATTATAACTTATACTTTATTATTATTAAGGTTACTTTAATTAAGTTTTGCTAAAGGTTATTAAATAAAATTTATAACCCTTAGCTTAATTATTTTAAAATTACTTTATTATTAATTATAAGAAAAAGCTTTAATATTTTATTAAAATAATTTAAATTTATTTTTAAATTTAATTAAGTTAAATTTTAACTTTATAAATTTTTTAATAAGTTATTTATATTTTATAAATTTTAATTATATTTTTTAATAATATTAATATAATTAAATTTAAATAAAGATTATTAAGTTTATAAGTTTTTATTTTAAAGGTAATTTAAAAAATTAAAATTATTTTAGCTTTTTTAAAGGAAATTTAACCTTTTTAAATTAAGTAGATTTTAATTAAAATTATTTTATATAAATAAATATTTATTTTACTTAAAATACTTAAATTCTTAGTTAATAATTTTTAATAAGGTATGCTTAAAGTTTAATTAAAGAATATTCCTTATTAATTTATAAGTAATTCCTTTCTTTATTAATTATTTTTTTAAATATAATAAAAGCATTTTATAAAAGAGCTAAGTTATAATAAAAGAAATATTATTTATATTATTAAGTTCTTAATTATATTTTATAATTTCTTTTTATGCTTTTAAATTATTATAAGGGTTATTATAAATAATATTTTTAATAATTATAATTAAGTTTATATAATAAGTTTAATTATTAAATTTATAAAAAATAAAAAGCTTTTTTTTTTAATTTTTTTAAATAAATTATTTAATAATAATGCTTTTAATTATTTTTATTAAGTTTAAAATAATATAATATTATTTAAGTAATTTTAAAATTTAATTATTTAAATAAGAAAATTAATAAATAATAATTTTAAAATTATTTAAAATCTTAATAATATTAATTTTATTAAACTTTAAGGTATTTAAATTATAAATTATAAATAAAATTATTTATAATAAAATTATTATATTAATAAAAAATAAGATTTTTAAAATATTAATTTAAGTTCTTTACTTATTATTAATAATAAATTATAAGGTTTAATTAAAATAAGGTTAATATTTTAATTAATAATAAGTAAGATTAAATTTTTCTTTTCCCTTAATAGGTTTTTTAAGATTCCTTTCTTAGCTTTAAATAAAAAAAATAGATAATTTTTAAGGTTTTAAGATACTTTTAAAATAAAAGTAAGTTTAAAAGGATTTTAAGCTTAAGAATATAATATATATATTATAATAGTTTTTATTAAGATAATAATAAAATAAAGAAACTTAAAAGTAATAATATTTTTAATTAAAATAATTACTTTTAAGGAATTTATTTTTAATATTATTATAAAATACTTAAATTAAAGTTTAAAAAATATAGGTATTAATAAATATAATAAATAAAATAAACTTAATAAAAGGATATTTTATTAAGAAATAAGAATTATAAGATTATAATAAAAAAAGCCCTTTAAATTTATATTTAATGCCTTACTTATTAATATTATATTAAACTCTTAATAAATTAAATTTAAGTTTAATTAAAACTTAAATAAGGTTATACTTTAAGTTTAAGTTTTTTATATAGTTTAATTAATATATAAATATATAATATAATGCTATTTATTAAACTTATAAATAAGTAAGGTAAGCATTTTAATTTTATATTATAGCTCTTTTTACTTTAAGCTTAAGGTTGTAATAATAATAATAAATATTAATTAAAAGTTTAAAGTATTTTTAATTAATATTAAGTAATGTTTATAAAGTTTAAATTTATTATTTTAATCTTAAGTTTATATTATTATTATGTTTTAAGCATAATTTTTAATAAAAGATTTAAAATAAGTTTAAAGCTTAATAATATATTAATATATAATTAAGGTAGTATTTTATTTAAATATTAAAAGCATAAAAGGTATTTTAAGATTAAAAAATAATTTTAAGGTATTTATAATATTATTATAAGTTTAATTATATTTAATTCTTTTTTATAATAAATTAAATATAAATATAAGCTTTAATTAAAGCTTTAAGTTAATATATAAAATAATTTGGTAATATTTAATATAAAAATAAAAGAAAAGATAGAATTAATAAATAATTAACTTATAGTTAACTTCTTGTTTTTTTTATTATTAATTAAAAATGCATAAAATTAAAATTAACCTAGGGTAAAAATAAGCTACTTAAATAATAAGGGATAGGTTTTGCTAAACCTTCTTAAAGATAACTTAAGAAGAAGCTTTAATGTAATAAAAAGGGAAGATAAGAATAAAAAGTAATTAAAGAAAGGGAAAAGATAAATATTTTAAAAATTCTTAAAAATAAAAAAAGCTTAATTAAAGCATTAAATATATAAAAAAAGAGAAGAGTTAATTTCTTAAAAGAATGTTTAAAATAAGCATAAAAGCTAGCTTTTTATAGCCAGTTGGAATTTAGCGCGGTACCATTTCTCACGTAATTCCCTGTACCCGCCAATATTATATAATTAAATCTTAAAGTTAAGTAAATATAGTCTTTATTTCCTTTTCTTTAATATATCGCTACCTTTAAGGCATAAATCTTATATTACCTATATATAAAAACTTATAAAGTAAAAACATAATAACTTTGCAAAGCAATTAATTAAGAAATATAAAGCTTTATTAACATAAAATTATATTATAAAGTTAAAAGCCTTTTATAATTAAATTTAAGCATTTCTTTAAAAAGGCAAGGCGTTATTATATATATTTGCTCTTAATAATTAAGTCTTATAAATATATTAATATATTTATAAACATAAGCCTTATTATAATAATTCTTAAATTATTATTGCTTATTATATTAATAATACTTATATTCTTTATAACCTTAATAGCATTATACTTAAAAATATATATAATAATATAAACTTCTTTTTAATATATATTATAAATAGTTACTTTATTAAAAGCTTATAATATATTAATAAAATAATGCTTTAGCATAATTATAATTAAATTATTTAATTAATGCAATTTAACTAAGGATAAGAAGCAATAGCTTATTAATTATTACTAACTGCTTATTAATATTTTATTAACTTAATTAAATACCTTATTTTTAAGTAATTTATGCTTTTTATATTTAATTAATTAAAATAAAAATAAAAAAGGAAATTAATTAAATTAAAAATTAAACTTAAAACTTCTTTACTTAAAAAACTATTTTTTAAAGGCTATCATTCTTTTAGCAAATCTTTATAAAAGCAATTAAATTAAAAGGTAAATTACTAAAATAAGTAAAAATGCATTATTATTATATTACTTTATTATTTATTATAATAATAAAAAGGAATAATTATTTAATAAGGGTATAAATTAAATATTAAACATATATCTTACTTTTCCTTATTAAAGGATATAATTTATATAATAAGATTAAGGATAATTTATTTAGGGAAGGGAATGATATAAATTTATAGATAATAAGTAAATAGCTATTTATATAAGTAGCGTTGCAGCCTAAAATATTAAAGGCATTGCCCTTTAAACGTAATTAGCAACTAAGCAACCTATATACCCATACCGTATAGTCTATAGCGGCCCTCGTGATCGTTGCAGTGCTATTCAGTGGGTTAGGTGCATAAAGAAGCACAATCAGGTCTAAGCAAGGAATAACTTGTTAAAGATGACTGTACCTGATTAACCATTCAATACGGCCCCGCACCTGCTGAAGAGACACTTATTGGGTCTTTATTCCGGACTGAGGCCCGTCTCAGACTGAGACTGGTCTGGACAAAGCCAAGTTGACCCCTAACCCGGGAGCTCCCAACATCCCAAAGTACAGCTTTGGGGGCTACGAACAAAAATAAGCAATAACCAACACCGATCGCCACCTCCCACACATATACCACCCTGCTTTGCCTGTGAACTAACAGCTTAAAAATTCGGAGGCACTTTAAACTTTAATTTGAAAATCATCTTTGCGGCTGCTGGGTCCGTGGCTCACCTCATTGCAACCAGCAGCCATGGCTACCTCAAAAGATGCCACTGGCCATCCGAACAACGACATGGAAAAGATGGAGACGCAGCAGGACATCATTGAGAGCATTAACAAACTACTTCGTCGGAAGACAGAGCTCGATTTCAAGAGTACGGCAAAGTCGCTGAACAAGAACGATGTGGATTTGGCATTGATCATGTCAGACGAGCAAGTGCAGAGGGAGCTCCGTTCTCTCGAGCGCACCGTCGCTGGCTACATCGGCATTTGCGAGCACAAATTGCGGCAGAGAATCGAGGACTTGGTTGCCCCAGAGTCATATGCGGAGCGAAACGATGTCGTTCTGGAGCCATTACCGGAATCAATGATAGTTGAAGAGCCTTTGATCGAAGAAGTTTTCGGCATCGGAAAACATGCCACCACATCCAAAACAGCCACCACTGCCCCAAGGCCTCTAGAAGCTGATTCCGAGCAACAGAAACTTATACAAGAGAAATTCCGCAGTATCCAGGACCCCATTAACCGTGAAGGGGAGGCGCTCTACTTCTTCTACGGCACGCTCATGGATCCAGCGACCCTCCAGCGCGTGACAGGGCTGCAGGCCACGCCCCGGATGAGGCCTGCCCACGTCGTCGGCTACACCACTAAGTTATGGGGTCCCTTCCCTGTGCTGCTCCACGGTCGAAGGGACGATCTGGTCAGGGGCATGGCGTGCGAGATCGAGGGGTCCGGGCCTAAGCGTCGGCTGGAGGAGTACGAGGGGAAGGACTACGATGAGTGGGAACTCGACCTGCGGCTGGACAAGCCCGATGGCACGTGGGAGGTGGTTCCAGGGGTGACGTTCAAGTGGGTTGGGCCCAGGGACGAGCTCCAGGCGGGGACTTTCAGCTTGAGTAAGTGGCAGGACATTTAGTTTTGGCAACTGGAAACCAGGAGGCGGAGGTGTAAATGACATTTTGAGACATGGCTTGAGAGCTCGAGCCATACCTTTTCACTGAGCGTTTAATTTGGAACGTCTTCCGACCAGCTAAGAACCATCGCCGCATCTCAGTGATGATATCATGCTAGGAACAACAAAATCTTATCAGCTTCCCATGAGGACAGCAGAGCGGAGGGGTATCAATTCATATTTGTCAGCCTCATGCCCAGGCAGAGGAGTTCCATCGGAGGCACATCTGACACTATCCTGATTCTGGTGTCCTTTCGTGTACATGACGCTTATGCTGAACAATCATTGGTACCAGAAATGTCAATCTCTAAATTCAATGAGAAAGTGACGTGTTGTAAGGGCACATAGGATCACTTTCCTCTTCACCACACCTAAGCATGAGGCTAAGAGTAAAATATCAACCCATCTTCAGAATTGGGACCAGCTTCAATGTATCAAATCTAGTCCACCATATTATCTACATGAAACATTACTGTGACATATACCTAGAAGGCCCACCAGCTGCGTGGAGATCATGGGGGACTCCTCCGTATTCAAAGCTTGGCGACTGATGAATCGGCCGGTACGATTATTTGCGTGACTCATCATAGCGTTGTCACAATTGTTCGATGTGATAACCTTAGCAACATATTACACGTCCACTGCCAAGCTCAACACGGTCGGCAGACCTGAGGCTCTGCTTCTGCTAATGATTCCATGATGTCCTTGAAGGCAAGACCAATATTATAGATATTTCAGTGATTTCATGTGCTTGCCATGGCTGTTAACCTTCATGAAACACATCTATGGAGAGCTGCACAGGTGTTTGGTATTGTAGACGGGACGGAGAGTGAACGCAGCCGTGACGCCCTAGAAATGAATTAGAATATGAGCTTTCCCACCTACCAGCCTTTGTCGTACAAGGATACGATCGCCCCAGAGCTTGCCATGGTATCGATAGCAACTTCCTCAGCAACCTGCCAACTGCGCCGTTCTAGGAACCGAGATCTGAACAATTTCGGCTGCCAAAGACTATGATGACAGACGTCAAGAGCAGGAGAGCAGCGCCTCACCACAATTCCAACGCAGAAAGAAATGGGGAACAGCTTGTCAGAGCAAGGATAGCTGAGAACGGTCGCAATAGTATTCCACATTCTGGTCTTTCTGACTCGTATTTATCCAAGAGGTGCGCAGGACCATGACGAGATGAGAATCAATACGTCAGCATGTCACCCACCCAAAGCCACGGCAGCAACGCGGACGCGAGGCATTGACAAGGCCCGAAGACAGTACCACGGTTTCACACAGCAGGCGCCGACTGCAACCCAGGCCAGGCGGGCAGGAATCCCGAAGGCACGCACGCGCTAGACCCGCCCTGGAAGGCTGCATCATGCATGGGGCTGGCCCTACAACTCCGGCCGGTTGGGAACCCGCCCCGCGACCACTGACTGGGCTGACTGGGCCCGGGTCCCCCTGGACGGGTGGGAACTGACGAGTGAGCGAGCAGTCCGGGGTGGGACATGGTCGGCGTTTCTCTCTGTCATGGGCCGTGGGGACGGAGAAAATCGACCAAGAGCGCGGCGTTTGACGTGACCCCCACGCCCCGGCGTCACTGCAGATAAGAACCACCTGCGCAACCCGCCGCTGCGGTCGTGGACTGTGGTTCGTGGGCTGACAGCCGCTGCGAGGAAAGGATGTGGACGGGCGTCATCACCTTAAGCGAGTTGCATTTTTCGTCTCATGGTTGACTTCAGGAATTCTCCGGGGGTGCAGATCGGATGCCTGGTTGAGTGCATGGTCCGACGATCAGAGTGTCGGATGAGTTTGCGAGCCGCGTGCTTGGGGGGTCCCTCGCCGTCTTGGCACGGCCCTGTGGGGGGCCCCTGTGGTCACTGTGTGCTTCCCCTGCAGGGCCTGCTTTGGGCAGGCGGAGGCGATGATCTGCAAGAGGGTCGGGTCAGCATGATGAGCATGGACTCGCCCCCAACCTCGAAGTCCTTGATTGATTAGGTTTGTAGATCAAGCTTGGCTGGTGATGCCTGCTGTAGCTCATGCTCGCTGTTATCGTCAGCATCATCATCAGCAATTGACAGGCTTGTCACCTGTTGCTTGGCATCCTGAAAAACGAAGGATAGACACACCAATGCAATGGGGACAGTGTGGCAGACACAGCACAGAGCACACCACATCATATGTGACACGCCAGGCGAACCAAACCCGCGCGGACGGGCCGCCAGCCACTTCCGCAGAGCCTCAACTCTGACAGGCCCACCCATGTGGTGCCACCTCGCAAGGCAGCAGGAGCAGCAGGAGCAGCAGCATGATAAGCAGGCGATCCAGGTAGCGAGGTGCTAAGGTTGGGCGGTAAGGTTATCTACCTAGGTACCTCCATGGGCCGCCCAGATCGTGGCCATACACCCACACACCCAGCGCGAGGGGACCGGGCTTGTCTCAGGTCGCGGCGGAACCAGCCTTTTGCCTACCTACCTCCTTCCCTCCCTGCCACCCTTTCGTCCCATCTCTGTTCCATCTCGACTTCTTCCCTGCCTGCAGTGGTTTTAGCCGAGGGTGGTTCTGCACGTCGCTTGCCCTTTCTCCTGCCGATCGTCGACCAGATGGCATCCATGCATGCCCTTGGCTTGCCTCGCATCCCATGGGACTGTCGTCCGATGGGGGCGCCCATGTCAGGCGAGCACCTCGTCGAGGGCTCGAGTATAAGACGTCCACTCTTCTGTCCGTGAAGGGTAACCTGTCTCTCTGTCTGATATTCACTCTCACTATCACATTCAACAGCTTCGACACTTTCCATTCTTTCCAAGTTCTGCGAACTCCTTCCGCTCATTCTCTTCGAATAAACAACCACGTTCTTTGCGAGCCGGCTCGATACGTACCACTTTTACAACCTTTCTACCAAAATGAAGACCCAAACCTTTATCGTCGCCCTCCTCGCTGCCGCCGCAGAGGCAGCACTGGTCCGCATCCCCAGACAGGCCAACAACGGCACAGCCTCAGCAGGCGGCGCCACGGGAGGTGCGGCGGCAGGCGGCGCAGACTTCGGCTCCTGCACGCCGACCATGGACTTCCAGACGGGCCGCGCCGAGTTCAACCGCAAGGCCGACGAGGGCACCTTCTTCCCCACCGATGCCACCCTCGTCGGCAACAGCGGCCAGAGCGACGCCCTCAACCCAAACATCATCACCAACTTCATCTGCGACCAGCTGACCAACGTCTGCGGCGCCAACGACGCCGCCGTCTCCCAGTGCGAGGACGCCCAGGCCCAGGTCGAGGGCCTGGGCACCAAGGACCAGAGCACCGCCGACGCGTTCAACTCTGCCCTGGGCTTCTAAGGGGCCAGCTCTGAGGGGGTACACGCTTGCTGTTGATGGGAGGTGAAGGCCTTCGATTCGACCATCGTCGCTGGATTCAACCGTGGGCGGCGTAGAAGGAAACAAACCGTCCGCTAGAGTGGGACAGGGGCTTGTGTCGCGTTTCCAATGTTCCAGATATACGGACCGATTAGGGTTTCACGAGTTAATGCAGAATCATGACAGACTGTTTCTTTGCTTTCTTCTTCACAAGAACATAAATTTCTGGAAATTGATCAGTGAAGTGGCAGACTGTATGAGACAGCACGTACCAAGAAGCAAGTGTGACCTGGATGTGTCCTGGCGGATCCAAGAGACCAAATCAGAACAGGAACTTGGCCCTGAAACACTTCTCATGGCAATGTCCATTTCTCATGGCAATGTCCATTTCTCATGGCAATGTCCATTTCTCATTGCAATGCGTTCTGGGTATTGAATTGGAAGATATACTCTGGCTCATACAGACCCTCCTCTCTATGGGGAGCCCTTGCACTTATCGACGATCAAGCCCGCCTTGACGCCAGTAAGCCCGTCAAAGTACCTAATCACGGCAAAGTCAGCATATATCCACAATAATAAGAACATCAACAACAGCACGTGAGACAAGGAGCAGACCGGGGAGATACTCACGCCAACAACGTCTCCACAGGGATCATATCCAATGCCCCCAAACTCGGATTCGACGACGTCAGCACCCGGCCCCCAAAGAGCACACGGACATAATGTGCACCCCCTTTCTTCCACAGCTCAAACACAACCTCGCTCCCCATCCCGGGCCAGACCATCACGTCCGCCTGCAGGATCCCCAGCAGCCGGCTGACGGACCCGTCATGCGCGACGTTGTGGAACCAGACCGTCCCGTCCCCGGTCCCGCCGACCACGTCCCGCAGGTGCGCCGCCAGCTCCGCGACCCACACGCCGAGGGAGCTCGCGCTGGCGGCGAGGGCGTCGGGCCCCGCGCCCCGGTAGGTGTGCGAGTACTCCCAGTGCCCGAGGCGGTACACCTCGTCGGCCACGGCCTGCGTCACGCAGCTGGCCGTGTCGTTGGCCAGGGCCGTGCTGCCGCCGGGCGCTGTGATGTTGACGAGCTTGCACGGCAGCGGCTTGCCGTGGCACTGCCGCGCCGAGAGGTTGTCGTAGTAATGGTCGAAGCTCTTGTGGAAGCCCGGGTCGGCGGGGCTGACGCCCGAGATGCCGTCGAGCGTCGCGTACAGCCCCGTCGTCGCGTCAAAGTGCGCCGCCCACTCCGCGTTCGCGGTGGACGCGATGGCGCTGAACTGGGCCGCGGACGAGGCGCACGTGTACGACGGCTCGAGGGAGTCGACGCCGGTCGGCTGGATGAGCAGCGGCACGGAGGCGGTCGTGCCCCACATGCCGTTGATGACCATGCCGGCGACCTCGCTCGTGATGACGTTGTTGGTGACGCGGTACTTGACCTTCTGCCGCCAGGTATCGCCGTCGTCCCGGCCGGGCAGGAAGCCCAGGAGGCCGTGGTAGGCCCCGTACAGGTCGGCGCCGTGCTGCCACGAGTCGTCCAGGCCCTGGGCGGTGATCTGGGGGAACTGGCACGACCCCTTGAAGCCCTGGGCGACGGCGCCGAAGGGGTTGAAGCCGCTGAAGCCGTCCCAGTAGGCCAGCGCCGAGGCGTTCCTGCCCGCGGTGGGGTCCGGCGACGAGGGGTCCGAGAAGGGCCGCGCGAAGAAGTACAGCCCTTCGTCGTCGCAGTTCCACGTGTAGGACTCGACCGGGAACGAGTTGGCTGCGTAGGGCGTGCGCTTGTGGTGGCGGTGGATCTGGGAGATGTTAGCAAACAAGTCTGTACTTCCAAAGGGTATTTGTGTGTATGTATATATATATATGTGTGTGTGTGTGTGTGTGTGAACTCACCAGTTCGACGTATACAAGCTCGTACTCTTCGGATGGCACCTTGTACTCCGAGGCCCTGACATGTGGCATGTTACACCAGTTGTAAGTGCCATAGTCCTCGTCGGGGGTTTGCGACGAGTCATATATATAGCCATAGACGCCCGAGGTGCGGTCGCTCACAACGTTGGTGAGGTTGTTGACCACCGTCTGCGACGGCGGATACCAGCCCAGGTCGACACTTGCCATGTTCGGCGACGGGCCCTCTTCTGGCAATTCGGCGGAAGAGAGGATTGGCGAGTTGTCTCCCCAGAGTCGAAGAGGGACGATGTCGGTTCTGCTGAGCAGGAAGACAACCAACACGCCGCTAAAGAGAAGAACGAGCAGCCTCGTCATTCTTTTGGACGGCCGCGACAGTGACTTGAGGGGATCCATCCATACTTGTATGCCGGGACTATTGGCTGGCCCTCTCCCACGTGCGCGGGCGAAGAGACGGTCGGAATATCTTGGCTGCGCACTCACTCCACTGCCAGGTACCCGGTTCACACTATAGGCGGCGAGGCTATTATTGACCTAGGGGATGATAGTTGGCGGGGTCCCGAGGTCGGTTGCACAGGTAGAGTTGAAATTGCTGCTTCTAGTGGCGAGTGATGGCCAGATGTCCCCGCGGCACAGGGGTCCACGTGCTGCAGGGAACTCGCCGAGTGGTTCAATGCATGATCTTGGCCTGGAAATCTTGGGATGAACACCCGCATAATTGCAGCGCCCAGCCTTCTAACGTCCAAACCCCTCTACGAGAAGATCGGCACGATATCCGAATTTCAACATCGCGGGGGTGAGGAGATCAAGTTGTGTTCTAGCATAAACCATGCGACCGGGGAAACGGCCATGGTACAAATGAGCAGGAAGCCCTTTACTTATCACAAGGTGCTTATTTCCGCGGCGACCCTCGCCCCCTGGCCTGGGAATCAATCCTCGCCCATCCCGCATTGCCCTTCGTCCTAGTCCTCGCGATCGACCGCTTGCGTCGATACAAGGCCAGCTCTCTCTCGTCCTTCGCCGTCTTCTCCAGCGTGCCCTGATCTACCCTCCGATATCTGATATCATACCTGATCCAGTTGCTCAGCCCTGGCTTCGATATTCCCAGTGTCGGCAGCGCAACCAGGACCCTCCTTTCCTCCTTGGTACCCGCTATGGCGGTGCTGACGTCCCATATGCCCGCCTCCCTCTCCCATTCCCTGATCCTGTGGTACTCTTGAACCTGGGCCTCGCGTCCTATCTCCTTCCATTGCCTCTTCGCGTCAGGCTCTTCCAACAGGCCCGTCTTCTCCGCATCCCGGCGCCGCTCGGGCTCTCGCAGTGATCGCTCGTGGTCACCACCCGTGTAGATAGCAGGTAGTGTGTACCTGACTTTGCCCGGTGCGTGGTGTTTGAGCAGTGCCACCAGCTTGTCGCGCGTCTGGCCGTCTGGCAGGGAGTCGCGGAACGCCTTTGCGTGCCTGGCCTCGAACGGGGCAAACGCTGCATGCACATTGGACCGGTTGCGCATGCGCACCCAGAAGCGTCCATCCCATAGCTGCCACGGTTTCCACGCCGGCCAGCGCCATAACTCCGGCCGCCGGCGCCAGCGTGCGCTGATGCTCAGCCTTCCGAAAGCACAGCTGGGGGGCGGGCGGCCGGAAACGTAGGGCTCGCGGGTGAGGTACCAGTTCATTGGTGCTCCCGGGCGGGTTGAAGTGTGCACTGGGAGGAAATGCACACTGGAGACGTTGAAGGCTTTGGGGTGCACCGGGTAGCTGGATGGGTCGTCGTTGAGCGAGGGAAAGAGGCGAAGGACCTGATTCTGGAGGTTGGTCGCAAAGGGGCCCGGCTGCTCAGGCGTTATCATGGCAATGAGGCGTTTCAGCAGCAGGGCGGCGATGTAGCGGTAGTGTTCTAAGCGCCTTGCGCGCCGAGCTTCTCTGTTAAGCCCTCGTCGGGCACGAGGAATCCGGAATGACGGCAGCTGCACAATTACAGTGCCCGTCGTGGACTCGAAGTCGCGAACCATGGTCCGGCCCAGGAGCCGGCCCACTTCGGCTTCGTCAAGCTCTGCCTGTCTCCGCAGACGGCGGGACATGTTTAGGATAGCCGGCTTTTGCAGCGCCGTTGGCAAGGTATGATATCTGTAGAGGTGTCTCACGGCATTCCTCATCGTCAGAGTCGCGTCCTGGTTTGTGGCGTCCTCGAACCAAGGCACACCGTTAGCCTCGCAGGTTGCAATCAGTCTGTCCTTGCTGAACTCGAGCAAGGGCCGGTACACCATGACACCGCCATCCTCTACTTTTGGAGGCGCTACCGGAAACATCATCTTAGTCCTCGGCACGCATGCATCAAACTCATCGTAGAGGTAGGCGCTGGCAGGCGTGCCCTCCGTCAGCTCCCTAGCCACGAGTCCTGGGTCTAGGTCAGCCATCACCTGGTCCTTGATAGAGCTCAATTGGTTTCTCATAGGACGGTAGTTGATCATCGGCATCTTGGACGCCTGGTCGTCGACCAAGCCGCTCTGGTAGGCGCCGTGGATGTCGTAGCTCTCAGGGATGTCGGTGGCGGACCGCATGCCCAGCAGACCAGCGGCGCTGTGGCCGGACATCAGCCTCATGAGCACGGTCTCGTACTGGTCGTCCTGATGATGTGCGAAGAAGAGAGACGCCATTTTAGCCTTGGCACACATGACGGCCATCTTGCGAAATCGAAGGCGGCGGGCGACAGTCTCGAAGTTGGGCAGCTCCTTGGGGTGTGAATACCCCGAGTCTTCCAGGACGTATTTCCAGCCGATGCTCATGAGATGGGCCCTGAGGCCCAGGCTCGTCAGACTTGCCCGGACAGCCTCTGCCTCCAGGCCGCTCCCCTCGCGCATGCGATGGTCAACCACCATGCAGTGGTAAGCACCGACGGGGTTGTCAGCAACCCTTATCCCCAGGCGTTGTCTGTGGACTTGTGAACAGAGATACGCCAGGGCCATGGAGTCGACCCCTCCGCTGATGGCCAGACCTGCTCGAGCCACAGTCAGTCAACCATAAGATAAGCTCGCAAACTAATAAATCCAGACATTGAAGGGCGTGTCGTACCAACTGGACGTGCCTGGCGGCCACGGGCGCCGGGGAATCTGGGACGGCATATCGCCTGCACAGCATCGACAAACTCGGTGACGGCGACCGGGTTAGCAGTGCGGTGGAGCACCTGTGGTATGGAGCTCATGTCTCCAGGGAATCGAATGGGACATAGCTGAGCATGATTTCCTGAGCAGCTGTGATGTTTGAAGGCTGTGAGTTACAACAATTGCGATCTGAAGTTCTTTTCTCCCTCATGATGCACGGATATATCTACTGAGTAGCTACCTATAGGTGCCGTACCTGCAGGGACCCCTGAATGCTTGGGAGCTTTGAGCCGCTGGAGCTTCCGAAGCTCGGTGGGCAGGGATGACCTCACGGCCCACAGGGTCCAGGGCGGCCCAGGGTCGACAACCTCACAGCGCCGACTCGGAGCCGTCGAAAACCGAAATCGTCACTCGACCTAATAAGTCATTCAACGACCACCTACCAAAGCAACAAAATGCCGCTCGGAACATAGCCACGACCCCCAAACCCCCCTCCAACCCACCGCTGGCCTCGTCGCCGACCTGCTTACCTCCTCCTCCTCCTCCCCACCCGCAACCAAAAACAGGGTGGCAGCAGCAGCAAACAAAATGTCCTCCCCGGCCAACCCGCCCTTCACCCACGCCCTGCTAGCGGGCGGCGCCGCCGGCACCACCGTCGACCTGACGCTCTTCCCTCTCGACACGCTCAAGACGCGCCTGCAGTCCTCGGAGGGCTTCTTCGCCTCGGGCGGGTTCAGGGGCATCTACCGCGGCGTCGGGTCGGCCGCCCTCGGGTCCGCCCCCGGCGCCGCCTTCTTCTTCTGCACCTACGAGGCCATCAAGTCGGCCCTGGCCGGGGCGCGGCGGCGCGCGCTGGGGGGCAGCAGCAACGACAGCAGTAACAACACGACGGCAGGGAAGGATGGAGGCGGCAGCGCCGTGGACCACATGCTGGCGGCGTCCCTGGGCGAGGTGGCCGCGTGCGCCGTGCGCGTGCCCACCGAGGTGGTCAAGCAGCGCGCCCAGGCCGGCCAGCACGGCGGGTCCTCGCTGTCGAGCCTGCTGGCGATCCTGGGCCGCCGGCGCGACGTCGGGCTCCCGGGCGTCTGGCGCGAGCTGTACCGCGGCTGGGGCATCACCATCCTGCGCGAGGTGCCCTTCACCGTCATCCAGTTCCCGCTGTGGGAGGCCCTCAAGTCGTACTCGCGCGGGCGCAAGCAGCAGCACGGCGGCGGCGGCGGGGGCGGGGTGGACGTCAGCGCCGGCGAGTCGGCCCTGTACGGCAGCGTCTCCGGCGGCGTGGCCGCCGCCGTCACCACGCCGCTGGACGTGCTCAAGACCAGGGTCATGCTGAGCTCGAAGCGCCAGAGGATGTGGGACGTCGTCACGGGTATATTGAGGGAGCACGGGGTGCGGCCCTTCTTCGCGGGCATCGGCCCGAGGGTGATGTGGATCAGCATCGGAGGTGCCGTCTTCCTGGGCAGTTACCAGTGGGTGATCAACTCCCTCGAGCGCGGCACGACAAGAAAACCCGAGTCTAGCCTGCCCTGAAGAAGTGGCAAGCCAGTAGTATGAACACGTTTGGTATCGTGGGCCTATGAGGAGTGCACGGCTGGGCCCTCCCAGTTCCGGTGCTCCCGGCAGCGAGGACGACACATGCGCAGGGCTGACTGGGCTGCGTCCTGTAGAAGGAACACCTACTCGCGCCTAAGAACACATGATTGGGGCAGTCGAAGGCTCCAAGGGCAGCAACATTAAAACTCGAGGTATACCTCGAGAAAAAAGCACTCCGCTATGTACATTATGTACCAAGACCGCTATGGTCCATCGAAGATACCCTATAGACAAGCTACAGAAGAATAGATATTCAAGAGCCGTCTTCCACCTGGGACAGGTCCGCACCTCAACTACCTTTGCTGCGCTTCCGAATACAGCAAAGACTCTAAGCTGCTGCTGCGGCAGCTTGTCCACCCAGGCCTTCAGCGGCAGCAGGAGGAGCAGCTGCCGGAACCTCTTCCTCTGGAGCCGCCGGCTGTTCAGGTGGTGGCAACGGAATCTCCTTCTTCCCATTGGCCTTGTAGTATAGAACGACGTCGTTACCGCCCTTCCATATATAGGCACGCAGAGTCGCGAGTGTCATGTTGATTGGCAGGAGCTGCGGACAGTGTCAGTCAAGGGGGCTCGATATCTTTGCGCGCTGGCCAACGCGGACTCACCTGCTCGTTGCAATAGAGCTCAAGATACTCTTCCGCCCTCATCACATCGGGATTCGGCTCTGCCTCGTTCTCGGGTTGCTCAAAGGTGGGATCAATCCTCTCCGCCACGTACGCCAAGATCTTCCTCACCCGGAGCATCTTGTTTGCGTTCAAGCGGTTGTTTCCGTCCGCAGACGCGAGGCTCGGCAGTCCCGAGTCCGGCCACGGGTGTAACACGAAGGATACCTTGACAGGCTCCTTCTGCGGGACAGTGTTGAGCAGCAGTACCTCACCCAGCCACTGCGGTGCGCATTTCTCGATGACGTCGGCATCGACACCGACCGTCTCGATCGTCCCACGGTATAACTCCGCGCTGCCTCCTGAGGTTTCCTCTTGGATGATAACCTTGGTTCCCGGCGGTAGCTTGAGCACCGGTGTTTCGTTGGTGAGGCTGGGTGTGACTCTCGTCTCGACGGCTTTTTCCGGGCTATCGATTAGTTGCTTTCCATACTCATCTTGAATCTTCTCGATCACGCCGAGGAAGTTGTCGTCGTACTCCTTCTCAGGCTCGTGGTTTGATGACGACTCCGATTCGGCCGTCTTCTCCTCTGTAATCGCTGGCTTCTCTGTTGCTGTTGACGAGGCCGAACGGCCAAGCTTTTTGGTGCCGAATGACATTCCCATGCGAAATTTCTTGCCGAAGGGCGTGCTCGGCTGTTTGGCCTCGCCTTTATCTTTATCTTTATCCTTTTCCTTTTCTTTCTCCTTCTCCTTGTCTTTGCCATTTTCAGCTGGCTGCTCGGCTGGGGTGGTCGCGGGTTTCGCAGCCTGATTGCCATCTGCTGATACTATTGCATTGGTGAAGTAGTCTTCCCTTTCCTGAGACGGGCGGCTCGTCACAGATGTCCTCTTGTCCAGAGGGAGCGTGGAGTTTCCACCTTCCTCCTTGACTCCAGGAAGCCCGGGAGTCGCGAGCCCGATGCCCATGCCTGGTGTCATAGGTGGGTACTGCGAGCCATTTGCTCTGGGTGTCATTGGGGATTCAGCCGCCTGTTCCCAGTTTGTCGAAGAGGTGGGTATCGTGATGCTGACGGGAGGCCTCATCTTTGCTGCTGCGATGTTTTTCTCGACCGTCTCGTTCAGCTTGGCACGATGAGCCTCGTCGCGCCTGATCTCTTCATCAATAAGTTTCGAGAAGAGGTACCTCAGGATCCACTTTCCATGGTTGACTTGGAAGTCGTGTCAGCGATTTCAGGCGTGTCACACAGTTGGGAGGAACCAGCTTACTTCTTTGATCTTCCCTGAAATCGACAGGCTCATCCAAGACCAGCTCATCGGCGTACAGTTCTGCGTCAAAACAATTGAAAGGTTCCAGGACAACTGTGAGGTTGCCAGAACTTGTGTCGACCGAGCACCAAGGTGACACGTTCTCAAGGGTATTAACCAAAGGCTCAACGTCCTCGAGGTGCTTCTTTCCAAAGCTTTGAACCGGTTTGCACTGGTCAAACGCTCATTAGCATCTTGAAACCTAACATCAGAAAACCCGCCTTACTTGTATTAAATCCCACAGCAGGACGTCACCCGCTGTGTCCAGAGTGAGTACCCGCCGCTTGTCAGCCAGTAGACGGTGTTTGACAAGGCCAAATTGGCCTTCGATTGTCTCCTCTGGTACGTGCTGTATTGGCTCCAATACATGGACAACAGACTCAATAGTCTGTGTGTCAGCGTCTGCATTCGGAGCAAGCTCAGGCGCGGGGAATCTCGCTGTGTTAGAAATCCTGAGGATAGATCTTGCTGGGATCTCCTTGGCCTTGCCGTTGGCAACAGGCGATGACGTCGAGTGCGGTAGGTTGGCCGCAATTGAGGCTCGTTGTTGTTTGAACGGTTCTGGTAGCGGGATATCGGCCCCTGTGTCGATGTTATGCCAGCGATTGATGGATGACCGTTGAGTTGCGGTCCACATGTAGTCGCCAGCAGCCACGACCCTGAAGACCGTGTCATGCTCTTGCGCGACAGCGAGGGAGAGGCCTTCATCCATTTCCCCCATGGTCCCCCGAACGTCGGTCTTTGCGATCAAGCCGGAGCGGTCAGTGCTGTAGAAGACGGAGAGCTCGGGGTCCTCGGAGTAGAGCGACCAAACGCTGTCGTTGTGCATGGTGAGGGTATGCATGCAGCGGCCGGCGGTGACGCTCCAGACCTTGACCGTCTGATCCGCACTGCCCGTCATGACCATGTCGCCCGCGGCGCTCAGCAATATGGACCGTATATTAGATGTGTGGCCGCGGAACTTGGTGATGCGCTTCCCGGCCCTGGGGTCCCAGAGATGCAGTATGGACTCGGGGCCGCCATAGGCCAGCATATTCTCCGTGGTGCTAAGCGAGTAGACAGAGCCCTTCTCCGGAACCTCCTCGCCCTTGGTGTCGATCTCGAGCGTCTTCCCGCCGCCATTCAAGTCCCACAGATACACCTTCCGGTCAAAGCCGCCAGTGGCCACCCAGGAAGATTGCTGCCCCGGCGACGCGACACACTTGACGTAGTCGGCATGTTCTCCGATCTTGTGGGGTTCGTCGTTCTGGTTCGCGTGCGGTCGCCAGAGCTTGACGATCTGGTCTTGGGACGCAGTTATGACAGCGGCGTTACTTTGTGCCAGCGCGATGTCGCAGATCCAGTTAGTATGAGCGAGAGTCTGGGCGCGGAATCTGGTGGTGTTCTTGGACTTGGAGGCGTCGTTCGAGGTCGAGCCGGTCGCAGAGGGTGCGCCCTTGCCATTCAGGTCGAGGTTCAGGTCCCAGGCGCATATCGTACCGTCGCGGCCTCCGGAATAGCTGTAGGACAGGACGATTGTGGTCAGCAACACGCAGCAAAGGCGCAAACCGGGGGCTGCGTAGTTGGCGAGTGCGTTGCGCGCGAGGATTGGGGCTCACAGGATTGACTGGTCGCGGTCGACGGCGAGGCCATTGACACCGAGTTTGTGGCCTCCGACCTGCTTATCGGCACGTTCGAGAACTGGGGAGCGGACGCATGAAGTTAGAGACAAGCGATCCGGGACGGTGAAACGGTGACATGCCCCATGGATATTGCTCGCATGCCACCACTGCTGCGCAACAGCTGCCACGTGCGGGGTCAAGGCCGCCTGGGTCGCGACAGCAAGAGAGGCAGGGAGGTGTAGGTGAACGCAGTAGATACATACCATAGCTGATTCTTTGACGTGCCTTCTTGGCCATCACGGAATGAATATGGGTGTGGTGGACATATGGGTAAGGTGCTGTAAGGAGAGAACTGTGTATATCCGGAGATATCGGCTCGTCAGAGGGTGATGGCGCACCACTGCTGCACACACAAGTCCGCTGCTAGTAAAGAGCCGGGTCAAGAGTGTGCCTCTACAAGTGGATCGATCGTGAGCTGGCCCCGAGAGGACTTGGTGGACAGACTGGATAAGGCAGAGATCAAGAAATAATGAAGCAGCGAGTGCTGAGTGTATTACGGCACGGTATGCAAGCGAAGGAGGATGAAGATCCCCATGGCTATTAGGGATCCATCGCTCGGAATGGCTGGTTGATGGGGTGGATCTCCCATCATTTACTGTACATGGTACTGCGAGGTGTAGCACCGCTGACCTGCAGCGTCACCCGCTCCACTCCTCCCTCCTTCCCTCCCACCTTTCCACTAGGCCGTCGCGTGGGGAAGCTGCACCGCAGATGGGGCTCTGGGGCTCTGGAGTGCACCTGCATCTGTCGTGCTGCAGTGCTGCTCTGTCGGGGATAGTCTTCGTGCTATGCGACTCTCTGCGCACCCGTTCTCTGGTGACAAACCTTTTGAGGTATAGGGTAGGTATCTCGCATGGGAGGATGAAGCTCCCCCGCGTCTTGCAGGACCAACACCCCCAACCAGCCTATCTAACTTGAGGTCGTCGTCCTCAGGATCCCTGCGAGCTGCACGGTACCGGTGGGCTGGAGCGCTTGGGACAAGGAAAGTCATCGCCTCAGTTCCAGAGGTTGGCGCACAACTGACACCTCATGCGATTGCTGTTCTAGAACATCCCAGGAAGGGCGAGACATGGAATTGCAATCCCTCCTTCCAGGAGTGCCAGGCTTGTTTCGGGGGCTGGCAGGGGCAGCTCGCACGGAGGGGCAGGATTCAGTCACCCGGCCCCTCCCCTTTCTCGCCCCAGCATCCACGTCAACGGGCTGGACGGTGACTGGACCGCCTGTTCCCCGCTGAGCAGCCCGGAGAAGCAACCACTTCAGGGATTCCCCAGCTCCTTGCAGAAGTCAATTGGACCCCTAGGCCGCTGTACGTAATCGTACAGTACCTAGGTATGTGCAGTTACCTCATCTCGACGAAGCTCCCTCCTGATGGCTTCAGAGCTGTTAACTGAATGTCTTCATTTTCAAAGACGCGGATACAAGTGACGTGAGTGATTCTATAATTCGCTCTAAACTATATCGTCGAAGCTGGTCGTGGTCTACACGTCAAACTTGCTGTTCACTTTGCATAGTCTCTGGAGAGTCGATGCCGTGGAAGTGTCCCCACCAGAGGCTGGGGGTTTCGAGAGCGCTCACCAACCCCATACTTCGCGACTTAAGTTTCAACTTAGAGTTGCATCAGCGTATCCAGGCCATGCAGAGCAGCGTGTCATCGGCCCTATGATCTCCCAGGCCCTATGTCAACAGGTGCGACTAGCCTATCAAGTTATGGCGCCATGGACGGGCACGACAAGATGTTGATGCTTTCCCCGTGTCAAAGCTAAGGCACGGCGGCTGACAATCTTTTCTCGTCGTACGTCTCTGTAGATGCAAAAGAGGTAGACGATGGTCGAGCTCACTCCTGGTTCAGGACACCCAGGGGTATTACGTTGAGTTTTTATCCTTGCGTTGAAGGGCCGAACACTGCAGATGCTATGTCAAACTCCTAGTGAAACTGAGAAGCCCGTCAGCTTGTAGAAATGTATTTCATGATAGGTATTAGGAATCTAGTGTGATCATGTATGCTGACCTTCAAATCAGGTCCAGATGATCGCCTGGGACACACTCCCTGGCTCTATAGGCCACCTCAACGCCATCGCTTGATTTTGACATCATCGTCTTAATATCCGCAGAGTAAAGTACCGACCACAATGACTGCCAATTGACAAGTCCAGTTGCTGCTGAACCTTCACCTAATCATAGTCCCCCATACACCAATCGCTCTTCTCCATCTCCCCAATGGTCACGTCCTCATGCTCAGCATCCATCCTCCTCTAAGATCATACGAGCTCGACCGGGTGTGCGAGTTTCCAAAGCGACCTTGGTGTGGATCTGCCTGTAATCAGAGCCGAAACCCAGTCAGCGAATTTCTATCTCTGACTCTCCCACCGTCTACCGGCTCGCACAGTCCTTCCCAGCAGATCCCAACATACCTGAGTCGTTCGTGAGATCAGAAAGGGAGCCACTCCCAGCAGCCAACCCGACCGAAGAGCCAGTCGAGCTTCCACTGGCACTACTACTCCCCAAGGTGTCGATCGGCCCCAGCCGCGCTGCCAGCTCGGCCTGCCTGGTACATCGGTCGCACAGCGTCGGCACCGGCCTGATCGCCTTGAGCTTCTTGCAGGGATAGGCGGCCCTGTAGTAATCGGGTGTATCGGTCCTGCTCCTGCTCGTGTCGAAGAGGAAGACGGGCTTCTCGACGGTCATGTCGCCACGGTCCGCATCTTGAGGGGCGCCTCGGGCTGTGGGACACTCGCTTACGTTCTGGAACTGCTTGTGCTGGCAGCGGGTCATGGTGTAGATGAAAACACACATCTTGAAAAGAATGAAGAAGTTGAAATTCTGAGAGTGCTTGAGTGTGATGCGAGGTTCATCAGCTTGTTCAGCAGGTTTCGCAAGAGATGTGCTCAGTGAAATTTGAGGAGTCCGCTCTTAAGGAAAGAGGTCGGGGTGAGAGCAGAAGCAATCACACAAGGTACGACTTTCTTGCTGAATGCTGTACATATGTGACATTGAAATTCGGGGTTGGTGAATCATGGTGTTGCGAGCTTCATGCGGAGCTGTGTTGCAAGACGACAATGGCTGGATAGCAGCACAATGGCTGTCTCTTGTCTCTTTGTGGTGATTGTGACTGCGAGACGGGCGTTTGTCCCAAAACGCAAAAAATCACTTTTGACAGTTCAACATGACGAAAACCGGTGTCGGCTAGTTGCGAGACTTGCCCAGGCAGCTACGTACGCATCAGGAAGTCGCGCTCTGTGGCGCTGGCGAGGCTGGCGGAAGAACGCGATCCCATGTAGCACCCGTACGACGAGGGGGTTGCATCATTTATCGCCCAAACTCCATTGCTTGTCCTCTCTCTGAAGTAACTCGAGGGGTGGGCAAACCGCTCCGCAGTGATTTTGTGATCGCTGAAACGATTGGAGATGCCGTCTGAAGTCTTACGAATCGTGAGGGGTGTTTAAAGGCAAGGTTTGACTCGATGCAGGACTGCCGTCATAGAAACAAAGCCGACCCAAGTCGTCACCGAACAGCCCACCCGACTCGAGGCAAATACCACGTCCGCATCAGGGTTGATTACAGGCCATTCCCTCCGAGTTGAAAACGCTCGGGCATGTCCACGAATAGCGGCCAGGGATTGGCGAAACGGATGCATTCCGGGCACAGCCAGTAGGAACACATGTCTTGGGTGCATTCCGCCCTTCATTCTTCTTGCTTCCTTATTTGATAGCCTAATTGCCTTCTCATATCATCCCAGCAACCTCTCCTCATGGGGTCCAGCTCTTGCAGCTTGGAGAGCCAGGTCTCCAGGTCCAGCACCTCACCGTCCAACGGCTTTCGTTTCTCCAAAGTCGACAATGCCAACGTGCACTCGATGAGTGCTTCATATATCAGTTTACAGTCATCATAGTCCTCGAGGAGGTCCTTGATGTCCACTATATCTGCTGTGATGTAGTCCACTCTTTCTTCCATGGTAAAATTGGCCGTGATGGTCGGTCGCGAAGCATGTTCGACCAAATCCAGCATCAAAAACTGGTGATAATACCAGAGTGACTGGTCTTCAGGCCCTACATTTAAGCCTTCTTTTATCAAAGCCAGTTCTGGGAATGGGTTAGCCCCCGTAAATCGAAGGAAGTTGAAGTCTACCGTACCATCGTCAAAGAATTTCTTTCTGGCGGCCTCGTCGGCTCGTCGCTCATCCAACAGCCTTGGGATGAGCTTGCTACGGTTGTGCCACGCGGAGAAATTCGACAGGTCAACGCGGATCATCTTGGTTGTAAATTCGAACTCGGACTCCACCATGCTCTTGCCGTTGAGTGCGGCACTCTCGAGATGGCTGACGACGTTCCTTCGATAGCCCCATGCATGGAAGTTCCGGCGATCCTTGCTCAGCATCTTGGTATCGAGGCCCAGCTCCTCTTCCCATATACGTCTCGCAACAGCGGGGTCTAGCCGTTCGATAGCCTGCTGCAGCAGCCACGACCTATAGTTCCAGATCCAATAACACTTGGGAAACTCCATCAGCAGCGGGACCGTGAAGCCCAGCTCGGACCTGAGCGAGTCGAGGTCCTTCTCCCGCGCTTCCTCGTGCACCCTGTCATCGTGTGCAGTGCCATCGCCGCTGGGGTCCAACGAAGCAGCGTCGTCAGCTGTAGTACCACTCTTCCCAGTTGTCCGGGACGCGGGGTTTGGCGGGGTCGTGGTCGAGGAAGAGGAGGAGGATTCGGCGGAACATGTTGTGGTAGTGGCGGTCTGAGAAGAACTCTGCGACGCCTTCGAGGGCGAGGACCCAGCCGACGGTTTGCATGATAACCCACAGGTTAGCAAACATCTGCGGCGGACGTTCCATATTGTGTAGTACTCCGGGTTGAGTCGGAGCAGCCTGCTGGTGAGCTTGAGGAGTTCGAGTGTAAACTTGGCATCGGCGACCTGCGATCGGACCTGGCCTTCGAGGTCGCGGTACTTGGCGATCTTCTCGAGTTCGTGTTTCTTCTGCTCTTCAGTGCGGGACCGGTTGGTTCGGGTTACGCCATGCTGGTTGCCTTCCCATCAGTCAACTTCTCGTGATTGTGCTCGGGTTTGTGTCGGTGGGAGATGGTGTTCGTACACTGGCCATTTCGAGCCTTTCAAAGAGACGGGCCAGGAAACACGGCGAGCCTCTTTCACCGGTTGCCTGTTGGGAGTGCTTGAGGAAAGGTGACGTTTGCGGCGGATGTTCGTTGGACGTTGCTACTGTGCAGTAGTGCAGTAGGGTAGCCTGCTAGGTACCAGGTAGTGGTCTGTAATCCTTGAGCGGGGCTGTCCCGATCGGGTTACTCAGCAGTCCTGCCTTACACTGTATGACCGCAACCACCCTTGATTGCAGACTGTGAGGAACACCACTGCTCTCAATACATTCCAGATGAACTAGTGTACAGCTATGGGATGGCCTGATATCCCATTTGTTTGGCCCCGTATACAAACGAAGGAACGATGGAAGGAATTCTAAGAATCACGAAACTCACCAGGTGCGACTGAGACACAAGCAAAATAGCTTCAAGAGCAACACACCACCACATCCGCACCATGCATCGTCACGATTCTGTCACTTCCTCCCGTCGTTGTCCAACGCTTGTAATGTTGGGTCCTGTTATAGCATCTTCATCTGGCTTTTGACCTCATAAATATCCAGTACCCACGGGGACTTGGAGGTATTTAACCACATCACATAAATGCAGGGTCATCATTCCTCTGTTATCCTACCAAAGCCTGTGTCCTGGATAGAGACTTTGATTCAGCGAGGTTATTCCTGACCGTTCCACATGTTCAGGCTGTTCAAGCCTCTGAGGGTTTTCCAACCGGTTGCAAGCAGATAGATACAGGGAACGTAGCCAAAGTTCTGCCTCCAGTGCAGCTCTCGGTTCACCGCGGCATGGTCGTTGCACTCGAGATTAAGAAGTCTTCCACCGAACTACCGGCCTCCATATCTCATCGTGCGAAGGATGAATCCAGACCCAACACCATGCGGCTCAAATTTAGGAGACCAACAAGGTGCACGCGCCGAGAATATGGTCGATTCCCAGGAGGAGACGGGACTCTACCTCTACCTTAGCAAGGATGATTTTGCAAAATATCTGGTTACAGAGGAAGAACTAAACAAGATAAAGGCAAAGAGGTTGCAGGCTTAGGTTAAACTCCGTACGCTCCTCTAGCAGCGCATATCCTGCTTCTCACGAAACGCCATCCATAACCTAGTTTATTAAATTAATGATATGAACTTAAGGACCAATAAGGGCAAGCTAGCCAAATCCTTAAAATTTTTATTATAAGCATTTAATGGCAATAATATGGAAATTAAGGTTAAGACTGGAATTATTATTTAAAACTATTATGAGTAAAAAGCTATAATGTAATAATCCTTTTATTTACCCTTTACTTTACCTACCATGCTTTTACTGCATCTTTAAAGATGGCTTCTTTAAATTAACGATTTATTTTTATATGTATAGGGCAGCACCATTTCTGTATTACCGGACATACCAACACCTTATCGCTATGTTTAAAGACTTAAGGGAGTTCTACCCTAAACAGGCTCCCTGCCCACTTTAAATATGCTACTTTGCATGAAGAGCAGACCCTAGCCAGCTTCTACCAGCACCGAGGCCCAAATCTCTGCAAGAGGTGCAAAAGGCTTTTGAGCATGTCGTTCAGACTTGGAAAAGTAGCGAAAGTTGCAAGCAGGTCGAGACCACGCTTTGGGCCATTTAAATCGGCGGCTTAGTCTCTCGTATTGTTGCTTTCGGTAACGGTATAATCTCAACTGAAGACAGCCAACGCAGCGCCTTACAGCATGCTTTAATACTAACCATTAGGGACGGCTTGCAAAGTCTCCAAGTTGTCTCGGGCATCAGGATTTAATGCTTTGCTTAGGATCCTGTGTATACAGAAATTGATAATTTAGTCCTTAAAGAAGTGGGAATCACGGTCTTGGAGGATCCTCGGGCTTTTCTGGAAGTTAGTGATGAAAGCGTGGTGCTGTCCTTCGCGCCTGATATCCCGGTGAGGCAAACTTAGAATTGTTATAGATCTCGCTCGGTTAGCCGTTTTTATCTGCGATAAGGTTCGAGGAGAGCAGGAGTTGCTTGATGATTGGTTCAAGCGGTGCAATCCTCCTCGAACTTGGGCAAGCGTTGAGAAGCTGGAGGGCAGGTTGTGAGTTGACAAAAACTTCTTTCTGTTTTAAGTACCCGGAGCCAACCTTTAATGTGAATATCAGAGATGACCCAGAATCGCCTCGCTTGCGCAATTTGATATAAAGTGACTACACAGACTCTGGAAATTTGGATGATGAGAGTTTTGCAGGAGCGAGGATATACGTTAGACGGCCTGACATTTCAACATCGAAGTAACGCTGTTTGGAAACGGTGAAATCTTGTTTATTTTCCCCTTTTCAAGTACAGATTGGAACGTCAAGGCTTTGTCGCATAACGACAGTGGTCTCTTCTCGACTGAGGTCAGGACCCAGCGACCACCCCTTCATGCTCCTGTCGCGCTCCTTCAACGAATGGTGGCAGAACATGGTACCTGCAGGCCTCTTCCTTTTGTTCAAGGTCTACATATGTAAGGGCATCGTAGCCTCAGTGTTAAATATTCTATGATGCCTCTGACGTATTTAAACATATAATCAGAATGGAAAGTTGGTGGAAATTTAGCATCTAGCCTTTTCTCAAATCGTCTTCCATGACGAGTTCCGAAGATTTGCCATCCATTTGCCCCAGGATCTGGTCCAGAAGGGCTTTTGGGTCCCACTTCTGCTTCTCCTCCGCTCGTCGATGGACAAACCAGTCCACCAGCATCCTGCATGGAGCACTGAGCAGCCCGAGCCTTCCCTCATGCCCTCCCCCAACGTTCTCTCCCCAGTAGGCCTCGTCAACGTAGTCCCAAACGAAATTGTCGAAAAGAAAATTCTGGGCCAAAGAAGTGGTGAGGGCAAACTCCTGTTTTTCCTCGTCCCAGCGGTGTCTCATGAGCTGAGAAAGGGGAGTTTGATGTGCGATGGGTGCAGCAGTCGCCTGGTCTTTGCTGGAACCTGAGCGGAGATGATTTCCCAGGAGCCGGTCCTGTTGATTGCTTTGCAGCTTCTTTTCCGCTTTCTCCAGAGCGCGCAGGTATGTTCTCACCAGTTCATCCCATTTCTCTTGAAAATTTCCGTCGCCTTGACCCTGTTCATCCTTTTCAGCATGCGGTAACTCCTCTTCATCCCTTTCAGCGTGTGGTGACTCCTCTTCGTCCTTTTCAGAGCGTGTTAACTCCTCTTGATCCGATGTGGGTGAATCAGCATCTTCATCAATGTAATTGTCCACGACCTCGAGCGGTAACCACCAAGGAGGGTTCACCCAATACGTCTCGGGGGCAAAGTATGTGTATTCCCAGTCGAAAACTCCTACCACCACTCCGTTTTCGTCCAGCAAGACATTCTCTGGGCGGAAATCGTCCCCCCACAATCTGAACGTCTCATGGCGCTGGTCTGTCTGCGCTCCCGCATTGGGGCTGGGCTGGTCAGATTTACCAGTGCTGTTCTGTCGTCGGAGCACTGTATCCCGCATAAGGCAGCGAGCAACGAATTTGTCTCTGCAGTCTGTAACAGATTCGATATATTTCTCGTTCATGAACAGAAGCGCTGCAATCGCCATATTCGTTGAGTCTGTGAAATAATCGGTCGATGAGACATAGGTTTTGTCGCAAGCGGGAAGCACAGCGACGGGAACGCCGAAATTAACAACCTGGTAGGCGGTGTTGTGCGAAAGAGGTGCCGAAGCGACTGCGTACTCGCCATTGTCGAGGATACCAAGCGAGCCGATTCTGTCTGAGGTGAGGTTGTAGAGCTGCGATGAGATCTCAGCCATTTGCTGGTAAAGATATTCCCGTTTCTCTGATTCCGGTATGGCTGGGATTGTGAAGTCGGGGTCTTCGAGTGCCTGACCCACGGTGGTAGCATGTGGGATGTGATCCATGATCATGAAGGGCACATGGAGACCAGTGGGATTTTGTGCTGCCGTTCCCCAATGGTAGATGTGCGGCACCGGGATAGTTGTACGATCAGCGACGTAGCGAATAGTTGCAACTTCAGCCTTGACCTTGTCATCGGGGTAAACGACAACCCCCGGAATCGGGAACCTGAAAAGGGCAATCCCATCGTCAAAGATTATCTCGATATTGAAGTTGTAAGAGCCAAATCTGTAGGGATCGCCCAGCCTAGGATTTGTTCCAGGCCGGTGTTGGCAAACAAAGTCAATAACACTTTGGCGCAAATCGGCGTTTTGGACGAAGAATTGGTAGATGAATGTGGGGACCCATGTGTCAGCAATGGTGCGCTGTATGATTTCAGGTCCGGTACCATCATCTGTTTGATTGGTCTCCAGGGCCTCTCTGACCGACTCGTCCACGGCCAACTCGAATTCGCGGTCCATCTCAGCTGGGGCTTGTTGGGGAAAGGTTGGGATATGCAAGGTGTGCAAGTGAGGAATGTTGTAGCAGTTTACTACGGAGTACCCAAGTAAGTTGGTAGGAGGGTAAAAATAAGCTGTGGATCCCTTGTGGTCCCCACCAGAGTACCACCAACAGCAGAACCAACAACATTTTTTCACAAGTTCTTGTCAAATGGAATCTATTCTTAGGTCTCCGAATACCCGAGTGGATAGCAGGATGGCTCCATCTGGCTCGTTCAGCTAAACTGAGGTCTTGTGCCGTAGGCCTGCTTAACCAAGATGGCAAACGTCTATCATTTGAGTTTCTCTTGCGAGAAAATCATATCCTTACTGTCTCCACAAGTGAGTCTGGAGCTGTGATCCTGAGGAGTTTTATGGAGCCAGAGTGAGACAATGAGGCCAAGGTCAACCATGGCCAGGGGCGCCGTAGTGATGTATCCCCTTTCTTAACATAGCATCGTGAGCCTCAACATAGACACTGAAGGCCTGATGTTGTGGTTCTAAAACGGGTCGAGTGGACACCAGGGTTGTAAATTAGTTTCTTAGTTTTAGTTAATTTAGTTAGTTTTCTTAGTTAGTTAATTTAGTCTTAGTTAATAAGATTAACTAAAAACTAAAATTAGTTTTAGTTTTTAAAATTAATTAAAACTAAAAAAACTAAAACTAATTTTAGTTTAACTAAATTAACTAAGAAAATAATTTAAAAAATAAAAAAGTAAGAAATTAATTTTAATTAAATTAAATTAATTAAAGAATAGCTTGAAAAACAAATATTTAATTAATTTAAATAATAAGTTTTAAATATATATATTTTTTTAAAAAAAAGAAAACTAATAACTTAAATCCCCGTTATAACTTAACGGTATATAGCGTTAATTTATTTCTAAAAAATAAGATGTAATATAATTAAAATAAATTATTATTAAGGGGTATAATATTTATTACTAGCTTATTATATCTTATATAATAATGAAATAAACTTCTTTTTTAAGGTTTTTAAATTATTTTTTATTTATTCTTTTACTTTTAAGGTATATAATATTTATTTTAAATTATATAAAATTTTACTTTTCTTATAATATAATTCTTATTTATATAACTAATTCTTTGAAATACTTACAGCATTTTTAAAAAAAAGTTTTAATTTATTTATATTAAATCTGCTAAATGGCAATTGCTTATTTAAAATATAACTGCCCCCCCCTAATGCCCCCCTACCCTTAGCGTTATCACCTATATATAACCTTTAATATCTTTTTATATAATAGGGTTAAAATTATAATAAAAATACTTTTAAATAGCCTTTATTCTTAACTTAAGGAATGAAATATTATTAGAAATTATTTACTCTTTAGAAAAATAAATATAAAAAGATATCTTAGTTTTACCTGATATATAAAAATTAAATAATACTTTATATATTTATATAATAATGATAGATTTTTTTAATATAATAATATCACTTTTATATATTATAAAAAATCTTTAAAAGTATTATATATAATCTTATTATTTTTATTTATTAAAATATATTTACCCTTGTAAATACTCTAATTTAAAAACTAGCTATAGGGCTTAATTGGGCCTATTTGCCCCTATAAATACTTTAATTTAAAAACTAGTTAGGGGGCTTAATTGGGCTTATTTTCCCTTATAAATACTTTAATTTAAAAACTAGCTACAGGGCTTAATTGGGTTTATTTGCCCCTATTAATGCTTTAATTTAAAAATTAATTATAAAGCTGTTTTAAACTTATTTAGCCTTATATATACTTTATTTTAAAATTCTTTTTAAAGCTTAAATATAATAAATATCCTTGGAATTAAACTTATGAGGTTTAAAATAAGTGGGTTTAATTAATAAGCTTATATGACTTGTATATTAATAATAATAATAAAACTTTATAACCTTGCATTTTTATATATAATAATATATAATAATTATTTAAAGTTTTGTTAAATTTAATAAAATTTAAAGATTATTAAGATATAAAATATTTTTAATAAACAAAATTATCTTTAATAATATTTAATATGTTTTATATTTTTTAAGATATTAAACGTAGTTTATAATCTTTTTTTTTAAGCAGTGAATTATTATAGTTTAGCGGTAAAGCGTGTAATTATAGTGATTACCTAGGTTACCGTTGGAAAAAGATTAGTTTATTTTCTTTTGAAAGCTATAGCTAATATTATAGAATTTCTATAGTTATTAAGGGCCCTAGGGGATATTTTAAAACTTAATAATTTGGGTTTTATTATATTATTAAACTTTAGGGAGCAGGGTTATTTGCTAGTTTATTAGTATAATGCTTTAATTATATGCTATTCTTAAAATAAATAATTTATTTCCTTATAAATTAATTATTTATTCTTTAAATAGTAATGCAATTTTAAAGTAATTGTTGGTACTTTATTATATTTTTATTTTATTATTTTATATTTTTTATTTTTTATTATTTAATATTTAAAACTATATTATATATATTTAAAAGTTAAATAATATTAAATTATATTATAAAAAAGATTATAAATAAAGAATAAATTAAATTATAATTTAAAATTATAAAATAAATTATATTTTATTTATAAAATAAATTATAAATATTATTCTTTTATTATTTTTTTTTAATTTAATAACTTATTCTTTAACTTTTAAATATTATTAAATTTTTAATTTTTTAATAATATTATTTTCCTTATTATATTTGGATTAAGATTAACTCTTGATTTAGTAATAATATTATTAATAATAGAAAATATTCTTTTTATTATAGTAGAAATAGCTGAAATAGTAAGATATCTTTGGGCTAATAAACTTATTATTAAATATTAAAGTTTATTATTTTTTTAATAATTTAATAGTTTAAGCTAAAGATTATTAATTAGTAAATTTAATTAATATTATATATATAAAGAAGAATTACCTTGGAATTAAAGAGAGGTTTTTAAAGATAAAGTATATATTCTTCCTTTTTATTTTTAAATAAATTAATAAATAATTTATCTTTAAAATTAAAGATATCCTTAAAGGGATTCTTAAAAGAAGAATTATATATATTATCTTTTAATAAATTAAAAAGCTTTGATTTAAGCTTATTATTTATTAATATAATTATATATAATATAAAACTTTTAAAAAAAAAATTTACTTAAAATATTTAACTTTTAAAAGAGTTTTTGCATTTATTCTTATATTAAAATAGAAGTGTAATAAACCATTAGGTTGAAAATGGCTTATTTTAATCCTAGGGTTAAGAATTAAAGAAAGAATAAAAGGTTTATAATCTTTTATTTTTTTTTAATTATTTTTTAAGGAAAGTATTTCTTTAATTTTTTAATGCTAATATAAATAGCATTAATAAAATTAAATAAATATTTCTCCTATATATATAATTAGTTATAAAATTAATAAATAAATAAAAAAATTAAAAACTTATAAACTTAAGGTTTTTTGCTTTTTTTCTTTTATACTTCTTTATTAAGTTATTAAGGTTTTTATATATAATATATATATATAATAAACCCTTAGGAATAGTTGTATATAATTATTCTTGTAATTTAATAAAGGGCTTAGAAAAGACTTTAAAAGTCTTTGTAATTTATGTTAAAATAAATAATTTTAATGAATTAAAGAATATTTCTTTATATTTATTATTAAAAATATTTCTATTAATATAATTTAAAGGTTTTTTTAAAGTTAAAAAAACCTTTAATATATTATATATAAAATTTGAGTGCATAGGAATATTTAAAGAAATATTAATAAATATGTATTAAATAGTTTTAAAAAAAAGGAATAAATATTAAGTGGAATATAAGTAATTTTATAGCTTTTTAGTAAGGCTTATGCTTATATAGCTTTTTTAATACCTTTAAATAATAAATTATTAATCTTAATATTATATTAAGTTAATATTATTACTTATTTTATATAAGTAATAAGATTTAATAAAAGTTAATATATATAAAATTACTTACTATTTTTAATAGTATTATTTATAGAAAGGGCTGTATTTAAATCCTTTGAATATTCTTTTAAAAATTCTTTAGTTTAGGAATTTAAAGTAAATTCTTTTACAATATCCTGCGTTATTAAATTAATAATATACGTTATATAATAAATATTGTTTTTAAATGGCTTATTTAATTTAAAATTAAATTCTTCTTTAAAAGCCGTTATAAATATATTATTATTTAATTCATTATTTCTTATAAAGCTATAATAAAAAGTTAATTATTTATATTTAAAATATAAAAAGAATTAAATACTTAAAAATGCTATTAAATATTATACTTAAATAATATTTAATAATCTTTTAAAACTCTTTAAAAAGAATTAAGGTAATATATCTTTCTTTTAATTTTTAAAATTTAATTAATTTATAAATTAATTAAAATTTAAAATTAATATAAGAGATTATTACTTTTATATAAGCTATATTGAATTAAAAAGTTTAAATATTAAAATTAAAAGAAAATTTATTATTATTAGTAATATTTTCTTTTAAATTTAAATTTAAATAAATTAAATTAAAATTAAAAGTATTATTTAAAATACTTTTAATTTTAAGATAATTTATTTTTAAAGCATTCTTAAAATAAAGTTAAGTTATTTCTTTTTATTAAAAGAAAAGAAATATATATAAATTTAAATATAATAATAAATTTTAAAAAGATTTAAAACTTAAAATATTAAAAGCTAAATTATTTTTAATAATAAAGTTTAAAATTTTTTTATAAATATTATTTTTTATAAATTTAACTTTAGTTTTCTTTTTTAAAAAAGCAAAGAAATTTAAAGGAAAAGCTGTACTATTAAGCTTTATAATAATTAATTAAATTTTATTTTATAAAATATTTCTTTTTAAAGAAAAACTTACTTTTATTTTTATTTTCCGCTAATATATTATTATAAGTAATATTTAAGTATTTACTTTTATAATGCTATTAATAATTAAAGGCTTAAAATCCCTTTAAAGTATCTTTTTATAAATAATTATAATTATTAATTTATTAATTAAAAAACTAAGTAAGTTATTATTATATTATTAAAAAATATAATATCTTTCTTAAATTATATATTACATATTAATTATATAATTAAGGTGTTCTTAAAGAATATTGTTAAATATATTCTTATTATTAATATTAATTTAAAATATAGCTATATATTATACTTAGTTAACTATAGTTTAATATAATATATAATTAAATATAAATAAAATATATAATAATATATTTTATTTATATTAAATTATATTTTAAAGAAAGATAAACGCATAACTTACTTATTATACTTAACTTTAATTCTTTAAAGCAAGTTTTCTTAAATAAGGAATAAAGTTTAAGTAAATAATTTATATTTAAAAATATAAATTCTTATTTGCTTAGGTAAAGGGAGTTAATAATTAAGAGAATTATATTTATTATTTTAAGATATTTATAAGGTATCTTTAAAAAAAAATTATTTTTAATAAAGGCTATAAATTTATTTATAAAAGATGGATTTATTAAAAAAGAATTTCTAGGAGATAAGGGGAAAAAAGATATTTTAAATATTTAAAATATTTAAAAATAAAAGAATTCCTTATGTTAAGGCATGAATATTAAGGTATAAGTAATTTTCTTAATGGTGATAAAATAATAATAAAGGAAAAGAAAAAAAAGAGAGGAAGGAAAAAGAAAGAGGTTTATATATATTAAAAATTAAAAAAATATAGATAATTTATTTCTTTAAATTAGCTAGTTTATTCTTTTAAATAGGCTAAATATTTATTTAAAGAAATTTATAATATTATATTTTATAATTAAATTAAAATGTTTTTAAATAATATTAATATATATATAAATAAAACTTAATTTAAGAATAATTTTAATATATTTATTATATATTTATTTAAATATATATAATTTTAAATTAAATAATATATATATTTCTTATAATGGAATCTTAGCTTTTAAAACTATTTAACTTAAATAAATAATTACCTTAAAGGCTAAAAAGCTATTTTTATTTTATTAATTTAAAAAGGTTTAATATAAATATATAATATTTAAATTCATATAATAAATAAGTATTTATAGGGGTAAATAAGTTTAAATAAGCCTTATAACTATTTTTAAAGTTAAAGTATTTATAGGGGTAAATAAGCCTAAATAAGCCTTATGGCTGCTTTTAAAGTTAAGGTATTTACAAGGGTAAATAGGCTTAAATAAGCCCTATAACTACTTTTAAAATTAGAGTATTTATAAAAATATATAAATTTTAATAAATATAATAAAAAAGTGTTTTTAGTATTTTTAAATAATTATATATAAATATAAAAATAACATTATTATAATTAGAAAACATTTTAGGATTTTTATATAATTTTATAAATATATATTTAATATCTTTATATAAGGTAAATCTTATTTATATTAAAATATTTATTTTTTTAAAAAGATAAACTATTTTGTAAATATTATATATATAATATAAAAGAAAAGAGTAATTTAATTATATATTTTTTATATAGCTAGCTTAAAAACTTACTAAGAAACTAATCGCTTTATATAGGTGGTTATGCTAAGGGTAGGGGGGAAGAGGGGGGGCGCAAATATATTATATGCTATATATTATACATTATATATACTTATAAGGAAGCTAAATTATATATATTTTATAATTTTATAATATATATAATATAATAATATATAGCATTAATAAAATTTATAATAATTACCCGTGATAATTATAATAATGCTTATTAATCTTATAATATATAAATGCAATGTAAATCCCTTGCTTATAATTATATACCGTATGATATGCTAATAGCTAAGGGTTTAAATCACCCTAGAAACGACTTTTTCTTTAAGTTTTTTATTTATTTATTTAATTCTTTTAATTCTTTTAATATTCTTTTAATATTCTTTTAATATTTTTTAATATTTTCTTAATATTCTTCTTAGTATTTAATAGGCTTATAATTATTTAAATATTTTTAAAACTTTAATTAATATTAGCCCCGCTTTTTTTCTTAATTTTTTAGTTAATTTAATTAGTTTTTTAGTTAATTAATTTAGTTTTAGTTAATAAGATTAACTAAAATAAATTAGTTAGTTTTTAAAATTAACTAAACTAATTTAACTAATATCAACCCTGGTGGACACCGCTCAGCCTTTCTTGGCTGGAACATCGCAGATTTCAACCTTTGGAACTAAGGCACAGCAATCAACGACTGGCAACAGGTTAACGATGATGGTCAGATGCCCAGCCTGGTCGGCCCGGCCACTGGTTGGGTTCATCCTTTGAAGGCACAGCAATGAATCACTGTCAATAGAACGAATCTCCGGCTGGAAGACCTGGCTGGTTGTTGATCAAAGGTATGTAGAAGCCAGAGGTATAAAGAGGCAAGCATCAGTCTTTTTCTCTTAGAGTTCATCTGCAGATCAACAATAAGCAACTTCATTCTCCATTCCACAACAAAAACAAGAAAGCCAGCAACACTGCCCAGGATAAAGCATCTTCATACCCCGTTTCGCTCTAATACATCCCTTCTTAACCCACAAGACATCACCAAATTCACAACAAACTCTGAATAAGTTTGCTATAATGATGAAAATGCGTAGTAATAATTATAATAACAAGTTTGTGATACCGGTACGTTTCCTCTGCATCCGTCTTCTTCACTCTCAGTTCCCACCCGCATATATGTGATACATTGTTCTTAATCAAAAATTGAGCTAGTTCTGTTCACTTCTCCCTTCACACATGTTCTCATAGGGAACCCTTCTGAAGTGGTTACACCTCAGCCGAGCTACGAGCAGCCCAAAGCAGGTAAACTCAGCTCGTGTTGCCATTACTCTCATATGTACTGTCTTCTACTGAAATACCTAGGTAAGTTGCATGGATGAAAATATTTATCTATACTCAGAAAAGAATTCATCTACGGGCCATTACTAAGCCATGAGTGGGCAAGAACTTCTGCTATGTCCAAACGAGCACCAGGTACAGTGGTTACCATCCGCTGGAGCAGATCGATAAAAAGTTCATGCTGAGTCTCCCAGTTCCGCCCCGCTCGCTTTTCCCATCCCTTAGCTGCCTCTGATGATATTTCCGCCATGAACTGTTCTGTCGACGCTAGAGTTTTATCTATGTGTATGGCTTGCGCTGCGGAGCTCAGCAGTCGCTCATAGTCTAGATACCCCAGCCATTCCCCTGGCGGTGGGCCACCAACGAGGAGGGCATTCGCGAGGCGTTTATAGAAATCTCGAAAGCCGTGATCGCCGATCATATATCCAGGGTATATCTAGTCAAATTCGGTGGATCAGCAAGAAAATCGAAGCACTGTAGACCTCTCTGAGCAAGAGCCCATATTCACAATGTTTGGGGCCATACCGCACATCCCAACGCCCAGATATCTGCTTCCTTACTCCACACAGATCCTGCTTTGCCTTCCGTTATATCGTACAGGATGACTTCTGGAGGCCGAATGTGGAATGGGGCACCGCCGGGTAACTGGCGTGGGGTTTGGTCGACCGAAAAGGCTAGAACTCAGCTCGTCAGTACGCATTGAGCCAGATGAGAAGGGAACATTGGGTCAGTGGGGCTGGTTGTTCTACTCACCTCTTCCGTAATCGAGCAATTTGAAGGTGGCCGAGCCAGGTTGAGGATATTGGCCTTGTTCTTGGAGGAAGGCGCCCCAATGTGCCAAGGGTGTCGCGTAGGCTGGTACTGTGTCTCGTGGGAACAGGGGGTCACGCGGTACGACTGGAATAACTTCCACCTCACCCTGGAAGTGTGTCATCATCTCGTCCTCGGAAATGTCATGGAGGCCTGAAAGGGCGACACCAAAGTTGTCCTGGTGAAGGTCTGCGTATGGGGTCCACAAATGGTCAGTCCTTGACGAGACTTGGGGCCCGCACGGTGAATACTGAGTGATTCGTACTTACCCCCATGTGCGATCCCCTGCGAGTGTAACAGAGAAACTGCAGATGCGATCTGCTTCACTACGTCCTTTTTGGACCAAACATTCTTAATTCCCAAGCCCTGCAGAGGGGCTACAACCTCAGTGACGAGACACTCGTGCCATCCGTTTGGTCCTGAAATGATAAATGCCTCATACAGAGCTAAGACGTTGTCGAACCCAGCGCATCCTTTACTAGAATGTTGGATGTGGCGCAGAATATTCGTCTCTCTGCTGAAGACCGGCTTGTCGGTACCACAGCAGACCTTGACGGCGACGTACCGACTAGAGCCAGGATTGTCAGTAATTCGACCTCTGTAAAAACGCTGCTGCCCGTCGCAGTGGGGTGATGCTCACCTTTCCAGTATATCACGGGCAAGCCATACGGTCGAAAACGCACCGAATCCAAGTTTCTGGATGATACGGTACCTTGGTGCTTTGGACTCATCGGTCTCACACGTGCCCGCCTTGGGCAAGACATCGCCAAGTACAATAGGATGGTAGCCATGAGTTTGATACATGGCAAGATTTTCACAACTGTCTTCGTCGCCGTTGATGAAAAAGAGCTCCTGGTCCTTTCCCAGCGGCGGGTCAGCCCGTGGGTTGGGCTCGACTTTGTCAGGGTCATTGAAGGAGGGCGTGGCAGCTGCAGCTGCAGCTGCAGAGCCTGTGTTGACCTTTTCGTCCATTGAAGCCAACAACTTCCTGTGCCAGGCTGGTGTTTGGTACCGCGGGGCCGAAGTTGCGTGTTGTCTCAAGTGCTGACTGCCCAACGATTATGCCCGATGATTGCAGCATGTGTTCTCACATGGGCCAAAGAAGGCAGCACGAGTAGATCTGGTTCATGCTTACAACCAGAAGAAACACCTAGTTGATTCTCAGGCCAGGTGTGGGGTCGCACGCAGTGTAGATGCCTGCCGGCATCGAGGGTTGTTCGAGTTGTTTAATTTTAGGCCGAGATCCTTCGAGTAGGTGACAGCTGAGATAGTTGCCCGCTGGTCATGTCTGCTGTTTTGTGTTATCTAAAAGTGCTTCAGAAGATTACACCGCAGTATCCGCTGCACCACTGCACCACTGCCAGCCGTAGTTGGCCGACCCAGCTTTTAGGGTCCGCCCGTCCAGCTCTGGCCGTCCGCCCACCTGGTACATCTTTTTGCTTGGCAGATTGCTAAGAAAACCAAGTAGTTCCTCCCCGCCCCCCTGTTCCACCTGACCCTCTGGCCCTCTGATGCACGCCTATTTATGTTTGGCCCCCTCCGCTCGAAGCGAGGTGGGTGGGGTGCTGGGCGCCACAGCCACTGCTTCAGCATGGGCTTACTTAGAAGAATAGGTAGGTATGAAGCGGGAGGACGGTCAGAGCTGGTTGGCCGACTCTGACTGTATCGGCGTGACTTTGTAATTATATTTATATTCCGTAGGACGGCGGTGAGCGGCCGCTCGAGCTTTACATTCCTACACCGGTAGCTTACTACAAGTATAGCGTGGATGGATGGACCTTTGCCTAGGTAAGTACAATGTGAGTAGTCCACTGGTGAGTACCGGTACTGCCCATGGTGGAAGCCAGGTATGAGAAAGGCATGACAGTAGACGAAGAGACACGTACTGCCAGTGCCTGGCAATTCATGCTTACATTACCGTCGCCGTACTAAGTCATCGAGTCTCTGACACGAGAAGAGGAACTTCCGCAGTAAAGTCCCCGCTGGTGTTGCTGAAGCTTGACTTAGGACTGGTCATTGGAGGCGGTTCAAAGAAACCAGAAGTCCCATTACAAAACGGGCCGTGTACACGAATTGTCCTCAACGCCTGGTTCTGATTCCTTTCAGCTCACTCTGACTAGGCGGTTGAAATGGGCTTAAAACCGTTCGTTTCTCGAACAGGGGGAGGCGCGCCGCTCGAGGAGGGTGCTTCGAATGAACAACATACCTAGGCACACTACTATCATAGTGTCTAGCCACAGCTTGAACCGACCACCATAAGTAAGGGTACTCGGGGAATGAACTCTGGAAATTCGACGTCTGAGACCGCCTCTACTGCCCTGTAGACCAGCTGCTGGAATGAACCAACATGAGTTTCAGTCCACCTACCCAGACGTAGACTGTTCGAAGACGAAAATAGATTGCCATACCAATACCAAGTTCTACTGGGGGCCAACGGACCTAGGGGTGCCATGAGTATATATATTTCGTGCCGTCCTTGATTTGATGATTAGGCACCGCACTATATCCAGCGAACACTCACATCGACTCGAACCAAATAGCACCAACAGCGAAGTCTTCTGTTAATATCATCTCTTTACCTCTGCTTATATATTCTGGAATCAACATGTCTCTGGACGTCAATGATCTCAATTCACACATTGTGACAACTGATCATGATGGGAGACAGTTCACCATCCTTTTCGCTATGGGTAGACAGGAGGAATACGACGACATATTTGAAGATTTTGACGCCCATGTTGATTTCATGAGAGGCTTCGTGAAGGCCTGGAATCGGGGAGACCCTGTGAGTACTTCAAACACCATGCGTCCAAGTCCTGAAATCATTCCGCACGTCTAGATTTGCTCTTCACACAAACCCATCTTTGGTTGACCATGTGAATGCAATATTGCAAATTAATCCCTCAGTCTCCTTGAAACTTAGTCACTGAGTAACGTACATACACCATCCACTCATGAAGCGTTGAGTGGGGTAGGATGAACGTGCTTACATAGGTGTTTCCTACTCCATCGTCAAGGTTGCGACATATCATGCCCTTGAAGCATTTCGCGGTCGATGACGATCACTAACACTGCCATATTGTAGGACATTAACGGCAATCCTCCAAATCCCTCATTAAAACCGTTGGACTACCTTCAGGTCATGTAAGTTGTCGGGAAATTGGTGCCGTCGTGGCTCGAAACACTTCTTTTGTCACCCTGGCTCACAGGTATTCTGGCAGGGGTTCTCATCATCAGTCCTCATTTACTCCCAATGAAAGAGAACATATCACCGTTGCCGTGTCCACAACCGCATTGTTCACCAAGGAGCCTCCCGAAACCAGGGCCACCATTCACATATATTCGGCACAAGATGATACTCAAAACGGCTACGAATCGTATTGGTTCAAAGATCCTAAAAAGAAGAGAAAACACAATCCAGGGTCTACGATGAGAATGGCCGTTCAGAGATGCATGGCGAAGCAAGCGCCTCCACAAGCGTGGCTTGACAATCAAAAACAGAAGTCTCAGGGCGCACAGCCTTCGCAGGAAGAGCCACCAAGTTCTGGTTTCGGAAACGCTGGACAAACAACCTCAAGCCATCCAGTAGGGAAATTGCAGGACGGAACACCAGTTGACCGCAAGGTCAAGCCACGCGGCGTCAGGGCTGAAGATGTCCGTTCGGTGACACGCACTTCCCGTCGAACAGCGCCGGCTGCAGGACCTCTTCGCAAAGGCCTGGGGCGTATCTCAAGGCTGGCCCACCGCGTTGCTACTCGACTTCGTCGTGGCAGCGTTATATCTACGGGACGGAGGAGGAACGCCGGCCCGTGACAATGAAGCGATCACATTATTTGAGAGTTAATGGGGTGATTTTAATTTTTGGCGTTCATGTATAGTACCCATGTTGGCATTGGATATGGAAATGAGTGGGTAAATGACATTAATTTGATTTGGAAAACTCTGCATTACTTTGCCCTTGAATATTCATCATTACTCTTATGATTTCGTGTGGCATATTAATAGAATTACTATGTCTACATACCTACGTAGGTAGGTAGGTATGTAGGAACAAAAGTATCTTCAGTGCCTCTGCATTTAACACTTGCAAAGCCCCCTGCACACGAACGGGAGGCAGATATATATGCAGTGACCCGAGCGGTTGGGTGGATCGTGACTTCTTAGGCAAGAGCTAAGCAGAACGCCTGCGCATCAACACAGTTTCTCCATGTCAGGAAGGCACTTCCAGGCGAACGGAATGAAGGCTCCGATCCAAATTGCAGTCTTGTCCAACCGTCAATCGGCCGTTCTTCCATGTCGTTGTACAACGGGCTTGTATCTCTCTACATCCTTCGAGTCTCCCTTTCCTTCTAAATTGTGACTGCTTCGCTGTTTTTTCTGTTCCTTATTTCCTTCCGTGTATATTCTCGGCCGTGACCTACATATTTCCCGCCTCCCTACGATGACTTCCCACGACCTCCAACTTGTGCTCAACAGTGTCGTGAGAGTCCCAGCCGACCAAAGACATCTGGGCCACGCGATTGCCAACGGATGATACGAGTGAGCATTGCTCCAGCTGGCCTCTTCTCACGCTCCCATTGTCGGCCTTCTCCCCGCCGCCTGGCTGGTCAGCTTGGACAGCCCATTCTCACTCATCCGCTCGCTCTGTCTGCCCGATGGTTGAGCTTCCCCGGACTGTCTCAACAACACTCTGAACGCCCAATACCCTTGTTCGACCTTGCATTGTTTCCATCACTCTTATCCGACCCATTCTGTGTCTAGGATTGGGTTTCTTCAGCAGCCGGGGTCCAGTGAGACCCGTCGTCCCAGCACCGAGATGGACGATCCTGTCACACCCATTACCTCCCGGATGCGACAGCTTCACCATGACAGCCTGCCTGGAACCGATCGTTCCGCAGATTCTGGTTATGCATCCTTTGAGGTATCTGCCACAAAGACATCCCTGAAGAGGCACTCGGACCGCACTTCTCTGTCTCGAGTATCCAGGCTTGAGAGCGAAAGCTTGCAGTCTTACGATGGGGCTGGCTCCGAATCATCAGGGGCCGAGGATACTGACAGTGATTCTGACCAAGTTATCTTTCTGTCCCCATGTACTGGCCGGGAAAGGTCGGCGACCCTGCCGAGAGCATCGCGCAGACGAATATCGCGGACAGACTCGTATCCCATGCTCCCCGAGCGTCAGATTCATCATCCTCGCCACGGGTCTGACACAGCCGTCATTGGGTCCAGGGCCAGCTCCCTCAGGGCACTCGACCGCTTTGTGCCTCTGAGAGATCACAAGACACCAGGATCTGAGAAATTGCGCACAACCAGGCCACTGGAAGAATTGACAACTTCCGAACGTCTTGTCCGTCATAATAAAGATGCACCTGATCCCTTTTGTTTCAGACGCCGGCCTTTACCCCCTTCCCCAACCGAGTCACGAAAAGCGACGAGGTCGGGCCAAAGTAGGACCGTACTTGATCCCAGATTCCATAGTCAAGGAGAAAGAAGGGTGAGGTTCCTAATGCCACCACACAAACCCCTCCCGGGGAGCAACAGCTGACGAAACTTCTCCACAGGTGAGCAACAGCGTCTGGTCTGTTGGAGGGGTGGCTCCTAACCACGGGGCTGTTGATGACGGCCGCGGTGGTCTCGTACAAAGCGGCACAAACGCTCCTATGTTCAACACCCTGTTCCCACCATCCAAGCCAAAGGCTCAAGAAGACGTCGAGAAGCACGAGGCTCGCCTCGCGTCCGCTTTTGATATCGACTGGTCGTCGAGAATCCTCGGCTTTGACAACTTGTCCGTTCGATTGGGGAAGCAGCACAAGAAATCCGACCCAGTCTTGAAAAAGAAGACACACTGGGAAGGCACCCAACTGATCAAAGATGACCCGGCCGATAGCAAAACATCCAAAACAAGACATGAGATGCGAACACTCCCGGTGGCCCCATTCAAGGTTCTCGACGCCCCGAGCCTGAGGGATGATTACTACTGTTCAATCTTGGCTTTCTCTCCTGTCTGCCAGACTTTAGCTGTTGGTCTGGGGACGAGACTCTACAGCTGGTCCGAGGACACCGGAGTGCAAACTCTGGAGGATAATGGGCCAAATGATTCATCGTGGCTAACCTCGATCGACTTTTCTTCCAGGCAAGGGAGGAAGTGCATTCTCGCCTACGGCCGATCGAACGGACTATTGAATCTCATGTCCCTATGGGATGCACCCACACTCTACGACCGTCAGTATCCCCGGTTCCGGTTCGCTCCACATGTAGAAGAGGCACCAGTCGCCTGTGTGAGTTAGAAGCCGACAGTCACACCTCGCCAATCTGTGAATCCTTACAATCCCGGCCCTTCGGTTGACAATGAAGACCTACTTGTCGGTGATGAACACGGCAACATTTTCTACTATGCCGTCGAATGGCCCCTGACATTTGAGACCTTCCGCCACAATTGGCGAGGAAGTGTCCAATGTCTTGCCTATATCTCAGCTCACAATCAACAGATATGCGGGCTCTCATGGTCTCCCAGCGGTGACCTGTTTGCGACTGGGGGCAATGACAACATGTGCTTTCTGTTTGAGACGGAGAAGGTCACGACGTTCCGAGAGGAGAGCGACCCCGATCAAGATATGAGTAGGTTCTTCGCTGCTTTCCGCGAGCCAATTCCGCCTCAGGGATTCAACCTCAGACGATTCCTGAACAGTATGGCCCCCGGGGCAGGCTCGTCAGCGTCATCGTCGTTGCCATCGCCTCGAGACGCATCGTCGAGCCAGCGTCAGATCTCGAACTCTTCGGCCAGCAGCGCCGGCAGCCGCCTGACAGCGATGGATTCTATTGACGACCGCATCTCAAGCACACCCGCGCCTTCGCTCTTCGCGAGTTTCTTCCGCCCCAACACAACCACGCGCTTCTGGGATCTAAATCGCCTCGTCGCCGAGCGTGTCCAACCGCGCTATCCACCGTCACTGCCAAACAATGTCCCCGCAGCCTCTGAGCACTTCCGCAACCCAATCTCCGACACTTCAGGGGAACCACGCAACGTCGAGGAGCGACATGCAAAACATCGCTGGGAGCACACTGCGGCCGTGAAAGCCATTGCATTTTGTCCTTGGCGTGACGGCCTCGTCGCCACTGGTGGCGGCTCCCACGACAAGTGCATTCACTTCTTCCACACGACGTCAGGAGTTGCGCTCGCAACCATTGCTGTACATGCGCAGGTCACCAGCCTGATCTGGTCAACCACACGGAGAGAAATCGCCGCCACATTCGGTTACGCACAGCCAGAGCATCCGTACAGAATTGCCGTCTTCTCGTGGCCTGAATGCCGGCAGGTCGCGGCGATACCCTAGGAGGGCGATCACCGGGCACTCTATGCTGTCCCGTACCCACGGGGGCCGCCAGACCGAAAGGCGGCCAGGGATGCTACGGGGCAGGCAAGGGATCGGAGGAACAGGGAGAAGAAGAGGAATCGGACATTTATGGAGGGTTGCATTGTCGTTGCAGGAAGCGATGAGAGTATTAAATTCCACGAGGTATGGTCAGGAGGGAAGAAGGCCACCATTGGCGGCGTGGGGCTGCTAGGCGGGAGTGATATCCTCGAGGATCTGGAGGGGATCGAGAAGGAGGGTGACATTATTCGTTGAATCGGCTGGTTTTCCATAATGGTGTTACGCGAGAGCCCATGGCTTCAGATGGCGAGGCACGACGGCAGACGATGAAGGTTGGCTCTCAGTGTCTGGTAATGCTCTTGGTTCCCGGCTGCTATAGGTAGGTTGACAGCGTGCGTCGGCTTTTACGGAGGGTGGCCCATTGTCATCGGATAAACGCAATAGATTGACCAAGTAGGTAGTGATGTGGTCCTAGGGAGACGAGTTATCGGACGATGATCGTCGTGACCCTGGGATCGTTCATTCCACTTAATAGCATATCTTGACCGCCACTATTTTATCTCTCGAGTTCGATGTGTCTGCCATGTGGTGAACAATATGTGTTCTTGTCCAGCTCTGAAGTAGGAGCCCGTTACTGCGTTGTGGCAAAAGCAGAAGATCTCAAATCAACTTAGTTGTGCCGGGTGATTTTTTGTTCAAGTTCAGGTTTGTTGTCTCTGTGCTCTACAGCGGACACGATATCTGATGAGAACACAAAATCGCATTGATGTGTATCAGCCGGCTAGTCCAAGTCAAAACAAAACACAAAGGAAATATCCGCCAACTCCACTGGGCCTGAGAACCCAACCCGCATACCAGTAATCATGAAATCTCATCAGACGCCGCGTACCTTGCGCGCTAATCCTGTATGTGCGATGCTACATCTTCCGTCCTCGTCCGCCGTTTCCAGACTCGTGGAAATTCTATTACTTGGGGGCGCTGCCCCTCCACTTAAATCTTGCCCTCCATGCCGCGAATGCCCCCGACTTCCCTCGCCTAAGAGGGGAACGAGACGCTGATGGCCCCGGAGGTGGTGTGGCACTTGACGTTGCCGCCGACGCCGTCCTGGCCCTTGCGGGCGACGACGCGCTCCTTGAACCCGGGGAACTCGTCGTCGCGCCGGATGATCTGCACGCCCTTGCCCGAGATGGCGATCTTGCCCGTCAGGCTGTCGGCGTCGATGCCGCCCTCCCACGTGGCAGGGTAGCTGAGCCGGATGGCGGCGCTGGTGGTGGTGTGGCGCGAGCTGAGGACGCGGATGGCGGGCGACGACGACGCCGCGGCCTGCTCCTGCGGCTTCTCGGGGGCGGGGTCCGCCTCCTCGGGCGCCGGGGTCTCCTCGTCGCCCAGGAAGCTGTAGGGGTCCTCTGCGCCGATGGGGGCGAAGTCCGTTCCGCCGGGGGTCGCGGCTGCTGCCGGAGGCACGGGCGGCGCGACGTATGAGCCGGTCTGGACGTCCTTCCAGAGCGCGTCCATGACGTTGACCACGGTCGTGCCGCTCGTGGTCGAGGTCTGCAGGAAAGAGCTCGAGTCTCCCGAGGACTGGATCTGCGACTTGTCGTACACGGGGAGGAGGGTCAGGTCGATGTTGCCCGAGGTCGTGTGCACCTTGCACGAGTGGCTGAAGGCGACGGAGCCCTTGACCGTCCCGGACATGGTGTACAGGTCGACGCCGTACTGCCGCGGCGGGATGATGTCCTGGGCTGTCGCCCCGACCGCGGTGCCCTGGGCCTCCATGGTCAGGGCCGCGGCGGCCGCCTCGACGGGCTCGTGCAGCTCGATCGGGCCCGAGGTGGAGTGCACGTAGAGGATGGCCGGGCGCGGCTTGTCCTTGAGCGCCTCCTTGGGCACGACGCCGGCGCGGATGGAACCCGCGACGGTCTCGAGGCCGAGGTAGTCGTACAGGGGCCACGACCCGGCGATGGCGTTGGACAGGGTCTTGACCTCGATGTATCGCGAGTTCAGGGTGAATGACTTGGGCGGTCCTTCGAGCATGACCTGCTTCGGGTCTCTCTCGCCGTCCGTGGCCGCCACGACGGTCCCGATGGTGCTGGCGAGCCGGGCGAAGTTGTTGAGCTGGATTGACAGGTTGTCGAGCAGCTTGACGCCGAGGTGCACGCTCTCGACGTTGAGGCTGTCCAGGACGCTTCCAGGGGGTACCCAGATGGTTGAGCGGATCTGCAAGCAAGGCGACTCGCCGCTGTTGGAGGCCCACGGGATCGCCAGTGGCGAAAGGACGTAGAGGCGTTGCTCATCGTCGTTCCAGTCCAAGTCAAGCGCGATCTGGTCGTCGTTGGAGACGCTCTCCAGGGTGATGCCCGGTCCAGGGGTCCCGTTTCCGGCCCGGCGGATGACGACCTCGCCACTCACACGGACATCCCGCCCGCCAGAAGGATTGTTCTTCTTGACGTCCTGGAAGAACGAGACGTTGCGCGAGTCGGAGAACTCGACTTTGAAGGTCTGGACCGGGTACTTGATTTCTTTGGTGGCGCAAAGGTCGCTCTCGGCCCAGGGCATCTCTCCGTCGTAAGGCGGATATGCCAACCTCGTGCCATCGTCATCCTGGGACGGCAACTTGCTGATGGGTGAACTCCCCGAGCCGCCGCCAGGCACAGTGATCCTCCTCTGCTCGGAGTTAGCTTGTCTGAACATACTGGTCATTTTCACGCGTGTTGAGCTGGGGAAAGCCGAGAATGGTGGGTTTGGCAGCTGGTGTTGCTTGGAAGAGACTCAAGAGGGGAAGCTTTTGGAAACTTGCCACTCCTGTGCTGCTCGGAGGGGCTGCCGTGTCACTGGGCGCATGTTTTATGGAGTGATTGGCAGGGCGGCAACAGAGAGGGAAATATAGGTGCTCACCTCGTCCTTCACACCCATGAAAGAGCTGACGAGGAACCCAATCGTCACGAAAAGCAAGATGACGCCTAGCGCGACCAGCTTGCATGTCCTTCCGTTGAGACTGGACACGCGGCTCCTCACGCGGTCTCTCCAATTCCCTGTCCGCGTGTAGGTGTAGTCATCGTCCGCCTGTCCTCCCATGTCCTGAGGGACGGACTGGTACTCGTGACTGGCCAGTAGGCCCCGGGACTCTGACTCTGAGATGCGGCCCATGTTGGACGGCCGGATGGTCTGGTAGTTGGAGGAGGGAGCGGTCGTCGAGGTAGGTGAAGGGGTGTAGGCAGGCGGTGCTTCGCTGAAGAGCGACGAGCGCTCGGAATATATCGTCCCGCTGCGATGCGAGCGTGACGGAGCGGCAGAGGAGGAGGACGGCGTGTACCTCTGGCTGGATGGCGCGTATGATAGGCCGGGTCCGTAGGCGTATCTGGACTGTCCAGGCCCAAATGTCGTCGATGGTGATGTTGTTGTTGTTGTGTTCAGGGACGGGAAGGAGGAAGAGCCACCGTCGCCAGCAGCGTGTGGATGGGAGGCAAAGTTTGATGGATGTCGCCTGTTCAGCTCGCGCTCCTCTTGAGCTTCCCTTGCCTTGCTCTCGGCAGTGCTTCCTTGCTCCAGGCTGGGATCGTTGACCCAAGCGTTTGGCACATGCGGGACTTGGGATGATGCCGCTGCAGGGTGATGCGACGATGGGGTGGCATGTGCATCTACCGATGAACTCTGATGTGACGGCGAGAGCGGATGACTGTCTGGGTTGTTGTTGCCGATCGGGTAAGCAGAATCATAGTCTGACGACGGAGAGTCTCCAGAACGGCCAAAATATCCATCCGTGGGCGAGAGGACTTGTTCCTCGTCGTGGGCTGCGACGTGTTGGCCGTGTTGGTGCCGCGGATCAACCCCCACATCAGTACCACCAAAGCCAACACCACCACCACCAGCACCAGCACCAGCTGCAGCGCCAGCAGCAGCTCCTAATCCGGTACCGTGGCCATACCCGTGCGTGTTTCTGTTTCCGACTCCGTCTGCCCACGGCTGCTCTTCGACGTCTGAGTCGTCGAGGCCCGAGTACATGTTGTCTGAATAAGGGTAGTCCGGCATGGTGCCGAAACGCCTTGGCGGAGTGCTTTGAAACTATCGACGGCCGCCAAGCCCAGAACTCTAGATGCGCAAAGATGTTGGTCCGCTTGGCGTTGCTTGCTTACTGCCCGGTGGAGAGATAAAAATGGAACACGGCAACAGATGGGGGAAATCAATTCGATAGTTACGACGCAGGTTGAAGTCGTCGTCAGTATCACGGATAAATCCAAACTCCAAACAGGCACCGAGCAGCGTGGGATGTAAGAAGGAAAAGAGAGGAAGCGCGTCCGCGGGGGAATTGAGTCCGGCAGGGCCCTTTCGATTACATGTATCTAGCCCCAAAGCGACTCGCCCGACATGCAGGATCCGCGTCAATGAGCTCGCTACCCACAAATAAAGTCAGGCGGCGACGGAGCCCACCCAGCGCTGTGGGAAAACGGGGAGGAATGTCAAGACAGAGTTGCGCTAAGACGAGAAGCAACAAGGCGCCTCGTCAGCCTGGCAGATCGCACGATAACTCCCAAGTATCTTGGAAGGCTGGGCAAAGTGGGACGTTGGCGGCGCTGGGTAGTGTGAGTGACATGTTTCCAGAACAGTTCTTCTACAGTAGACTCTGTGGCCCTCCACCAAGAGAAACCTTCCAACTCCGATACGCCTTGGTACTGTGCTCATGCCGAGCTCCGTAGTCGGTAATTTGGCTTGGTCCAAAGAGGAAGCTGATAAGAGGCTCTGCCCCTCAGCGCCGCAAGATAGCAGCCGTAAGCGAGGGACAATATTCCTTCCGGACGGCAACTGACTCTCGACGCGTGGGCCACAGTTGGTAGCCTCGACGGTTTAGTCCACTTCCAGACTAATCTCGCTGCAAGTAAGCTTGCAGGAAAGAGGGGTTGGCCTGTGGGAATGGCCTCATTGGTCAATCCCTCGTGGTGGCATGGATTCCAACGAGCGGTCTTACGAGTACCTTCACCCACCAACATGCCTCCACCCTGGGGACAAAGGCGTGCCTGATGACGACTCTCGACCTTGAAATGCCAACCAGGCTTGGCTCGACGCGTCTGCTGCCCGCTCCTGGATGCCGGTTGACGAGATCACGCAATCAATCCACATAAGCAGACAGCTCATGTCGGCTGCGGACGTCGGAGCCGGAAAGCTACGTTGTATAGGATTGACTTCATTTGATGCCGTTGGAGTGGTATGGAATCCACTCATGCCGCCTACTCTGCCGACTATATCGCCAAAGGGCTGTTGTTCCACCACACGTGCCTCTCCTGGTATCATCTGTAATCTACTTTGCCTTCCTTGTTTCTCGACGCCGACGGCATAGATCAGCTCAAATGCCGGATTCAAATCAGTGCTCAAGCCATGCGCCGCCTCTCTCGAACGCCTAAGAAGATGCCTTTGCGCATACTGCTTTGCAGTTGCTGCTCGCTTTCGCCTGTTGGTCCCCATCCCACCAGACCTTGATATGTTTCTGCAAGGCAGAAGATGCCATAGTTGGTTCCCATCCCCATTAAGACCGGAATCCGTTACTGCCTCGGCAGTTGCGCCTGCGAACGTCCCCGGCTCTCCACAGAGAGCTTCCGACGCTGCGCTGTGCTCGTTTCAGTGGAGGCCGAGGAAAGCCTTCGAGTTCTCGTAGACAATCCACGTGATGCTGAGAGCTGGCGCGACCTTGAGCAGATTCGGCGTTAGTCCCTTGTACATGCCTCGGAGGCCCTCATTTCTGTACGTCTTTCGCGCCACGTCCCAGATGCCGGTGTAGGTCGGCGGGTGCATAACCGTGCCCTGGGTCTGGAGCCGCGTGCGAAGGACGTTCAGAGGGTAGACCACGGTGGCACCAAAGGCACCTGAAGTCGCACCGATAATACCAGTCACGACGTTCCCAGGCGCCGCATCCTCCTCGTGGAGCCCAGTGTAGCGGGCCTTGTATCGCGTGAAGGTCTTCTTCAAGAACTCAAATGTGCCCATGTCGATTGCGCTGTAAGGGAACATGCCGACCAGGCCCATGGTGATACCTCGGTACGCAGTCCGGAAGCCTCCCTCGGCGACCATCTTCTTGGCGGTCTGCACGAGTAGCGCGTTGCCAGTCAGACCACCTTCGACAGTCTCGCATTGCAGACGGAACTTGAGGGTGTCCAGTGGGTAGACGCAGAACCTGGGCAACACTGTTAGTGGTTTTACTGCAAACTATTGAGTCCAGCGCAAATGCACTCACTGTGCAGTCATGCCTGCCACACCGCCGGCAGCAAACTTCGAGTAGGGGTTGATCCTGGTTGGATCATCGTGACCTTCGAGTGTGGCAAGAGTGCGCTTCGCAGCTTCGTACGAGCCGAACTGCAGGCGGTCAGTTGAGATTCCCTTTGTCTCATGGAAGATATGAAGCAACATACCTTGATAGCAGTTTCGGGCATGATTTTGATCACGTTCAGCCCATTGCCTGTGGGCGAAGTCAGCTCTGCATGAGATGGAACCAATCCTTGTCGGCACAAAGCGCAGCGAGTCTTTGCTTACCTGCGAAAAAGGTGCGAAACCCGCCAGCCTTCCACAGGGCATGGATAGCATCGCCAATTGGCTTGCCAGCCGTGCGGACAGCAGCCAGTGGCTGGCCTTGCTTGGCGACATCAGCAGCGACGCCGGCCTTTGTCTTGGTGTTGACGAGCAGGTAGACCTTGAGGCGATCGAGGGGAGCTGTCGCCGTGCGCGAGATCCCGCCTGCGAGAGCACCGGCAAGGAAGTAACCTGGTTCAGGCAGGTATTGGGTCAGTCTCGATTTTGTAAGCTCATCCTCGCACTCGTCATCAATCTCGCGCAACTGCAGCTGGGGGTGGTGGTCATGGATGTCCAAAAAGTCGTCGCCGTAGTCGCTGCTGCTTTCGCCGCCGAATGAAGTACCTGGGGGCGGTCATGGCCTGGAGGCCCCTGACAGCGCTACCAGTCGCCTGCTGGATCGTGTCTTGGACGCTGCCCGCAGCGGGTTGAGGGGGGTTGCCGTAGGCAGCTGCCATCTTGCTGCCGCTTGCTGTGGCCGAAGCGTCGCCGTCGAGTGGTGGTTTGAGTTGTGACGAGATGGGCGGTTTTCGAAGACAAGGTTGATTGTGACGAAGGGTTGGTCCCAGGGGATGTTGCGGTCGGAGGTCCAGGTTGGTCGAGTTTGGGAGACGGGTCAGGAGGGGCAGGTTGTGCAAGCCTGAGGATGGAGCCAAAAAGTGCGTGAAGAAGGAAGCCGGTCGTACCTATGCCCTCGAGTGTTTCTTCCGTGACCATAGAATCGCCTTCAGCATTAAGAGTAACAATTGAAGAATAATAGGACAATGCAGCCTCGAGGGGTGAGCCGCTAGGGTTGGTGGGCATAAACAGCAAAAAGTCACTTTGTTCGCAGCCACCGATTAGCTTCTGCCTTCCTTCACACGCCTACTGAATAGAAAGTAAAAAGTTAAGGGTGAAGGGGCCAGTTGAATTCTTGCCGCAACAAGATTATCCGTCAACTTCACGCACGTCGCCTTGGCCACCGTTGTGAGCGTGTGACCAAGGTGAGTGGGAGCAGAGGCGCCGTCCTTGTCTGGCGCGACCTCGAAAGGACGCCGGTCGAGGCACTTATTGACGGACCCAAGGCAAGAATCATCGTGGCCCCCCGCCCCCCAGGCCGCAGACAGACACATCTTGGAGGGACATCGCACAAGAGAGAGACGGGCAGGGCAACGCAAAACAAGATGGTCAGAGAGAGGTGTGCTTACCGCCACTCGTCGAAACTGATGAAGCCATCGTGGTTCATATCGACCTCTTCAAAGAACCCAGAGAGCCTCCTCTTGGGCACGGAAAGCCCTGCTTTCTGGAATGCCAGGCTCAGCTCCTCCTGACCTAGTTTTCCATCATGATCCCGGTCGATGGACTTGAAGAGGCGGAGCAGCTGGCGCTCGGCAGCCTCGACGAAGACACGGAACTCTGCACAGCAGCCAGCCAAGGTCAGCGCTTGCTCGACTCGCGGGTCCCTGGCCGGCGGAACCTACCTTCATACTGTATCTTGCCGTCCCGATTGGTGTCGACCACGTTGATAACCTCCCCCAGCAGGTCGTCGGCGTTCTTCAGAGCTGTGCTTGCGCGTTAGCTGGGTGTCTGGTGCACAACACATTGGTCATGGTCCGAGCTGACGATGGTCTATCCTCCGCAGGCCCTTCTGCAGCCCCTTCAGGTCCAGCTCCCCCGTGCCCTGTGGGTCCAGCTTCCTCCACAGGTCCTCGACCCTGTTATCGCGCTGGTTCTGTGACTCCTCCATCCCCATCTCGAGGTCCTTGACCACTTGTGTGATCTTCATTCGGATACTATGATATCATCGCAAGGCGGATCGTCGGCGAGGCAACCGATGGTGTGTGCGTGAAGTCTCTGGTGAAGCGAGGGGCGCAAGATACTGTCGGGACCCGAGGGAGGAGTCGGGAGCGTCAGGCGAAATTGGCTATATTTCCTATATCATGATTCGGCTCTGCGGTGTTGTGCGATCCGGGGACGACGAGATAAGCTTCGACGAGCAGCTGGAGTGGTTCAAACGAGGCTCGTGGTACTCGGGTTTGCTCGGCGTACAAGGTCAAGGCTACGAGTGGGTATGCGCCGTGATGTTGCTGGGTTATGCGGTCATCCGAGATACTGCTGGTTTAAGTGGTTTTGGCCGTGGTTATGGTTGTGGTTAGCGGCGGAGACCGGGAGAGCTGTCACCTCCAGGTCCTGCTCCGCCAGGCCGCCAGGGCTCCAATGGCAGCTCCCCCTTTCCAAGGTTTGCTGACAACGAAGAAAAAAAACCCACTTCCAAGCTCCCTCACTCGCGGGTTCATGGCCCCCCACCTTGGCTCTCAACCCCTGCTCAGGGATGTGACCTGTCTCTCCTTTCCCGGCCCGAGGCGATCTTACTACTGGACAAGCTGTCTCCTGGCTCCCAAGGTCCCCTCATTGAGAAGCCTGCACTCCCCTGCAACACGGGAAAACAATAGCACTGCTCCATTCAGCATAGCGCGCCTACCAACCGGATCTGTGCGCAACTCTGAAGCTATCCCAGAAATGCTTCTACTCAATATCCCCAGCAAGTTCACCACGCTTGCTTCTGGCCTGAACTGTGATCATGCTGCCTGGGCAGACTCACCAACCACTTTTCAACAGTCCCAGGCGGCAGGTCGCCTTTAATAGTCTAATGCTCACTATCAACGGGCCTTTTAATCAAAACAACAGTCATAGCCGGGATCGAGCGGTTCTTATATCAAGTGCTATGTCGATTTACAAGACTTCCTCCAATCACCTGAACATTAGGAATTACGAGTTGTCCCCAAGCCTAGCCTGATATTGCTCCGCCGGGCTCGGGAGGTCCACGGCTGGGGAACGATCGTCCATGTACCAGGGGATCACATCGCTCGTCGAAATGATCCACTTCAGCAGGTCCCCCTTCAGCTGAGCTTCGATGCCCTGGTACTGGGGCTCCTCGGCAAGGTTATGCCTCTCGCCCGGGTCGTCGAGGCGGGAGTAGAGCTCGTCGGCCTCGTAGGTGCGGTAGACGTACGTCCACTCTTTACTGCGCATCGACGTGGCCATGCCTACGAGGGTCGTCTCGTTGTGCTGCAGGCCGGCCTTGATATCGTAGGGGAATGCCGCTTGCTCCAGCAGCGGCTCCTCGCTTGTCAGGAACCCGCCCTCGGTGAAGGACTAGGTCCTGTTCCAGGCGAGACTGCTGCTGCCGTTCGAGGACCCCTCCCCGAGTGCGTGGATTGCGTCGACCCACGATTGGCCAAAGTGCATATATGTTTCATTGAGAGTTGCCAACTGCAGCATGGTTGGGACCAGGTCCACCATCTCCACCATGCCGTCGAAGACCTTGTCCTTGGGGAGCCCCGAGCCCCCGACGATAAGGGGGTCATGGGTGAGGGAGTTGGATAGCCCAGAGGGCCATTTCTCAATCAGGCCGTAGTCTCCAAGCCACTCGCCGTGGTCTGTGAAGAAGAAGGTCACCGTCTCATCCCAGAGCCCGAGCTCTTTCGTCTTATTGACGACCTGGCCAAATTGGTTATCCAGCTTCGTAATCATTCCGTAGTATGTCGCCTTGACCTCTTTCCAGGTGTCGTGGGTAGTGCGATCGAGCCCGGCAGCTTCGATGATGCTATCCATATAGCGAGGCATGTACCCAGTCTAGGACCTTGTGTCAGTTCGGACGGAAGTGGTCCCAACATATAGGTTTATAATGTGTTACTAATTCTTCTCTGCTGATAGGAAGTGGCATCTCTGATCGGTTGTACATGGAGAAATACGGCTCTTCGACGGTGAAGGGACAATGAGGGAACAACAACGGCAGGAAAAGCACCCAGGGCTGGTCCTAGGGCGGATTCTCGAGCCACTTCAGCGCGCCCCGCAGCAGAGATGCAATCATAAGAGTTGTAAGTCTCGGTTTCGTTGCGAAGACCTTGGTAATAGACACGATTCTAGATGTTGTTCAGATCCGTGGTGTTGTAGCTGCCTCTCTTGTTGATGAGGTGGAACAGGGGATCCGAGACGTCCAGGTTGTCGTCTGCGATCTCGTCGAGGCTGCGGACAATTCCAGGTGCAAACCTCGACTGCAGATCATCAACTTCGAGGTAACCGTACTCGCTGACGCTCAGTTCTGTGGCATTTTCTGCGAACACCTTCTCTGGCAAACGCATCCATGTTCGGAGTTTGGACGATATTTGAATAACTCGTGCGTCAGAATCCGCTAGCTGCTTGAGTTTCGGATGAAAAGACTCACGTCGCTCCCGAAAATACCCACAGAGTCACATTTCAGTTGATCCGGCATCAAGATTATCATGTTGGGTTTCTCGATAGCTAAGCCATTGCCATTGGCCTGCTGTTCATAAGGGTGTTCCAAGGTGTACAGAGATCGACGCTGGCAGGCTGTGCCCAAATAAGGCGTCCCAGTCACGCCAGGAGGATATATTGGAGGCTCAGACGGGCTGTCATCTTGTCCTTGTCTGGTCCGAGAGCGGGCGACGTGAGCAGAAACAACTGCCACAGACGATGTCTCTCCAAAAATTCAAGTGTCGGTTTACTTATACGACGACAAATAAATATACCTTTGGTGACCCCACCGAGTCCTAGTTCTCAACATAGATTGTCTGAATAATAAAGGTCATCTCCTTGGAGACAAACTTTTCCAAATTGGAGGATCAGTCCTAGAAATATTTGACTACCTCAGTGCTGCTGGAAATACATGCGGAAAAACACTTTTGCTGAGAAGGGAAATGGCCCGGCATCCGATATCGAGACCCTCATGGGAATTGCGTGATCGCAGTAGTAAAGCACGACTCCCCATTGATGGATGCTTGAGAGTGTAAAGAAGAGATATGTGGATCAAAGATATTATAAACCAAGCGTTCTGAATGAATAAAGCTAGACAAGCACACACAGCCAGCTCCTAACGCGGTGAGGACTGTTGGCGACAGCCGAGCGATAGCCAGCCACCCCCGCTTCACAACGATAGGTTGTTTATATCGTTGATTCTGTGTGACAACAGGGATTCGCTCAAAGGTCACTAGCCAAATTGAGCGGACATTGGAAATGAGAGCATGCAGGGGAGAACAGATTTCTCCACGTCGGACCCTTGATAGTCCCGGCTGGCAGACCATTCGGTGGCCGATGCGGAGCCGACAAGCCGACGTCCAGCCTGAGTACCCGGAACTGCAGTGGCCCAGCCCGGAGTTTGCATCTTCTACCAGATGGTCCAGGTCCCACGTTCCGGTCTCACCGTCAATCACCACCCAAGCTGCGGCCCCCGTGCCGTGAGCCTGTCTCAATTCTTACCCCAGCATGGCTGCCAACTACTGGGACTCGACTCAGAGGAAACACTGGCAGTTCACCAAGGAGCAGCTGTCGTCGATGCGCCAGAGACTCGAGGATGAAGACCCGGGTCTTGTTCAGAGCTTCGGCTTGCCGCAGTGGAGGCATCTGAACATCTTCTTCAATCAACGTGAGCACTTCTGTTGCAGCCTTCTGCCACTCTCGAACCACTGACTAGCCTTTGCCGTCGACTGCAGAGATCAACCGGCTCGGCAAACGGCTCGGGGTCAGGCAACAGGCCATGGCCACTGCCCAGGTCTACATCAAGCGCTTCTACATCAAGGTCGAAATCAGGAAGACGAACCCATTCCTCGTCATTACCACAGCCCTATACCTGGCTTGCAAGATGGAGGAGTGTCCTCAACACATCAGGTTGATGAACCAGGAGGCCAGGAGTTTGTGGACAGGTACTGAAGCCCCCCAGCAGAAACAAGACGAGACAAGCCGTGCTAGCGCAAGAGTGCTGACAGAAGCTCGGATACCACAGACATGCAACTGTTCCACGACCCATCCAAGATAGGCGAGTGCGAATTCTGGCTAATATCCGAGATGAACTCGCACCTCATCATACACCAGCCCTACCGCACCCTTACCAGCCTGCAGTCCAGCCTCAACCTGACCCAGGACGAGATAGCACTCGCCTGGTCCATCGTCAACGACCATTACATGACCGACCTGCCACTCATATATCCACCGCACACTATTGCGCTTACCGCGATACTGCTCGCCATTCTATTTCGGCCCTCGCAGAACAGCAGCCAGGGCGGCACGGCTCAAGGGTCTGGCAGTGCAATGGGCCAGCCCAACATGGCTGGAATAAACGCAGTAACCGCTGCCCTTGCACAGGCTCAGGCGCGGCAGACGCCCACTCCTGGCGCACCCCCAGGGCAGACGCCCACTCCTGGCGCACCCCCAGGACAGACACCAGCAGATGCGGCAAACGCTGCACAATCGGCGGCGCTCACCAAGGAGAAGGGCGAGCGGTACTCGAAAGTGCAGCGTTTTGGCCTGTGGCTCGCTGAAAGTAGTATGGACATCGAGGGCATGGTCGACTGCACTCAAGAACTGATCTCTTTCTACGATTGCCAAGAGCAGTACAATGATAAGCTTACGCGGGAGCAGATCGTGCGCTTCATCAAGGCAAGAGGGTTGGACAAGGGCTGATTTCACCCAACACCCACCCCTTGAGACGGTTATCCACTGGCTGCCTGAAGGCTGTAGTGGGAGCACCTTCGCCGAGTACACCATAACGTAGCTGTGCGCGGCTCCACGCGCAGTGCCTCGTATCAAGTAGCGAAGGCTATGCACACGTCATATCAGGCTTTCGACACTCAGGTCATGGCAGAGCAGTGTAGCTGAGTTGTCGGTCTGATGGCAGCCCATGTTGTGTGGTCATGGAGGCTTGACCCACTGCTCAAACATGGACACATCAGCCATTAATCTCCCGGAACCACAAGACACTGGTCAATGGTGTTAGGGAGGGCAGGCATTCTTGGAAAACAGACGTGCTTCCACCAGAACTCCGAATTAAAGGTTTGGGGTCGATTTCAGGAGCAACAGCCATGGCCGGGCTTACATTTCTCCAGAGAAATTGAAACATCGTTCCTGGCAATGCCCTCTCTCACTTAATGAAACGGCAATCTTGTCCTAGGCTGGATAGTTACTCCTACGGCATGGAATCGGCCAGCCATTGAGGCAGAGCGCGCCCCGCACCCCGCGCCGGTGTCATCCGGCACTTTGCTCTACTACATGCCCGCATTAGCAGACGGGACAACAGGGAAGAGAACATTTTATAAAGGTCGTTGAAGGGCCTCCGATCCTTGCGTATTGTTCGTTTGGCGATCAGTCAACAACTTGCAGCCACTACTCGCACACATACGTACATCTAAACAAGACAAACCTGAAAAATGCCAGGCGTCGTCCAAGAACCTTCGGCTGAGGGGCTCGCGATAAAAGAGCTCCATCCTACGTTTGGAGCCGAGATCGAAGGAGTAGATTTCGAAAATCTATCCGAGGCGCAATTTGCTGAGATAAAGTCTGCGTTGAGCAAGGTACGAAATCACTGACCTGATTCCACATGTGGTTCTTGTCCAGGGGTGGCTTCAGTTGTGCCAATGTCACGATACGGGACATGAAGAGAAGAGAGCGGCGGACGAATCTAGATGCAAACTACGAAACGACAAGGGCATCCCTGTCTGCGCGGGATAATACAACCAAATACCACACCAGAATTCGCTGTCTTAGGATTGTCTAACCATGGCGCAGTATGGCTTCGCCGTCTTCCGCCGCACCGGCCTAACGGACGACAGCCACGTCGCCTTCAGCAGGAGGTTCGGCGAGCTCGACAACATCAAGCGGTACCTGACGCCCGGCCGCAAGCTCCGCTACGAGCTCCTCGAGCTCTTCGACGCGGGCAACCTCGACGCCGACGGCGAGATCGTGCCGGCGGACCACCCGCGCGCGCACTACAACAAGGGCAACTCCCTGTTCCACGTGGACAGCAGCTTCAACCCGAGGCGCGCCTCGTACTCGCTCCTGCGGGCGGTGGTCATCCCGCCCGCGGGCGAGGGCGGCGAGACCGAGTTTGCGGACGCGCGGACGGCGTGGGACGAGCTGGACCAGGAGACGCGGGCGCGGCTGCTCGGGGCCGGTGGGGACGCGGGCCTGGCCGGCGCGCACTCCATCAGCCACTCGCGCAAGCTGGCGGACCCCGAGTACTTCAAGGACCTCGACCCGGAGGCGGGGCCGATGGCCCGGCACAGGGTGGCGCAGGTCCACGAGCCGTCCGAGAGGATGAGCCTGTACGTGGGGCACCACCTGAGCCACATCGAGGGGATGGACAGGGCCGAGTCGGACGAGCTGGTGAAGAAGCTGAATGCCCACGCCACCCAGCCCAAGTACGTCACGTCTGTGAGCTGGGAGAGCCCTGGGGACCTGGTCATCTGGGACAACAGGGCGGTCCTGCACAGGGCGACGAGCGGGCCGTTTGAGGGCAAGTTCAAGAGGGATATGAGGCGGACGACGGTTCACGATGATGGGGCGTATGCTTTTGGCTTGAACGCGGTGGAGCAGGAGATGTCCGGCTTCGATTCCTGGTCGAAGCCTGGGGAAAAGAGATCAATCGCTGGGTGATAAGATTTATTTCTCTTTGTTTCAGGCTTCTAATTTCCCAGTGTGTAGGTTTGTGCGCTTTAGCAGCCTGAATCTTGTGCCTCAGCATGGAATTACTAAGATTGGTACGAAATGTGCGCGAGTGTAGGTTCTTCTCCCTGATCGCCTAACTGTCCAAAATACCAGCCGGCAGACTTGCCCGACCTCAAGACCACCAGTAATGATCTTTCTCATCAGATGATCCAGTCAGGAGACGTGTCTACGGTCAGACTTGACCCGGGATAGTGATAGGCACAAGCAGGGTTCCTGGCTTCCGGTAGCAAGTCCCGTTGGTAAAAGTGAGGTCAACACCACAAGAAGCCTTCTTGATCGCGGAAGTGACGCAGCTCTTCTCGTCCTCGCCCGCGCTCCACTTGCCCAGCGGGACGGTCATCTCGAGCCCGTGGAACGTGGTGCCGTTGATCTTGCGCGGCTCGCCAAAGTCCTCGTTGGTGTTGTGCCACCGATCGGCATCGAAGTAGTTAATATGGCCGGAGCCACACTGCGTGCGAGTCAGAACGTATCCCAGAAGAGGTTTCGGCTTGTTGAAGCCGGGGAGAGGGGGGGGGTTTGGATTTACCTCGCCCTTGATGTTGTCCCGCACGCCCTTGGCCCAGCCCTCGCTGTTCTGGCCGGTGGGCGTGATTCGTATCACGTAGAAGAGGAAGTTGTCCTCGTGCCAGTGCTCCCAGGAGTAGAAGCAGTCCACGCTCGGCTTGAGCTCCTTGTTCACGGCCTTTGCGACGAGGCAGTCGGCCGGTGGCCCCTCGCCGGACGACCCGCCACCCGCTCCTCCAGTGAACGGGCCATGGCCAACCCTGCGAGGTGTCAGCAAGGGCAAAAGAGAGCATACTTGTAGAGGAAAAGAGAGCGTACCAGATACCTCCGACGTACCCTGTGGCAGCTCCTGCGGCGAAGCTACCGCTAGAGGACGAGGACGAAGTCGAGCCAGAGCGGCCACCTCCAGAGTAGCCTTTGAAGCCGCCTCCGGAAGAGCCCCCAAGGCTTCCACCTCCTCTGCCGCCACCAAAACCTCCTCCAAAGCCCCCACCACTGAATCCACCACCTCCGCCCCTGGGTGAGGCGATGGGTGTCGCGCTCACGAAGACGGGTGTCAGGACAGGTGCCATGAGGCTGATAATGTTGAATTGCATCTTGGGCTTCTGGTATACACTTCTTATATCTTGAAGTATGAGCTGCGAGTGTTTTAACATTCCCTTAGTACAAGTTCTCCCAAAACAGGTGAATCTTGGATGATAGAACCTTCAGCAGAGCACAAGATCCGCAGCGGTGGAACGAGCCATCGTTAAATAGACGCCCTCATCATCTTCTAGCTGCTTTCCAGAATCAACCTCGTGAGTGGCGGCGAGGCACCAAGGACGTCATAACTCCTCCTACTCACTCGAAGCCATCACCTAGTTACCCTGAGCCAATGAGCACGCAGCCCCGGATTCCCCAGACGGAGCGGCTCTGACCTGGCGCCAGTCCGCCCGAGGCATTGCCAACTTTAAGTCCTTCTAGTGTTCTTCTCGAAGATCCGGCGTTGAGGTCGGGGGGCTTGGCCTCGAGGTTTGACAGGTGCCCATGTGTACACTAGTGAGGCTTGTCTCGCCATTCCACGGCGGTGGCAGATCGTCGACTGTATGAGACACATCACATGACTTTGTGGCCGAGCTAAACAACTTCGAGAAGGATTCGATCGAGTTCATGACAGAATAGTGCGGATGCCTTGTCCCTAGTCGGCGCTCTAGCGAAAGCATCGTTCAGGAACCTTAGGAGAATGTTGGCCGGGTGGGGTTCGAAAAGCTTCGAGGAGTATGAGCCATGCTCTTAGGCATCTAAATTGCCTTGCTAAGGACTCTGGCCTTTCTTGGTTCTCTTCGTTGGATCTGAGGTCCACGTCATCGCTTTCGATCAATCTATTCAACCTGGCCGAACCATGGTCAGTAAGACAATTGTAGCCCTGGATGAAAAACTATACCACGTGAAGTGGTAAAATACGAATGGTTCGCCCAGATCCAACTCATACCGCTCCAGGCGAAATCCGGTCTGAGATGGGATGCGAGCTTACATGCGCCGCTGGTAGACTGTTTTGGGAGCAATTGAGAAAGGCAGAGGTTGACCGTCGAACCAGCCGAAGACGTATGAGTCAACCCAACAAGGCGATCACTGGGGTTAAAGCCGTGGCCCGTAAGTGGTCTCGTTTTTGATCTGCACACATATGCTTCTTAAGCAATATGCATCCAGTCCCTTCACAATGATAAACGCTTAAACACCCAGCGTTAAAAAAAAAACAATACGACGTGGCCCGTAAGACACTATTCATTAATCACGAGCCACTTCTGGTCACAGACTAGGAGAGACTAGAGTGGAAATGGGACTCTCGTTCCTCCTCCATGGCTCTTCTCAGGCGACGGGCTACAACCCCAGATATGCCTTCAATTGATTTTGAGTAGCGATGCTACGACACGTCGCCGCCAGTGCGGCATCGCATCAAAGAATGTTGCTATGTACTCATGGAGCCGACCCGGACCCCGACCTGATAACCCCTCAAACGCCATGCATACCCATGTTCCCCTCCTTGCTACTGCCTTGCCTTGCTGTGAAAGCACCGAATGCCGCTTTGGACCTTTCCCCAGCCCGTCTGTTCGTCAGCGGGTGCTTAGGCCCCTCTGGCGCCAGAGGATGAGCGTCTTCGCATGGTAGACCGCAAGCGCCCACGCATTTCGCGGATCTCGGACCTCAGCCCCTGCTCTTTGCCTTGGCTTCCTCTCCTTTGTGCGTCGTTATTACGTCCCTACATAACAACACAGTCCTTATCTCTGCTGCCCCCGCCCCCGCCGGCTGCAGTAGGCGGGACACCTTGTCTGTAGCCTGGATTCGTTCCCCTTCGATAACCGCCGGGGGATTGTCCTCCAGGGCTCGACCCAGATGCAATCCCTGGCGCTCGCGACCCAGGCAGTCTCGGGTTGTTCAAACTTTGCGTGGCGCTAGCTACTGATGGGGTCGAGCTCGAGGCTGGGTGACTTGGATGTCCGGCAGGTGGAAGATACGGACTCTGTCGAGCAGCGTCCTCATATGATGGTGGCGCATCATCGTTGCCTTCGTCAGCAGGACGACTGACGCCCCGCGAGCGCAATACGGGAGGTACGAGTGGACGTACTTGCTGCTGGGCTGGTCGAGGGGAAGCATTCTGAGCTCCTCCGCGGCTGGCATTGGCACTGGCACCACCTCTGGCGGTCGACGGCCGTCGGCCTGTGTTGACGGGCACGTTGTTGTTGCTACTGCCGCTGTTGTTACTGTTGCTGTTGGTCTGTCGAAGGCCCACGGGACCTTGGCGCACTGCTTGCTGCTCGATAAACTGTTCGGAGAGCTGGGTTTCTCTGCGTCGCTGAGCTTGCTCTGTACGATGACGTTGGTCTTCTTCCTCTTGCAGCTGGAGAGCTAGTGCCAGGTCACGGTCCTCCTGCTCCTTAGGTGACATCGGCGGTGCTTCGACTTCGCGCTTCTTCCCTCCCTTGCTCTGAACAGTGGTCCATTCCTTCTGTTTATTTGATGCGGACGCGCTGCCCGATGCCGCATACTCTTCACTCTGCGCCGGACCACCAACCACGAGGAAATCGCCAGAGAAGAACTCAGAGCTCTCGCCATTGACGTCTACCAAGGACTCCCAAACAATCTCATCATGTCCCGCATAACCAGCGTCGGTGACAAGCGCAAACATCTGGAGGGTCTGTGGGTGCCGGTACAAGGTAGAGAAATGATCATTTCTGAAGAGAATTGCCACAGAGCCTGGGCGCATTGCCTTGGTGATAACCTCGAGGCCCCAGGGCGTAAGCTGCGTCGCGGCTGTGTAAAGGAAGGACTTGATGCTCAGGATGTCCTGGTAGATGCCCTGCTCCTCCTCGGAGAGGCCTGCGCCAGACGTGCTGCTCAGCTTGTCTTCCAGCTCCTCTTCTCTGAACAGAATATTTTGAGCATCCTCGTACGACTCGGCATGGCGTTTCAGAGCTTCATACACAGGTTCTGACTGCGGCGGCAGCCACCCGTGGATTAGAGGTATTCGGAAGGTCCTGTAGAATGACATCTCTTTCGTATCTTCGAACGTGCCCGGGATGAGTTCCCCCCTCTCAGTGGGATGAAGGTGAGTTAAAGAAGTCCGTTTGAAGGCTTTCTCAGTCTCTTCTGTTGGTATGAATCGGGGGTTGACGTTCATCCCAGTGTGTAGACCCTTCAGAAATGCATAGAGCTCGGTGATGTCAGGCAAAGACTGATCAGACGTTATTCTCCGCTCAGACATGAGCTCATCAAAAACGGCGTTAAGTAGAAGGTCGAGGCTGATTTGTTCTCTCGTCTTCAGAGTGTTGACAAGAACTGCATCCCCCGCATCCGTAGGAGTCGTTAAAGTAAGAGCATTAACAAGCGCCATCAGCGGACATGGCCCATTCGCATTCTGCACGAGAATCGGGGATTTCCGCATGGTGTTGGCCGCGTTAGCATCGTGCCAAGTGATGTTCTTGATCTGGTAGGTTTCTGTCCTCCCGGTAGCTGGCGGCCCGGGAACCAAGGTCAGAGCTTTCTCTGACTGCCTAGGGGGCAGCGAAGGTGCAGCTTCCTCGGATTGCCCGTGGGCTTGAGATGTTTGCCCCGATGGACCAGGACTGGGATCGTGCCCTATGTCAATCAGGCCCTCCTCAACTTCGCGTGAGCCCTCTGAGGCCGTTTCGGTGGCCAGAGGAGGCTTCTCAGGTGCTTTCCCCTTGTCTAAGGTCGCCACATCGTCCCAAGCATGGCTGTCTTGTTCTAGCTTTTGGTCTTCGAGAGACGTTCTAAAAGACGGTGGTACCGCGATGGACGACTTCTCAGGAAGGTCATCGGCCCAAGTGCCCTTCTCCTCTGGGGTAGGCGACTGTATTGCTGGAGAGTTCGAGGCTGGGCCAGTCGATGCTGCTCTGGACGGCACTTGAGATGCCCATACGTGCTGGTCTGGTTCTTGGTCTGCCGTAGTCGTCAGCGTTGGCGGCGCCAGAGACTTATTTTCACCCAGCGCAGGTTGCCAGGGGTTTGTGCTCGTCTCGTCGAGATCCAGCTTCGCAAAGGCGTCCGATGGAGGCATCGGAGGTGCCTCACTGGGTGTTGTTGGCACTGCGGCACCGCGTTGTCCATTTGACATTGACATCTTCCTCCTGAAAGGGTTCGTTTCCCCTGTCTCGGGCCCGGACGTAGAAGAGTGAATCACTGGTGTTGTATTGAGGTCCGAGTCTCCTGTCACAGCCGGCTGCAGTACACTGGAGCTGCCACCGCTGTCCTTGTCTGCCACATCGCCATTTTCTGCACCGGCGATCCCCTTCTCTTTCGTTGATTCATGCTGCGTATTAGCTGGTGTTTCTTCTTCGTCTTCGCTGTCAGTATCCCGCTCCCAGCTATCGGTATCTGACAGGTCCGCGGCATCGTCGACAGGTGTCTGCCCAGGAAGGGCCTGAGACTTGGCAGCCGTCGGGAGGTCAGCGTCTGTGCCCTCCAGGTTCGAGCTCGGCGCGACGTGCGGGTGGACAACAGCATTGTCCGGCAGCGGCTTTCGTGTCACCATTTCTTAAGCAGCGGCCTCGCGCGACGAGGGGCTCATGGACAGCGGATCTTCGTCTCGTTGGCGCTTCCGCGAGACTCGGGACCGGGACGGCAGTCCTGCGCGACGAGTCTCTGGCAATCGGCGAAGCGGTGGACGTTCGGAAAGCTGTACGTCTGCGTGGGAGACTATTGGAGAGGGCAAGCAGCAACTGGCTGGCTTGCGATGCTTGTGGTGAGGCTGGGCTTGCCCTGGTTGGAGGTCTGGTCGTGGGTGGTTCGCGTGAGGGGTTAGAAGGGGGATTGAAGGAACGAGGAAAGTAAGTAGACCCGTCGAGGTAGGAATTGAACAGAAGGTCGTCAGAGGTAACACTGCAAGCCAGCAATGCAGATAGGTGGGTTCAGGTGATACAATAAAGCTTGGCCGGGGATGCGAGGTTGCTGGTTGTATGCAACTGCACGTCGCCATTCCCTGGGGGCAGGGCGAGGCAGAGTGAGGCAAGTCAGGTCAAGTCAACCTGCACTACCTAGGTAGGAAACAGGCAGCCCACGCAGCCCACATCCCAGTGACTGGGGAGCTTGGATCTGTCTCGGGGATGTGTGAGCTACATGCAGGTGAGCAGGGACTACCTCTGTCACATGCTATCCCGTCACTGCTACTCCTGTACCTCATCATGCCAGCAGAGGTATTCACCTCCAACCTCTGACTATCGATAAGCTGGCTTATCCGATGTTTATTTGCAGTGACTGTCATTGACATACTGGTACCAGTCTACCTACTTCTTTGCCCCTTTCCATAATGCAATGAAAAATGGACTCACCATGTATATATCCTCTGATCAGATACATCAGATACTGGGGACATGAACACATTCTGCCAATTGCTGAGATGCATACCAGCCCAGCCCACCCGTTGCCTCTTTGGGGGCAACCCCAGCCACTCTATCGGTGACGCAACGGACAGGGGCGGAGCTCGGCTGGAGGCAACCCCATAGATCTGCCAGGTACGTTATTGGCCCCACTCGGGTAATCACTCTGCAGTCCTTGGGGGTCTCCACGGCCATGACGAGAATCTGGGTATCCTTGAATTCAACTGTGGAATCAAATCCAGGAACTGATTACCTTAACGGACTTCAGATGAATCCTGTCCATGCATGAGCAGAGTGCTAGCGGACAATAAATCTGCTCTCTGATCCCATCATTTCTTAGCAGTCACACATGGGCTTCATTTGAGTACTCTGCTAGCCATACCTCTCAATTTCCTTCATTTCATGATTGCAACATTAAGTGGCTGTGACAGAGTTTTAGGTGCGTTGTCCGATAGCTAGGCCACTAAAGAAAAAAGGCACCCGGAAACGGCCACGTTAACGGGCCTAAAGTACTTTTACTCTCTTATGTCCCATCCATCATTTAAGCATAATAAAAGAGGGTAACTTGTAACAGCCAGGCAGCTAAATGGTATATTTTGGGAGCAAGTCCAGATGATTCATTAATGATACTTTAACCAAGTACATGAATACATTTTCATGGCCTTTCCTGCTTGCCACGCTACCATGTGCGCTACCCGGGTCCAACGCAGACGTTCGACCCGAACTTCATATCTCAGGTCAATCCAGCCTTTACATAGTGACTTCGTCTAGACCACCCTCTCCGGCTTTGTTAACGACGCTGATGGTCTGTTAACTCCTGAGGCTACCCTCATAATCCTGCTGAGCCTTGGGGCAAGCAAGGAGTTGCTAGCCCTCTTGACACGAGCACCCGGGTCTTGTTTTTGACACCCATGGTCATATCGGAACCAGACCACCCGCAGCAGCACTCATTCCTCCAGCAAGCTTCAACCGCCTCTCTGCGAATTGCTTGTCCTCATCAACCATCTTTCTGAACTCAAATATCTTCGAACTTTCCGCCACTTCCGCCAACCCAGCCGCGCGCACAGGCGTGACGCGATATCTCCGGTGGGCCCATGAGTTCCAGGTGGCCAGAGCGGTGGCAGAAGCTATGCCAAGCAACGGGAGAATCAAGAGCAAGAAAGGTCTGGAACGGTCCAATTTCGCTTGTATGAACTGGGTGTGTATTAATGTTTCGTTGAGGGCATAGAATTGCGCCGTTGCAAGGGTGACCGCACCAATGGAGATGTTAATATAATGTTGGATACCTGCAGTTGTCCAGTTGTTTTGTTTTATTACATTCGTGCTGGTGTCAACGATAGGCAAGTGCGAAGTGTAATACTGATTGGATGCGTTGAAAAATGTGGGCTGCATACCGGCTCGGGACGTCCCACAGAGCACAGGAGCCACAGCGAACCATAATAGGACCTCGTTGAGGCTCTTGTCAGGCGAAGGCCAATCGTCATGGATGGTCTCCACCGCATTCAGCCTGTTTGAGTCGAAAAACACCGTGTTGAGGTCTTGCGTGTCGCCAACTTTCAAAATACCATTCACAAAACCGACCTCAATGTCACACGCAACGGCCGAGGCTCCGGAGACCAGTTCGGAGCCTTGAATATTAGTCCAGGTTCCTTGGTCAATCTTGCCATTCAGAGCGGCGAACACTACTGTGGCGCGGGTGCGATTAACCGATATGAACTCGTAGTCGTACACCCAGGTGGTAAATTGCGCTACGTCTCGAAGGAGAACAGTAGCTGAGTGATTGTCAGCATGGTCGCGGGGATTGTGCACAGCCATGTTGGTTTCGAAAGTGAGATCCGCGCTAGAATCTTGGTCGAGTCTGTAGCCCTGGCATGTGATGGATTTCTCTAACCTCACAGCATGGGCTGTGAAGTTTCCGCGTTTTGACAACGACGAACGTTGAATATACCAATCGCGGTGCTCGGGCATGGGCTCGTCCGAGATGCCGATTGACCAAGACGAATAGAATTGGGCGGCTAGTGGGACGAATGACGTGGGAGGATTAACTTGCGAAAACCGCCCCTCTACACCGCCGCCGGGGGTATAGTTACTCTGCAAGATAATGGTCTCGTTGACTTTATTGTAGACGTGTCCAACAAGGGCAGGGGACGCCAAATTGCCCAAAATCGTGAACGCAAGCACTGTCAGGACAAGTGCTGTCTCACCAGTCCGAATTGAACATACTGCGAGAGGAATCGACGGCACGGATCCTCGACACGCGGAAAGATGCGTATCCAACTCCCGCAAAGTAAAGCTCTGTTGCTTTATCAACGGCCAAGTAGCTGTCTCGGCGAAAGCGCAGACCGAGTAGGCGAGAGCGCTGAGTCCGAGGGTGTATAATATTGCCACGATACTCTGGACTTGCGTGATATTGTTACGGATGTATGCCACGGAATCGACAACATGGCAGTCGACTGCCCACTCCGGGCAGGTGAATGTTTGTCTACTCAGCCAGAAGGTGAAGCAGATGGCTGCGAAGACCATGATAATACCAGCACCAAACGACAACGATAGGGCCGGGCTTTTCGCGATATAAGCCGTGCAGAGAGACCGAGAGTCGTGCTGCTGTTCTCCATCTTCGCCTCTCTCAGCCAGAAGGCTCCCGGAAGCGAGGTCCGCATCAGAGCCAGGTAAGCGGATCCCTCTCACGCGCATTTCGAAAGAAGGTTGGACCATTGTGTCTGGTGTATGGGACAGTTTTGGTCGGGTTTAGCAGGGCCTGAATGGTTTGTCAGGAGATGACTTTCACAAAGCTTTCTGTACCTTGAGCCCACCTCGTCTTTGGTCAGATTTGTTTTGGATGTTTGGCTGGGTGAACTTTTTACCTCGACTTAACTTGGCCTGGATTATGAAATCAAAATAGAGTGAACTGTACAGCGGAGAAGAAATTTGTGCTCAAGGTTGAGCATTCAATTGGAAGATTTAACCTGGTAAAGTTCGCGCAGAAAGAAGTAAGCAGCCTCTCGCTCAAAATATATGACAACTGCGACAGTCCACGCAGTGCGACGTAGTGCAACCATGCAGTAGTTATCGTGAGGCTGAAGATGATCAGTCAGCCTCTGCATATGCACACAACTATTGGTGCAAACTTTTAATGGCGGCTTATTTACGGGACAGACTGCTGCGAAACGGGGCAGTCTCGGGAACGTTGCGAAAGGGCAGTGCGACTGTGTGACAACCACCACTCCATGAGCGTCTGAGGTACCAGGTACTTTTGCGTAAAAGAGCTTGAAGAATGGCAGCCACGAGGCCTCGACATCTTCGCAAGATGCACGTGTCATTCGCGCCGTCCCGCGCCCTGCTGCTCGGTAAGCTCAGAAGGGGATGTCCAGGTGGTCTGGGGGTACAGGAGATGCTAAGCTCGTTCAGCCCTTGGGGCGCAGGCCAGCTATGCCTAGCCCACAGTTTGCCTCGTTTCGGGCATTGCTGCGCGTGGGGCTGCGCCTGGCATGGCTGTGAACATCTGCAGTATCACCCACTCATATACAAGTTGGCTGCCATCAGATGGTCAAACGCTGTCGGATAGCACATCAAATGGTTTGGCGCGTTCAGCTGGATGCTGGGTGCAGGTGTAAATTTAGATGCAGAGATTGTATTCGTCGTCCCATGAACTGGCAATTATTCACGGGCCCCCACGTGATACACGAGCCCAATAGTTCACGTCGACTGCTGCTGGTGGAACCTCGTGAAGGTCGTGGTGTGCATGCGGATAAATTCAAGGCAGACAATCCAGAGGCCCCAAGATGACAAGGCTGCCCCGTTTTGTCGCACAAATACTAGGTCCTGAGATATGCTAGATAAGAATTGATTCCCATCGCATACTAGAGTGTCACAGGCGTACTCCAGGAATACTTAAGTACAGCAAACACCACCACGGTCCAGTCGTCGCGCACAGTAACATTCCATGTCATCAACACCAGTGTCACTCCTATGAAGATCTTTCATGCCAAAACTTACCTCTAACTGGGGCATACTCTCAAAATGTCTGACTCGACAGCCTGGAAAGGTGCAGTGCCATCCGCAGAGTATATGGTATATCATGGCATTTGGACAAACTGGTCACGAGGACCCGTCATGGGAGCGACGCTCACTTTGTCTCGCGCTGATGGAAACTATCTCCTAGCATTTACCGCATTCTTCATCAGCATGGTTTCAGCGCGCTTTTGGCGTATTCTATGTTTCATCGCACACAACAAATTCTCTACCCCGGAGCCGCGTGACGCCGTCCATCATCAACGACAAGCAATTCTCCGAAACTCAGCTTCTGCACCCTCTGGCCTGTGGATCATCCTTCAGCTAATATGGACATGGCGCAGGGTCGCCGATCGGCTATTGGCTCGTGCGATGCCAGTCATCCTTACAGCCGTCATATGCGCTGCAGCCTTTACTGTAGCCGGAGGCTTCTCATCACAACTATCGACGGGCATCAGCAAGGAGGTCCTCCTGGACGGATCTCGCTGCGGAATTATCAATGCAGGTGATGATGCTCCGGGAAATGCTGTGCTTTTCCACGATTCCAACGGCTTATCCAACGCCGCAAATTACGCGCAGCAATGCTATTCTGTGAACATATCTCGCGCCTTCGACTGTACGACTTTTGTCCAGCCAACGCTTCCCAGTATCATTGACCGCAATGCACCGTGTCCTTTTGACCGTGGAATCTGCCGAAGCAATACCTCGAATATACATCTGGATACTGGCCACATTGATAGCAGTCAATTCCTTGGCATCAACGCTCCCAGAAGTGAACGCGTCCTGTTTCGGAGTACACTTACATGCGCACCTTTGGTGACAGAGAATTATTCGGATAACATTACGCTTCCCTCGGGGAATTTCACAAGGTACTACTACGGGCCACAACAAATATTCAAGTACCAGGATTTCACCTATCAGGCTCCAGGTCTGAACTCCCAGTATCCCAGAATTAGCGACCACACTAAATCAAGAGGTAAAAACCTTCAGGTGGCGTAAGTCCAAGTACCCCCGAACCTCACCATACTCTAAAGAACTCAATTGCCTGAACACCCTATTTTCGGCAGAGTAATACAAGCAAAACCTCTAAACGGGGCCATCGTGGATACCTCAGACTTCAATCCAATTTCCGAGCTCTTTCGAGACGACGGAGACTTGACGATCGCCTTTCTTGTGGGAAATGGCGTCTGGTACTCGGAGAAGACCACTGATCCGTGGTATCGCGGAACGGTCCCAAGTGAAACATGGCGATGGTTGTCTCCAAACTCTACTGATGAGGTGGCTTATACTCCGGACGAAGCAGCCTCACCCCTTGGCTGCTTGCAGCAGTTTCAGATCTGCAACGTCGATGAAAACCATTGTGGGCCCTTAAAGGGCTTCTACGATTACCAGTTCCATTCAGCCAGTGTTTTCAATATTTCCGAGGAAGCCATAGAGAATGATGAGTTGTTTGTGGAAAATAACCCTCTTGGCCAGCGCTTTCAATGGTTTACCGGCGTCATGGCATATGGGGGAAGCATAGACATCTTCAGAGCACTGTCACAACTCGGAGCATATTCATTATCCTCCCAAAGCTCTATGAGACAAGGTTATATGGGATTATTGGCAGAGAATCAATGGCAACTTGATGTAGAACGCTGGTGGTCCATAGGTCTTGCGTCTATGCAAGCAGGAATGGTTGATGTTGCCGTTGGCCCCACCGAGGCAGCTCTCCAGCCCTACACAATCCATCCACCGAGCTCATACATTCAAGATTCCTTCTGCAACAGCCAGGTAAACACTATTTGTTTTGGATTCCTAGGTGGCATAGTACTGACGAACCCGCTCTGTACCACAGAAGATATTGACCACAAGGTCTACATCGTTCAGCCTCTTCGGGATTTACTTCACCTATGTGGTCGGCACTATCATCGTCATTGTGTCCTATTCGCTGGAGCCTGTCCAGAACTTTCTATATCGCCGAAAGAAAATTGCGGAATACGCTCGTCTGGAATGGGCGACAACGGAGAGCTTACAACTCCAACGGGTGGCTTATCAAGGCATCGGCTCAGGGACATGGGCAGGTCACTTCGATGCCGTTCCCATGACCGAATCTGATGAGCTCATGGGGGACTTGCCTCATAGTTACCACACTGGCTCAGGATCGTCTTGTACTGGTCATGCAAAATTGAGTGCTGAAAAACTCGACCCGGCCCCGATATCACCCCCGTCAACTGGTGAGACCTCAGAAGAGTCCAACGAATCGGCGGTAGAAGATAATAGACATTTCATGAGCAGCGCCGAACAAGAGATTGTTCCGGTAGTATCTCGCCATGCTACAGGCTAAGGTACATATTCTTCTAAATTTGAGGATGTCAGTAAGCCAACGGTTGCAGATATGTTATCCCTGACTCCAGCCTTGCCTCCAAAATAGAAGAGGGAGCGACCTGATCTCAGAGAGGCTCATGAAGACACTTTTTCTCACTCAGGATTGGAGTCTGAAAGGCAAATAGCTCGATGAACAAGCCTGGAAGGCATCCACCCGGAAACTTTGGCGCGAGCTGACTGAATCATCTATCTAACACACCAGAGGGTACGAGGGGTAGGAATAAGAATTTCCAACGATAGAATTATTCAGTTGGCTACTGGTCTTTATCACCAAGTCTGACGTTATCCTGAACATTGCGGATTAGAGTACACTGGGCCATTTTTCACGAATGAACTTCCATTTAGCAGGCAATAGTACACAAGACACGACAACATATGAGATAATGGACCAGGCTATGGTGGTTGAATTTCTGCGAAGCGATTCGGTATTTGAACTTGGGCATCACCAGCAGTGGGGTCTTGAAGGATAATATTGGCACTAGCAAATTCTGTGATATACAGATGCCAAGAAAGCTCCACTGTTACTGTTTGTCCACCACGTGCTAATGACTCGGCTTAATGTGCCAGGAGGAGGCCTATTAAATTTAGGTCTCCTAAATGCTAGATGCAAGGGTTGGAGTGGACTCCCACATAACATGGTATAGCATGCTTGGCAAGGGAGTACATAATTAAGGCGTACTAGGTACTTCCTATAACATGCCACACATTTGTGAAGATGAAGAACGAACAGTTCACTCGCGGATTACAGTGCTCTTGGTGATGAAGTTATACCAGGGAACTCCAGGCCCAAAAGCTGCAGCACAACACCAGCCGCCTGCTTGCAGACGAGACCGAGCTCTGGCTCGCTGATGTTCAACAGGTTAGCAGGATCTGACTGGTTGCTGGAAAGACTCTTGAGAATACCACCCCTGCTCTCACTTTCCATGAAGTCTTCAACCGTGAATGGTCCCAGCTGCTGCAGTTTATCTCCAGGAGGACCCCAGTGGTAGACGTGGGCAACGGGGATGCTCCCAAGTTCGGTGAGGTACCGGAACAAATTTCCCCGTTCCATGTTACGACCTTCTGAGTATCATCTCAACAGTCGCGGGCAGAACTTATGTCGAGGTGGGATCCCCTCGGTTACAGCACAGAGCCATGAACGGAATCAGCCACTCGCCCCCAGAGATCGCAGTCTGGAATACCCAAAGTGAGTGTCCAAATTTGATTTCCTAAATCTAGCAGCGGGATTTATCTGTTGTACAACATTTGCATAGACACTTCTTCAAACTTCCCCTCTTGCACAACGGAAGTCTTGGTTGCACCTCCCTATGAGGAGAACCCCGGACCTTATGCCAATAGCGGTAAAGAACAAATGGCAGTGTCCCAGTGTCGTATATATACCTGATGGCAATCGCGGTCCCACGTATGCGACTCTCGTCTAAGAGAAGTCCAACTTTCATTGGAGGTTGCTGTCCTTGGAACACGTTCTGAATATGTTCCAGATTCGTGAACTTGCTGCGCTCACCGGCAGTCTCCTATATCTGGTCTCTTCCCATCACGCTGCTGCCGCTCTGCCTGAAACCAAAAAGACGGGAGAGTATGGATTGAATGACGCCGCAAAGGCCCATGGCAAGCTCTATTTCGGAACCTCGACTGAGCCTTCTAAATTTCTACAAGACGCCGCCTATTACAAACAGCTGAACAACACACATGACTTTGGCCAGCTTGTCGCGGAGGGCAGTATGAAGTGGGACGAGCTAGAGCCAGAGCGCAACGTCTTTGATTTCTCCGTGGGCGACCATATCACCGGCCTGGCAGCTGCCAATGGGCAGATCACCCGCTGCCACAATCTTCTCTGGCACCTGTCAACCCCTGACTGGGTTGTCAACGGCGGCTTCGACAATGCTACCTTGATCTCGATTATCGAGAACCACATCACTGAAGTGGTCAAACATTACAAGGGCAGTTGCTATGCCTGGGACGTCGTTAATGAAGGTTAGTAGTCAGCGAACAGCTTAGACATAGGAGTACAATAGCTGACCCTGGCACACCAGCCGTGGTAGAGAACGGCACCTGGCGTTCAAGCGTCTTCTACGACACCATCGGGCCAGCCTACATCCCCATCGCGTTTGCCGCAGCGGCGAAGGTAGACCCAGACGTCAAGCTCTACTACAACGACTTCGCCATCGAGCTGCCCAGCCCCAAGTTCTCGGCAACGGTGGACATCGTCAACATGGTCCGCGCCTACGGGGCCAAGATCGACGGGGTCGGGCTGCAGGCGCACTACGACCTCAGCGGCATGCCACCGGAGGCGCACTTCGAGCTCGGGAGCATGCCCAGCTACGACGAGCAGGTGGCCGTGATGAGGACCCTCGACGAGCTGGACCTCGACTTCGCCATCAACGAGATGGACGTGAGCGTGCTGACGCCCGGCAACGCGACCATCTTCCACAAGCAGGCAGAGACCTACTACAACGCGACAGCGGCTTGCCTCAACTTCGAGAGGTGTGTAGGCATCACCGGCTGGGAATGGACTGACAAGTATTCGTGGGTGCCGCACTATTTCCCCAATCTCGGCGATGCTTTGCCGTGGGATAAGGATCTTAACAAGAAGCCGGCGTATTACGGCACCTTACGGGCGCTGAAAGAGTTCAACGGCACTTTGGATGTATAATTTGGACTTAAGGTAAAGAGTGTGGGGAATGATCATGTCACACCACTGTAGTCTGTTGTGGCAGAGCATCAGGACCCGTTATTGTCCCGCTCGACCGTCTATATAACAAGCCTACCATCCCACTCTTACAATACCTAGTCGGGTAGACTTTTTGTTCCATGTCATGTTACTAGCTCCTTTTGCACTACATTTGTATAAATGAATAGGTACTAAATCTACAGTTCGACTTGTGTAGTGCCTTTTGTTGTATCCACAAAGTTAAGTGTGAGTAGTTGAGGCTTCGTTTACTTTTTCTAATACCAGAGACTGAAATTCGCGAAATCGAAAGAATTCATAAAAATGTGTTGAACGTAATTCATTTGCGAGAAAGGACGTCTACCCTGAAGCCTTTCATAGCCAGGGGCGGTTTGACTTACTATTATTGTGCTTGGTGTCGTTGATACGTAGGTGGCGCCGCAAGCCGTCGACCATAACCACTCTGCGGTGTAGGGTGCCACTGGACAGCGATTCGAGCACAGGAACGGGACAATCCCATTTATCTGGAGGCCATCTCGCCGTTCGTTTATGACTTATTACTATTTTGTCACGGCTTTAAGCTATCGACAGCATGTACGGACTTTTTGATGAGTAGTGACAATCTCTACCGGTATATCATAACACATGATAATAAATCCTGCCTCAAGAAGTAGTTCTTCCTTAACAAAATGTGGGCGGCGGCCCATTATTCCATGTTCAAAGACGTGTCCCTCCCTGCACACACCGCGGCGGGGCAGCAGCTAAGGATCCGGCAACAGTTCGCACAAACATGTGCTGATGGCGGGATATGACCCTCCGCGAACCACTTTCCCATGATCTACCAAAGCCTTCTGGATTGCCTGTTGCAACATTGTTAGTCAGGTCCGGGGTGACTACAATGCCTGAGTAGGTATATGTAGGTAGGCTCTATTTCTCCTAATTGAGCGTAGGGCAATACGAACGTAGGCCCCGGCGAGATTGCCCACCAAAGTAGGACAAATGGTTATTATGTGTGCCAACTCGTACGATTCACGCACCGTACCGCCATTTCCCAGGCTCATGTTTTAAAGACACAATACGTTTCACGTACCGGTTCATGCTGCTATTTCCTGCCTACCTATCGCCATGATGGAATTCTCGTGGTCTATCCGAAGCATAATATCGTGGATGTTGGCATTCGGTGCCACCTTCACATTTGCTGCCAATCCTGAACTCACAAGAATACCAGAATGGGGCTACAATCCCACAAACCTCACTCTCGACGTTTACATTCCTACGCCATTGCCTGCTAGTCCCCCGGTTATCCTCGCAGTAAGTTACTACTCTTTGGTTGCTCATCATGCGCGCTGACCAAATCTAGCTACATGCATGCAGCTTCGATGGGCCCTTTTACAACCAAGAAAACAATTATACAGCCTATTCCGATGACAGAGGATTCATCGCCCTCTTCCCAAGTAGCCCAAATCACGACAAGTGCTGGGACGTCTCCAGCAAGGAGTCACTTACACATGACGGCAATGGCGACAGTACTGGGCTCGCTCACATGATCAAATGGGTCATCTCAGAATACAACGCTGATCCCGCTCGCATCTTCATCACAGGCTCATCGTCTGGGTTTATGGTGACCAACTTCCTGTGCGGCACATATCCGGACGTATTCGCAGCCGCATCATGCTACTCTGGGGTGCCAGCTAGATGCTTAGCAGGCTCAAGCTCAAGCCCGGGCAGCGGGGATCCCAGTTGCGGCATCGGGAATCTCACAAAGACCGGCGAGGAGTGGGCAGAGCAAGTATACGTCATGTACGAAGGCTACGAGGGTCCTTATCCCAATATGATGATATGGCACGGTACCGCGGACGAGATGATCTCGTACAATAATCTCGCCGAGAGGTTAAAGCAGTGGTCTACCATTCTAGATGTCTCATGGACGAAGAACATCTCGGACACTCCTTTCTTAAATTATACGGAGATGGTGTACGGTCATGGCTCAAAGCTGCTGGGATGGTCAGCTGTCGGAGTTGGGCATACTGTACCTTGTGATGTTGCGAGAGACCTGGATTGGTTTGACATTTAATGTAAATATATGCTGATGGTAGGTGTACCCTTTGTATGTCTTATTCCCATACCTATTGCATATGTATCAAACGGTATTGGGCCTATGTATTGTCTTTTGGACGCTCCGTGCCTTGCCTACACCCGTATTGATTCAAAAACAGGTGTCCCAAATTCTCAACCTCCGGGCTCGCCGCAGTATTTTGGTCTGTCTGGGCTATTTTGTCCATGAACGGCTTCGGCCACACTATGTTTTTTAAATCAACTATCCATTAATCTATCTGCTATCTGCTCAGCTTTCCAACTATCCCTCCCTAAGCTTATACACAAAGTTGCATATAGCTTAATATATATTCTCATTCCCCTCTTTCAAAGAAATATCATAATATTTCTTTTTACCCTTATTTTTTAACTCTTTTTTAATCCTTTTAAAAGTAATATTATTAGTAATAATAAAATAATAAATTTAATAAAATATAATTTTATTAATTATTTTATTTTTATTTATTTTATTATAAACGTTATTTTTATTTTTCTTTAAAACTTTTTTATAATCTTTATAAAAAAGGTTAAGCATTTAAAAGTAAAGTATTTCTTTATTTTAACTTTTATTAAAATTAGCTATAAGATTAAATATTAGCTATAATAATAGCTTATTTAATAAAGGTTTTCTTAAAAAGTTATATAATTTTATTATTTCTTTAAAATTTCCTTTAATAAATATATATTAATATATAGTTATAATATTTTAAAAAAATTATTTTAATCTTAATTATATAATTAATTATTTAACTTTTTACTTTATAACGCCGCTAAAAATAATTTTTACTAGCCTTATTTATATAATTATTATAAAGCTATTAATATTTTCTTAGCTATAAGCTATAATTATATTTAAAACCTATTATTATTAATATTATAATTTTAACGCTAGGTATTTAAGCGTTTATTACTATACAAAGGGACTGGATACATATTGCTTAAGAAGCATATGTATACAGATTAAAAACAAGACCACTTTGTCCATGAACGACCCCAAAGTCCACATCGTCCGACTGATGGTCCTCACATGCTCTATATCTGCAAGTGGCGAGGTGCGAAATAAATTAATCTACGATGCCAGGGCAATCTTTACATCCCCAGCTTCGACATGATTTCCGTACTGCCCGAGTACGCATGCCTGGTACGAACCGAGACATGTTCCCTCCTACAAAAATTCAACAGGCTTTGAAACTCGCCCATGTTTTCTCAAACCAGCTTTCAAACTGAACACTCTTCATGGTCTGCAGCTAGGCCGAGGGCGTCAGCCCGTGTCAGTTTGAAGCTCGCTTATCGACAAGTATATTCCTTCGTGCCAAGCGTCAGCGGCGGAACACTTCAAGTTGTGTGCCTGATCAATGAAACACTCTGAGTGCTCAGCTGACCTGTCCACATCAGGGGCCGTGTCAGACCCATAGGAATCTTGTGCCCCTGCATATTAGACCTTACTCCAGATTGGGGGCGGGAGCAGTACCGCACGAATCTTCCTTTAAATATTTTCCTGGAACATTTGTGATGAAGAAGAAAAGAGTGTCGAATGATGACCTCGGTGTGTCTCAAAAGAAGCATCATACTCAACCATCAAGGTACTCTTACGCTCACCCGACGTCCCGAGGAGCATGTCTCACGATACTCAAGACTCAGCAGAGCTACAGGCTCAGCATGTCGACCCGCGAGCAAGTCCTCGGTATCCATCAGAACCTAAGACGCCGAGCGATACAGCCTCGGACTTCGTGTGCAATAAATGCAGCTCTGTAGGTTGGGACCAACTTCCCAAATTGGCGGACGACAGCGATCGCAAGAAACCTGTCTGGATCATGGTGATGGATTCGCTTGATTCATCGTCAGCCGAGCTCGGCGCATCATCTTGCAAAGTGTGCCGACTGCTGCCGTACATCAAACCTGATATTCCTAGCCTACAGGTTATCGATTCCGAATCCCGAGAGGTCGTTAAAGCCCCGCCTCAATGCAAATACCTTGCCCTATCCTATGCCTGGGGCAAAGTAAAGCATTCAGAGGATCTCGATAACCCTCCTCCGGTGATAGCAGACACTTTTACCGTTTGTGCCCGCTTGGGGCTCAAATACCTATGGATTGACCAATACGCAAGTATATTCCTCGCTGGTTTCACAGCTGTAATACAGCGCGTAGGTAGAGATGAAGCTAACCAAAGTCCCAGTGTGTGCCTCGCAAAGGCCCGGAGAGGCAGCAAACACTTAGTATGAAGGGTGAAATTTACTCTAACGCTTATTGTACCGTCATTGCAGCTGCCGGCGGGGACGCTCAAACAGGCTTGGCGGGTGTTGCAAAGACTCATCGTCGACAGCACCACGAAGTGAGCATCAAAGGCGACACCCTGGCAGAATTGTCTTACAGCAGCGGCCATGGTTCAGCTTTGCTGAGCTCCAGTAAATGGGCAACGCGGGCTTGGACTTACCAGGAAAGTCATCTATCCACAAGATGCATCAATTTCACAGATATCAAGTTATGTACCTTTGTAATAGGGAGTACGTCGCAGAACCATTCAAGCAAACAATCGCAATTACTGGCAAAGCCGGCCAACGCACATTCGGCCGCTTTGTTCCCCACACGTCATACTCGGGTCGCTATTTTCATGTTAAGGAACTCAGACAACAGATTGAAGAGTACACGACGAGAAACTTGACGCTGGAAGGAGATTCGCTCAATGCATTCCTGGGCGTGTTGAATAACTACGTCCGAACAAGACGACCCATGCTTCAGCTCTGGAGTCTAGCATTGCGTGAAGATGGGAGGATGGCACAGCGGCCAAGAGACATGATGTTCGACCTATTCTGGTGGCATGAGATCACCTGCACTCGACGACATGATTTCCCGAGCTGGAGTTGGGTTGGCTGGGCTGGACCTGCGTCCCTTGCGAAACTGTCTCCGCATCTAGACCTGAGGTTGAGCAGCCAGCAACCGAGTGGCCCGAAACCCTCAAAGATCTCTGTTGAGGTCGGCAGAGTCATCAAAACTCTTTACGAAAATGCCCTGCCATTCATAGACACTGACACTGACGCGGACCTCAAACTCCGGCCAGCACATCTTCGGCCAAGGAAACTGCGGCTATCATGCCACGTCTTGCCTATACGATGGCAATGATTCCGGCCGACCGTGGTTGTGCTGTACGAGCCTCCACGTTGAATGTTGGTGTGTTACACATGCCAATAATATGTCACCTCGCGTGTCAGCTGTCAAGCCACTGTGCCCGCTTGAGATTACTATCCGGCAACTTAATACTGGTCGGAACCCACACCATCGGTCTTCTCGATTTACCGTTTCTGCCGACACGTTATAGAACACTTAGAAAGGTGAAATTTCGCAGAACATCTCGTCATAATGGATCTCTGCCAAAATTGCGACAAGTTTGTTCTCACTCTCTGTATCCAGTTACACCAACACAACGACCCTTTCCACCGGACCGGCTGGATTCCCTTCACTTTTAAGAAGGATATTGAAAGATCCAGACTCTGTCCCCTTTGCCGCCTGATTGAGCATAATCGCGCGAGAGTATTCAACCGTTCTGGACTGTCTTTATACAATATCGATGAAGGCGAAGCCATACTGGAGAGATCCCATTCTGAAGACTTCAAGAACCCTACGACTGGATTGATTTTCGTTTTCAGCGGCCCAATAGTCCGCGGGTTCTTTTGGGCTTCAGAGCAGCTATTTGGGCTAGGCAAGGTAATTCTTCATAGTGTCCATGGAACAGCCTTTCCCTTTTCTGACTCCCGTTAGACAGTCCTGCCGCAGCATCGGGCCTCATGGGCTGTAATCCACCACTGCCCAGTGATAACTGCTCAGAGGCTTTTACCCTATACCGAACCTGGTTCGAAACTTGTCGCCGGAATCATAGGTTTTGCAACCAGACTCTGGACGCGAGGGCTATCGAAGAGGATATACTAGGACCGAGGCTACCAACTCGTATATTAGATCTTCGTGGACCAGGTGGTACTGACCTTGTACTTATTGAGACTAACGGATTAAGCGGAAACTACTGCGCTCTATCATACTGCTGGGGACCGCCAGGCACACAGACCATGACTACGACCCAGGAAAATCTAAAGCAACGCCTCTCTGCAATACCCTTCAACTCTCTGCCCAAGACCCATCAAGATGCAGTCCAGATAACACGTCAGCTTTCAGTACGGTACCTCTGGATCGATGCACTTTGCATTATTCAAGACGATCACGAGGATTGGACCCGAGAGTCTAAACGGATGGGGTCTGTCTATCAAATGGCTTGCTTAGTTATTGCGGCCTCGGGAGCAACAACCCCCCAAGAAGGTTGCTTTGTGAGCACACCTCGAGACCTTACATCGGTGGAACTTCCGTTCTATTCAAGCACCGGCCAAATTGCTGGCTCTTTCTACGCGAGTATATTTTCCTGGGAACGCCCCTCACCCGCTGGAGGCCACCTTAGCACAAGAGGATGGGCTCTTCAAGAATCATATCTAGCACGGAGAACTCTACGTTTTATGCCAGCCGGCCCATCTTGGTCGTGCCAGGATGAATATCTCCACGACAGCTGGGGAATCGATGAGAGGGATATACCGTTCGAGGGGGAAGAGTATCCTGAGTGGGATGCGGTATTGGAAAGATTCTCTATGATGAAGCTTACAAACAAATCAGACCGGCTAATGGCCCTGCAAGGGATCGCCACCGTATTGCAAGAGCGGAATAGAGACACCTACAATAGGGGTGTCTTCTTATCAGAACTCGCTTCCCACCTCCTTTGGATGAGTTGTGACATCGCAGAAGAGTCAGAAGACTTGAGTGACGTACCCTCGTGGTCGTGGGCGTCAAAGGGAGTCAAGAAATGGTTCTGGTGCATTACGATGCGCAACCTGCGAACCGATATTGACCAGGCAGAAGTTCACATCGACGATCAAGGATGCTTCAGACTGCAGGCCAACGTTATGAAGTGCACGGCGCACAAGACTGCCCCCGACATCAATAGCTTCCACTGTCCAAAGACTCACATCCTATTCCTTGTTCTGAACAGGGGAGTGGACGACCCGCAGGCTGTCGTCCGTCTAGAAGGAACCTCTCCGGAGTGCACTGGCGTCGCAGTGTTTGACCGACAGCGATTTGATCACATCTACTGCCTTTTTCTGGCCTCAACTACCTGGGAGGATGTCGCCTATCTCTCAGAGCATGTATAGACCTAGAAATTTTACAGGACGATTGCTGATACCAATACAGTTCTACTCCTGCACCAAACTTGACAAGTTCAGGAATCCAGGTAAGAGCGGCAGACTGTGATAAAATTCAACTGTGACCAACTCAGTCTTTGGCTTTAATCTAGGATGTTCATTTGGTCTTGCTATTAGTCCCAGCTCCAGAGAAAGTCGGATGCTATCAACGTGTCGACATGGGGATGATGATGAACAACCTACGACCAGATGATCAGTCTCTTTTGAGGACTATCGACATTGTGTAATGAGGTTAGTCTAGTTTATCGGCCTCGTAGAGGGAGGAGAAGCTGAGCAAATCGGACAAAGTGGACAAACGTTGTAACTAGACATCCAGGAAGTGGGAGAGAAATATTGATGGTGACGAGCACCATTCCATCTCCTGGAAGTCCAGCTCGCAGGCTTTTGGGATAGCCGTCACGCACCAGCTGCACTACAATGAGAGTATCAAGAAGTCTATTAATAACTATCTGTACACTTGCGGGGACCGGGTGTCGAATACCAGTACGAAACATCGGTCATGTGGACCACTGTGCCGAGGTCTTACGACAGGTGATGATGTGCCATGGTGACATGAGCTTGATACGGCCCGACGTCAAGGGGCATAGATATACTGGTTTTAACGGCTAGGGCAACGAGCCTCTGTGTAGGGACTGGGTAGCAATCGAAGATATTGTGTGACAGCATGAGATCTCACACGTCAAGTGGGCGGGTATAGAAGGCTGGACACATCTGAGGCATGATGATCCTTAGATAGATGATTGTGGTTCATTTTTAATGCTTGTAATTCGTTGTAAATATCGTGTTTGCTTTTCTCTGAGAGTTTTGCAACTGCTTTATAAAATGGTTGTGGATAATTATTAAGGAAATCGTTTTCCATTTTAACTTTTATTAAGGTTAGCTTTGGGATTAAACGTTAATTGTAATGATAGCTTACTTAACAAGGGTCTTTTTAAAAGCTTATATAATTTTATAATTTCTTTAAAGATCTTTTGGGAAGATATATATTAATATAGGTGGAAATAAATTAAGTTTTTAATTAAGATTATATTTATGGTGTGAGTGGGTGTATGGATGGAGAACCCCATTGACTGCAGGCATTCACTAAGGCTCTGGGCCCTATACCCCTTAGGCATAAAACCCCTGCCTTGCGATTTCCATAAGACTTCTTCCTTACATAAAAGGTAGCGCCGTCTTAATCTAAATTAACATATTAAGGATAGCTGCCTTGTCTCTATATTTACTCTTATAATATATGGAATTTATTTTATAAAGATTATTTTAATTTTCATTATATAATTAATTGCTTAATTATTAATATCAGGCTATTTATATTAATAATTTATAATATTATTAAAAGTAATTTTTGTTAATTTTATTTATATAATTATTATAAAGTTATTATTATTTTCTTAATTATAAGCTATAAATAATTATATTTAAAACTTATTATTATTAACATTATATTATTATTTTTAACGCTAGGTGCTTAAGCTTTTATTACTATATAAAGGGACTGGATGCATATTGCTTAAGAAGCATATGTGTATAGATTAAAAACGAGACCACCCACTTTTAATGCTTGTAAGTATACTACATAGTCATCAATTCTCTGCTTCGAAATGCTATTTCACCCGAAACTTTGGCCGCCACATGCGTAATCGAGCAGTCAAAGATGCGCATTGAACAGACTATTGAGGTTTTGATGCTGTATTTTCACGAATGTTCAGTCCAATGGTCGGGATCTCTGTTCGTCAACAAGCGGACCGTGTGTGCCGCAAGATGCATATCTCAAGCACTCCATCGATCCTCGTCAAGTCCAATTCCTCGAGCCAGTCCTAAATGGCCTTACACCTACGGCTACTCATAATCTCAAGATCTCTGGTCGAATACGAGCTGAAACATATCCTCTCCGTCGCCTTGGAGCCATTGGCACCTTCGACGACTGGCGTCGACAACATGAGCCTTCTTTTCAGGTACTCCATGAGGTTGCTGACGCGATTGCACGTCATTAGTGGTCCTTCAACATGTGAGGTTCCGAATTGGCCTTCCTTTTTGTTCTTCCGACTCAGCAAGCACGCGACATGTTCCGCAACTTTGGTGACTTTAACACGCATTGTCGAGATCGACACAGCTTTTGAAGAGTGCTTCTTCGTCAGAACTTGAATAACAGCTGCGCAAAGTGTCGGCCAGGAGTTTGGCAATCATGTATGCGGGGATTGACGTAAAAATCGCGTGTCTATAAAAACTCGTCCACAAACGCGGCCACCTCCCATATCTTTGAAGCTTTCTGATGAAGAACCCCGATACTGACCAAGTCCTTATAGGAACAGCGGGTTCTAGAAATTCTGCGTAAATGGTTACGATGTAGTGAACGTAGACGTAATCATTCAGACGTCCTCTTCCGTCAAGGTGGAGGCAGCCTACTTAGGCCAACCTTTACAGCCCCCCTTCATCACATAGATTCTTCCAGCTAGACAAGGAAACGAGGAGCCGATAGATCATAACTGATTTGCTACGGTACTTTACTGTAGTAAAGATACGTTATTGAGTGTTCTACTTTTACTAGGCAGGAAACCGTACATCTGCCTTTTGTGTTCTCTAGTCCTGCACTCTCAAGCTGCCCGAGCATCCTAGAGAAGCCAAGCGTCATGAAGAGGCCGGGTCCGGCGTGGACTCGACGAGCTGGGGTGGCACGCTCACGGAGATGGACCCATGCGAGGCCAAATGGCAGGTTCTTGCATTCGGCGCCCCTCGTATGAATCACAGGGCAGTCGGATAATATCTGGTATTTGAAACGTAGCCCGCCGGCGCGCAAGGCAGCAAGCAGCAGGCGCACCGCTTGCCTCGCCCAAACACACGTTGAATCCAATGTCCCCCTTCAGCAAAGCCGCTATGTCAATGATGCTCTCCCCGCCCAACGCCAACACAAGATCAGATAGTAGTCCAGAATACAACAACCAAGGTTTCATTACCAATCGGAGGTCTCGTAGTCCAAATGCAACCACAACCCCACCCTTGTCTATCGCCATATCCTGTACAGGCAGCCTCTCCATGATTCCGAGTTTTGTGGCCGAGGAAGAAAGTGAGGAAAAACATGAGGAAGAAGAAAGACGGAGAGGTCACCTCGTCGTCCTGATGCCCAGCTTGTTGAGCCTCGAGCAGCTGGGCTGCGGGTACCGCTCGGCGATGCCCATCTTGTCCGGGTCCTGGACGAACCAGCCCTGCGCCTCGTCGTACAGCCTCTGCTTGTGCAGCATCTCGTTCTCGCACTCGTGCTGCAGGTGCCGCACCAGCACCACCTCGGCGTTGCTGTCCATGCGCGACAGCTGCGTCTTGGTGTACGCCTTTATCTCCACCGGGTTGACGTAGTACTTGACCTTGAGCTTGGGCGTTATCCGCTCGAAGGTGTGCTGCGCGTCGGGCGCGTCGAAGACCATGTTCGGCCCCGCGGGCGCGCTGCCGCCGCCCGAGAAGAGCGACGAGAGCAGCGGGAACAGGAACAGGAAGATGATCGGGAGGAGGCCCATGAGGGTGTTGAACAGGCTGTTCTCTGGTGCTTGTTGCTCGTTCTCGCGCGGTCGCCTGCGCGGCCGTCCGCCGCCGAACTGATGTACCCTGACGCCCGGGCCGCCGAAGTTGAAGACGAACTGGGGACCTGTGTCAAAGCCTTGTTAGTTAGTGCTGCCGCTCCCCCCATGACTTCGCACATGCGCGGGGAGTCTACTCACCACCAAAGGGGCCGCCGCCACCACCACCAAACCCACCGCCGCCGAAGAACCGCTGAAACATCTCCTCCGGGCTCAGCTCGTCCTCCCACATCCCGCCTCCCATGGGCCCTCTCCCTCCGCCACCTTGCCTGGCTGCGAACCCGGCGAAAGGGTTCTGTGCCTGGGCCTGACTGAACCTGCTGTCGGGGTCGCCGCCGAACTTGTCGAACTTCTCCCTCTTCTCCTTGTCGCCTAGCACGCTGAAGGCCCTTGATACCATCTTGAATGCCTCGTCGGCGTGCTCGTGGCCGTTCTTGTCGGGGTGTGTTAGGAGCGACTGCTTGCGGTATGCTTTCTTGATGTCCGCCTCGGAGCAGGTCTTGCGCACGGCTTCTATGCCGAGGATGTCGTAGAACTCTGTGGGTTTGCACCGGCGGATGCGCAGGACTGCCGCCTTCTGCTCGGTTGTGTACTTGCGGTCCTGGTTGCCCTGGGTGTGTTCCCGGTTGCGGGCTGAGGAAGAGTCGTTGGAGGCATCCGCCCCGGAGGCGGTTGCGCTGGGCGGCATGATGCCAGGCGGCTTGTGTCTCTGCCTCAGAACAGCAGGTGGTGGTTGGTGTTGCCGTAGCTATAGCTGGGGTGCAGCGAGTTGTTTTGATGCGTTGTCGTCGCAGCCGCGAGACGGTAGGGATGGGCGAGGTTATGCGACTGCGGCTAGCGGTCGTTGGCGGCACAGTATCGAGCGGCTGATAGGATAAGGTTGGGACTTAGGATGGCGAACGTGTGAGCAACTGGATAGCAAGATGGAGCGGACTCGTGCGTGGGGAGGATGGCAGAGCAGCCACAGGTTGAGGTTGCTGAGGAGCGGGCTGGCGGATTGTGTGTTGCGTGTTGCCCGGTCGTCTGGTGATGACGGGCCGTGGGGTGTGCACGATAGGCCGTCAGGGAAGGTGGCTTCTTCCAGGTAACCCGTCCAAAAACAAGTGGCCTCAATTCAACGAAGGCAGCAAGGGACAAGCTGTGTCGATGCTAAATGGACAATGAACAGTCCACGAGTGAATAGCAATGCTTTCCTTGGGCTTGCACCTGCAAATGCAACAGAGATGCTGGCTGCACGCGAGTTGGAAAAGCCTTCCGGACGATGACCTGGATCGAAGCTGCATCCAAAAAGTCCATGCTCTACTGTCCTTGGAGGGCGTGCTGCCCAGCCCCGACTTTGCCGGCCAGCCGACAACCGCCCTGCAGTCAAACTGTAGAAGACCCCTGCCAGACCAACCCCCAATGCAGCTTTCTGAGGACCCTTGAGCTCTGTGGCAGGAATATTCAAGGTACATACCTGGACAGTTACTGTGGACTAAAGTGACATATTTACCTAATGTTGAACGTCTCTCTGTATGAGCTTCCAGTCTCTCCCACGACATAATCCTAGAAGAGAGAGTCTGCCAGCTGGGGATCGATCACAGAACCGTTCGGACCCCTGTAAGCTCTCCAGTGTACATCACGTCACTGGTTTTTCTCGCAGCCTCCGGCCAAAAAAAAAGTTCCTAGGCACATCTTCGACATCACATGTGAGCCTCGAGCCTCACAATTCGGAAATCTCTTTTTCACAAGTCTATCACCTCCGCACAATCATGGCAACACCAGATCAACCCGAGCCAACGAGGTCACTAGCATCCCGCCTTAACGGCTGGGGCTGTGAGTCCCCCCCTTCTCCCAAACTCACCCTCATGCCTCACCCTCCTAACAAAACCCAACAGTATCCTCCCTCCCACCAATGGGCCTAGCAACCCTGATAACCTCCCTCCACTTCCGCCCCTTCCACAAGCTGCCCATGCTGGTCTTCACCCCCATGCTCCTGCTGAGCAGCTACCTGAGCGTGGCCGGGTTCAAGATCGACGCCGCGGGCCTCTCGGCCGCCTGGTCCGGGCTGTACGTGCTCCTCGCCGCGCGCAGTCGGCCCGTCGCCTCGCTCCGCCAGCGCTTCACCGCCAGGGCCGCCGTCCGTGGTGGCGCCGTCGGCCTGGGGATCGTCAACGCCGCTGGGGGAGGGTACGCCTACGCCATGGGGGACAGGGAGGCGGAGCGCGTCGAGAGGAAGGAGAGGGATCGGTGGGGCATCGAGGAGCAGTGAGGCATGTGAGCGAGGGTGTTTATTGTTTGGAGGTTTGCCGCTCACTTCATGGCAACGAGACCTGATCCTGGGTGTGTTGTGTTTGAAAGGCTTAGGCTCGTTGGGGTCAATGGCATGCCTAGACTTTTTTGTGATATTGGTCTTCACCTATGCGCTGGCTATAGCATAGCTGTCCCGGATTCGAGGGCACAAGAAACAATGCGCGTTCGAGGCCGCCAGTGCTGGGCTTGAGGACAACAGCGCCCCTGTCACTTGGGGTGCTCAGGCACTCATTCATGTACATGCTGATATCGGGAAATGCAGAAACTGCAGGAACTCCTTGTATGCATTTCTTCCAAACAAAAACCTCATCAAAAGGCTGCCCGGGTATGACGCTTTCTGAAACTCTGACATCTGGCCTCTGAGCCTCTCTACCGAGGACTCTATAGCACACCAGCGCTTGACTTTTAATCTGTGCCGTACACTGGACTTGTAAACAAAAGAAACCTCGACTCTGTAATCAAAGAGCCGACCTCGCCCTGAAAACGCCAGGAGGACATCTCAGCTCTTGATAGCCTCCAAAGATACCCTGTCTATTCCCTTGTGAGGAGCCCGACCGAAGCAAGTAGAAAAGCTGCTCTACACCCAAAAGCAATGACATGAAACATCCATACGCGAAACCTCTACACGATCGCTGTCCAGCAGTGCCAAGATCGAGTCGACTGTTCTGTGAGCCAGCAGACGCGTAGCGAGGCCGAAGTGCGGCAGCACATCCGTGAGAAATCCACATCCAAGTGGGAGGCAGTGTCAGAGACCCGACACCGGATCTCGCTGATTGCTGGTTCGTCGGAAGAACCGTAAGGTGTTCCACCATATGAAGATGGCGAAAAATGAAGCCAGGAGGAAACGGATTCGACGGGGGTCCATCGCGTGTTGAACCGGAAACGATTCAGCGAGGGGCGCCAGAGCCAGGTGCTGGACCTCTGTAGTCTGGAACTTGGTGATGTACTCGACATCACAATCTCGGATCTTCGGTGATGCGTAGGCCCTGTACTCGTCCAGGACGCGCTCCGACTCCCAGTTCTGGATCTTGCGAACGAGAGCGACGACACAGCCAGTTCGGTGCTGTAATCAAATTAGCTCGTGGTTCAGAATGGTTTGATTGAGACGAGCCAGATTTGGCAGGGATGGGCTTACTCTGCCATGATTGCAGTGGATCAGGAGAGGGTGGTTGCGCTTGTCGTGCACGACCTCGAGAATGGCCGCCATTGTCTGGATAGGTATCGTCTCCTTCTTGGTGCCCTGCATGGTGATGTGTCGGTGCTGGATCTTGTTGGCCTTCATAAAAGGGAGAAACGTCTCAGGCAAGTCCTTGTCCACAAGTGTGCTGGCAGAGGATTAGCAAGGTGCGCGTCGGAAGCGATCAGCTGTCGGGACCCACATAATCGTCTTCAGCTTCAGCTTCTGAAGAAAGGCATAATCAGCCTCCTTGGGATAGCTGCTCCGGTAAATGCCCGGGACCACGGTACCGAAGTTGGCCGGCTGGCCAAGGATGGTTTTGCTTTCGACTGTCTCCTTCGACACACTGATCTCGGTGGCCAACGAAGACACGGACGGTTGTTTTCTCAGTGACTTCAGGGAAGACTGCCCTGACTGTGACCGTTGCATCTCCATGCTCTGAGCTTCTGGTTCCTCTAAGCAAACGTCTGCTTGCTCCGTTCCGCCGTGCTCTGTTGTGTTCATAAATGATTTCCGTTCCCTCAGGCCCTTCTGGCTCTGGGCAGACTCCGTACCCTTTGCTGCGTCCATGATTCTGAAATCCTTGCGTTTGCTGACCCTAGAGACGTAACCGTGCCACCAGTCCTGGTAAGAGCTACCTGTCCGACCCTGTAACAGGATAATCTGTGCAACCACTAGTGATATAGCCACAACCAACTTTGCCAAGAAGAGTATCAAGACAAAGTTCATGCTCCGCAAACAGGATGAATGTTTGAGTTTCAATAGATGACTCCTGGGGGGTGAGAGCAAAGACGGGCTGGTAGAAGAGTGGTGGTGTTCTGAGTTATGAGTTTTGCTGGAGCGTGGGGGGTATCCAGTAACCTGAGGCCCTGGCAGGATAGCGCGCCTGTGACAGGGTGAAGAGAGGTGAGGCGAGGCAAGGCGACGCGGGGGGATTGAGTCAGTTGGTGATGGATGTGTCGTTATGGAGGAGGGATCTTTCGAGAGTGTGTAGTCCCGATCGGGCCCAGGGCTCTTGATCAAAGAGCAATGGTGCAAAGACCGCACGAGGTTTGGTTGTCCATCTTGTCGAATTGATGGGGAGTGGGCGGCGGGATGGGAGGTTTTGTGGCAGACAAATTGGCTGAAAAGACCGGGCCGGGACAGACTCGAAAGTAGTCGGATGCGACGGGCCCAAATCTAAAAAAGACGTTGAGGCCTGTGGGTAGAAGAGTGATCTGGAAGGGGGAGCGTGTGGGCGCGTCCCAGATTGAGAGAGGGATGTTTTTGTGTGTGTATGAGAGGACTTGACTGAACCTGGTGGGTTTGACGTCGGAATCCAGCTTTTGATGCAAGGCACGCGTGGGAGGGAAGGAACAGGAAGGGTGACTGCAGGGGATTTATTCGCCCACCCAGGCAGCCCGGATTTAGGGGGGTGGATGGACCACTAGTGGGACGCTTGGTTTGGCAGTGGGCGGACGGGGGATGGCCCATAGAAAGAGTGGGCACGTCCCCAAGGTCGGTACGCACCAAGGTACCGAGGTACCCTGCTCTCTGTTCGCTAGCGGGCTCGAGCAGGTCGCGAGGCTAAACTTTCAGTTGGCGTGTCAGCTAAGGTCCGACCTCAAGCTTATGAGATGGCCATCCATGCCGTGTGCGGGTCCTTGCTCAGCAGGTAGACCACGGTGCACATGAATATTGGAACCCTTGGCATATGCAGTACTCTATATCAGTCTGCTCATTTGGACATCCCTTCTAGATGCCACTCAGCGAGAGCGTGATCACCCGTCGAGATGGGAACTGGCGTGGGTCATTTCAGGGAGTCCTGCACCTACAGTACATGTGCAGTTGTTCCGGATCATCCTCACCAGCAAGGAACAACCTCTTCGGATCGAACGAGAGGTTTCCAGCTAGTCCAGCAGGTACCTTTACAAGTGCTGCTGACAGCAGCATTTGAGCGAGCCAACCCAGCGTGATTATTAACCGCGAAACCTAACAAGGCTGAGCACTTTACTTCTTTGGCTCGGTATCCTAGCGCAGTTTAGGTTGGGGCCGGATTTAGTAGGCCAAAAGTCTTGATAAACACCGGCGGCCACTTCCGCCTGCTTGGTCTGTCCACTGCCACCGCGTGGTGCGAGGCGCGGTTCCTCTCGCGTGGGTACTAGGCTGTATCCTGCTTGTGTGTGTGTGCATCCAGCTGTGCAAAAGTGTGGCAGCCTCGGAACCAGCTCAGTGACCTGATCGTCGCGGCCACCTCAGCGGGCGACAACACATTTTGCTGTGTAGATCACACGCTCCCAGCCGACTTTACAGGTTGTTATGGCTGGTGCGGGTCGGTCTCGTTCTTGGACTCTGTCACAGGCAGGAGGACTCACTCAATCAACTCGCTCGACCGCTCGACCGCCCGTCCGCCTGCCAGGGTTTGGCCGGCCTGTTCCTGTTGTGCACGCAGAGAGATTAACAACGCACATTACGCAGCCGGCTGCACAAAACCCAAAGGCCGACGCGGGATCTGCGGCTGATGGTTTAACAATGCACGCATCTCCACACCCAGCCCAGCAGGCCCAGCCGCGCCCACGTTTTTTTTTCTTCTTCCTTCCTTCCCTGCGTTGGCTTTGTCGCACTTGGCATGTGTCGCGTGATGGCGGTACGCATTAGGCCCTGCCTGCCGACGTCATGCACTCCAGTTATTATTACCGCCAGCTGCATGCTCCAGATTCCTTGACTGGGACACTGGCTGACTGGCCCAGTGCCAGCCTCAGGCCTCGCTCAACTCCCGAAGGGGGCTCCTCCACGTAGGCACTCAGGTACCCGGGTACTTCGGGTACCCCAGGTATTCCAGGGAATCGTGCATTAGAGTCCCTGCACTTGGGTTTGTTTCGGATTCGCAGATTCGACGCTCGCCGAGCACACAGATCGTCCTGCCCACGAGTACATGCCAGCCTACCAAATGGTCCAAATGATCCAAATCCAACTCAGCCAGCCAGCACACTGCAGCCCCACGCTTCGTTCTCGTTAAACCAGCGCAGAGCAGGTGCGCGTGACCCTGGGGCCTGCGGCAGCTTACTGGGCCGCCCGCCTCGCGCTCCTCCAGGAACGTGGAGGTGCACACTGCGCCGTCGCAACTTTCTGGGAACCCGTTGTCACGGGACCTGCTACGTGGTTACACCAAGGCCTAGACTATGATTCAGGCTCTTTCAGTCAAGTCTCTTGAGAGGCGGAGAGTGTGGGGGGGGGGTGGAGGGGGGGTTGCAGCGGGAGCCGCTGATGGCTTCCCAGTCACCGCAAGCACAGGCAGGCGGCATGATCGCGGGCTGGTACAGCTGACTCCCCGTGGGTGCGCATCGAGATGCCCCAAGCCTCACCTTGGGCTACCCGCCCCAGCGTGGGGGTAATGGGTAGGGCAGACAGGCTGACAAGCCAGACAGGCGGTTCGTCAACTGCTGGGACGGCGTTTCAAGTGGAACTATTCTGGTCGCGCCTGTGTAAGGAAACATGGGGGAACACCAGTGCCGCCAAACACAAGGTCTCTAATGCTGCATAAGCAATCACAGGTTGCCCAGAAGGGATCGTCCCACGGCACCACCTGCCCAGTCTATAGTGCAGAAGGCCACTTGCCAGCCTCGGAAATCCCGATGGGGAGTTGTTCCACGAGCCAGAACCCATATGTGTGAGTAACACCTCTCGTGGCCCTTGTTTGTGTGCGAAAGCGGGTGGGTTCCTCCTCCTGAAGACCGGCCATGACACCTTTGTACAATGTACTCCCGCGTAGCATCGCGCTGTCTCGTGGGGGACGGCCGCATCCAGGGGCAAAAAGCCGAAGGCAACCCCAGGGCCGCCTCGACCCGCCGGCTTTTCGTTCTCGGTAACAGTCTGGACGAGACCAGAGTCTGGCCCAAGCGAACCAGCACAAACCAACTCAAACTGACAAGGGAGGTTCAAGAGGATCCCACCTAATCTCTTCAATACGGCACCCCCGCCTTTCGCCTGTTCTCCCCGCGAGATTTCGCATCTCGCTTCCCCCAGGCGCGCAGGCGATCCATCTGGGGCGCCATCTGGAGAAGTGGCCATCACCAACCAGTAGGGCAGCACACCAGGGGATGAATTGGGGCTGATGCCCCTGGGGGAAGGGGTGGCGGGGAGGCAACCGGGGCGACCAGAGCCCCAAGCGGCCTATTGCCAACGGCCTCGCTCGTTTTATTGCAAGGCTCGGAAACATCCCACCTCTCGTTACCACATACGACAGGATGAGTCCCCGCGGAATCGGAGGTGCCAGCCCCGCGCTGGGAACAAACCGCAGGGACCTTTCTGGGAAATCTGTCTTTCGCATCTTGACAGGCGACCAGATTCGTTCTTGGCGGAATGATACTTTGGCTGCTAGCGCGACTCCACAGGGCGCGGCCCGTGCCGATCACTGCCCGTAATCCACACTCTTCTTCGTTGGTCGGGACTCGGTCGTGGTGGTGCTCGCACCACCCGTCCATCCATCATCAGCCTACCAGTCAGTCCACTCCGCGGCTCTACCTGGGGCACTTTTCGTTTTCTAGCTTCAATCTGTGCTCCGGGACATTCTCTCAGGAGCACGGAGCTTGTCCTCCAGCCCGGCCGCCGCTCGTTCTCGGTGTCCAAAACGAGTATGCGCAAGGAAGTCTGGAGACGCATGCAACCTCCAGCCTTCAGCACGGGCGCTGTTCTTTGGCAGTCTGCAGCCTGTTCAGAAGCCTATAGTCACAATTCCACATAGTATACCGTGCGATCGATCACTGTTCCCTTTGACTGGAGAAACACGAACCACCTCAGGCTACAAACTAGGCATGTTAGGCGAGTTTAGGGAGGCTTCAAGAGGGTCCAGAACGTTAACATATTCTATTAGTCGACACTTTTCTTTACATCTCTTTCTGTTGGTACAATAGGGTATCTCTCGTTTCTCGTGTAGTTAGTCTCCTCTAATGATGCTGTGCTGTGTGCCTTCCTTCCATATGATGTCCTTTTACTTGAACCGAATGAACCAAACATCCCCAGAACGCCAATTTTACTACCCTCTGGTGACCGCGGCATGCGCCCAATGACCCTCATGAACAATCGCGTCGTGTCCTAAATTATGAGGCGGAGGTCGCCGCCCATCGTTCGACCAATCTAGTCTCTTTGCCCTCTTCCGAGTCACTTGGTGCTCTTCATTGGCTGTTCGTACAGCGGGGATGGGTATGTCTTTGTCTCGTTCCTCAAACACGTACACTCATCTTCCCTGGATCGATACAAACTTCCCTAGGTAGCCAAAATCCTTGTAGGCACGCCCTGCTAGTACGGCGAGGAATATACTGCACACCAAAAGCAGGAATCCTTGTTTGAGTGTGTTCGCATCACGCTGCTGAGGCTGGGCTGTCGCTGCATTCCCTCCATCCTGGCGCTCACCTGTGGGGTGCTCGTCGGTCTGATCCGATGCCAGCGTGAAGCTCGTGGCGAACTTGTCTAGCAGATCGTCACGCTCATCCCTAGGCTGCGCAGGTCTGAAAGTTGGCTCCGCGAAGATCGTCGCTGGGGGAGCATCTTCTTGTGCCGGGCCCAAGTTGCTTTCTTTAGTGCCCCGGAACGCAATTGGGTTCTGAGTGAGTCGAGGACTTCTTCTTAAAAGCGTCGTGTTTTGTTGGCTGAGAAATCGCTGCGCAGGAGCCCTAGGCGCCGGTGGGACCTTGGCCCAGAATGCGCCCGGTTTATCGTTGACAGGGGTCTCGCCGAACTTTCTGGTCTCGGACTGGCCTGGTTTGTAGGTATTGAATGCCCGATATTTGGACTGAGTGGGCGTCCACTCCATGTTCGGAGAGTAACCAACCATCTCTTGATTATGTGGTTGGGGTGTGTCGGAAAGACTTAGGCCAGAGAGACCAACACCGGAGCTTTGAGGCCGCTTAGTAGGCGAGTTCGCAAAAGGGTTCGGAGTCAAGGGGCGTAAGGAGGGATTAAAAGCGCTCTTCTCTGGTATGGATTGAAAACGGTCGACGTTTTCAGTGGCGGAGAACTGCGACATAAGCGCTTGAGGCTGAGGCTGTGTGGTTGGAGTCGGCTCATGGAGAATCTCGTCAAGAATGGTTGCCATGCTCTTCTCCTCATTTTCTCGTGACTCGGTGGGCGTAAGGGACGGCGGAGGTGCTGGAGTAGCTCCGATGCTGCTGGCCTTCGTAGTCCACAAAGGAGTATGGTCGACGTGGATCAATTTATGCGCAGTGTAGTAGAGGTATATCATGGCCACGGCCATCGAAGAGTGTGCTGTCACCCGGGCCGCCAGTCCCTGTCCCTGCACATTGGACAATGGCGAAATCAGTAAAGTTGCGGCGAGCTTAAGAGCGAAGATCAAAGCTTGGTAGCAATAGTAATTAGAAATGCCGACCAAATGTTTGGTGTTGCTCTTGAAGGTGTCGACCCATCTAGGATTCCACCAGATGCTCAGGGCAGATGTCCAGAAGCTCCATTTCAAAAGTTGGTCCGGAGACGGAAGGAAGCCGGCGAAGAGAGCCACTACCCTGGCGGAAAGCATGAACCATGATCTGTCATTGGTTCGCCTGCTCTGAGCAGCGAGGCCCTGGCTGATGAGAGACACATGCCACAGTAGTTGGAACATGAGTGAGGCAGACCATAGCCACCTGCCCACCGATTGACAATAGTAGACAGGCGAATTGGTGGTGACGACTCGGATCTTGGCAGTTCGGTCGAGCATGCGCCGCAGGTGATCTGTCTTCGCAGTGTACGCGGCCTTGGCAAGTTGTTCGCGAACCTTGGGCTCGCAGTCGGCGCAGCACTGGGGATATCGCACCATAAGGCCCTTGTAGAATTTGTAATAGCCCTTCTCCCGAATGGCGTATTCCGGGTCTTCAGGGTCCTCGGGAAAGTACTGGGCCAGAGAGGATATGAAAAGGTGCTGGTTCTGCAGACATTTGTCGCAAAAGACTCGGCTGGATGTCGTGGAGTGATCTCGACGGATGGCGAACTGCGCTGGCAGGGCCTCGGTAGTGTTCTTCGAAGCAGGAACATCGGTGATGTCGCCTTTCTGGATTGCGATCTGTTAGTCGACATTGAAACGCCATCAACACCATCATGTATGAGCCGCGTTTACTCACAGTGTCAAGATGATTCGTCGCGTTGCAGTTGTTGCACTCGAAGCGGCGCATGGAGCCATCGTATTTGGTCGTGGACTTCCGGTTGCAATAGAAGCAGGTCAAGGGCTTGTTGAGCTTTCTGGTCTGGGGTGCCATTGTGAAGACCGGACCATCGCATCGAGCTTGGAGCTCAAGGGAACTGGAGCAGAGGGGTGGGTTGGCGGGTGGAGCGTCCCGCGGGATTGTTTTGTATTCTCCAGTCTTTGTTGGCGGGGAGAAAAGCTCGAGGCTGCAACGAAGAATGGACTATTTGGAGTCGGCCTCATCAAGGTGCCCAAAATTTTGGTTGCACAATGAGGTCAGCCCAAGCAGCTGTTAGCCAAGCACCCCTGGCAAGGCTCGCACAGGCCACTACCACCTGTGGAGCTTCACTTTAGGCCAGCACTGGGGGCGCCTGGGCCGTCGAACACAGCAGTCGTAGGTAGATAGCGTCCGGGGAATATGTCACCAAGGACAAAGTCACCAATTCTTGAGGCATCAGAGTGAATGCCTCGCCTCCATGATTGCCTTTATCATCAGGAGAATCGAGGGACCGAGGACAAAATTTCGGTTTGTACCGTTCACACAAAGGCACTCCTTCAGGCAGTTGGCTAACGTTTCAACAGGCTGTCGATTCCAGCGCGTGAGGAAGCTGGTGCAGTACGGAGCTCCCTTTGATGTGTCTGTGTATGGGAGATCTGTTCGATATGGCACCCGCATTTTCGCCGGAGACTTCCACCAGTCCTGACACCAAACCAGCCTTGGATGATGAGTTGCACTTGGCCCATGTCTCTGATGCCGCAGCTCTCTATGGCCTCTTCATTACGACAACAGTATTTCTGATAATACTGATAACCGGCCTATGTGTTCTCTGCCTAGGCTTGGTTACTACTATCAGTGGATTGATCTCGCTTGGCTTGTTGATTGCGGTAGGTCGCGAAGAATGGCTGGCAGCGTCTGGCGATTCAATACGCTCCTTCATGAACTGACAGTCCATCAGACTCGGCACTTCTACACCACGAAGAACAAGGCTATCGACGTGGCCATAGAGACAACGAAACCTGGGCTGGATCTATCACATTTGCCAGCTATATCGTATTTATACGTCTTTGGATCCGGCGGCCACACCACGGAGATGACTGCACTGATCAAGATGAGCTTCAGGGCGAACAAGAACCAACATCGTCGTTATATCATCACGGAAGAGGACCAACACTCTCAAGATCAGGAGAGAGCTCTCGAGAACTTGATACAGGAGTCCTGTACTGGTGAAACTGCTGGCACATACGACACTATCATCGTCCCCAGGGCCCGGAAAGTCTATCAGTCGTATCCATCGTCAGTATATACCTCTCTAAGGTGCGCACTTGACATCCTGGTTGCTTTGACGACGATACCGGCCCAGCGTGCCGGCACACCCAACGCCAAGGAGTTCCAATACCCTCATGTCATTGTCACAAACGGGCCAGGAACGGGGTTCATCGTGGGCCTCATGGCGCACATCCTCAAAGTCCTCTATCTTGTTCCACAGGATCGGCTTCGAGTAGTCTTTGTCGAGACATGGGCACGGACCCACAACTTGGGGCTCACCGGCAAGCTGTTCTATTGGACTGACATCGCCGATGTGTTTGTGGTCCAGTCTGAGAAGCTTTCCAAGATTGTGGGCAAGCCTAACATTGGCAACGTGAATCTGAGGTGGGCCCAGAGTCGACGGAATCACAAGTCGCATAGGTAGCAATGCTCGCGCAACTGTCCCGAGGTTTCTTCCAATGCTGAGGAGCATGTTGCGCATCTGCATCTAGGGGTGCTCTTTTATCTACAATTGAACCCGATTTCGCGCGTTCAAGCCGTTCATGATCATGCGAGACGCTCAGCATCCTCCACCTCGAGCGTTTTGTCGTCGGTGCCGAAGTTGGCATAGGCCGCATCGCGCTCAGCCTGGAGTTTCTGGGCCTCGCCCTCGGCCCACTTCTTCCACTTCTCGTATACCGCGTTCTCCAGCTCCATGCTGACCTCTAACCTCGACTTGCCGAAGTATGCGCCAACCATGCGCGCCTCTTCTTGGGCAACACGCCTCTCAATGTCTTGTTGTTGCCGTATGTCGTACAGCTCTTTGCGGGCTATGTCGTAGGCCTGCTCTTTTGACATGCCTTTCCGGTTCTCCATGAGCCATAGCTGCCTCTGAACGACTCTGCGACGCTGTTAGCCTTGTCACCAACCCAATTACGGTGCTCCTCTGGTCCGGCACTCACGATTCGCCCGTGACTGGGACACCGCGCTGTCTCAGGCCCTTGCTCCAGTCCACGTATCTCGCATCCTTTCCGTCAAGCTCTACCACCACCCTGGGCCGTGCCAGCTCCCACGGGTGGTCCTTAAAGAAGTTCCATCGCAGCTCGTCCTCTGGATATGTGATCTGCTGGGGCTTGAAGATGTTCCGTGGGTTGCGCTGCCGTGGGTTCGGGTCGCGGTGCGGTGTGGGTTTGGGACGAGTCAAGATCTCAGACGGCGGTATCCTCTCAATGACTTTGAGCCATACTGGGGGAACTGCGCGTGGCGCTTTGCTGTTGCGCGGGATTGCCAGGTTGATTTTGGCCGTTTGGTAGACCCTCTGGGGCCGAAAGGACCGGCCCATGACGGGCGTTCGTGGGAGTGCAAGCTCGCCTGGGTGCTCAACCTTCGGTGGGAATTAGAATTTCAGAAAGGCACCTTGAGTCGGGTTCGCAATCGTCGATTGGGAGTCCACTGTCGCTTGGAGGTTACTTGCTCCTAGTTACTTGGTGTCCAAAATTTATGATGCGGCTCGGGTCGTCCAAGCTTAATGCGATGCGAGTCTTGCAGGGGGAGCTTATCGGTGCTATCAATCCCCACCGCGGCGACCCGGCGCGCCATTGCAGAGCTTGCGTTTTCAAAGCTTCCCAGACTTCACGATTTCCCCCCATGTGAAGCTCCCATTGCTCCCTTCCTTTTGTTCGCCGCCAATACTCGCACCGCCAGTCTCGTTATTCTATGCTGACGACTCGGCGGTAGCAGAGCCATGATGTGGGACAGCTCATGAAAATCTCCAGTCGAATTCAAGGGTCCTTATGCGGCACGATACTCCCGTTCCGACAGAGCCTGTGGCCACAGATCAGCTTCGTGTATGGGGCGAGGGCTGCTCATGGATGGCAATTGCGGCCGAAGCTGCGCAAGGAGCGCGGCCGAAGTCACAATGCCTCGACGAACCGCTCTGCCGAAACGCAATTCTTTTCCTCGTGGATCCTGCCCCCGGTCGTTTTGAACCCATTTCGCTACACAACGAGAATCGGCGAGTGCACGTTCAGGCTCTCGAACGTCCCGAAAAACACAAGATCGAGCCATTCGAGCGCAGAAGGGAAAGCGGCGACAGGCCCTCAAGGCTTGAAAAAGGAAGAATTGCTGTCTTTGGTTGACCAGACTCAAGATACAACAATAGATGAGCATCTGCAACTCACCAGAGACCCATACATGCGAGGGTATGCGCCAGCAGACGGACCCGACTTGGCCGTTTCGGACCGCCGGGATGACAAAGACTTCCCATCGTTCTACGAGACGAGGGAAGGAGGCGAGCACGAGCAGGAGATTCTGGGCAAACTGTGGCGTGCAGTGCAGCGCCGGCTGAGGAACCCCTACAAAACCGACATCGAGTACATATACGGGCTGTACCAGAGCCTGCCCGAGCCGCGGATGCCGTATCTTCACGCGAAGATTCGCCACGGCTTGATGAAATGCCTCGGCCGCGAGGAGAAAAACTCGAAGTCCATGTTGCGCTATTTCGCCGTGGTCGCGGACATTCAGAGCAACGGCCTACGCCTCACAAGACCCGAGTGGAACGCTGCCCTGTCCTTTGCGGCCCGGCACGTGGGTCACTCGACAGAAACGGAGGCGGCAGCGACTATGAACTTATGGAGAGAAATGGAGCATGACGCTGGCATCAGTGCCAATGCTGTCACCTTCAACATCCTGTTCGATGTCGCATCAAAAGCCGGAAACTTTGTCCTCTCAGAGATGCTGTACAAGGAGATGGACAAGCGTGGTTTCAAGTACAACAGATACCATCATGTCAGCTTGATTCACTTCTTCGGGCTGAAGATGGACAGCGACGGCATCCGAGCCGCCTACAAGGAAATGGTCGAAGACGGTGAAATGATTGACACCACGGTGCTCAACTGTGTCATCGCCGGCCTCCTTCGCTGCGGAGAGGAGTACGCGGCTGAGCGCGTCTACGAGCGCATGAAGGCCGCACACGAGCGAGCTCCCGCCATGCCCTACCGGAACTACATGAACGATGGTGCCATCACCAAAGTCCTAATGATGTTCGCAAAGATTTCAAAACAGGACCCCAAGTTTCGTCGTCGGCAACTTCAAAAAGCTTCACCAATAGTCCCCGACATGCAGACTTATCGTATTCTGTTGAATCACTATGCGGTCAAGATGTCCGCCCTCGACAAAGTTGCGCACTATCTCGACGACGTGAAGTGGTTCCAGATCCCCCTACACGGGGCTGTTTTCCTCGCGCTTCAAGGGCTTCGGCCTATACGGCGGGCCCGAGGGTCAGGTCTGGGGCCCTCAGCGACTCGAGAGTGTGTGGAACGCCTTCGCCCAGGCGCTCGCAGAGCACACACACGGCCTGTACGTCGACGTGTGGATGGCGAAATGGATCCTCCGAGCATTCCGCAAATGCGATACCGGGGCCCGGGTCAGGGAGATCTGGGAGGAGCTTAAGCCGAGGTGCGAGGCGGATTTCGAGCCCGAGGACGTCGAGCATTTTGAGGAGTTCTTGGTCGATCTCTTCGAAGGCGGCGAACAGGCGAAGGAATACAGAGATACAGGAATGTTTGGGAAGGCCGGGACTTGGAAGTACGACTGATTGGGATGTAAAAGGACCTGTAAACATCTATACGAACATCTATGATACCACCTGTAAAAATGCAGAATCGGGCCACCTGGGCTCATTGTACATCTTCGACTCTCAGCACAAATCAAGTACCAATTTTGAGACACGCATCAAGAGCATTCCATGTGTGCAACATACTTCCTCACCTTACGACAACTTCGTTGTTGCCTTAGAACTCATATGTCGAAGCAGATGTGCGTCCCTTGAAGATAAGTTCACCAGCTCATCTGCCGAAAGCTTAGCGGTTCTGGCGCAAATTGTCGATCATACGAACCATGTGGCTTACTGCACGAACTTGGAAATCGCGAAGGCATGGCGCGAGGACATGCACACATAGCTGACCAACCGTTTTCAAGTGAGGGCAGGTGCACAGGATTTCAAGGGTTCATTCTACATCGGCTGGAACATCTGCAATTCAAACCTTGAGCCGCCATAGTCGTCCGAGCACCAGACCATCCCTTACTTCGTCGCATGTGTTTTCATAACGGCCCGGCACCCTTAGCGACCCCCGAAGCCATGGCGTAGCAACACAGTCACATAGCATGGAATGATGGGGTCATCCGGCAACGCATTGCTTCATCGATCTTCATCCACATGCTGCGCTCTTTTTTTTTTTTTTGGTATGAAGCTTTCTGCCGAGGCCGCAAGGCCGGAACACTTGACATATGAGAGTCAAATCCACTCTGTGGAGCCTTCATGTAATCAAGAGGTATGGTCGGGGTCGGAACTAAAGGAAACTCGATTGCTGTAGTTGTCTATTGTCGGTTCTATCCGCGCTCCATATTCTCGTCTCAACAGCCCAAGGCCCACCTCATAGTCGTTGTGTACAAGCCCACCATGGACCAGATCGGTTTTCTCGTCTATGAACGGGGCTTGTAGGTTTGCCAGGCTGCAAAAATGTTAGAAGATCCACCCGGAAAACGTGTCTGACGGCCATGACGGTTAAGCGCAACGCACCGGCGATCAGGAAGGGGGCGGCGAATCCGGTGGCGCAGTAGCCCCAGAACAGGATGGGAAAGGTCTTCTTCTTGGGGTTGAAGGGGATGTTGGTGTACGGGCCCTCGGCGTAGTGGTAGGGGGAGGACATCTGGGAGCGGGTGGCATGGAAGCCTCGGCGGCCAGCGACCTGGGTGGTCGCGCGGACAGCGGCGCGGGAGAACATCTGGAGCCAGGCGGGCCGATTTAGTACCAATTGCACGTCAATTGTATTTGTTTCCACAGGTAGAGACTGACCTTGAAGGGTTCTTTTGCGGGGGTGAGCTGGGGGGCTGGTGGTTCAGGAGCAGTGACGTTGATTGACCGCTCTCACAATTGAAAGTCGAAGTCGTACGAGAGCTCTCCGTCCCAGGTTGGAGGAGTTTCGCCTGAGAGATCAGGCAGAACCGTCGAGTCCCGCAGAGTCCCGCATGCAGGGGTCCGCTTGGACACCGCTCTCCCCGGTCTGGCTTATCAGTTCTGCCTATCGCAAAAAAGTTGACCTTGAATCGAGATTTGGTAGCGCCATCGCTGGTAAGTGATGCAGCTGCGGCTGCAGTTGATTCAATTTGTGTAATTGGCGCCAACCAACCTCAAGAAGCTTCCTCACTGTCACCTTGCCGCCCCTTTGCGGACATCACCTCGTTCTGACGGCTCAGTCTCGGAGCTAATAAACTTTCCAGCCGCTCCTGTCCGAAACCTTGGGACGCGCCTGCTGTTTGGAATCTTCGACTCGAAGCCATCACTACGGGAAAATCCCTTCAACAACGATCACGCCCACCTAGTCTGTCGCCAAGGAGTACCCTCCGGACTCGAGTTGATCGCAGCTTCATCGCGATCCGACCCATCATGGACGAGCTCTTTGATGTTTTCGACGAGCCGCCCAAGCAGGCAGCCGATGCCGTAGACACTCAGGCCGGCGCCGAGCCTGCACAACCCGCCACGACCTCCCCATCTGCAAGGTCGAAGTCGTCAAGAAGGGAAAAGACGGAAAAGAAGAAGGATAAGAGCAAGAAGCGAAAAGCGGATGGCCATATCAAGAATGGAACGTCTAACGACGCAGACGTCGAGATGGCCGACGGCGAAGTGCCCTCGAACGATGACGAGGATGGCGAGGAGGAGGGACAAAGCCCAGCGGAGAGCGCAAACAATCCCCAGGACCCTAAGCGACGGAAGAAGGAGAGCGAGGCCGACCCCGTAATGGCAGACACATTCACCACTGCCGAGTCGAGAGAGGTCGCCGCGGCTGAAGGTTTTGCGCCGGCAAAGGGGGAGGAGGCGGACAAAGCCCTGACCATTGCACACAACATCCAACATCAGGTCGCCCTGCCGCCAGATCTGGACTACGAATACGTTCCCCTGTCAAGTCATAAGCCACCCTCGGAGCCCGCGCGAACCTACAGCTTCAAGCTCGATCCGTTCCAAAGCTTGTCCGTGGCTTCGATCCAAAGAGACGAGTCTGTCCTCGTCTCAGCTCATACCAGTGCAGGAAAGACAGTGGTTGCTGAATATGCAATTGCTCAATGTTTGAAGAACAAACAGAGAGTGATCTACACGAGTCCCATCAAGGCGCTGAGCAACCAGAAGTACCGAGACTTCCAGGGTGACTTCGGAGACGTGGGACTGATGACAGGAGATGTTACCATCAACCCGACTGCGAGTTGCCTGGTTATGACAACCGAAATTCTGCGGTCCATGTTGTACCGTGGCTCTGAGATCATGCGCGAGGTGGCGTGGGTTGTATTTGACGAGATCCACTATCTCCGAGACAAGAGTCGTGGTGTGGTCTGGGAGGAAACCATCATTTTGCTGCCAGACAAGGTCCGATATGTGTTCTTGTCTGCGACAATTCCCAATGCTTTCCAGTTCGCGGAGTGGATCGCAAAAATACACCGTCAAGCATGTCACGTCGTGTACACCGACTTCCGACCAACGCCTCTGCAGAACTACTTTTTCCCAGCCGGCGGCGAGGGCATCTTCCTTGTCGTTGACGAGAAGAGCAACTTTAAGGAGAACAACTTCAACAAAGCCATGGCTCTTATCGAACAGAAGAAGGGCGCGGATCCTGCTGATCCTAACGCCCAAATGAAGGGAAGAGGGCGGAACAAGAAAACGAACAAGGGCGGCAAGTCTGACTCGCAGTCAGATATCTCCAAGATCATCAAGATGATCATGAAGAGGTCTTTCCACCCTGTCATCGTCTTTAACTTTAGCAAGCGGGATTGTGAGGCAATGGCGCTTGCCATCTCACACATGACATTCAACAATGCATCTGAAAAGCAATTGGTTAGAGAGGTGTTCCACAGCGCCATCAACCAGTTGGCCGAGGAGGACCGGACTCTTCCACAAATCACCCACATTCTGCCCCTTTTGGAGAAGGGCATTGGTGTCCATCACTCTGGCCTCCTGCCTATCCTGAAGGAAACCATCGAAATTTTGTTCCAGGAGGGTTTGATCAAGGCGCTCTTCGCTACCGAGACTTTTTCCATCGGCTTGAACATGCCGGCCAGAACAGTTGTTTTCACGTCAGTTATGAAGTTCGACGGAGTGCGACAACGCCCTCTGACAACTGGTGAGTACATCCAAATGTCGGGTCGTGCCGGACGTCGAGGTCTCGATGATCGCGGTATTGTCATCATGATGATTGATGACAAGCTCGAACCGGAGACGGCAAAGGGCATCGTGGCTGGTGAGCAAGACAAGCTTAACTCGGCTTTTTACTTGGGCTACAACATGGTTCTCAATCTGCAGCGTATTGAGACCATCTCGCCCGAGTTCATGCTTGAGCGATGTTTCTATCAATTCCAGAATGCTGCCAGCGTTCCTGGGCTGGAGAAGGAGCTCATCGCTCTGCAGCAGGAGCGGGACAACATGGTGATTCCTGACGAGAACACAGTCAAGGAATACTACAACCTGCGGAATCAGATCGAGGACTACACCAAGGACATGGTCGCAGTAATACAGCACCCTAATTACTGCACCGAGTTCCTTCAACCTGGCCGACTAGTACAAATCAAAACGCCGAGCGGGGAGGATTTCGACTGGGGCGTGATCATTAACTTCGTTTCTCGCCGGTCACCCAAAGCCGGCGAGCCACCACATTTGCCTCAGGAGTCCATTTTCATTGATGTCCTCCTGCGATTGGACGGTGAGAGCAACGATGTCAAGCGCATCCAGCCTTCAAGCGGTGTAATGCCGCCTGGGGTTCGTCCATTTGTGGAGAGCAGATCCAAGACCTGCAGGTACGAGGTTGTGCCAGTGCTTCTGAATTGTGTCAAGGCTTTTGGGCAGATCCGTTTGTTTGTGAAGGGCGACCTGAAGACGGAGCAGGAGATGGGTCACTGCGGAAAGAACCTCGAAGAGGCCAAGCGACGATTCCCTGATGGAATTCCTATCCTCGACCCCATTGAGAACATGGGCATCACCGATGAGTCGTTCAAGAAGCTCATGCGCAAGATCGAGGTTCTTGAGTCCCGGCTGCTGTCGAATCCTCTGCATGGTTCCCCTCTCCTTCCCGAGCTCTGGGAGCAATATTCCAAGAAGGTCGCCCTGACCGACAAGATCAAGGAGAAGAAGAAAGCAATCGCCAAGGCACACAGCATTGCTCAACTCGACGAGCTCAAGTCACGTAAGCGCGTTCTTCGCCGCTTGGGGTTCATTAACGACGCCGAGGTGGTGCAGATGAAGGCTCGTGTGGCGTGTGAGATCTCGTCCACCGAGGGCCATGAGTTGCTCCTCTCGGAGCTGCTGTTCAACCGCTTCTTCAACGAGCTGACGCCTGAAGTGTGCGCGTCGGTGCTTAGCGTCTTCATCTTCGACGAGAAGGTGGAGACACAGGAGCTCAAGGAGGAGCTCATGAAGCCGTATCGCGAGATCCAGCGCCAGGCCAGGGTGATTGCCAAGGTCAGCCAGGAGAGCAAGCTCGATGTGAACGAGGACGAGTATGTCCAGAGCTTGAAGTGGCAGCTCATGGAGACTGTCTACGCCTGGGCCCAGGGAAGGCCGTTTGCAGAAATCTGGTATGTTTATTTTCCCTTGGCGCTTTTCACCATGCAATCCTCCATCATCTATTGCTCCAGTATCCCACCCCCTCCCCCCCCCCATTCACTTCGCGTCAATTACATATACAAAATGCTAACAGTCACGCAGCAAAATGACAAACGCCTACGAGGGCTCACTCATCCGCCTGTTCCGACGACTGGAGGAGTTACTGCGGCAGATGGCCCAGGCCGGCAAGGTCATGGGCAGCGAGGAGCTGAGCAAGAAGTTTGAAGAGTCCCTCAACAAGATCAAGAGGGATATTGTGGCGGCCCAGAGCTTGTACCTGTGATTACGGCATGGATTGAGCATTTCGTTTGGGCTACAACCGCCCCCTCGGGGTTTTGGTTCGCGCCCCATTGAACAGGAGTTTTGGACGGGAAAATACCATGATCATAGCGGCGTAGGTTGTTCAAGGTAGAAAGCCACGTAGTATGAACCGAATGCAGTCATTGACTGACTGGAACGCCGCGCGGCGTTCGGTTATGGATGACCAAACTCAAGTCACTTCTCAGACGCTGGGTTCGGGGCCTAGCAAGAGTTCGATGCCAACTCTTCCAATCCCGTATCCTTTCATGCGCGATGAATCATGTTGTGCTCAGATATACCGTAGTTTCTCTGAACGGCGTCATGGCGACCAAAGGGTCCCTACAGACCTTCCACTGTCGTCCGAGCAGAACAGCAGCCGAGTGAGATCCTACCCGATGGCCCGGATCGTGCCAATAAGCAAGCTCAGCACGAAGCCAAAGTAGACAAACACCCGCATCCGCTTGGGGATCTTCTCCTCGTCCCGGACAAGCCACCCGATAGCCCCGAGCGGCCAGATGAACCCGATGAACATGCCCTTGAGCAGTATGTCCAGCACGCCAGCGACGCCAAACTCCTCCCCTCCGCCGGCAGCGGCAACGGCCTCGGCCTCGTCACTTCCGGCCGGCATCGCGGCGGCGGGCGCCGCGTCGTTGTTGTTGTCGATCCACGCGTCCTCCATGCCCCGCAGCGTGTCCGGGCTCGGAAGCGTGTCGGCAGTGTGGCGCGCCTCCTGGATCGAGCGGAACTGCAGCCGCAGCTGGTTGACCTCGGCCGCCGTGAAGCCCGCCGAGAGGAGCCTGTCGAAGCCGCGCGGCGCCCGCTGCTGCTGCTGCTGCTCCGGGGCCCCTGCGCCCGGGGTCGCGCCGGCACCAGGCAGCGGTGAGTGGCTCGATGGGTACGGCGACGACAGCCCCCCCGCGCCGGGCGGCGGCTGCTCGGGCACGGGCTCCTCGGCCCTCCTCCTCTCCTCGCCGAGCTCCGCGTCCGTGAGCAGGTCGCCGATGCTGCAGTTCACGTAGACCCTCTGCGCGGCGCCGCCCTCGACGGCCTTTCCCTTTCCCTTGCCCTTGGGGTCATGCTCGTCCCTGGCCGTCGGCGGCGGCGGGATCGCCTTGAGGACTGTGCCGACGACCGCGGTGTCCGGGAGGATCTTGCCGCCGTGGATGAAGCGCAGGCGGCGCTGGGAGGTGGGCTGCTCGAGGCGCGTGCGGATCAGGTGCTTGAGCGCGGCGACGGTGGTCCGGCCCGGGTGCGGGATGTCCAGGAGCAGGTCGGGGATGGAGGTCGAGAAGCGGACGGTCAGGAGGAGGGGAGGCGTGTGCTGCGGCTTTGGTGTCGAGCCGCCATGCTGCGGCGTGAGGAGGGTGGGCGTCTTGAGCGGTGGCGGGAGATTTTGGTGGCGTGGCTTCGTGGGCGAGGAGGACGAGCTGCTCCCGCCTCCACTCATCTTGGCTATAATGACAAGGCTATCAGTGGTACCATCTTCTGGCACATGGTGTGCAAAGCGATTGCTTGATGCGCCGGAAATGTAGGGCCTTAGGGGTCGGGTTGATGGGGGATGGAGTGATCAACGAGCTGACGTCCATTGGACAAGCACAAGCGATGGTAAGATTAGATATGCATGAAACGGTGCGTCGGCTGCCTTCTACCGAGTTAGCGGGACGTCCTACAGTGAGGCTTGCTTCTCGAACTGTCTCGCCCCAGACAGCTTTCTTGGGATCAGTGTTCTCAACTTCGCAAGGGCCTAAAGTTAGTCATATGATTGGTACTCTGATGCGAGAGTTTCGCCACTATTTCCAACCGGTTATTCACCACGAAGAACCATCAGTCATGCGCTAGTCTCCCATCTGGTTCAATTCCGTGATTCAATCTGAACTAATAGCCGTCCATCCGAGAAGTACAAGCTGTCCAGGCTGTGCCTTAAACCCCGACGAAATTGTTCTCTGTTCCGTTCCCAACTCCGAATTTCAAACATGGCAAGTGTCTTTGTACAAAAGGAATTCCCGACGCTGATCCCATAAGTCATCAGTCATTCGTAGTCTCATTCGAAGCAAGTGCTCGGTGGTCGCGAAGGAGGACAGCCCACGACCTCTACTTCTTGCGGAACAGGTTGGAGAACCTGCGGCTTGCTCCCTGCCGCAGCTTGTATCGGGTACGGGTGGCCTGGACTGAGAAGCGAACCAGAGACTCGAAGAACTCCGTGACACCTTCGCCGGTCTTAGCAGAGCACTCATAATAGGCCGACGCTTTGTTCTTTCGCGCAGTCTCTTCTCCCTGTGCACAGTGTCAACTTCTCTTCTACTTCTGAGCCGGTAGTCAGGGGCCAGGTGACGTACCTGTCCGACAGTGAACGCAGTCGACTCCTTCAGGAAGCCGAGCCGCAGGGTCGGGAAGTCGGGACGCAGGTCGGCTTTCAGGCCAAGGACGATGGACGAAACACCTGGGCAGTATCTCTTGGCCACGCGCTGCCACTATCCTCAGGTGTTAGCACTATCCACTTCAAATCTTCAGGAATCAAGCATCATTACCTTGGCGACAGACTTCAGGTTGCGCTCGTCTCCGATGTCAACGCAGATGACGACCACATCAAAGGACGCCATTGCCAGGGGATGTGTCTGGCCGTTCTTCACGTTTCGATGAGCAATATCCCAGATCTCGGTGCGCGCCTTGTAGTTGTCGACGGACAAGACACCAGTGAGTTTGACGCGGAAGGGATCCACGTCGGGGCGGTAGACGATGTTCTAATACAGGTGTTAACCCACGTCTCTCGTTTTGTCATTTAATGCGGTTAAGACGTACGCCGCTGTTGGCTGACAGAGTGTAGCGACTGTGCGTGTTAGCAAATTCAAGTGATACTTTGCAGCCACCATAATTGTTCAGTATTTGCTTACGAAAGAAGGACATCCTTGCCACAATTCTGGTTGCCGATGAAGGCAACCCGAAGATCGTGCTCCTCTGGATCGTTGATTAGTACTGGGGTGTTTACAGGCTCTGTGTGTGTGACAGGCTCATACCTTTCTTCCGCATGGTCAGCTTGCTGAAGAACTCCTTGGAAGACCTGCTCATATCCCTCAACATGACAGAGGCAGAACTCTTTCTGCCATTATTGAAGTCTTCCGCAGGAGTGCTCAAGGCTGAGCGTCGGTTTCGAATTGAGCCGAAAAGACTCTTGGGGCGCTTCTCACGCTCGTCATCAACAGCAGTCGCGGCGCTCTGTTTATCACCCGTGTTGTGGTCAGATTCGTCGCACCGATTCCAATTTCTTGCATTGGTGTAGAAGCTCGCAAACTTACCTGAGCTCGACCGTTCTTCTCGGGGCTACCAGCAGGCAAGTGCTTCTGCATTTCACCCAGGTTCGAGCCAAAGTGGATGGTGTGCCGCTTGCTGGCGGGGCGAGTGAGGATGGCCATGTTGGCTTCGCACTTTGGCTGAGAAGTAACGCTTTCGTCCTCACACGTTTCCCCCTGTTCTTGAGATTGCTCTGACTCGGATGTCTCGTTTTCACCGGTCTGTGACCGTTCAAGCCCTTGGAAGAGGTCGGCGAACTGGCTTGGTGGATGATGCGATTGTGGCGCATGAGAAGCCGGCTGAGAGCTGAAGTACAAGGAGGACCTTCTCTGTGGAATCCTTGGCTGGAAATGGCACCCTTCAGGCCGGAGTGGGACTTCTTCAAGCCGCGGATGGACTTCTTCAAGCTTTGGAAGCACCTCTTTGGGCTGGGTTGGGTCTTCAAGCTGCGGGTGGACTTCTAGCTCCGGGTTGTCTTCAAGCCGGGAGTGGACTTCCTCGAGCTGCAGAGGCGAAGGTACTCTTTGAGGCTGCAAATTGCACTGTTCAAGCTGCACTGGGTGCTGAGAAAGTGGGTTGGGATGCCCAAATCGAATTTGTGAAATGGAGAGATCGGTGCCTAGACCAGGAGAAGCAGGTCCAGGTGGTCTCGGCGCTGGTGCAGACTGTGCCCTGGGTCTGATGCTCCCTGGATGCTGGAGCATAGGAGGTGGCTCAGGGCACGGCTCAGGAGGAAGTGGTTCAGAGCGAGCTTCAGGCCGGTCTGGAAGGGTATGAAGCCACCTCTGCATCCGCCGTGTGCAAAAGATCCGTCCTTGGGCACTCACACGCGCCTTGTACAAACTGGAGGTCGTTGGACGATCAGGCTCCCAGAAAGGGTCTGCTGCCCTCATGAAATCTTCCAGATTGACGTAGATATATTCTGGAAAGACACGTGAGGGCTGCGCTTCATTTGGGCTCATACCCTGAATGGCACGCTGCCACTCATGCCTCTCAGCTCTGAGGCTAGTCATTTCACCGAAAAGGCTTGCCAAAGGTCCTCAAAATTAACTGTGGCAGTGTTGATATCCTTACTGCACGTGTGTGCCATACGCATACACGTCGAGGCTCTGATGTTTGCTGTTGACAGAGGAAGTGATTCGTGCCAGATGGTTGACCAGGCTGCTGAGGGCAGCAGCACTGAATGATGCACACTTGGAAAAGGACCTGGACAAGCATTTGAGAGGGATTCTGAAGAATGTCCTGTTGCTGTGGCGGACGAACTCGTGTTTGTGATGGAAATTGGCAATGTTGTGATCAAGATAGCCCAGATCGTAGACAAGCACCAGGATGGCTCAAAGATTGGTAACAATCAGTGAGCCATATCGAGCAGGGCCATCTGAGAGATAAAGGAGGGGTCACAATGGACTTGAATTGAACTCGCAGTCTTTAAGCTGCGAGTCCAGTCCTATGCCTTGATGGCACCAAGACAAGAGTGGGTCCTGTCGTTGAATTGTCGCCGTGGGAACCCCCACCCCTTCCTTTCTTTGCTCATAGCTCGCGCTGAACCAGCTTGGACATGGCATCTGAAAATTCAGACACTGGTATGCAGGCAATTACCAGCAGTGCAGATCAGCCTGAGGCTATGCTCGGAGGCAATCGGCTTGCAAAACGAAGGCACAGGATCTGGGCAATGGAATACCACTACTGTGTGGAAGTCCCCGTATGTCCAGTTCCGGCTGAGGTGAAACTAATCATCTATTTTTGGCCCTATTGAACTGCCCCAGCAGGAAACGTATCCCTCTACTCCTGGATGTATTTCTTCAGGCCCCTCAACCTCTCCTTCGCCGTCTCGAGCACATCGTCCGGCTTGCAGACCGCGAAGCGCAGGTAGTCCTCAACGATCTTGCAGTTCGCATCAGTGTAGAACTCAGTTGGCGGGATGGCAGCAACGCCGACCTCTTGGATCAGGAACCAAGCAAGCTGGAAGTCGCGCGGTCGGCTGGCCACGTGTGGCGGGAACGGGTAGTCGGCCGGCAGCTTGACCTTTGAGAAATTGGCCATGACGAAGTAGCCGCCCTCGGGCTCCGTGTAGGGGAGTCCCAGCTCCTCAAACACCTCATTGAATCGGTCCACCCGCCCCTTCATGTCCTTTACACATTCATCCCAGAATTCCTCAGCCTCGGCCTTCTCAAAGCCTGAATCAAGGGGAATCAGTCAGTCACACTGGGATACGCCATCTGTGAGGGAATGGTAGGGGGGCATGTTCACTCACCAATAGCACAAGCCTCCTGGAGCGGTGACACCGAGGAGTAGCATATCCGGGTATGCGCCGCGGAAACATACTGGATCAGCTCGGCCGGACCCATCAACCAGCCTACTCGCCACCCGGTGGCATAGAAATTCTTGCCAGCCGAGCCGACAGTCAGGGTGATCTTCTCGACCTCGGGGGATAGGGTTGCGATTCGCGTGAACGGGGTGTAGTAAAGGCGGTCGTAGACCTCGTCAGATAGGATGATGATGTTGTTCTTGAGGCAAATGTCCGCGATCCTCTGCAGCTCGGCCTTGGAGAAGACCTTGCCGACGGGGTTGTGCGGCGTGTTGATGACCATCATCTTAGTTCGGGGCGTCACGGCGCGCTCAAGCTCGCCAAAGTCGATGGTCCACTCCGCAGCAGAGGATGTCTTTGTGGCGCCTTCCTTGGGCGGGTGCATGGGCACGTAGACGATCTTGCCGCCCGGCATTTCGATGTTGCTGATGTACTGGTCGAAAAAGGGCTCGAAAATGATGACCTCATCGCCCGGCTCAATGAAGGCCATGAACGCGCTCAGCATGCCCTCGTTAGCCCCTGTCGTGATAGTCACCTCTGTGTCCGGGTTCAGCTTCCTGCCCCAGTGCGGTGAGTAGGCGTCGGCGATGGCCTTCTTGAGCCGTGGCCGACCCTTGGTGGGCGAGTACTGGTTGCACTCCACGCGATCCAGCGCCTCCTTTGCAGCGTCCAGGATGAACTTAGGCGGGTTGTACCCGAAGAATCCCTGGCCCATATTGATAATAGGCTGGTTGGGTGATGCAGTCGCTGCCTCATTGATGATGGTCCTGGGCCGCGTCAGTGAAGGTTTCCTCAACACGGAGATTGCCACGTAGGCCTATTATCTACTCACCACACATCTTGCCTGCTGCCCGCGACACGGGCAGCGGGCTTTATCTTTTCGGTCGGAGCCATCGCTGAGTACAATCTGCGCGATGATGCTGCTGCTGTTGTTGTTGTTGTTGTTGTTGTCTTGGCAAGGTTCTGTATAATGCTTCTACCAAAAGACCCGCCGACCGATCCAACGAACGCCCGCATGTGATCTAACCGGAGGAAATGCAATGAGAAGAACAAAGCCAGGTTTTAAAGGTGATTGCAATGAGTGAGTAAGTCTCGATTAATCCCGCTTGCTTATTAGACTTCCTGTCCTTGACTCCGTTGCCAGCCGGGACTAAGTTCGGCATCGACGTCGGGTCGAGTCCCGGGATCGGAACGGTCACAGTAGCGCAAGTGACCTTGATAATTGCGCCATGCATTTGTGTGCACTTATCCGGCTAGGTCACTGCATAATACCAATGACCGGCAACTGAGATGCAATGCAAGCCAGCGAAATGCACCAAATGAAGGGATTTATGCACGTAAGAAGACAGCATACTGGAGACCGTCTTGAACACTATCAAGTTAGCCTGCTGATGGATCAATTAATCATGCAGGACCATGAGTGACCCTGGTATGCGAAGACATTGACTCACCCATTTGATGAACACGACTGCTGCCACAACTCGAAGCTGAGCGACCTAGTCGCCATTGACATTAAGTCTGAGCTTCGCGTATTTGCCCTGCAGCATTTCCTCCAAATGTCCCTGGTCATCGCAAAAGTGGGCAATGGACATCGCTTTCTGAGCCCACCACATGCAGCCTTTTCTCTCATCCTGCCCCCATAAATCGATAGAGTGATTGTAAGCCGCTGATGCCATCCATTCCAGTTCTTCCGAGGGCCATGCCGCCGGTGTCTGGGAGCAGGGACAATTAGTATCTCGTGTTTGAGTTTTTCGTCTTCGCTGCTGCACATCGCAGACGCTACTCACCCCATGAGCATCACTTGCCATCCTGCAGGCTTCGTCCAACAGTATCCCTGCGAGATTGTCACTGCTCGGGGCAACGGCCTGGAACAGACATCTGGTATACTTGGCGAGCTTGGATGGATCACAGTCTTGCAGCCCCGAGATCTGATTGATGACCTTGCGTAGAACACTGAATAGTTCTGTGACACCGATCAGAATGCTTCAAGGAACTCGAATGAGAAGAAAACTCACGTTCTGTAGGTACATGAGCCCGCAAGATGCAGTCTGCCATGGTCTTGAAAGACTCAATGTTCTGGCAGGTACTAGCCTTCAACACGATTTCTCCGAGGTCCTGCCAACATTTCAAAGCCATAGCTGCCTCGAAGTCGAACGCCAGCAACAATGCAAGCTTATTGAGTAGGTCTCTCGATGCAACTTCATCAAGGCTCTGGCTCTCCATCCGCTCCTGAATCTCGGAATCAGCGGCCATGATATGTTTTCTCATGATGAGGTAGTCTTGAAGTTGCCTCTCCAGGTTGTCTTGTGACCGGGCAAGGGCCACAAGTGCAGATGAGATGAGAAAATTGCAAAAGATTGACTTGAGGGACAGATCTGCAGCCACTTCTGCTCCAATATCGTTTGGAAAAGCTTGAATGATGTTGACGCATGCCGTCAAGATCTGAACAACGCTCCGGAGGCTCCAATCACCCGCATGCTTCAGACCGAGATTGTATGAGTTCTGGCAGAACCACTCCAACTCTCGAACGTCGAATAGCTTCTTCCCGCTCTTGTTTTCTGGTGATTTATAAGCCGCTGTAGCCACTGTACGGGGAGAAATTGGGTCAGTTTGCGCCTTCTTATGAGTGAGCAAGAGACAAAAGCGCACCTGCATCGAAGACACAACATAAATCGACGACGACAGATTGCCGCTGTGCCTCGTCTCCGCTCTCCAGGAGCCCGTGAAGCAACATAATAGTACAGCGGAGAAGGGCTGGCAAGTGCACTGGGCCTGGATTCTGAAAGTCGTACACATCCGCAAGCTCTTTCAGGGCGTCAATGGCAATAAGTCTGTCTTTGACTTGCTGTGAATCCGCGACACAAGCATATAGGAAATGCATGTGTGCAGGTGACGCCTTTGCCACCGCTTCAAGATGCCCTGCTGCCGATTCCCGATCCCCGCTGCGTACCGCAGTCTTGTACATCAAATACTGCGTCATAGGATCTTCCTGAGCATCGCGTGACATGGTGTAAAATGTCGACTTGGCTGAATCGACATCGTTCCGTGCCATGGCGCATAGAAGAAGCTTCCTCTGGATCTTGGAACTGTTCAACGGCCCAGAGTTGGAGAATACCGGGCTGAGCGCCAATCGACACCATTTCTCGGCCATTTCATACTGACCTTGGCCATAATTGGCTTCGATTTTCTTCCAGATCAAGGTGTGTGCTGAAAAGCCTGCATCGGCGCTGACGGGTTCTTCCACTTTTGACAGAGCTTTCTCGGCCTCATCGATGCTTCCACCGAAATCTCGCTGGCTTGTTGTCATGAAAATTCGAGTGACCACGGCCTTGTCAATCCAACCACTCTGGCCGGTCTTGATCAAAGAAGCAAGAAATTCGTCGAGAATGGCACAGCCGAGACCAGGGCTTTTGGCATGGACTTTCCGAATATGATGGGCCAACAGTCTGAAATTCGATTCACTCGGATGAAAACTTCGTATCATTCTTCGAAGTATGTTGCCGTATGCTTCACTGTCAAAGACTTCCGCGGGTGACCTGTTGAGGATTTCCAGGTTGAGCAGCAAGACAATTGGCTGATCACCGACCTCGGATTCGATGTATTTGACGATATTATGGGCTTTCTCGTTGCTCTCATTTGTCTGGAGATTGAGGAGAACGGTAACGAGAGACTGCACTATTGCCATGCGGAGCTCAACCGCATCACGCGGCAGATCCTGTAGTCTCTGGCCATTAATAGCATCCCAAGCGCGCCGAAGCCACTTTTCTGCCATGGCAGAGTCGCCTTTCGAGAGCATTCCCCGACCAATCTGGAAATAAATGTCGATGATATTATTTGATGAGGCCGGCTTGACCTTGCGCAGCAGGTCATTTGCTTGGGCAAACAGATGCTCGGCGACATCGAGCTGGTTGTCTCTCCAGGCCTAGGGACCTCGTCAGTTGCAAAATTTTACGATGGTAGTAGAAATCACACACCAGGGCAATCCGCAACGCTGTCCATTCAGCCTCCATCTCTACAGTCTGGTCCGTATCTTCCGATTGCATCGTTGGTGACATGTCCTGCAGTCGGCGGTGATAGTCTGCGGCCTTCTGTAGAATAAGCCTCGTATTCTGGACGTCGTCATCGTCTGCCATACACAGAACTGGTCAGCTATACAATGGAAAGTTACATTCGAAAGAGCAATGGTATAGGAGTCAGCGGACCGATACACAACTTCGCCACTCTCAGAGCCAGTCCCATGAGGTGTGAGGCGACTGGGACTGTGGACTTGGTTGACCATTGACACGAATGCAAAATGTGGAAGGCGAGGACTCGACTCCAGAGAACAAGCTTCAATCCTGCTGAGGACTTGGCAGGGTTCTCTCTGCTTAGTCGCGTGCAGACATTCCATAGCCTGGTTCCCTCCGACTCCAGGTCTTCATCATGCAGCAAGGCATGATGTGGCTTGTCCGAGTACCGTCCAAGAGACTGGGTCTGCTTCTGGACCTCACTGAGGAGCGCCTGGGAGGCCGCTGAGTCGTCCTTGTCGGTCGGCAGGCGCCTGCGGAGGTCAGAGGTGAAAGCTGTCGCAGGACAGTGTAAGCGAAAGAGGCATGCTAGGCTAGGAGTGTTGAGGGTATCCCATACAGAGGATTGCTTCTTTCTTTCTTGACTTGCCGGCAGCAGAATCACCGCCGTCCGCGGTTTCCGTGGCTTTCGGCATGGCTGGTCAAGCTTTCTCCTCGGAAATTCGCCGGGCCAGCTTGAGTTGCGCTGCGATTGGGATTGTGATTGGGACTGCTCGATTCCTTGACGCACGGTCTCAGCGAGCGCTCGCGTATTGGGGGTGTGTCTCGCACCGCGACTTCCTAAATGGGTCTCTCAGACTTGGAGACGAGACGCGAAGGAGGGCAGGGAGGCTGGAAGAGGACGGCCATCAGTGATGCGAGGAGCTTCAGATCGTCGCTGCCGTTGAGGAAATGGGGTGGCCTTAGATGCGCACAGAGGGGCCTATCGAGAGATCAAGCAGTCGCAATGGTCTTCCAACGAGTTGCGCCGTAATGTGTCTAGTGGATCAGGGGAGGGCGGAAGAAGAGAAGAACGTGATGGAAATGCGTGTTCTGTCAAGTGGATCCGAAGAGTGTAGGGGAAAGAGATCAGTAGAGAGAATACACGTCTTGTCAATTCGACCAGGGAAGTGCACACGACAAGTTCGAAGGAGGAAATTGCTCGTCCAGTCGAGCGGACCAGGAAAGCGCAAAAGGAATGGCCGAGGAGGAGATGCGTGTTTCGTCTAGCAAGAGCAGAAGCCGCTGTGCCTCTCACAACGGGAAGGCACCGGGTTGCAACCCTGGCGGCACCTGCCATATATATATGTGTGTGTGTGTAGAGTACAGACATATCTGTATGCCCGCCTTCCGAACCAAGAATCAAGAGTCCGCAGCCGATCGAGTGAGGTTGTCTGGGCCCAGAAACTCCATGTGCAATAATATGCAAGCAGTGTATGCCTCTCCCATCCTCCTATTCCCCCTTCTCCTTATCCCTGCTCCACCCCCCCGTCCGCAACATCGTGGGATTAAAGCATTAAGGGTATTGTCATCGTGCTCGTGGGGCTGTCATCATCCGTCCAGTACCTACACCTTCTCCAATTCCAATGTACAATCAAGCAGTCGCGGCTCCACTCGCTCGCTCGCTACCTACGCCCAATGCGGGCACTCAGTGTGAAGGGTCATGGGGCAAAAAGTTCCCGACGATCAAGCTCGGTCTGCAGAGATGGAAGAGTCAGCATATCAGGTTGTCGCGTTGCGTTCTGGGGGCGGCCGACGGGCTTACATCTTGGCGTCATCCCGCCGGATCTTCAACGAGAAGCAGCATTTGATCTCCTTGGACTTGGCCTTCGCCTTGCCTTCATCGATGGGGGACTTGAGCTCGCACGCCGTGAGAAGGGTATCGTGTGATGGGTCAAATGCAATCGTGCCAAACTCCTCCCAATATCGCACCACCGAGGCCTCTGTGAGGATCTGGTGCAGCGCAATTTTGCCCTGGAAAGGAAAGAGCGTTAGCCATCGAACTCGGGCTGGGTGTAGCGCACGCCCAAGATGCGTCCGACCAGTCAGCGGAAAGCACATACGTCTCTCAGGTCCTCGACCTGAACCCCGATCAGCTCCGCCATCTCCTTGTTGCCCCTGAAGATCTCGCCCGTCCTCCTCCAGCAGCACGCCGGCACCGCCATGCTGGCGAAGACGCGGTCGTACTCCATCAGCGTGCGCTCGAACCACATCTCCACATACACCAGCTGGATATCCGTCAGCTGCTGCACCTTCTCGCGGAACTTTGGCCGGAACCGGTTGATCTGCGCCAGGATCTTCTGCTTGGAGCTCGCGTGGATGTGCGACTCGAGGTAGTCCATGAGCCGCTTGTAGCCCTGGATGTAGTTGAACGGCCTCAGCAGGCCCGCCTCGTACTTGGAGAGCAGCACCCGCTCCATCCGCTTCTCGGGCATGTCGTTCCCCGACGGGTCGGCGACCTGGAGGTAGAACTCGGCGGCCTCGCGCCGCTTTTTGTCCTCTGGGTTGGTCGCTGCCGGTCGGGTGGCGGGTGCGCCTTGTTCTGAGTCGGCTGGCGGCGGCATGGACCCTGCGGGCAGTGCGCTCGGCGGGAGCAGGCTGCTCTGGTTGAGGCCATAGCCTGGCAGCATATCGTTCTGTGTTTTCGTGGTGCCTTGGTCTAGGTCGCCAGATAAGAGGCCGCCGTCATCGAGGAGACTACTATTCAGGAACTCGTTGAGAAGATTGAACTCGTTGCTGACCTCAGGGGCCATCAAGTAACTGGACTGGTAGCTGTGCACGTCCTGGAGGTGGTTCTGGGCAGTCAACCACGCATCCGAGAAGCCGGCAACTGTGAATGAGATGTCCTTTCAGTTTTGGGGACGCGAGATACAGGACGACGACGCATTGTGTAATTTTACGAGACCTACATTGGTTCATGTTGCCGCGGCCCAGGCCGCTGGCTTGCATCCCAGAGAGCTGTGCCGGTCGCACAAGCTGTATCGAGCTGCCCCGACCCAGTGAGCCCGCAGCACCAGCCGTGATACCAGCAGCTGCGGCTGCAGCAGCCGCTCCCCCGTCGAAGGAGGGGGCGCTCATGGCGGCAGCAACAGCAGCGCTTGTGGTCTGGTCCATGGCACTGTGCGCGATGTCCGATTGGGATTCCGTTTCGTCCATATTTGAGCCCGCGGCTGTGCTGCCCCTTGCCTTCTTGGTGTCATGCTCGCGGGGCTCGTCGTGGCAGAGATGGCCGATGTTGCGCTTTATACATCTCGTACAAGGTCTCTCCTATTCAAAGCAAAGGGCCACCCAGCGGTCAATATTTGTGTTCGCCCTCGTTGATACATACAGTGCAGCGCCAGCGCCGCGCGGTGCCCGTGCCGTGCCGAATCTCGCAGTGCAGCCGCAGCACGGCATAACAGCCCTTGGTGGGCTGGGAAGGGGGGTGAGGGAGAACATAAGGGAAAAGGTCTTACATACGAGGTCGCATGTCATATGCTGTGGCAGTCCAGAAGAATTGTATTAGCCATGCGCTTGTTTTATCCCCCACTCCAAAAGGGGCGTGCCGCATGCGTGCCACTGGGCACCTTGCTGCTGTAGCCCTCGACCATGGCAATAGTCTACGCCGACGGCAGCCAATTGCCCGGCCAGACCGGGGAGTTTCCCTCACTTACAGATCGACGGCAATATACGCAAGCTGTAGGAACGCGCGGAAACACAGAGTTAGCGTGCGGAAGACGAGGCAGCCCGGGAGAAAGGGAGGTGGGGCTTGGGCAGCAGGAAAAGGAGGGCCGTACCATGAGTGACCTTGCGCCTCTTTTTCTGGGGGCCCTGCTTGTTGGCGTCGTCTGGCGCATGCGAATGGGCTTTGCTGCTGCCCTTGTCGCTGCTCGCGCTCGTGCTGGCCCTCGCCCTATCTCCATCGCCCGACACGGTGTGCGCCGGCACAGGCCTGGAGTCTCTGTCGGACTTGGTTTCCTGGTCATCGCTGACGTTGGCGCCATTCTTCTTCTTCCTGTCCATAGCTGGAGTTCCCGTCCCGTTCCTAGCAGTCCTTCCTGCCGTCACGCCTGGCTTCCTTCGGGTTTCCCCTGGATTGGCTCACCCCTTCCCCTTTTTTTTTCTCGTTCTCTTCCTGCCTGCTTTCCAGTTCCCAGTTCCAGCTCCTGGGTTACTCAATGCGCCCTCGTCCCATTGGGTCTGTACGTTACGCAGTGGGCGTCGAGATCGTGGCTCATTTGAGCAGGGAGTGCGGCTCTCTGCAGCTCTCGAGCAGAATGATTCGACCACAAGCCTCCCGAGGGTCGCGTCCCCGTCCACAGCGACGAAGATCGCCCTTTGGAACCCGGCCGCGCCGTGGCAAGATCGCAGGCAGGGGCCGATGCGCCCGGCAGTGGGGCTCTGGACGGGTCGTGTGCGTGCGAGGGCAGGATCGCTGGGAGGGGAGGGATTGCGCGCCCAGGCTGTGCGACGCCAATTGCGCGCTTGCGATGTTGTGATGAGTGGTGGACAGGCACGGCAGTCGAGGAGGATGATTGCCTACTGTGTAAAAGGTCGGCGCGAAACAGGGCGAGGCAAGGAGGCTGGAAGATCCTGTGCCCGCCCGGCTCGCGCGAGCGGAAGGCGTCTACTAATGGGAGCGGCAAGCCGGGGCTCTCCAGGTTCGGATGGGTGGGGCTGCCGGGCTGAGACCTCCACCACCTACGTTGCTACTACCTTGTAGGTACCTCATTGAACCTTGGCTAGCAGGGGAAGTTTGCGATGACAGAAGCGCTGACTGAGTCTGCGGCATGGGGGGTGGGGGTGGGCCTGGTCTGGTGGTGGACAGAGTTCAAACCTTCTCTGCAAACAACGTTTATTGTTGTCCATGTTGGGGACCCTCTTGGATCTTGGGGGAACCGACACGAGATGACCTGGGGTCCTGCAGTGGGACCTTGGCCCGCCCAGTCCTGCCCTTCCATGCCGTAATCCCTCTCCATCTCTGTGTCTCCCCCATCTGCACGGCTTACACACTCACATCTCAGCTGCCATGTGGTCGCTGGTGAGCCCCGCGCACATTACCTTAGTAACGGAATGGGCCAGGCTGGCTGGCAGCCAATGCGATGCGATGTGTTGTGATGGATCTGAGACGGCGCGCCCTGGGACCCATCCCATTCCGAGCAACGCCTTGCCCTGCACCAGCGACTGCAACAACGTCAGTGGGAAGGGGACCCGAGACTCTGGCAACAGCAGGGCTCGGATGCCATGAAGCTTGGCTGCGCAGTCGATCCTCGATCACTGGGCCTCCAGAGGTGCATTGCAGCGGCACCAGTGCCAGCAAAAAAAAAAGCAGCCCTTGGCTGTGGAGGCGTCTGGGGGTTTCCCTGCGCGGCCTGTGAGGTCTGCCAAGTCCACATTGCCGCCGCTGCCGTAAGCCCATGAAAAAAAGGAATCAGCTACTTTTGGGTCTACTGTAATAAGAGACTAACTAGGAAGGCTAGACCGTTGCATCTATTTTGACTCATTGTGTATGGGCAGTCCGGTCGGTGTATTAGGTATAGGTACTCCCTCGGTCCGCCCAAAGCATACAGCCGGCCTCAACCGCCGAATCAACACACATGTCAGGATTCCGATTCTCTCACACGAACCACACCCCGAATACCCAAAACTGACATGTGCAACAGAGTGCTGCGTCAGGTCAAGATCTCTGCCACGCCGCTTGGAGCTGCATTACCGAGGCCCAACCAACTGCTTTACCGCCCATTTACTCTGCTGCACGGATGAGTCGATGACTGCTCCTCTCGTAAGACGCCCAGAAATCCAAGCTGGATTTTCAAGTCATCATCTTGCTCGGTGGATTATTGGACGCCGGTCCGGAAGGATTCCCGGCCGTGCGGTATTCCCGAGACTTGGATGTATGATAACAGACGTAGGCTACAACCTAGATGATGTCCATCCTCAAGTAGTCGCGGCAAAGACTCCAGCACGCGCATCACTCGAGATCAGATAGCAATGAAGAAGCTCTTCTCCCCTTCCTTGGGCAACACTCTCGCCCTCTCCATGATGGGATCCACACACGCCAGCCGGATCCTTTCTGACGTCGCCGGGCTCTCCAGCCTCAGCAGCCCGTCATCCCTCGGGTCAACATCGGCCGCTCCCTCGGCGACCGTCCTCGCCTGCACCCCATACTGCCTCCGCGCAGCCTTGAGCCCGTCGCGGATGGCAAAGAATACCGCACTGCCCATGAAAAGCGGCGGCTCGCCCACGCCGCGGCTACGTTGGATGGTCCTCAGGTCCTGCCACTCCACGTCCTTCAGCAAGCTGACGTTGAACACTTGTGGCACGTCGCGGAATCCGGGGATCTTGTACGCGCCAGGGCCCCGGGTGAACAGATTGCCCGCCTGCGGCCCGTTGCGCAGCCACAGAGACTCCTCCATCGTGAACAGCCCCATGCCCTGTACGAATGCACCCTGGATCTGACCGTAGTCGATGGACGGGTTGATCGACCGCCCCACGTCCATCTTGACGTCTGCACGCAGGCAAGTCCATGTCCCCGTGAGCGTGTCAATCTCCACCTCCTCGGCGGCTGCGACGCCCTGCGTGAAGTAGAAGTACATCTTTCCCTTGTTCTCACCCCAAGTGTAACCGATTTCTGGTCTTGTAGAAGCCCTGTGCTGAGAGGTTGACGCGGTCGAAATATGCCGCATGGGCGAGTTCCTTCATCGTTGCGTCTGGGCCAAGCTTCTCCCGGTACGGGGCAAGGCGCTCGTTGAGCTGTTCACACGCATTGTATATCGCGTAGCCGTTGAGATCAGATGAAGCTGATGCCGCTGTGGCACTCGCGTTGGCTACCGTGTTGGTTGCTGTCTCAGAGATGAAGACGTTATCCAGAGGGACTTTGAGAGCTTCCGCCGCAATCATAGTCATCTTCGTGTGAAGACCCTGGCCCATTTCCGTGCCACCGTGTGCCACTAGGACAGACCCATCGTGGTAGATGTGCACCAGGGCACCAGCCTGGTTAAACCAGAGAGCAGTGAAGGAGATGCCGAATTTCGTGGGGATGATGGCCTACGTGTCGCCAGTCAGTACTTGTGATACACTCGTGAAGTGGTGATAGGAACTTACTAGGCCTCGCTTGCGCCACTTGTGACTCTCGTTGAACTTCGAGATTTCTTCCCTTTTCTTCGCATACTGCACTTCGTCCTGGACTTGCTTGTACATAAGTGGTACGTGCCAATCCGTTAGCTTTTGGTTGAAATGAGTCTCCTCCTCGGTTTTGTACATGTTTATTTCCCGGAGCCTCTCGACGGGTATGTCCAGTCGATCAGCAACCTCGCTCATGTAGGACTCGGCAATAAAAAGCCCCTGTGGTCCACCAAACCCGCGAAAGGCTGTGTTCGACATTGTGTTTGTCCTGCAAATCCGCCCACGCACGTGGAAATTCGGGATCAGGTAGCAATTGTCCGAGTGCGTCATAGCGCGCTCACACACAGCCGCTGACAAGTCCCAGCTCCAGCCGCCGTTATTGAAAATGTCCAGGTCGAGAGCTTGGATCTTGCCGTCTTTGTTGACGCCTACTTTCCATCTTCCCAGGAAGGGATGGCGCTGACCGGACGTGACCATGTCCTCCTCGCGCGTCAGCATACATCGAACTGGTCTGCGCGTTTTTTGAGCCGCGAGAGCGAGAATTGTGCTCAGTTGGATACAGCGTGTCTCCTTGCCACCAAAGCCGCCACCAAGACGTTTTACCTTGACGACAACCTTGTTGGCCTGGACCTCCAGGACTCTGGATGCGTATGCTTGGGATTCGTTGCAGTTCTGCGAGCTCGACCAGATTTCCATCTCGCCATCCTCCGGTTTTGGTATTGCGACACATGCATTTGTCTCGAGGTAGAAATGTTCCTGTCCGCCCATCCGAGCGACACCACTGAAGGTGTAATCGCTGTTCTTGAAGGCCTCCTCTGTGTCTCCCTTCTTGATTTCTCTGAAGAAGTTGAAGAGGCTGTTCTTTTCGATTGCCTCCTCCATGGTGAAGATGGCGGGGAGCTCCTCATATTCAACTTTGACCGCTCTTGCACCCTCCGCTGCCTTCTGCTGCGAGGTTGCTAGAATCAAAGCGATAGGCTGGCCAGCGGTGAAAATCTCATCCTCGGCCAAAAATACCTCCTCGAAATGCGGTGCGCCCCAATGATTCGCCTCCTTGTTTGGCATATCTTTATGGTCAATATAATCCACTACGCCTGGGATGTCTAATGCAGCGGAGTAGTCAACCGATTTGATTTTCGCGTGTGCCTTGGTCGACAGGACAAGGCAGCCGGAAAGCTCGTTCGCAAGTTTCGGGATGTCATCCGTGTATTGCGCTTCACCTGTCGTCTGTTTTAATGCGGCGAGGTGAGGATTGGCCTTGCCTACAATCGTCTGTTGATAGGCCAAAGCGGCAGTGCCATCTGTCTCACCGGTTGAGATGTCTCGCTCGAGTTCCTCCACCGCCTGCTCGTCAGTGTGCTTGATATCACCCAGACCGAGCATCACTTCGTGGTAGAATCGGTAGAAGAAGCTCATTGCCAGTACCTTCCTGTAAGAAGCCATGCCACCCGGTACACTGAACTGCAAATTGAAGTCTTTCTCAAGTGCGTTCATGGCCCCTTCAAGAGTTTCAAGCTCTGCGAATGTCTTGCCAACCAAGAAGTCGTTCGCCTGTTTGGCAGCTGTCGTCCATGCCGCCATACCGCCGAAGCAAAGGTTGGCTTGCTCCACGACGCCCTTTTCGTCGAGCTTGACTCGCAAAGCACCAGTCACTATGGCAATGTCATCATCTTTCCTCTTGGCCTGCTTGTAGGCTCTAAAGAACTCGCGTCCCGATACGGTGAGCGGAATGCGAATCGACGCCAGGATATCCTCCGGCGCAAGGGCTGTCCGCCTGTAGCCCTTGAAGAATCCGGACATGGGTATTTCTGTTGTCCGTTCAGCAGACTTTGCAAATAAGACCGCATCGGATGCCATGAAGACTGGGTTGAGGTCAGAGATGGGAGAAGCGGTGGCAAGGTTGCCTGCTGGGGTGCCAACGTTGCGAATCTGGCGACCTGCGAAGTATTTGAGCTGTTTGTACATCGCATCAAACACTTGAGCCCTGTCCTTGCCGTAGTGAGCTATGGCATCTTGACATATTCTCTCCAAATCCGTGAGGATGACGTTGCCCCCGATCTCAACGTAGTCATCCTTGAAGGAATACTGCCTCAGCTCAGCAACGTCTCCAACATAGACCGAGACCGGATATTGCATGGCTTTGAACTTGATTTCGATTTGCGTCTCGGTGCTTCCGCCGATGATTTTGGCGGCCGGATAGGCACTTTTGATTTGAAGCAACTGGTCCAGCGTGACTGGTCGATACCACTTCTTGCGCTTGTTTCCGAACACAAGAGGCCTAAATTCGTGCTTCTTGAGAGTTGGCGGGAAGATCAACTCGGTGTCGGGTTTGTATTCGATGAAGCCTGGCGGGGTGAACCTCTTGATCGGTTGATCGTCCTCGTTCAGGCCGTTGCTCTTGCTCTTACAGCACCCAGCACCAGCACCGTCACCGTTCACATTGTCCATGCAGCAGCCGCTCCCACCGTTGGCCTTAGCCTTCCCACAACCAGCGGTCGCACTGAAGGTCTTGGCCGAGTCGAGAATGGGTCGGTACCCGGTGCATCGACACAGATTGCCGTCGAATGCCTCCTCAATATCCTCGTCGGTTGGAGCATCATTGTTACGCAGCAGGGCGTAAAGGCTCATTACTATGCCAGGCGTACAGAATCCACACTGGGACCCATTGCCCCTGGCGATGCGTTCTTGGGCCGGATGGGGGGACTTGACATTCCCGATACCCTCAACTGTGATGACATGCTTGCCGTCGACGCTCGCTAGTGGAGCGAGGCAGGCATTGACACTGGCATGGTAAATGGCCTTGGTGGTTGGGTTGTACTGGCTCACCACTACGGTGCAGGCACCACAACCGCCTTCTGAACAGCCGCTGGAAGACAGTCAGTATGGTGGACAGCAGTTTGGGGGCTTGTTTGTGGTAACTAAGAAAGAAGCCAATTTGATGAATGAGGAAACAAAATTTATTCAGACATACAGCTTGGTCCCGGTGAGTCCGATGCCCCTGAGATATTCCAGCAGGGTGACCTCGGGATCGACCTCGTCCAGCACAACACGGGTGCCGTTCAAGTAGAAGCGAATGGTGTCATCGAAATTTATTGCGAGAGAGTCAATATGCGGGGCAGCACGCTCGGGCGAGAGAGCGATGGGAGCCATATCGATGATGGTTGCCACCCTTTGTGATGGTGTTGACTATTCAGGTCATGGGCGTATGCTGTGCTATGCCAGCTGCGATGAAACCAATCCGGGCGGTGAGGACAGGTCGAGGACAGAAGAAAATTTGATAGCGATGCCAAGGTAACACGAGGCAAGATAGCTAGCTATAGGAATAGGAAGAGGAGGAGAAAAAGAAGCAGTGGGCAAGTGAGAAGGAAGACGGTGATAGGCACAAGGTCCAACGTCAGAGATGGACAAGCAATCACAGGGTCGACGTTGATATCAAACAAGGCTAACGGGATTTGGCCGTCGGCCGTCCGTCTTAGTCGACCGTTTTGGTAATAACAGTGAGGAACCTGGGGTAGAGCCTGAGCTTGATAGACTAAGCTGCAAGTTGGAGACGGACCAGCACGGTCGGCCGGGTCTGGAACGGCTTGCCACGGGACGGGAGATACGGTGCAGGTGCGTTGCAGAGCGCCTTCCTCGACAAAACGCTGCCCATCTACATGTGCCTATCAGTTGAAGGCAATGTTTACTCTTGAGCCAGACATCATTACACCAGCACATTTGAAATCTCATCACCAATCATCGAGAGGGTATACTCAGCATTTTGGCTGAGCACCTCCTTATCAATTGCATTAGGAGCAGGGACGCCTACCAAGGATCCACCACGATTAACCCGAGGTCCGTTAGGGGAGCACCCCTCCCCACCCACCAGCTCCCCTGCGCTCCGCCGGTTGGGAGCCCCGTCCGGCGGCGACCGGCCGACCATGCGGTCCGGAAGCCACCGACTCGCCCTGCTTGCAATGTCCTGCTGCCTGCAGGGGTTGCTCTCCCCCGAGAGCAGTTACATTCTAAAGAGACCGCTCCCCACTAGATCCTCCTTAGATGCTGCCCTCCCACGACAACACGATTGAACAGAATCGTTAATGGCCTAGAACCATGTCTCTGTCAGGACGCCAGGCAATCCGTTAATACAGCATCTATCTACTGAGCCCCACCTGTCCAGGTTCGCCATGAGCGATAGAGACAATCTTCACAGTTGAGATCAGGAGCAAGACTACACTTGACATGGCCACAGATGCTTTCATTCGTGTATCAAGGCCTCTTGCCGCAAGTGGTGTTCTTCTGCTTCACTGCATGTTGCTGTCACTTCTCAACTCAGACAAATCCAGACCCCACCGCGCGCTGTGCTGCAACGCGCGCGATATGCCGCGGCTCCTGCAGCCTTGCCCATCCCTGACCCCCGCATGCTTTTAAGCGCAAAGTGCCTGGCACTGCTTGAGCTTGAGGCACTTCATCTCAGCTTCGATGCGTCTGTGGCAGATCATTTGTGGCACCCAGAGACACAGAGTTCAGGAGCTGACATATATATTCTCGCGGCCTTCCTTGCTTAGGGTCCCTCCCGCCCTGTCGCGGCCCACAAGAAGGGCAGATTGATGGGATGAAAGATGTCCCGCCCGCCTGGGACTAACGAGCCTCGGGCGCGACGAAACAGCCCGCCGCCCGCCCTCGCCTATCTCAACGAGTAAATGAGGCCCGATAGACTTCCCGACGATGCCCCCCCGGGCCTCTGGCAGAACCCATGTAGCAGATGACCTGGGCGCCAGCCTGCTGCAATCTACACAAGAGGCCAGCGCTGTGGAGCCGTTCCCCAGGTTTCAGGAAACCTTCTCCCCAGACGCAGCAGGGCACCAAGGGCGCCACAGCTCTGATCTAGCAATTTAGAGTTGAAACTAGAATGCCTCGAGTGCCCAGCTATGGGGATTGGAAACACACGGCGGCACATTTACCCCCCGATCCAAACTACCCCGCGTGATACTATCGGCTGGACCTGGCGGGCCATGGACAAGTTTCCAGGTCTGTTTTGCCGCGGGCGGATGATTGGGAAGTTTGAGGGTCCCAAGCCCTTGGATACGACCCCAGTGGACCCTGGAGTGGCAGTCAATGTGCACAAGTTCCATATTGCCCAGACGCCCGATGAAGCTCAATATGTTTGGGAGCCGTGGTTGGGACTGCATAAGAGACCTCACCTCCTATCTCCTGGAAAGCTAGTTATTTCCCTCTCAATATCAAGAACATACATATAAGGAACATTTGTGCTCAGCACCAAACGCCTGTCTCGCTCGCTCGCACCCATCACCCAGGAAAGTAAAACCCACAGGAAATCCCTCAAGCACCACAAAATACAGCGAGAGCAAGCTTCAAGATGGGCAGCCTCGAGAGTCCCAAGTTCTACAACATCATCAATGGCGAGAAGCGATCCGCCTCCAGTTCTCACCAGGTGACCGACCCACGGACAGGACAGCCGCTCTGGGATGCCCCAATAGCTACCACGCAGGACCTCGAGGAGGCCATCGAGGCCGCCAACAAGGCCTTCAAGACGTGGGGGCGGACGACCGTGGCCGAGCGCCAGGATGCCCTCCGCAAGGTCGTCGACGTGGTGAACGGCAACCAGGCCGAGCTGGCCGAGTACGCGATGCGCGAGACGGGCAAGTCGTCGCTGATGGGCCAGATCGAGATCGGCAACACGGGCCGCCAGATCGAGGCCATCATCAGCCAGGCGCTCGAGGACCACGTGCAGCACGAGGACGACAAGGTCAAGATCGTCGCCACGCACCCGCCCCTCGGCGTCGTCGGCGCCATCTGCCCCTGGAACTTCCCCGTCATCCTGTCCACACTCAAGATCGCCTCGGCCCTGATCACGGGCAACTGCTGCATCGTCAAGCCCTCGCCCTTCACCCCGTACGCCGTGCTGCGCCTGGTCGAGCTGTGCGTGCCCGTGCTCCCGCCGGGGGTGCTGCAGGCCGTCAACGGCGGCGCGGACCTCGGCGCCGTCATGACCACCCACCCGGGCATCGCCAAGATCTCCTTCACGGGGCAGACCAGCACGGGCAAGAAGGTCATGGCCAGCTGCGCCTCGACCCTCAAGAAGGTCACCCTCGAGCTGGCCGGCAACGACGCCGCCATCGTCTGCCCGGACGTCGACGTCGCCGAGGCCGTCACCAAGACCTCCACGGGCGCCTTCTTCAACGCCGGCCAGATGTGCGTCGCCACCAAGCGCATCTACGTCCACGAGGACATCTACGACGACTTCCTCGACCGCTTCGTCGCAGAGACCCGCGACAAGTTCCGCATCGTCGAGGACGCCGGCGTGCCCACCATCTTCGGCCCCGTCTCCAACAAGCTGCAGTACGACACCGTCACGAGGGTGATCGCCGACGCGAAGCAGCGGGACCTGCGCGTGGAGGCCGTCGACGCTGACAAGGTCCCCGCGAGCGGATTCTGGGTTCCTGCGACGGTGGTCGTGAATCCTCCGGAGGACGCCCTGGTAGTGCAGGAGGAGCAGTTCGGTAAGTATCCCTGGCTCGAAAGTTGCCTACACGTATAGGGGAATATCACGAAACTGACAGAATAAAACAAAGGCCCCGTCATCCCGATCCTCAAGTGGCGCGAAGAGGACGACGTCCTCTCCCGCGCGAACCTGGACAACGCCGGCCTCGCCGCCGCCGTGTACGCCAAGGACCTCGCCCGCGCCGAGAGCCTCGCGCGGAGGATCGAGGCCGGCTCCGTCTACATCAACACCTTCGAGCTGCCCAACGAGAACGCCTACTTCTCAGGGATGAAGGACAGCGGCCTGGGCGGCGAGATGGGCAAGCAGGGCCTGCTCAGCTACTGCTACACGCAGAGCCTGCATTTCTCCAAGGTGTAGTAGACTTTGCGGCGTCTGGGATTGGAGCACATGGGGATGTGGCGGGGGATGACCAAGCGGGCTGCGTACCTGCATGGTGCATGCAGTGTGGGCTGAATTCGCAGCGGACTATTACACCCCGAAGCGACTTGTTGGGACCCGCGGTTCCGAATTTGAAGTCCGCCAGCAGCTGGCGGACTTTTTGGGTCATTGGGCGAACAAACCTGTCTAGACATTTTGATAGCAGCTTGAATTCATTCGTACGCATGTCTTGCTACATGAGCAGAATTGGAGCTTGCAAGGACCCCCTCTGGTGACAACACGGCAAAAGAGCATCCACTGGTGAGGCGCCTAGCTTGTCCACGTCGTTCACCAAGCTAGGTAATCATCAAGAACTATATTTCTCGTCAAGCTACGGGGTATCATCCTTTCAAGTAGGTATTTCCGTGACCCCTTGTTTGCGCCAGCCAGTTTCCGATTCCAAGTACCGAGGAAATATCAATAATGCCATAAACCCCCATCCGAACAAACTGTCCACCAAAAAAGACCTGGAAAATCACCCTCATCACGAGCGGCTTGTTGCAAAGCAAAAACCCATCGATGTGCCGGATATTGACCAAGCACCTCACAAGCTCGGGCGCACAGGGCTGACACGATCACTCACGCGCCGCGAAATGCCCACAGCAGGCTCGGCAGAACCACTGCTGCCGCCGCTGCCACCGCTGCTCTCCGAAGCCGCCTGTCCCGAGGCCGACTGCGCGTTGCCGGTGGTGGTAGCAGACGAGCCGGAGGAGGCGGTACCGCCGCCGGCGCCCATACCGCCCACGACGTCGGTGGCCTGCCTCTGACGTGAACGCTGTAGGTCCATCAGCCAGCGCACGTGCATACCCATGACCCCGAGCTGGCTGCGGGCCTCAACCAGTTGCTCCTTGACGGGCATGAGCTCGGTCATCACCCTGACCGACTGCCGGGCGTCCTGGTCGATCAGTGCCTTTGAGATGTTGGAGATGCGTGTGTCCAGTTCGTCGAACATGCGGAACATGTACTCAGCCTGCTCGAAGTCGGAGCCTTCCGGCATTGGCAGTGAGGAGCGGCTCGCTTCGTTCGTGGCGTCGTCGTCCGTTGTGCTACTGGCTGCTGGGTCTCTGTATCGTGAGAGCCTTAGATCGCCACTCGCAAGCCTGGACACTTTCTGGGCGAGTTCTTCTCCCTTCCTTCGTTCCTCCTGCAACTCGTCCTGTATCTCCTGGAGTCTGGTATCCATTTGACGTTTCTGAAGCTGTATCTTTTGCTCCATCTGATTTGTCAAGGAGTCCTTCATCTCGTTCATGTCGGCTTTCAGCCGCTTCTCAAGGCCATCAACAAGTTCCATGAACGCGCCACGGTCGCAGGTCTTCTCGTGCTCGAGGACGTCCTTGCGCGGGGATGAGAACGAGCAACCCAGTTTCGAGTACGAACAAGCAGTCAATTCAACACTGCAGGCGTCTGCATGCGCCGCGAGCAGGTCTCGCGCGACCTCTTCGCCACAGTACTCGCATGACACCCTGTACTTAGCACAAGCAATCATGTGGTGTCGGAACTCCGTGGACAGGTCGATAGTCTCCTCGCAGTAGGCGCACGGTCCCTCGTGATGCCGACAGACGGTGCCACGGCTCTTACGGATTATCGTCTTCCCGCAGCTGCTATCTGCACAGGGGCATAGTGTGCAGTCGCAGTCATTGTGCACGTGTGCCTCGGCATTCGATCGCGGGCCGGTCCACTTGCAGAGCTGCGTGTCGTTGGGACATTTGACTTCCAGCCGGTCCAACTGGGCGCTCACTTCCACGACGCGAATGAACCTGCGCGCCCCCCGTTCTCCCCCAACATTCAGCTCTGTCCGGCACAGCGGACAAGGCGCACGATTTCGAGACCGACCTCTTGCTTCTTCCAACGCCTGGTAGAGGCAAGCCTCGCAGAAAGTGTGTCCGCAGGCTTTGGTTGTCAAAGGTTTGTAGTAGGGGGTTTTGCAGATTCCACATAACAGGTTGTCGTCCACCTGACTAGTGTATTCGAGACCCTGCCAATCAATTCGAGGTGCAGAAGCAGTGCTGTCGCCTGCCGAATTCGCCTCATCAGAAGGAGACTGACTGTCCGTCTCGTTTTCGGGGGTTTGGAGTGGCAGGTACGTGGGAGTCCACCCTGGCCCAGACATGTTGGAATTCATCACGACCCGGACGGACCGTCGTGGCGGCGAACGGTCGTATAGCTGCGAAAAGTGTATTCCCGGATATTCTTGCTCGAAGGCACTGATCGGTGTGGTGGACATGGAGGGAGTTGCTGATCCGGAGGCCGAGCCGGCAGGACTGGACGGACCGGCCAAGATGGTTTCGAGGTCACGTACGAAGCTGTCTGACGAGAACGTGCGCGTTGAGGTTCGGGAAGGCTCTGCGTGGGTTCTTGAGGGGCGGGTCGAGGTCGGCGAGCTCGCGCCCGAGGGCTCATTGGGAGTGTTTGGAGGAGGCATCTTCAGCCGGCTCGAGCTGTGAGGAGACCATGTAGGCGATGGGAGGAACTGATCAGAGAGCCCGTCAAGAACCAGGGAGGCGCGAGATGTCTTGGCCTCCGTGGAGTCGATGCTGAGACTGTTTGCGACACGCGAGGCCGTTGTGTCAGCGAATCACTGACTTGTAGTGACGACGGACTGGTCGGGCGCAACGCACGCCCAGTGTAGCGGGCCGCCAGTCGGCAGTTGATGTAGCCGAGGCAAGTCAGCTTAATCGATAAGCCAAGTCGAGTCTGCTTACGTACTCTCATATGCAATCAAACGTATCGAAATGGCGCTAGTGGTCTGCATTTGATACCTCGCACCTTTTTTATACGTACTTTTTAATTTAGCTTTAATTTATTTAAAATATATATGAGAAGAAAGCTGCTTTTTTTTTAATTTCATTCCTTCTTTTTGTTATAAAATTAAGTATATAAAAGAGGAGGAATTTACGTTTAAAGTTAAAGTTAAATTTAAAAAGGGTAAAATTAAAGAGTTATATTAAAGTTACTAGGAAACCTAAAGTAAATTTAATTATTTCTGCTTAAAAATACACCTTCCTTAAAATTTTAAAATTTTCTTTAAAATTTAACATTAATATATATCATACCTTTAATATTTCCTCCGCCCTCCTTAAATAGATATTAAAAAAATTAAAAAAGAAGTAGCTATCATTTAATATAGAGTATAATTAAATTAAGAAGGTATTCATTGTATGGGAGGTGAAAATATGTGAAAAACGAAGTGAGGATGGTTTTTGATGCGAGGTGTTAAATGCAGGTTACTAGCGCCATTTCGATACGTTTGATTGCATATGAGAGTAACTCCACCGGGGGGCCAACGGCCACGCCTTGTAGAATGCAGCAGGTACTGGAGAGTATCTCATTTGACTGAGCGTAGGACCCGATATTCCAGCAAAGGATCCCCAGCCAATTAAGCCTACACGGAAGGTTTCTGGCAGTCGCTGGGCTGCGACTTCCTTGGAACTTGCGAGCTTCAAGATCTGTGACATTTCCTGGCATATCTGCGGCGCAGAAAGCTGAATCTTCCCCCTTGGTAACCTACACATGAATTAGTGGGAAGCCACCAACGGCAAGAGCAGAAAATCCAAGCTCGATCTATCTCAAGTTTGCCTTCCCTAAGAGCTGTCACAATTTGTCCTCTCCCTCAGCTCAGCAGCCATATCTCCCATGCGGTAAGCTGATGCATATGCTTGCCACGAATACTTTACATGCCTACGGTGAATTTTCCAAGTTATCCATTCGAAGAAGCTGTGGCTGAAGACACGGACATTCTTGTACTCAAACTGGTTCACACAAGCTATTGTCTCACAACCGAGCTTTCGCATTAATTACTTGTGTAAAACACTAATAAATCTTTACCGTCTACCTAATTCTATATATGCATGCCCTTTTTTTAATGCGCAAATCTAAAGTCAAGCCTCTTGTTGCCCTGGTCCTTGGTGGTCCGCAGGTACTCGTCCCTCTGCTCGGGCGTCATAACGCTCCAGATCTTGTCTCTCGAAGCGTTGCGCCATTTGTAGTAGAACTTGATCGCAAATATGAGGAAGGTTGTCCACGCAATTATGCCCAGGAGCACCTTGTTGCCCGTTCGGTATTCAGGGGCGTCTTCAGTGCGGTAGATCTTGGGGATTTGTCAGCACGAAGACGCAAGCGACAATAATATAAGACACAAGTACTCACATTAGAGGAGATGATACTGCCAGCTTGCACCGTCATGTTGTACAGGGCTGACCCCACAGTGCGCGTCCGGACGGAACCTGCGTTGCGCGAGGTGATTCCCACTAGAGAAGAGTCCGTTAGCATACTCGATCCCGGACAGTCCAGCAGCCGGGAGGCGGTAGGTAATAGGTACTCACCGATGATGGCGTGAATATACGGGGATGCAACGAGCAGGGCCGAACAAGCGTACCACGCCCACGGGCTCGCACCCGCCGGCATGAGCTCCAGCGCCAGGACCAGCGGGAAGCACCAGATCATGTTCACGAGCACGATCATGAAGCGGTTGTTGACCCTCTCCGAGACCCAGGTCCACCACAGCAGCTGGATCAGGAACAGGACGTACGCGGGGATCGTGAGCAGGTTGGTCTTGAAGGTGTCGAACCCCAGCGACTTCAGGTTGAGCGTCAGGTACGCGGTGATGGGCGTCGATGGGATGTTCCACGTGATACCTAGGAGGTAGATCGGCCAGAGGTCGTAGTCGCAGAGCGCCTCCCACAGCAAAGTAAGCGTCAGGCCCTGTCGGTTGTGCATGCCGCCCTTTGCCGGGTCGTCGCGGAGGACACGGTTGACCATGATCTTCTCCTCCCTCTCGCTGAACCACCCGTCGCGGCCCCTGAACCAGCTGGCCGTCTGCGTTGGCGAAGGGGGCATATAGATCCCTGCGAAGAGACCGATAATAGTCGTCAGGCCTCCCTCAAGGGCAAATAGCCAGCGCCACTGCGAGGACAAATCGTTAGCATGCCCGTTCATGAAGAATTGAATATCCGACAGTATTGGTGGAAGTGTAGAGCTTACCCCTGCCCACCCAGTCTCTGCGCGCAAGTGCAGAATGCCGAACGCTAGAAGGGCGGATATGATCTGGGTCGTGATGTACGAGCCCCAGAAGAAGCTCAGACGGATTGGCAGCTCCTTGGACTTGTAGAAGAAGCTCAGGTAGAGCACAACGTCGGGAATGAAGCCTCCCTCAACGAGGCCTAAGAGACAGCGAGTTGCGTAGAATGTCTTGTAGTCTGTCAGACGACATTGGCAGATCGATATGACCGACCATAGAACCATTTGAATAGGAATCCCTGTTGCCCGAGTATAAGTATACGTACTCCAAAGAAAAAAGATCGATTGACTTGATTATGCAACGTACAGACATCTGGTCCAAGTTTCTTGGAGAGCATCTGAGAGGGCAGTTCCGCGCAGAGGAAGCTCAAGTAAAAGATGGTCTGTCCCGTGTTGTACTGGTTGGTGTTCATTCCCAGATCGCTCAGCATGTTGTCGGACAAAGCCTGGGTGATATTCCCGCGGTCCAGCTGAAGGCAGAAGAACATGAGGCAGACAAAAGAACAAATCTTCATGTCGATCTAGTCCACACATCTGAATTAGCACACAGCGGCTCTGAATATACGCTTGCCGGCGTTGTCTTCTGGGCATCACTTACCCTCCTGACTAGCTTCTTCTCCTCGTTCTCGGTCCATTGGAATGTGGGATCATAACGGTGAGCGCCTTCATACTCTGGTATCGGCTTATAATTATCGATAGCCCCGCCGCTTGCCCATACTCCGCCTTCACTTTCTCCCAGCCTCACAGAGGAGGGCTTAGAAGACGTCGACGTCTCGACGGCATCCTTTGCAAACTCGAGATCCTTAGGCTCAAGGCCCTCGGGAGAAGGCGGTGCTCTCTTGGACATCACAACGACTAAGTCTTGGCTCGCAACCCAGGTGGGTTAGAACAGCGCCGGCAAGACAAGACAGGAGGCTGAAAATAAGAAGCCTAAAGGGGTAGGGCACAAGACGGTAGGCGCAGACAAGCACTCTGGGTGCGCTGGGCAGCAGGCATAGTGATATATGTAAGACCATAATCGGTCCGCCCCTCGCAGATCCAAGCAACCGGAGCCATATAATGACGATGGGATCCCCTGCCTCTGGCAACCCGACCAGCCGGGCTTGCAGAAACTTCCGTAAACTTTCAGGTAGGAGTGGCAAGGGACATGGGGGGGCACGCGGGCCGGCGAGGATGATGTGATCTAGACTAGTGGTAGCATACGGCAATGATCCCAGAAGGGGTGACACAGGAACGGAAGAACGGATCCAGGCAGCGTCGCATCACAGGTCAAATGTGACGCTCGTTGCATGCGAAGGATCACCTCTCGGATGCCGGTGTCCTCGATGATATTTTCTTAAGTGCCCTCGTCTGAAGAGATCTCGCGGTCCGCGTCATCATCGAGGCGTGTAGGCCGACCTCGTTGCGAGACTGTTGTCTCGACTCAGGCACAAGAGACTGAGTATACCACGACAAGGGGCCAAGCACTTATTGCTGGGAACGTCCAGTACCAGATCAGGAACTAATTTACAACAGGCCCCACCACAGCAGCAGTATCCCGAGCGTCGTCAACAAGAATCGTCAAACAGGCTGTGCGCCCACAGCGTAATGTAGCCATCATCCGATCGCTGGCGACGACAGCCGAAGGCAACGTCGAACCCGACGGGACGGGGCCCACTAACAAGCAGCAGCAAAGAGCCCATAGACATGGCGAGATCCTCCGGGCGGCTGATTTGGACGCAAAAGGGCGTGGGGGGAAAGTGCACGCGAAGAAGACGTGGGGACATAGAGACGCGCAAAGACGAGGCAGGACCTGCTTGGCCGGAATTTGGGCATTGTGCAACAAGGAGCGACATGGCGCAACACCACGGCCGGCCAATGGGCGTGTATCCATCTGCAAATGGAATCCAGTCTGCTCGTGTGGGCTGGGTTTCAAGAAAAAAAGGGGAGAAGCCGGGCGGGGATTTAAATGCTCTGATCTTCAAGCTTGGCAGTGCCGTTTTTGCTCGAGTCGAGGATGTTGAGGAGGGGAAACGAATCCATGGATGCGAGGATTGCGTGCTCGTCGTCTCAAATGCCAACATCGATAAGGGAAAGTTGGTACCAACTAAGATAGCAATTCGGCCGACAACCGATGGAAGAGATTTCGCAATGCTGCATTTCATGCATGCAAGTAAGAAAAAGGAGAATGAGCATGCATGAAAGGAGAAACGGTCGAGGCATGTTTTGTCGATTCATCAGTGCTGACGGCTATGGAATGTTTATCGACAAAGGAAAGTTGGGGGGGTATCATGCATGATGTATGCTTGTCTGGCTAAGGGAAGGGAATGAAACAAAACCAAGCCGATCGCAAGTTCGAAATCAAATAACAAATGGGTCCTCCGATGATTTGCTTGCAGTCCCAGGAAAATACTCCGAGCTTGTGTCCAGTGATGGGGCGAAGACAGAAGAGACACGAGCTCATGCTCCCCACAAAGACGAAAAAAGTATTCAATTGCAAAAGAAGCTCGTGATTCGCTTAGCCGGCCTCCTCTTGTGTCGGCGCCGGCTCCTGGACGGTAATCTCCACCGGCGAGCTCTCAGCAGGTACCGCCTCCGCCGTAGCCGTGTCCTCGCCCTCGGGCGCGGCAGGCTGGACCTCCACAGCCTTGTCAGCCACAGCCGTAGCCGTCGCCGAGGCAGCTGCAGCTGCAGCCGCGGCCTTCCTCTCCTTATAAGCCCTCAGCCTCTCCTCCCGCTGCCGGACCAGCTCCTGCTCCGCCTCGATGGCCTTCTCCCTGCGCCCGTCGACGTCCTCTCGCTTCACCACCCTCCTGAGGCCCTCGCTGGCCTGGATCAGGCCGTCGATGCTGATGGCGTGGTTCGTCATCTGGTGGTTGATGTACGTGTAGACCGCCGCGGGGCTGTCGCACCCCAGGAGCTGCTGCTCGTTGAGCTTGAGGAGGGCCAGCGCCACCTGGAACAGGAACGTGCTCCCGTCGCCGAAGCACAGCACCACGTCCCACACCCGGAATAGCGCCTCGGCAGACAGGCAGTCGGTGAAGACGGAGAGGAACCACTGGAACGTCATCGTCTCGAGCGCGATGCCCAGCTCGTCAAAGTGCGCCGAGAGCCGAGGCAGGACCTCGGCCACGTAGCCGCGCAGAACCTGCTGGTCCGCGCGGGAGGCGAGGAGGCTGTGGTCGTAGTAGCCTGACGGGAGGATCTTCTCGATGATGCAGACGAGAATCCAGAAGGCCTCCTCGGCGGAGGGCATGATGAGAAGGAGGTTGGCAGTGATGAGGTTCATACCCTGGCAGTAGCCGACGTCCGGATTGCGGCGCGAGTACGCCAGAAGCACCTCGTTCAGCTTCTGCACGCCCGGCCCCTTGCGGAAGAAGATGTTGTCGGTCAGGGTCCGGTTGATGTCAGCGCGGATCTGCTGTGCCACTTCTGGGTTGTCATCCACCTCTGCGCGGTTGACAAGGTCATCGTAGTAGCCTGGGACGCGCAGATTAAGCGCGCCAGAGCACTCGGCCCAGATCTTGGATCTTATCAAGACGGGTATGCCGCCAAGCACCAGGCGGTTGAATTCGTTCCACTTCGCCCGGCCGACCTTGCCCTTGTTGGCCCAGTTCGCGACGCCAATCAGCTCGCCGTCAGCCACGCGCGCCTCGGGCATCATCGCCGTGGCTTTCTGAAATCGTGCCGCGGCAGCTTCTGCGGCAGAGGCGTTGGCAGCTTCGCCCTCGCGGCGCCGCTCTGCCCTGACCTTGCGCAGGAAGTCGTTCCATCGGACCGTCTTCTCCCGCTGTAGGCCGTCGTGCACCTCGCTAAGCTGCTGCAGCAGGATTCTGACCGGCTCGGCATCTTCCTTGACAAGGGTGCCGGACGCTGGCTCCTCCGTCACGGTTACCGGCTCTTCACTCACAGCGGCCGTGGCGGTGATCGCAGGTGGTATGAATCCACGGTCGTCCTCAGCAGCAATCAAACCAGGAGATCTGGGTACCTCGGGTACCTCGTGTACTTCGCCGCCTTCCAAGACCTCGATCGTAGGCGCACTGATGGACGGTGTATGCGATAGCAACTCTGTGGGGAATGTCGCAATCTTCAGATAGTCCTGCCACCTCTTAGGCTTGCTTTCTTCTCGGGCCTCCTCCGCCGAGGACGGCGTGCTCGGTCGGTCGTCGCTTCCGGCATCCCACTTGATGCTGCCACCGTCCTCCGTGGACACGGGCGACATGTTGGCCCTGCCATTGGACAGCATTTCTGTGCGACTCCCTCTTTTGAATTGTTTCGCCACCTGCTGAGCCTCCCGCTGCCGCTTCTTCCGTCGCTGGTCGTAAATAAACCCGAATCGGTCGGTCAAGTACTCTGAGCCGCTGTAGTTGTTATAAAGTCGCGTGAGTGTGGGCGGCTGTTCCTCAGGCGGGAGAATGCTGTCCATCTCAACAGGTCCATACGTCTCCGGACGTGCAAGTAGTTCACCTGACGGGTCTGTCGCCATAGTGTCCCATCGTTCCTGCGTCTGGTTGCGCGCCGAGGAGACGGTCTGTATGTTGTGCTGAGTAGCGGTGCGGCGCATGGCCGCCAGAGCCCCTTTAGGACCTCCCTGGTTCTGGGTAGGGACAGCTCTGGCGGAGGCACTCGTCTTTGCGCTCGAGGCAGATGGCGTCCGTAGTGAGCCGGCTGCGTTCGAGCTGTTGGCTCGCCCTCTAGACTCGGAGTCCCGTCCCACAGTTGCCCCGCCGCCCGCGACCATCCGCAGCACAGAGCTCGCCAGGGACGGCTTCCTGTTGGTATTCACAGAGTGTATACTCGAAGCCCGGCTCGAGCTCCTGACCGAGGCCTGCTCCGGCGGGCTGAAGAGGTCCTCCTGTATTGTTGGCCTCCGGTCAGGCGCCGGCGCCCTGATGACTGTCTGCTTGCCAGTGTCACCGTTGACACTGCTTGCCCTGCTGCTCGTGTTCTTGCTAGGACCCCAAAGATAATCCTTCCAACCCTTTGATGCGCCCTTGTTGTCAGTGTCTGCCGCGTTCGACGTGTTCCTAGCCCGGATCGTGGCCCCGTTCTCCTCTACGAACAGTCCCGAGTTGTGCACAAAGTCTTCCGACATGGCGTCCTCCACCAGCTCCTCCACGCCCCCCTTCCTGCCCCCCGAGTTCCTTGCCTCTCGCTCGACGGCCTTGAGCCTCGTCTCGAGGTCCATGTTCGACAGCCCACACTCCAGTATGATCTTCCGCAAGGCCCTCTCGCGCTCCTCAGACCGCCGCCGCAGCGCGGTTATCTGCGCGTCACGCGCGGCCAGGTCCTCGGCTATCGAGCGCACCAGCCCGAGGGCGCCATGCCGCTCTATGAGCCGCTTGATGTGCGCGTCGTCAGCCACGTGCAGCGCACCCGGCAGGTTCTGCTGGAACACGGGTGCGTCATCCTCGAAGAGAGCCGTCCGCGGCCGGGTCGAGGAGGGCAGTGGCTTGTCGGCAGTCGTCAGGAGCGTCTCGACGATGGCGGAGGGGGGCCGCGTCGGTGCATCTTCCCGCAGCGGCGGCGGCGGCTGGATGTGCGGGACGGCAGCGCTCGGGGTGGTCTCCTCTGCGCCGTCCGCGGCCGGGGCGGGCGACGGCGAGGACGGGGTGCTGGGTGCGTCGTCGCGTGGGGACACGGGCGAGAAGCTCGGGAAGGAGACGAGGGATTTGTCTGATTCGGCGATCGAGGTGGCGGAGCTGGAAGGTTGTGATGTCAGTTTGCCTCTCCTCCTGCTGGTCGCGCGCACCGTCGCCGATCTCTGCGATTTGGTCGAGTGGACAGACGCTTGTGAAATGGAGCGCTCGAGCTCAAGCGGAGGTGTTGAAGCTTCGGCATCCATCTTGGCGTGTCGGGCTGAACATGACTGTGTGTGTGCGTGTGCTCGGTTGACGCGTTGCTCAGCTTGTGCAGACGAGTGGTTTTTGGCCCCTGCACTTAGTCAACATCAGGCGAGCAGATGTCGCGTTGCGGGATCTGAGACCAAAATGTTGCATGAATCGTCGAGAGGGAGCCTGGGCGTGGAGCGAATATGAATCATATGTAATGACGATGTGGGTTATGGGTTATGCATATGGTGCATTCAGACCTCTATTTATAGTAATATTCGTCCGCCGGGGGATTGTCGATGCCAAGTACGGTTATCTGAGCGGCGCATCCACCACCGGCACGAACCTTATATTAACCTTTGATGGTGATCTTTTGACTCGGCAGCGACTAAGCTGCAGCCATGCTCATCATGACATCAAGATTCCAGTTGACAAAATGTTCCTATTCGTGATGTTTCATTTCATTCTTCGTTGGTGAGCTCTGCAAGCTCTACCTAAGACCCGAGACAGGTACCTGTGAAGGGCGAAAGCCTCAGATAGGCAGCGAGCTGTGTGGCACCACGCTTTTCTCAAAGAATTCCCCGGAGCGGACATACGGCTCCTCCAATGTTCTCTTGCCCCAACTCCAGCATGTCTATGCAACCGAGAAATCAAAGCACGTTCTACTACCCCGTTACTTTCGTGTTCCTACTTTGCATACGCCGAAACGCTGTCTCGAGAAAAAGCCCCTAGCTAATGTGTCGCCCCGCGATTCAGACCTCCAGGATCAGCCCTCGCTTGTGTCCATCGGCTCAGTCGCCTTTGCCTTTGCGGCGGCCAACCTCTCCACCTTCCAAGCGTCGATCTGCTGCCGCAAGTCATCCGCGGGGACAACATCGTCTATCGTCATCGGCTGCCGGGTGAACGGATCTTTCTCATCCGAGAGGAGATGCTGGATGATTGTAGATCTGTCAACGACGTTCTGGGACGGCAGAATGACTGGGTCCTTCATCAGGTCGCCAATAAGTGGATCCTCGAACTCGGCGGGGATGTCGCCGAAGTCCAATTCGGCCTGGTCAAACTCCTCCTTCGCTTTGGCAATCCGAGCGGTCAGGTCGTTCCAGGCGGCCAATTCCTCAGGGGCCTTGAGCGCCTTCTTCGTCATAATGTCAGACGCCCTGTCAAAAGTCGCCGCCCTGTATGACCGACCATCAGCTGCTACAGCTTCCACAAAGCTTTGCGCATTCCCCAGATTCAGGAAGATGTCCACGAGATCTGGCAGAAGCGTCTTCGCGTTGAAGTGGTACTTGTCCGGGTTTTCCACTTTCAGGTTCTGGCTCTTGGGGCTGACAAGTGTGTCGAGGTTGTAGTCCAGCATGCCTGCAAGACGCGCGACAATCTCGGGCATGGTGAAAGACTCGCTCAAGGCATTGGTGAAGAGCTTCATCATCGCAATCGTCTCATTTGCGAGTTGCATGTATGATGTTGCTTGACCCTCGACTGTGTGCAGCTCCTCCTCCTTCTTCTGGCGATCCTCCTGCGACAATCCATGGCTCTCCCTCAGCTCCTTCTGCAACTCGTGAATTTTCGGAAACTTGGACAAAGCCTCATCCATCACGTACGTTGCATCGTTGAGAAGAAGGTTGACAAATCGAACGAAGAATTGACGATCCGTACGGCTCTGTCGTGCTAATTGGTCCCTATAGAAGTCGTTGGTCCAGATACACTTAATGATCTGGAAAATCTCGTAGCGAATGTTGAACTTGTCGTAGAATTGGGTGTGAGCCCCAGTTGACTCTGCCTCGATGTAGAACTTCATGACAGCATGAAGAAGGTAATCATTGGCAAACTTCGAGTTCGTCAGGGTATCACCGAGGACACCTTTCTTGGAATGGTACATCGGCCAAGTGCCCGAGTAGAGAAGAGTGACCAATGTGGACTTGAGGTAGGGATTCCGGACATACTCGGACGACTCGAGGAATGCAACACAGAGAGCAATCATTTCATCGCCGACAGCGGACAAGATGATTCCTGGAAGATACCGGAAGACAAATTTGAAGTTGTCAACGACGTCCTGAAGGGCGTATTCTGGCAAGCATTTGAAGGCCTCGGCCTGTTCCTTTGGCAGCGGCAACTTCAGTGGCCCGTCTGGTTTGTAGTCCGTTTGACTTGCAACGCGAAGCAGCCAGACCGCCACATATCTCATGAAGTGAAGGGACCTACCCTGCATCTTCTCATCAAGCAGGACACCTTCGATGGCAAACTTGAGAGACATGGACCTCTCTAGCACCTCGGTGTGCCGGCGTAGGTTGGCGTCAAATAGATTCAGCTGTGTGGGCGAGTTCACGAACTTGACGCGCTCTGCTTCCATGAGCTTGAGATTCTTTTCGTAATACTTGATGTCCTTGTCTAAGGTCTTGAGTTTCGTGTTCGCAGCCTCGCTGCCGTAGTGGTGAGCGGCCAGGGTCAGGAAGAACACCTCAGAGATGAAGTTCGATTCACCATCCAGTTTCTCAGAGTAAAATTCATCTGACTGAGACTGGTCGGCGTTAAGCTTCGTCTCCTCCTTGATGTCGATACGTGGATTCCGCTTGAAGTAGCCGACGTCAATCCTGTCAACCTTGGAAAAAGTGGTGTCCATGAATGGCTCGCACAGGTGGTCCAGAATGACTGTCACGTTCATCATGAACCCGTCCGAGGCCACCTCCTTAGGGTTGACCTGGATTGCTCGCCGTTTGTGGTTGGCGTTCATGATGTAGGCAAACCAGTCAAGAAGCTTGTGTCGAGTGCCTAGACTGGCTCGGACGAAGGCGTTGACAATGTCTTTCAGGTCAAACTGGTGTGCATTGAGCGTGACTTGCAAGGCGCTCTGTGAGTTTTTGATGGCCCCACGATCCAGCGTTCGAGGGCCAGCGAAGTATGCCTTGGTTACCTCAGGCTGGAGAGGTGATATTCGGAAGAAGGGGCCAAGCAGGGTGTGCTTCTCGATTCCCGGAGCGGACTGCGCCATGAGGAAAGTGGGATGCTTGGCCAAGGCGTCTAGTAATGGAGGGAACTTCGAATACAATTTGAGGGCCTGAATGTGAAGTTAGAGTTACTTATGCGTCATGACGCCTCAGAGACTACATCCGAACGGAGAGCGGCTTACATTCACATGTGGCCTGTAGTCGTCATTCATGGACATCTTCGAGAGCTGGGTGCTAATGTCAACCATCGCTTTGACGAAGAGGTCCAATATCGAATCGTCGTCTGGAATGCGTGCTACAGCCTCTTGTATGAACTCGAGGCAGATCCCGCTCTCATGCTCTATGTCCCTTAGAAGATATGGCACGAGCGTGTCGTGTTTCGGGTTCGGCTCTCGGCTGTTCAAGGTTAGAACTGAACTCTCTGTCAACTCGACAATACACACCTGAACAAATCAGGCAGAGTAACGGCAAATATTGCGTAACTCATGCACAGTCGCTTGACCTCCTGTACAACAGCCTCTTTCTCGGGGGTTGGGGCACGAAGACTCTTCTTGGCCTGTACCACCCGCTTCCAGCAGGCCAGCATGTAGTCCATCAACGGCTTCTCTTGAGGAAAGCCACTCGCGGCCTCCAGTATGCCTTGCTCGACGTTGTCGGATGATAATCGTAATGGCGCGCTGGGATCTTGCTCCTGCAATTCCCCAGCCAACCCGGGCAAGAAGGCAAGCTTGCGGCCGTGTAAGTCCGTTTGCCGGTTCTCGTCGAGTGTGACTCGGAATATCTGGCTGATTATCTTATCGGACCAGTCTTCGAGGGACTCCGGGGCGTGCCTCTTGGCGGGCGGTATGGAGGGTGCTGGAGGCCGATTAACGTCTGGGTCTGGAGAGGAGCGCTTCGTCTTGAGACTTGTACCTGGAGCGGGCGACGATCCACCTGTTGACCCGACACCGAGCTGTGTGAAGGGGTTTGCCGCTGCTGGCGATTGTTTGCCCGATGCGGCCGTGATGTTGATCTTGGTCCGCTTGACACCTGGCGCGTTCTCTTTGGCCTCGCCGGACGGGCTTGGTGCAGTAGGTTTGGCAGGAGCAGCTGCCTGCGATGCTTGGTTGCCATCTTCGGAGCCCGCTGGAGGAGTGTTTGTTGACCCGAGCTTCTCCAGACGCCGCCGACGGATCTATGTCGACGCATGGTCGGTCAGTATCCAAGACGACCGTCGGTAGTACCCCAGCCTCGGTCGACGAGGCCAGTGGGTCGATAGGATCACTCGTACCTGCTCCATCTTCTCCTTATCGGGAGCGTCGGGCATGCTCGGGGGCTGCTCGTTAGGATCCATCCTCGCAAACTTGTGTGGTGGCACCTATGAGCAAAAATGTCTGTCGGGCGAGAAGTTGTTGTCAGCGGTGGCCCCTCAATCCGAGAGGCTGGCTGATAAATGCAGGTGGGATGTACGTGCCTGGGACGTGTATGCCTGCCGAGCTCCAGGCAATGACGGAAGACAATCAAGGGTCCTTTGGGGTGCTTATGTAAGCAGCCTCGGTGATATCGATAGAATCATGTAGAAGTCAGAAATGCCATCCCCGAGAACGCAAATGGTAGTTTACATATTATTCCCGTCATACTGAGGAGATTGGGACAACAATTGCAGTGTATTCGCTCTGTCACCCAAACTAACGCCCCAAATCTAGAGTTTGTTGGGCCAATGCAACTCCTAATCACGGCAGATGCCTTCGCCTTCGCCCCCCGCCCCAAGAAGCAATTGGACTGCTGAAAAAGCAAACGCCGAACGCACTCAATCGACAGTGACACAGACGCCTAGAACATTACTCTGTACGCCAGCCATATTAAGTAACCCTTGTCCAGGCACTACTTGATCTTCCCCATGATCGTCTCCGGGCCCCTGTCGACAACGATGGACGCTGCCCTGCTCTTAACAGCGTTCAGCATGCTCCTCTCAAAGTCGTCCCTCGATCTCAGCACCGCCTCCACCCACCCGAGCTGCAGGTCCCAGTAGGACCGCTTGAAGTTCTCGAACACGTCCGGGATCGCCTCCTTCGGCTGCGTCAGCAGCTCGAGGAAGTTCTCCGTCACCCGCCAAGTCCCCTTGATCACGTCCGCAACGTCCGGCCTCTCCAGCTGGTCGAAGAAGTCGAAGGCCGCGGACAGGTCGTCGAACAATTTGTCGCTGAACATGTCGGCCCGTCGGAACTTGGCCCCTTTGTTCCTCACGGACGACAAGTATCTGATCAGGAGCTCGTCCGCGAAGATCTCGATGAAAATGTCCACTATGCTGTGGTGGAGCACCAGCTTGTAGTCCTCGACGTAGTCCTGGAAGGTGAAGATGATCTGCTTCATCGCTTGGCCAGTGTACCATTTTGGTGTAAAGAAATCTGACATGACGGCCTTGAAGTCCACCGCAAAGATGAGGCGGGCGAATTTGGTGATACACCAAGTGCTGAAATCCACATAGCCGTCGCGAAGAGCCGCGACCTCGTTCTCGGCGCGTTCCATGTATTGTGGTGTGACCAGCGGCTCAAACTTCTGCTTGAAGCTGGTCAGATACGCGAAGCGACTCTCTTCCTCGTTGTCATCGATGCAGGCGATCTGGTCATTGGCCGTTGCCACGAGCCAGTCGTGAAGCGTTTGGAATCCATCGAGCTCTGGTTCTTTCCCTGATTCGAACCTGGCTGCCTCCGTCTCCAGCATCTTTTGCCATCCTTCTTGCCTTTGTCGTAGTCTGAGGAACATGGCATCCACAACGCCTTCGACAACGTCTGCTCGCTGAGAGCCTGCGGCACCGTCCAGCTGTTCCCTGAGCATCCTCCACATGTCCACAAGGTTCTTTGTACGGAAGTACCCATACTCGTCAGCGTCCAGATTTGCTCCCTCCACGTTGCGGTTGTTGAAATCCTTCTGCTCTTGTTTGAAAATGCGATCCACCCACTCGTCCAGGAATTTGATGATAACCGATCGGAAGTCACGGACCAAGTCTGCCTCCCTGTTATCAATGACGTGGGGCACCAACTGGTCTTCTGTGAAGCCCAATTTCTTCATCTTCTTGTAGTACTTTTCCGGCCAGTTGATAACCTCGAGAGTGTTGGCAGAACTGCTTTCAGGGTCGTCGACCACGCCTATCAAGAAGTCGTGCATCAGGCCGTGGTAAATGTCAGCGTACGCTTTGAAGATTTTCCACTTCTTGGGCATCAGAGGAACCATGCCTATCCGGACCGCGTTGAGGTCGTTAAAATACCATTTCATGATCTTGTCTAGTTTTGTCGGGTCGTCGAGGAACTCCTCCCGGCTTTGCGTGAATTGCGCATCCGCATACTCTTTTACTGCCTTCATGAACTTGTCTTTGTAGCCCCGCACGGTCTTGGCTCCATCGGTGATGCTCTGAAATCGAGTGGCCATCTCCTTGTGATCCTTCAGTGCTTCTTGGAGGGCCAGTACTCTCTGGTCGCTCTTCTCCTCTGCCTCCATAACGACGGCGAACCGTACGATGAGTCCGTTATTTTCCGCAGTAACGAGATTGATGAGACTCGTAGCGATCAGGAGCACGTGCTCGTCAAACCACTCGATCGCTCCATCCAAACGCTCGAAATAATCCTCCAGTGTCGACTGCAGGTCTTGTTCTCCACTCCGTTGTATTTGCTCGATCGCATCGTCTCGGATGTTTCGCAGCTGTGTCAGCTCGTAGTGTATTGGAAGCAGGTTCGGCATGTTCTCCTGATCCGCCTCGTCGGCACGGAGCATGTTCTCGACGCCCGCCAGCCTGTCGTTGAATGTCTCGAGGTTCTTCCGCATTGCCTCCACTGCGCCGAAGTTCCGGTGCGCCTGCGACACCAGATTGATGGTTGCGAAGTCCTTGATCATGTTCTGCGACTCCGAGCATAGCTTGTCGATCTTCATCATCTCCTCCTTGATTTGCTGGACGGCCTTTTGCCCCTCGGTCAGCCCTGTCATGCCCGACTGTGTTGTCTCGAGCTGTTCGCGGAGGCCGCTCCGCAGTTGCCCATCGACGGCTCCCTTCTTGCGGGTGAATTCCTGCTTCATCGCTGTGATCTTGTCGAGGTCGTCCGGGATCCGGAGCAGCTCGGAGAGCTTGACTTGAGGAGCGTCCATCGCCATTTTTGAATTTTGGAGTTTTGAAGGCCGCGTTGGCAGGTAGATGGTTTCCAGTTCACACCATCGCTCGACACAAGAGCTCCCGGTTGGACCTGGGTTTGCATGGACTCTTGCTGTCTCGTAGCTTGAGCTGACGTCGGCCTGGGCCCCCTGTCCTGGACCCACCCCCACATCAGGGACGAGCCGCAGTTCATGCAAATGAAGGGGCCCAGGCCCCGCTAATGCAGTACCTAGGTACGCCAGGGCACCGCATATAGCCGGACTCTGGGATCTGCAGCCACTTTAAACACCTCACAGCGCTTCATTCAGTCTTGTCCAGGTGAGAATGCCACAAACTTTAACTGGTCATATCCACAGATACTCGGCTGTTCCCGAATGTCCCAGATGTCATTCCTTGCCTTTTCTTTTCCCCTTGGATTTATGTAAGCATATCAGCCCTATCAATAAATTCCAGGTCTACGCGCTCGTCGACAGCATCGGCGCTGGCATCTCCAGTCCTTGTTGATTATTCCTATCTCTAATGTATGATGGCATGGGAGTTCTTAGAATGTGTCTCAAGACGAAAGACTTTTATTCAATTTATCGGGTCCAGCATGCCCAAACTGCTGCTTCAACAGACCAAAAAGTCATTGGTGATCTGCTCATCCCTGATTGCCCCCCCCCCTCGGCTTTCCTCCTCATAGTGCGTTGCTTGTGGCAAGATAATCCGCGGATATGGTGCTCCAACTGGTGAGGGCCTGATGCCATTCCATCGCTAAATCATCACTCCTATTCCCTGCTTGGCTGCCAAAGTAAAGTGAGAACGAACAAGGACATTGGGAATGAAAGAATAATCAGCTAAAGGAGAAAAAAAGACAAATATCAGGAACGTAGGCGTGCATTTACTCCTCAAGATGAGCTTTTGGCTCATAGAAAAAGATCTGACGGGAGTAACATGCTGATGTCAGTCAAGAATGGCTCCGAGGCCGAAATATGAGACTCGTCAGGGAGTGTCTTCGCAAACTTTGGCATCCAGTCCCAGCGAGGAACGAGTATTATTCTCCTCTGGCTATAAGGAATGTCGTTGTTGGGAAAGGAATCCTGCGGTCGGTAAGGGACATTGGTGCGAGGGAAAGGCCAAGCCCCGCGGTGCAAGCTGCTTCGCCGTCTCGCAAAACCAGGCGGAGGTCGAGGTCGAGAGCCCTTCCAGCTCCGAAACTCTGCGTCAGGCGGCCAGTCGACTCGTTCGGACTCGGGAGCGTCGGCAGGGATCTCGTTGAAGCAGCTTTCCATTGCCAGTACCGACGACAGTCCATCCCTCGCCCTGTTGCCCTTAAATAGCTCGATCTGCTGCTGCTGCGGTGGCGCCGTCTGCACAAATTCGTCGATTAGTGCTTCGCCAAAGAATAGGCAATTGGCATTGATGAGCTGAGACCGGTGACTCACCATCGCCTCCTCGTTCAGACGGGTTCGCGCCGCCCTCTCGTTCTGCTGGATCTTCTTGCGAATTCGTTCAGCTTCTGCAGCTTTCTTCTCAGCCAGCAGATCGGCGTACTCACCGACAGTCTCCGGGAGGAAGGGAGACTTATCCCAGCCGAGGTGGTGTGCCTTCTCTTGCATGCGGGCGAAGTTGAGCCTCAGGCGCTCCTCTTCACTGACCCAGATGCGAGATTGACTCCAGCTGCCGTTCATGTGATCTGGCTCTGAGTAAAACACGCCAAAGCCCGGCCGTGGTGTGGTGCCTTGCTGGATGGTCTTGTGAGGCTCGAAACCTGGAGGGGGACCGATGACCCGTGGAGTATCAAGAATGTGACGAGACTCAACCTTGAAAGTAGCTGAAGATTGTGCTCGTTCCCGGTTCGCGGTGTTAACGCTGCTGTCGGCGATATTAATCTCGGGGCGGTCATAGGCACCGGTGGAATCATGTTCGTCGCCACAATCCAGAAGAATGGGCTCGAAGCTGTGATGAGTGTCGCTGGTCGCAGAGGAGTAGCCACGCGCCCGACGAGTGTTGACAGAGTCGAAACTTGTTTCAGTCGCCTCAGAGTGTCGGCGTGGCCTACCAAACCGCAGTGGGCGATCTTGAGATGACATGTTTTCCAGCATGGCGCGCGGGGCTGCTGGCGGAGGGCGCAGGAATGTGTTGTCAGGCAGCTCTACAACGTTGATTCGAGGATTGAAGATCGAAGGATCGATGTAGCCACGGATGCCGATGTCGTCTTGTGCGGTTAGTGTGTTGTCTTGAGTGGTGGTTTCTAATTGCCGCAACCTGTCTCGTCGGCGACCGATGAGTTGCAAAAGAGGCGAGTCGTGCTGGTCGATTGACGATCGGGCCTCTTCGCTTGGTGCAGATCGAATTGGGGAGCGAGTGCCTCCGTCTGTGGTTGAGGATTGGTATCGTCGAGGGATACGGTTCGCGGCAGACGAGCTTTGCTCATCTCGATGAGAAGTCAAGTTGGTTAGTCCATCACCAAGCGATGTCTTGGGAGGGTTCCATTTGACCTGCTGTCCGATCTCGGGCCACCGAGGGACAGCGAATCCAGACGCAGCGATCGCGTTGGAGACCTTTGTTCGGGTCTCTCTCATTCGGGCCTTCTGCTCTTCGAGGCTTGGGCCGTCCTTGAAGGTGCTCTTGGTGGGCCATTCCACGCTGAGAGACGCGGGCGGCTGCTTCCAAGTGTCTTGGTTGAGTCCTCCCATGTTGACGTTTATCGTCAACGCCCAGGTTGTCTGCGGCGAGATATGATGCCGATGAGGTTGGCTACATGTAGGACGGCATGCAATTCACTGAACTTGGATGTGCCTGGAAGGGGAAGGCAGGCAGGCGCTCAGACAAGGCAGGCGCGACCAGGGTTGAGGCTGCCAGGCCGTGATCAACTTGTAAATAGAGGCGAAAGAGGGGTTCGTTTTGGGTAAATGGAAAGAGTCCACTATTTGCAAGTGTTTTGTTGATTTAGCACGTGGTAAGTTTTCGTGGGTTGGCAGAGGTCGGAATTTACGCCCTTGTTTTATTCCCCCAGTCAACCTTCCTCAGTGTGCAGGGCTCGATATGGGACGAAAGTCGTCACAAGTTTTGGTTAGTAGAATGCTTCCTCAGTTATCGATTCTATCGCGCACGTGAAACGCCTACGTTGAGCAAAAAGGAGACATTAACAGTAATTCTTAACCAATTCGATAGGTATTGCACGCTTCTGGCGATCTCGTTCCTTCATTCAATATGTGCTCCCTTGCACGTAAGGCTCCCTGATGCATGTCCAAAAGGAACGTTGCTCCATAATCCACGAAAGCCCGTTGATTTGTCCTCTAGACGGATGGATTAATCTCAGAACACGGGACTGAAGCAAGCAACAGCTACTTGATTTGGAGACTACAATCAAGTCTACATATGTCGAGGACAGGCAACAGTAGGTATATCTCTCCCTCATGGAAAGCTCTTCGTTTTCAACTACCTTTTCCTAATCTCAGATTTTTCCCAGTAAGGACTGGATCACGAAGATATCTTCACAATCAGTTTCCCTGTGCTCTTTCTCCCGGCGAGGTCATCGTGTGCCTGTGCAACCTCTTCCATATTATACTCCTTCCCAATGTCCAGCTTGACCACGCCCTTCGCAACCAGGTCCAGCAACTCCGCCGATCTCTGGTCCCAGTCCTCCCTCTCAGACACATAAACGTCCAACCTCGGCCTGAGAAGCTTCACGTTCTTCTTCCCCAGCGCCAGCGGGCGGAACCCTTCGATAGCGCCGGACGAGTTCCCAAAAGTCACCATCGTCCCCTTCCGCCTGCAGCACTCGAGGTCATCATCGAACGTGGCCTTCCCGATCCCGCTGAAGACGGCATGGCAGCCCTTGCCGTCCGTCAGCTTCATGACCTCGTCCAAGACCTTCTGGTTGGAGTAGTTGATGACGTGGTCGCAGCCATGCTTCTTCGCGATCTCGATCTTCTCCGGCGTGGACGCGGTGCCGATGACCGTGGCGCCGAGGTGCTTCGCCATCTGGACGATGAGCCCTCCCGTCCCGCCAGCCGCGGCGTGGACGAGGACGACGTCCCCCGCCTTGACCTCGTGGGCGTCGCGCACCAGCGTCCAGGCCGTGAGGCCCTGCAGGATGAGCGCCGCACCGTCCCTGTTGGACACGCCGTCGGGGAGCTTCATGAGCTTGGAGGCGTCCGGCGCAGCGTACTCGGCCATCACGTTCTGCGAGTACATGGCGACTCTGTCGCCGACCTTTAAGTTGTAGGACGACGGGACATCAGATCCGAGCTGCTCTATGATGCCAGCCCCTTCCCGGCCGGTGACGGCGGGGAATGTGGTTGGGTACAAGCCAGTTCTGAAATAAATGTCAATAAAGTTGACACCTACGCAAATGCATTAGCTCCTAGGTTGCCCGATCGTATGTGGGCCTCCGTGGCCGCTTGTACGGTGGTTTCAACCCCGGGGGGGGGGGGGTTAGCGAACCTGCATAGTCAATTTTGACGAGCGCATCGCTGGGTCCGACTGTCGGCTTGGGAATATCGCCAACATGGAGGACGGAGGAGTCTCCAGTCTTGTCATAAACTACGGCACGCATGGCGAGTGGTGCGGACGTATGGAAGGAGGTAGCACTGTTCGGTTTGAGGCTTCTGAGTATGGCCTGCAGTCTGGGCCCTGATCTGAGCATAAGGGGAGGTGGTTTATGCTGTCGTCACCGATCCGATCTTCTCCAATGACGAGGGAGGATCGCTAAGTGAGACTAGTAGAAGATGAAGTTTATATAGACTGCGTTCTCCCACAGATAGACGCAGCTCCACCAGCCCCGCACTGCACACAACCTCATTTGTCATCCCCGTGTCTTACTCTCATATGCAATCAATCGTATCATTTTAGCGCTAGTAAGCTGCATAACACATACCATACCCTTTTTCCTCCTTACTTCGTTTTTTAACTATTTTTACCTTTTATATAATAAATATACCCTTAATTTAAATATATTTTATATTAAAAAATAATTACTTTTTTTTAATTTTTTTAATATTTATTTAAAAAGAATAAAGAAATTATTTAAGATATAAGATATATTAATATTTAATTTTAAAAATAAATTTAAAATTTAAAAGAAAGGTATTTTTAAGTAAATTTAAGTATAATTATTCTTTATTTATAATAATTTTAATATAATTTTTAAATTTTATTATTTTTTATTACTTTTTTAAATTTAACTTTAATTTAAGTTATTTTTAATCTTAATTTAAATATATTTTATACTTTTAATACTTTTTTTTTCTTTAAATTTATATTAAAAGAATTAAAAAAAAGCAGCTTTTTTTTAATATAAATAATTATTAAATTAAAGCTATATTAAGAAACTTAAATAAAGTATAATTAAAAAAGGGTGTGATGTGTGTTGTACAGCTTATTAGCGCCAAAACGATACGATTGATTGCATATGAGAGTAAAACATTGACCCGGCAGCTTGGTAAAGGTCGAAGCGGTTGATCGTGAACCCTGGGCATGCATGGTGCTTGCCTATCAGCAAATCGCAAATGCACTTAGATCAGGACGTAGAGGAAGTCGTCCCTTGCTGCTCACACTTTCCACGTTCTCAGGGTTTCAACCCGCGGCCGTTGCCAACCTTCCAAGTTCTCAATAACTAGAGTCTGCGCAGAACAATATTTAGATGCATTGGAGGTCTGCAAAAGGAACGATCAGAAGCTGTATCCACAATTGCCCACCTGCGTTCCACGAGAAATACTGGCACTGTCATTGTGCCTGGGATCCCGATATTCTGAACGAAACGCAGTTCACACTGCATATCATGACTGGGAGCCATTCTGCAAGACCTTTGAATTTCATTCTAAGAGCCTACACCTGTACGACCCCTGAAGGTCCAGAAGATTGACCACGCCGGAGCCCATCCTGGACTCGGATGTCGAACATCCCCGCGTCACCGCTGTCGTTGTCCATCGCATTGCCTCCACGCTACAAAACAGTCCCATAGTCGTTGGATTTACAGTCGTTTCGGTTTGGATCCGCCTTTACTTCCCACCACTGGCGAGGGCTTCCGTAGCCGACGACGAACTCTCCACCGGCGCCGCAGTTCATTGACTGTGCCATGAGGTTGAAGGAGTACTCTACCGTGTGTTAACAACCTGCCACAGAGCCTAAAGTAATGCATTCTGGAACATTCCAAAACACAACAGACGGGGAACCGTAAAAGGGGAAGACCTATACTTACGGGCATCTATGGGTGAGAAAACTCTATCCGGGCCCCTGTAGATCATGGTCACGCCGATGCTGCGATCGTAGTTCTTGCCTTGCGTGTTCTTGGGGACCTCCTTGCAGACGGCCATCTACACGTTGTAGTCAGCAAACATGGGGTCTATAAAGTATTTTGGGAGACTGCGACTTACCTTGTCATCCTTCTTGAAGCCCGTGTTTGCCGCAAATGTTGCGACGACGTCGCACATGTTCCAGATAGCATCGTGGACGTGCTGGGAGTGCAACCCACCCATGTCACTCCACTTCTCACTGACATCGGTGTAGTAGCAGCGGTTCTTGTTCTTGAAAACGTCGCGGTTAAGGTTGGGCACGTTATCAAGGCTGTCCGGATCCTCCTTCCTGGAGACCCCGGTGTCCGTGGAGGTGAGGTTGCTGGGCAGGGTACCAGAGATGCTGTCTTCGTGAGGCCGAGCATCGCAAAATGCGATGAAGATGGCCATCACCACCAAGGTGATGAGAAAGGCGATCGATCGCATCTTGACGCTGAGATGGGGTGAGGTGAGTTGATGTTGGCTATAGTGTGGATCAAGTCTTGTTGCCGATTGTTGTGCTTGGCTGGACGAGCAAGCCGACTGTTGACTGGGTGGTATGTTGAGGGATGGAAGGTGGAAGGTTGGATGTGGGAGGAAATCTGGTCTTTTGTATTTGCAGGCAGGCGCCAACCTCTGCAGATCACCCATGTGGCAGTAACTAGGTGTGGTAACCCATAGTCGAGGCGATTCACCAGGTTGTCAGTGAAAGTTTGTAAGCACAACTGCGTTCTTCTCTTACAGCTACCCAGGTCCTGGCACTGGGATGGTAATGCCCTCTTCCGTGGGCCTTTTCCAGACCACTTTCGTCCCAATTGTAGTCACTCTTGGCTTTTGTTATCTTTCGTTTGGACAGATTTAAGCAAGTTTAGTTCACGCCAGACTTCAGATACTATACCAACTATGTCACTCACCATTTACCATATACACGAACCGGTATGACTATATTCAATCCAAGCAGAGTATAAGAATGGGAGGAAGTAAACTCTGACTGAGAGCTCTCTTCAATTCTTTTTCAGAATTTCATCTTTTTTTTTTCTTTTTTGGGACGTACTCACTGCAAGCAGTCTTGTCTGAAACGGTTCCTTTTCCTTTGCCAAATAGTTGTTCTGAGAGTGCTCGCGAGTGTACACTTGGAGATGGATATCCCATTTTCATCCATGATACTATGATCTTGTCATTCATCTGCGCATGGCACCAGGTGTATAGCAGATGACTCCAGAAATCATTTCAAAGAGTCTCAAAACAAACGAACTGTACAAACTTCTTCATTATGTGGAGATTATATTACTTGTCGCTATTTTGTTTGTATTTCATTAGTGCAGCACCGTTACTCCATGCGGATTTCTTGAACCTCCCAAGTTCTCTCGACCAGGACACCGAACTCCCCCAGAAAAAGTCAGCAGCTCCCGCTGCCACGGGTACCTCTTTTCTCCTCCTTCGGGAAGATGTGATGGTGGTCTTCGTCGCACCTTCGTTTGCAGTCAAGTCTGCCAGAGGACCATGAATGCCTACAGTCGAGGTTCGCGAACTTTGCTTTTTTGCAAATAGCTTTAAGATGCTATCCGGAGAGCCACTCGATGCTGATTGGTTCTGACCGATCAAGTCCACCTGGCTTCCAGACCTATGATGGGGTATCTGCTGTGTCCGCCTTTGTAGGATTCCTTCGGACACAGAGTCTCTATGGTTTCCAGATAAGCCTATCGATACTCTCATTTGCAATCAATCGTATCGTTTTAGCGCTAATGAGCTGCACAACACACACCACACCCTTTTTTCCTCACTTCGTTTTTCAACTATTTTCACCTTTTATACAATAAATATACCCTTAATCTAAATATACCTTATATTAAAAAATAGCTACTTCTTTTTTAATTTTTTTAATATTTATTTAAGAAAGGTAAAGAAATTATTTAAGGTATAAGGTGTATTAATATTTAATTTTAAAGATAAATTTAAAATTTTAAGAGGAAGGTATTTTTAAGTAAATTTAAATATAATTACTCCTTATTTATAATAATTTTAATATAATTCTTAAATTTTACTATTCTTTATTATTTTTTTAAATTTAACTTTAACTTAAGTTATTTTTAATCTTAATTTAAATATACCTTATACCTTTAATACTTTCTTTTTCTTCTTTAAATTTATATTAAAAGAATTAAAAAAAAGCAGCTTTCTTTTAATATAAGTAATTATTAAATTAAAGCTATATTAAGAAACTTAAATAAAGTGCGATTAAAAAAGGGTGTGGTATGTGTTGTGCAGCTTACTAGCGCCAAAACGATACGATTGATTGCAAATGAGAGTAACAGGGATCTCATGTTGCGATCTCGTAGGTGTCGAATTGTTGCCAAAGATGCTGTGATCACACCAACGCCAATCTCAGCAATTGTCCAGCATGCGGTGCTCATATAACTTTTGGGTGGCGGATGACTGAGACTGTGGATACGACCGGCCGAAATAATGGGAACACTGGAGGTTGAATTAGGTTTGGTGCGATAAATCGAAAGAGGGGGCAAAGCTTACATTGCGCCGATGCCAAGGATACCGAACACAGCCCATAATTGACGGACGCGTAGTTTCAAACTGAAGATGGTCGGAAATGGCAAGAACAAGACGATCACATCGGTCAGAATTGTTCCTGATGAGTTGATGTATGTTACCACGAAGCTTGGCAGGCACACAGGGCGCTGGATGCCATGATTCCAATTGGCTTCGACAGGAATGCAGATGAAGACCGTGAGGAAGATTTGTGCAATACTCCAGGCTGCGACGATAAATACATATTTATAACAATATCACGGCAAGATGGATTCGGCTAGCGTGCAGGTTTAGAAGGCTTCTTATATATACGATCATCAGACTCATAATTCCCAGTTCCTTCTTCCTTCGTCTTGTCGGAACAAATAAGTTTTTCTTTTAGCTTTCCCAATCTTCAGTGCTCCCTTTCAGCCCTGCAGGCCCTTAACATTTTTGCTCCAACAACCCATTCCAGCATGGATGAATTCCCAGGGGACGACCCAGACAATCTCCCTAAAGGCAGGGCCCGTTCGACCTGCCACGAAGCCCTGGAAAGGTTCTCGATCAACTTGGTCATACCTTCCGAGTACGTCTTTCGCAATGGACGTTTGCTCAGTGTTCATGAATTCCATGCTTACATTCACCCAGGTCGGCATCAATGGTTTTGGCTCTCTCGGCCGTGCGGGCTTTTGCAAGGCGTACGAGCACTTCTTTATTGCTAAAATCCCCATGGAAAGGCTAACAAGCGAGTAAGCTTTGACCGAGTTCACATCGAGGTCGCCGCCATCAATGATCCCAATGTAGATGCGTTGCAAGCCGTATGTTTCCTGATATATTGAAAAAGTCGACGCTGTTTCTAAGATGCATACATGGCCTAATGTCACCCTGTTCAAGGCAAGCCTTCTCCAGCAAGAGCACGGTCAAGGCCGCATCGGTCCAACCGGCCTTGAGATCCATGCCCGAAGGCTCAGGTGTGTTCAAGCTCAAAGACCCTTCCACGGGCAAGACGAGGACGGTCCTGCTCAGTTCTGAATCCGATCCTTCTCAAATAACGTGGCAGGATCCAGAGCGGCGCGCCTTCCATGTCATCGAGTGTTGGGGCAAGTTCACGACCGTCGAACAGGCATTCGCCCGAATCCAAACCGACTACCACACAGCGGAAGAGGCTAGAGGCGCCCTGAAGGTGCTGATAGCTGCGGCTGCGACTGATGCGCCACGATTTTACCCCGGAATCAACCTGAGAGACTACCGAGTAGAGCAGAATGTCTTCGCCTGTGCCCCGCCGGCAGACTCGACTAATGCAAACAATAATGACCAGTGCCCTGTACGTGCTGTCATAAGCAGTAAATAGTAGCAGCAAATATCTAGATAAGAAGCAGAACGATTATACGGACCCAACGCCGTGAGGAGTCACATCAAGAATATGCACTTGTCCTATCTCGGAAGGCTACGTTCAAACCGTATTATGTATCAACCCAGGCCAAGCTAGAGAAAAGACTTTGTAAATGGCAAGAATGCGGATACTCCTGAAAGATCAATCGTTTGGAAAAGTTGAAAATAGTGCATGCGATGGTTCGAGCGGGAGATCAGCATCAGTGAAAGAAACCATGGTGTTTTCTGCCACAGAATCGAATGCCCGAAAACTCGAAGTGAACTCTGCATTGTTACTGAATTCAGCACCAGTATTGAAATCCGAATCAAATGATTTGATCTCAGCATACGTAATAGCTCAAAACAGCCAAGTTGATGTCTTCAAATTCAAAAATCCCGGGGAGATTCGCATTATATCACAACGTAAGTGCTGGCAGACTTACGGCACAGAATGGGGTTAGGGTTGGCAGACGATGTTTAGGAGTGGTGTGTGCTACAAGTAAGACTTGGAGCTTCGGGACGGCCTGCAGCTAGCTTGACCCCCTGCAAGCCGAGGCACGAGCTACCTAGGTACCTAGGTAGGTACCTATGCAAACTTTGGAGGGATTCAACAAATCCACAGTGTACATTGTACACCTTTCCCCAATCATTTACAGTCGCAAATTCCTCTCGACTTGCTCTACCAAAGAGCTTGGTCACGTCAACCATGGCTTCTACAATCTCACTCAAGCTCTCTAATCGAGGTGAGCCCTTCTCCAGCACTCCCACCCATGTGCCTGGCTAATGCTTTCTGGTATTAGCCCCCAAGAAGCCACTCCGGAAGCTTCCCGCTTCCATTGAGCTGCCCAACGATGCCGAGATTGAAGATGCCAAGAAGGCCATCGCGCGCCAGGCAGGCGTGAAGGATTTCAACCGGATCGGCCTTTTCCACCCATCCACGAGAAAGAGGATCGCGGACCGGAGGGCCCTGATCCGCAACCTGGAGGATGTCACATCCACGGGAGAGCTCCTCGTCCAGGACCTGGGTACGTGATGATGGCCTCCAAGGAGCTTGTGATGTGACCGTCCCGCTGACAACCCAAACCAGGCCCGCAGATGGCATGGCGAACCGTCTTCCTCGTCGAGTACCTGGGGCCGATCCTCTTCCACGGGCTCTTCTACTCGATCCGCCCGCAGCTCGCCAAGGTCGACCCGTACTTCTACAAGGACGCGGACAAGCTGCCCGTGACGGTGGTGCAGCAGGCGTGCTTCTACATGTTCATGGCGCACTTCGGCAAGCGGGAGCTCGAGACCGCCTTCCTGCACAAGTTCTCCGCCAGCACCATGCCGGCCTTCAACATCTTCCGCAACTCATTCTTCTACTGGGTCTTCGCCGGCCTGCTGTCCGGCTACTTCATCTACGCGCCCCGGTCGCCAGCCGCCCGCACGTCGTTCGGCCCCCTGGACTACGTGGGTTTCGCGCTGTATCTGGGCGGCGAGGCGTGCAACTTTGTCGTGCACAAGCACCTGGCGGGCCTGCGAAAGCCAGGTAGCACCGAGAAGGGCATCCCCAGCTGCATCGGCTCCAGCCTGGTCACGTCGCCCAACTACATGTTCGAGGTCACCGCGTGGGTCGGCGTCATCCTGATCGCGAGGGAGTGGTCGGTGATCGTCTTCATCGCCATTGGCATCTCGTACATGGCTCAGTGGTCGCGTGACAAGGAGAGGGCGCTGAGGGCGACCTTTGGTGACAAGTACAAGAAGAAGAGGTACACCATGCTTCCTGGGCTCATCTAGACCGGCGGACAGGCATGCTGGCACTCGTACGGTGCAGATTAGTGGTGGATGTGACTGAGTTCGGTCCTTGTCTCATGCTAATGCGGACCATGTTATGCTAGAGTAGACGTGAAAGCAGATATCGCTGTTCTAAACATCAATAGAAGGGTGCTCGGTCAGGCTATTCGTGGTATCGGTAAATTCATCAATCATGACAGTCCAGAATCTGTGCTGCTCGGCATCCAGGCGCATGGATCAGCTCCGCCACCAGAATCTCCTCAGCCAGCCTGTCGACGTCGGTGACTGCTGTGGCGGCGCGGTTGCCCCGTTCGACGAGGAGACGAGGTCGACGAGCATACTTGGCTCAGGGCCAGCAGTCCTATGAGGCAAGGAATCCTGGGCCGAGTCGACGTCCATAGCACTCGTAGAGGAGGGACCATCCGGCTGCTTCCCCTTGCCCTTGCCCACGGCATTCTCATTAACCTGTCCATGGTCAGGATCCTCATCCCCATCCGCCATCCTCACATCCCCACCCTCATCGCCGTCCCCAACAAAGCTCCCCCTCTCACTCCCAGACCAGCTCCCACTCTCACTACCCGTCCAGCTCCCGCTCTCGCCCCCACTATCCCCCTCATGCACGAGTCTCATCGTCTCCTCGAGCACGAGGAAGTCCCTCTCAAGGCGCTCGGCCCAGTTCTGCACGTCGCCGAGCTCCTTGACCTGGCGGCTGCCGTTGTTCAGCACCTTCAGCAGGCGGTCGTCCTCGCGGCGCAGGTCGGCCAGGGCGCGCTCGACGTCCCGCTCCTGCTTCTCGATGGCGGCCTGGTTGGAGTGCAGCAGCGACGCGCGCGTCTGCAGCTCGTGGTCCAGCGTGTTGCCGATGCTCGCGACCAGCGCCGTGCGCGCCTGCGCGATCTGCTCCTGCTCCGCCTCCGTGGGGAGGTACGAGGGGTTGGTGGGCGAGGCTGGGGCGCGGGCGGCGGAGGAGGAGGGCGGGGGGTGTGGTGGTGCGCCGGCTTGTTGGGGCCGGTTCTGGGCGGGATGGAGGGTGTGTGGTTGATGATGAGTGTGAGGATGAGGGTGGGCATGTGTCTGGGCTTCCTGGGCTTGGATTCCCGGTGCGACGCCGGGCCCCGGGGCGGGATGAGGCGGAGGCGGGTGGGCAGACGAGGCGGAGGATGGCGCGGTTGTGGACGGGCCTCCTCCGCCCCGCGAGCTGCCGCTCGGAAAGACCGTGCTCCTGCTGGTGGTCGGGGGCGAGGACGAGGAGACGGTGGTAGCCGTCACCGACGCAGACGAGGGCCGCGGCGGGCTGATTGGTCGTATTGAGGCGGACATGGTTCTGGGCATCTCCTGGCTGTGCCGTTTGCCAGCGATTTGGATGCAGGAGAGAAGACTGTTGTCGTGGATAAATCAAAGTCAATTGACAGTTGAAAAGAGCAGAGAGAGCTGCGCCGGTGGAGGACAAGCAGGGATCGCGATCGCCGCAGTCAGCGGGCGGCAGCTGCGTGATTCACGCTACTGCAGGAAATCCCATAGGCAGTCGACTGTTCGATAAGTCTTGCTCCGGCATCACTTGACCACTCGTCATGACAAGAGTGCCACACCCGCACCTGACGGTATCCGTATGCGCACGCAATTCGTTGGCTAGGTCGACCAACAGGACGAACCGCCTTCTCTCATTCGTGTCGTCTTGCCAGGGCGCCGGGTTCATAGCTCCACGTAATTCGCGGGGTAGAACACACGGCAGCTGAGCTCACTTGAAAGCTTCCCATGTTCTTTTGCTTGCCGTGACACCATAACTTAGTCATCAGTCACATGTGAACTCTGCTCAAGTTCTTCTCAATGTATCAATTCGCATTTGCATAGTCAGAATTCTGTGGACTATTGACTCTCCATGCAACGGTTCCCGAAACCAAACCCCATCATTCAAGTCGTGATGCGTGCCCTTGTCCCCTCAAACGACATCCTGACCTCTCCCTCTCTCACTCCAGCCAGACGTGCCCCTGCCCGACATCCAATGGATCAATCAGTGCCGTCGTGAGACTGGGTCCCTCATGCTCAAGAGGCGCCCCGGTTGCCCAGGTGCGAGACCGCGTTCACGGCCCAGCTCCTCCGCGCCACCACCTCACGCCGCGACGAGGTCGTCCATGTCCCGCACGCGGTGGATGACGTCCTCCATCTTCAATGCGTCGCTGTGCGACGGCAGATCCCGCTTCGTGGCGCCGTACACGGTGCGGTTCTTGCGGCACGAGTACGGCATCGTCTTGCGGCCGCTGCAGTCGTTGTAGATGATGTTGATGTCCAGCGTCGTCGGGCCGCTGCCCCGCGTGCGCTCCTTGACCCAGGACTCGCTCCAGACCATGTTGCCGCAGGGGCTCTCGATTTTGCGAATGGCCTCCTCCAGCTCCTCCATGTCCGCTCCGGACTGGGGCGTGACGCTCAGGGTATGCTTTTCGATGAGCTCCTTCGGGAGGGTTGGGCCAGTGGTGGGCTTCTTCTGGACCTTGCTGGCAGCCATGGTGCCGGTCTTGGTGGCAGCACTGGGCTTGGATGGGCCAGTGGTGGGTGTCTTTTGGACCTTGTCCTTACCCATTTTACCGTTCTTGACGGTTGTGGTTGTGGTGGTAGCCTTGAGTGGGCTAGCAAACGACTCGTCAAAAGGCCAGGGCGTCAGTTCATTCTTCTTCAGCTTCTTGATCCTCTTCCTGCCGGCTGGTAGTGGCTTGAGGCAGGTTGGACCGTTTCTCATGAAATTCGGTGGTCGACCACCGGACCTGACTGCTCTGTTTCGAACTGTTTGGCCTCGAGTCTGGACCATTGAGATGGAGGGTGGTGCCCAGATTTGAAGGTTTTGGTGTGGGGTGAGGTCAAGTATGAGATTTGGGAGGATTGATGAAAGCTGAGTTAATGTTGTTGCACTCCCTGACCTCGCTCGGCTGATCTCCTTCTGCTGGTGTGACCTGGAGCTTCCGGTGAGGTGGGTGATCTTTCTTGTGATGAGGGGAAGGTCAAGAGTGAGTGAAGGATGGTGTCAAAGTTCAACTCCGGAGAGGAAGCAGTGATGAGGTCAACCTTTCGGGTGAGAGTGAGTGGGGGATGGTGTCAAGCATCAACTCCCCAGAGGAAGCAGTGCTGAAGACAAACTCCGGTGAGAGTGAGTGCTGTTGCCCCCTCTCGGTCGATCTCTTCCGGCCTGTATGGCCCAGGTGTGGGCCGGGTTTAAATACCAGGAGCCAAGAACATGGACGAGGTTATGCTGCTCAAACGGAAGTGAATGGCACGGCCATCTCTATTCTTCCCTCGCGGTCCCAAGTCTTTCGTTGCAATCTGACCTCTTGGGATGTGATACGGGCCTGGATGTTGTTTGCAAGTCGCCGAAAAAGACGATGCCTTAGGAAGAATGGGAGGCGTGCACAATCAGTCTTGGCTGTGCAAAGTGCACTTTTGCACGAGGTTGCTTTGCACAGCCCTTCAGTCTCAAAGTTGACAATTCCCGAGCACAGCAGCTGGTGCAGGGTGCACTCCATTGACACCGGGGGCTGCATTAAAACCAGGAAAGTCGACCTTGTGAGGCATTCATCAGTTCAAAGCAAGCAGGCCTCAGCTATTGGTGCTAGGTCGGCTATCATCCAAGCCTGACGTAGCTGCTTCTACAAATTTTAACATCGCGTAGTTGTAGGACTGACTCCCTTCCAAGCATGTTTGTTGGTTCAGCAGGAAATGTGTGCAATAGGGTCTTCGAAGTCCTCAGGCAGAACTTCAGCGTTGTCATTACAAAACCACCATAGTGTCTCACCACAGAGCTCACTACAGACGTCCAACACACACTCGACAATCAGAACCTCCGAGAGAAAAAGTGCAGATGGCGTTATGGCCCTTTCTTACAAGAAGAGAGCTCAAATAAGCTATGTATGCCTCGGCAGGCTTCAATTATTGCCCGCAAAGGCAGCTGAATATTGGGAAGCTCAGTTGTTTTTATAAGAAAAAGAAACTGTAAAAGATTCGGTGGCCAGGTACACAAATATGTCGAGATTAGCATGTGGAAAGTCTGCTCCGCAACGATTTGTTTTCGAGGGCCAAATATAAAACAATGCCTTCTTTATACACGTGCTTATTATCTTACAATAGCATTGGCATGACTCTATTTCAAATGTAATTGTCTGAAGAGTATCGCGGTGTTCTCTTGGGGGGGATTTTTTTCCCTTGCCAGATCGATTATCATGGTAGTATGTGTTGTCAGCCCTCTAACTATTATGAGCCACTGGACTCTTCTCCAACCAGTATAGACACTCCAATGCTGGCAATGTCCTCGAAATATTGATGATCCATCTGCCCTATATTGAAGCACACGTTTGACACATCTTGGAAGATGGATGACATGAGACAGGGTTTCACCACTTCCAAGCGACTGCTGGCACCCAGAGATAGTCGTAAGCCATGGTACGGAAAGGCCTCTGGATCAGAAACTTCCACGGGGCATTTAATATGTCTATTCCTCATCTCAGAACATGTCTCAACGAGGGAGGATCCCAGACCACATCCTTGACGCTCAGCCTCTGGCGGGCACACACCCTGATCTGATCATGCTCGTCGCCACTCTTCCCAGGCACTTCTACGTATTCAGCGTTTCTGACAAGCAGACCAGGAACGGGTACACTATGCCCCAAGTTTTGAGAGTGCGGTATTTCTGGCCGCGCCTCCTCCTGGACCAGCCCAATCGCCCTCCTCGCCCGCTTGCTGACGCACCCGTAGAGGACCTGGGCATCGGCCCCGGTGCCGGCATGGTATAGAAGGACACCCCAGCTGGCCAGCTGCAGCGGGTCGCCGTCGCCGCTGGGCGTGAAGGCGTTGCCGACGTTGTTCACGCCCAGGCATCCGTCCAGCCCCCAGTCCTTGATCATGGAGGGGATCTGCATTGTCCCGCGCGGGCGAGAATGCGGCTGGCTAATGGACCCTGCGTGCTCTGGTGGTGCCTTGGGCCGTCCCATCATGTACAGGTCGCTTGTCGGCAGGCCGACGAAGTGGACTGGTAGCTTGTTGTCTTTGAGCAGGCTCACTACGCCCTCCGTCACCGACGAGTCCATGGTGGTCAGCCTTGTGCAGTGACCGATAGCAATGGCCTGTCTGTCTTTCGAGGCTCGCTCGGTCCACTTGTGTTCAATGAGGTGATTAAGCAAAGTTTCGAGCAGCGAGCCTGGTGCTGGGGTCTGTGGCGTTTCCAAATGATAGTCCAGATGAAAGTCGAGGAACAATTGTCTCTCTATAGCCGTCCGGATGGCAAAGTTGATGTTCTTGACCGCCGCATCCTGATCCGCCTCCACGTACGGAGTCGTCCCCAGCACCTCCACATCCGCGGCGTACTTGTCCAGTGCCTCTAGAAGGAGCTCCCTGTTGCGATGTCCGCTGTCTCCCGAGAAGATAGGGTCCTGGGCGAACACGCAGATCTGCACCCTGATCAGGTGGGCAAAGTCCTGCTTGAGCTTGACAGCCGCATCGACCGTTCTGAACCCCGTGACGGCGTCCACCTCAATGAACGCGCGCATCGAGGTCACACCATGCCGGTGGCTGTCAGCGAGGAGCTGCGAGCCGCGAAGGTACAGATCTTCAGGCGTGTACCGCCCCTTTGCGGCTGAAGTGTTGGCGAGGGCTTCCTTGAAGTCGCCTGACTGCGGCATGAGATCGGAATAGTCTGGCTGTCCATGAGAGGTTGGCTTGTTGCAGGTGAGAATACAGGCCTTGTCGAGGTGGATGTGCGGATGGCAGAGAGGCGGCAGGAGAAGGCTGGGAATGGATGATGACGCGGAGAGCGATGGCACACGAGAAACAATTTCCCCATCTTCAATTTCAATGTCCCATCGAAGCTGTGCGTCAATGCTTGGAATGACTACGTTCTCTTCCAGCATGTTGGCCAGGGGAGTTGGGCGGTCTGGAATATGCGACTAGAAGTATGAGAATTATCAGTAATTGAGACCTTTATGCCCGGACTATGCAATCCTGGAGAGGTGAAATCTCCTATAGAACTCTTGAGACAATTCCTTGTTGCACCGGAATTTCTCTTACCTGCTGGGTGTATATCGCTACCACTTGGTTGAAAGAGCGGAGGCGTTGCCGGAATAGCTTGAATCGATGCGGTACTAAAGCGAGCCGGTCTCCCTCTTCCCCATCTACCCGTTCCTAGACGTCATTGAAACGAGTATTGCAACTTCTGGTTGTCACCACAATTGTGCTAATGAAAACAACAGACTAAAGCGGTGTTCTGCCGAGAAATGACTATTGTGACCAAAAAAAAAAAAAAAAAAAAAAAAAGGGGGGGGGGGGTTCATATTGTGCGTGAACTCAATTGCTTGCGCATTGGAACATTTTTGGAACACCATCAGGCGAATGTCATGAGACTGTTCGTGAAATTGTGACTTATTTTCTTGGTAAAAGTCTACATGCCGGTCAGTGACAACCTGTACATCTATACACATCCTCCTCGTCTATCTATTTCAGCGTGACCAGCTCCTCAGCACTGGTCGGGTGGATAGCAACAACGCTGTCAAAGTCCTTCTTGGTCGCGCCCATCTTGATCGCCACACCGAAGCCCTGCAGCATCTCGCCGCTGCCCAGGCCCAGGATGTGCAGCCCAACGACCTTCTCCTCGGGCCCGGCGCAGATGAGCTTGTATTTCGTGGGGCCCTTCTGCTCCGGCTCCATCATGGCGTAGTACATGGCCGTGAAGCTCGCGTTGTACACCTTGATGTTCTCCTTGCCGTACTTCTCGACGGCCTGCGGCTCCGTCAACCCGATGGCGCCGACCTCCGGGTGCGCGAACACCACTGAGGGGATGTTGGTGTAGTCCAGCTTCGCCGTCTCGAACTCGGGCCCACCGAACAGCCTGTGCGCCAGTTTCCGGCCCGCGGCGATGGCCACCGGCGTCAGCTCCGCCTGGCCCGTGACGTCGCCCAGCGCGTAGATGTTCTCCGTCGAGGTGTTCTGGTACTCGTCGACGACGATGTATCCCTTCTCGCTCAACTTGACGCCTGCCTTATCCAGGCCGATCCCGTCGGTGAGCGGCGTCCGGCCAACTGCCCAGATCAGGTGGTCGATGTCCTTCAGCACGCCCTCGCCGCTCTTATCCTTGTAGTGCAGGCTCAGCTTGCCGTTGCCGTCCTTCTCCACCTTGGACTGTGACGAGCCCTTGTGCAGGTGCACGCCCAGCCGCTCGTACTCGGCCGTCACGCCCTCCTGTACAATGGGGTCGAAGTTCCGCAGGAAGTGGTCGTGGCGGATGAACAGGTGCGTCTCGACTCCGAGGGCGTTGAACATGCCCGCAAACTCCACCGCGATGTAGCCTGCTCCGACCAGGGCCACCTTGCTCGGCAACTTGTCAATGTCGAAGAACCCGTCGCTGTTGGTTCCCAGCTCCGACCCGGGGATCGAGGGCGGGATCGTGGGGGCGCCGCCGACAGCCACGAGGATCTTCTTGGCGCGGATGGTCTCCTTGGACCCGTCGTCAAGGGTGACCTCGACCTCGTTCTTGGACAGGAGGCGCGCCCAGCCGTGCACGTATTCGACCTTGTCGTTCTTCAGGTTCCGCTCGTAGATACCGTTGAGCCGCTTGATGTAGGCGTCACGCTTCTCCTTGAAGGTGGGCCAGTCAAAGGGCTTTGTCTGCTCGACCGAGAAGCCGTAGGACTTGGCATCGTGGATCGCCTCAGAGAGGAGGGCGGCGTTGAAGGTCACCTTCTTGGGCACACAGCTGCAAGATTGGGGTTGCATTGGTCAGCTCCTGGTTCGCGCAAAACATGTTGCTGTGCAGTGTAGGACTGGGAAGGGGAGGAGGACTCACCCAACATTGACACATGTGCCTCCCAGCCTCTGGTTCTCAATGATCATGGCATTGGTACCGAACTTGGAGCTCGCCATGCGGGCAGAGGCAAGACCGCCACTGCCGCCGCCGATGACGAGGTAGTCGGTCTCCTTGCTGATGGGAGCCATGACTGAGGCCGAGGAGGACAAGTGCCTTGATAAACTAGCTAGTCTGTGGGAAGCCGTTCTGGAAGAAGCTCTTGTAAGAGAGGCAAAGGCTAGCATGAGGTGCTGGGTGCCGTGTAATTGCAGCCTCTGGAGGGGGGGGGGGCAGAGATGGGGGCGGGTGTTTATTATAGAGGATTGCGGGGGAGGGGTTGAGGTTGACGTCTTTTATTCCAAATCAACACCACGCCAGATCCAGAACTGTATCTGTAATCAGTCAGTTGGCTTGCAGATTACCGTGCAGTCAGTGCTTAGCCCTTCCGTGTACAAGTAGCTTCTCTTTGATGACGACAGGCTCTTGCAGCCGCTAGGTAAGCGCGAGCAGACTTCCACTGATCAATAAGCAGCTTGTTGGAGGACCCTTGTCGGCAGTCCCGCCCGTTCCATCTCTTCCGAGCCTCGGCGAGCATGACAAAAAGCTCGACAGCCGTGCAGCGGCGGGTTCCACAGCTTCTGCAATCCCTGCATGGAACCGCCAAGACATGCCTCATGTCTGACAGCGTCATCGCAGGGATCTTCATGCGCGATCTGGCGCGCTCCCCATTGGATTCTCGGCGCGTGCCTGTGGATCGAGCGTCGCGACGCACGAGATCTGCGACGCAGGATATAGATACATCACTTCGCCCTCTACACGCTGCACCCATACGTTTAGCAGGCTGGCCACTTTGGCCACCCTCATAGAGTATGTCAAACTTCCATCCGGCTCTGCCCTGTAGTAGAGGATGACCAACACATAAATCAGAAATCATTAAGAGGGTCTCAGAGGCAAGGCGGACTCAACACGAAACGGGACACGGATTCGTGCCTAGGAGCACGAGAGACAATGAATTTCGCCTTCCCTCCCAAATTGACTTCTGCCCAACTCAAGATTATTGCAAGGCTATGCGGTAAAAGCAGGTCTGGCACCAAGGCCGTCATCGCAGACCGCATCTTGGATGACCTGAAGACCTTCAAGCCTCTCGCCCCGGGCACGCGAGTCCTCAGCATCGACCTAGGCATCCGAAACCTCGCCTACAGCCTCCTAGAAGTTCCAGATCTTAATCATGGACGGCCCACTGAAACTGCGAAGGGGGCAAAGAAGAAGGGCAAGCTGCCGCCGTCTTCAGTCCCCATAGCGCCAAGGCTGCTCGCCTGGGAGCGATTGGCGCTGATCCCGAAGGCGGACAAGGTGGTACCACCTGAAGGAAGTACCAAGAAATCCCGGAAGAAGACCAAAACAGATGATGAGACCGATGCGGACCACAAAGACGAAGAAATTCTCCCCAACAAGAGCCGGAGGAAAGCCAAAACAGACGAGGTTGCCCCAGCCCTCCAAGGCGACGACCTCCCGGCCGAGGCCGACGCAACGACCACCCCCGTGCTCATGGAGGACTTCTCGCCGGCGCGCCTGTCCGCCCTGGCGGTGGACCTCATCCTGAACCGGCTGCTGCCCCTGCGGCCCGACGTCGTGACGCTGGAGCAGCAGCGGTTCCGGCAGATGGGCGGGTCAGGCGTCTACGAGTGGACGCTGCGCGTCAACAGCCTCGAGTCGATGCTGTACGCCGTTCTGACGCTCCTGCGCGAGACGGGCCAGTGGCACCGCGGCGGCCGCATCGAGCCCGTCGTGGCGCGGAACGTGCTCGAGTTCATGGTCGTGCGGGACAGGGCGGCCGGGTTCGACGTCGGGGACATCTGGGGCCGGGGCGCCGACAACAAGAAGGTCAAGAAGGATATCATCGGGAGGGCGCTGGCCTCGGCGGAGGGCCTGGCGGTTGAGGGGGCGGCGGAGGCCGTCGCTGTGGAGTACCTGGATGAGTGGCAGGGGAAGAAAAGCTTCCAGCGCAAGGCCGATAGGATGAAGAAGCTGGACGATCTGGCTGACTGCTTATTGCAGGGCCTGGCCTTCATACACTGGCAGAACAACAAGAGGATACTCTTGGAGGGCGGCGTTGACGCCCTCCAGGACCAGATGTTAGAATGACAAATTTGCACATGATGCAGCCAAAGAAGCGTAAAAAACAAATGTTTTCTTCGCATAGCGTGGCGGGAAAGCAATGCCGGGGTATCTTCCATCAGTAATCATCATAACAGTTGTCATAGACACCGCCCTGCGCCTGTGTGCTGACCCATTCCTCAGTGGCCAGACCTTTCGCATATCTCTTCTTGAGGTCCTGCGGATCCTTGTGCCAGTCGCATGCGAAATCGCACACAGGGACGTCCGTCTCCCCAAAGTACCTGCAAATGGCGGCGTGCCGGCAGCCCCCGGTGCTCTCGCAGTAGTCCACCAGGGTCTTGAGGCTCCGCAGCCTCGCCTCGCGGTTCTCCCCGTCCTTGACGTCCCTCGACACCATGTTGCATATGCGGTCGCGGTCCTCGCGGCTGTAGTACAGGAAGCAGTAGCTCGCGTTCCCGTCCCTGCCCGCGCGGCCCGCCTCCTGGTAGTAGCCCTCGAAGCTCTTGGGCATGCGCCAGTGCACCACGAAGCGCACGTTGTTCTTGTCAATGCCCATCCCGAAGGCCGTGGTGGCCACGATGATATCGTAGCCCTCCTGGTTGTTGACCCACCGGGCCAGCGTCTCCTCCTTGGTCTGGTTGAGCAGCTTGGCGTGGAAAGGGCGCGCCCCGATGCCCTCCTGCCGCAGCGCGGCGGCGATCATCTCACACTCGTCCCTGGAGTTGGTGTAGATGATCCCGGGCACGTTCTTGACCCTCTCGCCCCGGGCCTCGAGCTCCGGCCTCCTCTCGTCCGTCTCCCGCCGCGCGTACACGCCCTGGATCCAGGTAACGAAGTTGTCGAAGCGGTCGTCGGCCTGGTCGCTCGTGAAGCGGATCTCCATGTGCAGATTGGACCGGTACGCGGTCATGGCGAAGGTCCTCAGGCGCGCGGGGCTCTTGAGCAGGCCCAGGGTGGACAGCACGTCGGCGCGCACCTGCTCGTTGGCGGTCGCGGTCAGGCACATGATCGGGACGTCCGGGAAGGCGTCGCGGAAGAAGGACAGCTTCTTGAAGTCCTTGCGGAAGTCGTGGCCCCACTCCGAGATGCAGTGCGCCTCGTCGACGGCGATCCTGGCCAGCTCGCGCTGCTCGTGCACGACGCGCAGCCTGCGCCGAAAGTTGTCGCCCGAGCACAGCTCCGGCGTCACGTAAAGCAGCCTCGTGCGAGGGTGGCCCGACGCGAGGTCCTGGTAGATGTGGTCCTTTTCAGCCATGGGCGTGTTGCTGTTGAGGGTCCTGGCGTCGACGTTGGCGAGCTTCAGGGCCTCGATCTGGTTCATCATCAGGCTGAGCAGGGGCGAGACGACGATGGTGATGCCGTGGTCTATGACGGCGGGCAGCTGGAAGCACAGGCTCTTGCCGAACGAGGTGGCGGCCTGGACGAAGACATCCTTGCGCTGTAGAGCTGCCTCGATGATCTCCTTCTGCATAGGCCTGCATCGACCATGTCAGCGAAAGCCAGCCATGAAACGGGCCACATGGGTGGCAGTAGTCACCTGAACTCCTCCTTGCCGAACTGGCGCCTCAAGGTGAAGCCCGGGTCGGTGTACGAACTGGCCCTTGAAAGGGGTGCCATCCCAAGGCAGCCTGCGTGAGACTACGAGGCCACGCGTGCAGATTGGATGTCGTCCTGGGGCTAGTACGTCGTGACCCTGCTCTCCAAGTTCCCAGAGTGATGTCAGGTTGGTCCGCCCATCGCCAGACGCGCCCAGGTAAGGTGTGGGCAAGGGTCCCTTGAAAACGAGGCCTGGGGAAATGTTCTAGCGCCCTTCCAGACCACCTAAGGTTCTGTGAAGGTTGTTTCTGGCCTTGCAAACCCAAACGCTGAAACCAACCAGCACTAGGGAATTCATAGCCTAGACGAAAGCCTTAGAAACAGCTGAGTTGGGGCCGGCTCTCAAAACCGCCCAGAAGTTATGACAAACTTGCAATGTGCGGGCATGAAAGAGCCTCAGCCTCGTGACCAATATTCGTCATGGGCGGCTCTACTGGGAAGTCTGTTTTGTGGAGCTGCCGCAAGGCAAGGCTACATGGGAATAAGCGGATGGGTTGGCGGCTCCGAGGGACCATCTTTCTGACCACCAACCGTGGTGTTGCAGGAGAATACGCGTCAAAAGTCACAGGATTCCTTCCACAAGGTCAAGATTGTGGCTTCCCCGGTCCAATATACTCAACACATGCCCCCGGTTTCTGCTGCGAGTAGTTTGTCGCCAGCATATTGCTGCATACGAAGAAAAGCGACGACAAAATTCAAGCAAGGATGACGGATCCTCAGCTAGTGTACCCTCGAAACAATCTTTGAAAATACGATGCGACTCTGTGATAGTCAATTCAGAGTTTGGAATGATGTTCGGGTAATGAATAAGCCGGAGTGATGAGCTCTGGCCTGTTTTGTGTACCTGTGTGAGAGAACAAGGCTACCATCGCGACGCTCGGAAACAAGTGTGCCTCTGCCGCGTTGTAAAGCTTCTGGAATGAGGCGGCACATTCTATCCTATCGCGGCTGAAGATCTCAGTAGTTGCTAGCTCCAAAGAGACGAGCACCGGCTCCAAACACGCTTGAACATTTTGGCGGAATGGCAGAGGCGCGCGTAGCCTGCCAGTCAATGGAACCTGGGGCCACAGCCCCTGGCTGAATGCAGACTTCCCTGGGATTAGACTATTTACATTTACGAGGGCGGAATGCCCCGTCCTGCTGCTTGCCTGGTATTATCCCAGAGCAGATGATATGGGCAAGATTGGACCTGGCCAAGCTGTACAATGTACTTGTAGCATGCCATCTTCGCAGTGTCATCACGGTGTCCCACTAACACGGCGCTCCTGGTCTGTGCAAACCAGACGACTCGGATTGAACCGTGGCTCGCAATAATGGCCGTCGGCTACCTGCCAGTTCCCACTTCTTCAATGAAGAGGACGCGAAACCTCATGGTGTGTGGACCCGTAGGAACCGAACCTGCCTCTCTTACTGGAGGAGGTGTCGGACGAGGGCTAAGTTTGGGCTGAAGCCAGTCTACCGCAGAAGTGAAAAGTATAGCCCCGTTGCTTGGGTGGCCCGGGATCAGTTCGAAGACAAGTGGCTTCTGTTCCTTCGACCGAGTCCACGAATAAGAAGCGCGGCACAGAGGTGTATGGAGGATGCTGGCGCCTCACAATGTGGCCCCAGGAACAACTCAGTGACTTATGCCAGATGGAACATGCTGGAGACGGCCAACAGTGGCCATGTGGGGCTGTCAAAGGGAGAGCTCCTAGCTTGATGCTGAGGCCCGGAACGGCGACGCCGTCTTTGTGTGCGGAGCGAATCGGCAGGCACCGTCAGCAGAGAAGTCAAAAAAGAAGAGAAGAAAAAAAAGCCGTTGGGCGGGGCCACGAAACAAATGGAGTCGACACCGCCTCTTGTGTTTGACGTTGCGACAGGCAGAGTTGGGACGAGTGGAAGCGCTTCGCGCCGACTCGCCGAGCAGCCGCAAGGTTGGGTGGTGGACCAGAGCCCTCGGCTGGGCGGCCAGAAACAGTCGGAAACAATGTCGTGATATGGGACGTGGCATCCATCCGACGTCGTCGCTCGGGTTTTGTTTGACGATGGATGGAAACCGATCCCCTGAACCCAATCAAGCAATCGACGGCGGACGGTGGACCGGCCACGGGGGCGACGGGCAACGGACGGTCAGTCAAGCATGTCGGTGACTCGGTTTCTGTCTAGACCAGACTATCATTTAATAATAACAATAGACAGGGGCAGCAGTCCGAGTGCCCTTGGGAGAGTGAGTGACATCAGCCCAGCCTATGTAGAGCTTGTGTACCTAGACGTATGTGCGTGCCTTGCATGCCGTACTGTATAGATATTGCAGTATCTCAGTCCTGCCCTGCATGTGCAACCAACTTCAGCACGGCTGAGGATCCCGCAGGCGACCAACGTCAGGCCGTGGGGTGGCAGGCACATAGCTAGATGTAGCAGACTCCCGTATGTTTATTAGGCCGGGAAGGCGATTGGATGGTGGGAAGGAAGGTGGCGGCCGACGCGAAGAACACCACCCCCTCTGAGTGAGACCTGCAGGAGGAGTGAGACTCCCAGGGCTCTTTCTCTCTACCTGGTAATGCACCAGTGTTCCAGTACGTGCCGAGGTCATGGTACCTAAGCAGTCCCGTTCAGGTGCCCCCTTGAGCCTCTTGCGGTTAGGAAAAGGGGACTCGACAGGTGGTAGGCCTGCAGTTTTAGTGGCCCAAGCGTCGCTAGGCTGTTGTGGGCTAGGCTTGGCCATTCGGTGCCACTCCAGCCTTTTGGCACCCGACGCTTTTCCTGCAACCCCTTTCCCTCCGCAACGCACCGGCGCCGCGCAGTCTTGGAAACACTTGTGCCCGACCGACGCACGCCAGCCAGCCCGCCCGACAGACATCCAGAGTCAGTCATCCTTGGCCAGAGCCAGAGACTGCTGTCCCCAAGTTGACAGCAACCACAGTCCTGGGCGGATCCGGGAGACGCTGCCACACCAGTCCCATCTCTGCTGCACCTTTGTTTGCCCTCGACACCCCGGGCCAGGAACTCAGAGCGAGAGAGCGAGAGAGCGAGAGGGCCATTGCATCAACAACTTGTGCGGCACCGACGACCGTCACACAGTCCCAAGATCTGCCAGCTCTACCAAACAATCCCCATCCTAATCCGTCTGCCAACTGCCCGGCCCCGAATCACGGCATCCGATCTGGTCCTGCAAAGGGCTTGTGCCACTGCGAGACCCTGCCGCCGAACGTTTCAACTGTCTCCTCCGCACGCTGTTGCCTCGAGCTCAACAGCCTCCGCCGCCGCCGCCGCCTCTGCCTCCAAGCCCGGCCCCAATTCCCTCGCCTTCTGTGCACTTCTTTGCTTTGGCATCATGACATCGCCTGCTTCGCTTTCACAGCCCATCCAATTGGTCTAGACCCATACCTCCTTAGGTGGGTTCGCCCGCACACGAGCAACCGGCCTGGCAGAGAGTCAGATACCTCTCGAGCGCGGATCTTGGGTTGGACGCACTGAGGCATCCTGTACGACACCCATCCCTCATCTTCGATATAACAGCGACCAAGAGTCGGGTCTATGATCGCAACCACCATGGAGAGGCCATCCGGTCCGAACCCGGCGCAGATGGGGCTCCCTGGCAATCCGGCCCAGGGGCGTCGGGCTGCCCTTGCTGCTGGCATCAACATCCCTCCCCCGCCTCCCATCCCAAAGACGGTTCGGAAGATACCCTCCAATTCCGGCCTCACGGCCTCAGCCCCCATCGCTCAGAGCCAGGTCATCGTCCTGGCGAGGGACGCCATGAAGAAAGCTGTCGAGGAGAACCAGAGCCAGGTTGCCGAAGCCAGCGCCGTCAGCAGCGAGCTCAAGCCCGGCGTGACTGTCAATCTGAGCCATAAGAACATCCAGAAGCTTCCGGAAGAGGTCGTTGACGTTATAAAAGACCAGCTGGAAAGGTATGTCATCCCGACCTCGATGCACATGCAAGGGACGTAGTTCAAGGGCCGCGACTAACAACAAGACTTACTTTTGCCAGGCTCGCCCTCTCACACAACAAAATCTCGTCTTTCCCAGCCCGATTCGCCGAATGCACGTTACTCCGATACTTGAACGTCCGTAACAACAGGATTAGCGAGTTCCCATTACCGGTAATTGAGCCCCTCCTTGGCGATTGCGCTGTTTGTTGTGTTGGTGAGAGTCATGTCTGACTTGCGTCGCAGCTGTGTGATCTGAAATCGCTCGAAATCCTCGACCTCGGCAGGAATCAGTTGCGAAATTTACCACCAGACATTGCGAGGCTTACCTCACTGAAGGTGTTTGCAGTGCAGAAAAACCTGATCAAGGAGCTTCCCCTCTGTCTGGCCGACATGGGCTCGTTGCAGATGATAAAGCTTGATGGAAACCCAATCGTATTCCCTCCCAGAGAGATTCTGCAAGCGCAAGCTAGCAGCCCACCCAACGACGGGTTTTTGAAGGAGACAGAAGTGAAGGAGTTGACCGTCACAATCGCCATCAAGAAATTCCTGAGGCAGCACGCCAACGATCGAATGGAAGCAGAAGCTGCTGCCGCCGGCGAAGACTCGTCTGAAGGCGTCGAGACGCCGCGCCTGGCCCCAATCAAGCGCCCTGCAAGCGGTCGCTTTCCTATCAAGGTCAACGGCACCGACGTACCTGACCTTCGGTCGCCAAATACTGCACCACGACCGCCCCCAATCCCCACGCGATCACATTATCGTGGACTTTCTCAACAGAGTACATCATCGATTCGTCGACCTGGTGTCATGCCTCTGACAATGGGGGGCAATGTTAATGAGCGCGTGCGCAGCAATTCCGAAACCCTACTTCAAGCCCGCAACCAATACTCCGGAGACCGCCAGCGCCGCATGGCATCCATATCCAAGCGGACACAGGAGCTAGGCACTTTGGACGAGACTCAGGCCAACAACCGATTCAGCCATTATCGTGGACTCAGTCACGGTTCAGCCATGCAAGCTCCCAACGGCACCAGCATGACCATCAAAAGCCCCAACAGCCCCGCGGAGCCATTTCTTCAACGCCCGATCTATGTGCGACGGCTTTCAGTACTGCCCGAGCGCCGGCGCGAGTCCAAATATATCGACCCCGTTCTCGAAGCGGCCAAGGGCATCCTCTACTCGGTTTTCCAAATTCACCCCATGATCCAGATGCTGATGCATCTCACAAGCGATGGCACATCTAAGCGATCCAGCCTCGAGATCGTCTTCTACAACACTAATGTACATGTGGAGGAGCTTGAGCAGGAGATCCAGAGGCATGAGGCGGCCATCGAGACGGAAGATTCCGGCTACAAAGAGAACGAGAGCGTGCAGAGGGCCTGCATCACCCTGGTCAACGCCTACGCACACGTTTGTTCACTGTTGGCAACGAACGTTGACCTGTTCATCGAAAACGGCGACCCAAGATATATCCGCACACTATTAATGCTGCTCTACAACAGCATCATGGAACTCCGCGTCACAGTGTCCAACCCAAGCCCCGACGCTGGCTTTAGGAGAGCTGCCAGCAGAGCCGCAATGGGCGACACCATCCGGCCGCAACCTCATTCGCGTGAGAGCTCGGTCACACCCACGGCCGACCGACCGGGCCATGGTCTGCGATCCCGTAGTGGAAACTTTGTCCACAACCCAAGCAATCTGAGGGTGGCTACAGACGTGCCGCTGAATCCCTTGCAGGTTCCCTACATTAACGGAACGGGACGCACGGCCACCGTCACTCCTACTCCACGGTCCGGGGAATCTTGGACCTCAACCAGCAGCAGGGGCGTGAACGGAGATTTCACAGAAGAAGACCGCGTTTTTGAGAGGATTTACCTCTCCCTCCAGAGATCGACCGATTGGATCATGCGATCTCTGCCCTCGCTGAACAGCCAATTCGGAGCTTGCCTGGACAACGCCATCGCCCACAGCACACCCAAGGTCGTACAGTACTGGAGAGCCTTGATTCTTAAGTGCAACACAGCGATCCAGAACACTGAGACGCTTAAGAAGCGCCTGTCCCTCATCAAGCTTAAGGAGCCAGGTATCCGGACACACAGTGCCTTCTGGGCCCTGTGCACCAACTTTATTGATGCGTGGGCTGAGCTGGGCAAGATGATCAAGCACATCACCAACGGCGTGCCAGAAGTACAGCTGCCAAATGACACCCGGCAGCGACTTCGCCCGGTGCAGCACAGCATCAAGGAGACTCGCGATTTGATCCGTGCGTCACCTTGGTCCGACTCCCTCCGCGCACACAACCACTCAAACTCAACGTCGAGTTCTCTCGGCGGCTCCTTTTCGCAGAGCCAGATGCCTGCAGCCCAATCGCAACTGCCCATGACGCCGCAGTCCGCGGCACTCGGGCCGGCCGTCCAGGCTACCGTCGCGACCCCACAAAGTGCATCGTTCGCCAAGGCATTTAACGGCGGGGTGTTCGAGCGTGCTGACGCCCTGATTTCCATGGGCGGACGCTCGATGCATGGATCACGAACCGGTACCATGTCCAGTGCTGGCTCATCGAGCCTCAACTCCATCACCAGCATGTCGTCCAACGACGAGCTCATGACACCCAACACAGCGGTGAGCCCCGGCCCCGGACCCTACAGCGGTCAGCTCCCATTCCGCCTGGGCAACGGAAGCAGGGTAGCGCTCTGATTGGAGATGTATTATAACGAACGCAATACGGGACGCATCAATTTGGACTTGCATAACAGGAATTTCCTACTTTATCTTGAGCATTGGCGGCGACGGGCCGGGGCCGGTTTTGTTTTAATTGCGTTACATGAGCAATGATGGGTGGGATTGGTTCAAAAAGGGATTATAACTTGTTCGAATAATGTGATAATGTATCTTGTCCCGTCCTGATGGGCGACGGCCAGGACCTATTTTTACCGGGCTTTTTGGTGATTGCGAGGGATATGTGAGACTGATCGTCTCTGGAGAAGGACGACAATGCGAGAAGAAACATTCCTGTAATTCCAGACCTGGTGTGGCGTGAGTTCCGGGAGTCACATGGCTTGCTAGGCTGGTGTATTACCTATCTGGCCGATTGCCGCTCCCTGGGCTAGAGGAGATGCTCATAAGACACCATGCAGGAGAAACTGCGAGATGTAACTGATACAACACCAGAAATGGACAATGGACAATCGCGATGTGATCGTCCTTCAGCGCTCTTGCTCTGTACAACAATGTGAGGGATGTTCTAGTCGGGGCGGAGCACTCCCGCTGTCAAGATGGGCTCAAATGGCTGTGATATGAAATATTGCCTTACTTTCTCAACGGCTATTACGGGCAGACCGTCCATGCTCACCAGGAAGTGGGCTGGATGGACAACATGATATCCGCAACTGGCACAGCTCGACCCCTCCTATGAAATCATGTGATTTACAATTCACTCAATTATCTAGATGACTCCTAGGACTACTGTACGAGCGGTTCGAAGCTTGTAGCTGAGCATGTACTCCGAGGATGGTGCCGGTGTAATTCGACTTCCGGTGACGAGCGGACAGCACGGCGGATACGGATCGGTGCGGACATCAGGGGGTAACTGTAAAGTCCCCAAGAATTTGTCCTGTCCCACGTCAGCAAAGCGTCGCCGAGATGTGGAGTATGATAAGGACAACTTTTGGCACGCATTCCGACAACAATCTAATTGCTGAGACAAGGGCGACAAGACGTCATTATAACTGGAGCAGATTTCTCGGCTTCATGTAGGCAATTGGAATTAATTCGAATTTTCTACGGGCCAGTATCTACGATTTTGAGGTATAGAAAGTAACATTTAACCATGGTAAAACTAAAGTTTGGGTTAGAATCCAGCCAGCATTGTTGTTGCTGCCCGGCCTAGCCGTGGCCCGTTTGGGGTGGTCGAGTCCAAGGGTATCATGAGACACGGCACGTGATGTGGCATTTTTCTGCCGTGTCGGCTCACCGCTTTTCAAACCCACAGGCTCTAAGGGGCCGACCGACCTTTGATTGATTTTGCATTTTGCACATCTCCGCCAGACATCCCATCCCTCGACAACCGACGACCATCCCTCCAACAACGATTGCTCTGGTGATTCAGTAACTCATCAGGTACGTGCAAACCCCACAACCCCCCAGTTCTGCTACATTTATCTCAAGCAGCTCGACAATTGCGGTCACTTTGGGAGAGGGCACCGTCTGCAAGACTTTCGGGCCCGCCTGCTCACCCTGCCCACCTCCTGGGAAAACCTTCGCTGACTTTTCGATATCTGCAAACAGACACCGCAATCATGGGTATCTCACGCGATTCTCGTCACAAGCGCTCCGCCTCCGGTGCCAAGCGTGCCTACTACAGTGCGTCCCCGATAACATACAAATGAAAAACATAATCGAAAGCCCGTATCGATCCCGGAGCTCTGCTGCGTCCCTTGGGCCTCGTTAAGGGGCCGAGCGGACGCATCACTCCGGGACATACGTTCTGACCTTTGTCAACAGGGAAGAAGCGCGCTTTCGAGCTTGGCCGCCAGCCAGCGCAGACCCGTATCGGCGCCAAGCGCATCCACACCGTCCGCACCCGCGGCGGCAACCACAAGTACCGTGCCCTGCGTCTCGACTCTGGCAACTTCGCCTGGGCCTCTGAGGGCACCACCCGCAAGACCCGTGTCATCGCCGTCGCCTATCACCCGTCCAACAACGAGCTGGTCCGCACCAACACCCTGACCAAGTCCGCCGTCGTCCAAATCGACGCCGCCCCCTTCCGTCAGTGGTACGAGGCCCACTACGGCCAGCCCCTCGGCCGTAGGCGCCAGGCCAAGCAGGGCAAGGAGGAGGAGCCCGTCAAGAAGAGCAAGTCCGTCGAGAAGAAGCAGGCCGCCCGCCTCGCCGCCCACGGCAAGGTCGAGCCCGCCATCGAGAAGCAGTTCGAGGCCGGTCGTCTGTACGCCGTCATCTCCTCCCGTCCCGGCCAGTCTGGCCGCTCCGACGGTTACATCCTCGAGGGTGAGGAGCTTGCCTTCTACCAGCGCAAGCTCCACAAGTAGACGGTGGTCTCTGCCGCGGGGTCGGGGAAGTACTCTTGAGTGCCACATCATACTCAGGATGCAAGGATAGCTTAGCGAGAAGAGGGGAGAGTACCTCTCCCTCTCACCAGGCGAAATCGGATTTCGGTGTTCTACGGATCGGCTGCCCTTATGAAACGGTGGCCATGGCTGTACTGAAGAAGTTCAGCAGTGAGAAGCCCATTTGGTCGTTTTTCTTCAGGTTCATTGCATTGGGACGGGAGAAGGGAACAATAAAAAAAAAAGGGAACAAATGCCTTTACGTGCGCAATGAACATCCGGTCCATCCTGCAAGCTTCTGTCGTGTAATTGTATCCTGTAGCCGTGAATTGAATCCACGTGCCCAATCCACTCTATGCCAACTTTTAGTAGCCAACCCATCAGGCGTAGGGAACCAAAAAGTCTTGAGGATAGTCTATGCAGATTCCGCATCTCGTTCATATGGTCTGTTGAACCACTAGGCTATCCCGCATTAATTGGTTAGAATCTCTTTCGACGGACAACTGTCGAAATTCGCACGAAATCTTTCTCAGTCTCAGCAACACGGACCAGACGAGACATTCCGGGACGGACGCACAAGAACAGGAACACAAGGGAATAGTAGTACGACACGAACAACAGCGTCTTTTTCCGCATGCATGGAGACGGACGAGTGTTTTGTGGTTACAGCTTTCCTAACCCTTACACACCCACATAGCCCACCGCCGCCCCCAAGAATCATGTCTAAGTAACTCATGCTATGCCCTCAAATACCAAGGCGCCCCACGCCAACCATGGCTGCTGCTGCTGCTGTTATTGTATGCCCTCGAGGCAAGTGATCGTCGTCCAGCGTATGTTTGTGTTTGTGTTAGTGTGTGTGTGTGTTTGTTTGTTTGATTCAATTCTCCAAATTGCTGTCTTTGCCCCTTGACGCCTGTGCCCTTTCGAAGGGCTGCTACTGCTCATAGTAGTGATGGTAGTAGCAGGAGTAGATGATATGACATAGATGACACCGAATCAACCTCGCTCGAGTAATGATACCGCGCCCGGACTTCCAGGCCGGCTAGATGTAAGTTGGGAGGTCCCGTGTCCACTTCCCAATGCCCCTCATGCAAACGTACGCTTCAGGTCGTTCCACTTCCTCTGAAGGGTCTCGTGCTGGGAGTTGATCTGCAAAGTTTTGTTAGCAATCGCCCTTTGCTCAGGTTTGGTGATGGGTGTGGGAAGTAAGCAACTCACCTCAGCATACTGCATCTTGGTCTGCACAAGCTGCTCCTCCAACTCGGCCATTTCCTTCTCGACCTTCTCGTTCTCCTCGTGTACCCGCTGGTTCCGCTCGATGAGCGCGTCCCTCTCGAGCTTCCACTGCTCCTCGATGTCGATGGGTTGCCTCTCGATAACGATCTTGAGCTCCCGAACCTGGCCTTGTAGCGACTCATTCTGGTCCTTCAGCTCCTCGTTCTCGACCTTGGTGTGCACCAGCTCCGTTGCCAGGTCTGCCTGCTCCCGGTCCACCGCTTGCAGCCGCGTCTCTAGCTTGCGTAGCTTGGCAGCATAACTCGTGTTCTGCGACCTCAGGGTCTCGAGCTCCAACTGTTGCTCCTTTTCGGTCTTGGTCTTCTCTTCCCACTCTGTGCGGTAGAACTTGAGAATCTCAGGAGTTACCTTGACCTCACACGCATCATGAACAAGTTGGTCGGCGCGGTAGACCTCCTTGTCCATACTCGACGTGGAACTGCCAAAGAAACCGTTCTCTAGTATACTGTTGGCGGTTGGTGAGGACTCAATATACACATCAAAGAGTCGATCCCTGAGATAGGTAGTGAGTTGAGACATGTCGGTCATGCCAAGAAGTGTTTGTGCGTTCTTTTGCATTAACACGATGCCAAATTTGAGGACGGCCGACAGACCCTCAGAGAGGATCAGATCATAAATTCGGAGGACCAGCTGGAGCGGGAAGCGATATGAGAAAAGGGTGAGGAACCACTGCGTGGCATAGAGGTGCGGCGAGATACCCCGCCGTCTGAGGTGGCAGTAAAGAGCGGGCTCGATGTCTTCGAGTAGTCGTTCAAATTGGTACAAATGCATATGCAGACCAGGCATGTCCTGGATAAAAAGGTCACGCAGGTGATACTGATTCATCAACCGCACCAGTAGGCAGAATGCTTCTTCCTCTGACATCTGCAAAGTTTGTTAGTGCATGCCAGTCAAGAAGCCAGCCAGGGCATGTTCCAAAGCTTACATTGAAAAGGAGGGGCATAATCAAGAAGTTCATGCCCTGGGCGTACCCGACGTCCTCATCGTAAAGCGCATAGGCCTTGCAGACGCCAAAGAGGCCTTCCTGGAGCCCCTGGGCGGAAGCAAACTTGGAATACGCCGTCCGGGCACCCACGTCCTTCCGGATAGTCTTCTCCAGCCTCTGGATCGAGGCCGTGTCTTCCTTCTTTTTCTTCTTCCGCTCAGTCTCTGAGGCTGCCTGCGCCTTGGCGGCGGCCGGGTCGTCGTCCTTGGGCGGTGGAGGCGGTGCGCCGTTGACACCAGAGTCGCCGGAATGTACCGACGAGGCTGATGAGTGGACGCTGTTGCTATTGCTACTGGCACCCAGCGAGGCGTTGCTGTTTCGGTCCTGTTCCTTGTCTGTGCCCCTAGCCACAAGTTCCCGATAAACGGCCTCCAGCTGCTCGCTCTGACTCTGTGCCAGAACCTGCCATATGACGCCCCGGATAGCACTCGGGATGCCAGTCGCAATGGCTCTGCTCAGTTCTTCGGCACTCGTCTTGGCAACGGCCGCGGGTCCCTCATAGACTACAGACTGCCACAAATCCCAGTCGACTGGCTGGTCTGACAGTGTGGAGGGTCCAGCTGCTGCCCCCGACGCGGTTCCCGGGGCCAGATGTGCGGTTGCAGGGTTGGGTGAGGCCGGAGGTTGCGCAGACGTCGCATCCTTCTCCTCTGCCGGCGTAGTAGCTGCCAACCCGCCGGGGCCCTTGTTCACCAGGTTGGCAAAACCATTCTTGTCACCATCGTCGGGGAGGCTTGTTATGCCGGCCTCTTCCCTCATACGCATCGCCTTGAAACGGTCCTTTAAGCTATTCCGCACATTCCCGTTCACCCCGTTGGTACCGCCCTCCTCCTCCAGCTTACTGAGCATCATCTCTGGGTTGCTAGCCAAGGTTGTCACGGAGCTGGCAGTATTCCTCCTAGGCGATAGATCTGGCGGCGACGAGTTTGTCATATCTTTGGACGAGCTTCTTGACAGCCACGAGAAAGCACTGGCGAGCTTCCGCGGCGGAGGTGGTGCGGGAGCCTGCGCCGGAGCCTGTGCCTGCGCCTGGGCAGGAGGAACGCCCGGGGAGGCCGGCGTTGGGGCGGTAGCTGGGGGTGTATCGAGGTTCTTTGGTGATTCTTGAGCACCTGGCGACCAGGGCATAGCTGGAAGGGCGCTTGTAATACTACTCAAAGATATCGTCTTCTTGGGCTCGCTCTCGCTGGGGCTCATCTTGACGTCCTCGACCTCTGCTTCTGCTTCTGCTGCTGCTTGCGGGCTTTTGTCAGAACAGCCCACCTCCTAGGGGTGTGTGAGCGGATCACGAACCTTTTTCTCGTTGTGGAGCCTCGTCGTCCAGGCTCACTTCGGCGAGCTGGCCGTTGGACGCCAGGGACAAGCGTTGGCTCGGTGAGATGGAGGGCCTGCCCGGTTGTGCTAGAGATTGGTCATTGTCCTCGCCTAATGGTGTGTTGTCGACGTCTTCGAACTCGTCCTTGGTGTCTTCCTTTGCGTCGTCCTTGGTGGTGATTACTTCTGGCTCGGCGGCCGGCGTGGTCTTCTGCTCGTCCTGGGGCTGGTCCTTGTCGTGGATTGACTGGGGCTCGGTGGGCTGAGGCTTTGGGATGGGGGAGGTTCGACGGGTCAGAGACCGGATAGAGGAAGTGTCTGGGACGGTGTCTGGGGCGTCTTCGAAGCTGTCCTGCAGGGCGATTGGCGATGTTAGCACCACGCAATCTCCCGAGGGCAATAACACAGGCTGAGGCAGGGGATGTGACGGGCTGGGCGCATGGGCTGCCGTGTGACGACAGGCGCCAACGTGTAACCAGGCCAGGGCTAGAGAGTCAAGAGGTGGGAGATAGGGGACGGGCCTCGAAAGAGACAAGGTTTCCGTGGTTGCATGCAAGGGAAATTCGACATTTGGGAGTAGCGTACCATTTCCCGATCCGAGTCGGCGGCAGACTCGTTGTCCCTGTCGTCGGCCTTGTGGTTGACAGGGGAGATGGGGGACACAGGCACGGCGGGCGAGATGGGCGTCCGGACGGGCGCGTCCTGCTGTTGAACCGACATGTTGGGCGGGTGGGCGTTGGGGCTGGGGAGAGGAGTGATTGTGTGTAAGTGGGTGCGAGGGCAGGATCTAAGTAGAGTATTTCGAAAAAGTCGCGGGGGCGCCGCGTCTGGAGGTGGGCGGGCGCTTGGGACCAAAAAAAGGGGGAATTGGAGAGCTGTTCACAGCTTGGATGCAGCTTCAGGCCATGTGTGGATTGGCTGGGCCGGGCTGGGTTGCTGCTAGTTGAGTGCCGGCAGTCCGCCCGTCTTGTCTTGTCATATGAATGCACGAGTAGACTAGGGATGCAGCTGAGTCTCGATCCCAGCAGGCCTTATCGAAGTACAGGTGTTCCTTCACCCGAGACGGTGGTGCAGGCAGAGTAGAGCAGAGCAAGTAAACGTATCTGTGCTGTCGTGTGGTGTGTTGTGTTGTGCGTGTTATGTGGGGGTTGGGACGAGTACCGAGTACAGTATGTATGGATGGCCGAGACAAGGTTGTGAGCAGCACCAGCGAGGACGGAGCTCGATGAGCTGTGTGTGCTGCCGACTGTGTTTCTGTCTGTCGTGTGTCTCTTGTGTGTCCTTGTTTCAACCGCTGCCGTTTGACGTGATATGACTTGATGGCGGTCTGGAAATAAAGAAAGCTTGAAACGGGCAGGATCCGTACCGCTCCGGCCTGGGCCCGCGGGCTTGAATGGAATGTGGAATGACAAGGCCGGGGACAATAGTGATGATGATGGTGGACTGAATGATTGATTGATTGATTGATGGCGATGCTGATGATGACACTGGCCGCGAATCTTGGACATTGACCCGAACCTCGACCTCGACCTTGACCCGACCTTGAACTCGGCCTCAACCTCGACTGCGACCCTGTTCCTTGTCCTTGTCCTGCTCGTCCGTGTGCTTTCCTTCCCCGAACGGCCTGTCTCCCTCCGCAGCGTGTGCCGTCACCACCAGTCACTGACGGCCGGGCGGACTTGACCGTCTCTTCACCAAACCACAAGAACAGAAAAAATGGTGGGACCAGGGGGACCAGGGACCAGGGGTCCTACAGGGGTCCGCCATGGTGGCGTCGACGAGGATAGAGCCGCTACGGTAGACTCTTAGTCCTGCCCAACTGGAGGGGTCGGGCCACACCTGCCACGCCTGTGAGCACGGTCTTTGGGGCTCCCGGAGTTAGGTATCTAGACCAGACATTTGGTCTAGCACAACAGGCTAGATAGACATCAACAGACCACAATTTACACGTGCGCTGAGTGACGACGTTATTCCGCATCTATCTGTCATTCAGACTATCTAAATACAAATTTCTCTTCGCAATTTGTATAGCTTAGACGGTGCAGAACCGCTTCCAGGACGTTGTCCTGCAGGAGAGTACCTAGGTTGTATACTGGCTTGCTCTCACACCGATCTTTTGCGGTCTCTGCAAACTGTGATAGTCTAGTATCTCTTTCTTCCAGGACCCCCTTTTCCGCTTCCTTCTTATGTGGGTAAGCTTGACTGTTCCCACCTCACTTTTTACCTCTCAGTAGGAATGTGACAGGCAGACTTGCACAGTCAGGCCACTCGCCTATAGACATAGGACAGCCCCCAATACCGTGCCAACTTCCTGGCCCAGCAGCCTCTTGAAACGAGACAGAAAATAAAACAACAGAACAGAACAGACACGCCATCAGCAGGGCTGACTGTACCTCCATCAGACAGCCCCAGTGCCCTGCCCTGCCCAGCCCAGTTCATCCGTACTCGGCCCCCAAGGACACCTGTATGCCCCATCAAATTCAGCACCAGCGCATCCCGAGGCCAGTTCGCCGGGCCCTCATCAAGAGGGCCGGCCACCGGCCGTTTCACAAACACCCCGCCGCCTCTGTCTGCGATGTTCCTACCTGACAGGTTCTCCAAGCGGAACGAACAGAAGGATGCAGGCTGTACGCTGCCGCCAGATCTCGGCGAAGAGCCGGGTCATCCCCATGCTCTACACTGTAACGCTCATATCCCGCCTGTCCTGACTACTGGCTGAGCTCCAGAATTATCAATGTGGAACAGAACCTACCTCGATGTCCGTCTGCGAGTGTAATGCTACAACAGATGATCAGATTCACCAGTCACGTAGCATCTGAACATCTGAATTGCACAAGCCAGAGATTCTCTGAGAGCTGCGACATTCCGCCTGCCTAATCTATGAGGATGACTCAAGGTATCTGTGTCCACGGCCTGCACTCCGCTTCAGTGTCTACCCCTCCTCAACAGGCGGGCCAAAAGCCCTCAGGCCGGCATTCCCCGATCTCTGCTCAAGGCGTGCCGATGATACGAAAACAATACAATACACAACACTCCCAGTGCTTGGGGCAAGCCTTCTGATAGCTGCCCATGCTGTAGTTTCTCCCTGCCTTCCGGAACACCAGACCCCTAATAAACAGCCGGAATTTTATGCCGGGAAAATGCATACCATGGTGATACCACCCCCCCCTTCACTCAGTGCATCTCGCTCTTCTCTTAGGCGAAACCAAAGTAGTCGCCACCCGTCGTGATGGCCTTGATGACCTGGCTGCGGAGAGCCTCGTAGCTTTCGTACTCGGGCAGATCAAGTTCTGCAGCAACAATAGTTAGCACAAAGCGGGCGCGTAGGGGAAGGGAGAGGAAAGAAACTTACGATTGAAGCAGGTATGCGAGCTGGGCAACCTATCCTTGTTGCCGTAGTCACGGTGGATGTTGAAGCGGTTGACCCCATTCATGCCTTCGAGCTCCTTGAAGCCGTTCAGAGGAACCTTGGACGTGCCCGTCACAAACTGCAACAGTTTGGCCTGCTCCTCCTTGTCGAACGATCGAACCGCGCGCCAGAACCACTGGATCTGCTGAGAGGCCGCCGTGTAGTTGTGATACTCCGTGTTGCTCTTCCAATCGTCCACGTCGATGTCGGGGAGACCAGAGATGAGAAGCTCCAACTCCTGCTCGTTGAAGATGGCAATCAGGTCCGCCGGGATGACACCGTGGAATCCCTGCAGGAAGTGCTCCATCTGGATCTTGACGGATGACAGGAGCTTGTGCTCTACAATGAGCCGGACGTACTCGTGCTTGTTCTCGTTGGTCACATCAATATTGCGGCCGTTCTCGATGAGGTCGACAACCTTGCTTGCGCCGAACTCGTCTTCCTCGACCGAGAAAGACTCGATCACCGTGCCCGTTATGTCATTCTCCAGCATCCAGACCAGTGACTTGTAGTAGTCCGGGTCGAACGACTCCATGTCCTTGACAGACACAGGCTTGCCGAGGATGCGCTTATACACAGCACGGCTGAAGTAACAGTCCAGAAGACGACCTTCGTAGACGGCCTTGCCAATGATTCGGCCAATGAACTTAAAGAAGGCCAAGTGCTCCTCGTTATAGTGACTGGACTTGTTCGGGTGGAATGTCGTGCGGTCCGCAGACACGGGAGTGAACAAGATGTAGTCTGGGTTGAACATAGCCCTGGTCAGGACCTGGAACCACTCACGGGTCACACCTCCGGCGTCGACGCCCTCTTCGCCGTGGAAGCGAACGTTAAGCTTGCCATGCTTGACCTCGTCATCAGACTTGAAGGCAAGGGCCCGGTAAGAATCGTGGAAAACATTGTCTCGCCTGACATTGACCGACAGCGGCGGGTAGGATGGCCGTGTATGACCACTCTGCTTCGCGTGGACCGTCCGTGTGAAGTAGCTGCGCTTGTTGTCGAACTCCAACACCTTGGGGTTCTTCACCAAGAGGGAGAACGTGCCCGACATGAGCTTGTTGTTTTGCCGAACAAGCTCGTTGAGTATCCTCCGGTGCTCGTTGGTGAAAGTGAAGAACAGGCCTGCCATAGCGTCCTCAGGCGGTGGGCTAGAGAGGACCATGTCCTTGTTGAATTGACTCTTGCTCTGAGGACCATCCTCTAGCGTTGTGTTCTTGCAAACAACCATGAGCGACTCGATAAGGGGCAGAAGGATGGTGGCAACGTTCAACATGCTGTCTCGCTGACGGATAGCTGCAAGACAACCACTCAGCTTCTCCCACATCTTGTTGAAGGTCTCGTTGTGGTAGAGAGTCATAAGCAAGCTAGACTTCTCGTCGGCGGCGGCAGCATCGCCTGCATCTCGCGTCTCGTCCTTCTTGGTCTCGAAAAGATGATCAAGAGCCGTCAGAACGCGGAGAAGCTTGTTCTGCTCTGAAGCGCCAGGAGAGAACTTGGCTAGTGCGAGTCCCTGAATCTCAGTGCCAGACTCTGCCTTTGAGATGTGCGGCATGAGTTCGTCAAGCTCTGACACGATGTTCTTGCTGAGCAGTTGGGCCTGCTTCACAAGCTCCCTTCCGAAAGCCTGCTTTGCTTCAGGAATATTGGAGAGATTCTTGATGGTGGATATGGTGTTCTGGAAAGTCTTGGAGCTGCACTCGCGTGCAACAAAGATCTTGACCACGAGCTTCAGGTTCTCCGGAGGAATGAATGGAGGCTGAAGCTGTCGGACCTTCTTTTGCTCAGGCTGAGCCTTATCTGCAGAAGTCTCGGCCGGCTTCGAGGGCGCCTCCGTGGGAGCCTCAGTCTGAGCGGCTGAGGAATCCTGAGCATTGTCGGTAGTAGCAGCAGCAGCAGCTTCCCGCTGCTCTGTGCCCTCCTTTGCCTTCTCTGCTTCTCTTCTGGCCTCTTCTTCAGCCTCCTTGCGGCGCCGCTCTAGCGCCTGAAGTGGAAGTGTGACCTTGTTAAGAAGATCCACGAGGAGTTGCATTACGGTCGAGCTCTCCATGACTAGATCGCGATCAAGGAGATGCAGTAACGAGTTAATGGCGTATTTGTGCACCTTCAGGTCCTTATTCTTGCCCTTGCGGTTGTGCGCCTGTTTCAGAGAGACGGCGATGCCTTCGTGCTCAGTCAGGAAGAGGGAGGGGATGTGGGGATTCCTGCCCGAAAGTTCCACAAGCAAATCGAGACACTGCTGGACGACTAGGAGAGGAGAGATCTCCGAGTTCTGTTGAATGTTGTTGGTCGAGCTAATGTTCGTGAACGTCCGCTTGAGGCTCTGGGGAGTCTTGAAGTCCTTGTCCTTGTCCTTGTCTTTTGGTTGCTTGGCCTTCAGGGACAATGAACTGAAACTGCGCTCGACGGCCTCCATGTCGGTGCTGCCAAACTGAAGAATCTGGAGAAGCGAGCCGATGACCTCGAATCGGTTTTGTCGGTTCTCGCAAATATCACCAAGCACACGGAAGAGGTGGCTGCGGATAGAACCCTGCTGGCTCACAAACATGAGACGAAGAAGTGTCGCTACACCCGCCTTGTCCAGCATCTGCACGATGGCGCGACGTTGCACCTTGTTGTCAGTTCCAGCCGCGGGTTCTGGGGCGTTGCGGGCCGCATCGCGTGTGCGTAACATGGCGGTGGTGGACGCGGTCCGGTGGTACCTTTCCGCCAGAGCCCGGGCTTCCTCGGCCAGGTCGGGTGGAAGCTGATCCATAATCTCGTTGCCTTGCTCCATGAGAACAGTCTGCCGAAGGTCGGGTGGGAGGGTAGCCAGGATACTTGCAGCATCCATGTCCTGCGCTGCGGGCGTGTGTCCGATTGTTGCGGTCTGGCGGCGTTGCGCCTCGCGCTCGGCCCGCCTCCGCTCGTGTCGCTCAGCTTGGACAATCTCGTGCCGTATATCTTCGGGAAGCGCATCCAGGAACTCCTGGAAAGCCTCACCCTGCTCTCCAGCAGAGCTGTCTGCTGCGGCTGCGCGGGCCTCGGTGCGTCGCGAGGTGACGGTTTGCGCGATAACCTCTTCCCTCAGATCCTCAGGGATAGCAGCAAGGTACTCGGGGTCGATTCCGAGCTCGGTGACGTCGACTTCCTCGCCCCGGATCGTCGTGACCACCCGCGGCTGGGGAGGTCCAGGTTCCTCATGTTCGGGCTGCCGAGACTCATCAGACGTCTCGACACCTTCCATAGGCTGCGGCTCGGCGTCCTCAGAGCCTTCCGCCTGCTCGTCATCTTCTGCACCAGCCTGAGCGGCTGCTTCGGCTGCTTCGGCTGCCACACGCTCCAAGCGCTCACGCTCTTCCGCCTCTGCCTTCTCTCGCGCTATCTTGTCTTCAGCCTCCTTGGCCTCACGTGCTTTGCGCTCTTCTTCGTGGCGTTTCTGGCGTTCTTCTTCCTCTTTGCGTCGGCGCTCCGCCTCTTCGGCTTTGGCCTTCCTCTCGTGCTCGGCAGCGTAAGGCGTGAGCGTGGCCCAGATGTAGTTGTTGAGCCTCGTCGCCTTTTCCTGGTTCATGTGGCCAAAGACCAGTCGAGCTTCATCAAGCCACCGCTGCTCAGTCGTAGCTGGAGCAAACCCAACTGCTTGCTGCGGCTCCTGGTACACCTCTCGCCGGGTCTCGGTCCGCACATCACGACTGTGCTGGCCAGCTCGGAGGGGAATGCTAAACTCTTGGATCTCGCCACGGCCACCTGGGCCCTGGATTTGGAAGGACAGATGCGGAGTCCGTCCTGCGATGCCTGGAGGTAGGTTTGCCATCAGATCACTCAGAATGCTCATAGGGCTGTCGAGGAAGCTGTGCAAGCTACCAAACCGCTGCAGTGGTGACCCAAGTGGGCGAGGGGAGGCGTCGCGAGCGTTGTTGGCGCCTCGTCGGAGTAGCGGATTAAGTCCATCATCTTGATTAGCCGCTGGGCCCGGAGCTCTACTCCTAAAGTAACTGCGGAAGTCTGTAGCAGGATCAGTACGGCGATTTATTATAAGTTGAGAAAGAACAGCAGTCATCTCCTGCTCAAACGACTGCGCCCCGAGCGCGATCATTTGAGCCTCTGATTGACCAGAAGACATACCACCAAGTGGATCGCCGCCCCGGGGTCCGCCGCCAATAACGAAGGGACCAACTGGGAAGGGACTGCGGCGAGGCCGTGGAGGACCGCGTTCGACAACAAGAGCATCCCAGCCAAGACCGGCGGGCATAGGGGGAGGAGCAATATCATCTCCTGGTCCTGCTAATAATATTGGTATGGTGGAATAATGATAAATGGTTCCATGGTACTTACTCTGCGGGTATTCATAGATGTAGTCATCGTCGACATCAACTTGCTCATCTTCGTCGTCTACCAAGAAAATTAGTATGCCATTCCCGATTTTCGAAATCGGATCTCCGTTTCTCCACGCGGTGACTTACCATCATCTTCGGCTTCGTCGTCGTAACGATCGCCACCGAAGTTGAACCCTTCCTCGGCCAGGATGTGATGGTGGTGATGGCCGTCCGCATGGTCATCCTGCATGAGCTCTTGCAGCTCGTGGAGCGGGTTGGGCATGTTGGCGAGCTCGTCGAGGTCGTGCACTCCATCTTCGTACGCCTGACCCTCGCCCTCCTCGTCGCCCTCATCCTCGTCGTCGGTCTCGCTCTCCCAGCCAGAACCGCCGTCATCGTCGAGCGGGTTTCCTTCCTCGTCGACGATTTCGATACGATCTTCCATGTCGTCCATATCTTCTGAGCCGACTTCGTCGTCGTCCCCATCGTCATCGTCGTCGCTGAGTTCGTCATCCTCATCCATGTCCTCGTCGTCGTCGTCATCCTCGTCATCCTCGTCCTCATCCATGATGACCTCGACGCCGACTGGATCTCCTGGGAGGCCTTCGATGTTACCCATTTCACCGAGCTCTTCATCGTCGTCGCTGACGTCTTCTTCGCCATCCTGCGACATGTCATCGCCGTAGTCGAGCTCATCGGGGTACTCTTCATCGTACATTTCCTCGTCCTCTGGAGAAATTTTGTTAGCTATTTCAATCATTCGATGGCAAGTGGGGTTCGTTCGCTTACCGTCCTCGTCGGAATCTTCGTCAAAGTCGTCTTCCCGGCCAGCCTCAAGCATGCCCAAGGCGGAGTTCCGGTAAAGATCAGGAGTCTCCTCACGGTCGTCTTCCAAGTCAGAGAGCGATGATGCCGACGCAATTTCATCCTCCACATTGTCTTGAGGACCGGACGGGAGCAGATTAGCGTGACTGAGGGCGATACCAGTGCTCGTCATGATCTGCAGGACACGGAGGATATACTTGATAGTGCGCTTTACGCCAGGGAATGTGAGATCGATGTCGGCTATGGATGAGGTCAGTGCTGGCAGGAAGCTCTTCTCATACATTAGGCGCTTGAGCTGCATGTGTGAGCGACTCGCCGTGGAGTGGTCCGAGAAGCGAGGGCTTGCTGAGTCGGCCTTGTCGCCCATCATGTTGATCATGAGCTCGGCCAAGGACAGCAGCTTTGCATATCTCATGTCGAAAGGCTCGCTCGGCAGTGAGGCGTCCTTATACGCGCGGAGGATCATGTCCAGAACCCACTTGCGGACAAAGAGCAGATCAGAATCATCGTCATAATCGAAACGATCGCGGCTCCGGTCCACTGGCCTCTCGTTGGTCTTGGCCACCAAGGCAACGAGAACCTGACGGGCCTGCTCAGAGGTAGCGGCTTTCTTCTTTGCTGCAACACTGTCCTGTGGCGAGCTGAGACTGCTCGTGCAGAGGAGATCGTTGAGTAGATAGTTGAGAACGCCTGAGCGAGGTTTCACTGGCGTATTGGCGAACGTGGGAGCATTACGCTTGAAGTTGATGAACTCCATCTTCTTGCTCGTATAACTCTGCAATAGCTCTGCGAGGCAGTGGAGCAGGAAACAGCGGTAGACGAAGATGGGGTGTTCTTCAGCCTTGAACGAAGCCTTTGGGGGTTTCTTGTCTTTGTTCTCGACGTTCTGCTCGTCAACAGGCGTAGCCTCACTGTTCGCCGCCCCAGTGTCATCACCAGGTGCGTTCGTTTCCTTAGCGGTGTCCGTCGGCTCTTTGTCGGCAACCTCTCGGTAGTTGAGCAACTCGCAGAGTAGGAAGTGTACCACTCCGTCGGGGTTCTCGACGACGGGTCGTTTTGACTCGGCTGCAGAGGACTTTACTGCGTCAGTCATTTCCTTGTCGGCGGGTTCGGTCGTTGGCTTGACATCATTAATGGTGAGCTCCTCCGTAGCCTGGACCGCTGGCTCAACCGATTCGCTCACTGGAAGCGAGGCTGGTGGCTTTTCGCTCGATTTCTCCTTGAGCGTCAGTGTGACTCCTCTCGCAGTTGGTCCTGAAGGATCGCTCGATGTTTGAAACCGCCCGAGCCTAACAGTCTCGTTTGTTATCTCGATGAAAATGTCCGGGGACCTCAGAGCGACATGTGCAAGGCTCCGAGTATATGTGGGTATGTCGATGGCTCGGGGGTTTCTGTGGCCCATCTGCTCGAAGTACCTCCGGATCTCACTTCGCATGATCTGCCGAAGGGTGTCGTCATCCTCCACGACGTGTCTCAGGACCGTCATTACATTTCCGGAAACCGTGGAGTCTTTCAGACGAGCAGAGCCCAGCCCAGATAGCTGCTTCGTCATGACGAAGAGACGTTGTAGGTTCCTCCTGTCGCCCACAACCTTTGCCACTGACCGCTTCCGTGTCAGAATCACCAAGACACGGAGAACTGCAACTGCCAGGTTCTCGTTCTTTCCCGATTCGAGGCAGTATCTCCAGGACGGATTCCAGCAGGGTGGCTCGCTCTTCCTCCGGAATGATAGGCTCTTTAGCCTGCAGTACTGGGTCCTCGATCTTGTCATTCTCGGTGGCCGGTGGAGTCCACTTGGCTTCCACGGGTTGTGCATCGTCCGCCAACAGCATTTCGAATATCAACAGTATGTGAGGAATCCAGGGAGGCAGCTCCTCGTTGGAATTACCGGGAGGCACTTTCAGAAAGCTGAGATACTCTGAGACATTGTCCTTGAGAGTTTTGACGGTAGATTTGAAAAAGCGGGGCGAGCCGTGAAGCATCAGAGATAGCAGGTGGGCGTAAGCAGCTATGCTCCGACCGTTCGTAGTCTTCTCTTCGTCGTCAAGGCGTAGGACATCAACGCATTCGCCAAGGTCTCGCCAACCTCCTCGCGCGCATCTTCATTATCCTGACGGTCAATTGTGACATTGATTAGCTCAGAGACCTCAAAAACTGAGTTCGGGTGTGCTCTTATGACATCCAGGCACCGGTCAATGAGATCTTTATGCAGCTTCTCTCGCTCCGCATCGAGATCTTCCTTGCACACCAGTGGCCGATCGGCAGGTTCTTGCTCCGTGTTGTCCGAAGAGGTGCCGCCCGCAGTCGGAGGAGCAGCCACAGGGGTGGAAGAAGACCCGTCATCGTCTTGTTGAGCGGGAGCCTCGCTCTCTCTGGGGTCGGAAGATACACCGCGCCCTGCAAGCGCATCACCAATGAGCTGCGCAAGCTCGGGCTCGGAGTCCACGACCATTGCTTCCCGTAGGAGGTCGGAGCTGCGAGAGGAGGCCGGAGTCTGGCTCGCTGAGCCGTTTGCTGCTGGGGACGTGACCTGAAAGGCGTCCTCAGAAGGGATTGGGTTCAACTCTCCTGCAAGTCCCCTCAGGTGCATCCTGCAATATTCGCTCGCGTTCTCCTGGTTCCCGACAGCACGATACACTGCTTCGCGCGCCAGGTCCTCGGGATATTCCTCGGCCACGCGTGCGGTCTGAGGTGTATATAGGCTCCACGCGAATGTCGCCTGCTCCCGCTTGAACAAAGGTACAGCCTTTGCCAGCTCGCTTCTGCGCAATGCGGAGCCTTCAGTTTCTGCCTGGCAGATCGTCTTGAGAATGTCTACAACTTTGCCAACGACGTCCGTGGAAGCCTTGTCGATCAGATTCGAGCGCCACAGGTTCGAGACCGTGGGAAGCACCGACATTCGAACCTCGACCACAAATTGATTAATAGTCTGGAACCACTCATTTTGCCGGTTGCTAGAAGATCGACTGCCCACATTAAGGTGCTGAATGGAGTCCGCAAGGTTCTTGCCGTTCACGACCACGGAGTACAGATCGAGGATCTTCTTGGCACCGATTGATGCTAATTTAGCAGTGGCAGACGCCTCTTCTGACTCGTCGCGTTCCTTGGTGACCTCTTCTGCGAAGACATTGATAAGCTTATTGAGGATGTCGAAGCCACGGCGCTGTTTGAATGCATCGAGGACGGGCACGATCACACTAGACCCAGGCCGATCACTGTGCCGAGTAGAGTCGACGAGCATTTCATGTATGATGTGCAACATGATGATGCAATACTGGAGCTCGGACTTGGAGAGACTCCTATCGATGAACGGTTCCAGTTGATCCAGTACTGTCTCGGCCAGAGCGTCGGCCAATTGCATGTGCTTGGCTCTCGGATAGCTCTCTCGCTCCCGACGTGACATGAGCGCCTTGCCCAGGGTTTGGAAGAAGGAGTAAGCGCTCGGCATGAGGGACTGCAATAGGACTCTTAAAATCTGGTAGTTCTGGTACTGAGCAGTTGATTGCTCCTCTGTCGAAGGGCGGTTCTGTCGACTCGAGTCTAACTGATCGGCAGGAAGGTTGAGCCCAGCGCCACCAAGCATTTGCGCGAATGATATGTCCTGCTCGCCCATCAACAACTCACTGGGGCTGCCAGGACGTACGTTCGCCAGTTTTCGTGCAGTCCAGTGCTGCGGCACAAGGGTGATCAGGGATATCTCTTCCGAAAGAACGACGCGCAGCAAAGGTCCCAAGGACCTGACCACCTCGTGGAAGTGGTCGTACACGTTGACCGTAGGCAAGGAAACAGATGAATGACGGCTTTGGTAAGGGAAGCAGCTCCAGAGGGTCTTCAGGAGGGATTGGATGTTCAGGAGTGCTTTCGCAACATCTGTGCCGCTGGAGACCTGTCGAACAAGGTCGACATTCCAAACGCCTGCTTCGTTTTGTCCCAAAGTGGAACCAGGCTCCACAAAAGGTCGGAAGAATGAAGGGGATGGAGAGCTGGACAGCAACGGTGTCAGGGACGTCATGGTGGCCCGTATGCGATTCAGTAACGAGGGCATGCCGACGACTGGGGCATGCTCGATGATATTGGCGAGGACTTGTTGCAGCAGTCCCAAGGCAGTAGAATCAGCGAATTCGTGGGGCAGGCTCGGCAGGACCATAATGTCCAGTAAGTACTCGATGCCACCGCTCTTCGTCAAGGATGTCCTCAGACTGGAGTTGCTGATGTATGCGTTCAAAAACGACGCAAGAGCGTTAATGTAGGGAGTAATGCTTTCGGGTATCTTGGGCGCAGGCGAGGAGTCAGTCTGTTGAGATGATAAGTCCTGAATGGATCCGGCGATGTCTGTCATTTCGACATCTTCAGCGGATGTGGCCGCCTCCTTGCCCTTCTTCGACGGCACCTCGACACCGGCTCTTTGCAACAGGGAGTGGTCAGCATGGACAACCTTGCCTTCGAGGTCAGTCGCGAACAGCTTAGCTCCCCAACCAGCGTTTTCCGCCTTCGATGTGCCCAAGTGTTTGATCCTCGAAATCATATCTATGACAGCGTTCGCAACCGTCTGTCTCAGAGCGGGGTGGTGTCGAGCGAGCTCGTCAAATTGAAGCCCAATGTTGTAAGCAAGATCGGCATCGATGCCCATGATCCGGACGTGTTCTGGGCTCTCAAAGACCTCCAGGAAGCTCTCGAGAACACGCGAGGATGCTACCAATCGCAGTCCGACATTGTTGAGACAGATCGAGTTGATAACGGGGATTATGACAGCAGTGGCTTCCGAAGATGGCAGGATTCCACAAGCCAGCGGAGTAGGTCGCTGGGCTCGAAGCGTTTCCTGGCTCGGAGGATGTGGGCGTTCATCTGAAGGCAGGACGACGGACTCCTCGGCAGGTGGGCCGCTCTCTTCACTCGGCTGCTCGTCATCTTTCCTTTCGGCTGCTGGGTCTGTCGAGACCTCCCGGCCAGTGAGGGATTCCAGAAGGCTCTTGACCATGCCAGTTTCGGAGATGGCGGCAAAGCTGGTCGGATCGTTGTTGATGAAGTCGGTCAGCAGATTAATGGAGTTTGTCCAAACCACGGACCCGAAAGCCTTCGTGTTCTCCATGATAGTTCGCAAACTTCCGAGAAGCTTTGAGTTGTCCACGAGGTTCCTCAACAGTCGATCCGTATTGGTATTCTGGGCAAAGTTGCTCGGGTTCATGATGTGGTGAATAAACTTCAGCAGCCACTTCAGAGTCTGCTGTTGGACATAGGGTATCTCGTAGTCCACAACACTAGAGTAGAATTCGGGCTTTGTTCCATGACCGGCCTCTGCGAGACTCTTGGCTGAAGATGTTGCATCGATCATCAGCTGGGCAATGGCATCCAAACCGCTGGCGCTTATAAACGAGTTGAATGCGGCTGGCGCGTAGTTGAGCACGAGCGCATCCACGTAGGAAACGGCAGTGCTGTGCAACCGTTCCGCCACTGTCGTCCGCATGTTGATAATGCTCACGAGGACATCCATGAATCCAGCGTTAATCATCTCGCCACCCACACGCCCGTTCATGGCGAGGTGCAGCGCGAGAGAGAACAGGCTGTCTCGCCAGTCGTCCAACTCGATCGATTTGCCATTCGGTTGCTCGGTTTCCTCCTTCATCTCGGCAACTGCCTTCCGGATGACGTACAAAAGAACGCCATGATTCACGGTGGCATTCAACGCCGAGATCACGTCTTGATACTTTGCGTTGAAGTGGGAAATGGCCTCCAGCAAAGACAGTGCGATCTGCTGCAAGGAACGCGGAGCAGCCGTCTGGCCAGGTGTAGACGGGTGAATGAGCTCCACCAGTTGATAGACCAGGTGGTAGCGCCGTGGTTCATCGTTGTCCTGCTTCAGAACCTGCTCCAAGAACACGAATTCTGGATGAATGTAGGCCAAGTTCGCAATAGCCAGGAGCCGGACGGCCAGAGCCCGCTGACGTGCTTCTGTGCCACCGAGCAGAGCCTTGCATATTCGTGAGCGATTCAGAAACTCGTATTGGGAGTTTTTGGGCATGTCTGAAGGAGTGCGCTTCAAAAGGTCGTAGATCGATGAAGAGGCCACAGCGCTCTGCGGAATCTCAACAGACTTTTGACTGGAGCTCGACACTCCTTCGGCATTCACGGCTGGAGAGTGCTGGGCCGGCGAAGGGCTGTCATCGGAGCTTTGTGCAGCTCTGGCGCCGCGTGGTGTCTGGTGTGGAGTCCCCATGGTAGTGCTGCGTCGCAACGGAGTGGGTGTGGTTGGGGCGGATGCGTTGATGCGATCGTTCGATACTTGTGGTGCTGGCTCGCCCTCAACTCTCGGGTAGTAAACCACCTTCAGATCACCCCAGCCCTTCCAACGACCGTCTGAGCCGTCGTCCGAGGAAACCACAGACCCGAGATCATTTGCGATCATGGAGGCTGCGTTCTTGGAGGCTGAGGCCTGGACCTTATCCTTATCCTTCTCCTTGCCCTTGCTTGTCGAGGCAGGGGTGGAATGCGCAGAAGAGTCTGCCAAGTTGATGATCGGAGTCTTCACAAAGGACTGTGCGACTTGCTGAACACGGTCAAGTTCAATGTTGTAGTGGTTGGCAAGCAGAGCATTGCTGACTTGACGCGACGGTTGCGTCATACGCTTGACAGACGCCTGGTAACGCTGAGCAAGCTCCAATCCAACCTCCAATGTGGCCTGAATGACAGACAGACAAGTGCTGTTCAGAAGGTCATTCAGGTGAGAGCTGCTGGCATAGATGCTCCGATTGCCACAGTGATTCAGCAACCGCCTGGTAAACTGCAGGACGGCCTGTACGAGCTGAGAATCGCCAAACTCTTCGTAGCCCAGTGCTCTCAGTTTCTCCTCGTCCCACCCATCCGAGCCGTACTCGTCGACACGTGTGCCACGACCAAGCAAGACATCACAGCCGAAATCACGTGTCTGTGGGCCTTCGTGTAGCTGATAGACCTTGTTGAAGCACTCGAGTATGTTGTCGAATCTATTCAGCAGGGGAATCCAGTGGTATAGATCACCACGGGGCAGGGGCCACCTCGCTACGGGGAAGGTGTCGAGTCGTCGTGGAAGTTCTGGCAAAGGCACCGTTGAGGCGGCTTGCACAAAGTCCTTGAGCCAGGGGGACTGGGTCGAGTGTCAGCTGTCTGTTTTCACGGCAATGTACGAGGGAGAGAAGATGGGAACCAGAGGTAATATGTGGGTGCTCGTGGGTGTTTGCGTTTGCTATTGCATGTGCTTCTACGAGTGTGTGTGACATACCAGAGTCTCCCTATGCTTGGGCTGCATTGTCTTGGTAATCTTTCCCATCTTGACGGCGGGAGCGGCAGAGCCGCAGAAATGAAAAACTCCCCCTCCACTACCTGAGGCCGACTGCCCTGGAAGACAGCTTGGCGGAGAGCGCAGGAGTGTCCTGCGTTGAGACACTCAATAAACAGTGGAGTAAGCCGGTTGGTGTTGTCGGGCGGGGTGGTAGGAGGATGAGTGATTGAGGAGTCGGCGCGATGCGGTTGTTAGACGAGACCTAGGTGGAGGCCGCGACGTGTGCAGGTCGTCGTGACGTCGTTCCAAGGCAGGTTGCTTACACGCGCGTGCAGGCAGCTGAAGTTGCAGGTTCAGCAGTGCAGGGAGAGGAAATGATCTGGGTATCTGTGTTCGTACGAGATGGAAGATGGAGGAGGGCGGGCAGAGGTAGATGGCAGGTCCAGGTTGATGATGGGTTTTGAAGTTGACGGTGCAACCTGCAAAAGTCCGGCAAGCATTTGCGTAATGGGCCCAAGCTTCTTTGGAAGGCAAGCAGCAGCCGAGAGTCACTGCTAGTTGACGTCCGGCAGGCTCCACATGAAAACCGACCCCACAACAGCAGTCGATGGGGGGCTTCACATTGGCAGGCTGCGGGGACTTTCCACTAGTGCACCTGCCCAGCAGCCAGGTGTCTTGAAATCTATCTGGGTGAAGGACAAGAGGTGTTCGGTGCTCGCTTTCAAAGCACAATGCAGCTCCCACAGTAGACTACGTAGGTCCCAGATTGCAAGTTGGCTGCTTCACTCCACAGAGACGTTATGGGGCAGGACCTTCCTCCGGACCAGCTCGGGAAAGCAAGGCCAATGGTCTTGGTGTGCCACCCAGGGAGACCACCTCTTAGCAAGTACTTAGGTACCTCATCGCTTCCACAACTTTACTTATGGAGAGCCAGTGTGCTGTCCCAACATATCGCACAGGCTCAAACAGCCAATCTTGAAGCACTGACAGACTCCGAGCTTGGGTTAATTTGCATACTCAGACATCAATCAAGTATCCTCGTGTCACAGGCGGGTTCCCAGCCTGTTCTTTAGCTGTGCCCACCCCCTGACAAAACAAAGCAATGACTGACCAGTTCATTGGCAACTCGCCAAATTTTCTCTGTCCAAGAGTCTTCCCTCGTCCTCCCTCAACCTCGACAACAGGGTTGCTTCCATGTCCAAGCCCTTGTTGACCTTGGCCAACAGGCTACAAACTGGTAGCCCGCGGTGCTATCATCTGAAAACGAGGAACGGGCAGGCAGTGGCTCCACAAAGCACGGCAATCCAAACCCATGAGGACATTGTTTATTAATGCCTGTTCGTAGCTGCCATGCTGCCGAAGTTCCCGGCCAACCAGTGGGTCATTGTACCGTGCCGCTGCAGCCAGCTTTCTTGAAAAGCAAAGCAGCTCTGCACACTCCGGGTCGTTGCTTGAGTTGCAGGCATGTGCTGCATCCTCAATGGAAATTGTTGTCTAGTTCACTTGGTTAGACTGATTTCCACTACTGTAAGTGGATGATATCCAATGCCAGGGTGATCAGCGATGCAGTAAATTCCCGGCGCCGATCATATCGGGAAGCCGGGCATGATCTCCATGATGATGGACTCTAACCCCCTTCCAGATCACAGGCCAGCTCAGCCAGCTTGGTATGAGTCTAGTTGTAGCTATGGTTTAGAGAACAGATATTCGCACCTACAAAAACGGATGGTACACCAATACCCATGCCCAATTCACACACACCCAGCACCCAGCACCCACAAACCAGCACCCACACACCTAGCACCCGTACACCTGGCACCCATATGCCTAGCACCCATGTACTTCGCACCCTATTAAGTATATAAATAAAATATATTAATATTAACTATATAAGTATTAGGTGTGGAAGTATGTAAATAGGCTTGGGTGATGAGCTCTGATTAGGTATAGCTATGGCATAAGTGATGTCCTAGTATACCGTCCGGTTTTACAGGTGCGAATGTCCGTTCTCATGGTTTATTTTTACTAAGACGGTCCTCAGTGGTGCTGCTCGTGACTGTCCCAAACTCCCCTCCAAGCCAGACTACTTTGCTGGTGTGTGAATGCTCCTGGGCCGGATAAAGGCCAGTGCATATTAGGTATTAAGTACAGAGTCACCAATGTTGGGGATTGGATTTTCCGGGCTGGACCTCAACTATCCCCTACCTAAGGCAGGGCCCGAGGAAATCAGGGGCATTCGACACCTGTTTATACGAAGTAGTCGCCGTCTATATGCCAAGTGCTTGGCTCAATGTATATCATGTTCCAGCCTCAGGGTGTGTATATCTATGCGCCTCAAGATGTGTTATCGTTGACCGGCTCCTGTAATTCCTCACCGGGTTGCAATGAACTTTCTGCCAGAGGTAATCTTGGCAGTTGTTAGTATGGGGGTTCTCACGTTCCGCCTCTCGACCGCCTGGTAGCAAATCTTTCAGGCGGAGATACCGTTCGGCCCCCTGCTCGAAACTGAAGCAGAGCACGGAGCCGGTGCCGGTGCCGGTGCTGGCGTCGCTTGTTGACGCCTCTTGCTGCCTGTCGCGTGCACAGAGCGACTGGCTGCAAACGTATTCTAGAAACTGCCACGGGGCTGATGCTGCACGGAATGAGTATCAGACCAATGGCATTGTGCTAACTGAGTATTCCTGAGACCTCTCACAGCGCACGAGATCAGAGCTTCCGCATCAAAGTGAACCAGAAATGCCCGGCAAAACCATAGCCATCCAGCTGCGTTGTTCCTCCAGCATACATCAGATTAGTGTGTCGACAGACGGTCCGTGTTGCTCAGGGGACGGGAGCGGAAGGAGTGAAACTGCATGCTGTAGGGCTGGCTACCTTGGCCTGGGCATCGGGCCCGAAGGTACGGAGCCTCAAACGGGACATCTGGAGCTGGAGCCGGCCCCGCACACCCACTGCGCTGGAGGAATGCCTGCCTGCCTGACAGGATGCCCCAGTTTCGAGCCTGGAGGCGTGGGGCCGATGAGTTGCCGAAACATGTTACACAGTACAAAAACTCGCCTTGTGCCGGGAAAGTTTTCAAGGCAGGACGGAACAAGCAGCCTGGGACTAACGACAAGACGTGCCTAGTCAAGTCTCTGACCGCTATTGACCCGCCTTGCAGGAAATAATAGACTACGAGGCAGGCAGGAATTCTTTGAGCCAGTCTTTACTCGGTGCACAGACGGGAAAGCCCGAGACCATTCTTGCTCGTTCAACACCGTCATCCGTCAATATCTCGAAAAGTTCTCGTAGCAGACATACCCTGCTCTCGCAACCAACCAAACAGCCTCGTGGGGAACTCATCTGCCCCTCCAAAAAAAAAAAAAAAAAAAAAAAAAAGCAGCCACCGCCCTGCGCCGATACCAGCGATTGGAGTCCACCCCGCGCTAAAATATTCAGCTACGGCCTACAGCCCACAGCGTACAGCAGCACTGCATACCAGCCCACGGCCCAAGCCCAGAGCCCGAGACCAGTTGCAGTCGTACGACCTCAAGGGTACATAGATACTCCGGTGAAGAAAGGGGGCGTCTCCCGAGGAAACGACCTTTTTTCCACCATGTCAACAATGTCAAACGAGATCAAGCTGCTCAGCGGGAATTCCCACCCCATCCTGGCGCGGCTTGTGGCCGACCGGTCAGTCCTCCCCTGTTTCCCTTGTTCCCTCTCGACCCTACGAGCCCTGAATTTGACAGAAGCCGTCTCGCCGGGGTGGTCATGTCGCGTCTAACCACGGGTTGGGGGGAAACAGGCTGGGGATAGAGATCGCAAAGACTATGAGTCTGAACTATTCGAACCAAGAGACGAGTGTTACCGTCGGCGAGTCCGTACGAGACGAGGATGTCTTCATCATCCAATCTACAGCACCCGGCGACATCAACGATGGGCTCATGGAGCTATTGATCATGATCCACGCCTGTACGTGCCGCCGAGGGCATTCCTGCTCGACCCATACCGCCCGCTCGCAACTATATGGCAGTGCCGGAGATACAGTGCTGATTCTCATGGGCATATAGGCCGGACCGCATCCGCAAGGCGCATCACCGCTGTGATACCGAACTTCCCATATGCGCGACAGGACAAGAAGGACAAGAGTCGAGCACCCATTGTATGTTGCCTTGCGCACCAGAGACTGGCAGACTGGAACAGAGCGTCCTGACAAAACTACAGAGCGCGAGGCTGATAGCCAACATGCTCACAACGGCCGGCTGCAACCATGTCATTACCATGGACCTGCACGCATCGTATGTCCTCACTGCGCATTCCTGTTCCCTTGCGCCCCCTACCGGTCCCGACTGCGCATATAGACTGCAGCACCTCGCTAATGCACGTCTGTAATCCCGCAGGCAAATCCAGGGCTTCTTCAACGTCCCCGTCGACAACCTCTATGCCGAGCCCTCCGTCCTCCGCTGGGTCCAGGAGAACCTCTCGATCAAAGACTGCGTCATCGTCTCGCCCGACGCCGGCGGCGCCAAGCGCGCGACCTCGATGGCCGACCGCCTCGACCTGCCCTTCGCCCTCATCCACAAGGAGCGCCCCCGGCCCAACGAGGTCGGTCGCATGGTGCTGGTGGGCAACGTGGTGGACAAGATCTGCATCCTGGTCGACGACATGGCCGACACCTGCGGCACCCTCGCCAAGGCCGCCGCCGTCGTCAAGGAGCACCAGGCCAGGGAGGTCGTTGCCATAGTGACGCACGGCATCCTCAGCGGGCCCGCCATCGACAACATCAACAAGAGCGTGCTGTCACAGGTCGTCGTGACCAACACGGTGCCCCTCGGGGACAAGCTGGACAGGTGCCCCAAGCTCAAGGTCATCGACGTCAGCGGGACGCTGGCGGAGTCGATCCGGAGGACGCACAACGGTGAGAGTGTTAGTTACTTGTTTACGCATGTCTTTTGAGTAGAATCGGCGCCAAGAGAAACGGGGAAATTGTTGGGTTGGGGTGTGTCATTCACAGGTGTTTGTGTTGTCTTAGCAAAAGGCATTGGTTCCTGCTAGGTCTGGGGGCAGACACAGGATCAGCAGGACATTCGACGTAGAGTCTTAAAGTCCAGGCAAATGGATGAATACGGAAACAAAATGTGGCTCTGCGACAAGCATGGATTAGGCTATCTATCTGCGCCGCTGATGGGCAAAGGGAGCCCACCAATACAGCGTCTTGAAGGTTGAGCAGGAAACCACAACAGTGGAAAATGTGCAGCAAGCTCATGTACGTAGCAATTGCACTAAAGCGTTGAATTTCAGCTCTACAGGGGTGAAGAGGACAAAAAATGAATGCGTTGTTACAAGTGTATAGACAACTCGCATTTCCAGCACATAAGCCTGTAACAGACCATATACATATACCAGTAAGGATACAGTTGGGTTGACAAGAAGCAGATGGATATGTGAATAGATTGGATCCATAGCAGTCACTGATCATCGTCTGGAACAGCCCGGACTTGTCGGAATGATATCCAACCTCAACGGGCACATACGGTGCCTCCAAAGATACTGGCCAGCCTGACCCTACCTAGGTATATCATGCCCCAACATTCAAAACACCTCGACTGTCACTGAGCACCATTTGTATCAGACACAATGTGGGTACCAACCGAAATGGAGAAGCCCAAATACATAACTTCGAGAAACTCTTAGACAAGCCTGTTGTCCCTACAATAGGACTATCGTCAGTCCCTTGCTGCCGTCAGGTTCTTTGCGGTCTGTATAGCCCTGCCGCAATGAGCCGTCTAATTCAGACAGACAGGCCATGGGGGAAGTGCTGCAAGGGATCAAGAATGCAGTGAGAAGGTCGGTAAGTGGGATGAGACTGTCACCAGCCACTGGCCACCGGATCTTGGTCCAACAAGAGCTGCCGTTCTCGACTAGGAAAGCGACTTGAGTGAGGCTCTTGGACGAAACTTAAGCAGCAGGTGGGCTTTCACCATTTCGCTCACCAACATCTGCCGTGGCGGTGATGTTCAACACCGGCTACCTAGGCAATGACTTGGAAAGGAATGTGCAAGTTAGGTGACCGGGATCTGAGCTTGGACGGCGCTCAGTTGTAGAGAGGGTAATGACATTCAAGACACCTTGGACTAGACAGATGATGCTAATGACAGGAGCAGCAGGGCACGCGTTCTTGTCAGACAGCACAGGTCCTCACAGCTCGATCATCAGACCACCGTTTTCATTTCATCACTTGCGCCGACGCCGTTTAAATACCAAGGTATCAATCAATCATTGAGCAGGTTCTGAAGTCTCGTCCATTTTTAGTATGCCATGAATACAATCCCGTTTCTGGCCAATGGAACCATTCAGATCCCCGATCCGTAACCCATCCGTAAAGAAGCCATCCTTGAGTGACGCCAAACTTTTTAAGCCTTGTGCGAAGAGGCACGGCGCTTGCGGTTCTCGGCCTTCTGGGCCTTGGCCTCGGAAACACGCTTGGCGAGGATCTGGGCGTACTCGGACTAGGAGGGAGGTCAGTAAACCGGTACGAACAACTCGAAGGGAGAGGGGATAGCAACGTACGGCCTCGTCCTTGACCTTCTCGGCCTGGCGGCGCTTGAGTGCGATCCTGTGGCGCTTGTGCTGGAGACGCTGGGGAGTGACCAGACGCTGGATCTTGGGAGCCTTGGTGTAGGGCTTCGCGCCCTCCTTCTTGGGCTGGACCTCGCGACGGATGACGTACTTGCGGACCTATATCCCGGTGGAAATGTAATTATTAGCCCTGAGATTCCTTATTTTGGATCTCATTCCTCTCACTCTCTACCCGCACTGCTTGATTTCCACCACCGCAGTCATCGGGTAGGCGAAGACGGATTTGTATGATACGGGTCGGATACAACATACATCGTCTTCCTTGGTGAGGCCGAAGAACTTTCGGATCTTGGTGGCACGCTTGGGGCCGAGGCGCTTGGGGTGGACGACGTCGGTCAGACCGGGAATGTCTTGCTCGCCCTGCTTGACGATGGCCAGAGCAAGGACGGACAGGTCCATGCCGACGATGCAGCCACGGACGGACTTGCGCTTGCGCTCGCCGGTGCGGCGGGGTCGGTAGCAGGAGTGGCCGTCGGAGAGCAGGAGGCGGACACGGGTAGGCTGCATAACACCCTGCTTCATAGGGAAACCCTGCTTGTCGTTGCCTCCGGTGATTCTGAAGATGTATCCCTTCCACTCGTCTCCGAGGGAGTCGGCGGGGACCTCAGCGCCCATCTAAGCATGTCGAAAGTCAGTCTCTTAATGTGTCTGTATGGATTGGATGGAGATCGCCCCGGTCGCTCGTCGCTCGTGCTTGAGATGTGCGGTGGACGCGAGGATCTCGACGGCTCGCGCTGGGGTCGGCTAGGGATGGAACGTACACGCTTCTCCATGAAGACGCGGAGCTTGCGCTCATCCTCGATGTCGATCAGCTTTTGGCTGCCGTTAGCCGGGTAGGAGCTGTCCATTTAGAAGTCAGCAACAGCGACAAGACACATTTTCTCGTCGTCTCGTGAGCAGGCCCCACAGATGCGTTGGGCAGTTGAAAGGAAACTTCAACAGCCACAAACGCATTGGAAGGCGGCTAGGATGGCAAAAAGAGATTGTTCAGAACGTACATGTTCAACTTCATCTTGTCTGGCCCTCAGTCGAGATATCGTGGACTGAAAGAATGAAGTCGGGTTGTCGATGGCGGGCTGATCGAGATAACAAAATGGGAAGTTTCAAAAGAGAGAGGTCGTTCCTGCCACAGCAAAATGGAAATTCGCAGTTGTGGGCGCTAAAATTGACATGGTCCGTGCTTCCTACGGGCTTCTGATTGGCTTTCAGGATTTTAGCATGGTGGGGCCAGATCCTTGACCGAGATCTTCACCTTAGACCCCAAAACAGTGACCTTGAAAAGTGGCGGACGGGCACCCCACCAGCTAAGACTTGAGATTTCTGGGACCCCGAGATCATTTGATGAGATGTCTAAGAGGAAAAAGAACAAAGTTCATAGATTGATCAGACCAGACTTCCCATGTGACACCACGCACTACCGTGAAGGCGTGCAATCATCCCTGCCGACATTCTGAAGACGCCCTGCAAAGCTCACGGGAACTCACTGGCCTCTCACTGAGCCACGGTACTTGACGCTGAAATATGGAGGACGACAGGGCTGAGACCGATCTTGGCATCGCCGCCGACATCGAGGAAGCACAGGCCCCAGAGCCCGTCATCAGGCAGCCAAAGAAGAGATTCGTCGGCAGGAGGACGGCGGCGGAAGCTGCAGCATCCAAGAATGGAAACGGCTCTGGATCTATCGAAGATGCCGGTGCCGTTCAGGGTACAGTCGCCCGTGCCCATCGTGTACTTATGAAAATACTCGTATAATGACATCTTCTCTAGTTGCGCAACCCAGAAGGGCGCCTCGCCTACTCAATCAGGTCCCTCCGGAGATTCTCAATGATCCTGAGCTGAAGGCGGCCATCTCTCTTCTGCCGGCCAACTACTCCTTTGAAATCCCAAAGACCATCCATCGTATACGGAGTCTAGGCGCGAAGAAGGTGGCACTCCAGATGCCCGAGGGCTTGTTACTGTTCGCTACCACCATCTCAGACATCCTACAGCAGTTCTGCCCTGGGATAGAGACGCTCATTATGGGCGACGTGACTTATGGCGCTTGCTGCATCGATGACTACACCGCACGCGCCATGGGCTGTGATGTCCTGATCCACTACGCCCACTCGTGCCTGATACCCGTGGACGTCACCAAGATCAAGACACTGTACGTCTTTGTTGACATCAGCATCGACACGGCGCACCTGTTGGCGACACTCGAGAGGAACTTCACGCCCGGCAAGACGATCGCCATGGTCGGCACGATCCAGTTCAACGCCACAATACACGGCGTAAAGGCGGCGCTGACGAAGGCCGGATTCAAGGTCATAGTCCCGCAGATCGCACCTCTATCAAAAGGGGAGATCCTGGGCTGCACGAGCCCCGACATGACCAAGTACGCCGACGACGGGCCCGTGGACTTCATCCTCTACCTTGGAGACGGCCGCTTCCACCTGGAGAGCGTAATGATCCATAACCCCAGCATCCCAGCCTACAGATACGACCCGTACTCTCGCAAGCTGACGCACGAGACGTACGGCCACGACGAGATGAAGGACCTGCGGAGACAGGCCATCGACGCGGCCAAGTCGGCAAAGAAATGGGGCCTCATCCTCGGGTCGCTAGGCCGGCAGGGAAACCCAAACACAATGACGCTCATAGAGAAGAAGCTGACGGCGCTGGGCATACCGTGGGTCAACCTCTTGTTGAGCGAGATCTTCCCGGGCAAGCTCGCCATGATGAGCGACGTGGAGTGCTGGGTGCAGGTTGCCTGCCCGAGGCTCAGCATCGACTGGGGATATGCGTTCCCCAGGCCGCTGTTGACCCCATATGAAGCGCTGGTGGCGCTCGGGGAGAGGGAGGACTGGGGCAAGGGCGTATACCCCATGGATTACTATGGCAAGGACGGCTTGGGGAGAACAAAACCTGTGAAGCTGGTAGAGGCAACTTAGATGACGGGGAAAACAAAATGAAACAATCCTGAACCGTTCAAGCTCGTTGGGACGAGGCCTTCTCGCGTAGACAACATCAATTGCTCTGATCCCAGTTCAAAGCACATTCTTGCTTTCAAGACTTGATTTGATACCTGCTGGCCCGCCATAGCCAGTCGTTGGTAGCACTGATTATAGGCAGGGAATTGATGTCCAAATGCTCCATATATTTGAACTTGACTTCGTCCAGCTAATGACCCCATCATCACGAAGAGCGGGTGCCCAGAGTGATCTCGTCACGTAGAATACTTGAGCCTCGATATGAAGCGTGAAAGAGTCCAATTCAGTTCTTCACACGTGGGACAGGGCGTTACAAGCTCCCCTATCACTTCCCAATTCGATGATAACCAGAGTTCTGTCTCTTCTCGGTTCGTTCAATGGGCATCACGACTGCGCAGGTGGCGGCAGATCTGCCATCCCAGGTGGACAGGCGCAGCGCTGAACTCCTCCGGCCATGCATCACGTCGCACAGTTCCATCTGCCCACCTCAGAACCCCAGAGAGATGATCCAGGTCTCCACCACCACAGCCCAAAGAAGCCAGCATCTCGCGAAATGCCCCAGACTCAGCCAATCCCCCCCCCCCGCTCGCGACAGAGACGGCTCCTCAAGACCCTCATCACGCCGTGCCGACCGGCTCCGGCCTCGACGAGAACACGATCTTGTACTTGACAATCTCCACAACCTCCAGCTCCTCGGCCCTGTCGTCACCACCGCCCCCGCCCCCGGCCCCTCCCTCTCGCTGCCGCCGCCGCACCACGCCCACCGCGCGCGGCAGCTTCTTCACCTCGCCCGTCAGCCGCTGGTGCTGGCCGACGTACATGTACACGCGCCTCATCCACGCCGTGCTGGACGCGTCAAAAGTGATGGAGTCGGGCCTGTAGTCCGGGAAGTCGAGGCGGCCTATCGATATGTGGGGCTGCTGCTGCTCCGAACCATCGCCGCCGCCTTCCGCCGCAGGCAGGTTGATGGTCCCCTGGAGCTCCAGCAGGGCGAGCCCGGACGGTGTTTGGAGGAGCTGTGGGAGCGGGTTGCCCGGGGCGGCTGTGGCTGATGGGCCTGTCGTGCTGCGGTGCAGCGTGACTGAGGCTGCCGCCATGACTGCGGTCCTCGCGTCGCGCTTGGAATCTACGGGCGTGGCGAAGAGGTGAAAAGGCTTGAAATGAGAAGCAGGGCCGGTTTCATTGGCATTGACAGTGAGGTAGACCAGCCTGAGTGAAATTGAGACAACGGATATGTTTCGAGGGTCAAGAGATGGATCGGAAATGTGAGGTTTGAACGCGCCGGCGCGTTTGCATGAATTTCATGTTAGTGACATCTCCAGGTTCAACCGTCGTTCTTATAGCAGCCAGCACCGTGAGGCCGTCATTAGTTCTAAAGAATCACGAAAAAAATGTAATCATGCCTGATTTTCTTCGATTTGGCAAGTATCCGTCACATGCATGGCTTTGTGTTCTGCTGGTTCTGTCTCTTTACACTCGTTACTTCACGGCTTGGCCACTGTTGCTCAGACTGGTGAGTGATGCTATTTACATGGGGTGCCAACTCATTCACCACTGGTTGCAATTGGAAAGTTGTTCGCATGGGAGGTCATATCAAAATTACGTTCATATCGTAGTCTGCCTCAGAAGATTAATTATGCTTCTCCGCCCATTAACCCCCACGACCCCACCCTTTCACAGCGGCGCTGCGGCTCAGTTGACACTGAACCTGTAGCTCGCCTGCAGGACATAGGGGTCGTCGCCAGGCCCGAAGATGTTCTTCTTGTCCCTCTGCCACTCGGGCTGGTTGATGGCGTCGATCCAGTCCTCCACCTCCATCACGACGCACCCGTACTTGGGGATGGTGCGGGGGAAGTCCGGGTCGTCCAGGATGCCCTGCGTCGACTTGAGGGCCATGGAGCCGTTCTGCCCGTTGCAGCTGTAGACCTGGAAGGCGTCCTGGTCGCTGTAGACGTCGACGGTGATGCCGGACCAGGGGGAGGCCAGCTGGGCGACGAAGCCGCCGTCGGCGCGCCAGTCGTAGGGGCCGTTCTGGTCGCGGTTGACGAGGTAGCACGTGTCGTAGCCGGTGCAGTTGAAGCCGCAGTTGTTGACGAGCTCCGGGCTGGTGAGGTTCGCGCCGAGCTGCTTCGGCTCGCTCCAGAAGTCGTTGACGGAGCCGGGCTTGTTGGCGACAATGTCACCCGTGGGGATGAGGATGTTGTCCACGTCCACGCGCTGGCCGCTGTAGGGCATGTAGAGCGTGTGGTTGAGGGCGGTGTTGGTCTCGTTGTTGGCGAAGCCGTCCAGGTTCCAGTACGTGTGCGAGCTCAGCATGATGGGCGTCTTCTTGGTGAGCGACACGGCGACCATCTTAAAGTCCCAGGTCATGTCTCCCAGCGTGTACGTGATGTACGACAAGACGTCGCCTGGGAAGCCCTCCTTTCCGTCCGGGTCAAAGATGCTGAACGTGATGCTGTTCTCGGAGACAGACTCGACGGTGAAGTTGCGCCAGTCCCAGCCATCAAGGCCTCCGTGGAGCGTGTCTGCTCCATCAGGCGCTTCTGGCGTGGGGTTCTCGTTGGGCGTGACATGATATGTCTCGCCGTCGATCTCGAAGGTGCTGTTCTTAATGCGGTTGGCATAACGACCGGGCACGCCGCCGAAATGGGGGTGCTGCTTGTCGATCCCGTAGTAAGACGCATTGTCAAAGCCAGTAACGATGTCTCGATCGACACCGTACTTGTCCTTGATGATCAGGTTCGAGATGGACGCGCCATAGGGGATGAAGGAGGCGGAGATGCCATTCCCATACAGCCAGTATTTGCCGTTCTCATCTGGGCCCGAGGTGCTGTTCTGGGCCGAGGCGAGGGGAAGCAGCAGTGCTGACGCCCACAGTAGAAGGGTGGAATGCATCTTGACCGAGGGCTTGATCTCGAGAAGACGTAGTCTCGCAGAACTAATGCGACTCGGGGGAGGGGGGATTGTCAAAGCGAGTCGGGTCGAGAGCCTTGGCGAACCCAACGCTTCGTATGGTGAGGAGAGGGAAAGGAGCTGCTTTATATCACTTCACTTGGACATGGTCGTGGGCTCTCGCACTTCTATGTCATGGCCCGGGGAAATCTCCAATGTTACCACGGACAGGGACTCGAGCCTGGTCCTGCAAGTTGGGGATGAACAGCGTAGTAGCACATACGGCCAGCCGCAGGTGACCTTTGAAGCTCTGCTTCTCCACACACATCCCCTTGGGGTACTCTCATATGCAATCAATCGTTCCAATTTGGCGCTAGTGACCTGCATTTGATACTCACCCTCTTTTTCTTCCTTACTTCTTTTAAGTTTCTTAATTCAGCTTTAATCTATTCGAAACATATATGAGAAGAAAGCTGCTTCTTTTCTAATTTTATTTCTTTTTTCTGCTAGTAAATTAAGTGTGTTAAAGAGGAGAAATTTGCGTTTAAATTAAAGTTAAAAATAACTTAAGTTAAAGTTGATTTTAAAGAGGAACTAGAGGGGGTGAAATTTAAAAGTTATAATAAAATCACTAGAGATTTAAGGTGAATTTAGTTATTTTTGCTTAAAAACACTACCCTTTCTAAAATTTTAAATTTTCTTTAAAATTAAATATTAATACACCTTACACCCTTAATATTTCCTCCACCCTCCTTAAATAGATATTAAAAGAATTAGAAAAGAAGCAGCTATCTTTTAATATAGGGCATAGTTAAATTAAGAAGGTATTCGTTATATGGGAGGTGAAAATATATGAAAATTGAAGTGCATATGAACTTTGGGGGTGGGTATCAAATGCAGGTCACTAGCGCCAAATTGGAACGATTGATTGCATATGAGAGTAACGACGTGGGTGATCGCGACTAAGTCGTCCGGGGTCCACCAACCATCATTTGCGGGGATGCTGGGATGGCACTCCAATTGAATGGCTCGACCAACGCGGCCAGGAACATGTGGTGTTTTTTTGTTTCTTCCGCAAACAACCTGGACCTAGACAGTTTACAGGCACCATAGAGCGAGCTAATTAAGACGAAGAAGGGACGGTTACCATTAGCACAGGCGAAGTCTACGTACATGGTCAGCCACGTATTGACAGTCACAGCCTGATGTTTCAAACTGTTCCTTTCAATTACCACGTTTTTCATCTTGTTCAACCTACCTAGTAGGTAGATCAGCCTTGTGAGACCCGACCCCACCTCACTCTGCCTCTGGTCTGACTGTGATGAGCTCGCCGAGTTGAAGGATCAGAGACGAACGTCATGTGGCTGGAATTGTCACTAACATGCCCCCAACGGCACCGAGCCCTGCAAGCTTGACCAACAATGCAAGCTAAAAAGGCCGCCACGGACTAACACTCGGGATGGATCTGATGCCGTCCCACCTCATTGGCGCGGGTCTGTCTGGGAGAGATGGCTTTCAAGCTTTGTGGCCCCTGTCTGCGCGTGCCGGATATGAAGGGCGGACATGAAGGATTGCGGGGTCCCCAGCTTCGCGGAAATTGAGGTGGTTTTCGATGATTTTCAGGCACAGGCATTAATCAACAGCCTGACAGGGCAGGCAGGACTGGCTGGCATCGAATAGTTGGAGTACACTCTGCAGTGTGATGAGTTAAAGGGCCCTGGACGGGCTGTGACCTCGTGCAGGCTGTTCGGCCCGTCCATCTGGGAACGGTGCGAGAGAATCACGCATGTCGAGAGAGGCCAGTGAATTTGCCAGAGGAATGATGTATCTGGTTGGCATTACACAGCAATGAGAACTCCGAAGTTGGCAAGGTCGTCAGCACACTCACAGACCAAACACCCATGTCCAGCGTTGTTAGCGGAACTCGCCAACAGCTATTGCTTGCCCCGAGCCGAAGGTATACTGGGTGCCTATCTGCTTTTCGCCCTGCCAATGAACACTCACGACAGGGCACGGGAACTAGAACGCAAGACATCACCTAGTTCATTCGGGTCAATCTCGCGACATACTCTCTTTCTGAATGCCCAAGTCGAAGAAGCACGCGCTTCCCTGGGGCCGGTACCGAGCTGCTGGGAGCTCCAAGTCGTCGGGATTCTGGACGCGGCGCCTATTGGCAGTCTCCTTCTCAATGCGACCTTCCGAGCACGCACACAACCCTCCGTCACACCCAGGGCGAGCGGGAGAGTGGCAGGCGGTCGAGCAGGTTCTCGGCCGCGTTGTATGCAACCCCATCGTTCTCAGTGATAGGGCGCACATTCAGAGAATGCTCACAGTCAGAGAATGCGAGGATGAACCGACTGCGGGCCTGCCAAATCTTGGTCATGAACATCAACTCGGGCCGAAGCGTCAGTTTCCGGCAAGTAATGCTGCATGTTCCATATCGTCGTATTTCCAGTCTGTCACACATGTCACTGTACCTCACTGAACACAGCATGCTAGCAATACAAATGCAACCAAATTTCATGCTCCAATCTGAGGCCTCGTTAATCTGCTCCCACCGTGCGCGAGCACTCTCTTTATGCGTCGATCAAGTTCTCCTCCTGGCCCGCGTTGTCCTTGGTGTCTTTGGTCTCCTTGGTGTCCTTCTTTGCTTTCCGGTCCGCGGCCGCAGTACGCGAGTAGAACTCATCAATGATCTTCTTAGGAATTCGGTTGAGCATGTCCTTGCGGTAAATGCGGAGCAGAGACCATGCCAGGTCCAGAGAGTCATGGATACTTCGCTGCTCGTAGGCTCCTTGGCTAACGAACTGTCGCTCGAACTTGTCAAGGAACTCAAGCGACAGCTTGTCCTCGGCTGACAGAGCTTCCTCACCAACGACTGCCTTCATGGCTGCCGCATCACGACCGATGGCGTACTTGGCGTACAGCTGGTTCGAGACATCACCGTGGTCCTTGCGCGTCATACCCTCACCGATGGCCGACTTCATGAGACGGGAAAGTGATGGCAGCACGTTGATGGGAGGGTAGATACCCTTGTTGTAAAGACCTCGGTCCACAAAGATCTGGCCCTCCGTAATGTATCCTGTCAGGTCAGGAATCGGGTGGGTGATATCGTCGTTAGGCATGGTCAGAATGGGGATCTGCGTGATGGAACCGTTGCGGCCTTCGACACGACCGGCTCGTTCGTAGATGGTCGACAAGTCAGTGTACATGTAACCGGGGAAACCACGACGACCAGGCACCTCCTCTCGAGCGGCTGAGACCTCACGGAGAGCGTCACAGTAAGCGGAAAGATCTGTGAGGATAACCAGAACGTGCTTCTCGAGCTGGTAGGCGTAGTACTCGGCGGTCGTGAGGGCGAGACGAGGCGTAATGATACGCTCGATCCTTTGAACAAGTCAGCAGCTATCCAGTGTCATTGCAGCAGGCGGGCTCACGTTGGATCGTTGGCGAGGTTGAGGAACAGGGTAACACGTTCCAGACTGCCGTTCTCCTCGAAATCGCGAGTGAAGAAACGAGCCGTCTCCAAGTTCACACCCATGGCAGCGAAGACAATGGAGAAGTTGTCCTCGTGGCCGTCGTGGACGCCCTTGTTTGTGACTCCCTCCTGCTTCTGGACCAGACCAGCCTGACGACAAATCTGGGCGGCGATCTCGTTGTGCGGTAGACCGGAGGCGGAGAAAATGGGGATCTTCTGTCCACGAGCGATGGAGTTCATTGTATCGATGGTGGAAATACCAGTGGAGATCATCTCCTCAGGATAGACCTGGCCGCTGTTAGCTTTCCTTCCCTGGCTCGTCTAGGGAGGTTGGTTGCCGCACTCTCGAGTATGGGTTGATGGGGCTGCCGTTGATGTCGAGGTAGTCCTCTGCCAGCACCTTGGGGCCCTTGTCGATGGCCCGACCTGAACCATCAAAGATACGTCCCAGCATGTCCTCCGACACACCAAGCTTCAGGCTCTGCCCGGTGAACTCGACTTTCGTCTGTTGGAAAGCCGTCAGTATCATATGCTGTTGGGCTGCGTTTCTCAGGATCTGCGCACCTTCTTCACATCGATACCTGAGGTGCCTTCGAAGACCTAATGTACTCGTTAATCGATCGAATCGTCGTGTCGAGATGTCTAATGAAGTACCTGGACAACGGCTCGGTTTCCTGTACATTGACTCGTTAGCACTTGTTCGTCTGAAATGCCTCAACACACCTCTCACATACCTCGAGCCTCGAGGACCTGCCCTTGCCTCGTCGTCCCATCAGGAAGCGTCAGGGAGACGATCTCGTTGTATCGGGGGAATTTGACCTGTCATACCGGTCAATGGATCTGTCGGTCTGGAGGCGGCTGGGAGGAGGTATTCACATCTTCGAGGATGACCAGAGGGCCGTTCACACCACCGACGGTGTTGTACTTGAGGTGAGGCACCACCGAGTAGGAGGACGACTCGCGAGGGTCACCCATGGCTGCTGCTTGGACGTGTGTGGATCTGGTGGTTGAGGCGCAACGATGCAGACTGATGACGATTGTAGTTGGTGGTTTGGAGCTCCCAGGAGGTTTGGTGGATGATAAGCTCCGCGCACTGGCCAGCAGCCTCCCGAGGTCAGGAAGGCCCTCTGCTAGAGCACCAGCTATTTGGTGCTAGACCACAGCAGTGTGTCAGCTCCTGATTGCTTGCTGCCAACGATTCTATTTTTAAACGCCATAGCTTCAAGAATATGTTCAAGAACATGCAATCCAATGGAACTCATCGCAGCAAAGCTCATTATAAGTATTCCAGAGCATTGCACTGCCAACTTGGAAAGGCTGTACCAGTGCTGGTAACTTACGTACCATACCTACCTAAGCAGCTCTCGGTCAGTTGAGGTTCTGGGCTACACCCCTCCCCCACCCCACCTGAGTGATCGTTCCGGCTGGCAAAGCTCGTTCCGCCAGAAGCTCCAGCTCACTTTGAACCTAGCATCCTCCAATTGATTCACATCCGTCACTTCCCTTGCGCTTTGAAGCTCCCTTTGGAAGTCTCTTTCAATCACGGGAAAAAAAGGCCCTGAACATTGAAAGTTGAGGCATTTGGGAATGGAACCACGGTGAACGAAGGAACATGTCGAGCATTTACAATACCGAGCCGCAGCCAACGGCTTCGGTCATCCTTCATACGAACCATGGCGATCTATCGGTCGAGCTGTTCGCGAAGCAGACTCCCCTAACCTGCCGCAACTTTATACAACACTGCTTGGATGGCTACTACGACAATACGATATTCCACCGCCTGGTACCCGGCTTCATTCTGCAGGGAGGCGATCCGACGGGCACTGGCAATGGAGGCGAGTCGATCTACGATGGTGGAGCTTTCAGTGGTGATCTGGACCCATGGCCGATGGACCAGCGGAGGGGAAAGAACGCCGGTCCTCAAGGCGTGAACTTCAAGGATGAGTTCCACACGCGCTTGAAGTTCAATCGGCGTGGGCTGCTGGGCATGGCAAACGAGAGTCGAACCGACACGAACGGCAGCCAATTCTTCTTCACGCTAGATAAGACCGACGAGCTCAATGGCAAGAATACCATGTTCGGACGAGTGGCCGGCGACACCATCTACAATCTGGCAAAAATGGGCGAGGCTGAAATGGAAGAAGGAAGCGAGCATCCCCTTTACCCAACAAAGATCACCAGCGTGGAGATCCTTGTTAATCCTTTCGATGACATGAAGAAGAGGGAACGTATTGCCCAGCGCACCACACGGCCGGTCGCCACGGAGAAGAAGAAAGACAAGAAAAGGAAAGGCGGAAAGCAGCTACTAAGCTTTGGCGACGAAGAGGGCGAGGGCGACATACAGCCTCTTCCAAAGAAGCCCAAGTTCGATACGAGGATTGTGATGGATGTCGAAGAGCCAGAACCTCAAGTCAAGCCGCCAAAGGCTGCTAAGAGAGAGCGAGAGGCGAAAGCTCCCAAGGCCGTTGTACCAATAAGGGAGGCACCTGCAAGAGAAGCAACTCCTGAGCCTCAGCCTTCACCCCCTCCACAAGTCACCCGGAAGTCATCCAACAAGGCAGCACAAAAGATTGGGGACGACTCTTCACCAGAGCCAGAAGATCACAAAGGAAAGTCTGAGCTTGATCGGATGAATGAGGAAATAGCTGCTCTGAAAGCGTCGATGAAGAGGACAGTCCATTCGGAGCCCGCCAGTGAAGGCAAGAAGAACTCTGCCCTGCAGCAGATGATACCGGAGACAGCCACTCGAGGGCGCAAGAGGAGACCTGGCGCAAACAACCCTACGGCGGCTGAGGAACAGAAAGCACTAAGCTTCCTCAAAGCGTTCCAGGAAAAGTTGGACCAGGCTCCGCCAGAGAAGGCAGCAGCAACGGAAGTGCCAGCCTCAGGGGACGGCGAAGCCAAGGCTGGGGATAATGCCGAGGAAGACGAGGTCTGCGATCTCCACTTCATCGCCAACTGTCAGTCCTGCAAGGCGTGGGACAAGGCTGAAGGCGAGGACGACAGCGACGACGAGGGCTGGATGTCGCATTCCCTCAGCTTTGCTGCAGACAAGCTTGGCAAGGATCTGAGCTATCGCAAAAAGGCGGAGGATGAGTTGATCGTGATCGATCCACTGGCGAAGGCCCGCAGCATCCAGGCGGAGAGGAAGGCGGAGAAGGAGAGCGAGGGCCGGAGCGGAAAGTCCGGACGTGCATGGGGCGACCTAGCACGCAACGCGCAAATGTCACGGACGTCCTCCCTGGCTGGGAGAGGAGCAAAGTGAGGTGAGAGCAGCATGAATTGCAATTGTTGGTAGTAGTGTATGAGAGGTATTTTGTTCCTTTTTCTTCTCGAGATACCCAGACCTTCTCCTGTGAATGGTCAGATGAAGGCATTCAAACTCAAAATCGATTGGACGAGTCCAGCCGCACTGGCCGCCCCCGACTCAAGCGATGGGGAAAATTTTTGAGCGCATGGTGAAGAGGTGACCGTGTCATTGCATTTCGTCCTCGGCTATGAGCAATAAAGAACGAGGGCGAGCCCATTGCGGCCCTGGCCGTGGTCGACTTACACGGAAGTATCCACTTTGCGGTGGGGATGCCTGCTGCCACGGGGATCGTACATTCTGGTAAAGACACTCTGTATGGAGACTCTGAGATAGCACCTTGATTGCATGTGAGACGAGGCACTCGAGTTTATCCCACTGGAGGCTATCCCACTGGAGGCTACACCACTGGGGGTTATCCCAATGGAGGTCATCCCACTGGGTGGTGTGCAGGTCAAGAAATAGACCAGGAGGATGTTTGTGATCCCTGCGCTCTGAACTGGTTACGTAGACTTGGACTGCTACCAATGGAGGCCAAAAGGCTGTGTTGTGCCTGGCAGAGGAGATTCTGCTCCGGCGGCCAGGGCTTGCGAGAAACAATAAGGTTCGGTTTCCTTATTTCCACATGCAAGATCGCGATGACGATCCTTAGGTCCCCACAGCCAGAAAAAAATGGCGTTATCGATTGGACGGATAACAGAACCCCAGCTGGGGTGGTTCCCGTTCCCATTCAGCCCTCACAAACAATGCTACAGTATCGGGACGGCATTCATGTCACCCAGTTTCTGGCCTGCTATTGTCCTCCGTGTCTGTCGCAAGAATCAATAGCTCTATCGAAACGTGTCGCGGCGCCCCATTGTGCCCGGCGGTCCATTCCTGACAGCCACCCTGACACATCCTTATAAAAACGAACCCCTCCCCCTCCAGCCTCACCCGCGAGCAAGCACCCGCAACCAGGCAACCAGGCAGACCAAGACAGTCCGATCGCAAGGCTCCGCCGCTACAAGGCTTAGCCTCCAGTGCACCCGCCGCTGTCAGCAGGTGGTTCTGCACACACTTACAACCTACACATACTCTGACACACATTTACACACACATTGCTCAAGCCTGCGACCTAGCGGGGCAGGCGGGACGGACACCTAGTAAGGTTCCCTGGTCCCTTCCTCCACGGCCGCTACAGGTTCCGTCATCAGCCACCTCAACCACCTCCTCCGTCCATCCTCTTGGCCTCGCGATGTCGTCGTCTCCCGGTACAAGAAAAAGGCCCGCACCCAGCGCGTCGCCTCTTCCGGCTGGCCCAATCCCCCAGGCCAACCCCCAATCCACGCCACAGGACATGATGAGGTGGAACGGCGTAGCGGCGAACGGAAACAGCCATACGGACCTCTCGACCCCATACATGCTTGCGCAACAGTCCGCCCCACCCGGGCACGCCTTCCTGTCGCCATCGCCAGCCCCGACCACATCGAATGCCCTGGCACTCCGCGATCCCGCCAGCAGTAGGGCGCTCGTTTCCACCGCGCCGCGCTCGCCGTACGACGGACAGCCCGACCAATGGGGTTCATTGGGAGGCGATGGCGCCCTCATACCCCTGTCGAACGAAGCGCTGAGCGAGGAGGAGCACCTGAGACTTCTCCTGGAGCGCGCGAGGAAGATCGAGGAGGAGGCCACCAAGGAGAACCCCGGACCTAACCAGAAGAGGAGTATCCCGCCGTTCGTGCTGAAGCTCTCCAGGTCTGTATACCCTCCATGAGTCTCGCGCCGTGCCTGGACGATTCCCGCTAACAGCTTCGCAGCTTCCTCAACAACGGTAGGAACAGCGATCTCATCCGGTGGTCAGAAAAAGGCGATTCGTTCATTGTGCTCGACGAAGAGGAATTTGCGAAGAAGCTGATACCCGAGATGTTCAAGCACAACAACTACGCCTCATTTGTCCGCCAGCTGAACATGTACGGGTTCCACAAGCGGGTTGGGCTTTCCGACAATTCGATGAGAGCGAGCGAGAAGAAGAATAAGAGCCCGAGCGAATATGCGCACCCCTACTTCCTGCGCGCGCACCCAGTCTTGCAGTGGCTCATTACGAAGCCGAACAAGACCGGTGGTAAAAAGAGGCAGAAGCAGGCCAACAAGGATGCGTCTGGAGCCATCGAGCAGGACAGCGATGCCGAGGACTTCATGGACGACCCCAACGGCCAGTACGCCCTCTCCGACATCCACCCAGGCAGGAACTTGGGGCGAGGTGAGGCCGGGCCTTTGGCGAAGACGGAGTTGGGGAAGCTGCGAGACCAGCTCGCGCAGGTCCAGCAGAAGCAGCAGCAATGTCTGGCCCTGATCCAGCAATTACAAAACAATCAACACGAGATTGTGCAAAGAGCACAAAAGTTCGAAGAGATGCATCATCGCCACGAGAATTCCATCACCGCCATCTTGAACTTCCTTGCCAACGTTTTTAGAAAGTCACTGGAGGAAAATGGGGGTGCGCAGAATATCTCCGATATGTTGGCGAGCATTCTCCCCCAGCATGGGCATAACCATGCCATGCCGACGGGGAGTGTGCAAGACCTGAGCGAGTATCTGCAGCAGCACAATGCTACCAAGAGCCGAGCGAGCCCCAGCCCAACTCTTCCAAAGCGTCCACAGCACCTCCTGCCCGGTATCCCAGGGGACCCGAATGCTTCCGTCCCTGCCGAAAGCGCACTCGGCCTACCCGCGAGTCCAGTGCCCTATTCTTCATCTTCCCACCAGGCACCGCGAGTCACCGAGGTATTTGATACCTCACCTTCTGACACGACCTCCCCGAATCACATCCGGAATGAGCTTCAGTCGAATCCTGAGGAGACCATGCTCAAGATCATGGGTGAGACCAATGCTCGGATGACACCGGGCGTTGATCTCCCTGAAGCTGCTGCTGCAACATCCGCGAGGATGCCATCTGGTCAGCGCAACAAGATGGTGAACAACATGTCGCGCAGAACTGCCACGCCATCGAATAATCGATCCGTATCACCATTCCGGCCTCCAACCATGTCGGCTACGCCTCCGATCCCTCCCGCGCCTTCCGGCTTTCCAACTCCGACAGCACCACAGCCTGCCACATCACTGTCGCCCATTCTCAACAACGCCAAACCCCCATCGGTCCAAGAAGTCTCGCGACAGCAGAACGGTATCAGCCAGGTGGAGGCTTTACAGCGCAATATTGGCCAGGATATCAACAGCCTGGCCCAGCTCGCGGCCCCGCTTTCTCCCAACGGGCAGATCATGGGCATCGATGGCTTTCAAAACGGCGGCTCGGACTATTTTGGCGACTCCAACAACAATTTTGACTTCAACCAGTATCTGGATACCGCGGCGATGGACACCGGCTACAACTTTGATTTCAACGACCTGAACAACGCAGGCAACTACGGCGCGGCGGACGGCACTGACTTTGACTTCAGCCTCCCCAGTACAGACTATGCCCAAAGCACCGCTGCTCCGGTCAATGGCGGCCTCACCGCGGGCGCGGGCGCGGTCGCAGACACGCCGAGCCCTGCCGGCACGGAGGAGATACAGCGACCGGATCTGGATGGCTCAGAACAGCCAGCCACGAAACGTAGGCGGCAAGGATAGAAGAAGCTCAACGGTTACACATTCTATCACCGTGTCTATTTCGATCTAGTCGACCGTCTCAACAGCACTCATCCCCACCCAAGAGTTTCAAGTCCTTGGGGGATTATTTCATCCATCATGACCAAATTAGAATAGTAGTATGTATGGGTAGGGAGCGAATGGAAGGGTTTGCTGTTCCAATTTGACACGTGAACCACGACCCTGATGCTATACTATGAGTGAATCTGACTGTTGCAATCTGACGGGGAGCCCTGCTGTTGCAAAGCACATCCCTTTATAGGCATATCCATAGGCCTCAACACATTGTATTAGACAAATGTCTACTCATCCATTGTGCGACATCTGCAGTTATGTGCTCAACTACTGTCTGTTGCTCGCCAATTATTTGCTCCTCGTCTACTATCTACCATCTCGACTTTACTTACTCATCCCATCTGCTTTCATACCATATCTTGCTTAACAGGTCCCGCCCTGTAGGAATGTTCATAGAATTATGCTCATAGGATAACCTCCTATGGACTTGACACAATTAGATTGCTAGCAGATTGATAGTTGTATGGTACAGACCACATCAGGATTTCGAAGAAACGGTACACTTAAGTCATTTTCCTGACTGCCCCCCCCCTCCCCCCGGTGACCAATCCGCAAGTGACAAATCCCACGATTTATCATCCATCCACTGAGCTTCCACTGTCAGACAAACAGACAGTCAGTCAACAGCTCACTCATCACTTACTTGCCCCCCCCTCCCGGCCCGCCCTCGTGGACCCCAGCTGTCGGCCCAGCCCCCCTAGCGCTGACGACCTGCGTGCCTCCCGCCCGCGTGCGCGCCGGACAGCCCGGCCCCAGCGCAGTCAGCCGTTATTGTCAAGTGGGCCGGACTGACGTGGGTTTTGGCGATTAATAAACTCCGAGGCGGCCCAGGAGGGCTGAGGAGGCGGGCGGGCGGTTGGTCGGTTGGTAGGTGTGTGTGTTGGCCTGCTTGGTGAATTCTCCAGCCAACGCCACCCCGGCCGTTCTTCCTTCCTCCTTTTTTCCTCCATTCAGCCTTGTGGGGGCCAACGAGGCAGACTCGGTCCATCGCGGGGTTGAGAGTGGAAAACCACACATACGACATACGTGTCACATGAACCATGCGCAAAATCGCCGCCGGCCTTGAGCAGCATCGTCTCCTGCGGCGTCAATCCCTCCGGCACTCAAGAAGCATCAGGCTTAGAATTATCGTCTTTCTCGTTGGTTTCGTCCACGTCGTCCTCAGCACAAACCCAAGCTAGAATTAGGGGAGGGAGGAAGAGTACTGGGGTTGCACAGTTCTGATATATGCTTTCTCTCTCGCTGGTGAATCAGGCACGTCGGCGCTGTACAGCAGCAGCAACGACAACAGCAACAGCAAGGACGTAGACTCGCGGAAGGGTACTCGTCCGCCTGGCCTTGCTCTTTGGTTCGGTTCTAATTCAACTCATATGCCCAGCCGTTCCCATCCAAAAATGTTTGCGCGGAGGCATGGATGCGATGGAATGTGCGCGCGCGTGTGTCTCTCCTCCCAGCTCGACTCCATTCATCAGTCATTCGTAAAATCTGCGCCAAGAATGCCAAACCGTCCGCTCAGTCACAACCTGCCTCACCTGCTGCCGTCGTGGGGCGCCAGAATGCACATTGCCCCCCTGGTCGTGCCTGCCGCCATGATACACTGAAGCTCTGAAAAATAAACATTTAATGAAGTAGAATAAATATCGATCCGGTCCTCGGCCGTCGCAGAATGTTATCTCCCCTCGGTCTCTCGCCCTGTCCTCTGTCTTCAACTTTCGCGGTAGACAGCCGAGGAGAGCGTATGCTGTGAGCCGTGGTTTCATATGAGCCTAGGAGGATCTATCACGAATCCTAGTCTCCCCACGCCCAATGAGCTCTTCCCTGGCACGTCTTCCGCCTTGGCTTGCGCCCGACAAAACCGCCGCGACGCAATATCGAGTTCGAAAGCGTAGGATGCGGGATGCAAGCACCCGGGCCCCCACAGCAGCATGCGATGAACCGACCGGAAGGGGCATTTGTTAGATTCTTTCGGCAGGCACCCTTCGGCGGTCGGTCAATCGTCCACGAGGCATGACGACATGGAACTACAAAGCCCCGCGGTGCCACTGGCGCGACTAATTGGAGTACGGCCCATCCGCGCTGAGATTGAAGACCGGTAATGGGACTATCAAGTCGGCCTCCCTCAAGGTGGACACGGCGTCATGCAGCCCAAGGATTATACTTTCGATTCCCCGCGAACAGTGCATCTTCATTGACTATGGTCGGGCTCATCATTCGATGAGTGGCTTCTTATGCCCTGCAACGTTGCAAAGCCCGAGGTGTTTAAGAGCATCCTTGTCAGTGGAGACTATGATCGATCTCGCGGGGAGCATAGGGTTGTTTGGATCCACGTGGGACGCGTCTTTGGCGGCCTGCTCGATGGCGTCCATTTCCTCTTTGCAAGCTTGCTGGTCCATCGGGCAGATGACGATGGGCTGTCGCAAAGTTATATCCCGAGCCGAGCTCATTTGGGCCTATCCATTCTTGTCAGACTGGCCGCTCCGCTGGCTTATGTTCGCTGAACGTGACTTACCTTGATGCTCAAGAAGAACTCGATCTTGTACAGAGTGGAGCTTGTCGTGAAGGAGGTGACCTCGTACTGCGGGAACCCAGGTTTGCCTCTCTTGACGATGCCCTCGGAATCTCTCAGGTCTTTCGATGGAAACACCAGCCCCAGGTTTGTGACATAGCCGGCTTCTGGTAGTTTTGCCTGTACTGGCTGCGTGTGCTTGGCGATCCTGTTCACCTTCTTGGTCGGCTCGTCGCCCTCCGGATTGTATGTTATCTCCTCCTCGATTGCCAGCGTGATTTTCTGGATCGTGACCCTCTTTGCCTTGTTTACCCAGTCCGCATTCGGCGCAAGCTTTATGTAGACGGTGATCGGGTCACAGGGGCCATAGCTCCATTTCGGCAGCGATATCCCCAGCGTGACCAAGTTGTCGGCCGTGACCACTTTTGACTCTGGCCGGTTGTACATGCCGAAGGTTGATAAAGTATCGTACCTCTGCAGAGGGATTGGGAACGCATACTTGTTCTGCGTGCTTGCGCCCTGTTGCACCGTCACGACGAGCTCGTAGAGGGTCTCGGCCGTCCTCGATGGTAATTGTAATGAAGCGGGAGGTATTCTCCTATTTGTTTCCTCGCCGCCTCGGCCGAATGGTATGAAAAGCACGAAGGGTAGGTCCATTTGCGATCACGCTCTCGGCCTCTTTCCCTGCTTGACACCGAAAGAGTAATAGCTCCTTTCCCACAACATCGATCGTTTCTCTCCTCGGCGTGCCCAGGTGTCGTTTCGCGACGTTCTCGGCGGCGGGGTGTATCGTCTCTCCGCTGTAAACATATCCGTACTAAAGAAACAGCGACTGGCATAGAGAAGCCTTGTGATGGTCTGATCTCGACTTTGCCTTCTATGCGCGGCTGCGCGAGGTTGAGTTAGCAGTCAGTGGCAATTGCGCAATACCCTTGGCCACTGGGAGGGTGCGCCCGAGGATCGGGGTACCAGATGTTGGCAGGACGGGACTCACTAATGTTGCTGATATGCCAGGGTAGCCGACGAGGAAGCTGCTGTTTGGCGGGCCAGTGACCCGTACAAAGGCAGCCATCCTGTTCGCAGGGCCAGAACTACAACTGCAGGCGGGAAGGTGTGGTGCGAGTGGAAGGCCGAGGATGGACGGTCATGAATGCGCAGCGAACGCCGGCCTCGCCGCGTCAAGGCTGTGAAGCAGCAGCGCTTGCAGCCGGGCAATGTGGGGTATCGAAGACGGGAGTTGGCAGCCTCCTGGGAGTTACAAGAACTGGGATGAGGGCGAGCCCATTGAATCGCAGGGGCCAGCTGCCGTCTCGAGAGCTCGAGCAAATCGTCGCCAAAGCCTGGGAGGCGGTTCGGAAGAGGAAGGTGGGCGCAAGTGGTTGGTGAGATGGTCTAGGACTTTGGTGCAGCGTGCAGCAAGAGGAGCGGACTGCGAGGCTCGGGCGGTCTGGTGTTACGCCGTGTCGCAAGCAAATGTGCTGTTGTGCCCTCGAGGGGTGGAGCTCGGTCGCTGGTCGCAAGGTGAGGGAGACAGAGGCAAACTTTGGAGCAGGAATGCGGTGGTCAGAGTCGCAGAGTTGACGAAGAAGTGCTGTGCATAGGGTTTGGAGTTTGGTCGCCTGGTGGTTCGTCCGTCGGTCTTGTGCTCCCGATGATGCTGGTGTTGCTGCATCCCCCGGCCTGGGAGGTTTTGATACGACGCACACCTTGCCCCCCTGCTGGGGTCGTCTCTTGGGCGGCCGCGCGAAGTGCTGGCACCTCGTGCGGATTGCGGCACAGCGCAGCACCACAGCGCAGCGCAGCGCAACCCCGGGCTGGCCTGTTGGTGGCGGTCGGCCCTAATTGGGCCAGGACCTGCTGGATGGAGAACGGAAGACGCAGAGGATGTGCGTCTCCTGCAGACGAGATTGGCGTGCGGCAGGTGGGAACCCAGGTCGGGTTCAAGGCCGGGTCTGAGGGCAGAGTCGACTTCGAGTCGAGGGGGATGTCGAGCCCGGTTCGAAGGGTGTGCGCAGGTGGTCCTCCTGTCCTGTCGGACGGGGTGGAGGGGCAAAACTCGGTGCTGGCGGTGGTTGCTGACTTGCTGCAAGGGCTCTTTGTGCTGTCCCGGCCGTTCCCCTCGAGGTGGTCAAGAGCGAGCGGCCTGTGTTGGTAGCACAAGGCAGGACAGAGGCAGAGAGAGGCTTTGTGAGGCGTCGTAATGGGTGACGAGACCGGCTTGAGGCCCAAAGCGGGAAAGCAAAGGGAGGAGCCGCCCGACACCGACTGGGTTCGTCACAGGCAGAACTGGGCAGAACAGACGAAAGAAGACTGTGGGTGGGTTCCTGGAGGGCCCACTCTCCACCCTTCAGGTCAGTCGCACCGTACTGATCGATGTTCCGCTTACGGGACTGAGGCGGTTCGAATCCCAGAGCAGCAGCAGTATTGTACTTGGTGTTTTGTTTGTTGTCTGGTTGCACGGCAGTCGCAGCGGCAGTGGGACAGCAGGGCACTTTTGCTGAGGAGAAGCACAGACGCACATGAGACAACCCTGTTGTTATATTGCAATACAGTGGTGTGATAGATTGGCCTGGTGGATAATAGACATTTCAGATGGCCATCCCAGGTCCCTTAACAACCGTACAGATTACGGATTACCTACAAGCGCCCAGATACAGTATCCACGGGAGGGGCTGTTTGTTGACGACGGCAACGGGCTCGGTGCTGGCGCTGGTGCTGTGCTAGTTCCGGTTCTGGTCCTGGCTGGCGCAGTTTCTAATGCCGGGAGGACCCTGTAATCCTCAGCTCTGGGATCCAGTGCGTCATCCAGCGCCCACCAAGCTCATCAGCTCGCCTGCTCGCACACTCAGCAGCCCGATGAGCGACCACGACGACCGGCCCACGTCAGTTCTGCCATAGCGCTTATTGTTGTTTCGAACCTTGATTCTCGCTAATTTGATCTTGCCGAAGTCCGCACGTGGCTATGTATGATATATTATTATATGTCTTTAGACAGGCGCAACCCCACAATCATGGAGATCTGTTGCAGACGAGGCAGATTTCCACGCGTGCACTGTGCACCCACCTTCCCGGCTGCATGTTGCCCAAATATCAATGTATAAATGTAAAATGTGCCGGGGCATGTTCTTCCATCAAACGTTACCCCATAGATCTAGACAGCTATCCTGTAACAGCTTGTCCCGTAGGAGGTTGTCGCATAGGAGATTATCCTATAGCAGGTGGTCCCGTAGAAGGTTATCGCATTGAAGATTCCCCCATGGACGGTTATCCTACAGGTATACGCCCCTCACCGTCTCTAAATTCATAACTGCACGGTTGCTTCTCGCCCATCTGGGATGGAGCCGAGCCCAAGCAAAGAAGCGCCTGGAGCCCAGCCCATCTCACTGTGCGTAGTACGTACTGCGCCCGCACCCAGCACGAGGGGACCTCGGGAGCTTTGATATTTGTGTCACGCCGACCAATCACATATTATTGAAGCGACAGGGGAAGCTCCAGGATCGAGACTTCTAAAAAGCTCTGACACGGTATAGACCTCCCTCCACTCCACAGCTGCTTTGCACTCAAAACACTGCTCGCGCCAACTCCACGTCGCTCTATTCTAGACCTTGTCGCTGAGACAGACTGTTAAATCTGTGGACCTGCCGCAATCGCTCTCGCTGTCACCATGTCTGTCACACTACACACCACAGCTGGCACCATCAAGATCGAGGTCTTCTGCGACAGCGTCCCCAAGACCGCAGAGGTAACACGCACCCAGGCCGATCCAATTCCCCCTTCCTTCCACAGGGCTCTTCGTGGTGACTCAGGAGCTAACAAGAAGAACCACGCCTCAGAACTTCCTCGCCCTCTGCGCCTCCCACTACTACGACGCCTCGCCCTTCCACCGCCTCATCCCGGGCTTCATGGCCCAGACGGGCGCCCCCGCGGACCCCTCGCCCCCGGAGAACCCAAAGGGCGGCCGCTCCATCTGGGGCGGCACCTTCGACGACGAGGTCCGCCCGGCGCTCAAGCACGCGCAGAGGGGGATGGTCTCCATGGCCAACAAGGGGCCCGGTACGAACGGTTCGCAGTTCTTCATCATCTTCGACAAGGCGCCGCACCTCGACGGGCTCAACACCGTCTTCGGCAAGGTCATTGGCGACGATAGCCTGGCCACCCTGGCCAAGATTGAGGCGCTCGAGGTAGATAAGAAGAATCGGCCCAAGGAGCCTTGCAAGATTGAGAGTATCACGGTTCATGCGAACCCACTGGCCGGATGAGAGACAGGGGTTCGAGGATGCGAAGTCAGACGATTACCGGCCCCTGACGCCCTAAGACGCGACGAAAGGTCATGTCTGAGAATGCTAGGTTACCGACCGCTTTTGCCCACCCTGGCGAGTATGGACGTGAGGCCGGCTCCGGGCGTGCCTGCCATGCGAGCGGGCACTGGGCTTGCGACGCGCTGTCGGAAATGGGTGCCACGGTCGCGCAGAAAAGAAAGCGAGATAAGCGGGCATGACGTGCAACGTCAGGCTGTCCAAGTCACATACATGGCCAGGCTGTGGTTTGAACCCAGTCGACTTGTCATTCGCGCTGCGGTCCGCGGGCGATGGTTCACGGTGCAAGATGACGGCATGTTCAGACTCGCTGCATGTCTGTGGTAACTGCAAGGCGGCGACGACTACAGGACTCTGGTGACTACGGGGCTATGGTGACCACGAAATTGGGTTGGTCAGGTCCTTTGGCTCAGAGCGAGAGTCATCGTGTCATAAGAATATGGCGTTCATGACTTGGTCACTTAATACATGTAGGGTGGGGGTTGTCGCTCCTCTCAGCAGCCTTCTCTACAGCCCCGAATGACAACTGGTCGCAATCAAGTCGGGTATGCCTGTATCACCCCTACATTTTATTGACAAACGCTCCGAAGCCTTAATGACTATACGAAGAAAATGGACTGTACTGTTCATCTTCATGCGGCGCCAGAAATGATAGCTGCGGCCTGCTCTGTCATCGCGTACACTGGTGCTTGAATGTGAGCACTTAGCGGGACGGGGAGGACCGAGGCATCGACAACGCGCAGTCCATCCACCCCCTTGACACGGAACTCAGCATCCACAACCTTGCCCATGGCACAACTGCCCCCAGAGTGCCAGGTTGTCACCCCAGCCAGCGAGATGCGCTTATCCAGCTTCTCGTCGCTGTCATCAAGCGACACGGCCTCCATTCCCGGAACGGGAGGCACCGTCTCGCCAGCAATGTACTCCCTCCCGAACTTGGTCTGGAGCATCAGCCGAGCCAGCGTGTGCACGCCCTCGCGGGCTACGCACCTGTCCGTCTCCGTGGCTAGGAAGTTGACGTCGATTCTCGGGGCGTCTTGCGGGTCGGCAGACTTGAGGGTCACGCTGCCAAGGGAGGTTGGCAGGAACGGAACCGTAAGGGTGGTGAGGTGCTCGGCGTCCGGCTGGATTCCGGGGATGGGAAGCTTGACGTACAGCACCACCGTCTCGATGTGCGTCCGGGGCTCACGGAGGAGCCGGTGCGTCGCTGCGTCGGGCGCCTTGCCTTCGTCCCGCTCGATGGCTTTGGCGAGCTGGTCGTGGGGGACGTCGGTCGCGACAATCCAGTCGAGGGGAATTCCCATTGCGAACTCGGGTTGCTGGAAGAGAGGGTTGGCTGAGCCGATGGTGTAGCCTTTTTCGGGGTTCTTCAGCTTCCAGAATTGGTAGAACGACAAGTGGTCGTGCAGGCCTCGGCCGACCTCGGGGAGGTCTACCAGCGTCTCGATATTGTGCTCTTTTAAGTGAGCTGCGTCGCCTATACCGGACAGAAGCAGCAGTTGAGGAGACCGAAAGGTGCCACCACAGATGATCACCTCCGTGCCGGAGATGGTCTTGCCGTCAGCAAGCTCTACACCAGTCGCCTTCGGCGCGCCCTCTGCTTTCTCCAGGACAACCTTCTTCACGAGGGTGTCTGTCAAAACCTCGACACCATCCAGGGAGTAGTTGATAGCTGAGAACTGCCGCTTGCCCTCCGAGCCTCGCAGATGTATGCTCGGCCCAGGTTGTCACCCGTGTTCTGGTCGAGACCGGGCAGGGCGTGAACGCCCAATTCCTCCCAGGCTGCGGCGATAGGTTCGGTCAAGGGGAACTTGCGGCCTGTCGATACCGCAGAGGCGACAGAGATAGGCCCATCCTTGCCGTGCTGCTCGGGGTTGCTCTCGTCGAACCACGCCTCCGTGTTCTTGATGAAAGGCAGCTGGCCTTTGTAGCTCCACCTCGCGTCGCCCGCGACCGCCGCCCACTCTTCATAGTCCGCAGTAGAGCCACGGGTCCAGCCACCTTGACGTCATGTCAGAGATCTGTGGTTCTCATACGACAGGGATGGAATTGCTCGCCTGCTCTTCTAAGGCAACATAGAAGACTTACCCGAGTTGATAAGGGTCCCTCCGCCGAGTCCCTTGCCAGCATTATACACAATGCTGCGCCCGCCGAGGCTCGCTTGAGGCTCAGTCGGGTACATCCAGTCGAGCTCCCCGCCCAGGTTGAGAATATCGGCCCGGAGGATATCGGTCCGGGAACGGGTGTCCTGACCGGCCTCGATGAGCAGGATCTTAGATCCCGGCTTGTATTCCCGCAGCCGGCTGGCGAGGACGCACCCGGAGAGGCCGCCTCCCACAATGATGTAGTCGTACGCTGAGGCCATGGTGACAGATTATGGGATGTTTGTACAGGAGGTCGGCCAAAGGGCGCACGCACAGCAATGAGGAACCTGGTGCTGGCGGTAAAGGCAGGGGGTTCAGCTCGAGCCCTCTAGTTGAGCAGCATATTGTAGTGCTGGTGCTCAAGGGTGCGCTTTCGGAAGGATTTACAAGGCTTCCCATACTGTGGTACGATGTGTCTGTCCTGCCGTAGGCCGACGTGGATGCCAATCCCTCGCTCGCCCTCCTAACCAGGCAAGGACTGGTGGGCCACATCTGAACCAACAGCGTTGGTTATGCAGCTTGGTATTAGTCCCGCGCAGCACTGCAGGCATTTCGAATTCTGAATGTGGAACAATTAGTACTTCTGTTTATGCCTCGTTTTATCCACATGGAGTATTCCTCTTAGATCGTTACCGCCCAAGAAAAAAAAAAAAAAAAAAAAAAAAAAAAAAAAAAAAAAAAAAAAAAAAAAAAAAAAAAAAGCTCTTTCGCGTGCCCTGGTTGACTTAGGCGTACGGTCTGGACCCCTGGAACCTTGGTTTCAGTGAGGTAGTCGTGGGATCAACGGCCAAGTCTTCCGTTGGTGATCGTTGCCCATGTTGACACCACGCCAGCCTGCCGATTTACCAGGACAGTTCCGGTTAGCACTCGAATTGGCAAATGAGGTTTCCGATGCAGGACTCTCAAAGCAGAATTCTTGGGTCGTGGTCGACAGCGACGCCTGATACCACATGTCGTTGTGTTGGGGATATTCTCCACCTACTTGCAGTAGGAGCCGGCGAGGACCGCCAGTAAGAGATACTCGCGCGCACAAGGCCACAATTTATTTGTGTGCTCACTGTGCACTGTCAGACGGTACAGCTTCGAGCAGCTACGAACCACTTGATCACTTCGAGCTTCCGGAGGCTCTGCAAATGGGGTAAAAGAATATCCCGTCCAAACTCAATTACTCGTGTCCTAGTTACGCACACACGTGTGGAGGAGGACGTGCGCTCAATGTTTGCGTTCCCCGGAAGCTGGGCGGCTAACAACTCCAGTCCGAATGGACTGCAATGAGGTTTAACGCAATCTCCCCATTTCCATTGCAGAGTCTCTCGATCTGCGTGGTTCACAAGGGTCTTATTCAGCTTTACTCGGGTTTTCATCCTAAAGCTAGCCGGAGCACCTGAACAATGGTTTTCAATCCCCTGCGTGTTGAGCTCGATCTGGAAGTTGCTGGTGGAGATCTGTCAGAGAACTCCATCCACTCTTACGCAGCTGCTTCTTCTTCAAGCCATTGGTCAGGATAGAAGGATGACTTGTCCCCGGGTCGTCTATCCCATGGCAGATTATCCTATGAGAGGTAGAAGGTTGTCCTACAGAGACCCTGGAAGTCAGGATGGCCTTCCCTGGGGGATTGTTCCTGCCTGTCAGGGTGGCACTCCCGCACGCTGACACCTTACTCTCGGTTACACCTATCGCATCTCTGGCGATCGGTGTGCGCCCTGACGTTGTGCTCCCAACGTGGGATCACACCGAGCTTCTTATGTGCATTGGCACTTACTTGGTTTCTGAGCGGGCCCGCCCTCAGCGATTCGGCTCCATGCTCCGGCCCAGGCATATCAGTTCTCGCCTGCGTCGTCACACCCAAGTGCAGGGCACATGGGCAAGCATGTCTACGACCAGCGGCTCGGTTCCTGTCAGTTCCCCCGGGAGGAGATACAAGACCCAAGCAAAGCATAGCCAGTCGTTCCCCCTGTGAGCGCGATGCCACCCGTGTCGAGCCAAGGCGGAGACTTCAAGGGGGACAAGTCTGGACGAACAAAATAGCCATCTGGGCCGCTGGCCCACCCCCCTCCACCACGGTGACAGACAGTCGGGCCCTCCTTCAGACTTGCATCTCGGCTTCGGCACACCATGCGGCTGTACATTGCTGCCGCTGCCGCTGAGACGGACCCGACAAGCAGTGATGAGAAGTTCACGTCGACTGTTATCCCGCTCGCCGCGAGGGCCGACGTGCACCAATTCATCTGGTGCGCGGGCGTGTTTCTCATCCTCGTGACAATATGGACCGGTCTGCGGGTCTACTCGAGACGTACAAAGGCGCTTGCCTCTGGCCGTTGAGGATGCTTTGTATCACATCTCTGGTAAGTGGAATTGTTGGCTCATGGTTTGGAATCCATCGATCTGGCGTTGGCCCTTTTGCTCATGTTATGATGCTCCTAAGGTCTCCTTCTTCGGCTTCGTCGTCGCCCTGTTCTTAGGTGAGTCTATCGTAGCCCTCTGTCTAAAAATCAAGCACATATTGACTTGTGTAGCACTGTACCTTGGTGGAGCGGGATATCACATGAGTGAGCTCAACAAAAGCCATGTAGCAAGACTCACACAGGTCAGTTCATAGGGCTCCCAAAAGCTATCAGATTTCGTCTGACTGACATTCATCCGATGGTATCACAGTCCTTCCTTGTCATCCAAGCTTTGTACGGTCTGTCGATGTGCACCGTCAAATGGAGCATGCTCTTTATGTTGAAGAGGATCTTCGCCGTCAAGCCGTTCGAGGTTCGAGGTCGGTGCCCCTGGCGCGGACAACCAACACAGAATTGGCTGGGTCTGACTAACTGTCTCCCGGTGTTCATGTAGATCGTGACCTGGATTATCATAGGCCTCCAAGCCGGCTGGCTGGTTATGACTGTACTCATCGGATTCCTCATCTGCCGACCTGTCCAGAAGAATTGGGATCCAACGGCGGAGGGCACCTGTGGTAATCAGATCGCTGGTTATACTGCTGTCTCTGTGGTCAGCGTTATCGTCGACGTGTTAATGCTGCTTCTTCCTCTTCCTATGGTCTATAGGCTGCAGACGAGACCGGGCTATAAAGTGGGCCTATTTGCTATCTTCAGCATTGGTATAGTGTAAGTAGCGTTGCAGTCCCCCTCCGCTCAACCAGTACCTGCATTCAGGGAAAGACCACCGCTGAAGTCTCACTGTCCATGCTGACCTGGTATTGCAATAGAACCATAGCTTTCTCCGCCGTGTGCCTCACCTCCTTGAACTCGATCGACTTCGAAGATTTCTCATACACCGTCATCCCCGTCATGACATGGACAACCGCCGAAGCTGGGGTCGCCATACTGGTTGCACCATCCGCCCTCCTGCGGCCTGTGTTCGACAAGCTGTTCCACCGCATCCTTTCATTGTCGTCAGAGAGGACACCGGGACCCTCAGATGCCTCAGCGCCGTACATGGGCAGCCAGTCGAGGATGAACGGCAAACAGCGGAGGGAGTTCGTGAACGTTGGAGACGTAAGTAGCCACTGACCCTTCCCACAAGAACCAGATCCCTGACTGTCGTTGCTGTTCAGTCTGAAGAGAGCTTCGAACTCGAGACAAGAGGCCCTCGAACCGAGATCCAGGCCGGAACGAGACGCAGCAAGGGCACTCTGGACGCGATGGCTGCGGCTGCCAGCGGGTCTCTTGGCAGGAAAGGTGGCATGACCATAGTGGTCCAGCAGCATGTCGAGCAGACATATGAGGGAAGAAGTGTCTGAGTCAAATAATTCATTGGCAAGAAAAAGGTGACGCTGCCAGCGGATATGTCGCACACTGTACACATGAGGGCTATGGGGTGTGATGATAATGAGGCCCTTGCCATCATATTATAAGCAATCACTGGCCCGTTGTAGAGGCATCACCTCAAGTCACTACTCACGCGATCATAGCCGTCACCAAAGCACAGTTGCCACCAAAGCACAGTTGCCACCAAAGCACAGTTGCCACCAAAGCACAGTTGCCACCAAAGCACAGTTGCCACCAAAGCGTGGTCGATATCCAGATTAATGCCAGAAACCAAACAGGAAGCAAGCACTAAGTGGATGAGGAAAGGAGTGATTGTATGTTGGAGCACCAGCTGGGGTCTTCTCCTGGCAGTGCAATGCAGCAAGTGAAGAACTCCCGGACCCCCTCCCTCCCATAAAAGAAAAAAAGAAGAAAAAAACGAAACTCCACCATAGCTGCAAATGCCCGTTTAATGCATGTCTGCTTCGACGATCTACATGCTCAGCCAAGACCAGATGAGTAGATTAATATCGAGACAAGGGCTAAACCACCATTTACCCTCGCCTCTTCCCTGGGGCCAAAACAAGACAAAAAAGAAAAGAGGAATAACTAACTCTTTGGGCGCAAAAAAGCTAAGGTGACCGTCAAGTCGTTCCTTCTCTTCGCTTATCGTGCAGCCCTCACCCGGGATCCGCATATGTAGGGCTCCGCCTCTCCGTTTTCGATCATGAAATTGCGCTGCTCTGCCTTCGTAGCCAGGCTCTGGTAGGTCTCTCCGAGAGAAGAGTTCATTTTGATGTGATAAACCGTCCCGCGAAAGAAGAACGAGTACCAATCCGCACGTACTGCTCGCTTCTTTGGCTCACTTTCCCCCCTGTTCTCTTCCGTAGAAGCATTATTGCCACCACCATCATCATCGCCATCACCGCTGGAACCCTCCACAAAGGCACCGGAAATTATCATCCCCTGTTCACCGCCATCTAGGCTTATAATATCCCGTGAATTGGTGCTTTGCAAAAACGTATGGCAAGGGTTGTGGTCATTGCTTGAAGAGATCGCGAAGCGCGTCCAGCCTTCGGCTTGGTTGTTGTTGGCACTGTTAAACATCTCGTCATCCCCACCTTGGCAAAGGTGGCTAGAAGGTAAAATCCTGCACGAAACGGCTTTCTCCCCCTCTTCTCCCTCGTCGCAGCGCAGGTTCGCCTCTTCATCGTTACCCTGATCAAAGAGGGATATCTTAACAGGGCCTGTGTTGTCGCGGCTCACTCCACCTGGCTTGACCTTCTCCATGTTATCGTTGTCGGTGGTAGTGCTGAGGATAGGAACGGGTTAGAGGAGTAGGAATGAAATAAGTGCGAGTACGCGTCAAGATTGGGCAGCATGCAATGTTCAAGCTTTATACTCTAATGACACACTAAGTAGAGTCTGGGCCACGATGGGATGGAAATAGTATGTGGGTAGTGGGAGAATGAGGAAGTGCTTGGACACTAAGGAAACTGACATGAGCCTGGACCGTTAGCCATCTAAAGGGAGACTGTGCGAAGGGAAGGCCATCCCAAGGGATTCTATCTGATATTCTAGGGAGCGTCTTCCATAGGAGACTGTCCTGGAGGAGACTGTCCTGGAGGAGACTTCACTAAAGGTAGCTATGCTAAATAAAGGATTGTATGTTTTTAACGCTGGGTATTCAAGCGTTTATCACTGTATGAAGGGACTGGATGCATACTGCATAAGAAGCATATGTGTACAGATTAAAAACGAGACCACCGACCACCTATTAAATAAAGGAGATGAGCCTAGAGGAGACTATTCCCGAAGAGTTTATCTTGGGGTATCAACTTCTAGGAAAGGTTATCCAGGGAGTCCATCCCAGGACAAAGTCACTGAAAAGTATTGTGGATATGCATTAATCATGGGCAAGGCACATATCTAACATTGTGGAGATCTGGCTCGAGTCATCGCTACTGCGAAACTAAAGAAAATAATTGAAAATTGTCCCAGATACCATCACCGTGGCCCACAATAGAGGTTCGCTCTATCATATTTTATGGTCTTTACAATCTCATACCTCCTATTCATACTCAATCTTCACATGCCTTCTGGTATCTCACCTATTTTCATGTGCTATATTACTCATCTTGGAGCCTTGACTTGGAATGGCTTACTTGCCATATAGACACAGCCGTTGTTCATTGGGGACAGTGCTACCTCCTCCACCTGCTCTCATCTCCTTATATGAAGGAGCCAACGACATTACTCTGTTTTCTGAAAAGGCGTTCTGTGCTTGCCCCTGGAAGGTTCGAACCCAGGGAATTTCGTACTGTGGAGAATGGTGTAGATTCACCTGGACACAGTCATTACCAGTGGCTGGTATACGCAAACTTCATGTGTTTGGTACTGAACTTGCCTGCACGGGAATTGGCAGGAGGTGTTTTGCTCACATCTCGAAGTTTGTACGCCGTCTGTAATAGAATACCATACTGTGCCTTCAGTTCATGATGCAAACTTAGCCCGTATCTTGCATAGGAGATGAACAACATTGCTTAAAGCCTCTGGAGATGGGTTTTAGGCGCTTTAAGCTTAAAATATTGACTTGCTTGAAACGGGATGACAAAATTCATCCAATCCCATTATTAATCTAGTCGGACACATTTACAACCCGCCAGCCAACTTACAGACAACTCACATGGGCAAATCCACAGGCTCCTTGGGAAGCCACTCAAGTGCCAACACATAGATGTCGTTTATTCAGACGTTATTAGCAGGCTGCAGAGGGAAAACGGATGCACCTGCATCTCTGAACATAGTTTTCATGCTCATCTACAAAATGTAACCAGAGATATGACTCTCCCCCTTAGCTTGACATAAAATGTCTAGATGAACAGAATATAGCTCTGGCCAAGTCTGGCTCCCGTTCTCCGTGCTGTGGCTCTTCCTCTGCTGTGCAAGTCCTTTGTTGTCTTTGCACTGGCCTGGGCTCAAAGCGGAGAGTATCTCAAGTGTCCCTTTGTTAAATAGCTGTATGTGTATTCTGGTAATAAACTCCAGACTCAAACTAGGTAGTATCCTCAAGTTTCTCTTCATTAAATAGCTATATAAACTCTAGGTTTCTAATTATTTAGTTTCAAGCAAGGGATGACAATCTTTTGGGGGTATATAACGTCAATAGTGGTGTTATGAAATGCTAGGAAAGGTGCGATGGCCGAGTGGTCTAAGGCGCTGTGTTTAGGCTAGAATAATTATTCTTACTTATAACCGCAGTCTTCACGGGCGTGAGTTCGAATCTCACTCGCATCAGTTTAATTTTTGGATAATTTGGTGGACTTCATTATTATTTTCTTCTATTTTTCTTTTCCCTGTAATAAGTTTACTAATGATCTTCTTTTCTTCTTCTTTTTCTCTTAGCTTTATAAGCATATATATAAAAATTTTTCTCACTTTTTTAAATTTCTTTTTTAATATTTAAAACTTTAATAAAAAGCCATATCATCACGCTGATCCTTACAAGGGACGGTATGCTATATTAGTTATAAGACGCTGAATATGGTGCTGGACGGTTGTATACACAAGGCCTGGCATCAGGCTGGTGTACTTGATAGAAGGTATTTGCTACGGCCTGGTACAACGTGCGTGCGTATGTGTGAGGCGCGATAATGTGCCATTCTGAGTGGGAGACCTGTAGGCTTATGGGAGACTATTTGTGTGGTGGCATGCCGCAGCAGTGTCTCACTGTGAGGTATATTGCGGGGCCTGCCGCCAGGGCTGCCGCCAGGGCACCTAGGTACGTAGGCGCCACTGGCACTCTACCCCAAAATCTGCCCGTCACTTTTGGAGTTTCGTGAAATCCGATTCTGACATCGAGACGTTCACATGCCTCACCACCGCAACGACCATGGCATTCGATGACGACGACGATGTTTCGACGCAGCGCCTGGCCGAGTCACCCGAGGATGCGCAAGCCACCGTCGAAGAGGCCCTCGAGGACGAGGCGCAAGACTTCCGCCACTTCACAACGCTGCAGCGCAAGAAGAACATCTCCGTGTCCGCCATCCGCAAGGGCGAGAAGGACTTCGAGTCGCACGGCACCAAGTCGCAGGCCAGCGCCCTAGAGAAGAGCCGGCAGGCTATGGAGGAGGTTCTGGGCTATACGCGCGTGCACAACAGCAAGGACTGGACGCGCGGCTGGTACTTCCCCGACCGCTGGCTCGAGAACGAGGTGTTCGAGGGCAACGAGGTCAAGACCGAGAAGGTCGCCGCCGAGAGGAGGGAGCTGCACGCGGTGGAGAGGGTTGTCTGCGTTGGTTTTGAGCACAAGACCCTGGGGAGGAAGATAAGAGGGCAGGGCAACAACAAGCCGGGCTGGGACCAGGTGTGGCTGCTGCCGGAGGAGGCGCTCTTCCTAATCGAGAGGGGCGGCCTGGATCTCTGGTGGCCCACAGCTACCATGGACGAGATATTTCCACTCGGAAGCGAGGGCAAGGGCGCAGGTGCGGTGCTGGAGGCTGAGAAGGAGGACGAGTACGCCCTGGGATTCCCGCTCAGCCTGCAAGCTGCATACGCCCTGCTCGTAGGGAACGAAGGCGAAAGGGGCAAGACTACGCTTCGCAACCTGCAAGTCTACTCGAATCTCAACCGCGCAGGCTTCAACGTCATCAGAGTGCCTCCGCCGATTTCAGATCCAAACGCACCAGAGGCAGTTGCAGAGGATCAACGACCTCTGTGGCAGCGTCTCACTGCCCTGCTCTTCCCCGAACGAGAACCCACCCGTCTCGCCTACGGTCCGCTCGTGCAGCCAGGCCTGTACAGGTCGTACAGCTCAATTTACAAGCAGATCGCCCTGGTACCGCGGTATAAACCAACTGCGCACCCGCCGACGTCCCTTTCAAAAACACAACACAGCCCGTTCCGCGTGCAGTTTCACGTCTGGAAGCCTAGCGTCCAGAACTGGTCCAAGACCAAGGCACCGGCACCCGACTACTACCTCGCCGTCGTCGACGCGCACGAGACCTCTGTGCCGACCTCGGAGGAAGTCTCTGCCCTGCTGGACTCCGTTCCATACGCCCCACCACCGCCATCCCAACGGCAGGGCCAGGCCCCGTTCATGATGCACCGGAGGCTGAAGCACGGACACCGAAACGTGCTGGTCGCGGTGAACGACCACGGGGTCATCAACTACATGCGCTTCGGCGAGGGTGCCTTTGGCGAGGAGCTGCTGTACAAGCAGTACGACGTGCACACCACGCCGCGGGGCGGGAAGAGGGGCGGTGGCCGCGGAAGAGGTGGACGAGGTGGCAGAGGTGGTAGAGGGGGCCGGGGCGGAAGAGGTGGTTGAGTCACGAGTTTGTCATCTCTGCTTCAGCACGACACGCATAGCACAAGGTCATTCTGGACACGTCCGTATTGGATGGAAACCTGGGACGGGGAATGTCACTAGGTATGTGACCAAGCGACGAGCACTGGCCACTGAAAAAGTGGAATAGGCCAGTTCATCTGGCTGTGGCCACTCGTGCTCTCAACAAGGCCACACGATCTTCCTGATCATTATACTCTAGGAGTCGTTGCCTGCATCTGGTGACGGTCTCGTCCTGAGTCACCGCTGCTGCCTTGGATCCCACAACGCGTGAGTGAGTCTCCAGCACAACACCAAAAGAGGTTCAGCGAATCTCATCTCTCACAAAGACAGCTCTGTGCAAGCTCTTCCTCAAAACCTGGAGACCGACCGTCACATCTGGGTCAACGAGTGTTGCCTCTTCCGTCGCGCGAGTGCGGCGCCGACCAACACGGTCCTACTACACACATAATCTAGCCCGTCTGGCGGGAATCAATGAGACCCCCTCTGCCCTTAACGACCCGACAAGGAGACCGCGGGGAGACGACAATGCCAGGGACACTGCATGATGGGCCCATCTGTCAATTTATGGCGAGGCCACATGGGACCGAGGCGATTCGACATAAGAAGTTATGGTGCTAGCCATAGGTAGTCTTGTAGTGGATAGCCTCGCCCGTACAGGCAGACTTGAGTCCAGCCCGGCGAAGACGCACCTAGCTCGTCCACGAGGCTCAACGTCCGCTCTCCTCGAGTCTGCGAGACAAACTTGCAAAAGGCCACGCACCACTCAATTGACAAGGTCATCACGGGCAAAAGGGAGCAAGCAGTAGATCATTTTCATGTGCATTTGGTACGGGTTGTGAGACTCTAGTTGCAGGCGACATTAGCCGACTTACCGAGTACTCTTGGTGTCTCAGCGCATGAGCTTGCCCGCCACGAGGCTTCCGTTGCAAGTCCTGCAGAATGGCAGAACCTAGCTTTGGATTCATGCCGGCTGATTTGAAATATCTCGCTGCCTGGGGCGTATCCATTTGCAATATTTTTACCTACACATTGCGCCATGACAAGTCGATATGTGCACATTATGCAGGATCAGGTGCAACTTCAGGCTTAGCTCAAAGCTTCGAATATGCAGCGCAGTCCAAGGGACCACTCCCTTGCTGCTCACTCCATCAGAAATCCGTTTGAATTGGCAACATTGAACATGCGTTGGGATCAGCCACCTTTTTTGACCGCTTTTCAGTTTCTTAGAATGCTGCCCAGGGTAGCTTGGCAATATATTTATTTGTACGGGGGAAAAGAGAAAACAGGTAAGAGGGCTCTTGTGGTTGACCAAAATTTCCGGTCACGGTGGGGCTCTCGTCTGCCCGTTGCCACACAACCTTGGAACCTTGGGGGACACCCAGCAAACAAACGTGCGAGCAAGTTACCTTGAGCTCTACAGACCACTTCATTGAGTACATGAATTCCAAATTAATTTCAAACTATGGCTTCATTCATAGCCGTGTTGTGTTCTTCATTGCTTCAGTTGGATATAAGCCATAGCAAGAGCTGGCCGAGGTTAATCTCCCTTTTTCAGCAGCCGCGTGTAAGTGGGCGGCCTGTAGATAAGCTTGGCACCACCAGTGCAGGATTGGCAGGTTGGATCCATGGCCTTCCACTTGCACCATCATTATCTTTGAAGCTTACGGTGGAGAACTCTGATTAGTGGCTGCACTACCTGAAAACCGATATTTAGCTGTGGAAAATGATTGCCACCTTTATCCAGCCAGCTAAGTACCAGTCACATAATAATACAAGGACTTGGGCCCAAGCGGCTGTCACGGCTCCAGAGAGAGGTGAGACAATCAGAGTCACAACGGACTACTACTGTAGGTAGCAAGTACTACGACAGGCAAGTTCCGCGTCTCCATGTCTCTGGCTGTGTCTGGCAACTGGGCAGGTCTGGTTAGATTTGAAACCAACATGCTGATTGCAATGTGATTTAGTGCCCCACAGTGGGAAGACCCAGCCAATGGTTCCGAGGGCCTCTGTCCGGCTTGGGAAAGAGCGAGCCTCTGGGGGAACGCCGGAGCGCTGCTGGAGTGTCACCAGCGCCCAAGGCAATTATGGTGATGACGCGCCAAATTTGACAATCAGTTGAGCTGCTGCTAGTGTCTTGTCCATCCCCCGAAGATCCATGACCCATGACTCCAAGATCATAGACCAAGACCCAAGACCCAAGACCCACAACCGAAGACCCAAGGTTCAGGTCCGAGCCTGGAAGCTGGACCCGGACCAAACGCCCCAGGCCAAGGGCTCAAAGGCCCAGGACGGAACATCAGGTTCGAACCATGCATTGTCTGCGTTTGTTTAATAACCTTATTATTGCTGTGAAGCAGCAGTGGAAGCTGCATATGGGTCTTCGATACCATCTTTTCGATATCGAGTCAGGCCTCCAATAGAAAGACAAGGCAACCTCTCATGTGTCTATGTACCTGCCATGGCTGGGTCAGTCACGTCAACAGACTGGCTCACTTCGTCAGACACCTTGTGCTCCTTCTCCGTCTTCTGCCCACAAAGGTGCTGTGACGTGGTGTGGTGCACTGCACTGCGCTGAAGTAGACTAACTGCCCTAGAGGGAATGTCATCCCATTCACATGTATATAATGAACGCAGCCAGCATATAGATATCTGGGCACAGTGTGACTGCAGAGACTTGTACCCTCATAGCCCTGAGCAGCTAGTGTGAGCTGGGAGCTGCTGTAGATTTCCAAGGAACCCCCGAAAAATCCTCCCCAACGCTAAGAGTGTAGGCTTTGAAACCGCTGAGTAACACAATCTTTGCTTCTCAAAGTTCCACTATCCGGCGGCAAAAAGACCCCTCGTCAAAACTCACTTTACTTGCTCGCTCTAGTTTCCGGCCGCACACACCTCGCAATACCAACACCACCCTCAATCCCCCTGGCACCGCCATTCTCTTACTTGCAAACAAGCTTCCTACACAACAACAATCTCTTCTCATCAATTCCCCAGCCAGAGATCCTCTCTTCTTCCATTCCACTTTCTTTCTTCAATTCAAAACCTGATTGACTGTCACCTGCACCAGCTGTTTAACCCCCGTCATCATCAAGTCACCCTCTACCCTCCTTACTTTCTGACTCGGCACGGCACCGCCTTCCACACCCACCCACACGCCTACATATTCCTCTTCAGCCTCCGCAACTACACCAGCAAGCATCAGTTCAAGCCTCTGAAAAACAGCGCGCCCCGCCACTGACCGTTTGCACACTTGATCATATCGTATTGAGCCCTGCAAAACCAGTATGGAGTCGGACAATTCCTCGGTTGAGGCGCCCAAGAGCCCGCCTGTCGATGACAAGTCCCCTGCCACCGAGCAGACTCCCCCGATCGATCTCAAGAAGACGCCCGAGACGTCCCCCGACAAGGGCGTCGTCGCATCCGAGCCGGCAAGCCCACAATCAGACAAGATTGAGCCTGAAAAGGCTTCTTTCGCTACGTAAGTGTGTTTTGCCTACTTGTCTTGCCTTGGCCTGTTCTCGCACCGCTCCCACGTCGCTGTTGTATCACAACTTGACTGTCACCTTGGCGCGTTTCCGACGCTCTCACCTCACACTTTTCCCTCAACTCAGCCCCGAAGCCCTGCTCAGTAGGCTTGGGGCCTCTCAAGTTTCCCACGGCAGCCGCAGCAATTTCGTCTGTAATAGACAAACTGTCGTTGTCATCCCCGATAATGTATCACTTTTTGCTGGGGATTATGTCATCTCAACCAGTGAAGAGATGTCCTACCGGCCTGACGTGAAGAGCGACTTGTGGAGGGCTCTTCGTGGAGTGGAGGGTCACCGATTTGGTGAGCGCTCCTGGAAGCACTCTGACAATGTCCAATTCACAGCACTGAGCAACGACACTTTTCATCCCAACGCCATCACTTCACTTACTTTGCTGCATTCGAGCCCATTGAATTGTCTTCACGCCCGTTTTCCAATCGTATTCATTGCAACCTGGGCTCTAGCGCTGGCCCTCTCCTTCCTACTTTGAGTTTCCTGACCACACTTCCTTCCCAACCCGGCACATTTTGTGTCAACACCAACTCCGCCACAAGACTTCCGCAACAACGACGACAACATATCAAGCCCAGACGTTGAGCCCTACACCCTGACAACAACAATACGAGGGCAGCAACAGGTCCATGCCATGTCTTCCTTGCGCCCCATGCTTGGCGTCTTTCGCACCCGGGCTCGCAACGCGTATGTACTCATCAGCCTGACAACAAGTCGCGAGTGCGACATGCTTCAACTCTTCATCCCTTGCACCCCCGGAGCTGTGGTGTTCCGACTTTGTCACAAGTATCGCAGACTTGTCAAGTGACGCATCAATTGCTATCGTTTTGAAACATCAGCCAATCCAACCCGAACTCGTTTGGCTTTCTCATACTCACACTCCCACTCCCACTCCGACCTCTCTGCCCCGCCCTATCTCAACCAGCCCAACTACCCCTCCATATTCGCCTGTCCCTTTGACTTACAACAGCCCCACACCTATACCACACCTGCACGATCACTTCAGAATTATGGATCTGAGCATCAGCTGACCTTGCATCCCAGCACCATGACCAGCGCGGCCTACACCGGAGGCAGCGAGGCAAATTCATTCGTCAAGGACACCACCCTTGATGACGACACTGGCAACGAGGACAACCTGAGCCCTCCACCCGAGTCTATGAGCGGCATATCTAGCGGCGATGTGGTCATGAATGAGGGGTCCCAGGATGAGATCGTCGTCGGTTCTGCCAATAATGATGGCACCCCCAAGAACGAGGCTCAGCCTGTCCCTTCTGAGAAGGAGGACTCCAGCATCATGGACATCGACCGAGACGAGAACAAGGCTGAACCTCCTACGTCTACCTACCCTAAGCGGAAGCGGTCTTATGTCTTTGGCGACCTTACTGAGGACAAGATGAACAAGAGCTTGCTCGCCGACGAGACAGACGACGAGGCTTCTCCTGTTCCAGGCCCTGCCACAGCAACCAGGTCGGGCAAGACCCCCCGTACAACTCATGGCCTTGCTAGCGTCAAGGGCGTGACCATTGGTTACTGGCGCGAGTCCAAGGCGCCGATTGGCGACAAGCATATTGTTAAGGGCTTTATTGATTCTCGCGATCGTCTCCGCACACGTGTCCAGCCCTGCAACCGCGAGGGAAAAGTTGTCACCGACCTGTACCCCCTTAATCCTGGACCGGGTGGCAGCTGGGTCACCTTTGAGAAGATCGTTTTTGACAACCACCTTGTGCACCTCGACCAAACCCAGGTCAAGGAGTATGTCAAGATCCGGTCCGACATGGACGAACCGGAGAGCGAGGTCGGTGCAAACGACACAGCTGCAGTCCAGCAGGCTATTGCCCGCTGCAAGGCCCGAGGCGCCCAGGTTGAGGGTGCCCAGCCGCCGCAGATTGCTTATGGTGTCGACATCCCCGACCACGCCCTTCACCGCCCCGAGAAGCGTCGTCGCACCGGTGGCCCGTCCTCTGCCAACGCCACCCCCGTTGCGAAGGCCACCAACGCCCAGTCGCACGCCCCGGTGGCTGATCTCCACGGAACTCGCCCTACGAAGATCCTCCTTGGTTTCTGGAAGGGTTCTGCCGAGCCCGACGACAAGGACAAGCACGCCGTCTTCGGAATCCTTGGCAACAATGACATGTTCCGTGTCAAGGTCGGCCGCGAGACTCGCGATGGCAGACCGCTACAGAGCAACTTCCCTTCGGGCGCGGGCGCACTATGGCTCTCTTTTGATGAGTATCAGATCGAAGATTACCTCGAGGGCCTCACCAGAATGGAGCTCAAGGAGTACTGTCGTGTTCGCCAGTACCAGATGGACCACGGCGAGCGGGCCGAGGAGAAGGATCAGAACCGCAAGGTCGCCATCGATGAAGCACGCGCACGAGTCGCTGCGGGCTTCACCAAGCCTGAGCCTAGGGAGCACCCCTTGCCCTCCAACGCCAACGGCAACCTCGGCGAAGGTCCCTACACTGAAGCTGTCCTCAAGCACGAGGCTCCTACTCATGAGACCCGTCAGGCCCACGCCCGCCGTTCGCTTCCGACTCTCGTGCCAAACCAGGCCCGTCAGTCCACGCAGCCTCCCGAGTTCCGCGCTGCCAATAGATCGGGTGGTGTCGAGTCCCGTACCAACAACCTCGCCGTCAACGCGGTCGCCCGCGCAGAGGCAAGGCAGACAAAGAACGACCAGCGCGAGGCTGCCTACATAGCCCGCCAGAGCACCGAGGGAGACGCAGAAGGAGATGTTGACGGTCAGTCCACCTTCCAGGACAACGTCTCCCGCCTGAACCGCGTCTGGGCTGCTCAGGAGGCCCACCGCATGCGAGCGAACAAGGAGGACGCCAAGATCTACATGGGCATTAAGTACGAGCGTAAGCAGACTGGCCCCTTCGAGGGCAAGCTCGTCTCCCAGGGAACCATCATCTCTATTGACGGTGAGGACTATGTGGAGTACCGTGTTCTTACCAAGCCCACCTTCTTCTGAGGCCCTGCCTTCGCCATTCTTTACTGGGTCTCGGCCATGAACATCTCTCAGGAAGTGGATCGAGCCTGATTCGCTCGATTGGTCTGTTCTCGAGGTCAAGGAAGTTTGACCACCACACCAGATCTCCGGCCACCTTGGTTTCCTCTCATGGGGTTTTTCTTTTTCGGCGTTTGGTCTACGGAACTAATACCCATCGGCATGCCCTGTGTTTTCCCGCGTGCATTTCTTCTTTTTACGACCTGGCCCTGTTCATGTTGAGGCGTCCATGTTGCCTCCTTCGCTTCCCGGTCTCCTACGGCGGCAGCTTCACTTTCGAGAAGGGGTTCTTTCTCTTTACGTCTCTTTTCGTCGCCGCGGTTCTCGACTCGATTCTGGATTTCTTTTTATCACGAAGGTTAGACGCAAAATGGTGCACACAAAAAGCAACCCCAAAAAGGCTCGGCCAGGATTTACTGGACTGGCATGGTCGCATTACCGGATGACTGTATTTGTACGGCACAAAGCGCCACAGCAGCCTTTTTCGACTTTGATGGACTTTCGTCTTGTCTCGTTTATCATGGAGGGAAGAGGAGACCTGTTTTCTTCAATTGCGACGAGTGGCTTCCTCGGCTCGGCTCCATCGGCACGCGGCTTGGTTTACTTCGTCTTGGGGACGTTGGTTCTTGAATTGGCAACGGTCCAGCTTCATTTCACCCTGACACGAGATTTTCGACTGGTTCCATGATGGTACATACTAGTGAGGGGGTTCACGAAAATTATGCTTGTCGGACAGACTTGGACAGACAGGAGGCCGGGCTGGCCATTCACCGTCGAGATTGGCGTCTTGCACTGGATGGTAGTGGAGGAGGCCTTGATTATATCCCTCTCGAGAACAAAAGAAAAGATGCGGAAAATGGAGAGAAGAGGGCAATGAAAATAGCGACAGAGGGGGATACGAGGTGCGTGGGCGATACCGAATTGAGCCTCGATGGACATAGGCTTTGATGATCCAGTTCCGGTCAGATAGACCGACTCCTTGCAGATAGATACGCTGCCAAAAGTAATGATGAAATCAGCAGTTTTACTCTTCTTTCTTTTGCTCATGTCCTGGGTGGAGTAGAGTTGGGCCTTTTTACAACCACGTCTAAATCCAATAATGAGGACAAACTTGCATACTACCAGGGGCTACTTTCGTACTACTCACAAAATGGAAAGCTAGCAATTGTGTCCCCACGAAATTATTATTTTTCTCAATTCATCTCTGGTATCTCTATAATGCAAACTTTTCATCTATGGACAGGGCAAGGGAATCTCATGTAGCAAGGCTGTCAATTTATGTCCGAAACCGCGTCATGACGACGCCGCCGGCGCATCAGCCTTCTCTCCCTCCTCGTAGCCCTCGACCTTCATGTCATTGAGTCCCAGCTCCTCCTCCTCCTCGTGCGTCCGGTCGTACTCCTCGACCGTCATACGGTCGTCGGGCTGGCTCGGGTCGTCCGCCAGGCTCTGCACGTAGCTGCTAGCTAGTGGGTCGACCAGCACGATGGTGAACTCGCGCTCGCCCTTGATGGCGGCGTCGAGGCGCTCGAAGAAGAGGTCCCACTTCGTCTTTTCCTCCGAGGCGAGAGAGTCGCCACCGCCGCTGCCACCTTCTGCGCCGCTCTGGAAGATCTGGCCGTGCAGGTCGCCGCGCACCTGCGTCAGCAGGCCCTCGACTGTCGTGAAGCGGCCGCCCAGGGTGCCCGGGGTGACGTGCAGGTCCAACTCCGGGCACTCGAGGGCGCAGCTCTCGCTCTTGAGAATGTCGCGGGCGAGGTCGGTCTGGTCCTTGACGCGAAGGGTGATGCGCTTGCCGCGGGTGGGCACCTCACCGCCGGTCTTAACGTCATTGCTTCGGTAGCCACAGTCCTCACAGACGGTGCTCATGAGCACGACCTGCTTGAAGTGTGGGATGTCGACCATCTTCATATGTGTCACGCACGGGTGCATGCAGCCTGGGCAGCTCGCAGGAAAGCTGTACACCTCGTCGGGGAGGATATCGTCATTCTCACCCAGCCGGCCCTGGCCCCCCAGCGGGATCGTGCCATCGCCGCTGACCGCCGCCGTGTCCGAGAGGCCCAGCGCCTCGTTCTGCTCCGCCGTGCGCACGTACTCGCGCTTCGACCACTTGCCCACGCCGTCCTGAAGGTCGGGGGCGATCCAGCTGTTGCCGGCCGGGTCGTCCACGTACACCCGGAAGGGGAACGCCTCGCCGGCGACCATAGCACGACCCTTGGCGATGATCTCGGCCACCTTCTCGTATACCTCGGGCGACTGTGCCTTGCGTGTCTCCTGGCCGAACTCAAGGTCGTCGATGATGTTGGTCAGGAGGCCCTCGACGTTGGTGAGCTGGCCCTTGCCCGCGGGCACCTCGAGGTCGAGCTCGATAAACTTGACGGTCGCGGAGTCGGACTTGACAATCTGGCGGGCAAAGTCGGGGAGAGCGGTGAGTCGGAGCTCGTAGTGTGTGCCTTTTGGCTGGACCGAACCGGCCGCTTGTATCTCGGTGTTCTTGAAGCCACAGTGGTCGCAGGAGAAGGACATGAGGATGATTTCGCGGAAATAGGGAATCTTGGTGAGGAGGAGGCGGGTGATGCCCTGGAAGGGAAAAACAAATCAGTTCCAGTCTGCCTCTGAGCGGACGACCTGGGGGAAGAGACAACTTACATTGTCGTGACAGTTCATGCAGAGCGACTCGATTTCCTCGACCGGCTTCACGTCGTCGCTGTCGGGCTGCTGCGTCGCGCCATTGGTGGCGGGGGCGACTTGGTCTACCTGCTGGCCGATGGAGCGGAAGTACTCGTTTGAAGAAATGACATTGGAGTCATTGCTCTGTGCTTGGTCCGAAGAAGACATTGTGCCGTTTTGACCCGTCAAAAAGTAAGGATGGTGGAGTCCTGCGTTGCAAAATGATGGGCCTTGTTGTTTGCGATCAAAAAATTTGGAGGGGCAACATAGGCATTATTAGTATCCAAGAATCTGGATGATGGCGGGGTGGAAATCCTCGGGTAGCTTATGTCATAGGCAGGCATGCGTGGGGGAACCTTCTCGCGACTGCCCGTTCGCTTGTGAGTCTCGGCCGAGTGGCGCTGGCGCTGTGCTTGCTCTGAAGCAGGTGCAAATTGGGAGCCTGCCGGCTTGGGGATAGGCGAGCCGGTCCTAATTGACGGCGCGAGATGGAGTTCTCTAAGCCAAGCATCTAGACATCTCGCCGGCCTGACTCATATTATTTCTTCATGAAATCAGACAGGCTTAGCCCGAGGCCTGAAGAGGGACTGGAGCGCTGTCCGGATCTCTGATCCAGCAGGGCCTGCAGGCCGGCCTTGCGGTTCTTTGCTCGCTTCTTGCTGCTGGCATTGGCAGACATTCTTGCCGGTTCGGTGGGTGCAGCTGGGCGCTGCTCCTGTGGCGCCTTCTGCTGGTCCACCCTCTTTCTCCTGCCCCTAGCCTTGAGAGGCTTGGGAGGAGGCAGTTGCAACTTGGTGTACCTGCTGCAGTTACCGCAGGTGAAGACCTTGAATATCCCTGGCTTGTGCGAAGAGGAAGGTGCGGCAGCTGGTGGTGCGCCTTGGGTTTTGGGCTGCTTCTTGATCCTGCCCTTGAGCACCCTGTCTGCCCCGATTTTGAGTTCAGTTCCTTGGCCCGGGACCATGATATGTCCACAGCAGCTGCAGACATGTTGGCGTTGGTGGTCAGTGACGGGCACATCATGGTCGACCAGGAGCGACGTGCGCTTGCTCATCAGGAAGGCCGAGGTCTCGGGAGACGAGGCAGACAGCAGATGGGCCGCGTCGGTCAAGAACTGCAGCTGCGGGCCCAGCTCTGAGGATACCATCTTGGAGTTGTGCAAGCGAGTAGGTGAGCTGAGGTGGCTCTGTCTGCAGTGGTGTTGACGGCAGTACTGCACACGGGAAAGATTGAGGGTGATTTGATTTCAAGCCAAGAAGTCAGGTGTGGAGCTTGGCCGGTGCGGGTACCCGGTCGTTCCTAGTGCAAATACAACAGCGGCCAGGCAATAGGGGCCGAATCCAACAAGGTTCTCGCTCTCTTCCTCCCTCTCTCTCAATGTATGGGCGGCCTGGTGCTTTATTTAAGCTGCCGACTCAACCTATACAGCCAGTTGTAAAATAAATATACTCCATAATGGCTGTATGTTGAGTTGTCTTGTCACGGTTGCCTGGCCCAGTGTCTCGTCTGAGGAGTGTTTATTTGGACTTCTTCATTGTGATGTCTCCATGAGGCTCTCTCTGATACAACCTGATCACGGTGCACCAGCTCAATCTCTTCATGACCTCTTGATCTCCCACTTGATGTCCTTGATGCTGACCTCGTCCCCAGCCTTCTCATCGTAGTCGAACCACTCGCCCTCAGACAGATCAATGCCAGTGAACTTGGTTCCGGACTCAATGCCCTCCGCCAGCCATTCGCCCTGTTTCCGACACATGTCAGCATGTCTCCGATTTTGGTAGAGGAAAAAGCTCCGTACCTCCGGCTTGAAGTCGGTGAACTCGAGCCCGCGGCAGTCGAACTCGAGGATGTTCTTGGGTTTTGCCGGCTCCGACTGCTCATAGGGAACGGGAGCTGCTTTGATGGTTGCCGACGATTCGCGCTGGGCGCATGTTGTGTCAGTGAAACCTGCCTCTGACTGTCTCTCCGCCTCCTCGTTCCCATCCCTCTTCTGCAGCGGCTCTTGTGACGAAAGCTCTTTCTCATCTTCTCATACCTTGCAGTTCTTGCACTTCCAGACAAAGTTTGCCTCGCCCCGACTACCACTCATCTCGTTCATTTCCTGGCAGCGAGGTCAGCAGGTTGGTAAGTTGCGCCGACGAGGGCGGGAGGAGCCGGTGCAGGATTCCTAACGCACAAATCGATTCACCCCGACCCAGTTCGCGTGCGTCTCTCTGCATGACGTGCACTGGACCTTGAAGGTGTACCAGAAGGGGTTCCCCTCGGTGTCATCTGGCCGGAGGTTGGTCACTCTAGAGGGGTGTCAGTGAGATGGTTGTCTGTCTGTCTGCTGTGTCTACTCACCCGCCCAGCTCAGCCGTCGCGCTGAGAGCGTACATTTTGGGGTACGGCTTGGTTTCTTTGCTGCATGTATGTGCTTATTAGATGAGAAGTAACATACAGCAGTATTCGTTTGAGGAGTACTGTACTGACCCTGTTTGACCGTTTCGCAAGTTATTCTTGCAGTCGACGCTGTTGTGGCTGGTGGGGGTATCGAACTGCAATTGTGATGGCTATTGCTGCAGAGCATATCCTATCTACACACAACCCCTCATAGTGGCGCCAGATATGCGGAGGGGTCTCGTAACAGAGACAAGGGGGGTCTGGCGCACTGCAGTGCAGCCGGGAATTTGACGTGCATCCACCCAACTGTGCACCTGTCAATCATCATCGTTGCCACCACGCCGTTCTGCGACCGCGCACACCCGACCCGCCGCCACCTCCGCCGTCCCCTCCGTCCGGATCGTCAACCCAAGCAGCAGCCGGTGCGTGCCTCCGCAATGCCTCCGGTATGCTACCGACTTGGTCTCGAGCTGCTTCAGCTCACGTTTGCAGCTGCAGAGCCTGCGCACACGCCACTGGCCCCCCAATGAGACCCGCCGCCGCCGCCGTGAACCGTCTACGAAAGCCACGATTTGGCGACGTTTCCGCGGCTTGTTATACCACAGTACGCGGCTCATCAGCTGTCCCCGACCCCCGGTACAAGGATGCGCGGCGCACGACACTGCGCACGACGCTGCGTGGGAACACTGGCTCCTCACGCGACGGCCTGGCCCTGTTGCGCCGCCTGTCGTCCTTATCTGCCAGCGAACAAGATGCCGAGGAGCGCGCGCCTTCGACAGGTCAGCGGCCTAGCGCTTCCATGCGGCCTCGTCCGCTCGGCAGAGACTCCATAGAGATCCTGAGCTCCATCTGCAAAACAGACGATGCCCTCATACGCCATGCCGAAAGCAGACCCACCTTCGAAGAGTTCATCCGAAACATGCACAAGACTTACGACCCAGCGAAAAGGCTAGGGGACCCAGCCTTCAAGAGCATGGGGCCAAACTTCGAGATGATTGCCGAATCCATCAAGGAGGAATCTCAGCCGGGTGGCATCCTTCATCGCGAGCCTCTGACGAATCAGCAGTTCGAGCGATACCACGGCATGATGAACAAGCTTGTCGACTCGTTGATCATACAGTCTTACTATGACGAGACTCCGTCCGACCCTGAGTATGCTCGCAAATCTCTCCAGAGCTTGGACTCGGCCTGGACAGCCATCCGCCTGCTCCGTTCCGAAGGATACCCTCGTTACAACCACCCAGGACTCGACCCGGCAGCCGCAGAAGAGGGGCGTACCAAGCTCACAGACATGTTGCGGAAACTGTTCGATTCGTGGGACGAGTTTACACGCTCCAAGTATCAAGTGGCCAAAATCTGCTACAACTTGCTTGTCTGTCCGGTACCGCCCAGCATCCACCATTATAATGCCCTTATCCTGGGCTTCACACGCAAGAGGATGCACAATCTTTCGGACCTAGTAGTGGAGTCTCTTCTCGACGAGAGCCGTCTACGCCCAACTCCTCAAACCGTTGCCTGCTTGCTGCTTCACTATCGCCAGAAAGACGACATCCTCGGCTTCTATGGTGTCATACGCCGGATGCTGGCCATTGATAACCGTGGCCTGCTCATAAGGCGGCGCTGGTATGAGGAAGCAATCCAGATCCCAGACCTGCGCAAGTGGGCCAAGGGGCCCGAGGTCAGGACTTCTTTGAAGGGTAACTGGGTCATTGAGATGCCGATGAGGAACCGAGATATATACGAAACTCTTGTCTCTGGGCTCCTGCATTTCGGTCGTGTCAAGGACGCTGCCAAGGTCTTCGTGGCCTCGCTCAAGGAGAAATGGGGCATCAGTGTCGAGCTTTTCATCCAGCTGCTAAGGCAATGTCTTTACACGCTGGATGCCCCAGCGGCGGACATCCTCCTGCGCGGCTTCGTTGAGAACGCTAGGGTGATGAACGCCCTTGTTCTCCGAGCGAACTGCCCAAGGAAACTGGCGGAGCACCTTTACCCACTGTTGAATATGGGCCAACCGCCGAGTTGGCCCTTCTCGGAGGAGCGCGCCCGCCTGTTATGGCACTCCAAAACCCTGGCGACCACCGCCGAGGACCGGACGAGCATCCGGCGACTCACAGTTGCCATGTTCATCAGGCAAGCCGAGAACCACCTCTTGAGACTTGACAAAATCATTCGCCGCCTGGTGCGCATAAAACACACTTCGCTAGGCCCGCGGGATGTGATCGATTGCGCACAAATGGGAATGAGGGAACTTTTGTCCGTCTCCCTGCACAACCGCGAACTGGGCGCGACCCTGTTGAAGCACCAGGCGCTCCTGAAGATAGCCACAGAGCTGGAGGAAAGGACGTGGGACGTCCTGCCGGGGACTACGGCGCAGCTGTACCGCCGTGTAGTGCTCGCCCTGGAGTTCGCCATCCCCGGGCCGACGATGCCGGGGATCTGGGAGCGCTTCAAGCACGACGAGCAGATCACCCTGCTGGCGACCCAGTGGATGCGGTACCGGCTGAGCAAGATGCACGGGCTCAGGAGGGAGGTGCAGCGGACCACGCTTGATATCGAGCTGAGACTCATGATGGCCCGGCGGCTGCAGGGAGCCACCCGCCGCATACTGTTCAGCTACGGTGTGAGAAGTCTGAAGTCGCCCGTGGACAACTTCACCCGTTGGGAACTGGTTCCACCACTGGATGACGAGATCAACATTGAAGAGGCGACGACCGATGCCCAGCCAGAGGAGGCTGATTTGGAGGACGAGTTGCCGGCTTGGGCTCCTGGCCCGGTTGTATCCACTGCCTGACCTGTGGGCATCGGGTCGATGCCCCATGAGCACTCTTTTCCCCTCGGGAGAGGGTGTGGCAGTGGCTGCCAGGCCTATGTAATCCGTTATAGATCACACGTACAGTTTATGTAGACTAGACATATACCACACATAGAAACAATGTATATACAAAGCACCAAAACGCAATTGTCATGGGCGGCCGAGCACATCGTAGCTGCGGTCAAAGTCTATGACGGCCTTTTAGGAATACGTGTTGGCTGAGTTCTACCCAGGACGATGACTTGCCAGTGCTCCCTTCGGCCTCTTGGATGATAAAGAGACCGAGATTATATCTGAATATGTTATTGTACACGTAGTATTGCTGTTTGAGCTCATGAGGACAGATTCAGTATGTTGAATATCGCTACGAGATGTTGGCACAATGGACTTGTTGATATTGACAAGATTGCGTGAGATGAGTTCTCGTTGATGATGCCCTCGTCTTCCGGCATCTTGATGAAGTATGGCATAAATAGTCAAGAAGTGGACGGGAAAATAAACGAGACAGATGTTAGCTTGGAAATACAATTTTGAGTGGTTATGTATTTGCGGGTAGGCGCCAGGGCGAGACATACCTAGGTACCTAAAGGAGCATGTCGACGGAGAAAGCCCGCGTCCCGATCACCATCTCCATTGTGAGGTAGCTTCATGTTCCATTGCATGTATCCTTGCCACACCGGGTGGATATGCGCCTTACAGTGCGAAGCTTGTAGAAATCTTACATCACCTCCGCCGCTCTGGTGCATGCGGCGCAGCAGTCAGCACCAACTGAGCAACTCAGTGCTTCTCAGATCATGACGGTCTCTCAGACTCGGATCTGGGCCCAGATATTTCACAGACGAAGGACTGGATTCGAAGCCCACATCGCGAATAAGTTTTACCCGGCCTGTTTTATTGTCTTGGGTCTTAGGCCACCAAACCACTGACACTGAAATCCAACCTCGGCATGCCTTCTAAGCAACCCCTCATCGTCATCGTCCCTGGGGCCTGGACTCCCCCAACAGCATATCACAAACTTGTTACTCTCTTGGAAAATGCTCCTTACAATTTCACCGTTCACAGTCCTGCGCTTGCGTCCAACAATGGCGCTACACCTCCCAACTCCTTCGAGGCCGATGTGGAGGCTGTAAGATCGGCTATCGAGCCTCTCGTCACGGCGGGAAACGTCACCCTCATCATGCACTCCTACGGCGGAGTGGTCGGATCCAGCTCCATCGCCAGACTGACCAAGAAGGACCGTCAGGACAAGGGCCTTCCCGGTGGCGTCTCACACCTGTTCTACATCAGTGCGTACATGCTGGCCAAAAGTCAGAGCGCGTGGGACATTCTGGTCCAGGCCGGCGGTGACACCCCCGAGCGTCGGACGCTGGTCGAGTTCAAGGACGACGGCACGTGGCTCCCGACAGATGCCATCTCGGGTCTGTACCATGACCTCGAGCCTGAGGACCAGGAGGAGCAAAAGGCGGGAATACGGCCTCATTTCTTCTCGGCGCTGTTGGGCAAGGCGACATATGAGCCGTGGAGGGACGTTCCCAGCACATACATTTACACCGAGCAGGACATCTGGGTTCCGCCATCATTCCAGGTAAGATACCCCAACTGCGAACGGAGAAGAACATGCTAGAGACTGACTCTGGTCCCAGGATATTTGCCTGGCCAACGCCAAAGACGCAGGGGTTCATGTCGATGTCCACAGGTTCCCGTCGGGGCACGCGGCGTATGTCAACCATCGTGAAGAGATCGCGGCGCTAGTTGGCAAAGCTGCTGGCTCTTCCTAAGTCTTTTCGGAGAAAATTTTGCCAACTTCCATCCCAAATGAGGCGGAAATAGACATAAAACGTCCGACGGATGAATGCCTTGTATGGGGCAGCAGCTTGGATGGAAGGATGCCGCGAGGTCTCATATATCAAGGTGGTAAAGCACATGAGGCTTTGATCCTGAAACCGTGTACACGCAATCGTCACAGTTTGCCGTCTTTGTAAGAACAAGGACGAGAAGCTTTTGAACCGAGTGTTGAGTATGGAATGCTGAGCCTCCAGACTATGGCTGACCACCTTGCCAGACGGCTGCCCAGGTGCAGAATGCTCAAAGAAGCGAACCTTGAGGGCATCTTTCGCGCCTCGTGACGTATCGACCACGCGCCTCCTGCCATGCCTCAAAGGTTAGACAGTTGAACTCGTCACCCTTGCTTCAAACATCCCTGCACCTGCCGTCTTCAACCTCAGTCGGATGAAGTTCTCTCTCCCATTACGATATCATGTTTTCCTAGAAGCCCCTTTGTCTGTTCAGAAACACCAAGACGTAGTGTTTCATGAGCGAACAAGGGATGATCCGGCTCCAAGTCCGATCCACCATAGGCGTCTTCAAGTACCGATGGCAGCGGGAGCCCACCCACACACAATCTGCGCGAACATTTTCTGCGCGATCTCTGTGGAAATATAATTGAGCATCGCTCCAGCTAGAACCTCACGATGCCAGCTTTCGAGAACGCTCACAGATCATTTGCCAAATGTGTTGCTAGAGTCTGTCATGAGATCAACTCCACGGTATGGCTGTCCGTCGCATGGGCCTGTGTCTCGTATTGCAATCCTCACTTGTGGATAGTTACTAGTGCTGACCTGTTTGCTTGCATTTGGAAGGAGCGGAGATTCAGATAAATCATGGGGAAACGAAGAGTTGTATTGGATGAACATCGTAGAATCCTCCCGAAATAAATCAAGCGACTTTTACATGGCGCCCTGGGCACAATGAAATACATGCCATATTGGATGAAACCATTTCACGGACTCAGTTGCATTCGCATGACGTCTAAATTTGTTGTCTAGGCATCCTACGCGTCTTGAATTTAGTGTTATTGTTTCCAGTGCGTGACTGCAGGCACCGCTTCCTACGACATCATCAATTCTGCTCCCACTCTCGTCAAGTCGCTAGTGGTCACTTCTACTTTTCGACTTCATCATGGTCCGCACATGAAAGAAAGACTACAGCGAGCCGCTGTCGCGGCAGAATAGCGGTGTGAAAGCAGGAACGTGCTACGTTGGCAAACGGCGCCGCAACGTGGTGTTCGCCAAATTCAAAGAGCTGCCCTGCGAACTCCGCTTGATGATTTGGGAAGCATCCATGACGCCTCGTCTCGTCCCTGTTAAACTCAAGCCATGCCACGAAGGTTCGAAAGACGGAAGGAAACGCGAAGATCGCCAGAGCAGCCCCATTCAAGGCTTCCCGGCTCTGCTCGCAGTCAACCAAGGAGCCCGATCCATCGCACTCCGCCACTACACCTGGAGGCTTAACCTCGATATCAGCATTACCTACAGAGAAGATGGTGTCTCCAATGTTGAAGACGAGGTCGAGCATCGGCGTGCGCGTGTCGTTATGTCACCTGACGATACCCTTGGTCTCTTTCGCTGCAAACTGGAGACCGGGCGAGAGGTGTGGATATCAGAGTTTGATGTCCAGGTTGCGAACCACGAGGGAAGCCCGTGGAGCATCCACGAGACCACTGATTCACCACAGCATGGGTTCAAGAAGGTGGCAATGTTGGGAGACGCCATCGAGTCAAACCCCAACATCGTCAGGGCTCTCAACGTCACTCTATGGGACCTGGACTCAGTTCTTCACAGACCATCTGCTAGAATGAGAACGGCATGTTCGCCCTACACAAAGCACAAAATCTTCGTTGATACCGTCAAAATGCCCACAAGCTCTCGGTCTTCGTCAATGTTTTCGTGGGGCAATTAAGGACGCCTTTTACAGAACAGGAAAGGTTGGGGCCCCGGTCTCTTGACCTATGAGCTTCAGGATGGTGAAAAAGGTGCAGAAGATTGGAAAGGACTTCTGGCGATGCTCTCTCCACGGTATCACCCGCTTCAATCCTACCAATGATTGCGCCAATTTTTGCTATCATTGCTCACTATGGATGTAAGGTGACCAGCGGCAGAGTTGGTCTGTCACACGGGGAGATGTCAGCCTCCTCTTGTCAGGTGGATGAGTCGACCGAATCGCCACAGCTGTCGATACAGACATGGGGCGGCGGACTCGGTCCCAGGGCGCTAGTCCATTGTGACCATGGAACACAAGATCGCAATGGCGGTTGGCATCAGTAAACCAGAATGCTATCGTTCAAGCCATGCTGACTCAATGTTCGGTAATATTCATTTGCCGATGCTCAGTTTCCATGTTCGCCCCTTTCCGGCCCTTGCTCGCAGATGGCAAGGAGCAATGGCGTCCCTAATCTAGTGGTGGTGTGTCGCGATGCCCACCAACTCTGAGTAAGGCCTTGAGCATAGCTGGATACTCAGATAGGCAGGACGTCAATTCAAGTTTGATTTTGGAGTTGTTGAACTCCCGGCAAAAGACTTTCGGTCTTTTCGTTGGGAGTGCCTCTAGGAGCGAAGAAATATCGACCCACCAAATTTTGACAGACATTTGCTCGCCGGCAATTGCCTGCTGATTGTTACCAATGGCACGATTGAGAACATCACCCACAACGGAAAGCTCTCCAAACCACTCACCCATAAATACAAACAAACAATTGCAGAGATTGAAATTAGCAATTTGAGAATCTGAAAATTGTCGTTCTTTTGCTTCTACATTTCCCCACATGCTGCGTGCGTAGTACTAAGCACCATGCAATTTTTTCAACTGTCCGATATGCGGCGACCCAACGGCTCACGAAGTGATGGAACCCTGGTTTCAACCCATTCAATAAATGTCAATCAAATCTCTACACCTGCCGCTTTCCACGTGACCCTCAGAATAGTCCGAATCTGCTCAACCCTGACGTGGGTATCCTGCCGTGTAGCCAACGGCGTAGCACTCTTATCAACATTCTTGATCTGCCTGCCATTGACGGGCAGCTGCGCAAGCCTCGCATATGCCTCATCCGTTACTTTGCTTTCCGCTGACTGAGCCACGAACTGTCGCCATATGTGCTCTCTCGCACAGGGCTGCAGGTCCGGGTATTGTAGCGTGAGGTGGATCCTGCTCTGCGGGGCCCGGTCGATACTCTCCGCGCGGTTGGAGGTTAGGAGGAGGATTCCGCGGTAGTACTCTAGGACTTGAAAGTTAGTACATGATTAGGGCGAGACGGTCCAGGTACCCATAACATGAGATACATATTCGGCCCTGTATCGATCTACATTAGTTCAATTGGCTGCTGCTTACTCGAGAAACTCGGTGAGCGTTTATTACTGTATGAAGGGACTGGATGCATATTGCTTAAGAAGCATATGTATACAGATTAAAAATGAGACCACTTACTCGAGAAACGCTGCAACAATTTCTTTGTGATCAAGGCGGCTCTTGGAACGCTCCTGAAGGAAGACGTCGCACTCATCGAAGAGGAGCACGGCGTCTCACTTCTCTGTAAGTTCGAGGATGCTGTTCAGGCGCGTCTCGACCTGTTCTGTGGTCTGGCTAAGCTCGCTTGCGCCGAGGACGTCCAACGGCTTTCTGAACCTTGTCAACTGCGATAATGTAATTGTATGACATTGTGAACACATTTAGAAAGCAACGTAACTCACCGATACTGGCACTCTGAAGTTGGTTCAGAAGGGGCGAGGCTGTTGGCTCCTTCCACGGTTGTCGTCGACTAACAAAACGGAACAACCGCTCACGCCTGGCTGTCTTGCTCTGATGAGGTCCGTCGACAATTGAATTAAGTCCCAGGCGGAGGCTTATAGAGTTTAACAAGACACATTTGTTCCGCGAGTCACTGTGCTCGGTGGTGCTTGCTGCGGGCAGCCTGACGGAGTTGTACATGTGTGCCGTGTCCGTACAGAGCTCCAATGAACACCGCGATGCTAATTCCTGAGTGCTCGCAAGGGCCTTCAGACTCCTTCATGTTCAACACCAATAATTGCGCGCCAGAGGAAAGGGAAAATAAGTCACTCTTTCTCGCCCTTGCCGAAAATAGCCAGCGCCATAACCCTTTGCGAAGACTGTGTATGTGAATCATCATGGTCGATGCAGACTCAGCGACTCGCTTGATGCTTTCCCGTGAGGACCTGTGGTAAGAGCTCACCGGTTGGTCAGCCTGAGCTGTGACATGATCGCACATTTTAGTCGTTGCACATACGAGTGCAGTAAGCACAGGTGATCAAGCACGGGTGCTTCGTCATGATGTAGTTCTCGTCACGCCACGATTGTGTACTGTCAGGCTCCACCCTGAAGTGTCCTATGGACCGATGTACTGCGAAGCCCTCAACACTGATGCGATCCACATGAAGCGAAGCACTTGTTAACAGGATGTTTTTCACACGTTCACACTTCCTGACGGCTTGAGTTGATGCTGTGTCCCATCTCTCTTGCTTCTTGCATGCTCTTTAATTCATACGACGTCATCTTTTCCTACAACAGTCACACCGGACGGCACTTGGCAATTTCGCCTCGTCGGTTCTCTTCGAGGTAGCCCTATCTGAATGACTCCATACCCTTGCTTTCACTGCTACTTGGACCCTGGCTTCTGTTCTGAGGGCCCCAGGATTTGGGATGGGGCCACTCTTCACCGTCCCTTGCACTTACTCAATTGCCGAGTCAGCACAAGAATAGCGATCGGGATTCTCGGGTCCGAAAGGGTCACGGACAGGACCAGACCATGGGCGCACTCAAGCGCAAGAGCTCCTATAAGTTGAACATCCTCAGCTGCAAGATCAGGTGTAGTTAAATAGCTCGCCGTGCAATATTTGAGGCGCCAGTGATCAAATAAACATCGGCAGGGTTATGAGGCTGCTGCTGATAATTGTAGTCTTTAGGCTCTCGGGTGTCGGGCGTATGCACATGTATCGATGCGGCGCCAAGGCCGGGGTGCCGAGGCGAGTAGACGGCGGTCGTGGATGAGGCCACTCAGAGGAGTTCATTTCCTTTGGTGATGTATTAAAGGCTTATTGAGAGAGTCCAATTGCTCGTCTACTCTGTCCTGTACCAAGGGGAATGCACTATATTTCGAGGTGTTGAGTTGGCAATGCCTTGCCCCGAGTGGGTGGTGTTGGCGTGTGCATATCAAGCCGGGGTGGGGTGCGTCGGGAGAAGGGCTGAGGCTAACAAACTAAGGCAGGAACATTATGGGAAAAGCAAAACCGTAGATCTGCTTGGGGCACAGGGTCCTGCTTGGGGCATCAGGGGACCCGCATCTTCGTCCTGTCACTCGAGTCAGTCACGGTTAGTCTACTTGCTATTCTAAGGATTGTACACAGACACCAGCATCAACCAAGTCACGCAAAGGGTGTTACAATGCCGTAGCTGGAAGGAAGCGTGACGAAGCAGGTACAACGAAGTGGGATGCCCTAGGCCTGCCAGTCTCCTTTGACGTGCCCTTTGTTGCAGCCCCGAGCGCTGGACCCAAGGCCAGCTGTCAGTGGGCATGGGCACCCACAAATTGATGGAATCTTGCCGTTGGACCCTGAATTCCCCCCCTATTTCGTCACCATCCCGGTTTTCCGCTGCTGGGACGGCAAGAAAAGAGAGGGCACACGGGGGGTGTTCCTAGCCAGCGCGCGGGTAGTAGCGCTGTCCATGGTCCAGTTCCTTGGACAATCGTTTCCTGCCCGTTCTCCACCTCACCTCAGCTCGTCGCTCGTGGACGAACCCGTGACGACCGACGTGGAACAGAGGTAAAACTCTGGCCACATGTCCCGAGTAGCCATCCCTTGTCAGAGTCAGCAGCATCCACCGCGTCCAAGAATCAAATAAGAACGGCGCGGCGCAGTCTGGCTTTCCCCGGATCTCCCCCAGCCTTCCAGACGGCCGCGTTTGCTGAGGAACGTGTCTTTGTCCATCCGTTTCCATTGGCCAGGCTCCCGGACCGCTTCGACGTCACACCTCACACCCTATCTACTCGACCAAAAGGTCTCGGTTAGATCAACGCACCTTGCTGGCCGCGCTTCTGACCGCACCGGGCCTGTTTATTACTGTGTGTACACACAAACAACACTCATTTCTTTCGGCACAATTGACTGCGGACTGCATCAACTGGGTTGATCGATTGGTCCTCTCCACTGGGCTGCGGGAACGGCGGGAACGACGACGACATTACTGCAGGGTCATGACCGCCTGAGTACCCATTTTCAACCCGAGGCTTCTTCTCACAATGAAAATGCAGACTCTCGATTCCCTCTGAATTTCCCGCCTAGCTGGGCTTCACGGCCAGCCCGTCGCCAGCCTGCCACTACAGCAACAAATTGGCAGATATTCCGACGTCAGTAGCAGCCGCCTCGACCCATAATTTCCCTCAATTAAAACCTGTCACCAGCCTGGAGATATAAGTATCTGCCATTCGACTCGCCACCACACATTTCAACCCTCCCAGGCATACCCTGACCGGCACACGACTCGACCTTGACCAATCCGCCGATATGAAGTTTGGAAAGAAGTACGCTATGAAATGCCAAGCAATGCTATGCCCCATGTCACCCCGTAACCCCAGGCACTGAGATCTGAGACTGACATCCTTCACAGCTTGCCACGTAATCAGGTGCCCGAGTGGGCATCTAATTACATCGACTACAAAGGCCTGAAGAAGCTCATCAAGGCAGATGCCAGAGCCTCTCAGAGCGGTGAAAAGGTGGATCTTGCAGGTAAACATTTGGACCGCTCAACTCCCTCCCTGGTGGGCTGAGCCCAGTCGCCTAACCAGTCGGAAACAGAATTCTTCTTCGCCCTGGACCGGAACCTGGAGGATGTCGACTACTTTTACAACAAGAAATTTTCGGACGCCTGCCGGCGGTTGAAACTCCTCCAGGACCGCTATGGTCAGACTTCCGACGTATCCGACCTGGACGTGGACGAGACCGAAGAGCTCATGGGCGCCCTGCTCGAGCTTCGGTCCCAGTTCAGGAAGCTGCAGTGGTTCGGCGAGATCAATAGGCGTGGTTTCGTCAAGATCACCAAGAAGCTCGACAAGAAGGTCCCTCATTCGGCCACCCAGCACCGGTACATCGCCACCAAGGTCGACCCGAAGCCTTTCGCAAAGGATAATACCCTTGCTCGGCTCCTGAACGACATTAACAAGTGGATGTCCGCAGTGGGTGATGCCCAGAACATAGAGGACAACCGCTCTGAGAGATCCATCAGGTCTCTGGGACGAGCCTCCGCCAAGGCCATGCTCACCGTTCCCTCTTCACTCTTGGATCAACTGGACCAGGCCATCCGGGACAACAATGTGGAGGCTTTGAAGAGCCATTTGAAACAAGCCAACTTGGTTTTGTCGGACCCGCCAGCCCAAGGCTTACTACACAACCTCCTGCAGAGATCGATTTCCGCCCGGTCGAAGGATTCTATCGAGTTCCTCCTTTCAAACCTCAAGACTCTGGACGAGGCAGATGACATCAACGAGCGGAACTGTATCCATCGGTTGGTCATCCACATCGGTCGTACTAAGTCTGCCAACGCAAGGGAATCCGATTCTCCAGCCTATCCCTTCCCTGCCGGCAACCATTATGCTTCCCAGTACATTACCCCAGCTGCTTCACCTTCGGCATCCCCGGACTCTCGCCATGTGAAGGAGACCAATCTCCTAGACAAGGACGACGAGGCTGTCCAGGTACTTATCTTCCTCCTGGATAGGCTCAGCGAGGATCAACGGCCAGCACTGAGTACTAGGGATTCCTTTGGCCGCCTGCCTCTTCATTATGCTGCCCAGTTTGGTTTCGTCGTGGTCTGCCAGATCATCATGGCCAAGATGCAGGAGTGGGGTCAGTTCAATGTTGAAGACGGCATCGATGCTGAGGACTGGCAAGACAAGGAGGGCAATGCGCCACTCCACCTCGCTGTCATTGGTGGCCACCCTCTGACGATCCAGGCTCTCCTCCAGGGTGAAAACTGGCAGGGACCTAGCGAAGACAAGCTGGCCAGGAGACGAGGCATCTCCAAGTCCAGCGCTGTGCTGGCTATTGCCACAAAGTCCAACTTCAAGACAATTGTCAGCCTTCTTGTCGAAGCCGGTGTGGATATCAACTGGCAGGACAGCTCGGGGGAGACGGCACTCCACATCGCCTCTAGATTCGGCCATGACGAGTGTGCTCGAATTTTGTTGCAAGGAACCGAAGAGCAAAAGGCCAACCTGGAACTTGTCGAGAAGAATTTCAACTGGACGCCACTCCATATTGCAGCCGTTGATGGACACTTGTCTGTCGCCAAGCTACTGATCGAAGCCGGCGCTGACGTCGACAAGATCGATTCCTCTGGGTGGACAGCCAGAGAACACGCCGCGTTGAGGGGCCACCTCGCTCTCGCTGATCTGCTCAAGGAGAACAGCCATGTGAACGACGCTGCCCTCGCAGCTCAAACCAACGGTGATGGGCAGTCGGCTACTAGCGGGGGCTCGCCTCCGAAAGTGGAATCTCTCGAGGACCGTCGCTCCAAGGTAACTACGCGTGTCGCTGACCCGGTCAAGACCTTTGGGCATCGTTATCTCAAGGACGAGAGCCTGGTCCTGGTCAGTCTTGGCTCTATGGACATGAGACGGGACGTCGACGCTGTCAAGCTGGACCGCGTGCCCCTCAACGAAGCCCACACGACACAGCTCGATACCGCACTGTCAGTTGTAGTATCCGCCAATGGTGCCCAGGGCGAGCCTACCATCATTGACCTCCCTGTGCATGAGAATATCTCCACCGAACCCATTGTGTTCACCACAAAGGATGCCAGCAAAGTCAAGCTGCTGTTCGATATCGTGCCAACCTACTCTGGTAACGAGAAGAACAAGATTGGCAGAGCTGTGGCGCTGTTGTCCAGCATCCGGCCTTCTGTCGGATCCAAGCGGATGAACCTCCAGGGCGACGTTTGTGTGCCGGTTGTTTCGTCAAGCACCCTGGAAGTGATCGGGACCGTCAACTTCAACTTCCTGGTCGTCACGCCTTTCTCACACCCGAACATGGAGGTTACCTCGGAGCAGACCTACTGGAAAAAGCTGGCCTCAACCATGGTCATTGGCCACCGCGGCCTGGGCAAGAACAATACGTCCAACAAGTCCCTCCAGCTCGGCGAGAACACCGTGGAGTCGTTTATCGCAGCCGCTAACCTCGGGGCCAACTACGTCGAATTCGACGTGCAGCTGACCAAGGACCATGTTCCCGTCATCTACCACGACTTCCTCGTCAGCGAGACCGGCATCGATGCCCCGGTGCACACGCTCACCCTTGAGCAGTTCCTGCACATCAACCCGGACGCGCGCCGCCTCAACGGCAAGGACATGTTCAACCAGCAGCTGCGGAACATGCGTAGCAACAACGAGATTCCGGGGCCGAGGCAGCGATCCATGTCGGTAGGCTACGGCGTGGGCGACGCCCCGACGGCCGACGAGCGCATGAAGCACACACGCGACTTCAAGGAAAAGGGCTACAAGGGCAACTCGCGGGGCAATTTCATCCAGGCGCCGTTCGCGACGCTCGAGGACCTGTTCCGTGACCTGCCCTCGGGGGTGGGCTTCAACATCGAGATGAAGTACCCGATGTTGCACGAGAGCGAGGAGCACGAGATGGATGCGTACGCGGTGGAGCTCAACAGCTTCTGCGACACGGTCCTGGCCAAGGTGTACGACCTCGCCAGGGACAGGCACGTCATCTTCTCCAGCTTCAACCCAGACATCTGCCTGTGCCTGAGCTACAAGCAGCCCAACTTCCCCATCATGTTCCTCACCGACGCCGGGGACGCCCCCGTCGGCGACGTCAGGGCCTCCTCCCTGCAGGAGGCCATCCGCTTCGCGAGCAGGTGGAACCTGCTGGGCATTGTGAGCGTGTCCAAGCCCTTCACCAACAGTCCCCGGCTCGTTAGGGTCGTCAAGCAGCACGGTCTGGTGTGCGTCAGCTACGGTACGGAGAACAACGATCCGCGCATGGTACAGGTATGCATTCCTTCGACCCGCCTGCTTCTCCCATCTTTCCCGTGTACTTCTCAGAAACTGACCCGACCAAACACAGCGCCAAGTAAAGGAGGGCATAGACGCGGTCATCGTCGACAGCGTGCTCGCCATCCGCCAGGGGCTCACCGAGTCCGAGAGCCAGCTGCCAAGCTCCGTGGCCGAGGACGACACAGCCGTGGTCATCGACGCACAGCCGCTGGACGGGGGCGTGAGGGTTGCGAACTAGAGAGATACGAAAGCGCATTGACGACAGCGATCATAGATGATATATAACCGGAGTGTGCGCGCGGGCCGGCTGGCACTCGAGTAACCCGGGAAAATTCATAGAGACGACAACAGATCAAGGGGATCCCCTCCTGGTAGGGAGAGTCCGGTGGCCTGGGGCGGTGAAACAGGACCCAGTGATAGGCATTGATGGCACTGAGCGAGAAGGTATACACAGTGAGGGCAGCCAGCAGTGGAGCATGCTCATGAAGTGTTTGTTCCCTGAGAGGTTTGGCCCCAACGCTGCGAATAGTTATGGCATACAAAGCCTGGCAAGGCGGGATAGAAAAGTCATGAATGAATGAAATGGTTCTTTGCTGCTCCCCAATTCCCCAGTTCAGACTCTGGCATAGACTGAGTGTTGCTTGATGGTTATGGGGACTTGACTTAAGTGAAGAGCTGACCCTCGACGGAATTGGCGTACGTAGTGATTTTGTCGTAGCCAGTAACCCAGCGATGAGGACGATGAGGAGATGACGGCATTTCCAATATTTAGGCAGTATTTTATTGTAGAGAACGAATATTCGCGCCGGTAGAAATGGATGGTATATCGGTTCGTCGCCAGCACTAACTAAATCAACACCCATGCACGCCTAACACCCATACGCCCAACACCCATACACCCAATACCCATACGCCCACTACCTACACGCCCAATACCCATATGCCCAATACCCATATGCCTAATACTTATATGCCTAATACTCATCATATACCTATTTCATATATGCCCAATATGTATACCCAGCACCTATACACCTAATGCAAATTAAGCGTGTGAATTAGGCTTGTGAGTATTGTAGTTGCAGCTGTGGCCTGAGTGATACACCGGTGTACTATCCGTTTCTACCGGTGCGAACATCCGTTCTCTTATTGTTGTTACTCAATATGCTTCTAGTATGGAGGTCAGAGAAAGAGCAACAACCAAATGCATATGATCCACCCGTTCGTTAGTGTAAACACACACTTATATAAGCCCCAGTCCCATGTCAACACATGCGTGCAAGTTCCCCAAAACAAAACCCCCTCAAGAAGAGGTCAGCTCGGCCACGCGCCTCTCCAGCTCGGGCACCTGCCTCAGCAGGACCTCGAGGTCCTCCCTCTCGTCCTCGAGCCTCATGCGGCGGTCGGCGTCGAGGCGGGTGAAGACGAAGTTGCCCTGCCCGTCGAACTGCAGGATATGGCTGTGGTACTTCCACAGCGAGCGGCGGTGGCTGACGGTCATGAGCGTGATGCCGAGGGCCTTCGCGTTGTCGTACATGACCTTCTCCGTCTCGAGCGTCACCGACGACGTGCACTCGTCCAGGATGGCGTAGCGCGGCCGGTGGTAGAAGAGCCGTGCCATGGCGACGCGCTGCTGTAGGCCGCCCGAGAGCACGTCGCGCCACTCGGCCTCGGCGTCCCAGCCCTCGGGGTACAGCGTCACCAGGCTCTCGAGGCTGAGGAGCTTGAGGATACCCAGCAGGTCGCTGTCTGTCACGCCCTTGGCCCGCATCGTGCGCAGCCCGTCCGGGTATGTGATTTGCTGACGCAGCGACCCGCGTGACAGGTACGGCCGCTGTGGGATATAGAAGATGTCCGAGAAGGGTGGCTTATATACTGTCCCACCGTAGACGGGCCACAGGCCGCCGAGAATTCGGAAGAGCGAGGACTTGCCGCAGCCGTTGGGACCAACGACCAGCAGGTGGTCGCCTTGTTTGAGGGAGAAGGAGAGGGCTTTGACGAGGACGTCGCCGTTGGGAGAGATTATGGGTCTGCCCGGAACGAGAGTCAGTCTTCGATCTTGAGTCGACCAGTGTTGAGATAGACTCGGGGGTAGACTTACACGTCAATGAATTGGATGTCCTTGCTCTCCACGACCTTTCCTCGCCCCCTGAGTACAGCCTCGTTGTCCTCGGTGCCGGCACTAGAAACCAGCTTCTTCTCGAAATGACCGGCCTGGATGTCATCCATGACCTCCAGCAGTGAGGCTACTCGTGAAGTGTATCCTGCGAGTTCCATGATCTCTCTGTACGAGAACATGATCCGCCCAAAGGCGTCAGAAGCAGAGAGCAGCATCCGTCGGTTCGTCACGAACGTTTCGGTCCTGTCACCCATGTTCTGTGTTACCGCGCCTGGTATTTTGACGAACACTGGTACACTGCAGAGAACCAGGCCCAGTGCGCCCCAGAAATATTTGATGACAAAGTCTTCCATGAACCCGTGGTAGAATCGCCGTCGTAGAATGTAGTTGACGTGCTTGATGAGTGTGAAATAGCCCTTGTCGAGAGTGTCCTTTTCGACTTCGTGGCCTGCATACAGTGCTACTTCTTCGCTGTGGTCTATCAACCTCGAATGTTGGAATCGGAACTCGCCCTCCAACCTCGCTTCGTCGGCGACATATTTGCCGAACGGAGGTGTCAGCGCCCGCATCATGTTGGCGGACAGCTGAACTAGTAATGACATGAACATTACGCCTTCGCCGCCTACGCTGCTTGACAGCGACCAGGTATATATCGTCTGTGGCACATCAGCTATCAACGACTGTATCTGATGGGTAATACGAGTGAAAACCTACCATGTCCAATATTGGCTTGGCCAGGTTGCTGTACAGCTCTGCCAGACTATTTGAGAACTTCGCGACATCAACAGCTATCAGTTGGTCTGGGTTCTTTATCCTGTCATCCAGCGCCGATATACCGTAAAATGTCAGTTTCGACAGGTATTTGTCGTGAATGTGCTGGGTCAGTCTCGTCCTGTACTTCAGCGACAGCTCCGCCTGGTGCCACGACAACTGTTTTTCGAGGTATTGTCAGCCAGGCTTCCACCTTGTGTCCTTCACATCTCGCCGGACTCGCAAGTTGCACCTACCATGGAGTTTGTGAACGTGGCCGGCACAGCGATCAACATCCACCAGACGATCCTCATGAGGAACTCCTTCCCGTTTCCCTTGACCAGGGCCTTGACGATGGCGCCGTCCATGGCGGCGACCTTGAGGCTGATGAGGGTGCGGACGACGAGGAAGAAGCTGTGGCTGATGAGCAGGCGGGTCTCCTTGCTGCGCCAGCCGGGCACGACGATGCGCATCAGGCGCAGCAGCGAGCGGAAGAACTCGCGGTCGAGCTCGACCTTGCGCTTCTTCTTGGTGGTGCCATCCCCGTCGGCGGCATCGTCGACGCGGCCGGTGGTCCCGCTGCGCTCGGCGCGCTTGGCGGCGTCGCGGGCGGAGGCGGCCTTCTGCTCGGCGATGGCGTTGCGGACGCGGTTGATGAGGGCGACGAAGAGGGTCAGGTAGACGGCGCGGGAGATGCGCGTGCGGTTGGACAGGTAGAGGTGGGTCAGGTGGGAGATGATGGAGCGGATGGTGCGCTCGCGCTGGCCCGGGGTGGAGACGTGGGAGAGGAGCAGCTTCGATTGGGAGGCCATCGTGGGCGTTGCGGCCCTAGCTCGACCGCGATTGCTTCTGAGTTCGTATAGTAGTCGCAGAGGGGGCGTGGACGGAGGGAAAGGGGGACGTAGTGACCCTCGAGGGCCAGCTGGATAGCACTCGAGGCTGTCCGAGTACAAGTCTTGATGTTATGCGACAACAGGTGGGACACGTAGGTTTGTTGGCATTGGGGGCTTGGCTTGGATAGATTCAAAGGAAGTGCAATGCATTGAACTATCTCGAACCAAGGTTCAGCCGCGCTGGGTGCGATATTCCCACAGTATCGTGGTTAGCGGCGACAAAGATGAAGAGTCGTGGCCATCGTCGTGTCTCTCAGCAGACCACGGCAAGGGGAGCAAGCAGCTGGCGTGGGCAGGCCCAAGGTTGGAACCCCAAATTCCAGCGAGTGCTTGGAGGTCGGTCCGTCAGTTCCTCGGTCAGCGAGGTCAGTGACGCCAGGCAGTACCCCAGCTTTTGCCGCGATTGGGGGAGCCCACCCGTGGGGACCCTCCCTGGGAATTCGCATGTGATCCAGTCTTCTTTGCCAGCCTGCCCGGGGCAGCTACCTGGGCGGTGTGGCGGTGCTTCCCGGTCTGGGTCTGTCGAGGCCAGTTGCCAGTACCGTCTATTGTGGCTGGTGTAGGTACAGTCTCTCATCTTACTTCCGTGTCGTCAATATACACCTCTCTTTCATGTGAGAGGCAGGCAGGCAGTCTGGCACACACAGAGACAGACTATCTTGAGTCTTCCAGACAATGATGCTTGCCAGTCTCATATGCCTCACACTGGGCATATCCCTGGCCTCCGCAAACGTTGAGAAAACCATCTTCCTCGGCCCGGAGGCCGTCAACATCCCCGACCAGCAGCCCTCGCTGTCGAGTCTCAACATCGACACCCTCACGCCCGAGGGCTGGTCGCTCAGGACCCACCTCGAGGCAATATTCCCTACAGAAGAGTCCGAGCGCGGCAGGTCGTCATGGTTCTTACTCGACAACCTCACTGAGGGCCAGCGCTATGAGGTCCGCATATGCTGGCTGGCCACCGTGAGTCCTGCCATTATCCACAGAAGCACATGTGACACTGACATTGGCCCCCGGATGGATAGCAACCAACGGCCTTCCACCTGGAAACCCACACCCTCCCCGCCGTCTTCGACACCCCGGAGCTCATCACCTCGCTCCACAACTACTCCATGTCCAGGCAGGACTCACCGCACAAAGCCACGACCCGCAAGGGTGAGAGTAGCGGCGGCGAACACCTGTCCTCGGTCCTCCTCCTGCGCATCGACGCGGCCGCCGACTACTTCACCACCGACCGCGAGCTGATGCGCCGTCCGGAGCCCGTGCTCGCCGACGTCATCCTGGACCCTTTCCTTCTCAACGTCCTGCCGCGGACGCTGCTGCCCACCGTGGGGTACGTCGTCCTCGTCGCCGCCGCGTCGTGGGTGCTGGCCACGCGCCTTCTCATGCCATGGGTGGGGGGGCTGATGGTCGACGACAGCGGTGGCGATGGTCAGCAGGATGCGCGGCGGCATGGGGAGGAGGAAAAGAAGACGCGGTAAGGATCAGGCGTGTGCTCGCCCCGCCGGAAATGCTGAGCTCTCTCTTTTCTCTCGTCTTCTTCTCTCACTTGCAAAACATGTACGTAGCTAGCTTAATTATGATACCACCTTAAGAAAATCCCCTGGAGAGCCAGTTGCCCACCAGGCTCTGTCCAACCACTGCTGCTCTGCTCGCTCCTCGCTCATGGTATAATCGGTCTGTTCTATGAATCCTCCTTTTCTCGCCCCCAACGCCTCTCTGTCGTCGCCTCAACCCCCCCTACCCACTCCTGCTGCATATATGGCCCGCGGGAATGCTCCCCCATCAAACCCGCTTCGATCGATCTGACGGCCAGTCTCAAGATTCCCTAGGACGGGTCATCCAGCAAACCATTTGCCTCCTTCTTGATGACAGCATCCCCCGCTCTCCTAGTACGCGGGATTGCTGCCGTAGTGATGCGCCCCATGTGGCAAGCCACGGTCCTGACCGCCATACCCTGCCTGGGACTGGTATTGACTCGGAGGTGGAGGGAATGACGGCGCCACCCCATTGTACCCGCCTTGCTGGTGGCCCCCGTAGGCCGGTGGCGCCTGCTGGTGGCCGTAGGCCTGCCCGTACTGGGACTGGCCGTATTGCGCAGGTGGTGCGCCGGCGGGCGGGCCTGGTATTTGGCCGTGCTGGCCATACGGCGTGTGTTGCTGCTGCTGGCCCTGGTAGCCATGTTGTCCCTCGTACTGGCTCGGCGGTGCAGGAAAGCTCGGGGTATGTTGGGGCGCGTGGTAGGAGGAGGGTGTGCTCGCGGCTTGGGCGTTGTGGGTGGGCTGGGCATTGTGCCCTTGGGCGGGAGACTGGTGCTGCGAGGATGCGCCTGGCGGTTGGTATGTGGCAGGTGGCGCAGAGCCACTGTAGGTTCCTGTTTGGCCGGAATTCGTGTATCCAAAGTTTTGGTTCTGCAAAGGAGTGGGGAATCGGTCAGTACATATATGGTCTCAATTGCGCTCTATATCCCGGGGCTTTTGATGTGCAAACGTACCGAGGCGCCAGATTGTCCCCCAAACATGTGTGCGACAGAGCCCATCATGGACCCTGCAAGGCCCCCAGAGTTATGCGGCGCCTGCGAGGCCTGGCCGCTGTGGTAGTTCTGGGGCTGCGACGGCTTGTTGCCCGAGGAGAAGAGATTCGACGTGAGCTGCCCGACGAGCTTACCACCGAGGCCGCTGGATGCCGCCGACGAGCCGTGGTGTTGTTGTTGCTGCCCGTGGCCGCCGCCGTTGCTGTGTGTAAGCCCGCTGATGACCTGGTTCGCGAGGCCGCCAAAGGGGCTGCTATTCGAGTTGTGGCTGCCGCCGCTGCCGCCTTGTTTGCCGCCAAGCAATGCGTTCATGGCCATGGTCTACGCGCGGAGAGACGAGGGTGTCAGCGGGGAGGATCGCGCACGATAGATGGAGCCAGAGGCAACCAGGGAAGGGAGTGCGTGCTTACACCAAGGCCCCTATCGCCAGCTGGACCATCGCTATCAATGCCCCTGGTGCCGCCAGCCTCGTTTGGCATGACGGGCTCCAATGACCCATCGGGGTGCTTGACGGTCTGGGTGCCATCAGGATGAGTGATCAGCTGGCGCTGGCCCGGCACGCCGTAAGGGTGCTCGTTGGTAGAGGCCGGGGTGCCTCCTCCGACGGGAGCAGCGTCTGTCGGGACGTCCCACTGCGAAACGCCAGTCGAGAGTTGGACGTAGTAGTACTTCCTGCTGTTCGCATCCCACTGCGCAATCCAGCCAGGAGGAAGATGTGGCGGGGCAAACGTGGGGCCCTCCTGGCCCGGAGAACCTGGCCCTGACATTGCGGACGGCAGCGGTGATTGTTCGTTTTCGAGGGGAGGGAAAACAAAAGAGACCAGAATAGATGGAGAGGCTCTCGAGAGCGGCGCAATTGCTGAGGAGGAAGAGAGAAAGGACTGGGGCGAAGAGGGTGTTGGGCTGCGAACAGGAGACGGGCACGAGATATTCGTCACGTCGCACGTCGGTTCCTTGTCCGGGTCCGGGTCCAGCTCAGGTCCAGGCCCCCCGGGGTTGCCCAACTGGAACAGACGCGAGCTCGACAGCAGTGGCAGTACCAGCGCGGCAGCACAGAGGGGAGTAGGGAGTAGTCCACAGTAGCCGCTGTTAGCCCTTTCTCTCTCTCTCTGCGCCCGAGGGGAGGATTAGGTTAGGCAGAGGCCGCCCTCTCCCGGTTCAGCCTGTTCTGGCCCCTGGTAACTCGGGCTTGGTGCAAGATAAATCAATCGGTCCACACTGCGAGATTGTTATGCTGCCCAATTCCGTCAATGAAAGGTCCTGCTTGTCATGAGGCACCCAGGTAATTTGACCTCACAGATGATTCTCATGCCATCCATGGGTACTGTCAATAATAAAGGACCAGCAACCAGACACAGCAGACGGTAGAGGCCACCATGGGCACAAAGAAATCAGCCAGGCGGATTGTTACACTAGGGCTGCATTTAGACACCAGCAGCGCGCCTTTCCCGATACTCTCGCGGCAAGAGACACCGCCCCACCAACCCGCCTGAACGAGCTGAATAAGACGTACTGCACTGTACTTAAACGGCTGGACAACCCAAGTGCGAATGACATGCCCAGGGTGATCGCCGGGGGCGACAGCTTGTTGCGATCCTTGGTGGCGACACGACCACGATCCTACTCCTGCTCAATCCCATCAGAGGGGAACAGGTCCTCTGCAGAGATGGAGAGTTCTAGCACGCACGCGAGTGCTGTGGGAACTCCCCGAGCCCCCACAATCTGGCTTGTGACGAGACCATTTGACCCGAGAGGCTGAGACCCATTCGCCTGCGAGATCGCATCCTGTGACACGTCCTCACGGGGCACTTCCAAAGCCCCATATCGTGGAGAAAATGCACACCACAGCTCGCCTGCAGTTTTCTTTCGGCGCCGCGGAAGATAAGCGGAAGACTCCCCGTGATACGTACAACAGAACGGGGTTCGGAGTTTTTGCGCTCCTGCCTGCTGCCCCGGAACCTGCTCCAGTCCTTGATGGTCTCCATACTGCAAACCACCTAGGTACGCTCTGTACAGGCAAGGACGACGTTGCGAGGAAAAGTCTCGTTGGCGTTGGGGATCATCGTAGATACCGGGGCCATCCCGTGGAATCTGACTACTTCAAGTACCAGGGAAGCCATCGGCTGTGGGGGTCTTCCATCGACACCGTGAGCCACGCCAGTAACCTCGAGAGTGTCAATACACACGAACTGTATTGATCTCAGTGTGTTACTCATGGGACAGCTAATCTTCAGTCTCCTGGCCCCGTCTCATGTCCGGCCAACAGACTGCTGGTGCCGAGTAAACCTCCCGAAACCACACTCCAACTCCGCCTTGCCATGATAGCCCAGGTGAGCGTGAACTATTCCGAACAGGACTACCAAGGGAGACGGAGTTAAATTTCGCGAGCCCAATGTCGAATTCGGGTTGACTAAGGAATGCCGTGGGGAGAGGAAACCGCCGGCGGAAGCGTCTTATGTTTCAGGTGGCCCCGACAAGCTCGACGTCGAGCCAAAAAGGACAGGAGCGAGACAATCAAGTGTTTCCTCTTCGACCTCACTTCATCCCTTCTCATATCACCAACGACAATCACCCAGTTCTAACTCACAGAGTCATCACACGAGAACACACATAGGTTTTACGAGCAGTCAAAACGACAATAATCCATCCATCTTAAAATTTTCTGCACTCCAAGAATCGGAAGACAGGGGAGGACACGCACGGCTGGCTCTGTCTCCCTCGTGGGAGGCAGAGCAGGTGGGTTCAAACATCTCCCTCTGCCAGCGCTATCGAAAAACCACAATAAATGCGTCCCCCCATCCAGCCAACAACACTAAAACATTCTACAAGAAAGGTTTTTATGGTCTGCACCCCCACTGCTCCAGGCGGAGCGGTGATGATCGCACACACACACACACAGGAGGGAGGATCTCTTGTATCTCCCGCCCATTTTTCCGCGCCGACCAAAAAATGGGGGGTTTGTTTAAACAAAGGGAAGAAAAAAGGTTGGAGATACAATGATGATCCAACGTCAAAGTCCAGTCATGGTCTCATACCAAGCCCCGTTGCCAACACCCACACAGAAAAGTTCATCCGCTGTCTATTTTTCTGTCGTCTCATCTTGACTCGCCCTTCCTCGCGAAGAAGGTTTGTTCCAAATCAAGCGATTTAGTACATCTTGGCGAAGCGGTTCTTGAGGGCGGCGCCGGTGGGGTAGGCAGAGCCGGTTCCGTTGGAGCCGGTGGGCACGGGCACGACGGTGGCGGTGACGGTCTCCTCGGGCTCCTCATCGCAGGTGTCGTCCTCGCCGTCGACGGGGGAGGTCTCGTCCTCGCCGTCGTCCTCGCAGGTGTCGTCATCCTCAGCGGAGTCGTCGCCAGAGGAGGCAGGACCCGTGGACTCAGGGGCAGAAGCGGAAGCAGCAGTGGGGACAGCGGCGTTGGCGGCCAGAGGAACGCTGGAGGCGCCGGTGGGGGAGGCCTGGCCGACGGTCACGTAGACGGTGGGGCCCTCCTTGGTGACGGTGACAGTCTCACTGTGAAAAAGGTTAGCAAGATTGCGTCTTCAGGTGAGTGTGAGCAGTCTCAAACTTACGGCACGCAAGAGCCCTCAGCGTCGGAGCCGGAGCCAGAGCCAGAGCCGCTGGAGTTCGAGTTGGTGTCGACGGGGGAGCTGTCGCCGGTGGGCTTGGTGACCTTGCTCGTGAGAGTGGCGGTCTTGGTGCCGGTGGTGTAAGCAGTGGTGGTGGTGGTGCCAGAGATGGTGGTGCCCTCGCCGCTGCCCTCGCCGCCAGATCCACCCTCAACGGGGGAAGACTCGCCGGTCGACTCGGGAGAAGACTCGGTGTTGACGACGGTCTTGGTCACAGGGATGGCGGTGACGAAGGTGGTGAAAGAGGTGGAGGTGCTGACCTCAACACCGCCTCCGTTGCCGTTGCCACCGCCGTTGGTGAGGGTGACGGTGACTGGGATGCCGGAGGTCAGGGTAGCCACCGAGGTGGAAACCTGAGTGGTGACGTCGGGCTCGCACTCATCCTCATCATCACCACCCTCCTCACCCGCAGGGGGGTTGGAAGCCTCGGGGGAGAGAGCGGTGACGGGAGGTGTGGGCACGGTTCCGTTGGAGAAGCCGCCGGACGGGGCTGGGGTGGGAACAGCGACACCACCGGTGGCACCGGGGGTGGTTCCGGTGATGGTGGTTCCGGTGATGCCACCGGTAGCAGCGACGGAGATGACGCTGGAGGAGATGCCCTCGGCGGCGGTGACGGGGCAGATGGTGGTGGCGAGCTGGACCACGTCGGTGACCAGGACGGTGGACACCTGCTCGGGGGCGGTGGAGGCCAGCTGGGTCAGGGAGGCGGAGTTGGCCGGGCAGTTGGTGACCGTCGGGGCACAGCTGATGATGGTGCGGATGGAGGTCGACTGGACGGTCAGGGTGGTGAGCTGCTCACCGGCGCTCGCGGTGCCGTTTTGTCGGCGGTAGTTGAAGTGGGGGTGCTGGGGGTAGACGTTGTTGGCGGAAGCCAGGGTCGCGAGACCCAGGGAGGCGGCGAGAACGGACTTCATTTTGGCTTTCGGGTTCAGATTTCTACTCGGGAGTCGAGGATCCTCTTTTGTTCGGTACTCTTCGGGAGTGAAAGATCGTGGGTATGCTGATCAGCAAGCAATGAGTGGAAGTCAATTCCGTGGAGGAGGGCAGACACAGTTTGCACTCGTTCGGTAAAGAATGTATTGGGTTGGGAATGAATGAGTAGCTAAGCTGCTATTGCTCGCCGAAAGAGACACTGTTCAAAAGAATGTCGGGGAGAACGATCGAGGTCAGGCTCCGTGTTGGGTGAGGAGAGAAGGAGGGAGATATACAGGCCCGCGGATGGGAGGCCATCAGCCCTTTTGAGCAGGGCGGCTGCAGGAGGGGGTGGGCATCTCTCTGGGGGTGGTCTCCCGGTGATGGTCCCATTTCCCTTGGTCACCCCGTAAATTCGATCAGGAGCCCACTTGGTGAGCAGTCCAGGGTCAAGTCTGGTTCGTCGGGACCCCGGTCCCCATCTGAGCATAGGAGGCCGAGAGCACCGCCATGCTCATCATGGTGGACTTGCCCCCTCAGCCAGCCCGTAGATATGAATAACCCTTAATCAATTTTGGCTGATCCACCGCCTAGGGCAAACAGGGCAGGCTTGCGTGGTACCGAGGGCCGGCCACTCAACTCATCTGCAAGATTCGGCGCACTGGGACGGGTGGGAATCTCCTCTTGGGCGAGAAAAGAAACGAGAACCAGCAACCGCCCTCCCGTCGCCAGGGCATCCTTGAGCTCCGTCAGGGGCAAATGCAGGAACGGGCGCGGCGAGGAGGTGACATGGCCCAATCAGAGCCCCTAGCCCGGTCCCAATCCCGGTCAGCAGCAGGGACCACAGAGGCTCAGATCCTGCTGCCAAGGAAGCACAAGTCGACAGGAGGGGTGGCCGCAGTGTTGCTCAGCACTTGGTAGACACAACACCCAACGCATCCCATCAACGTCCCATGTCTTCGTCCGAGGGGGTTCGACTGCCGAGAATGCGCTGGAAATTCCGTGCTCCCTCCAGCAGATGCACCTGCTTGTACCTGCTTCCCCAGTGGTGGCTGAGTTGAATCCGGTGTTTCTTGCACCGTCGTGCTTGAAGCCTTTTGCTCGTTGAGGAATAGACAGCAATGTACAGCAGATGTTGTACGGCTGACCGACCGCCATGGCGTCGCAACGTGGGATGAAGAGCGTTGTGGGCATCTCGAATAGATCTCACTCGGGGGGGCCACATCACTGGCCATGATCATCCCAGGGTATGCTGCCGTGCTTTTGTTCCGAGCACGTTTGTTGGCCTGTGACGATGAAGATCCAGCGCTTAATAAATCGTCCGACCTCCTCGGGTCAAGCAGTAAACCTAAACAGACTTGCGAAATTTAATGCCCGATTCCCTTTCTCGAACCGCAACGTCGCCGCATCCTAGTGGTAGTTTGTTTTGCAGATCATCACCCAGGCGGCTGGTTATTGGCAGCTGTGTCACCTTCTAGATCTCTCTGCTTGTACCTCTCATGACGCTTCCTGTGCACGAGATGGCTGGACTGACTGACCTGGGCGGCAACAGAGGGACATTCTCGGGTCCAATGGCGCTTGCCTCATTTCCTTTTTTGATCCCATAGGGCTCACTGCCCTGCAATGCCCAGTCAGCCAGTCGAGGATGGATGCAAGCGGGCACCACGGAGACCCCAGCAAGCGGTGGGCCTCATCTGCTCCTAGGCTGCCAGCTTCTACATGTAGACACAAGCACCGAGATGGTGAAACGAGCCCTCCCCGGCTGCGAAAATGCAGCGGCCCCCCTGCCGGAATTCCTTGGCAACCAACTGCCTCTAACAAACGCATCTTGCTCAAGTCTTGCCCGTCGCCCCTCTCACTACGGTACAAGGCACCCCCTCCCTTTGGGGGGACCCTCTCTGTACACCTCCGTTCGTTTACGGGGCTCGAGGGCGCTATTTCAAAGCTTTGCTAGGGGGCCTCCGGCGGTGTCAAATTCAAGGTGAAATTCTGGGCTGCTAAATGGAATAGCTTCTTGTTAATGGTGATTTTGAGAGAAAGATTGATAAAGCTTGGCGTTTTTTTGTAATTGGGTGAAGTATGTAAGTCGACCAGGGGACCGCTGCATTTTCGCAGCCGGGGAGGGCTCGTTTCACCGTCTCGCACAAGCACTAGGCCCGAGGCCGTCCCGCCCACCGCCAGAGCGATGCACAGGCGGCACGGCATGCTAGGCGGGCACCAGCGTGTCGAAATACTGTACAGACGTAGCCCATGTTGATGACGGCAGGAGGTTCGCTGACACTCCTCTACGACGTCCGCCCGCACAGCGACAGCCATTCTTGTTATTATTATCGAGTAATGGCGCGGGTGAGGTTGCATACGCCCAGGCCCCCTTCCGACGGTGAGGCAGCTCTCAGACGGTGAAGTCTAAACTGCCGACTGCAACGTCGAGGTGCTCTTGAGATTGGCGATGACGAGGAAGAGCCCTCCTCGCCCTTTCGCGCAAGACAGGAATCATATTGGGCACACTGCAAGGCCCTGACATGGCCAGGCACGGCACTGTCATCCGGCCAATCCGTGCTGGCCGTGCTGGCCCTGTGTGGTTCTGTGTGGTTCCGCGAGAGTGTTCTCGCCCTCTGGAGGGGCCCCACAAAAGACCGGGAGATTGGCAGAAACGAAAATGCTTGGCCTCCAGATTGCTCCAGATCTCGTCGCCGATCAGAGGAAGTGCACGATGCCCAGGTGCTGGCGTGCGATGCGGCGCGGCTGGGCCATCCGTGCCAGATGGTGAGGGTGAGGTCAGAGTAACAACCCCATCTGGTCTGTCTGACTGACGTGGAGCCATCAGGAGTCTCGTCTACCAGCGGCCGGCGGCGAGGAGGACGGGGTGGTTCCCAAGAAACCAAGGAGCGTGGCATCGTCGAGCGAAAAACCGGCGCTGGGGAGGCCGTGGAAATTGGCAGGAGCCTGTCCAGCAGGGGTGCGAAAAGGAGGTGCGCTGTTTCACCAGCCAAGCCGCAATTCCCCCTCCAAGGTGGAGCCGCCCGGGGGTGGCCTGCCTCGGGATCACTCGACACACACCCCCTTCACCCCTCCCAGGCCGTCCAGACCCTGCGCGGTTGATGAGCCCACCCGGGGTGGTCCCTGGGTCTCTCTCTCTGTTCCTGGGCTGCTGGCCCGCTGTGTTCTGGGCTGGCTGGCAGGCTGGCAGGCTGGGCCTTCTGGTGGCCCTCATCCTCATCGACGGGGCCCCCAAGGTCGATTGATTGAGGGCCCCAGCGTGCCCCGAAATGAGTCCTGGCTGTGGACTCTGTCGACGATGGGCGAACGCGGGCGAGACCTCCTCTAGCGAGATGCGCGCTTCGTCAATGTTGGTCCTTGCTCGGGCCGTCGCAGAATGATTGACGATGGAAATGACAGCCTTGATTCTGTTCAAAGGAGCCCGCTCATCTCGCTATACACCGCTCGTGGCACCATGTCGTGCTGATGATAGTGGGCTTATTATTCCATAGTAACGCCTGGATCCTGTTGCCCCCCGTATGCCCACCGTGCCGAGGCTGGAAGCTTCTAATTCAAGCTGACTACTTACTTGCTTCTCTTCTTGTTTTCTTGCTCACGACAATGGCCACCCCGCCCCCCTTTATTTATTTCTCCGACTACTGCTGTTGTCATTTCGTTTTCATGATATAAGCTTCGCAATGAGTCAGATCTCAACTTCTTGTCGTCTTGTCCTCGGTTGACAGAAACTCTCCGGCCCCATGGCCGTGCGGTCGCTGGGACAGGTCGTGATCTGGCCTGGCCTGGCCTGGCCTCTGTCGCCCGAGGCTGGGGTACACACACTACCGACCAAGACCTTCCCGATGAGGCACCGCATGGGACAACGGGGCCAGCATCGTCTTCAAACATGCACATTCGCGCGCATTCACACCCGCTTATTTGCACTCTCTGTCGCTTTGAAACACACTTTAACCCACGAGGACCGCATTGCCGAAGCTACTGTGGCATATCAACAGGGCAGGACGACAAACGACGAGGAGGAGGGCCCCCCTCCCTCGTGGTCGTTGTTTGGATTGCCGAGCACGTTTTCCCGTATTACACGTATATTCTTAGTCTCTACCGTCCCAACGTCTTGGGACCCTGGCGCTCATCACCCCGTGGCTCCCGAGACAGATCAGCCAACGGTCGTGGGGTTCATGGGAAGCCACACGCTAAGTCTCTTCCTCACACAGCCCCATGCCGTGTAAGCCATGTCGCTTCCCGGTTCCCATACAAGCTCAGCCACTGCCCACCGTTTGATGATATCTTGTAACTGGCATCCTGCCAGCTTTGTCCGCCGCTGCTCTTTGACAAAGCCCGACGTCAGAGCTCCTGAGTGAGGCCACCCAGCCAAGGGGGAACGGTCGGTGAACTAGTAGTTTCAACCCCATGCCCCGAGCGTTACAGTCGCCGGCGAATGCCAGAAAGCCCCCATCACGAGGCCCTCGTGAACGGATATCTTCAACAAGAAAAAAGATCAATCATGATACGCCCCCTGAGCAGGTAGCCCCACCTGAAGCACCTAAGCCTGCAGTGCCACCCCTTACCCCTGTCACTAGTCGGCCCTCCTTGCGTCAGAACCACAGCATATTCGCCCTCCTGCAGAGCAACACCAAGAAAGAAGCTCGTGAACAACGCCTGAATGAGAAGTTCACCGAGGGGTTCAAACCTGCTGGCTGAGCAAGTAAGTCCGGCCGGAGTCCACTCCCATCATGCGCATACAACCGCCATACCATGGATGCCCTTCCACTGTAGTATCCAAAGGGGGCCAAAAGGAGCGGACAAGCACAATTCCCAACATCAAGCCAACCCCTTCTGTCCGCCCCGCCCGGCCTCGCCTGTCCTAGCTGTCCAGTTATGTATGTCTGGTCGCACCGAGACGGGGGCATAACCCACCAGGTAAGGTCCCGCCCTCAACCGCAGCCGGCCGGCCAGTCAGCTAGCACAACGGGCGTAGGGAGGGAGAGGAAGACAAGATGCTGCTCCCCCACATGAAGTCGAGAGAAGCAAGGTGACGGAGCGCCCGAGCAACCCACCACCACCACCCCACCATGCACAACATCGTGCAAAACACTATACATGCCGCAGTGTAGCCCTCGCCGTGCAACCACCCGCGAGCTGCAGACTCTCTGCCAACCTTCTGCTCGTGGTCCAGCCAGGTCCAGCCAGCCCCCTCTCGGCCGTTGTCATTGATTGGTAGGAGGGTGAGCCGATGTGCCCCGGGGTTGGGGGGGGGGGGGTGAGAGCGGTCGTGTGGTGAAAGCCAGCTAGGAAACTTTCTGTAAACCACTTCGACAGGTTGGTGGTTTTGTTTCCCGGCGGCGGTTGGCTGAATACATAGGTACTGCATCGTGACATCGTGATTGGAGAAGCCCTCGTTGGGCCCAACAGATGTGTTAGTTTGCAGTCCGCAGCAACAAGTGTCTGCTTTGGCCATGCAGTGATGTCTGCGGGAGCCATGCACGTGCCGAAGCCGATCTACAGCACTTCATCTACGACTCACGCACGAGCATGTCTGTCTGCAGGTACTTCTGAAAATCGCTGTCCTTCCTTTCGAACGCGGCATCACTCGAGAGGGACAATGACAACATGGTCAGCATGTGTATTTCTTCATCCACCCTTGTTGAGTCGGGCATGTTTACACCTATGTGCTGCCCTCCCAATCCCCTCGTCTCATCACTACATTTACAGCATTTGACCGTCCATTCCCGCTGCAGAGCAAAGCGCTCGCGCTCATCATCACATCATTCCAAATTCCCAACGCCGTCGAGTCATGTTTTGAACTCGATCCAAGATGATAGTCCCGTTGAGGGTAGCTATCAATGGATGCCTGTGCCGCCCTTGCCTTGCAATGCCTGTATGGGTATATGTTGAATTTTTGCGCCGTTCCCACCTCTCCTTTAATGCCGTTTTTGGTTGAAAAAACAAAGCCTCGCTAGATCCCCCAGCTTTTCTCGTGAACGCCGATGTTGAAGTCGAGACCGGCACTTCTGTCATTCCAAGTCACCGGCCCGTATTAGTACCCACCATTATCTCAAATCGCCTCCATTAAAATGGACGTCCGCCACCAGGGACAGACGTTGTGTTGAATGAACTTATTTCGCGTACTTGGCGCGGAAGAACTTGGCGGCGCTGACCATGTTGGCCAGGGCCTCCTTGGTCTCCTTCCACTGACGGGTCTTCAGACCACAGTCAGGGTCGATCCAAAGCTGCTCAGGCTTAAGGAACTGGAGCATCTCCTCGATGCGGTCCTTGATCTCCTGCTCGCTGGGGACACGAGGGGAGTGGATGTCGTAGACACCAGGTCCGATGTGGCGAGGGTAGGCAGAGTCGACGAAGACCTTGAGCAGCTTGGCGTCAGACTTGCTGTTCTCGATAGACAGGACATCAGCATCCAGAGCCGCAATGGCGTGGAAGAAGTCCTGGAACTCAGAGTAACAGAAGTGAGAGTGGATCTGGGTGGCGTCCTCAACACCAGTGGTGGACAGGCGGAAAGCCTTGACGGCCCAGTCCAGGTAGGCCTCACGCTCCTTGCCGGAGCGCAGGGGCAGACCCTCACGCAAGGCGGGCTCGTCGACCTGGATGACGTCGACGCCGGCCTTCTCGAGGTCGACGACCTCGTCACGGAGGGCGAGAGCAAGCTGCTCGGCCTGGACAGACTGGTGAACGTCGTCACGGGGGAAAGACCACCGGAGGCAGGTGACAGGACCGGTCAACATGCCCTTCATGGGCTTGTTGGAGACGGACACAGCGTACTTGGACTCCTTCACAGTCATAGGAGCGGGACGGGAGATGTCACCGACGATGATCGGGGGACGGACGCAACGAGATCCGTAGCTCTGGACCCAGGCGTGGGTGGTGAAGGCATAGCCGTCCAGACGCTCACCAAAGAACTGCACCATGTCGTTACGCTCAGGCTCACCGTGGACGAAGACATCGAGGCCAAGCTCCTCCTGGATCTTGACGTTGGACTCGATCTCCTGCTCGATGAACTTGTCGTACTCAGCAGCGGTGATCTCACCCTTGGTGAGCTTGTTGCGGCTGAGACGGATCTCCTTGGTCTGAGGGAAGGAGCCGATGGTGGTGGTGGGGAACAGAGGCAGGTTCAGCTTCTTCTGCTGCTGAGAGATTCTCTCGGTGAACTCAGACTTGCGGTTGTAGTCAGCCTTGGTGATGTTGGACTGGCGCTCCTTGACCTTGGGGTCGTTGGTGCGGCTGGAGGTGGCACGAGCCTGGATAGACTTGGCGTTGGCCTCGAGCTGCTCACGGACGGCAGCAGGGCCGTCAGTGACGGCCTTGGCAATGACAGCGACCTCGACAGCCTTCTCGGAAGCGAAGGAGAACCAGTCGGCGATCTCAGGGTCGAGCTTCTTCTCGCTGGCAAGAGTGTGGGGAGTGTGGAGGAGGGAAGAAGAAGTGGCGACGATCACACGGTCAGCACCAAGCTTCTGGGTAGCAGCCTCGGCGGTCTCGATGGCCCGCTTGAAGTTGGTCTTCCATATGTTACGGCCATCGACCACACCGGCAGACAGGATGGTCTTGGGGCCAAGAGCACCGATGACACTCTCGAGCTGCTCAGGGTTGCGGACAAGGTCAACGTGAACGGCGTAGACATCCTTGGGCACAGCCTCAAGGTTGTGGACGATGTCACCGAAGTAGGTGGTGAAGACAAGCTTGGGGATCTTGTCACCGAGGCTGGCGAGCTTCTCGTATGTGGGCTTGAAAGCGGCCTTGGCCTTGGAGGGCAGGTCCAGGACGAGGATGGGCTCGTCAATCTGGACAGTGGAGGCACCAGCCTGCTTCAGCTGGGTGAGGAGCTCCTCGTAGACAGGGACCAGCTTGTCGAGGAGGTCGATGGGGTCAACAGACTGACCACGGTCGGCCTTGCCGAGGTGCAGGAAAGAGACGGGGCCGACAAGGACGGGGCGGGTCTCGATGCCAGCCGCCTTGGCCTCCTTGTACTCGGCAACAGCCTTGGGCTCGGAAGTGAGCTTGAAGGTCTGGTTGTCCTGCAGGGTGGGCTTGACATAGTGGTAGTTGGAGTCAAACCACTTGACCATCTCCAGGGAGGGCACGTCGACACCATCCTTCTGGTGGCCACGACCCATGGCGAAGTATTCATCGACGCGGTTCAGCTTGGAGCTGGCATATCGCTCGGGAACAGCCTGGAGAGGAACATAGTCAGCAACGGGGACCAACATCAAGTGTGGTCATTGGAGCGGGGAACTTACGCCGAAGTCCTGGATGTGGCTGAGGACCTGGTCGTACAGAGCGAAGTCGTTGGAGGGGATGACATCAACACCGGCGTCCTTCTGGATCTTCCAGTGAGCGAGCCTGAGCCTCTTGGCCTCGGTGAGGAGCTCATCCTGAGAGATCTTGCCGCCCCAGTCTGTCTCTACAGTCAGCCTTGGTGCTCGATTGGGAAGGTGGAGCCTATTCGGCCGGTGCATGGGCACTCACAAGCCTCAGTAGCCTTCTTCAGGTCACGGTTAACTCCCATGCGAGGGAAACCGAGAATGGCGGATTGAACCATGATGGCTGATGTGGTCGAGTAACCGACACGAACAATTGACCACTTCTGAAGGTTTCTGTGTGGTATTTTGCGTCAGCAAGGCTTACTCACGCCTCTCGTGTGTATGTAGTCAATTTTCCGTTGGGAAAATCCTCAACATGTGAAGCGGGGGAGGGGTAGCAGGCAGCATACAGGACTGTGTTGGTAGGTGTGCTTGTCGTTGCTCTCCACACCCGCAGAGATAGATGAAGCTTGGGAGGGAGGTGAAGAATGGTGTGAGGTAGGAGGAGAAGGGGGATAAGAGAAGAGTGGAAGAGCAGGAAAGAAGAGGAGGGAGAAAGCCACTTATGAATAACGGTTCAAGGGCGGCCGGGCGAGCGGTGTGTGGGTCATGCAGAGAGCAGAGCTCGGAAGGAGGGAGACGAGAGAAGAAAAACGTGCTTCTGGCTGGCTGGCAATCGGGAGCCGAAACCGCTGACACGAGCAAGGCGATAGCAACGAGGGAGCGCTCCTAGTCTGGATGGGGAGGGGCTGAAGGCTGAGGGAGGGAGGGGTAGCTCCCCACGGACCCACAACCACTTTAGAGTTGAACGAGGAAGGGTCCCAATGAAAGCTTTTCCAGCAGGGGTCTGACTACCCTTTGGATTCCGTTTTGTCCGTACGTGATGTTTGCGTCTCTGTCTCATCTTGTCTGCGAGTCGCGGAATTGTACTGTCACCGCTTCAGTGATTAGCCGTGTGTCTCGAGTTCAAAGTCGAGGCACTGTACTGGGACGACAAGGAAGCAATCGTCTCATCAGACTCAACCCCGCCCACCTATGTACATTGTAGTCTACTTTGCACACCAGCTCTGGACGATGGCAAGAGAATGTGTCCTAGTATGGCGCAATTGGCACAGTACCGCTACCATCACTGCAGTAGGGCATGCAGAGGCTTGCTCCAGTGGTGCGACCCTGCCTGGGATAGAAGCTGCACCACATCCCACTCCTTTGCTTGGCCTCCCTGCCTACCCAGGGTCCCGGCCGAGCCCCTCGCAATCCGTCCCTAGACCCTTTCTGGGCTCGGGGCATATCAACGTCCTGCTGCCCAGCCAACTAGACCCGGTGTTCTGTCATCACCTCGCGCTTCTTCCTTGTCACTCCCGTGCTTGGATGACCCGAGGCCGGCATGACTATCCGTCGCACTGCACATATTCATCAATGATACCAACAAACTCTGGCTTTCCTGCGGGCTCCAACTGGTTCTCCCAATACGCCCCTGTCTACAGCACCGCGTATGCCATACTTAGTGAAGTCTTGTTCGCATATTGTGGGCAAAGATAGCCTGGCTGCCCATTACACAGAACTATCACCCAAGAGCTACTCGGGTAATTTCGTAGAAGCCAGGCATGACTCGCTTGCGGCGCCTATCCATCGACATTGCGTGGTGCCCCAGATGCTGACCGCCACCGCGCTTCAGTGATTCACATCACGCTTCGTCCACTAGTTCATCTCAACAGGGCGTGTTTACTCAGTCCCTGCAGCTCACATTAGGGTGGCAAACCGCTTGTCAGAAGTTAGATCGTGTAGTCGTAATTTTGCGGAGCAGGCATCGTGAGCCCTGTCAAAACCATATGTTATCCAAGCACCACCTTGTCGTACTCCTCCTCGTCTAGGTGCTTCTGCATCACCTGTTGCAGTGCAGCCTTGCTCCTGCTGATCGCCGGAACGACACCACCTATCTGATGTAGGTTACCCTGCATGCTCTCCATGTGGCTCCCAATCTGCTTCGAAAGGGCGACCAGCTCCTCGTCGTCCAGGTCCTTGAAGAGCCCGCCCGCAACGGCATCCTCGGGTCTTGCAACGAGCTCCAGCCGCTCTCCCTCGTCAAGATAATCAACGCCCTCGTCCTTCCTTCTGATACCAGAGGCGAGGACGTGCTCCCGCTTCGCCTTCTCGCGCCAGCCTTTCGCCTCAGACCTCGCGTTCGCCTCCAGCTTATGGAGAGTGTCGTAGTCCCGCGCCAGCGCATCCTCCTCCTTCTTGATCTCCCTCTCAAGCAGGCTGACCGAGTGCAGCAGTGTGTTGAGGGTATTCTCCAGGCCCTGCGCGGCGTTCATTGCGCGCTCGAAATCGAACTCGTCCTCGTGGCTGCCAGACGCAGCTCGCCTTGCAGGCCCAGCCGTGGGAGCAGGGAAGGGCAAACCCCTGACAAGCTTTGTGTGTAGTCGCCGGGAGATGCCTGAAAGCGCGGCTGATGCATGCTCTCGTCGCCGGCTGGTGTTCTGGAGGCGGAGCAGGACCGGTCGCTGTGCGTCGGCGAGGAAGGTCCCAACTGCACTGATAGATGGTCCGTCCAGGGCGCTCCACTTCTCAGAGATGACGCATCGTGGGATCTTCTTAGTGCTTTCCTTCAGATATCGGAATGGAAACTCCTGCTCGTCTTCCTCTGAGCCTGTGTCTTCGTCTTCACCTTGCTCTTCCTCGGCAACAGGCTCCCTTCGGCGAGGCTGACGCTTGTCCCGCTTTTTCTTGGTAGAAGTCTGCCCTTGCTCCTGCTCTTGCTCGTCCGCGGGATCGGGGGAACGACGTCGTGGCTTGCCGCGTGAACGAGTTGGCTGGGCTGGCTCAGGCTCTTGAGAGGCAATGTCTGATTGCCTAGGTCGGCCGCGGCGCTTCGGCCGCGAGTCTTCTACTGAGCGACTCTCATCTGCAGTCTTGTCCGCCTCGGACGACTCCCTCGCAGCTTTTGCCCTGTTGCCCTGCTGCGGCTGTAACGCCCTCGCACTCTCAGAATCTTCCTTGTTCAACGACGGTCGCCCACGGCGCTTCTTGCCTATTCTCGCAGCTGGATGGTTCTGCTGTGCCTTGGGAGACGCCGCTTCCTGTGATTCCCCATTCGCTCGTGTTCTGGACCTCCCACTATCCGGGCCCGCTGTAGGTTGTGCATCCTGCTGGTTATTCTGTCGGCTTCCACTAGGGACATTATCAGGTTCCCTTATTTTCCGGTCTCGTCCACTACGCCTTGGAGCTGAGGCCGATTGTTCGTCCTCTTTGGGCGAAGTTTGACTCGCCGTCGCTTTCTCCTTGCCTGCCAACGCCTTCCTCTTGTCTTTCGAAGCACCAGACGATGCGCCACCAGCGCGCTTCGGTGCGCGTTCTGTTGATATTTCTTGCGGATAAGCTGGCTGTTCGGCACCAGGGGCCTCGCTTGAACTCCCACCCGGCACTCGTCTGCTGCGTCGAGGCTCCGAGCTCTCTAGTTGTTGTTCTTCTTCTCGCGGCTGGATCTGGTGTGCTGTTTTGCGCTTGCCCTTCAACCGCGCCGTCCTGCTGTCGGGCCTGGCCGCATTGGAGTGTCTGTCCTGTTCCTCCGTTTCGCGCTGGATGTCTGGCTTCGCGGTATGCTGGCTCTTCTTGGGTGGCCGGCCGGCCTTGGGTGGTTGCGCCGGTCCATTATCGTTCCGCGAGGGACCAGGTTCCGTGCTGGCGCCTTCGGCCTCGTTCTTGCGACCACGTTTCCTCGGTCGCGCGTCTTCGGGGTCGGGTTCAGCATCGTGGTCGGGCGCCTCGTGGCTCGACGCGTCGCCTTTCGATTTAGACGCGCCTGGCGGCCTGCCGCGTTTCCGCTTCGGATCAGATACTTTTGGAGGCTGCATTGTAAGATAAATGTAGAATGAAGTGATTATCCATGAACTTACCATTGGGAATGTGCAATGATGTCAATAAATCGGGTTTGTTAGCTGGTATGGGTCGTCAACATCGTGGTAGGATACATTAACAAATACCCCAGGTGGGATAGCTTCGAAGTGCCCTAGACCGTTTGGGGTAAGTGAGAGCGCTGCTTCCTGGTCAACACGATGACAAGGATACGGTCACCTCCTACCACAGTTGAACTTCCAAGCTCAACAACAAACAGAGAGTGGTGAAGACCTTAAGAGTATTAATAGAGAGTCATCGAACGGCTGGCATCTTTGAGGTATCCCATTTTCTACCCAGTGCTACTACTCAACATTCATTCCTTGGAAACTTAGCCTCGCTCGGAGTTACACCCTGACTTCTGCCTTCTCTGCAGGCTTTCGCTTATCTTATCGGGCCCCTCACCGACCGTTGGTCCGGCTTGCTTTCTCCATCCTTGACCCCAGGATTCGGTGCCTGCTAGCAGCCCGGAGCTCTCCAAGGACCCTGATAGTCCACCACTGGAGGACCCTGCAGCCTCCGCCGTCTCCATCTGTTCTCTTCAACTTTTTTTTGGCCGGCAGACCATCGTCATTGAGCTGCCTCGTTCTCTAACAGCTACAGAGTATAATCACTTGTTCGAACTTTTCTTGGCTCTTGTCGCTGTGTAAAAATGCGTTTCTCATCATCCTCGGCTCTATTGGCCCTGCCGCTGCTGGCCTCAGCTCAGGGCGAGCAGTTCGAGCAGTACAAGGCACAGTTCCAGAATTTCCTCGGCCAATTCAGCTCCTACGTGCCAAACCCCAGCAAGCATGACCCCGTTGGAGCTGCCGAGGCCAAGGTCGGCGAGATGAAGCTGAACGTCTTGACGCTGGACAACTGGAAGGACACCCTTTATTCGCCCGTCAAGCCCGAGTCCACCAAGCCCGAGGAGTGGTGGGTTCTGATCTCGGGTGGGAACAAGACTTGCTTTGGTAGGCCCCATTTTGTGGAATCCGGATGCATTCTGATTTGACGCCCGTGCTGACCATGCGACAGGCCACTGCTTGAAGGTCGAGGAGGCCTTTAACCAGACAGCCGCCAAGCTCGCCGTCCTGCCTGACGCCCCTCACGTCGGATTTGTCAACTGCGACGACCAGCCCATCCTTTGCAATGCTTGGTCCGCTGGCGCCGGCAGCCTGTGGCTGTTCGAGATGCTCCCGCCTCCCGCGCCCATCGACATCTACGTCAAGCGCATGAACCTGTCCACGACCGACAGCAACACCTTCTTGGAGCTGTACAAGACCCGCGAGGACAAGAGCCAGTTCAACAAGAAGGACGGGTACTTCCATCCCTTCGATGGCGAGCTCGCCCAGTATGGCGTGGCTGTACCTATCGCATACGCCCTTTGGGGACTCAGCGTTGTCCCCAGCTGGGCAATGATGCTGGTTGTCTCCTTCGTCAGCCGGACTTTCATGTAAGTCACACTAAGGTCACCGTATGCAACATACAAGGTCGCTAACGCCAGCCAGGTCTCGACGCATGGCTCCTCCACCCGGTGCACCCGGTGGCCGCGGTGCCGCTCCCGGGGGTGCTGCCGCCGCGCGGTAAAGGCCCAACCTTTGCGCATGACGAGATGTTGTACGAGGTGATACGCGTGATGCCCAAACTTTCTGGGGGGTCTTTGTGTTTTTGCTTTGTCACGGTTGGGCGGGGGAACTGGTTTTGTACACTTATCATCCGGGCGTGTTCGCCTCATCGGGATACGCCTGCTAGGCACCTATTTAATGTCTTGCCTGACATGTCTCTTGAACGTTTTGTAGGCCTTCCAGAACCTGCTCTGTGAGCTGTCCGTTGGATAATCGACCGTACCGCAGGTCGCTCATGTTGCCGACGGTTTGCTTGATAGACTGCAATAGCTCAGCCTCTTCCCTCTCAAGGGCCTGTATTGAGGCATCAAGCTCCTCTGCAGAACTAGCTAATTCCGGGATGATGGAATTGATGTCATGCTTTGAAACAGGAGCTCCTGATGCTGCACCGTAAAGCTGTGATGCTGTTAGAAGTCTGGCCTCACGAAAGAAGCCAGCTAAAATTAGTGGCAAAGGACAAACCTACAGCTCTCTCGATATCAATCTCGTCGTCGATCTCATGGTCTTCGGCCTCACGCTTTGCCCTTAAAACCTCCCGCCGTAGTGCCTTGGCCCGTTTCGCTTCAGTCTCAATGTTGGATGCCACAGCATCGACGAGCGTGTTTCTCTGGATCTGAAGATCTCTGTAGAGTCTCTTGACCTGCGGGGATGACTGCTGCGCACGAGGAAACAGATCTGTGAATTCCTTCAGGGAGACGATGGCCGGCAGCTGTGCCGGGACCAGGAGGTAGTTGGCAAGGATTGTTGACTCGGTGGGTGCCATGTTTGGCGGCGTGTCTGGTGACCTCGACGCCGGTTGTTCTGTTCTGCTTTGTTTTGGGACAAGTAATCTAAAGTGTAATCTACGGGACGAATTTTCATATCGTCACGGAAACTCTTAGCAGGCGAACGGTGGCCTTCCCGTTTTGTAATGACTGGCTCTGTTGTGTTGCAAGAGGAGTGAATTGGCCTGCTTGATTGATTGGGGGGCGGCAATCGTAGCGCGCCTGCCTCGAGACGCGCTTCTCGACTCGCCTGGTCCCGTGACACTCCTGTAACGGGCTTCCTTTCTCACTTTGGTCCTCAACGTCCAACCTCTCTCTTCCTCACCCAACCCACCTGGCACTCTCGATTGCAGCAGACTGCCCTGGAGACTCGCCGTCCTTTGAGATTCGTTTAGTGTCACTCGACTTCCATAGCTCCCCGTTCACTGTCAGCAGGTACACTGTCACCAACATGGCGCCTTCTTCCAAGCCGGCAGCTCCCCCCTACGCCAAGGACGAGAAGGTCTTGTGCTTCCATCATGACATGCTGTACGAGGCCAAGATCATTGAGATTGATTCCACCGAGGAGGGTGGCTTCCGGTACAAAATTCACTACAAGGGCTGGAAGGCCACATGGGATGACTGGGTCCCTCAGGACCGAATCCGCAAACTGAACGATGAGAACCGCGAGCTTGCCGCCCAGCTCAACCAGCAGGCTCGTGCGAGCATGCAGAAGAAGTCTGGCCCGGCGAAGAAGGCAGGTCTGAAGAATGGTTCCGACTTCAGCTCGGCTAGAGGCAGTGAGGAGAGATCGGGTGCTGCGGCCACCATGTCTGGGCGAGGCCGGAAGAGAGATTTTGACTTGGAGAATGTGAGTACTAAACCCCGTTTCCTATTGTGGCCCACCCATTTTATTATGTGTTCCATTGTGTCTCCGGCTTGGATCTATTGAATGGGCTGTGAATGGAGCGTCTTTCCCGAGTACTGGGGGAATACGGCTGGAGTGAAGGTATTTAAACCCAAGAGTCCCAACCGCATCACTCGCGGTTTTCCCGCCAACGTTGCCATAGGCTGTCTTAAAAAGCCCAAAGCTCGTTTGTGCAGAGACTCCCTACAGCTGCGCTGGATTTCAGTGACCCAAGAATCGACGTTCCTGGGTGAAAGGTTGCCGGCACGGACATCAACCTCCACCTCTCTGTGCTTTTGACACACCGAGCTCTCCTCCCACTTGACCAAAACCTCAACGTCAAGGCAAACTCTGCAAACATCGAGATTCGTCTTTGCCGTCACCAGGGCATTTGATTCAGCGTGAATCTGCATACCCACGACAGACAGGCGTTTAAGGCAAAAGTTGTCGGCATCTGCTTGGCGTCAATCAACGCGACGCCAGCTTTCAACCTTCCTCACGTCAACGTCAACACTTGCACAGCAAGCTCGGCAACACACGACCCTCGCGCAAGGCTTCCGCAGAGCTCTTTGCAGCTTCAGCACTACTCGTTCCTGAGGTTTGGTCAGTTTTGGGGTCACATCAATCTCATCGACGCATTGCTTCCGTGACGCGACCCCTCCCTTTTCATCCATCACCCAAAAACAACCACAAACAAGGCCGTGTTTACGACGGAAGCTCAGCTCATTTAACCTCTACGGCTGAGCAACCTCAAAGTCAACATTTCCGAGCACGCTGCCTTCAACGGCGTGCCATTGATCTTGACTCTGCACCAATCGCACTCCCTCAATCAATCCGTCAGTACAGCCTCTTCGACCACCTTTGCATCATCACCAGGTCCGAACCACTTCAAACGGTTCCTAGCCCCACCATTCGCATCGACCTGATGGACGCAGCGTTCGTCAAGAAAGAGGCAAATTGGTACAAAGCCTCCCTACGCTACGACAATCTCTCCAAACTGCCCCCTGAAACCCTTTCCCAATCAAATCCTGAATTCAAAAAGGCCCTCCACGACTTCTACTTCAAATCCACCGATGAGGGATTGAAGTCCAATTTCATAGCCGACGAGTATCGTGACCCTTGGCCTGTCCCTTACAAGCGGGCGAAGCCGAAGAAGAGGGAGGAGACCCCGGAGTCTGAGGAGGAGTTGACCGCCGGGATTCCTCCAAAGGACAGAGAGGAGTTCAACGAGGAGCTGCGTAGCTTCATGCAGGAGCATTGCCCGAGCGACCTTGAGGAACTTCCAGACCCCATCGTCACAAAAACCGCCAAAGCCGAAAAGGCCAAAAAGGCAGTCATCAACAGAGAGAAACGCGCTGCAGCGAAGGCCAGGTCAACCATGCCCCCGCCTCAGCACACTCGCAACACCCGCCTCAGGGCCAAGGCCGCCCAGGCCACCACAGCGGCTGATGTCCAGGCTCCGACTGGCGATGCCACTGCGACAAAGGATGCTACCACCACGGTAGCCGCACCTGACGCGGACGAGGACACAGTGAGAAGCAGGCGGCTCAGCGAGCCTCCTTTCAACTCATTCATGCGCGACACGCGCGCAGCCATGACCCAGAACGAATTCAAGAGTCGCCCAGTACTAGGTGTTGTGCCCAACAGCTACTATGCTGCCGTGAACAATGCCTACAACAGCGTCTACCCAAAAGCCAGGTCATTGGGTGATGAGCCCATTGGCAACGACATTCCACGTGCTCCCGCAAATGGACAAGAGCCAGCAGCAAGCAAGCCGGAAACAACTACCATCACTGCGCCCGAAAACACTACGGTGCCTAAGAAATCTGCGGCTCCCAAGCCAACAGCACGCAAGACTCCAGCGCCCAAGACTGCAGCACCCAAGAAGTTGGTGCTAATCAAGTCTGCGGCTACCAAGAACGGTACAAGTAAGGCGGCATCTATCAACACCGCCAACAGCAGCGTGGGCAAGGGTAAATCGGCAGTTATCAAGCTTCCAAGGGCTGTCAAGGCCTGTGACCCTTGCCGAGCGCACAAAACCCGTTGCACCGGAGGCACACCCTGTGACGCCTGTGTCAGAAGAGGTTTCAACTGCGTCTACGTCCCGGGTGGAAGAAAGACACCCGTGAAGCGAGCTCGTGAAGACAGCCAGGAGATAGTGAAGAAGGAGCCCCTCGACAAGGACGCAGAGCAGGAGGGCCGGCCAGCGAAGCGAGCGCGCAAGGAGAAAGCAACTTCTACCAAGACGGACTCCGCCAACAGCTGTGACGGCACGGCTGAAGCTCCCAATGCCCAACCCTCGAAGATACTGCCCTCCATCGAGGAGCTTCCTGAGGACAGCGAGGGACCGAGTGCTCAGCCCTCGAAGATGCAATATCTCAGCCAGCCCAAGATTGGCAAGAACGCGATGATCCAGCCCACCAAGATACAGTCCTCCTACTCCGGTCGGATCACGCGAAGTCGTAGCCGTCAGTTGAGTGAGGAAGCGGAGGCTCAGACTGCAAAGCTGCAGTACAAGGGCAAGCGAGCGCGTGAGGAGACAGAGGAGCTCCTCGAGCGCCCTGCAAAGTTGCAGCGCGCGACGCGCAAGGGCCCCAACTACCGCAAGCCTGATGGCAACCCCAAGATACTTCGAGCGATCGACTCCATGAGCGTTGACTCCGAGGGCAACGCCCAGACGGACTCGCCGTGGGAAGGCTATGACTACGAAGCCACGTGGATGAGCCACACGTACATGGAGTGGGAGAAGTCATTTGATTGGCCTGATCTTAACCTGAAGTCACAGGACGAATCCTTCCACGCTCGACCCTCGATCAAGCTTGTCATGACCGATGTCCTGAAGGGGATTCTCGTGGATGACTGGGAGCATGTCACCAAGGACTCGCAACTTGTCCCACTGCCGCACGAGCAACCGGTCGTCAAGATTCTGAACGACTACCTGGAAGATGAGATGCCAAAGCGCGAGGAAGATTCCGCTCAGGTCGACATTCTCAAAGAGACGATCGCGGGGCTTCGCGAGTACTTCGATCGAGCCCTTGGTAGAATCCTCCTCTATCGGTAAGCGTTGTGCCTCGATAAAAATCTACCGCACATGACAGACTCGGCTAACCCTGGCTCCAGCTTCGAGCGATTGCAGTACTCTGAGTTGCTCCCACAATGGGAGAACGAGAAAGACGGAGGACCGAGCAGTGTTTATGGAGGCGAACATCTTTGCCGACTGCTTGGTAGGTTGTGATCTTGTATCTCCTTCTGTGACGTGATGAACGCAACTAATCTCTTATTCAGTCTCGCTGCCGGAGCTGCTTGCCCAAACCAACATGGATCAGCAATCTGTCAGCCGCCTTCGCGAGGAACTGACCAAGTTCACCAACTGGCTGAGCAAGAACGGCCAGAAGTACTTTGTCCGAGAGTACGAGGTTCCCGGGCCAGAATACCAGGAAAAAGCCAAGAGCTCCTAGCAGAAGCCCAAGCGAATCACTGGTTTCGAGCGTGAGGAACAACATGCCCCACAAGGAGTGAAGAGGGGTGGCGGATCGCAGTCTGCGGCTGTTCCGGCCAAGAAGCGTCGACCTTATCGACCTTCCATCATGGGCTCTAGACGATGATCGACCAAGCCCGACATTGGGGAAGCAGTGTGGCCAGTGCAATGATGACGGCTGCTGCAAGCCTTTTCCTTCCAACGACCCAAATTATTTTGAGTACAGCAACGCGAGGACACCCGTCGGATTGCAACCTGCTAGGCAGCCTGTGCTGTCAATACCGAGTGGTGATCAGATTTTGAGAACCACTACGAGGAACTCGCAATTACGACACAACCGAAGAAAATCGTATCAGATATGTACACTTTTGATGCTCAGTCGGCTGGGCTACGATATCGACTCGTCTTTGCCACTTATTCTTACGACTGCGATCTTGTCATTCACGCACGAGACCGCATTGAAAATGCCATGAGAGGGGCAGAGTTTGCCCTCACAAGACCGTGGGATGACATCTTCCCAGCCTGCGTTCTAACAAACTTTTGGCCACGATTGCGGTGGCTGGTCAGGATTTCTCGAAACTTGTTCGAGCACAAAAGAATGGAGAGGGTGGAATTGCGACTAGTCTGAAGCTTGTGGTCTGGCCTTGATGCGATGAGGCAACTACGATCACGGCTATGAATCCGTCATGTTGACGGAAAATACGACAGGGGTGTTGTGCTATTCCATGCTGGACAGATGGTTTTCGTTTTTTTCTTCTGAGGCTCTGTCACTATTACCGCCTTACGACGTGTCAAGGCATTGTGACGGTGACCACCGCGGCTTCAGAACGGTATTTGATGAGAAGTGAGATTCAGGGATGGTAATTTGTTGTTCGATGGAGAACGGACCTGCGTCTCTGGAAGTCTTGGTCACTGCCGCCTCTTTATTGTTGTTTGGTGAGGCATCTTTTCATGCAGTGGACCGTTGAGGCTTGAGATGCAGGCAGGCATGATGAAAGTGGAAAGTTTAGTTCTGGGGCTTTGATATCTGCCGCCTCTGGTCATTCTCGACGAGGCACTGTTGCGCAGAAACGTTCACGGCTCCGGACTCATACAGTATTTGTGTACATTAATGAATCAAAGGGAACTCGGTACAATGGTCTTTGTGACCCTTGTCCACCGTGCGTGACAATTTACGGCCCGTAATGTGGGCATGTATTCTTCTCGACTTGCTTTCTACGCAGACGGACCCAGACAACACCGCCTCATAACTGCCAGCTGTGGCAGCAAGAGTCAAGAGTGGGGTGGATATTCATACAACCGGAATGTGTCCACCGGGACCATGACTGTGAGTGAGCTCCTCCATGAATAGTGGCAGCCCACGAGGAGCTGCATTGTGCCCTCTACATACACAGCGGTCCATCGAGGACCTCGACCCTACCCCAGCCTGAGCTGACGCTTACCATCTTCCTCACAGCGTCACGCACACCTCCCAAAGAGCATCGGATAGATCCATTCCGCCCTCAGTGCTCTGAGTGATACTCATACGGCACGCCCATCCATCCCATCTCATTCTATGCCTCTTCGGTCCCAGTCCTCCCTCATGACTGCCCGGCCCTCCTCTCGACCCAGAACCCCCGGTCGGGCGTCCTCTCGGCGCGCAGCTCGGCGGCGCTCAGGCGGCGCCCGACCTCCTCGACGCGCACCAGCTCCTTGACCTTCATGATCATGCCCGCGAACTGCGGCTCGGCCGGGTGGAAGACGGTCTGGCAGCGGCGGTGCAGGCCCAGCGCCGCGAGGACGCCGCGCGTGCGCTCCGGCAGCCCGATGGCCGAGCGGTGGAGCGTTATGCGGAAGTAGGACGGGGCGGCCGCGGCTGCTGTTGTTGTCGTGGCTGCTGCTGCCGCCGCGACTGCTGTTCTTGTTGCTGGGGTGGACATCTTGGTTGGCTGGTGGGTGTGTGGATGGTTCGTTGCTTTCGTCCGGCTGGGTGGTGTAGCCGTGGGGTGGGAGACGGCCGAGATCGGGGGGGTTTCGTCTGGCAGCCCTTCCAGCCGTTGTTTCGTGCGGTGGAAACGTGACAGGCCTATCTGCATAGGAAGGTAACAAGATCGTGTGAGCTTCTTGGTCGATCATGCGCGCGTTGGGCATGGGTTCCTCTTGTCCATACCTTTGCGCCCCGTTCTCAGGGACCGTGGGCTACAGAAATCAGATGTGTCTTGGCAAGCGGAAGTAATGGGCACTGCTCGAATCCCACTACTGGGCGAATTGATCCGTCAAAGCAAAGTACAACGATGTGGTGGCGGTATCTCAGTTGTCGCAACCGAGTGCCTCCAAAAAATCACAGGCCCCGGCAGGCGAGGAAGATGTCGGCCTTGGTCCGTGCGCCTCTCACAGGGCGGATGGTTTATCTGTGAAGGCAGTCTATCTCATTAATCCGTAAGAACAAATACACGAAAATTACCGCTAGCCAATGCACAATTGATATACTACGGTGGTAAAGCGGTCGAAGCTTGCATATGTTTGGTCAACAGTGTACCTCGTACCTCTTCATGAAATTTCATTTGCCTTCTAATTGTTTAAGAATTGCATCAGACCCGGCCCAGACCTAATCATTACTACACGAGGTTTCATAAAAAGGGTGAAACATCCATCATGGCTCCCGCTTCTAGATATGTGCCTTTTCCTTCCGCCAGCTTCTCTTACACCTGCACCTCCACACGGCCCTCGCCGCCTGGACGTCCCTGTTGGGCGAGGCTGGGCAGCAGGTAGGTAATGTCGTCCCATGGGTGACGGTACAGACCGGTGCGCAGTCTCTTCTGGTCCAAGAAGTGGGCAATCAGACCAATCGACCGGCCGAGCACGAACAGACCGTTCAGGACACCCATGGACAGGTAGTCCTCAGCCTCCTCGCTGCTGAAAGCACCGCAGTTGCGGAGCAGATCGACGAAGCAGACGGCGATGCAGCCGTCGACGTTCAGGATCAGGTTGTCCTTCTTGGACGTGGTGACGGTCTCGACAGCCAGGGCGTAGTCGAGCAGCTTGGTGCTGGGGAACCTGGACTTGACGAACTCCTTGACCAGCTCGACACGCAGGTCAGGGTTGTTCCGCGACTTGATACGGTGGCCAATACCCGGGATGAGCTTGTTGGCCTTGCGCATCGAGTCGACAAAGTCACGCGGGCTGAGGCCCTTGTCAAAGGCCTTGGTGAACTCCTCCGCAGCACCATCCAGGGCACCACCGAATCGAGAACCAATAGTAAGCAGACCGCTGACCAGCGCGCTGATCAGGTCCTTGCCGGCACGGGTGGTGATGATGGTGTTCATGGCACCAGACACGGCAGGACCGTGATCGGCCGTGAGCATGAGGACCATCTCCAGGAACTTGGAGGCGTAGTCAGGCAGGCGGCGTCGGAACCACAGGAGGGACATGACACCACCGATACCAATCTCCTCCTTGAACACATCCGAAATGGGCATGCCAGCGTACAGAAGCTCTTGGCCACGGTCGTCGGAGATGGTGGAGATGAAAGCAGCAGGCTTTCGGATAAGGCCGAGCTCTTGCGCCCAGGAGTAGTCCATGGGGATCTTGGGCACAGCGGGCTCAGCCTGGGGCTGGATTGTGCCCTTGGCAACGAGATCGTCGTAGACCTTCTTCAGGACCTCGGGCATGGCCTCGAAGGTGTTGGGGACGTGGAAGCCAGCCTCGGCCATCTTCTTGTTCTTCATGGCGGCAGTCTCGAGCTGAGAGTTGGCGAAAGAACCGGCGTGTCCGAACTGGACCTCGGTCTTGAACATGCTCGCGCAGGTACCAATGGCCCAGGCGACGATTGGCTTGGTGATGATACCCTGCTTGACGGCCTCGACCACCTTGTACTCCTCCACACCACCAACCTCACCCAGGAGCACCAGGATCTTGCACTCGGGGTCGGCCTGGTACCTCAGCAAGTGGTCGATGAAAGTGGTTCCGGGATACCTGTCACCGCCAATGGCCACACCCTCGTAGACGCCATCCGTGTTGTTGGAGATGATGTTGTTCAGCTCGTTGGACATACCACCAGACTTGGAGACGTAGCCAACGGAGCCCTTGCGGTACAGCTTGGAAGCAACGATGTTGTCCATCATACCACCAGTGTTACCGATCTTGAAGCAGCCGGGCTTGATACCACCAACAGTAGCGGGACCAATGATGGTCACGCCCCTCTGCTGGGCGACGTGGGCGATCTCACGAGCACGCTACGGAGGAAATTAGCGCCAGCACCACGGCAGTCTTGAATATGGGTCCTAACTCACTCGCTCTGGCACACCCTCAGCAATGATGGCGATAGTCTTGATCTGGGGGTGCTGCATCAGCTCCATGGTGGAGCTGTAGACACTTCGGGAGGAGGCGAAGTTGACGACAACATCAACGTCAGGGTGCTTGGCCGTGGCCTTGTCGACCTCCTGGTAGACGGGCAGGAGGGTCTCGCTGGTGCCCCAGTACATCTTGCTCACGAACTGACCGCCGAAAGTGTAGATGATGCCGGCGACGGACGGTGTGGATCGCTTGCAGATGAAGTCGAAGTCCAGCATGCCCTGGACGGCACGGGGCTGCATGCCGTAAACGAAGCATCGCGTCTTGTCGTTGAACAGGGCATGGCTGGGGAGAGGGCTGAGAGCCCGGCTGGGAGCGGCAAAACGGGTGATGTTGTCGTTGGCAGACAGGCCCTTGCCTGTCGTGCCGTTCACAGTGGCCGTAGACATGGTCGTTCTGGGTATCTAGAGGGTTGGCTTCTCGAACAACTTGAAGGGAAGACCTGTTGGGAGCACCGCATCAGCATGACGATCATTCTTCTTGCAGTCGTGCCTTTTAGGTCACTTTCCCGCCGGAGTTGACGGTGTCTGCGCATTTTTTGTTTCATATATCCTCGCGACACAGTATGTTCTGCGAGTTCAAGCATGGTCTCTCCAGGCCGACCATTCGGATCTGCCACGGAGCCACCCCCAGCTTGCGCAGCACAACCAAACATGCACAAACAGACGGAACAGACTGGGACCACATACCTGTCTCAATTCTTCGCGTCTAGCAGTCCTAGAGCTTTGAGGTGTGTCAAGTTCACTAAGGCTGGAGCGAGGTCAGGAAAGAAGACTCAATGGCCAGGAGTGGGTATGTGAATTGAGAGGGGGGAGTTTTTTTGTCGTGGTGCTTTGCTCAGAGGCAGAGGAGCGATTGGGAGAGCAGACGGGCGGGCAGGCAGGGGTCAAAGGGAGGAAGTACCTGTCCGGTGTGGAGCTGAAAGCGTGGTCTGGTGGGATGGGAGAGAGGGTGGATGGACTGGGGGGAGGGAGAGATCGATGCAACGAGGCAGTGGGCGAGGGGCAGCAGCGATGAGAGAGAGGATGGGTACCGGTGGTGCTTACTGGGTCTAGGTGGGTGGGCAAGCTGGTTTTGCGACGATGCCGATGACGAGATGGTGTCCTGATGGTAGAGCAGATAGTTGTTCCTGTTCGTTGGAATTTCCTGGTCCGTCTGCTCTGACCCCTTCGCTTTGCTCGTCCCTTTCCCTTTTCCCAATCTTGCGGCGGCGATGAGCTGGGAGCTGACGGCCACTGGGCTGGCTAGCTAGCTACTGTGACGGCGAGCGAGTGACCTCTGAAAAAGTTGGGGAAGTTCCTGGTCTGTTGGCTCAGTTCTTGTTGAAAAATACGATGAGCGCGCAAGGGTAGATACCTCCGATTCAGCTCAGATCCCTGCCCGCGCCAGTGGGTCGCGCCAATGCGCTGTGTACCGGTACTTGGGGCCCTGCAGGGCTGCACAAGGTGCAGACGCCATCCCCGAGCTGGGCAGATGGGCTGAATTCCAATAATTGCAACTCCAACCCAGGCCCTCCCAAACCCGAGAAGTCGACCTGGAAACATGCCGACCGGTAGATGACTCCCCGTCCCTTCTGTTCGGAACTGCACTGCATCAACACTTGGTTGATTGGTTCATCGACTGATTGATGATGGATCCATTGACTGATCCAGGGACGGACTGAATCACTCTGTCACGCTGCCTCAGGGGGGCGAGTGACCATCAAAGGAATAAGCATGGCATGCCTGCAAGTCCGTGGTCGCAGCTAAATTTACTTAGCTCACTACCCGTCGCGCTAGGGGCTGCCAACATGTTTTAGGGGAGGATCGTCATCAAAATGGCAAAGCCCAATATCAACAACTGGTGGCACCACTCGATGCCCTCGCATGAACTAGATCGGTGCGTTGCGGCTTGACGAACTGCCGTACTAGAAGGGCAACGGCTAGAGAATCCACGGCAGTAGTAGTAGCAGCAGCAACAACGATAAGATGAGATGGGCCGAAACAGTCAGTAAGCAGCCCGGTCGGGCACCCGGGCACCGATTAGCCGGGCTCGTCGCAGTCAGCCGCTGCCCACTGACAGGTTTCTCCGAGCCTGAACCTAATGAGTCCAGGGCCGAGATGGGACAAAAGGGAAAGCATTCCAGCGGTGACGAAGAATGAGACTGCGCAGGACATTGCCCTTGACGGGCCCCCACGCCCCTAGGCAGAGGGTGTACTACGGAGCAGGAGTGTTGCAGCGTGCTGCAGAGAAATGCAAGCAATACAGTAGCCATCCTACCACTGTCAACCAGCCAGCAGCCAGCCTGCAGTCGGCACAGCGACTCGGATTGTCCCCAGCCTGGTTCCGTTCGCCGGCGGACTTCTGGCGGGACAATTGAGCCGGGGGCATGTCTTCGCCTTGTACCGATAAAAGTGACGAGCAGCTCGGTCGGCTGAGTCAGAGAAAGCCGAAGCCGTGGACGGTGACCAGCGCCGTGAGGATGACCGTCTCTTGGCTCTTTGGTTTACCGAGTACTGCCACTGCTTGTGTCTGGGGGTCTGACAACAGCAGTGTGCACGCATGTGGTTGTGTCGGGAATGTCTGAATTGGCAGTAGACTGACTCGGGTGCCGAAAGGGAAGTTTTTGCATCCTTGCCGCGGCTGACGACAAGAAGGCCACACCTTGATTGCGCTCTGGGCATGCCAGCCTAGGCTTCTCAGGGCTTCCATCTGGAGGCACTTGCTCTCGTAAATTGAGTATGGAAGGGACGGATGGACCAAAAACAGTAAGAACGTGCGAAGCTGCGAGGATTGCTGCGTGATTGCCCAGTGGTTGCGTGCGTTCGTGCATCCTCCTCTTGGGCTCTTTTTTTCGGGATGTTGCTTCTTTGGCCTTCTTCGCAGTCCGACCCCTGATCTTCCCTTCCAGGTCCGCGCCGATTGTGCAGCTCGGATGTGCTAGGCGACTTGCCATGTACCGGTACCTGCCCACTTAGACCGCCCACCGATTGGGACCGCCCCAAAGCTTTTTGTCCGGGGTGGGCTCTTTGTACCTTTTGCCGTAACCCCCTGTGGGCTGGGCCCCTGCATGCCACTCAGCAAATTCCCCTCCAGTCCCCGCCCTTTCGCACACCAGCTGTGGAAAGTTCTCAGTACTGAACCCTGCCCAGCGGCCCCAGGTGGTGAGGTGAACTTTTGGAGCTCCCCGACCTTGTCCACCCTCCAACGCCCACGCCCGCGCCTGCTCTCAAGTCCACCCCAATCCAGCTCAGCCGGGTCCGGTCTTCGTCCTTGAATTTTTTGAACAGGCACACTTGCACCTGAGCAAACAAACCGATCGTCATCAAGACTCGAAGAACAGAGGCTCTCATCTCGTCTCCCACGAACCTTCCACAGTCCCTCAGGCTGTGCCATCTCGACTTCAATTGTGAGCACCCATTCCTGGCGAGAGCACATCGCACACATCACACGCCCCCCCGCCCCTCATCACCCCTAGACAGGCTCAGAACTCTTCGGGCGCGAACAGGCACTGGCGGCTTCGCAGGCCTGAACCTGCCCTCGAGCTGGTCCTCAGTCGCTTCTCACCTCGCTCTTCTGATGCTGGAGCCAATGCCGTGCCCAATTGCGCTTCTCGGTGCTAACATTGCGTCTTGGTAGTAAAACAGGCGCAAGCCCGACATACGAGCTCACCGTTTGCTTCGCGACTGTGGATTTGACGATCCATAAGGGGGGTAGAACTCACAGCACAACGCCACAAACCACATCCGGCTTGTACCACATACCTTGATCTTGCGTCAAAATGTCCGCAAAGTCCATTACCGAAGCTGATGGCAAGGCCATCCTCAACTACCACCTCACCCGCGCCCCCGTCATCAAGCCCTCTCCCCTGCCGAAGCCAACCACGCACAACGCTCCCCCAAGGCTCGCTTCTCTGTACTTCCCAGAGGACGCCGCTGTCGAGGATGTCCTGAACCAGGCCGAGGTCACCTACCCATGGCTGCTCCAGGACGGCGCCAAGTTCGTCGCGAAGCCTGACCAGCTGATCAAGAGGCGAGGCAAGAGTGGTCTCCTGGCCCTGAACAAGACCTGGGCCGAGGCAAAGGCCTGGGTTGCTGAGCGCGCCGGAAAGCCCCAGAAGGTCGAGCACGTCGAGGGTGTCCTGCGCCAGTTCCTCGTCGAGCCTTTCGTGCCTCACCCTTCAGACACTGAGTACTACATCAACATCAACTCAGTCCGAGATGTAAGTTTGATTCCTCTTCTGCGCTTCGGATAGGATTTTCATGGCCAATGGATGCGGCGGCGGTGCGGATCGGTTCTGGGTCGGCAGCAAGTGCGAGCACACCCACAAATGGAGATGGTCCCGGCGGAGGTTGCTCGAGCACATTTTCTCGGAATTTCCGTCCACGACTTCACTTGTGGGAGAGAGCGGATGAAGAGGCCGGGAAATCTGCTTGGCTTTATAAGTGCCCAAAAATGGCCCTGTCCCGTGCTGGTGGATACCAGGCAATTTGGCTCCCGTGCAGGCTTAGTTTGCGGACGAACGGAAGGGCCAAAAGGGTGACTCTAAGCGGTCTGCAGCCCGAACTGCGGGCCGGTATCAACCACCTCTAGCCCTCCTTGATACCGTTGCACCCGGCCTCTGGCCCCTAATCTCTTCCGAAAGCTCGCGGCACCTTCCTAAACCCGTTCGGCGTTTTTGTGCCGTTCCTCATGCAGCCTGCTAACGCGCCTCGCTTCACAGGGCGACTGGATTCTCTTCACACACGAGGGTGGTGTTGATGTCGGCGATGTCGACGCTAAGGCCAAGAAGCTCCTGATTCCCGTCGACCTCTCCCAGTACCCAACCAACGAGGAGATCGCCAACGTTCTCCTCGCCGATGTTCCCAAGGGTGTTCACAATGTCCTGGTTGACTTCATCACGCGGCTGTACGCTGTGTACGTCGACTGCCAGTTCACCTACCTCGAGATCAACCCTCTCGTTGTCATCCCCAACGAGAATGCCACATCCGCCTCCGTGCACTTCCTGGATCTTGCTGCCAAGCTTGACCAGACCGCAGACTTCGAGTGTGGTGTCAAGTGGGCCATCGCCCGGTCGCCTGCCGCTCTGGGTCTGACCAACGTTGCGTCCAAGTCCGGCTCCGTCAATGTCGATGCCGGCCCACCAATGGAGTTCCCCGCTCCTTTCGGCCGTGAGCTGTCCAAGGAAGAGGCTTACATTGCTGAGCTCGATGCCAAGACCGGTGCTTCGCTGAAGCTGACTGTCCTGAACCCCAACGGACGTATCTGGACCCTGGTCGCTGGTGGTGGTGCTTCAGTTGTGTACGCCGACGCCATTGCCTCCGCTGGCTTCGCGGATGAGCTCGCCAACTACGGGTACGTCAGCCAATCTGAGTGTGAAAATGTACTAGGTGAATCTAACTATGCAACAGTGAGTACTCTGGCGCGCCCACTGAGTCGCAGACCTTCCACTACGCCCGCACTGTTCTGGACCTGATGCTGCGCGCACCAGTGTCTGACCAGGGCAAGGTACTGTTCATCGGAGGTGGTATCGCCAACTTCACCAACGTTGCTTCCACCTTCAAGGGAGTCATCCGCGCTCTGCGGGAATACGCCAAGGCTCTGAAGGAGCACAACGTCAAGATCTGGGTGCGTCGTGCCGGTCCCAACTGGCAAGAGGGTCTGAAGAACATGAAGTCGGCCACTCAAGAGCTCGGCCTGGACTCGCATATTTTCGGCCCTGACATGCACGTGTCGGGTATCGTGCCCCTGGCGCTGGTCCCTGGCGAGTGGGAGAAGTCGAAGGTTCAGGAGTTCCAAGGTTAAATGTAACACATGGTGGTGTTTTCCAGAAACGAGTTTGGGAGGACGGTCTTATAGATGCGCATTCCATATCCTCCCATGTGCCACGAGGCTGCTTTATGATATCAAGGCGGCGATATGAGGACGGTGATGAGACGAAAGCGAAAAACTACAACCTACTTAGGTATCCTACATTAGAGCTTCTTCCGTAATGTGATGCATTCTTGGAACAGACTTGCAGGTAAATCGCTGTTTGAGAATTTGTGGTGCTGCGGCACAGCTCGAAATCAGGGCGACATTGACGAGACAATCTGATGCGGGCGGCCGGCCGGGTTTGTCATACATAACCTCAGCCTCATCCAATGTTGGTATCCAGAGTCAATAAATGCAAGCAGCCTCTGCAGTAATTCCTTGTTTGTCATGACAACAGTGCCCAGACTCCCCTTTTGGATGCCAACTAACTCCACAGGTTCTCGGCGACTTTCACTTGGCCAGAACAGGGCACAACACCTGCCCCGATTTACCGACGGCGGAACAGCAGCATCTCTGTTTCTCTGACGACGACTTCAGGATACTTTGTCCATCCTTATAGACTTGAATATCTCTCTTCCCTTCCATATCCTCGCCGTTTCTCTCATTAAACCCCAACGCTGATAATATGGCCGCGGCAGCCGGCGGCGGGGCCGGCCCTCTCATCAACGACAACCCCGAGCTCCAGTCTTACTACCAGTCGCTCGAGTCCCGCGTCGGGTACCGGCTTGTTCTGGGCGGCACGCGTCATTTCGGATACTGGTATGTGAGCCTGCTTTTGCTTATATCTCCCCTTAGAATGCGCATCACTCCGAGGTCATGGGCTGGTACTGGAGAACTGGCATCGGCGAGAAGGGTCAGCGTTGCTGCCTGGTACGAGCGCACATGGGATGATGGGTCGCTGTCGTCTAGTGACGATGGCCATGGCATGATCACCACAGCGTGTGCTGTGCTGGTGATGAGGTATAATCAACAATGATATACCCGTTACCGTGAACAGCTTGCTGTGCAAGCCGCACTGAACTGGACTCTTGTTGTTGGTGAGGTGGGAGGGAAATGTTCCGTGCTGGGTTTCCACAGATGCTATAGGGAGTCCGTCATAGTTCATTGGATGTCCCTTTCTTGGTACTGCACTCCTTGCCTAATTATCCTCGTATATTCTCCTGAAGAGATGGATATTTGACGGATCTTTCTCTTCCTGGTCGTCCCGTTGAGGTCTGTCTCGCTGATACAGGATACACCAGGGACAATGACACATGGTTTCCATTCCCAATCACGCCCTCCCTGCGAAGAATGGAGCAGAAGATGTTCGAGCGCCTCAACCTGCCCGAGGGGGCCTCGGTGCTCGACGCCGGCTGCGGCATCGGCCACGTCGCGCTTTGCATGGCTCGCCATGGACTGGTACGTTTAGCCCCAGGATGTCTCCATGAGCACACCCTCCCAGTATTCATGCTAACCTTCCACCAGCGGGTCACGGCGATCGATGTCGTCGAGCACCACGTAGAAAAGGCGCGGCACAACTTCCGGCGGTCAGGTCTGCCGGAGGGCCAGGTCACGGCGCGGAGGGCGGACTATCACCACCTGGAGTGGATCGCGGACGAGTCCCTCGACGGCGTGTACACTATGGAGACGCTCGTGCACGCCACGGACCTCGACACGGTGCTTCGCGGATTCTACCGCATCCTGAAGCCCGGCGGGCGGCTCGTCGAGCACGAGTACGAGACGCGCGTCACCAAGGCCGAGGAGACGGGCAAACTGGCTGGCGACACCGACTTCGTCGTCAAATACAGCGCCATGCCGCTGGACCTGATGGCGCCGGGGCGGCTGAGGCGGGCGCTCGAGGAGGTTGGGTTTGTGGATGTTGATATTGTGGACTACTCGGAGAACGTGCGGCCCATGCTGCGACTGTTCTACTGGATGGCTATCGTTCCGTATTTTATCGTCAAGTTTCTGAGGCTGGATCGGTTTTTTATCAACACTATTGCTGGAGTTGGGGGCATGGCGGGCCAGGATCACTGGAAGTACATCTCTGTTAGCGCCAGGAAGCCTGGTGGTCCTGTAGAGTCGGCGAAGACGAAGTGAGATGGCAGGTAATGGAGAGATGAGGGGGATTTAACATCAAGGACACGGTTGTTGTTTTATCAGGGCAGGACTGGTGAGAGAGGTCGAGAGCATCGAGGTCATCACTGGGCGTCTGCGTTATGCCCCGGCACCCGCTGGATGGGCTCTCTGCTGAAGCCCTTCGAACGCCAGTATTTGGGAATTGTATTCGGCGCCGTCATTGGTGATGGATTTCGTGTTACTCCTTCCTATCTTGAAGGATACAGAGACTCGCACCTGCAAAAGCGGAGGGTACACCCGTACATCAACTCATGCCATAGCTGAAGCCCACCAGAGCACATCGCCTAGGCCAAATCCACACTTACACACCCAATACCCACACACTCATACACCTAACACCCAATACCTACACACCTAATTTACATACCTAATTAATGTGAATTGGGTGTGGCTGTTGGAGTGGCTGTTGGACGTGACTGTTGGATGTGTGAATTCTCATGTGGTTTAGTGTTGGCGATGTACCGGTGTACCCTCCGTTTTTGCAGGTGCGAGTCTCTGTATCCTTCTTGAAAGGGTGAGGCATAGACAAGCACCTGCCATATTTTGTCTTATTCCTCGACCGGAAGTCCCTCGACGACCAAGGCTCAGCCACACCTCGCCGTAGGTGATCATCTACATCGACAATTAATTCATGACATTGGATAGTCCATGATCAAGTAGCAACACTCCATGATCAACATTTGGCACCAGACGAGAAGTAATCACCCAAAATACACATTTTTAGACCTTGTCCACTGACCTTTGGGTATGCAGCCCCAACAAGATCTCAGGATGTCCTCTCCGCCTGTCTTGCTACCTTTGCTGTTCAGTTGCCTCAGGGAGACACACGAGGTGAAAGCAAAGGACTGTATTGTTTTTCGGTTCCCAAACGAGATATTGGCCTCCATTCTTGACTAGCTGATTGCGAATCGGGTCGACTTCGGATCGCTCGCCCTCGTCAACCAAGATTTCCGACAGCTTGCCCCGGCGTGCCAATTTCGTGATGTGATCTTCGATGGAAGCCATCGATGTTATGACGGAATTCTTGCTCATCTCATGTCGGAAGCCCTTGAGAGGCAGCAGAATCGCAGATCCCATGGACAGACTCAGAAACCCTCGCTTGGGGCATGTGTTGCGGGAGTCATCATCAACAATGGGGCGGGCTGGAAGAGCTCGGTTACATCCAGAGCACAAGAAGACGTCGAAAGCTCGAGAGTCAGGTTGTTGCCCACATCAAGGACTACCATGATCCCAATATACACTCGGTCATTCCAAGTTTGCCAAATCTGAAATGCCTGAATTTGTCAGGTGTCACACTCAGCCAGAGCCTACTCAACAGCTTGGTCGGATCCACCGTTCGGACCGTCACATTGGTTGCTAATACGACAGCCGGGTGTCCTCGCATGGGACCAGGGGTGTCCTGGCCCATCACCAGCCTTACCCTGAAGCTCTCTTCGAGCATGGAATCTCCTGGAAACCGTTCACTCTACTGGGAGAACATACTGCGCCTTTGTGCCCCTACTCTCGAGCGGTTGACTCTCTCGCACTGTTTCCCGAACTTCTACGGTCGCAAGCACAGGAGACAAAGTCCACTATCTTTCGACTTGAAGTTCCCTAGCCTTACTCACCTCGACATCAAATGGGCCAAGTTTCTTGACCCGTCCGCTTTACAGAGCCTGATATTGACGAGTCAAAAACTCCACTAGCTGAGCATCGACTGTACTGCAGAGGCGGTCAGGGAGTTAATGAATAGATCGGATGGGTTCAAATCCCTCAGATACCCTGGTGGCCAACTTCGAACCGAGGGGCAAATTCTTCAAGGGAATGACCGACATGCCTCTAAGCTTTATCAAGAACCTGGGGTATGTCCTGGGGGAAGTCACATCATTCGCGTTCACCCGAGCCGCCTCTCAAGCATTGTCAGAGCAGATACTTGCAGAAGTCCGCCATTTCCACAGACTCAAGAAATTGTTGGTGGTTGTGTGGGACAATGTGTGCGCTCTACAGCCGTTACTGGAGACCTTGTCGGCGAGCGTCAATAGATCACTCGAGGAGCTGTGCCTCATCATCGAAGTATCGGATCCGTCGATTCCATTTTTAGAATTCAGTCAAATCCAGCGAATACTATCTCCATCGCTCCGGGGGCTCAGGCGCCTCGTCGTGTCTTGCAGGAGAACCCACTTCTACAGGGCCACGGCTAGACCTCAGCCGTCAGCAGGTCCTAACCCAAACTTACAAAGTGCTGTTGCATATGCGAACGTATTCCCAGACCTAGAAGTTGTCCGATTGTGGGGTCATTTGATTGACATTGTCCGTGGTGAGGACGGGGTGCATGCCGAGTTCAGCACGAAGCAGTTTGATTTTCCTTTCCTCGGGGACTTCGACACTCTCGACGAACACAGAATGTGGGAGTGATCCTGCGCCCTGTCGAGATGAATGTCAAACGATACGTCACGTAATTCGCGTGGAAGACTGTGCCACGAAAGACTGTGTTGGAGTACCTCGATCAAGTCAAGCCCCTGGTACGACGAGAATTTGGGTAGTGATCAAGGTCCCAATCGGACGCAACAGAGTCAAACTGTGAGTATTTTTTCAGATATTTCCTGGTCTCTTTGTGAGGGACGGAAGAGATGCGAACCAGATGAACAGCGGCAATCCAGACCAAGTCCTAGGTTGAGGTCCAGGTCAGAAGGAGGCTTCAGTCTGCTTACACCGGGACAGATGGCATGGTCGCCATTTGCTTGTATCCATGATGTTGTCAGACTACTAGCGAATGAATATTACCTCAGCGTGGACTTGAGATTTTATCAAAAACTTGGAAAGAAACTGACTGTGAGCGCCATTGTCTGCTTTCGAGTAAGTACTGTAGAGACGTTGGACACGGCATGTGAGTCAGATGCACCCGTATATTGCTCCCACTCAATACAAACGCTCTCATTTGAGGCTCTCCAGCCTTTGAGCCGCGGTTTACAGCGGGAATGAGGCTCCTCTACGAGGAGCTGGAACTTGATCACATGCTCCAGAAGATTTCCTGCCTGTGGACCAGAAATTGTCATGTTCGTATTGCCTCGATTCATCTCACGCACTTGCGTCAAAGGCCAGTGGAGGAAGGGACCTCTCGGCGTATGAGTCTGGGGCCGATATCTCCGAGGTGAGCAACATGGCGAACTAGCCGTTTGTGCCTTGACAAGAGGACAGGACCAGCTCAAAGGCGCCCAGTACGGACAGGAATGGCCAAGGCTGGGCGAAGCGCATCCGCCAAGCGAGAAGCATTCCGACAGAGCCAGAGACGATGTTTTAGCGGCCGGGGCTTACAGAACTGTCAGCTTTATGGGGTCATGACGACAGCCTTGGGGGACGGCATGCAAGCGCCCAGCGTGTCGGGTGCTTGTGAGACGGTCGCTCACAGGCACCAGCTTTCCTTTTTTCGGGGCCTCTCGACTGTGTTGTTGAGATAGTTCCAATTGGCTGGTGTTGATATCAAGAAGCGTGAGCACGCGACCTTCTACCAGGCCCAAGGCATTCATCCTAAAATATCGAGGCTCAGCACCAGGCTTATATTGCCGGGCAGATTGCCGTTGTTCCGAGAGATGCATGTGCGTGTGGTGAGGATCATCGGAGGATCGGCTGGGGGGCTTGCTGTATGGTGGCATATTGCGCGGTTGCACAAGACATGTCACAGATAAGAGTACAGGTGCGACCCCCAGTGGGGTCAGTTGTCCACCTGCTGGCAAGAAAGAACTTTCCTTACAACACCAGCATAATTGCTGTGAGCAGATCCTGACAGCACTGCCGTCGGTGATAAATTGGCACAGACGATCTTGGCTCCGCCTGCGGAACCCGCAGGGCTGGATCTCTGCTGGTGCGCAGGCATGGGTTCGGTCCTCTGGGGGGCTTATTTCACACAGCACACCGAGTCGGTCGTCGGGTATCGCGTGGGGGACGGCCGGGTCGGGCGGCGGGAGGGCGCGTCACACACTGCGAGACTGCTTCGCCCCTCCCGCGGCAATGCCACGCCGGTGGGGACCGGGAGGCCGGGATGAACGGCAGCCCAGGGCAGGGGGGCAGGGGGGCAGGGGGGCAGACTGCCAACTGTTACGCGGCTCCGAGACAAGAGAGTCGTCAAGCCAAATTTAGTGTGGTGGCTAAATCCTGCCCCCAAAGCGACACCCGCATAGCAGAGGCGTCAGCGAGACGGCCTCCGGAGTGGCGGGCGGTCGTTTGCTAGACAACGGGCAGCTAGCTCGAACCCGAGCCGAGGGCCTGGGACACCTCCGCAGGGAGAGAAAACGTGCGGTGACGGGGCCGCGCGTCGCCTCATCTGCTGCATAGGATTATCTGTAGTGAGCTGCGTGAGGTGGCGCCCGCCTGGTGGGCGGGCTGCAGCAAATAACACCGCGTCTTGTGCTGTAGCTGGAGCAGTAGAGACGGTGACATGCTGGTGGTTCAGGCTGTTTGGGAAGCCCCTGAGGTTGTCGATCATGGCCTGCTGTCTGCAGAGGGCCGGAGTTTTGGTTGCCAGCGTGCGCAACTTGGCTTTCTTGGTGTTGCCAAAGCACTCACAGGCCGGCATACTGGACACAGTTTGTTGAGGAGGGGCGGGTACTCGGTGCAGGGCATGGCACTGCACGACTGACGACAGACAGTCAGTCATCAGTCTTAGAACAGACGGCCAAGCAGGGCAGGCATGGCAGGCATGGCAGGCATGGCAGGATGGACCATGCGATGGGGCCCATGGCATTGATTGCAGTCGACAGTGTCGGACGGCGCGGCGAGTCAAGCCCGCGCAAGCTTTTGCTCGGTGGACGCGTCTCGACAACTCCCCGTTCCAAATAAAGTTTCAATTAAGCGCGAGTTGGGTGGTGATGGCCCTTGTGAATGGGCATGCCGTAGATACTACCTATCTATGGGTACGTGGGAGGCTCTTCCCTGGGCATTGCTGGATGTTAAAATCTGCATCCTGCTCTCTGACCCCATGTAACTTTGTGACCCTGTCCATGACGAACTGGCGCCAAGACGCGTGTGCCTCTGGGCTTGCAGGGGTTGGCACACTCTGTCGGTTGCAGCCAATGTCGGAAAGAACGGAACAGGAGATTGTGCACGCGACAGCCACAGGCAGAGAAGGACGAAAAAAGAGGGCAGGAAGGAAATATCGATGATGCCGTTGGGTCCGTTGAGGGAAAGAGGAAACCAGGCACACGACCACTCACAACCCCAGAAACACAGTTTTACCCATGTGCATAGCACAATGCAGACGGCAGTCCGCAGACTGCAGACCCCCTCCAAGGACCATGGCGAAGGCCATGTTTCCAGACATGCAGCAAATACCAAATATTTTACCATCAAATGCCCAGGAACAACATAACATGAACGACAAATAATCTGTACTGCCTGGTCTATCCTTTTCCTTTAGGATCAAAGCACAGCAGAGCGCTCGGCACGCCACTGCGCCCACATCTGCGTCCTCATCCGCATCTGCATTCGCATCTGCATTCGCATCTGCATTCGCATCTTGCCCCCAGGATCAGATGTTTGCGAGGCCCACTTCTCCCTCATCCCGTTCCCTGAATCCCTGATTGATGCCGTCGTCAACAATCCAGCCGCTCCAGACGAACAGGGCTGTCTTACGCAATTCCACACCGAGCCCCCCCCCTGGTTCCACGTACCTGTACCGTCTGTCAACCGCAAAGCCTCACTCGCTCATGCTTTCTTTACCTACTTACACCCTCCCACATTCATTTTTGTTCCTCCGCTGTGCTCTGCCAAGTTCATCGACAGAACGGTTCCTCCCTGTCCTACACTCCTCCATCGCCATCCCACAGGATTCCTGCCCGGCCTCCTACAGCCTACAGTCTCCACCTCCGCCTGGCCTTGGGCTGATCCGACCCGACCTGACCTGACCTGGTGGATCAAGTTGCGGTGCCTTACACCCAGGACTGAGAGGCTCTGGTCCATCGCCCCACTCCTCACCGCATGTCGGCTATCTGTACAAATACACATCCGGCTCGCCTGTGTACTCTCAGCTAAGCTCCCACGGCTTCTGTCACAGCCGGCAGCACTGCGCCGACGAACTCGCGTCACGGGCACTAGTGACACCACCAACGAGGACATCAACGAGATCATCCACCAGCCCAGCCAGCTGAATCACCTCGAGCTTTTCAACATTCGTTGCAACTCCGGCACGGCAGCTTCCTGCTGACCCACTTCGTTTGAGGAATCCTCTTATCCTATCACGGAGTCCAGTTCACACGATCTGTGTTTGACCACCGAGTTCCGGACCCGCCTTGCTCTACGATACCACACGCGAGCTCGTATCCTGTCGACAGCCAAGATCTGGTAGTCAACATAATTTCTCGACACGGGTCAGCGCTTTCTGCCCGGGTTTCCGGCAACAGCCGTTGTTTTTGTCGTACTGTGTATTCATCAACATTGGTCCTCAGACTATTGTATTTCCGTCTGATATCACAGCGGTTAGCCTGGGTTTACGACTCTGTCTTGCCCCAAAACATCTTCTGGGGAATCCGCAATTATGAAGCTGTCACAGGCGCTGCTTCTTACCTGCTCGTTGGCCACGACGGTGCTCGGTCTGCCTGACAAACTCGGAAAACGATGGGGAGACAGCAAATCCAAAGGAGGTGGCAAGTATTTCTTCGAGGCCGGCGGCTCAGAGGCGCTGGGTCACTACGACGGCCGCTACTTCCAGGGCGAGGTTGATTATGACGCGCACCGTGTTGCGCTGCGGCACCTGATTCGAAGTTACGTATCAGTATTCCGCGCCCTGGGTATCGACACATGGCTTGCGCACGGCACTCTGTTGGGATGGTGGTGGAACGGGCAGATCATGCCATGGGACTACGACCTCGACGTCCAAGTCACGGCCTCGACCCTCCAGTACCTTGGCGACCACTACAACCGGACCATGCACGAGTACCGGTACGTCGACGAGTCAACCGGCGAGGAGATGAGCAAGGTTTTGCTGCTGGACGTGAACCCGAACCATGTCGATCGGGTGCGCGGCAACGGCATGAACGTCATCGATGCGCGGTGGATCGACACGAGCAACGGCATGTTCATCGATATTACCGGCCTTGCGGAGCGGGACCCAGAGAAGGCGCCTGGTGTGTGGGCATGCAAGAACAACCACCGTTACAAGACCACGGAGCTGTATCCCATGCGCGAGACCGAGTTCGAGGGTGTGCCCGCCACGGTGCCGTATGCTTTCGACACGGTCCTGATGAGCGAGTATGGAAAGAAAAGTTTGGTAACAACAGAATGGCAAGGGTATGTCTCCCAATTCTCACTCCTGCAGAAGGAGCTATCGCGCTGACTGTTCTTGTTAGCCACCATTGGGATCCTGAAGTCAAGGAATGGGTTCTGCAACAGGGCTAGAGACCCTCGATCCCCGAGGCTTGGGAATCTTTATACCACGAGTTCTGGCCCTTTCCATCATGGGACGACATTGGCCTCCCCTACGTGGTCCTGCTGGTCTTTGTGTGTGGACTACTTCTGCAGCCGAAGCTTCTGGGATGTATTCGCTCGTCACCACCGACGCGGTTCATTCGCAGGGTCGTCTCAGGGACTCGCAACAGTTCCCGTTGGAACTGAGACGCCACCCAGCGCCGTCGAGGCACCCTTTCCGGTGCACACCCGGCCGCGGGCTTCAGAGGCAAGCCGCGGCTACGTCGTGCTTCAGCGGTGCTTGCTTGCTACCCGCTCAACCGGCGTAACGGCGCAGTGCCGTCGGGAAAAGGAAACAACTATGTCTTTTCAGCATTGCGGTGGCGTTCTTTGGATGATGCTTTACACACGAGTACAACGTTTTTTTGCATATGGCGCAGGGAGGATTCAACAATCGACGTCGAGCTTGACCTTGGCCTGGCTTAAGTAAGGTTTCGCCACGATCCTCCAACGGCGACGGGCGGATCCAGTCTAAATTAGCCCGTTACCGCGGTTGGCTTGTCGACTACACTGCCGGCGCCAGGCTTGGCGCTAGCTCCGAGATGAGGTTGCAGTTTCGCGCCTCACCTTATTATGCTGTACACGATAGGCATAGCTCTCATGATACCCTAAATAAACTATAGATGAAACATCAACTTATATGTGGGATTGCTCTCTATATCACTTGCGGCCGGTCCAGTAATGTGAGTTTGTAACTGTATGCACATGGTCTCGCTTGAAAGGATTATGCCGCTTTCCCGCCATGGCCAGCTGTTCACTATTATGAAGGATCTATGTGAAGCTGGAATTAGGAATGTCAAGTACGGTTGATCATTTTAAACGGCAGGACTCTGCGCAATAAAATCAGCGAGATCCGGCGAGGCGTCCTTTCTCGCCCAGTAGAACGGCGCTGGAGTGCCCACGTGCTCACTCCAAGGGATGTGCTTCACTGGAGAGCGGCAGCGACGATCTCCCTTGCAGGGCTGTTGCTCATCCACAACAACATCATGACGTCCTCTCACGCTGTGTGAGAGACGTGACCAGAGCACATTCGAGAGCCATATAACTGACAGACTCAGAAGATGTCATCGACTGAGCCCTCTAATTAGGCCCGAAGCAGTGGGTATCATCTGGTCTCGGGAACTCGCCCTCACTTCGAGCTGTCACGCTCTCTCAAGGCAGTTTTCAGCGAGAACCCGCCAAGCCCCCTCGACGCTGAATAGTTTTGCCGCTCAGACGACTCACGGCGCCGCGCTGCTGCCTCCCTCGCCGCCGCCGCCGCCGTCTTGGTTCTCCGACTTTGATCTCCTCATGCGCTCCTCGACAGCCTTCGCGATGACGTCCCTCTTGCTCAGACCGCCGCCGTTGCTGCTACCGCCAAGCACGTACGTGCCTCCCGTCCAACCCCCGTGGTCCGGGACGTCATCCTCGGGCGACTCATAATAATCCCCATCGCCAACGGAGTACCCGCCGCTCTTCCAATCCGCAGCCTGGACCTCCCTCTCGATCTGGTGGCACAGATCCCAGAACTTCCGGTCGTGAGGCCCATGCACGTTGTGCGCCAGCTCGTGGCACAGCGTGTCTCGGATAGTCTTGTAGTCCCTGTACCCGTCGTAGGCGTCGGTGCGCAGCCGCAGCTCGATGACCTCCCCCTTGTTGCGGTTCAGCCCCAGCAGGCGCGTCGTGCCCTCGTGGCTCGACTGCGTGTTGGACGCCGGGTCCATCTCGGTGAGCAAGCCCACGGTGAACTCGTGCTTGCGCATCGCGGCGCGGATGCCCGGGTCCTCCTTGAGACGCTCCAGGAAGGCCCGGCTGCGCTCGGCGTTGCTGAACCCGGGGAGCGGCTCCACCCGCAGGAAGGTGTACTGCGCGTCGGCCTGGGCGCGCGCCGGGTCCGGGCGGGTGCGCCGGGCCGCGACGGGGCGGGCGGCGGAGGTGTTCTGGGCGAGGCGCCGGGCCTCTCGCGCCCGGGCTGCGTCGGAGGACCGCTGGAGGTCCTGGATCGCCTCGAGGGTGGGGACCTGCAGGGTGACCTTGGTGCCGCCCAGGTGGGCTATCGCCTGCTCGCCGTGCTCCGAGGCCCTCAGCATCTTGCCCTTTGCGATGAACTTGGCCTTGTCCCAGTCGTACTCGTCCGCTCCCTCCGCTAGTTTGTCCTCGCAGGCGATCAGCAGGTCGTTGAGGATGGCGTCTGCTGTGAGGTGGAATGTGTCTAGCGGTTTGCCGCCCTTGGTGACGGTGATTGTGAGTGGTGGTGCCTCTTGTGGTAGAGGCTCAGTCTCTGCCTCGGCCATGACGTTTGATATGGAGCCTGTTGCCGACGATTATCCAAGGAGGGCCCTCAGTACTGTGGTGAGCCTTCCTCGTTTCAATGACAGTCTTGCCGCGAGCGTTGATGATTGTTGCTGGGGAGTGGTGATGACGAGGGCTTAACTACGACGTCAGCAATGCAATTAAATTAAGTCGGGCAAGTCAGCATTCACAAGATGGTATACAGGTGAGGTCGCGGATGTGTAAAGATTTGGAGTCTCTTGAGTTATTGTACGGTAATGAAGGACGGCCTTCTTGGGGGTCTTCTCCTTGTCGCCGTCGAAGCTTCGACTGACGTCCAAGACGGCATCACCTGTACAAGGATTGGTAATCTTGTACGCCACGGGGCGATGAGCCGCTGAAGCCGTTGAGCCGGAGGTAAGGGGTTAGGGGGTTACCTGGCTTTACTGGTGATTAGAGCTGACATAGATGTATATTGTTAGCTTCCCGAGAGACAGCTGCAGGCCGGCACTGAGCTGGATGACATGGCCGCTTCGGTTCCTGAATGGTGATCCGTGCGCTCCTGCAGGCCGCAGGAAGGAAGAAGCAGCTCCTGTTTCTGTTTCCAAATTAGCGGTCCTCAGCAGGGATCCAATCAGAAGCAAATCGCGTCGTGTCCTTTAGCAGAAGCTCCCTCAACCCACACAGCTGGTCGGTCGTCATTTTGTTGTTGGCCCCAACTGATCAAAGGTCAAGCTCCATTGGCATTTCGCATCTCGGATACCATCAGCTCCCGTTACGCTCAATCCACGATCGAGCTCGCTCTGGCTTCCCATGGTCTACCAACCTTTACTTCTTTAATTCCACTCCACAAGGCGAGGCGGCCAAGGCCAGATAATTCAAGATGTTGAACGTGTTCCGCGTCGCAGGTGCGTATCTTGGCTCCCTTGCGATGGCTTCAGCTGGCAACGAGGCACTGACTTGCGACTCCCAGCGGACTTCTCCCATTTGGGATCCATCTTCATTCTGCTTCACAAGATGATCGACCTGAGTGTTAGTGAATTCCGGACAGATCAAGCTCGATCGCACAGCACACACTAACGACCGTCCCAGAGCTGCTCGGGCATCTCTTTCAAGTCACAAGCCCTCTATCTCCTGGTCTACGTCACAAGATATCTTGGTACGTGGTGATGAAACCCGGCATCAACGCTTGCGGCGCTTGCAACGGCTAACCAGATCCCGGACAGACCTATTCCAGACCAACAGCCTCTACAACCTCCTCTTCAAGATCGCCTTCATCGGCGCGCAGGGCTATATCATCTATCTCATGACGACAGCGTATAAGCCCACCAACGACCCGAACGTGGACACCTTCCGAGTCCAATACCTCCTGGGAGGTGCGGCGGTCCTCGCCATCCTGCTGCCGTACAAGTACACCGTGTCGGAGATCCTGTGGGCCTTCTCCATCTGGCTCGAGTCCGTGGCCATCATGCCACAGCTCTTCATGCTGCAGCGCACTGGGGAGGCCGAGACCATCACTACCCACTACCTGTTCGCGCTGGGCCTCTACCGCGCCCTGTACATCCCCAACTGGATATACCGGTACTTTGCCGAGGAGGGCCACAAGGTGGACTGGATCGCAGTTGTTGCCGGCCTTGTCCAGACTGTCATGTACAGCGACTTCTTCTGGGTCTACTACAACAAGGTACTGAAGGGCAAGAAGTTCAAGCTGCCCGTGTAGGAGACAATGGCTCGCATGACACAGCACCCAGCACGTGGCCGGTGCTGGACGAGAAGGGTCTGGCGGAAGGAAAGAACATCAAGTGTGAGTGGACGAGAGCCCTGGACGCGGCCTGAACAGGTCTTTTGATGGCATGGCGACCGAGCGGGTCGGCAAGATGTGACATGCTCGAAGGGTCAACAAGATGGAAAGTGACCCGCAGCCGAATTGGGCGCTGCTTGCATAATGAAAGGCGTTCACGGGGGCAAAGGAGATTCGGGAATGGGACTGGCCCGGGCCTCGCGTGATGCAACGGGCGTCATGCGATGTCGGGCGGGGCATTCCATAATCGCGTTCTTGATCAAAGATGTATTTATCATCATTATGAGTCAATGGAGGCAGACTTTTAGATGCTTGGCTTGGGGAAGTCCTCGGTCTACTACGGGGCAAACTTGACACCGGCTCGGTATCATCGACAGGAGGGACGGCAGGCGATCTGCCCAGACTGGCCAGAGTAGGATCCCTCGTGGTCCCTGTGCCCTTCCCTTCGAAACCACGCTTCTGCAACGTGCCCATCTCTTTGGCTTTTGAGTCTCCGTCAGCACTGACTTATAGCCTGGTTTATATATCAGTGGTGATATGGCGATTCACCTCAAACAAAGTTTCCAATTCCAAGTATTCTCAACAATGCGTGCTTTAACATCACCTGCCTCGTACCGGGTTTTCGTGCCAGAAACTCGTGGCTGCCAAGCAAAGGTGACAATTCTTTCCGACCTGATGGCCCTCGTCGATAGCGGGCTCGCTATCGCGTTTGAGGCTTCATAGGGCGAGCGCCACGCCCGTTCATCCTGGGAAGGGACGGGCGAGCAGACTGCCTGTTGCGGCACAAGCACCCTGGTTCAGCCAAAAGCTTGGCGACGGCTCGACCGGGGTAGCTGCCCTCCCTTCCGAGCATCCGATCTAAAGCACTTGACGTCGTGGGCGAGATGCTGGTCCGTGCCTGCAAGGACTTGAGACGTTTCCAGTACGGCAGGCCAAGCAACAATCGGGCCTGAACTCCTCACCTCTAGCCCATCTGCTCGCGTCACCATCTAGATTCCACGGGCAGAGGGCCCGCAGTCTGTCAGCATGAAGCACCTGAAACGCTGAGTCAAGGGAACGGGGCGGCCCTCTGAGGACGCCGGTCCTGCCTGTTGACAGACGACAGGTCCTACCCAGCAGCCCTGACAGCACAAGCTCGCGGTGATGATGGTCGAGGTCGATGGTCTAACTCGCCGGCCCGTAGATCAAGACCCGAAGACACGGCAAGAATACCAACTCATCATGCCGGGCCTGAACGGGCTGGATTGAGTGAGGGCATCGACAAGTCTGGCAATCTGGTTCATTCCCCTGTCGAAGCTGGAAGCCAAGGCATTGTTACAGTGTCGCGGTGCATGAGGCTCAACACCACCCATGTCTCCTTGCTGCACCCTTCACCCTCCACCGTCCGCCCTTCACCGTTTTGAGAAACTCACAACACCTTCACCTCTCTCTGATACCGCACCCCGCTTCGCTTGTTTTGGAATCACAACAGCAGCGCTCCGGTTGCCAAGCGGCTTCCAGTGTCAGGGCCAGGTGGGGGGTTCGTCTGTCCCTTACTAAATGTTGTTGTGTGTTTGCTCCTGTCGTCCAGCGTCCGGATGAACCCAGGAGCGCCTTCGTCCCCGCTCCTACGAGTCGCCTCCATGTCCCGCACCATGTGGTCGGAACGCGGATGTCTTCTATTCTCACCCTTGACCCTGCCAAATCATGCTAGGTTACGGTGAGCCGCGAGGACCAACAGCGCTCGGTGTCGGCGCCCACTCCGCAGCTGGCCTTGCCATGCTATTATAGGCCTTATTAAGGACCAGCAGGAGGATGGCCTTGCTTTGTCTGGCAGTCCGACGATCTCCCGGAACACCCCAATCCCACGTTTGACAGCTCGCTTAGGTTCAGAGTTGCGCCGTCATCCTGCAAAGGCTCGCACCCCAGGTGACGAGGGGGAGGGGGGAGGGCGGACTGCCTTATGCCTGGCCTCGCACACGTACACAGACGTTTCCTATCACTATCACACACACCCCGCGTAGACATTGGTGTAGGGATTCTCCGTGAAGGCTCACTCGCCGCCTCGTCCGGTCGTTGGATCTCGCAGCGTATTGCCGTTCTGGTAAACCCAACTTGTCCAAGCCGTGCCTCCCGCTGCCATGCCCGAGTACGAATAACAGGTCTACGGACAATGATCTCTGCGCGATAGCTCTGGGAGCCGCCTCCTTTGATGCTGGTCATCACCAAATCCACGATGGCCGGAAGACGAATAACACAGCTGGCTCTGCTTCTCCTGCTCTCGTCAAGTTGTGCCTGGGCGAACGACGGCACGAGGAAACCCGAGCGGAGCGACTTGAGACTCGGAAGGGAAGACATTTCTGTGGAACAGGCCGTTTCGTTGGTGGCTGTCAGGAATAGGCTGGATGAAGAACCATTGGAGGAAATTAATGAGGAAACCCAACCGTCTCGACGCCAGGAATACACATCTGAGATCCGCATACCATCACAACATGGCGAAGATATCGATGAATTGCAACGTCCTCAAGCCAGGTCACCCACTGCCGAGGAAGCCGCCCAGATCACGACGCCACCTTTATTGAATCCACTGATCCTTCAACGACAAGACAACAACCAGGGCCAGATCGACGACCTCAACCGTCGGCTCCAGTCCGCACAACAGTCCGCCCAGCAGGCCCTTCAGTCCCTCAGCGACGCGTCCCGGCGAGTCTCACAAGCCAGCCAACAGCTCTCGCAATCATCCCAGCAGCTCTCGCAACAGAGCCAGCAACTCTCGCAGTCGTCGCAGCAGCTCTCGCAGCAGAGCCAACAATTATCACAGAGCCTCCAGCAGGCCACACAGTCCGTACAGTCGCTGACACAGGCCGTGAGCGCTGCCCAGTCCAGCGGGAGCTCGGCGTTTGCGAGCTGCACGAACAGTGCCTCGGCGGCGCTCGCGCAGGCCTCGGGCGAGCTTGCGAGCAAGGTTGGCGATGCCCAGGCGCAGATCACGCTCGCCAATGTAAGTATTACTCTCCTCGTTGAAGCAAGACGCTGTCAGTGGTACCTGTATAGTACTCCCTTTGTTGTATTTGGTCATCTCGACATATGGCCCGTCCCCATCACTGACCTTCTCAATAGAACCAAGCACAGAGTCAGGTCCAACAGGCCCAAGGTGCCGCCGTCTCAATCACACAGGCCGCGCTGGCCATCGTGGGGACATTCATCGGCTCGTCGCTGCTGACGGTGCTGGTCGTGTGGCTCATCATCCGGCACAAGCGCAAGCAGAGGGACCGCGCCGCCGCGCCGATGAACACGGGGGTGAGCAGCTACTACGGCGGCGGTCCGGGCGCCGAGGCGTACGGTGCCATCGCCAGGGACGTCAAGGACATGATGCTGTCCCCCGCCAGCGGGACCACCAAGATCGGCTCGGAGAGGGCCCGGTCCTTCGGCGGGAGCAGGGGGAATGATATGGTCACCAAGGGGTATGGCCTGGAGAAAGAGACCGGAATGGGCACGGGCGCGGGGGCCGACGCAGGCGGGGGCGGGCCAGGGGACGTCCAGATAGGATACGCCCGGAGCACCAACTACCGCGAGCGCAAGGCGCCGAAGCTGTCGGAGCCGCCGGCGGCGCGGAGCAAGGATAGTAGTCCCGGCACGCCGAGGACGCCCAAGTACGAGGTCTTCCCCAAGGTGACACAACCAGGCCCGTCGCCAGCAGCAGCACCGGTCCCCGGCGTGCAGGGTGGCGGGGCGGGAGGAGGAGGAGGCGGCCGCCCGTTCCGGCCCCGGTCGTCGATCCAGCCCGACTACAACCTCCAGGACTGGCTGCAGACCACCACCGTGTCCCCGTTCGGGACGCTCGAGAGGCCGAACAATAGCAACAACACCAACAACAATGCCACGGCCAACACCATCCAGTCGCGGCCCGCCCCACAGCCGCAGCAGCCGCCGAAGCGCACGTCCGAGGTGAAGTGGCCGCTGCAGGGGTCGTCGTCGTCGGAGCCGCCGTCGCGGTCCAACAGCAACACGTCGCGGGACGCAGACGCAGACACCGACGCGGGGCCCGCCGCGTCCCAGCCGGACGCAGTGGTAACGAGGGAGCCGGCCGCGGAGACGAGGACGGTGACGGTTGCGAGCGCCGGGGGCCCGGCTGCGACGAGGTCTGTCCGGGTCGGGGTGGAGAGCATGAGGGGGGATTGGGCTGCCTGGGGTGGCGAGGAAGCTGCCGCTTAGGAATCCCTAATTGCTCTGTGGGCCTTGGGGTCGATGCTGTGACGTCGTCTTGTCTTGTCTTGGCTATTGTGGGTCAAGGCTGAGGGGGCACTGGTTTGACTGGTCCATTTTGGATGTTAATGTCTACATATTCTTGCGGTGTACATGCCTCATGGAGGATCTTAGATAGATACAGCCTCGTAACCTCTTTGTGGCCGAGGGCAATAATAGAAACAATACCAACCCAGTGAAGACCAAAGTCGTCAGTCACCCTCTGAATACAGTGGTGTGGAATGACGGCAGACGGCGCTCGACGCCGGCGCTCGACGTCCAGCCCTGCACAAATATGCATGAATATCCCGCAGCCTTCAGATATCCGTACTGGCCTCGTCCCTCCCCGTAAAGACCTTGTGAATCCTCCGACTGATAGCCTGCCCGATCGTCCGGTCGGTAAACGCCCCATCCCTGTTCGCGCTCTTCCGGATGCTCTCCAGCGCCAGGGGCCCCTCATCCTCCAGGCCGCGGACCAGCTTGCCGACGGTCGGGAACTGGCCTGCGATGCCATATGCGATGGGAGCCGTGACCCGGACGATCTCCTGCAGCATGCGCGCGTACGTGTCGGCCGGCCCGTCACCGGTGCGAACCTGGCCGCTATCCATACAGAACGCGGCGGACTCGTTGGCCGCGTCCCGCTGCCGCCGGTACGGGATCTGGCTGATGTGCTGCGTGAATGTCGCGACCCACTGCGCCGTCTCGATCGGCGCACCCGTGTGGTGGATGATGACGCCGTGTGCCACCTGCAGCTGGAGCAGCGCGTCCTCGACCTGGTCCTCGTCGATGTAGACAGGCGGGGGCTTGGGGTCCTTCCTCCGGCGGTTCGGGGGTGCCTGGCTGCTCGGGGGCGGAGCGGTGGCTGCTGCTGCTGCAGCATCCGCGTCGGGGCCGGCGTTACGGACCGCAGACTGGAACTGGCGATTACGGACGTTGCGGTTCTTGCGCATCCAGGGGGTCAGGCCCTCGATCATGTAGACGAGCTGGTCGCCCTCGTAGTGCCGCTGCATCCTGAGGACGTGCGCCTCGAGGTCGGAGCCCTTAGCCCCGAGGGCGAGCTCGACAAACTCAGCTGCCGGCATGAGGACCATTGCGTGCTTCTCGGGCTCGATGCGCTCGACTGGGATTGGTTCCCAGTAGCCCTCGTCCTCATTGAACCTGGCCCTGACCTTCCTCCGCCATTTTACCACGCCATTAACGGGGCTGTTGTACGGGTAGTGCTGGACTTTCAGGTCCTCGAGGAGTGTCTCAACTTGCAGCCTGACGCTGGGGTTCATGGACGAAGGAAGGTCGACGATCATCTCTGGCGTGGTGACTTTTTTGTCGGTCCTGACCTTGTTCACTTCAGCTAATGCCGCTGCCCTCTCCTTTTCCCGTCTCCTCTGGTCCTTGTTTTCTTCTCTCTCTCGCTGTTTCCTCCGCTTCTCGGCTTCTCTCGCAGCTGCTTTACCTTCAGTAGTAGGTTTTGTTTTGGATGTGGATGGCTTCGACGCTGAGGTTCGCGGTGCTGTTATCGCCTTTGACATGGCGTTGGAGCTCAGCTTCGGCCTTTTAATGCCGCCGATGTCAGGGAACTCGTCGTCGTCGTCATTGTCAGACGACATGGGAAGATCCGCCAGGTCCCCCAAGTCAACTCCCCCAGAGCGACTTCTCGCGAGACCGTTGCGCGAAGATTGGACGTCAAAGCCCCACTGGTCTTCCCGGACACTGGCCTCAGGAGCAGAGCTTGAAATGTGATCCCATCCCACAGAATTCCTGGACCCTCGAATATTCTTCTGAGCCTGCCGCGGGCTGTTCCCTGGTAGTCCTGGGCTGGGCTCTCTCTTCCCGGCACGTTTGGGCGGCATCATCGGCTTTCCTGTCCCCCTCGGAGGGGAGCTCGCGAACGGATCGTCAACGTCATCTACCAGGTCAATGATGTTCTCTTTCTCTGCGCGCCAAGGAGAGCTTGCAAAAGGGTCACTTGAGATCGCGTCGCGCTTATTCGAGGACCTCGGAGCGTGGGGAGAACTCGTAAACTCGATGGGGTCTGATGGAGCGTTCCGCTTTCTTGGGCCAGCTGGCTGAAGTACACCAGGTCCCGTTCGGATTCTCCCTGCCGCAGACGTCGTAGACTTTTGGACAATTTGCTCACGTACGCCTCCAGCAGTTAAATTGGAAGCTCCAGAGACGCATTGTTTCTTGGCGGGCCGAGCTTCGGAGGGGTCCAAATCGTCGGCGCCTAGATTTCCCGTCGAGTCGAAGTCATCTGACAGGAAGAGGAAGTCGTCGGTTTTCGATGCTCCTGAATTGGGTCGTCTGGCGATTAGCCCGGCCCTGAGGTCTGGGATGGGATCATCGTCGTCGATGTTGGTTAAGTCGACGACGTCATCGTCTAGTGTCCGTCTTTTTCCGTCCATGTTTTAGTTGGTGGCCGGCGGCATGAACGATTCCTTTGTCATGAGCACATCATGTACACCAAATCCAGTGTTGGGTGTTGGAGGATGGTTTCAGAGACAAGAGACGCGTCCTAAACGCGTCGATTGAGATCAGTCGGCGTTATCGTCTAAGTGGAAAGAAGCGATTGGCAGGGCTGGCCAGCAAAGTAAACAAATGTGGGTCTGGGCGCCTGGGCACTGCCTTACATAAGCGGGTGTTGGGCAACGACCGTCATGTCACCACCGCAACCAATGCACTTAGGTTTTCTTTGTACACAACCCATACCCTGCAGCAATCGCTTATCCCTACTCAATTCTTCTGTGATGATGGTTGTAGGGCGTGTTACCGACACGCTGGTTGGTCCTGAAGACATGCAAAGGCCTGGAGCCCACATGGCGTGGGTCTTTGCCGGAGGCAAACGTCCTACTCCCTGCATTTGCTCGACTCTTGGGTCTCAACTGTTTCCTGCACTGGGTCTTCTCTGATGGCGAGCTATTATGTAACAATTGAGTTATTGCAATGTGGGTGAGACAACACTGGCGCTACCCAACGGCGCGCTGACATCCGGAGACCTTTCTTTGCCAAGAGTACATACTTGAGAATTCTATGTAGATACATGATTGAACTACAATATCCGATTCGCCAATATCGCATTAGAATTGTTTTGGGTCTCAGACAAAATAGGCCCTCGACCCTCTCATTTTGACAACAGACTCCGCGGACAACCTCGAGACTTTCTCTCATATCGTATTCTTTCCACAATCCCATGTCTGGTATGTTGATCACCCGATGATCAGCTTGCATGTGGTCTCTAAAATAGTAAATCCCAACAACAGCATGCCAGCCATGCCTGTGTACATGCATGCCTATGCCAGTATGCCTCTCCCAGAATAGTCACCCAGCGGTCTGTTAGCAATGTCTTACGCTGCAGCACGCCATGGACTTGGCTGTGCGAAAATATGCCGCCAGCTCCAGAGCACTATTCATTCAGAAGATTCACCTGCGGCTAATTCGATGGCGACCGTTACCTTGTCCTATAGTATAAATTGTGTAAAAGGATGCATCTACCCCATCCCATGCTTTCCTCGTTCCAGCTGGACGCACTCTCACAATCAATGCTTCCAAGGTTCCTATGCCCACATAGAAAATGTAATTGTACTGACAAAAGGACCCTGCGGGGTAACATTCCCAGTCGGAGAGGAATTGCACTGCGAGGGAATAGCGAATTTAGGGTATGTTTCACCTTTTCAGAGACAAGATAGTATAGAATAGTTTAGTCCAATAGGGAGATCGCGTCAACCAAGAACTCCTAGACATCCAAGTTTGTGGCGAATCATGTAGCATCTGGGAGCTGAGACTATGTAGATCTACAACACAGCCTTGCAGAACCGAGCAGATAAGTCAACTGCTCATTATCAAGTGCAATGGCCAATACCTGGACCCTTCTTCAAATATACATGTGAGCCTTGACAGGTTAGGAATGTCGTGCTCGGGAATGATCGGCGTGGTCTCGGCCTTGGGTACACTCTCATCCAAGAGACGAGTGCAGCGCATGTCACGATGACAGGAAACGCTTCATGCGAGAAGAATTTTGACGGTAAAGAATATATAAAGAGCGTTGTAAACCACCTTCAAAGAGATCATACTCCAGCCATCATCGCACTTCTATTCCAGATAATTTTCCAGCATCTAGTAAGCTACACCCAAACATTCAGACTTTGTTCTCCCAGATATCCATCATCAATATGAAGGCCTTCACCGCCATCTTTGCCATTGGCAGCCTCCTGAGTGTCACTCTGGCTTCACCCATCAACGAAATCAACTTCGAAGAGACAGCTCTGTACACGAGCGAAATTGATGCCCAAGTTGATGCCCACATCGATGCTCGACAAATCCCTGGGCTGCCACCCGTCCCCATCCCAACAAAGCCTGCTGACGTTGTCCCCTCTCTCCAAACGGTCCTCAAGCGAGTAACAGCTATCCTCGCCATCGCACGTTAGTTTCCCATCTGCCTGGACAGTATTTGAGCCAGCTTTGCTTACAATCTTTTCAGAGCTCGGTCTGCCCTCGGCTGCCGGCTTCCCTCCTCTGCCTGCTCTCCCAATCACCGACCTCCCCACCATTGGTCTTCCCCTGCCCTCCGGCGGCGGCACCTCCTCTCCCGCCGACATCGTCGCCCAGCTGTCCTCCATCCAGGGCCAGGTCACCACCGTCACCTCGATCCTCAACAACCTGCCCGCCGGAACGAGCCTTGAGCAGCTGAAGCAGGCTCTAGCCATCGCCTCTCAGATCCGGTCCCTGGCAGCCCCCATCGTTGAGCGTATCCAGGCCTTGGGTCGTAAGTGGTTTTCCTTGTCCCGGATTATCACAAAAACAATGAGAGACAACACTAATGATAATGTCACAGAGGGTGGCTTCATTCCCCTGCCCGGCAACGTTACCGGTGTCTCCGCCAGCCTGTCTGGCCTCCTCAGTCTTATCAACTTCATCACCTTCCTCCTGGGCCCGGTCACCTCCATCCTACCAGGTTTCGTCACCGCTGCCCAGGCTGCCGCCTAAGTCGACATATGCTCTAGAGGCTGGAAGCCAGTCTTCAAACCTTAGCCATGTCCTTTGGGCCACCAAGCATGTCTCCCAAGACCATGCTAGCGCGCAATACCGTGTGAGGGCTCTGTATGGTGGAATTCGTGTAATCGGAGGTTTAATGTTGCGTTAATTAGCCCATCGTGGGCGTCGTCGAGCCGATAAAAGCCCCCCTTGCTCTATTTTTGTCTTCGCTACCCACCTCTAGTCGATCCTTCTCCATCTTCATGAAGGGAAAACCAATGCAGTCTTCCGTCAATCTAATGACAAGCTTCTTGGCTCTGAGATCCTTGAAATGACGCGTGATTTCTTTTTGGAAGATGGCGAATCACTCGACTCACCAATACTCTAGATACAGTGACTGGCTGGCTAGGATTCCTGGCCCACGGTGGCTCGTATGCCAGTTATAGATAAATGACCTCTTCTAATTACTTGGCCAAAGTTTGGTTGAGGCTGGAACCATGTGTTTTCGGTTGACCGTTTCCGCATGGTGTACAGCAGCTCATGATCGCGCAGTGAAGCGGATCATTCGGAAGAAGAATCCGAACAAAACACACACACACACACACACACAGACAGACGCGCGTATGTAAACAGAGGGGGCAAAAACCAACCAAGAGGTAACAAATGTTCCGTTAGAGAACTTGCGCAACATTTATTTCTGTTTCTGAACAGCGAATCTCCGAGCCCGTTTTCTTGCAGATCCACCGCTGTCCTCGGACCACTTATTTGGGTCAACATGGAGAGTACGAAGTTGTCATAGGATGACTGGTAGCAGTCCATGCGGTGAACATGTCGGCCCGTGGTTGACTGTACTCGCAACCATGTGATTACACCATGAGGCCATAACATATCCAAGTGGACTCGGGATAGATGAGATGAAATACGAGGGCGCCTTGGTCTAGAAGGCCGCGTCGACGGGGCCGGCGCAATACTTGACACGGAGGATGGCTCTCACGGGCTTGATATCGATGCCGAGAGTTAGTAATTCCTGTTGGAATCGAGAAAAATGGTCAAGTGCTCCCAGCCAGTGGGAAACACTCGGGATGGCCCGGGTGGTTGGCTCTGGCCTCGACCATGGCCTCTGCCATCTCGGCGCACTAGAGGATGACCTTGACCGGGCCGCGAAGGGACGGAGAATCTGCAGAGTTCGAGCAGAGATCGATGTGGTTTGACGGTCAGTATGGCTGGCGCCCCACTGTGGTGCAAGCCGTTGAATTGATATCTAGTCTTCTTGTGGGAGACGGAGGGCACGCGCCGTGAGACGCGTTGAAAGGAGATCCCTGCCTGCATCAGAACCACCAACCCACGTGGTGACGTGCAGGAGGCGGGCGACTTCACCCGCGGGTGGGCCAGCTACACAATAGCTGTAGTCTACTGCAAGTGTAGGATCATCGGCCAGGCAGCCACACAATTTGTTCAGAGGATCTCACCAGAGCACCTTCCGATACGGTGAGTTTTCACCGACATTATGCGCGGCTGGCCTAGATATGCTCTCTGCAAACCGGCCAGGCCAGTCAGCCTAGCTTCGACTTACATACCGGTAGTTCACAAACCAGAGGCAGACTCGCAGTATTCACGCCGAATTTCCATACGAAAGCCACGGTGCCGGACCTGGGAGCCAAATAGGGCGCTTGTCCGCAGCTACCATATAGTCTGATATCCATTGTGTATATGATCTGCCTGCAGCTCCGCGCGATGTGCCCCCAGCCAGCCACTGACAGCTGCCCCCGTGGTTGCACGAAGCCAGCCACTTGCATGCGACGGGCTAAAGATCTCGAAATTGAGGTCGTCGCATAGGGGTACCCGAAGCAGCTGGGGATGTCCCAAAGAGTATCCCAAGGTCCTGGGCGAAGGGTCCTCAGAACCAGAAAACTCCATGTCCCGAGTGATCGGCACCCCAAAGCAGACATGGCCGTCCCAAAGAAGTGCCGCCTGTGGCGCGAGGCTTGACGAAATGCAACACCGGCCTTCTCCTGCAGTGCGCACTAACAAGTACGCGCAGGCTAGGTGTCTGTCGTCTCTACTACTGCTGCGAGAGTGAGTAGTCTACATGTTCTAGTGAGATCAGACGATGGGGAGCGACAGGACCTAGCAGCCAGGGGCAGCCCACGGTCCAATATACCGGCCTGATAACATGCTCGTCTTGGCTGAAATCTGTGCCGAACAGGGCCTCGCAGAGTCGCAGAGAATAAGGACGGCGCCCGGCATGTGACGCTACCCAACCGAACGACTTCGACGCGGGTATCTGCACGATTGTCCAATACAGGAAAATTCCAGCCTGATATTAATAACTTGACTTACAAGACATAATACGTACTCTAATAACGCAACTCTGCTCGCTTGGGAACACCGCTCCTGCCCCCCATCCATCCCATCTTGCCTTTCCAAGTTCCGTTTCAGAGAAACAAGAGCAGCGCCACCCGTGCAAGGCCGTGCTCTCGAGAAAAAGTCGTTCGTTCTCCCCCCCCCCCCCCCCCCCCCCGTGGGATGGAGATCGGTGCCACACGTGCCGCGGACTTGGGGAGGCTATGTGACCGCCCACGGCATTAGCGCTGGTGCACGGCCGGAGAATAAGTGACGAGCTGGTTGACTACAGTAGTAGGCACGCCACGCCACGCCTATTTTGGGGGGTTGAACTTGTGTGAGTGTGAGTGGGGGGGGAGGGAACACGACTGGGCTTGCTTGTTATTAGGAATGTTTAGCATCGTGCCGTGTGTGATTCGTGATGTGATAATGATCAAGGCGGGGAGACGGTGGGTTTTGGGGATCGTTCTTTCTTCATGCGGGCGGGCGGGCTCCGCCCGAAGATGCGGGCCCAGGTGTGGCGGCCTGGATCGTGAGAAGTCCTCGGGGCGGGTTCAGTATGCTACTTGGGCTTCGGCCGAGGAGGTTCTACATGTGTGTGTCTAGTCTATGAAGATCGCCGGCCAAGGCCGAAGCACTTTTCCTCGCACACGTAGGCAGGAAGCGTGAGCCGGCAGCCAGTTAAAGGCACCAGTTTCTATACGAGGTTGGCTCTCTGGCGGCGTGGTCCGGGCCCGGCTAGCAAGAAAGCTTCATGGTCGGCAGCCCGAGAATGACTCCCTGCACCACGCCGTTGTCCGTCCCGTGGTCCTCCTCGAGGGCCCAGCCGGGCTCAGAGCCTCCGGACTCTGATGTCTTGTCGTCATGACGTGGCAGGTTCAAGCAGCAGCAGCACGAGATATGACTGATGTTTTGTTTACTGAGGCATGACATGAATTCAGCTGCTCGCTTAGTAGCGGTCTCTGGATGAACGACTCACAACATCTCTGTTCCTTGACACCTGGGGAACCCTGGGCACGATGTTCCCGCGGACAGGGCCCTACGAGAGCCCTTGCTGTGATGTGGACGTGCTCAGATCATGGCGATCGGAGCCTATGGCGCCATACGCAACCTCGTGGGTTGATAGATACCTGAGGCGGCAGGGTGCTCGCAGACATGTCCTTGATAATCACGTAATACACGAGAGTCCAGCCCACCGCGATACGACGTCCCAGCACAAAGCAACACTGAAGCTCTGTGGCAACTGCGACTGTGCTGTGCTGCGCGATGGGTTGCGAGTAATAAGTCGGTGATGGGACGGGGCACCCGGGGGGGGGCACCCGGGATGTCCTGATGGACCAAGATGGTGGGTGTCGCATAAACGCTCAACGGGGGTTTCTGGAAGGACGACTCCCTTGCATGCCCGGGCGCCTAAGGCTCATGGGAGCCTCGGAACAAGCCCTGCTCTGCCCGTCTAGGCGTTTTGCATTTCCAAATCCGCGGGTCTAACACGATCTGGCAGGGTTGACGGCAAACGGTGTAGGGCAGGACATGGCACAATGCATAGGACAGAAGAAGGCCATGGCCTTTCATGGTCTCAGCAGAGAGCTACTGGAACATCGTGGATGATTGTGCCAGACAGGTTGCTGCACCGCCACGGTCGATTTCTGATATCTCGTCCGGAGCTGGCCTGGACCACGTGCTTGGGTACGCGTATCACGGGACCACAGGCAGGTGCAGCTGGGGAAGCATGGGGATGCTTGACCGGCGCATGAATCAAAATGTCCGAACCTGCACGAGCTGCCAAATCTCTCTCGAGCGCACGCCGCAGGTTGCCCGCGATGGGCTTGGTTGGGTGTGGAGGCGGCCACGGCAGTTGAGCGAGGCCGACGGTCTCTTTTGAGGTTGGAACTGTCACAGATGATGGCACCAACGTTTCCGGGCAGCCCAAGCACGCTTTGCCTGGCAGCCCTCCTGGAGGCTCAACCTCGGGACCATCAACAAGAGCATTGACAGGGCATACATAGCATCTGCTCCGTGCAGACGCAGTACCGTCATGCAGTCTTGCGGTCTGGTCTGTGTCGCGTTGTTGGTAGGATGGATGCAGGGTCGGAGATGATGGATCTGATCTGGCAGTGATCTGGCAGTCCCGGAAAATGCGTGACTCGGGTCGCTTGAGAAGTCGTTGCAGTGCATGCTCGGTTGGTAGGTGCTCTGTAGGAGGGTATGCTAGTCATGTGATTAAAAAGTCAACACGGTGACGTCCTGGATGGGTTCTGGTTTCTGAGCTGATAAGTGATAGACAGCGAGATAGCGGCCGTCCAAATCTTGCGACGCGTCGATCCCAAGTTTCGCAAACAGACGGACAAGCCCAGAAGTCCAGACGGACCTGACGGTGTCCAGGTTACCGGGGCACCACGTTGCCGCCCCGCCCGCGCTAGGCCGAAGCTGATGCAAAACGGTCAGATCCTGGGATGCCGTGCCGAGGGACGGTGGTGATTGGACACACGGACTCAGACCAGACCACACACTTGGGGACCACCTGGTGGAGGTGAGCTGCAAGGGCAAACAGGGACGGGGCCGCGCTACTGCTGCCCAGCACATGCACCCCTGAATTGAGCCGAGACGATCACCTTCGCCCTCACTTCACTCATCGCACTCGCGCTGCCTCGGGACGGGACAGGCCAGCACGGGGCAGCTGCACGGGGCAGGTCAGAACAGGTCAGGCCAGAGACCCACTCGAGCAGTGGCGATCACGGTCATGGGATGCACGGTGGTAGGAGGATGCTGCAGTACCAAGGAGATGCTGCAAGGCGCTCCTCATGGACGGTGGGCGAAAGGGGGAACGGCTTGCTGGGGGAGGACGGGTGCGCGGGGTGGAAGGGGATCGATATGTGGCGGCGAAGGTTGTGATTTGAGCAGGCGATTGCAGGCGAGGTTTGGGACGGCCTGGACGGCCTGACGGTCAGGCAGGTCAGGGTTGGACGGGAGGAAGAGCTCGCCTATCAACGACCAGCAGCAGGTCCAGTCCCCCCATTCATCCCCCAGCAGGCACTAGCACGCCGAGTGTTGAAACCTGCAGGCCAAGGCCCAGCATGAAGGCTGTCGGGTGTCCACTACCTAAGTCTACTGTGCCCAGCGCAGTGCCTACATAGCTGCATAGGTAGTTGGTGGTGTGCGTCTCCGTTACAGGCTTTTCGCGCTAGCAGGAGTGTTCCAATCAGTCGGCAAGTCGCCCGTTTCGGGCAGTCTTTAGATGGGTACATGACGGGAGGGACCAATGGAGGTGTGGAATGCCACAAGCCTTCCGAGGAACTCGTTGCTATCCCTCTTGCGTGCCGCGGACAGTAGACTATCTAGTCCTGCGGTGACCACTGACGGTGATCCCCTGGCTTCCCCAGTCGGCCGTCATCCACACCACACGCCACAACGGGACCGTGCCCATCCCCTCGCAATTCCCAGACCAAAGCCAGGAGGGCCGTCGCCTGCCTTTTCCGTGCAGAGTGCAGGATGACTGTGTGGCTGTACGGCTGTCTTTGTGGATGGATTGTGGGTGGATGTGTGGATGCGAGATGCGAGATGCAAGATGCAAAAGACGGAGAGAGGGAACCCAGACAGGATGGGATGGGGGAGAAGAGGAGAGCAGACTACGTACCACCTTCTACGGCAGACTAGGCACGCACCCACTGGCACCTAGCCTACAGATCAACGGCTGCCACCGAGAACAAGAGGAATGGTTTCGGTGACAGGGAGATGTTGGGTATTGATCTTCGCCCGACTGGTGCATCAAGTCGTCAGTCGGTCATCCGGGCTGTTTCTGCTATCTGTCCGTTTGTCTGTCCCCGAGTCCGCCCTGCCCTGCCCTGCCCTGCCCTGCCTGTCTGTCAGTTGTCAATCAAATAATCAATCAATCAATCAATCTGCTGTTCGCGGGCGCAACTGGGGCGCGCACGCACTTGGACGGCTCCATGCCCGTCCCCGTCCCCGTGCTCGTGCACACCTTGGGCACCCTTCATTGCAACTGTGATCCTTCTGTCCCCAACCTGCCTACTACCTATCTAGGTACGGTACCTATTGTACCCTCCACCGTTCACGTTACTTTTCCTTGTTCTTCTCATTCTCGAACTCCATTTTCTTTTTCCCGCCTTTCCTTTCTTCAACAAGGCCCATTTGTCCAGCTCTGCACCTATCCTCCTACCCCTCCTCTTCCCGTTGGGCGGCCCTGGGGTACATGCACTGAGCTGGCCGGACATCAATTCAACCAGCATCCGTGATCCAGGAGCTGTACGGGTAGAGAGAAGCCGTTTATAGGGATTTATAATCTGCAACTGAGAGGACCCGGACGGCGCCCCTCTACCGCTGAACCCTGCCAGCTGCCACAGCTGCCTTGATCGAGCAACGAGCAACGAACGCGACCCGAGCACGCCTCGCTCGCTTTTAATTTGCCCAGCGCTTCAGGATCCCAGACCCAGACCCCTACATACTACAGCAGCAAGCGACAAAGCATCCGCCGGCGCCGCAACCCATCCCACCCCAGTCGCAATCAAATAAACACCGTGGACCCCCCTAATCCCAATCAGCAGGCTCTAATCTGTGCTCGTCGACGTCCCTTCTGGCACTCGTCCGCCCCGAGTCGGCCACCGTCTAATCAAACAATCCCGCCGCAATTTTTCATGATACCCGACGACTACACATAGTCCACCAAAATCAAAACACTCTGCATGCTAGGTCCAACACTCCGCACATTTATGACGCCTGTCGTGTGCAGTGGGTGACCGCCACGCATCACGCTTGCGGGGAGTCTCCTTGATCCCGTCCCGTCTTGCCGCCAGCTCGACTCCGCGCCATCGGTTATAGCCAGTCATCGCCTGTTAAGGTGTTGGAGGGCGCGGTTGGCCCGGCCGACCAGAGTTCGCATAAACACTACAACTACGCCTTCTCCTCGCCCCTGCCTCCCAGCCGCCCACAATGACTTCACCTCCCAACTCTCCTGGGAACCCGCCCCAGCGACCGCAGAGCGCCATGATCCGACCGACCCAGAGGAGTAGCAGCCGGATGAGCACGTCGAGCAAGGCTGGAGGCGGCAGCAGGGCTTCTGATGAGGATGGCCGAACATCAGTCAAAGTTGGTGAGTATCCTGAGCACACACGCTCTCCGCCATCCGCCCGCGCGTAATGGGAGAGGCAGCACCATGGCTAACACGCGTTTTCACCACAGCCGTGCGCATCCGGCCCCCATTAAAACCTACCGACCCGGGGTTCGACCTAATCCCCCAGCGCTTCCAGAGATCTATGGTCCAGGTCATGTCAAACACGACCCTGGCCATCGATGCGCCCCAGGGCCGCAAGTCTTTGTTTTCGACCGAGTCTTCTCCCCCGAGTACGACCAAGCAGGGGTCTGGGACTACCTCGAGGATTGCGTTAACGCATTCACGACCGGTTATAATGTATCTTTGTTGGCGTATGGCCAGTCAGGCGCCGGAAAGTCCTACACTATGGGCACCTCTGGTCCTAACGAGCAAAACGATTTAGACGTCATGGGTAAGTTGTGTGTGGTTCCCGGCCTATACGAGGTCCAGGGAGCCTTTTGTCGTTTATACTTTGTCATTTCCGCGTTCTGACTCGGGGCCTTCTAGGTGTGATCCCTCGCGCGGCAACCGCGCTGTTCGAGAAGCTCGATGGTCCCAAAGGTAACCCAAATCGCGGTTCTATGTCGCAGCTGCGCACTCCGGCGAGGTACTCTGCCCAGATACCCGCGCGCAACGCAGACAAGCACTGGGCCCTGAAGGCGACCTACGTCGAAATATATAACGAGCAACTGCGGGATCTTCTGCTGCCCGAGCACATACCTGCGCACGAACGCAGCCCCGTCACAATTAGGGAAGACACTAAAGGCAACATAATTCTAACAGGGTTGCGGCAAATCGAGGTTAACTCCGTGGAAGACTTGATGAATGCCTTGAATTTCGGGTCGACGGTGCGACAAACTGATGCAACCGCCATCAATGCAAGGTCATCTCGATCACATGCTGTGTTCTCTCTGAACCTCGTGCAGAAAAAGCCTGGCTTCCCTGGGGGCCACGATAAGCGACACTCTATGCCGGTCGAGGCGATGGCCGGCGGTGAGACCTGGACTACGACAGACAGCAAGATGCATTTCGTCGACCTGGCTGGAAGTGAACGCCTCAAGAACACCCACGCTGAGGGAGCACGAGCCAAGGAAGGAATTTCTATCAACGCTGGTCTAGCTGCACTGGGCAAGGTTATCTCCCAGCTCTCTTCGCGGAGCGCGGGTGCACACGTCTCTTACAGAGACTCAAAATTAACGAGACTCCTGCAGGACTCTCTTGGAGGCAATGCGATCACATACATGATCGCCTGTGTGACACCAGCAGAATTCCATTTGAGCGAAACCCTGAACACCGTGCAGTACGCGCAGCGTGCTCGGGCTATTCAGAGCAAGCCCAGGATCCAGCAGGTCGAGGAGCGCGACAAGCAGGCCCTGATAGACCGCCTCAAGGCAGAAGTAGCCTTCCTGCGCGAGCAGGTCAGAAGCTCTGAGCGGGCAGGAGGTGACAGGCGTGCGCTGCCCCCCGGGGAAAGGTCTGAGCGACAGAACGAGCGAGAATCCGAATTGCAAAACCAGCTCCTGGATGCCCAAGAGAATTATTCGTCCCTGAGCCAAAGACATGCCAAACTCATCGCCGAAATGGCCAAGGCAAGAGACATGGAGGAGGCAGAGAATGCTCAACACGAAGAGAGCTTGGGCGAGACCGCCACCGAGAGGCTGAATCGATCCAACAACTTCGCCCAGGCGGTCGAACAGGTCGTCCTCGAATACGAGAAGACCATCCAAGCACTGGAGCAGTCCCTCTCTGGCACACGAGGCACACTTCATAACACGGAGACAAACCTTTTGGAAAAGGAGAGCAAGCTGGCATATGTCGAAACAATCAACACGCAGCTCCAGACCCGACTTCAGAAGCTCATGGACAGGGAAGCCAACACCGAGAATTACCTCCACGATCTGGAAGCCAAACTCGACGGACACACGTCCGGTGAGGAAAAGAACGCAACCATCATCACCGAGCTTCGTAAGGAGATTGCTCGCGTGAGAGAGAATGAGGCCAGCTGCGAAGATTACATTTCCACCCTCGAGGAGAGGTTAGCCGAGGCTGACCAGGACGCCGAGCTCATGCAGCGCGAGATTGACCGCCTGGAGCAAGTAGTCGAGCGCCAGCGAAGCCTTGGCAAGCTGGACTCCTTGTTGTACGAGCTGGACCACATGCAAAAGGACTCGAGCGTTCCGGAGCCAGAGGCCGAGCTGAATAACGGGACGAATCACCGCCGGAGCGTGAACCGCAGCCTTGCCGATCATTCCCGTAGCCAAAGCGTCAGCGGCCGTCAAAGTCGCATGGAAGAACCAATTCCCGAGGACAGGGAGGAAGACATACCCGAGGAAGGCGCCATCTCGGCCATTGCTGAGGAAGAGCACGACGCAGACGAGGGCGCCCGTACCAAGTCTGCTCCCGAGGCTGACTCACAGCTCGAGTACCCTACAAGCCCTGCCCAGTCGAAGTTCGTCCAGGACAAGCTGGAGAATGTCACGCACGAGTTGATGGGCCTCAGGGTCGAACACGAAAACACTCTCAACCAATATGAACTTCTGCACACCAAGTATGAGGAGTCTCTCAGGACTCTGGCAGAATTGCAAGATACAATCGACGAAGCCCGCCATCCACACCGGCCGCGCGACTCTATGCTATCCGTCACTTCGCCGTCCGAGAACCAGACGAGGCCATCCTCTTTTTTGTCGGAGCCGAGGTCGGGCCACACGAAGGATGGCGGACCGCCGTTATCCTCGCGTTCGCTATCCTCGGAATTATCATCAGCCATGGAATTCCCAGCTGTTGCGGAGGTTTCTGATACGGAGACTGCGAAGCCCAAATCTGAGGATCGTGCCCCAGAGACCTCTCGGGAGCAGCCGTCAACAGCGGAGGCGCATGGCCCAGCTAATGACGAAACCGACAACTCAGCATTGGCGATAGAAATTGAGCGGCTGGCAGCCCTAGCAGCCCAAAAAGAGGCAGCAGAAAAGCAGCTCGCCGAGAAGTACACCGAGCTCGAGAAGAAGCATCATGAGACCCTCGACGTTGTCGAAGAGCTCAAGACTGAGGTTGCAAAGGCCCGTCACAATCTCGAACCGCCCTCGCCGAGAAATGGCACACCCGTCATTCGACGTAAATCCAGTCAAAACGTGATGATCATCGATAGGGCGCACAGGTCATTCGCGTCGCTCCGTAATATCGCCGCGGACAACTTCGAGGAGGACCCTGAAACAATGCAGAACTTCGAGCTCAACCTGAACGCCGCTATGCACGAGCTTCACGCCAGATCGGAGAGGATTCAGGAGCTCGAGGCTGATGTGGCGAATGCGAGAAAGGAGATGGAGACCAAGATGCAACTCATCTCGGGCCTGACCCGTGAGCGCTCAAGCCTGAAGGCCTCCGCCAAAGATGTCTCGCTCATCTCGACGCTGAGAGATCAGCTGGAGAAGAATGAGCGACAGCTTCATGAGATGCAGGAAGCCCATGCTGTGCGCGAGAAGGAACTCCAGAGCGAGATCGAGAGTCTGCGTGTTTCAATGGAGGCTGCTAAGACCGACGAGAAGAAAGCTGAAGCCGATGTGCATGTCGCAGATCAGGGAGCTGTGCACGAGCAGAGAATTGCGCAGCTCGAGGCTGACCTAGCGGATTGGGAAAATAAGCACACATCAGCCTTGGACACCATGCAAAGCACCGAGCAGCAGATGCGCACCACCATTGGAGACCTTGAGGCCCAGCTTGCCAGCGTCAGCGCCCAACTCAAAGACTCTCCTCGTTCGCCAGAGGATCAGAGCGACGTACAGCAAGCCGAAACAAAGACCGAGGAACTCATCTCCACGCTCCGCAGCGAGATCGACGGGCACAAGGCCGTTATCAGCAGCAATGCTGCCAGGGTGACCGAGCTGGAAGAGGCGCACAGCGCTGTCAAGAAGGAGCTCGAGGAGGCTCATAGGGCCCGTGAACTAGCCATGTCAGAGGTTGAGGAGCACAAACAGCTGCTCGAAGGCCATAGAGACGAGCTGGACAAGGTGCAGCAAGAAGCTGACCAGCAGAGGTCAGAGGCCGAGGCCCACAAGCACGATGCTGAGACGCATTCGCAACTCGTGTCGACACTCGAGAACCAAATCTCTTCGCATGAGCAGGTCATCAAGACCCACCAGCGGAGCATGGAGCTGCTCAGGACAACCCACGCCAAGGAGATCGAGGATCTCCATGCTTCGTCGAAGCAGGATGCCGAAGCGAGGGTAGAAGCTCTCAAGGCAGAACACGCCAAGCACACCAAGAAGCTCGAGAGCCAGCTGACCGAAGCGCGCGAGGACCTGATGAAGGTAGCCACTCAGGTTGCCTTTGCACTTGGGTTGGACGTCAGCGTCGAACTCATCTCGGAGCGCATCGAAGACCTCATCGCCGACCAGAAGGCCTTCACTGAGGAGCAGAAGAAGGCCACCGAGCTTGAAAAGGCGGTGCACGAAATCTCCAACGTCAACGATTCTCTCACGCAGGATCTGGAGTCCGTCAAGTCAACATTGTCTGATATTCTCTTGGAGCAAGGCGCCGAGCTGAGGAGCCCATACCCGTCCGTGACTGAGCAAGCCACCGTGATCAAGAGGAAGATGGTGGATCTGCAGAGCAGGAACAAGAAGAACTCGCGCCTGGTGGACGAGCTTGAGGAACAACTGCAGAGCAACTTCGACCAAGTCCAAATGACGAACAACCGGCTGTCGACTCTTCATGAGCGCAACACTCAGCTGGAGGAGGCCCTTAATGCCAAGAACACCCTGCAGAACGAGCTGAACTCGCTGAGAGAGCAATATGCATCTCTCCAGGTACGTCGCGATCGGCCACCCCATTGTGCTGCTGTGCTTACTAACCAGACCCAGAACAAGATGAACAATGGTGTTAACGGCGACACCATGGGGCGCTCTGATTCGCTCAACGGCCAAGTGCGCAAGTCCGCGTCCGTCACCTCGCTACCTTCACCACCTCCAGCAATTCCACTGCCTCCATTGCCTGGCGGCGTCTCCTCCTCTGGCACAACATCGCCCATTCCTGGCATGCGCCCGCCGTCCAAGGACATGGCAATGCACCATATCCATGAGGACCAGGAGGCCCGCATCCGCACGATCGAGAAGCACCTCTCGGCGGAGAAGCAGCTCACGTCGACCCTGGAGGAGGCGCTCACCGACCTAGAGCGGCAGTCCAACAAGGTCAAGGCGGACTGCGACGCGTGGCGGCGCCGATGCACGGAGCTTGAGACAGAGATGAAGGCCCTCAAGGAGAAGCCGTCGCAGGACCCGCGCTGGAGCCTCCAGCAGGTCGAGGAGGAGCGCAAGAAGCGCGAGGCTGCGGAGAGGGCGCGCGCGCACCTCGAGGAGAGGATGAACGCCATCAACAAGAAAAAGAAGAAGGGCAGCCTGAACTGCTTCTAATCCTTTCTCGGTCCTTTACAAGGGCTTGGGATATCTCACGCTTACGATATGACCCCTTGCGACTTACCCCCGGATGGACGAGCTACTGCTTTTCAAATTCGGTTTCTCAAACCCCTTCAATCGAGGGGCCTTCTTTCGCACATATTACCCCCCTACCATGTTTACAAATCTATCACCTTGTTCATTTCGATGCTTTTGTTTGCATGGCGAGCTATCATCACATCACATTTGGTGGCGAGGAGTTTGTGGGTACGAAGATGCCGTCAATTTGACCACGTCGATGATGCGCAAATCGGTCCTTGAACGCGACGGACGCTGTCTTCTTCTTCTCTTTCCCCTTGCCCTTGCCGTTATTGTTGCCTTTTCCTTTGACCTACCTATACGAACATCGCCAATATCTCCGCGCCAATTCACCACATAATGCTTATTCACCGTTAACGATTCGTCTCCCTTTCCCCTCCCCACCCACGCTTACGTTCATGTTCGGAGTCAAAAGGGCACAAGAAGCAAAAGAAAACGAGAACGAGAGGAGAGACACAAGTCAGTTGGATCTTGATTCGAGAGTCGAAAGATATGGAAGGAGGAGGCTTGGTGAGCGGCATGGACATGGCTGCGCACATGCCCATGCCGTGTCACCACCCTCCGCCCGAGAGGAACAGAGATTTTGCTGTTGTTGTTTGCAGTTGAGCTGAGATACCACCAATACACTTCCTGCCTTCTTTTTGTCCATGATTCTTGTATTGTGCTGTGTTTGAGGCAGCCTGAGTAGGGGCCTGGTTGTCTCGTGGATCGGACATGCCCCGTGTCGTGCTTGATATGTACCAGAGGCCCAGCTCAGATGGCAGAGATGAGTCTAACCCACACCAGAAGTCTAAATTCTCAACTATAGGCACTTTAAATGAATTCGTCGTGTAGTAAAGCGTTTTCGCGAAACTGTTAGAATCGGGCCGAGATATTTGCTGCTTGGGTTGTTTGGTATAAGCCAACAGATCGACGGAGGCAGGGTTGAGCCAGACTGCTTGCCCTGTCTTGTACGCACTACGTGTGAGGCCAACTGCGCTACAAGCCCACGGGGTGATCGCTCTCGCAGATCGAGGACAGTCGGTAGATTTAAGGTGCACAGCTTCTGTTTCTGCCTCCTGCCTGCTGAATATCTCGCTGGGCTGCTGAGAGGTGGTAGTTGGGAGGTGGGGATCTGCGCTGATTGATTGTCTGTCCAAGGGGTCCACGTTCGGTGAGCGACGGATGTTGCCCGCTCGCTCCATCCGTAGTATTCACCGGAGGAAGCGCATGGTCGTATTGGAAGTCGAGGCTACTGTTCTCGCGACAGGGGTTCAGCCTTGGGGCGACTCCTCTCTGGACCCCGTGTGTCTATTTACATGCATCTATATCCAAATCCAGCCTGACAAGTGCCGAGGAGGCAGCTGATGTTTGCCGAATTTGTCGAGTGTGCAACGAGTCGCGCACTCGTTTTGTGTTTGCCTGTGGGGGGCAGCAAGAGAGAGAGGAAGAGCATGAGATCGACAGTATCCGTTAACTTGAGACGGCGAGTCGCACAAAGCGAGATGAGGCCTAATCCCTGCAGGGCGAAGATCTTGTGAAACAGCGTCAGAAAAAGGCCTAGGCGCGCAGGTGGGACCGGCGAGGCCTCAGGGGTGTGTTATTTCAACGGGCGGCGCTGGGGATGCTGTTTGGCCCAGCTGAGTCCCTCCTCTCGGCCTTGATATTAACCTTAAGAATCTTCCCAGGGTGGAATAGGACGTGATCCGCTCCCCCTCAAGCACCATCGTGATCCGGCTGCCCAATCTCATGGTTGGCCCTCGTTGCCTCGTGAAGGGGATTGCTGGATCTGGTACCTGCATGGCCCCAGGGGACTTGGGTCGATCGTCAGGAATTAGCTGCATGTAGTACAGAGAGAGAGAGAAAGGGCAGGTGCTAAGAGTAATCAAGCAATAGCGGCCAAGTGAGTGCCAAGGCTGCCTTCCTCCCCACCAGGTCGGGAGGCCCTTTCCTCAGTTCGGTGTAGGCGCTGAGCGGGCCGCATCGTGAGATAAGAGTCGGGTCGAATCATAAATGAACCTTGCCCGCCCATTTCGCCCTCCTTCCTTCCTATGTCCTGGTCTCTCCTGATCTTTCCAAACAAGGCCGGTCAGCCAGTCGTTCACTCTTTTGCTCACCTTCAGTCGTTCCTTCATCGCACTGTTTGACCATCCAGTAGGGCATCTCCCGAAAGATCCCCACTGCCGGATTCACCTCAGCATCGCACGGCACCGTATTGCATTGCACCGCGTCGCATTTCCCGTCTGCAGTCGTTCATTCCTTCCGTAAGTCAGCCATCAAACACCTCCGTTTCCAGGACGACTCAGCAAGACGAGTCAATCAACGACAAACGAGGTCGACCAGTCACCAAGTTTAGAACTCGGACCTGACCTCGACCTCGACAGCTTGCTGGGCTCCTTGCGATCCCTGCGCCTTTCTATCTGACACAAACCTCAGCGTCCACTTCGCAACTCTATACTCCTTTCCAGCTTGTATCTAGAGCATCGTTGCTGTTCACTTCAACACTTGACGCCTATCCATCTGTCAGGCTGTCACCATGTTTGTAAGTTCCTTGCGACGAGCCCAGAGGGCCGTTTAGAAGTTCCCTTACATTTTTGGAGACCTGATCGGCATGGTGTCCACGGGTGCCAAACCTTATAGCCTGCCCATCGGTACAACCTTTTGTGTCTTACTGCGTCGACGCCACGCCCCAAGCCTCCCCTTCGAGCATACTGGTCTCCAACAGCAACGCTAACAAAGCTTTACAGTTCCAACGAACCGCCCTTGGCCTCGTCGGCGCCGCCTCCCTGGCTGCTGCCGTGCCTGCCATCGACGTCCAGGGTTCCTTTTTCGTTAACAACGCCACCGGCGCCCGATACCAAATCGTTGGTGTCGCCTACCAGCCCGGTGGCTCTGCCGGATACAACCCAGGCTCTGGCGTCGACCCCCTTAGCAACAAGGACGAGTGTCTTCGCGATGCAGCTCTCATGCAGATCCTCGGCGTCAACGCCATTCGGGTCTACAACATTGACCCCGACGTGAACCACGACGAGTGCGCCTCGATCTTCAATGCGGTATGTCCCGACACCGACCCGAATTACAACGTGACCCGTGGATAGAGATATGACTGAACATGAGCTGACTCTGTGCTGTGGTGTAGGCTGGCATGTACATGTTCCTGGACGTGAACTCTCCCCTTCCGGGCGAAAGCATTAGCTCTGCTGCACCCTGGGAGTCTTACTACGCCGGCTACCTGAACAGGACTTTCGCCGTCGTCGAGGCCTTCAAGAACTACCCCAACACGGCCGCGTTCTTCAGCGGAAACGAGGTCATCTTCGACGAAGACAACGGCGCTACCGTTCCTCCGTACATTCGTGCCGTCACCCGTGACCTCAAGAACTACATCGCCAAGAACGCCGATCGTGCTATCCCCGTCGGTTACAGCGCTGCCGACGTCCGTTCCATCCTCTTCGACTCGTGGGAGTATCTGCAGTGCGAGGATGAGGAGGACGAGAAGAGCCGCGTCGACCTGTTCGCACTTAACAGCTACTCGTGGTGCGGCAACAGCACCTTCACCGAGTCGGGCTACGACCAGCTTGTGGCTGGGTTCGAGGGCACCTCTGTTCCCATCTTCTTCTCCGAGTTCGGCTGCAACACACCTTCCCCTCGTGTCTTCACCGAGGTGCCAGAGATCTACAGTGATGAGATGCAGAACGTTTTCAGCGGTGGCATCGTCTACGAGTACGCGCAGGAGGACAACAACTATGGCCTTGTCAACATCAGCTCCGATGGCTCTGCCTCGATCATGTCCGACTACTACTCCCTGAAGGAGCAATACGCTGGCCTGAACTTCACCACCATCCAGGGCATTGCCCCGTCCACGAAGAGCACTTCTGCGCCCAAGTGCAGTGAGAAGTTGATCACAACTAAGGGCTTCACCTCCAACTTCACCATCCCTGCTCTCCCACCCAACGCCTCGGCCCTCATCGAGAACGGTATCAGCCCCAAGCCGGTCGGAAAGATCGTCAAGATTGGTAAGTCAAACCTTCCAAGGAACAGAAACCCAAATCGATAACTCGGCTGACTCGAACGAATACAGATGACTACTCCGTTACGGTCACCGTCAAGGACAACGACGGAAAGGTTATTTCTGACCTTGCCGTCGCCCCGCTCGGCGAGAACGAGATCAACTCGCCCGGTGCTAACACCAAGACCCTCTCTGGCTCTGGAAGCTCCTCCTCTACTGGCACCAGCTCGAGCTCGAGCTCCTCCGCTTCCGCCTCGTCCTCTGAGAGCGCGGCTGCTGGCATGCGATCCGCTCAGGCTGGTTCGATGGCGTGGGTTATGGTCTCTACCACCGTCGCGGCCAGCTTCCTCATTGGATTCCTGGGCTAGCTGCCCTACTAGAATCCATGACAAAGCTGCGTGGGCCACAAGAGAACACAACGTAGTGACTGCAGCTCGTTATGGGAAAGAGGGGGAAGAAGCGCTGGAGCGGGGTTGATGATTCGGCAGAGACAACGACACGTGCCAACTGAACGAATGACTTTTGTCGAGTATCGGTGTTATGATACCAATTATGCTTGTGCATTTTCGCTTCTCTTCAAAACATAGGGTCTAGGAGTAAGAAACAGTGTTTCGTAATCATAATCGTGGGATCCTTGTGATACCCAGCAGCGCAACGTGATATGTCTGGCTGAGACTTGCCTTGCGGCAGGGGATGCCGATTTGCTCCAGATGTCTCTTTCACATGGTAAGGGCCATCGTTCAAGGTTGAACAACAGGAGCATCGACTCGATAGATCCATGGTGGACTGAACGAAGTCGTCGCCGAGCTTGTGCCCGTCACCAGTCCACAACTGTTCGGGCGAGACTGCGTCCAATGGGATCAAATCCGGCTCATAATGAACCTTCTACTCTAACCGAATAGCTCGAAAATCTGCCAGAGTATCGGTCCAGGCCAGGGCGAGCCTGGCGGCTGAGCTGTCAAGAGGCGCTTTGACTGGCTAGCCTTGGCCGAATGTTTTCTTAGGTAGGGAGGCGTATTTGGGACTAAATTAGAATGTCAACAGCGCGTTATGTACATCAGTTGTAAACAAGAGTGAACTTGAGATTCATGTTCGAGAGGCGGTCAAGCTTCATGGAAGGAGTTGATTTGTGTAGATATTTCTGTGTTTCCGCAATATTGAGTTTGTCCTTGTTTATACTCAATGGATGACTTTAACAATCGAATATCAGGTCTACGATATTGCTCTAGACGATTCCGACAAAAACTTTTCCCGTTTATACTTGAGTGAGGGGGCAGAGGGTGGGATCACCCAGCTCCTGCAAGCTCGGTCATGTTGAGCTCGAAAGCTATGGCAGCGCACGGCTCGCATCAGAAGCTCTTCACACCATTGCCGTTGTACATGAAGGTGAGTAAGAGGAGGAGAGCAGCATCCTAAGTTGTTGCCCATGGGTCCGTTACTGGCTCTTATCCCAACAAGGTCAACGACACGACTCAACACCACGCCGGCGCGTCGCATGGATACCGCCCACCGCGCTCCTAGACGAGTCTATGACACAAGGTATGGCATGATCGCGATGGGACTCCGGTATGGATAAAATTCAGGACTTGTCCATGCCAATCGCGCTGGTGATATGATCCCCTTGTTGTTCCTCTTTCTTTTTTCCTGCACCCTCTGTTAGGAAACACACTGTTGCCGAGACAGAACACCAGCTTGCACCCTCATCCAGTCAAACCGACTCAACCATGGCCAAATCTTTCGTTCAGGCCCTATGCCTCATGGTAGCAGCACGTTGTGCCGTTGCCATGCCCTATGACTACGACGACTCACCCTTCTTCGGCGTCCAGGACGACGTCAGCGACGAGTGGCCCTTCTCGGAGCTCATCCGCGAGTCCCCCTTCGAATACCACCGGAGGGAGGCGGCCATGGCTGCGGGCCTCGAGGCCTCGAGGACGCTCCCGCCGTGCGCGACCGAGACGCCGACGGGCTGGGGACCCGCGGTCAGCCCGGACACGGCGGCGACCTTCTCTGCGTACCCGCAGTTCAAGTCCAACGCCACCCAGTTCGGGGTGAGCAACTCGTCGTTCATCATCTCGGTCGTCAACGACAACGACGCGTTCGAGTACAGCGGCAACACGTACCTCGGCTGGATCAACCAGCCGACGTACAGCCCGTGGAACTGCCAGCAGGCGTGTAATGCGCTTAATGCCACTGGTGTCAAGTGTAACACTTACAACACCTGTGAGTGTCCCCGCCCCTGATGATGCCCCCCCCCCCTCCTGCTACTGTGTGTGAGAGAGCCTAAAAGGAAAACGTGGCTTGGGTCTCCTTTGGCTCACGACATGGAGATGCTGACCTCTTCCTCCCCCAAGACTATCTGCGCTCCCCGACCATCACGCCCAGCACTGACGCTTCGTGCCCCAACCCGACGTCCATGACCACCATCGTCTGCGCCCTGTGGAAGAACAAGCTGTTCCCCTGGGACGGAATCAACACGGGCGAGATCCGCGGCAAGAACTTCACCGTCGTCATCGCTGGTATGTCACTGACCCCCGCCCTTCGCCATGGCCTAGGGTGGCACTAATTGATGCTCATGGCTGACGCTATTCAGGTTCCAACTTGTACCAGAGGAACAACTCTGACCCCTTGTAGAGCTGTTACCATTGTGTGAGCTGTTGCTTCCCGAGAGATCGGAAGCCACGAGGTCCCTCGAGGGTGGGCTGCTGTCCGGGGTGGATACGCAAGTTGGTGTGAGCAGCTTGCTCGCGGTAATATTGTAGGGTTTCGCACCACCTAGGGGACGTCTAATGGTTACTGAGACCTGGATCATTCCTTTTCTATTCTCCCCCAACATCATGACCGGGTTATGCTTTCCTCGGCTACTCGGGGACTGTTGAAGTAAAAAGTAATTCTGTGCGGACCACATAGCCATTCACTCGGTTGTACTAGTCTATATGCTATAGCTGCTAGTACAATAACAGTCTAAAAGTAGATAAGCATAGCACATTAACCACGAGTGTCTTCCGTTGACATGTGTGTGATCTGTGGCGATATTCACATGTGCTCTCAGGCTAACAACGCCGTAACTGGCTTCATCTCTGCACTTTGGCCACACTGGTGTGCTGTTCATGTAAATGTGTATAGCTCTGAAATGTAACATGTTTTCAGTTTCCTCCTGGACAAGTCTGTCTCTAGCAGCTAAAGGGAGCATACACAGTTCCGTCCCGATAAGCCACGATAATGCCATCGATTGTCACATACAGTCCGGCCACACAGATAAACAGGCCCCCTATAATTGTGAGGACACTTAAGATGGTCATACCCCAGGACTTGGACCAAGTCTTTTCCCCCACCCCGTAATGGTACGCGTCGTAGAGCCAGAAGAACCCGGCGATGCCATATGTGTACCACGAGGCAAACAGGCTTGCCGAGATGCCGATGAGGTAGTTGAATATGGGCACTCCGACAGCAAGCACGAACGCGGCGCCATTGGCCAGAAAAATGAGGAACACCCAGACCCCCCAACCGAGCACCGAGTGCTGGTGCAGGTGGCGCGAGCGCCGGAACATCCTGACGAACACCAGCTTGGCCGCGGTGTGCGAGTACAGCGAGCCGGCGATGAGGAAGTTGGGGATGGCGACGCCGTAGGCCGCCTTTGCCCAGACGGGCGGCAGCGAGGAGAAGGACGGGCTGGACACCTCGGACCCGAGGTAGTAGTACGTGACCACCGAGAAGACGACGTAGAAGCTCGTCGCGAAGCCCTGGAGTGTGTATGCGGCTTTCATCGCGCCGCGGGGGTCTTTCATCTCCGAGATGGGATGAAGAACATGAAGTGGCCCGCATAGGCAAAGACGGGGTTCGTGATGGACACGAAGGCGGCGACGAAGTCGGACGACCTGGCTATGTCGACCGTCCGCCCCTCGACGGGGTGCAGCCCCGCGCCGACCATGCCGATGACGCCCGCGACCAGGATCGAGGCGACGGCGGGGATGCTGAGCCACGAGAGGCGGTCCATCGTCCGGGGCAGGGAGAAGAGCAGCGTCGGCACGGCGAAGACGCCCGTGTAGAGCATCAGGCACAGCCGGCTGTCCGAGAGGGCCGAGAGGGCCGTCTGGCCCGCGAGGAGCTGCGACCCCGTCGCGAAGACGGCGAAGATGATGGTCCCCGCCGCGAGGACCTCGCGGCCGGCCGGGCCAAAGAGGATCATGCCTGCGTCACCCATGGAGTGCACTGTGTCGTGCCAAGACACACGCGCATATTGTCAGCTCACTGTGTTTTTTTCCTGCGCGGGGGCTATTGGTCTGGCTGGGGGGTTGGGGCTGCTTGCTCACCCTGGGGATGGCGCAGCTTGAACTCGATCAGGAGCCAGCTCGTGAAGGTCGCGAAGACGCCCAGGAAACACGATCATGATCACGCCCGGCACGACCCCGACGACGGCGAGGCTCGACGGGAGAGAGAGCGTGCCGTTCGACACGATCTCGGCTATCATGAGGACGGCCACAAGGGGCCAGCTCATGGTCCTGTAGTGGATCTGTGGAGGTCAGCAACTGCGCTTGGTGTTGCGGTCTGGTCGGGGTCATTGTCACCTGTGCGCCCTCCTCGTCTCCGAACACATCGTCTGTGGGAGCATAGTTCGCCTGAGGTGGGGATCCCGTTGAGTATCCATACTCATGGTAGATGCCTGGCTGCTGGCCTTTCTTCTTGTCGTGGTCGAACATCATGATAGCCACCCGCGGAAGAGGTTTGGGCGGTGTAGATGTGAGACCACAAAGTCATCATCTACATCGAGTTCCTTTGGGCGGAGAAAACAGCCGAGTCTCTAATGGGATTGTCGTCTAGGTAATCAATTGCCGCTCCTGGTTTCTCAGTACAACCCTGTTGCAAGCACTCCAGCAACATGCTGGGCTTACTCCCGCATCGGCCTACTTGCCTGCCTACCTGAGATAGGTTCGACGCTATCGAGAGTTGGAGAAGCGATCATCACACCGTGAGATAAGCTGCCCTGATGATTCGCACATCTGTGTTAGTTGCCGATTATTGGAGATGTGACGGAGATAACGACTTTGAAGCCATTTTGCAATCTCACCAAATAAATAATATGCATTCTGTCAGCCCAGTTTCCAGGTCACACAACATGGGCCTTCGTAAGTTCAAATGGAATCTCGAGCCCTCACAGATACTTCTTCGGCATCTTCCATGTAGCACCGTCTTCTGCCAAGCGTGTAGCCATGGAAGATCAGTTTCATGTATGGAAATAAACGATTGAAGATCAGTATGGAAGACAAGGGCCCTTCATCAGCCCATCGCTACCTAGGTATACTTTTGAATAAACAGATGCAGTTCCCTTACTGCAGACAAGGCCAAAAGCAAGTCGAGGAAAGAAACAGAATTATCAGCCTCACCATCAGCCCTCAGATATTGTATGGATTTCATACTGAATTCGAAAGACATGAATCTTGAGTCCCTACAGAGGCACAGCGGACAGATGTGGTGGACAGATCAAGATTTGGAAAATTCCAGGACAGAAGGGCACTTTCAGTCACATCATCCAAATAAATACTTACAAGCTGCAATTGCATGTCAATAGCATAGCTTTGAAATATCGATATACACACAAGTTTGTATGTACTATGTGGGAGAGGATATGAAACCGTACAAGGAGAAGCCAACATCTGCGTCCTGTCAGCCATGCAAGTGTAAGCTAGGACTACACTTGAGACCCAGATGTCTGAGTCAGGCAGGGGAGGCTTATTTGAGAGTAAGCCAATCCTATCTCTTAATTTCCAGTGGATTCCAATTTATCTGTTGAAGTGTAGCCAGTCCACCGTCTTGTCGATGCTTAAGAGGCACTCAACCAATTAAACTCCCACTAACTCAGGTAGGGTTGCCGTTAGCCGACGATAAGCGAACGCGGGCGGCCGTGACATCATGCGGCTCAGGCGCGTCCCGACCTCAGCTTACTGCGGGGACCAAACCTTCCGATCAGCCATGGTGGTGAGGCGTGCCGGTCCAAGATGAAGTCCCTGAGGCCAATTACTCGACATATCCTGCGGAGGAGCTCCCCGCGATGCCTGCGGACATTTGCTACGGCGACCGATGCCGCTGGCCAGCAGCAGCAGCAGCAGTTCGACAATCGTGTCAAGATCGTCGAGGTGGGCCCGCGTGATGGCCTGCAGAACGAGAAGAAGACGATACCCCTGGCGACAAAGATCGAGTTGATCGAGAAGCTGGCCAAGACAGGACTTACCACAATCGAGGCCGGGTCGTTTGTGTCCCCAAAATGGGTTCCTCAGGTTTGTTGCTTCGCTGGTAGCTGACAGCTATATTGCCTTGCGTCTGGCTAAGAGTTTCCAGATGGACAGCTCGAATGAGATCCTCGAGCATCTCCTCAAGAACAAGCCCGCCTCCCCTTCACCGATAACCTACTCCTTCCTCGCTCCCAACGTTAAGGGCCTTGCCAACGCCACGAAAATCCTCCAATCCCACCCCGATGCCTTCGTCACCGAGTCGACCCGCACGATCCTCAACAAGGAAAAGCCAGAATTAGAGCTCGCGGTCTTCGCAGCCGCGACCGAGTCCTTCAGCCAGAAGAACCTGAACTGCTCCGTCGCGACGTCGCTGGAGCGGTTCCGCGACGTGATCGCCCAGGCGAAGCGGTCGGTGGCCGACATCCGCGTGCGGGCGTACATCTCGGTGGTGCTGGGGTGCCCGTTCGAGGGCCACGACGTCGACCCGCACCGGGTGGCCGAGATCGCGACGGACCTGCTGGAGATGGGCGCCGACGAGATCGCGCTGGGCGACACGACGGGCATGGGCACCGCGCCCCGCACCGCGCAGCTGCTGCGCAGCATGGCCGCCGCGGGCATCCGCAACGAGGACGTCGCGCTGCATTTTCATGACACGTACGGCCAGGCACTCGTCAACACGGCCGTCGCTCTCGAGCATGGCATCCGAACCTTTGACTCGTCCGTTGGTGGGCTTGGTGGCTGTCCGTACAGCCCTGGCGCGACGGGTAACGTGGCGACTGAGAATGTCGTCTATTTCATGGAGACCTTGGGTATGGACACCGGGGTCGACCTGGACGCTGTGGCGGATATTGGCCAGTGGATCACCGGGGAGCTGGGGAAGGCGAACGACAGCACCGTTGGGAAGGCCGTTTTGGGGGCGAGGGCCCGGGCTGACAAGTGAGGCGCCGTGAAAAAGGGAACATCTCAAGGTTCCTGAATTGGGCCTGCAAAAAGATGCACGGGAAACGGCGGGATGGATTGTATATGTGTCAATAGTTCAAATCCGCATGGTTTGAGTTATGGTTGTCCAGCTCGTAACTGCACAACTGTGCAGGCTGGTAAAACATCTATCGTGCAAGCTCAGACGTGATGCTTGCCTTGAAATAAATGCCCAGACAAATGCTACTGTGTGCATAGTTGAAAAGCAACATCCGGTCGAAGAAACCGCCATAATGAGAGAAGCAACCCTAGAATACAGTGTTACGCTTCGCCTGTTATCCCGACTAGATGCCAGAGGTTGTGGTAGCAATGGAATTCTTGCTGCTACTGCTATTCAAATTGTCAGGGTATCATTTCGCGTCTCGATTCCCTTAATGGAAAATTATCTTTGCTTTAGGCGGCGTTCTCTTCCTCCTTGGCGAATGTGTTGGCTACTATGAAAGGGAAACACGCTGTTGCTTCCATGTACACCTTGACATTGTCGGCCCCAGCCTTGATCTTGCCCCAGCTCACGGCCTCATCCGGCCTTGCCCCGGCGTCGCTGCCGTCGAACTCCTGCGCGGTGTTGATGTACACGGCCGACTCGGCGCCGTTCCTCATCAGGCAGGCGTTGGCGATGTGGTGCTTCACGAGGCCCCCGCCGAGGATGATCATGCCGGCTCGCTTTGCGCGCACCGAGATTGTGTTTATGCGGCGGATGTCCTCGACGATGTCGACCCTCAGCTGCTTGGGCGAGGACTTGAAGGTGTGGAAGTACAGCATGTCGCCGAGGCTGCCGTCGGTGAGGGCGGGGCAGAAGACGGGGATGTTGTTCTTCCAGGCCCAGTAGTAGACGGAGGACTCGTTGTTGATCTCCTTGCCGAGGCGGTGGATGACCTTGGAGGGCGTCCAGACCAGCTCGCCGTCGACCTCTTCGCTGGTGGTGCCGTCGACGTGCTTCCCGGCCACCTTGCTGGCCTCCTGCTCCTCGAGCATCCTGTCCAGGATGGGCACGACCCAGTCCTCGAAGGCGCAGTAGTTGGAGTTGGGCACGACCAGGTTGCCGATGCGGTTGAGGCCCCTGGCGCGCAGGTCCCTCCCCGGGGCGCTGAAGCCGCCGGGGGACATGTAGGTGTCGCCGAGGCACTTGATAAAGTCCTCCTCGATGCCGCCAGCAGTGGTGACGATGGCGGAGACGTGGTTGTGCTCGACCAGGTAGCGCAGGACGCCGCGCAGGCCCGACGAGATGAGGTTGGAGGTGTAGCCGAGGAAGATGGTGGTGCGGTCGCCCGTCTCCGGGTCGCGCCAGGCGCGCATGTCGTTGATGATGCGCACGGCGTCGCACATGGAGGACGCCTGGAAGCCCATGTTCCTCATGCCCTGGAGCAGGTCGTCTGCGGTGATGGGGCGGCCCTTGAACTTGTTGAAGTCGAGCTCCTCGACCTTCTGGGAGCCCTCGGGCATCTCCTCGGACTTGACGAGGACGGCATCCTTTGCGCCGGACGGGGCGGAGGCTGGGGTTGAGGCCATCTTGGTGTAAAAGCAGGGGAGCTGATGCTAAGTCTTAGTGTGCTGATGAAGTTCTGGTTGTCATGGCCGGGATAGGATGAGTTTTGCAGACTGATGAAAATTTGACATGGCCAAATGGATGTTGCTTGTGGTGCTGCTGGTCTGGTTTCTTCTGGTATGCTGATTCTGATCACATTCTGCTACTTGGCGATGGAAGTTCTATGTATGTACATGCACACGGTGCAGCTTAATGGAGGTCCTCACGGGCTCTCGCAGCCTTCATTTTCATCTCGTCTTTTCTTCGGTCGGGCCACTCACTGGAGGGATGGTCAGGAAAAGTGACCTGACATGCATGACATGGGCAGGGCCGGGCAGGGCACCGCAGGGCAGGGCGTGGCGTGGCATGGATCTAAAACCTCAAATCTATCCGCTCTCCTGCCGCCTGATCCCTGCAGTGGATGGACCGTCTGGCAGGGCAGTACCAGGTGATTGTGTAGTGCACCACATTAGACTGCAGAGATCTCCCTAGCTGTATCGAGCAGTACATTGAGAAGCAGAGGACACTTGGTAGGACGGGCCTGCTAGACTGTGTTTGGTAGCGGCACAGGACTTTTCATCACGTCTGCGGGGCTAGTGGCGTTCACATTTTGAGGGGTACTTGAAGAACGTACCAATGTATCTGGGTACCGCGCAGGGGTTTGGCGGAGGCAGGGGCAGGTGGGCCAGGGTCATGGTTCTCCAGCCGGTGACTTGGTGACTTGGAGACCTGGAGACCTGGAGACTTGGGATGCGGCTGTTGAGAAGGGCGCTAGCCTTGGCTAGGTAGTTCGATTTCATGTCTGGCGCCCACCCGCTGCTGTGCTCTAGCCTCTGGTTCACCTGGCACCTGGCTGGTGCTTGGCTGGGCTGCGATTGACGATTTCGACTTCGACCGTTCCTCTACATGCACAGCGCCTCTGCCACACGACCACACCCGCCTCGACCAGACCCAACAACACCCTCGTGCGCATTGTGTGCATCTCCTTGACCTGCCTCTCATCCCTTCCAGCCCTTCTTCGGCGTCGGTCCGGCCCAGCGGGACCCGTTGTACCCAACCTCTCGACCCGCCCCATTCTTCTCCATTCCCACTTCTGCCACTCCCGACATCCATCCATCTCTGTCCACCAAGTCAGTCAGGGCCGCTCGTCCATCTGCTGGAACCTGGTCCTCGTCCAGGATCCAAGGCCTCACCCTATCGACCCTGATTCGGCCTCTCGATCTTGCCTGCCTGACTGACTTGACTGGCCGGCGTGGCCTGGCCTTCCCGACGCGAGCGTGACTACTACCACTAGCACTTCTTACTGTTGTTGCTGCCGCTGCCCGGTCCGACCTAGGTATCTGACCCCACTGCACACCGTTAAAACACATTCTGGTCCATTTCCGTCGAAATGTGCAGCCTGTCTGCAGACATCTAGCAAGGACATACTGGGGCAGAGGCTGCCCTTTGGAGACATGTAGGCCTGACCTGTTCTGTTCTCTCCGTCCCCCGTCTATCTTTCTCCCTCCCCACCAAAAAAGACCCACGCAGCCGGCCGTCGTCAGTTTCTGTTTCTGCTCGCCTGGCCTGGTCTGGCGCGGCGCAACCCTTTCGTGTCCTTCGTGTCTTTTGACGTCTAGACCCGACCCTCTCCTCCCCGTCCAGTCCACTCGTGTACAGCCCGTCGCCTGCAGCCTCGGTGCTTGCACTGTCCTCATTTTCTTGCATCGTCGCCTGTTCTGTTTTGCATGGGAACACTCCACGCAAGACATGCGACCGAACCACTATCGCCCGGGTCGGGTCTTTGACGGTCGCCCTGCTGCCCCGCGACCTCCACCCTTGCGTACAGACGTGTACCCAGATGATGTCTATCATGCTCAATATGACCACAGGTCCAGATACAACCCCCGCTACGACGACCGCCGCTCGCGCTCCCCCAGGGACAGATCCCCTGACCGACTCACCGACCGCGCTTCGCAGTACAGCGACGGCGATCGCAGACGAACCTCGGCCGAGTCGAGAACCAACGCCTCCGCCTTTCAGTCCAACAGGGACAACTTCCGCGAGCCCTTGACGGCTCGCGAGCCCCCACGCGCCCCAAAGGCCTACCTGGACCCTCCCAGCGGCCCACGCGGCGGCTTCTCTGGCGACTTCAGAGGAAGGGGCCGCGGCCGCGGCCGAGGCTGGCGCGATGACAGCCGAGATCGCGGTCGCGACAGAGACTTCAGAGACAGACGAGATGACCCTCCACCATTCCGAGACGACCGTAGTAGGGAACGTGATCGGGACTGGCGGGACCGCGAAAGAGATAGCTTCAGAGGACGCAGGCCATCGCCGGGACCGAGGCGCTCGCCACCTGGCAGAGACTTCCGCGACCGTGATCTTCAGATAGGAGTCGAGGCCGACCGAGCCAGGCGTGGGTCCAGAGACGGAGGCCCTCTTAGCGCTGGTTCCTCAGCATCAGACCCCCCTTTTGGCTCCCAGTCTTATCGCGGAGGTGGTTATCGTGGCAGGGGTGGACGGGGCCGCGGGGACTGGGACCGCGGTCGCGGACGTCCTTCGTTCTTTGATGACAGAGCCGATCGCTTTAGGAGTCGATCTCAGGAAGGTCGATGGGGCAGCGGCCCTCGTGATCGGGATGAACGCGACAACCACCGCTACATCGACACAGACGTACGACCCCGGGATACCCCTAGAGATGACCGTGAACCTCCTCTCCGAGATCTACCACGTGATCCTCGTGACCCGCGAGATCCTCGAGACACTGTTGACCGCAACTCCCGCCCGAAAATCGACCGACAGGGCTCTGTGGCCACCGAGCCTATGACCACTCCGACGAGTAAGCCGACAACACCACCATTAGCTCCCGTTGCCCCGGCTTTTGGTACTGCGCCAGTCCGTCCTCCGCCCACATCTGACATATCCTCTAAAGCACCACCTACGGCACCTCGTGCGTTCACCGAAGATCGTCAGGACCGCCAGGACCGGCCTGCTTCCTCGGGACAGTCCGGTGGCGACCAATGGGCACCGCCTTCGGGGCCTTCCAACTCCATCAGCCCCACGATCCCAACCGGCCCGCGTGGGATGCAGCTCCAGAAAGCTCCTCGACCTTCTAGCAAACAATGGATCAACCCTGCGCTGGTCGGGAGCAAGCCTAAGATACCGGAGTCCCCGAAGATTAACCGGTCACAGAGCTTCGCGTCCCCACAGCAGTCTCGTCCGTTTGATTCTCGAAACGACTCATACTCTAACCGCCGAGACGACGAGCCACGCCGGCCTCGCAGTAGTGGTGCGGGCGCCGAGACGGAAAGAGCCGGGACTGACGGGAGTCTGCGTCCTTTAAGTATCCCTGAGCCTGGCGATACAAGGGTCGAACGTGGCACACAATCTGCGCGCGCCTCCGTCGATCGCGACATACGGGCGCCGTGGAAATTCCCCGACCTCAAGACGGGAGTTGCCGAGACATCAGACCGCGCTAGTGTTGCGTCTGCGATTTCCCCGACCGCCGTCAAGACCACCAGCCCAACCGTGTCTCGTCCCAGTGACCAGCAGGATGATGACGCGGCGACCGCGCAGGAGGACGGGGAGATCATTGAAGATCAGCCACCCAGGAAGAAAAGTCGCTTGCATATCAGCAGCAAATCTTTCGAATTGCCGCCCAAGGTGACGGAGATACCCACGGTGGATCAGTCTTCCGATTCCGATGACGAAGACATGAACGACTACTTCGATTCGGAGATCGCCAAGGCAGAGTCTGAGCTTCAAAGACTGGAGCACGTGAACAACGCAGTGCCGACCGAAATCGTCATCCGCTATGCGCAAGTGACTCACGAGGCTCTGGTGGCGGTCGCAACCGAAAATGGAAGCTTAAAGGACATGCTTGGTCCCATACCCGAGGGCATCGTTTTACCGACGCAGAAGGAGGATGTCGCCCCAGAGCCCGAGAAAAGTACTACGGTGGAGCCAGTCAAGGCTGAGACGGATCAGGTACCAGCTCAACAGGATGCGAAGCAAGTAACGGAGCCCGCTGTGCCCACCGAAAGTGTGGTGGCTGAGCCTCAGCCCAAGGTGGAAGAGATGGAGGTGGACAGCTCGCATGTGCTAATTCCCACCGTCGAGCGGCCCGAGCTTCCGGAAGAGAACGGAGATGTGGCGATGGAAGACGCGCCCATGAACGGTCTGGATACAGCCATGTCCGAGGCAGGTCCTCTCGTGCCGAACGGTGTTTCAGCACACGTTGGTGGCCAGCAGCTCTTGCTGCCTCCTGGAATCGCGCCTCCCGTAGGTGCCGACACTACTAGCCCGACACCTGTCGAAGAAGAGGAGGACGAGACTGATATTGAGGTGGACGACGTGACGCTTGAGCTCGTCCGGCCAAAGATGCAAACGCCACCCTTCGACGACTTACCTTATTTCAACGCGAAGCCTTGGACAAAGAGCAGGCAAGCCATGAGCTCTATGGAGCATGACCCCGAAGTTGAAGCCTTTATTTCGCGCATACTGCAGGACAACAGCATGTTTGTCCGCAACGAGCAGCAGGCCAAGAAGCTGGAATATGCCGGCAGGTATGAGGAGTACTTACGGTTCACCATCTCCGACGACCCTGTCGCTAGCAAGAGCCGAGACGCATTCAACAAAGCGAACGCACCTATTGACGGAGGTGGTAGCCAAGTAGCAGGTCCAGAACCGAAGCCTGAAGGAAGGCGTGGCGGCAGATTCGCCACGGACCGTGACATCGAGCGGATAATGGCCCAGTCTCTGCTGGAGGCAAGAGAAAAGGAGGAGCGCGAGACACGGGCCGAGAAGCTCAAGCATCCTAGTACGAGCGAGGCTGTCATTCCGGACATGTACTGGACCAAGGAGGACCGTGACAAGGAGCTTTATCGACCACTCCGGCTTTCTCAATCCAGAGAAGCTCATCGCGAACTGGCAGGTCCTTCCGCCTGCGGCTAATTTCACCGAGCAGGAGGCTCAGTTGTTCGAGAAGGCCTATCTCGAATTCCCAAAGCAGTGGGGTAGGATTGCAGACCAGATTCCAGGCCGCGATTTCCACTCGTGCATCCAGTACTATTATCTGAAGAAGAAGGAGCTCAACCTTAAGGAGAAGCTAAAGAGGCAGCCCAAGAAAAAGAAGAGCAGAAAAACCAAGGCACGGTCGAGCGCGCTTGTCTCGGAGCTCGGAAACCCGGACGAGCCGCAAGACGAAACCGCGGAAACAGGCGAAAACGGCGAGAGGCGTCGGCCGCGCCGCGCGGCCGCTCCGACGTGGGACTTCGAGAAGCCCCACCCGGAGTCTGCGGAAGGCACCCCGGCAGCCACACCGGGCCGGAGGGGCGCCGGAAGTAAAGCTGAGAGCGGCACAGAAAAGGCGGAAAAGCCACGCAGGAAACGCGCCAACAAGGAGCCGAAGCAGCCCAAGACGCCACAGGTGCTTGCCCCAACGCCACAGGGCGTGGCCAAGGGAGCCAGGTCTCGGTCGAGCTCCAAGGTACCCGTGCCAGAGTTTCTCCCCTCGCAGACCCCCACTGCCGAAATGGGACGGACGCCACTATCCTTCGACATGGGGCGCGCGTCGCCGATGCCTGGTCTGCCGCCAGCAATTGTGCCCGCTCCTGGACATGTCATGAGCCCAGCCGACAAGGCTCTGTCAGCGAACACGAACACGGGTGCGAACGCAAGCTCGAACTCCAACGCTCCGGCTTTGCTGGATATCATGGCACCGCCATCACTGCGTCCTGAGCCCATACCACCTCCGCAGTCACAGGTCGCTACCTTTGAATTCACCGGTCACGTGGGCAGTACACCGCATGTTGCAGCAGAGCCACCGGAGCGGGTTGGTAGAGCCACCCCCTCCAACGCGAATGCTGCGTCAAGCTACTGGAGCGTGGCTGAGATGAACAACTTCCCCGAGCTGCTGAGAAGCTTTGGTACAGATTGGCAGGCCATTGCACAGCACATGACCACCAAGACGGCCACAATGGTAAGTCTCACCCCTGGGATTAGCTCTACAATCGGGGCAGAAGACATTCTAAAACACACGCGCAGGTTAAGAACTTTTACAACAAGCAGACCAGCCGGGAGAAGCCAGAGTGGGGCCAGATTGCCACCGAGGCTGACCAGAAGGTGCAACGAGGAGAGAAGCTGCCTGTTCCTCCAACGCCGACTGCTGGGCCGAGGAACAAGCGGTCCGACTTCGGTACTCATCGTCGTGCTCCTTCAGTAGACGTGGTAGAAGACAGTGCTATAGCCAAGGCAGAGAAGCAGACTGCGCAGAGGGAACAAGCGAACGTCTTCAACGGGCGCGTCCCTGTGCCTATTGCCCAGGCGCCTGCGCAGCAGCAAATACGGCAGCAGCCGGTCATAGGCCAGCCCTCGTTGTCAGAGAGGATTGAAGGGGTCGAGAGGCAAGAGCGCAAGCCATTGGTATCTTCACAGCCCGTTTCACAGGCGATGGAGCCGGCGGCACGTCATGCTCGGTCTTCTTCAGCGTTCCCTCCCGAGAGGGAAGCGGAGCCTCTTGCGCCACAGCAACAAGCAATGCGTCATTCCCTGAAGCCAGCGCCGATCTCTCAAGCCGCAGAGCAGCCAACGCTGCCGTCCCAGGCAGGTCCCTCTCGCGCGGGATTTGCAGGACCTCCCGAGCTCGAGGTCCCTGCGCCCTTCATGCTCGGCGCGACTGCTAGACAGCGCAGGCCGCCGGCCGACATGCAGGCCAAGGAGGAGCCCCGGCTCATTGAGCGGCAACCCCCACGCCTCAAGCAAGAACCCGACCAAGGTCCCCACTTTGAGCCCTTCGTTCCATCACAAGCACCGCGGCCCACGTCCACTAAGCCTGTGCCTGTCGATCGACGGCCAGAGCCACCGCGGACCACAGCGCCTCACAACCCACAGGCCTTTGCTCCCGTGACGGCTGCTCACCAAATGATGCAGCGCGAACCAATAAGGGAGGCGGCTATTAGGGAGACTATGAGGGAGCAGCAGATGATGGCGCCCCCGGTCGATGAGCGACGGGTCGCAGGCGTGCCGGGTCGCGTGCCGAATCTCAACATGATTGACACGCGCGTGCAGAACCCGATTTCTGGGGAAGGCCGTACTCCCAATTCTGCCATGGTCGAGGACCCGCGCCGCGTGCCAAACCCAAACATGGAGCCGTCCCGGGTTTCCAATGCGAACTTTGCCGACACGCTCCCAGCTCGCGTGCCGAATCCTAACATGATCGATACCCCTGCGCCACCCCGTGTACCCAATCCTAACAGCATTGAGACACCAACACGAGCGTCCAGCCAGAACATATTCGACAACGCATACGGCGCGTCTCCGTCTCGACCCTCACCCACGCCGTCTGCTGGTGCACCTCCACCCAGGCAACCTGACCCACCCAAGAAATCGAATCTGTCCTGGTTGCTCAATGATGATCCAGCGCCGGCACCACCTGCTCCAAAGAGGGTTGACGAAGTAGCCCGCGGTGGCGATATGTCCTCTAGTCCACCTCCTCAAATGTCCGGACGTGGACCACCGCCTCCGGCTGCTCCGCCGCACATGCGAAGGGAAGAAACACCGACATTCTCACCATACTCGCGCACTCCGGCGCAGACTGCGATGCCGGCACTCAAGCCGTACAGTACACCTCACACCCAGTCGCCGCAGCTGCAACACACCGGCATCCCTCGCTCATCCATGGCGTCCCCCATCGAAGCCGCGGGAGCTGAGAGAGACTATTATGGCCGCAATCCATATGGTTCTCAGCACCAAGGACCTCCGTCAGGATCTCCTCACCAGCCACCGCATCACTACTCTTCTCCCAGCCAGCAGTCGCCGATGGTGTACCCACCACAGTCAGCCCCATTTCCTTTCGGCGCGCAAGTATCTCAGCCACACGCGGCTTCCCCCACGATGCAGTACGCGCATCCTTCAACGAGTCGGAGGGAGATGGGCCGTGATCCCCGCGAAGTTCGTGATCCTCGCGATACCCGCGACCTTCGCGACCATCGTGACCTCCGAGATAACCGTGATCCTCGCGACGCCCGTGAACTCCGCGACCCTCGCGATTTCCGAGACGTCAGGGAGTCAGTGCCACCCAGCCGTGAAACGGCATGGCCGGCCCCCCCGGGGCAGTCTCCAAGTGCAGCGAGACTTCAGCAGGAGGTCTCTTGGCCACAATCCAAGGTGTCCCAACCGCCGCCGCCAGCTCAATCTCCATGGGGCTCTCAGCATGCTGCGCCAAGCAAGCTGCAGCAAATGAGAGAAACTCCACAGCCCTCTTGGTCGGCCGCACCTCCCTCTCATATGGGTCTCAGAGACAGTATGCCGAGAGACCCAAGAGACATGAGAGACCCTAGGGACCCCAGGGATGTAAGAGACCCAAGAGAAGACCCGTATGCTGTGCGTGCCGGCCTGAGGGAAAGTGTCCCTCCAAGAGATCCGCGGGAGGAGCGCTATATGCTCGAAACACAACGAGCCGCGGCCGAATCGAGGATGTCAGCCGATCCCCGCATGGTCGTTGACCCCCGTGATCCACGCATCATGGGACATCCGCATCACCAGCATTCTCATTCGGGTTCCATACCCAACCGCATGTACGTCGCGTCTCCAGCACCACGAGAAGTCCTCGGCGGGCCACCTCCGGGGCCACCTCAGTCGCAGATTCCAGTGTATCCGCGGTATGCCACCCCTGGCCCACGCGATATGCCGCCTAGAAGTTACACGCCTGCGCCGTCGCAACAGCAACAGCAGCAGCAACAACAGCAGCAACAACAGCAGCAACAACAGCAGCAGCAGCAGGCGTACGCCGAGATGCAAATGCAGATGCGGGAGAGGGAGCTCCTACAGAGCCGGGAAACCCGGGAGAGGGAGCTGCGGGCCGCCGAGGATCTCAGGGCCATGAGTATGCGACCGGGCCTCCGGGGTGACGAGTATGGCATGGACCCCAGGGCCCGCGGGCCCCCGGGGGACATGCGTGGTCACGAGTACGTCGGGGAGTTCCGTGGGGAGTTGAGAGGGCCTCCCCAAGGGGATCCTAGAGGAGATCCTAGAGGAGACCTCAGAGGGGACCTCAGAGGGGACCCCAGAGGGGACCCGAGAGCGGACCCTCTGCGGCGCCAGTTGAGGCCGCATGAGGGATACCCCGGGCCGGGAGATAGGAGGTACTAAGGGTTTGCAGTAAGGAGCATGACCTGCTCGTCTTTTTATTTTGAAAGAAATGCGCTGCCTTCCTGCAGTGACCAAGAGCCGTCCCGTGGCTTGCAAATTTAAAACTGGAGCTTGAAAGCAATGCGATTAGAGGAGAAGACATGATCAGGTTTCGTGCCAGGCTCATTATCCGGGGCAATCGCACTGCCAAGCCGGAAACCAGAGGGGTTGTCGAGTTGTCTCTTTACCTGTTTGTACGTATGTATTTATGTATTTATGTGTCCATGTGCCCGTGTAGATTTTTACATGGTGGTTTTGGGGGTTGGTGGAGGTCAGGGGAAGGCGGGGCGAGGGGGGGTGGTGCTTGGAGTGGCTTGTGCATGGACAGGCTTGTTCACAGAGGTGTGTGGGTAAAAGACATCAGAAAATCGGAGTACTGGTTTTTAATTTAATTGGTTTTCTCATGGAGAGAGAGTTATATGCTGCTTAGTTAAGCTCGCTTCAATACCAGGTCGTCCTGTCTGTCATAGCATAACTAGGCTATTAGCATCGTGTGTGTTGGCGATTCTTTGAGGTCATCTCTGCCAGCTATACCGCGCCGTCAGCCGCAGAAACCAGACAGATTCTCTGTCGGATTCTCCGCCGAGCAAGCCAGCGCCAGCTGGTACTGCCGCATGCCGACGTCGAAGGCCTTCCTCGCGTGCACGGTCGAGTACATTCCTGTAGCGGCCCCGATGACCGCGAGGGTACCAAACGTGATCGCGGTCTAGAAGGTCTAGACCTCGCGAGAGTTGATTCCCTCCCTGTAAAGCCGTCCTTCCGCATTGTTCTGCTTGTCTTCTACCTTAGAGGCGAGGGAATTCTGACATATGGAAGATGTTCCTGGACGCAACCAGATCTTGGTCAGTTCGCGAATGGGCTACGTTGTTTCTCCACGTATGCAGTCACAGCAGGTCTCCCCAGAGTCAGCCTTTTAAATTCACAGAAGATAACCAGGAGGTGAATCTGGGAGAGAAAAAGGAAGGGAAAAAGGCCGATTCTTTCTGGAATTCGTCACCGTGGTGCTGCATTAGGCAGGCAGGAGGAAGAGACTATGGTATTGAATATGATGGAGACCGCGGATAGAACATGGGAGAACATGTGAATAGACTCGGTGCTACTTTTGAAACCAAGTAATTTCTGAGCGAAACGAAATTCAGAAGCGTGGCCGTGGTTAACTTGAATGAGAAAGTATCGAGACGGGGTCAATGCCACGGGAATGCTCTCAATCACAGAGCAGCTTGTATGTTCGCGTCTGAATTTTCTGCGAAGCGAGTATGTTTATGGCGCTATACTTACGATTGTGACACAAAATGATTCCCCATCACCATCCTTGGCTTTTGTATTTATACACCCCCCCCCCTTAAATAAAATATGACCTTGTGAATTAAGCTTGACAAGAAATCTCTGAACTTATACACTCAACAATGGAACCACCTCGAATGCCGGAATTGCGAGAACAGAGATGATGGTGGGAAGTTGATAGAGTAATGGGGGCTGATCAGTTCCAGGCACCAATAATCGAGTCCCATTTCCAGTCTTCTCTCTTTACAAGTCGACAACCTTGCCTCGCAGCCGCTCACCGTACTTGTAGAACACAATTGGGAACGGCACAAAGGCGAGGGCAAGGAATCCGAGCAAGGTGTTTCCCCATCCATAACCAAGCGTTGCATACATTGCTGGCCCTGCCAGGGGCAGGAACGGGCTGAAGATGAATCGCAGCAAGTTGTTGGCACCCAGAGCTGAGGCGGCTGCCTGTGAGCCGAACAGGTCCACCAAGTATAGTTGCGCAGGCATCTGCGAAGAGATTAGCCAACTGAAATACCATGCGGCAGGAAAAGCAATAGAGGGTCGATGCCTACAATTACGAAGAAGGCACCGAAGCCGATGAGAACAGTCCCGATGATGGGCACAATCCAGTGCACCTGGTAGAAGGTAGTCCACCCGTACATGAAGAGCCCGAGACCCACAAAGGGGCTGAACAGAATCATCATGATGAGGTGATACTCGGGCTTCGGGCTTGCGACCCCGTCGGCCCTCATGCGCGACCGCAGCACGCGGCCGTTCAGGCCGTGGAAGGCAACCAGGGCAAACACGAGCGCGACTCCCGAGCCCAGGTACACGAGCCCGGACATGGCGGTGCTGAAGCCGTACTGGCCCTCGAAGACGCTGGTGAAGGTGGTGAAGAGGAGGTACATGGTGCCGAAGATGAGGGCCACGTAGATGGACACGACCAGCAGGATGGGCGACCTGACCAGGAGCTCGCAGGGGCGGACCAGCGTCGTGGCGAGCACCTGGCCGGGCGTCAGGCGCCTGGACGTCAGCCTGGACCGCAGATGCGGGTTGCCGGTGCTGGCGCGGAGGCGTGCTGTCTTGCGCTCGAGCAGGATCTTGGGGTGCGTCTCGCGCATTAACACGGCGGCGACCAGGAAGATTGCACCGCTCAGGATGATCAAAATCCAGAAGGTCCAGCGCCAACCCAAGCCGACAACCGTAAAGCCTCCAATGAGTGGGCCGAGCACCTTGGACGTATATCAGTGTATGCTCAGCAGCGATGTTACTGGGGAACCGTATAGTCAAACCCACTGGTCCTGTCAGAGGGCCTAGGCTGAAGAGAGCCATGGCCACAGGCCGCGCCTCGACCTGAAGGAGATCCGCAATAGTGGCACCGCCCAGGGGCATGGGCACACCTCCCATGCAGCCCGAGATAAAGCGGAACACCATGAACTGTGCAACTGTCCTACTCAGCCCGCAGCCCACAAGGAAGACCAGGAACAAAAAGTTCGAGGCGTGATAGACGGGCAGGCGCCCGTAGGCCTCGCTGAGTGGGGACAGGACCATGGGGCCGACCGCCAGCCCGAGGACGTATATGGTGATGGCGAGCTGGGCCAGCGTGGAGTTCGTGACGTGGAACTCGTGGAGGAAGGTTGGGGCGCCAGGCACGCACATGGTCGGCGCCATGTTCGTGACCAGGGCGAACAGGGAGACCATGATGATGTGCGCCCACTTCTTGCCGCTGCTCCAGTTCTGCGGGTTATTGGGGTCTCGCGGGCCGTCCCAGTCGACGATGTTGGCGTCGCGTGCCTCAGGCTTGGTGGTCTCTACTGTCTCTACCGAGACCGGAGCTATCTGAGCCTCTGAGTCGACGGCGCCGGACTTGGACGCCGTCTCGGAAGTGGACTCGGAGCCGGGCATGGTGTAGACTGTTCAGGAGACGAGGATAAAACTGTGCGATAGATTGGGAGGAAGACAAGGACCACGAAATGGCAAACTTTGACGCTGGTCAGAACAGGAGACACTCGTCGCCTTCGCTACCCTCAACATGAATTCGAGTCGATTCTTAAATATCTACGTTTCAGATATCACGTCCCGGACATGTCAGTGGCGTGTCCGCTGTCCAGTGTTTCCACATACACACTCGACAGATCTTTTAACCCGATATCAGATTGTGCTACCCTCCACTTCATGTAATCACCCATGATACCGTTGAACTCCGAGAAATGCAGAGGCAGATCGTCAAGCTGACGGCGGCTGAACGACATGTCCGGACGGCAGCCTGAGCGCGTCCTGCGAAGCGCGGCCCAATCGAAGGCCACGGGGTAGGTTGAGCGTAGGCCCAGCTCTCTGGGTCTTGCGTATGTAGGTCGAATGGCATGCATCGGTATTACAGCGTGCCCGGACGAACGTCCCCCGGCTCCGGGCAGGATCGTTTTCGATAGGGTTGTTCCCTGTCCGTTGCTGATGCTGACCGCCGGCCGACTGGGGACTTCCGGACTCAGGTCGGACACACTCGATCCATTTTCGAGTAAATCGTCGCAAACTTAACAGACATGATTGGACCACCACCGCGTCATTGGCAAGGCCGTTTCGAGACCCATGCTACGGTAATGAGCGGCCGAAGCTGAAATACCCCCTTTACTGGTGCTGAGGGCTGGTGTCGGTATCGTCTTTTGGGCTTGGTCGGACGCAACGTCAGGCTTGAAATACCATGGGGGCCAGGTGGCAAGTCGAAGTCGAGGATTGCCGCAGCTGTGTTGCAATTTTGCAATTCTGTTCGGCCCGCGAATGGGCCTCCGTGTTTCAGGTTGACTCCGATGAGGTCCACCACCGGCGCTGGAAATCCTCGAATGCGAATGCGAAAGTGCTGCTCAGGACGCGGTGCAACCGTCAGCAACCGCGCCCGCTTTGCACAGCCCGCATTAAGCTGTCCAGTGTTTAACCCCGCCTGTAAGGGTTTGCAACATTTAAAAACCAGCATCTGCCATGCGAAGATACAGCAATGCAGGCAGCAGCGGCAGAGAATGAACCCAGTGCCGCAGAGACACAAGAGGGAGAAGTACAGACGCACCCTGTCGCGGGGTTATCCGCCGTGGATGATAGGCCTCAGCCCCTGCCTCCGCTTCTAATAGACATACACCGCCATCATTACCGACTTATTGTTAGTACTGGTACTGGTGCTGTTGCTGTTTCAAAGCGTTTCCGATCGACATACCTATAGGCAGAGCAACCCCTGAGAACATCATCTTCACAAACATGTGCTTTTAATACATTGTGTTGTGGCAAACCACTGACTTTTGCCCCGGAACCAACAAGAAATAAGAAATGATATTAAGCTGAACTACAGCACCTTTTCCACCACATTGTACGGGTTGTTGAATACAAGCAGAGTGATTAGGGATACGCGGCGGCTAACCAGCGCTGAAGTAGCACAGAAGCAGTGTATTCATAGGGGATAATACTGCTAGACTTAATCTCCCCTCCCTTCCTTCTTCCTAGGGGTCTCTCGTACTCTTTTTGAAGACTCCATATCATTCTCTCAGCTTCCACGAGGCTCCCGTGAAGCTGGTGCGCGGCGATATCTCTCAGGGCACGTGCCCATCACGGAGTGTCCCGGACTCTCTCCCTCTAATGTGGTGATTTTCCAATGAACTCGATGTACACCTCACAGTCTGGAAAGGGGACCCACCTGAACCCACCGTTTCGCGAGACCTCATTCGAGCTCGGTATTGATCCGATGGTCTTGGGCGAGGCGTTCGTCTCTTGTTTCTACACGGACCTTTGTTAGTCTGCAGTTTTCAAAGAGATGTGGGGAGTGACGTCTTATACCTGCCCACATGTTTCAGTCGGCGCTTTATAGAAGCAAACACTTTCGACATCTGTTGATTCTCCTTCTCAAGTACCAGTGATCGATCCTCCGCTGTTTTCAACCGAAGCCCAGCGTTATTTAGTCGCATCTCGAGAGAGGCACGCATGCCTGCAGCCTCTTCTTGATCCCTCTGTAAAGCCACCACTTGGTCCTGGGCTTTCGCGAACCGAACCAGCACACCACGCAGGTTCCCTTGGAGGCACTGCGCAGCATCGATCATATTTAAGGCCCAAGTAAGGAGTGCTATGAGGAATTTTTCTTGTTTCGCGGCGTGCTGCTTCCAATCGAGGATTTCCACCGTACCCTGCATCTCGAGCTGACGCGTGAGGTCTATCAAAGTCTCGTCGAGTGGCGGCTTGGTGGACCCAGCATGAGGTGCGGCGAGGGGGTCTTCGACGATTTCATATCCGTAAGGGCACAGTCGTGTGGTCATCGTTTCAAGGCCACCATTCTCAGGGAGCGGTGTGGCCTCATTTCTGGTCTGACAATTAGCCAGAACAGGGTCTTGCTTGTCCTGTGTCCGGTACTCGTCATCGCAAGGAGGGCTATAGCCCGCGCCCATGATATCCATGTTGCTAGAAGAGTGGGTGGAATTGAAGTGCTTTGGTAATATATTAAATAATGCACATCAATGAGAACTTCTCAACCTTGGAGAGAATGAATCTTGATGGAGCAAAACCTACACATACGCAAAAGGGGGAAGCACATGATTTATATAGTAGAAAGAAGAACAACAACCAGTCCACCACTCATAGCTTGTACGTGGATGACTAGTGACTAGCTTCAATTATAGAGACCCATAGCGTGCGCTGGGTGTTTTCATGTAGCCGAAATCACCATCATATTCAAGCCGAAAAGTGACGGCCCTGAACTCGGTTTGTGACCTAAATACACCATAAAAAACACATTTGATCAGCCCACCTGCCCATGAATTTCCGCCACCGGAACTCGAAGATCAAATCTGATAGAATCCCGGAGTTACAAAGGGCGTGCTAGTGAGGCAAGTAGCAGAAACCGATGGATACGATGATTCAGAAAAACTGAAGCGCACATGAGGCCTGATCAGCGATAGGGTTTAACAATCATCCCGAGGTATTTGCTTTTCTCCTTCCTGTCTCTTCGCACCTCCTACCCCCTTCCCTTCGCCCCGAGCCCCGCTTCACCTCCCACCCCTCTCAAATCTCACGAGAGGGATCAGAGACATAACAGCTGACCTCAACTACCTCGATTCAAGTTAAGTGGGCGCTATCTGTCCAAGCAAAAAGGAGGGCATTCAGAAGGCCCTGGGGTGCTGCAGAAGATGGCACCAAAAGGGCGTGTAGTGGGAGCTTGAGTCCCGCTTATATAAGCAAGGGCATTGCACACATACACCCACCCACACACACCCTCTCATCAAGAATCTATATATTTACCTTTTATTAATTTACTGTTTTAATTCAATGGAACTTGTATTTGTCAACTCTCTCAAATTTGCTTTTCTTCATTAAGATGATAATGTTGACTTAATTTTAAACAATATTATTACTGCATGTAGTGATTATGTGTTTAACTCTAAGGGTTAATCAGGTGATGCCCTATGCTATACGGCGTCCTACGCCACTACACTACAGCATAGTGGACCAAAACGTTAAAAGATGCTTAGGAGAATATAGTGTAGCCTACATAGTTGTGCTGTCACACTACCGCTGGACTGTGGCGATGATCAGAATCGTCCAGAAACTTCTGAACCACCACTGCAGTCTAATAAAGCTGAGCTGTTACTGTAATATAAATTTAAGGTAGTTGGGTTGAGAAATAGCTTTAATTCACTCGTATTCTAATAATTTATTTGGCTTTTAAATACCTCTAAGAAGAGAAGAAGATAAGAATGGACTATTGGGAACATCCAATGGAAGATATTAAACAGGATGATCAGTTAATTGGGGTGATTGAATGAAGAAGCTTGACCTCCTGTCCAGAACGAATAGAGCCTGTTTCCTGTGTAACAGGACTCGAAGTGGTCTAGGCCCACTCAGATACATATGCATGCCACATGGTCTCGCATATGGGGTCAATCATAAGCAATCTCGGGTGTCAGCCAGATCAATTGATAAAGCAGTTCCCCGCTTTGGATCTGAATCAGCGGTGAAATCCAGGAGTTCGGCAGAACAACGCCCTGGGTTTGCAGCCTCAACATTCTGGAAAATTACTCTTCATACGTTGTCATTGACTCTGGTTCATTCCATTTCCATGCAGATACAGGCTGCCCAGGTGGCTCTGTTGGCATGGCCAGTGTACATTTTACCGAGGAGCCTGAGGAGCTTCTGAAAGGCGTCGGCTTGATCTCCTCGCCAGGCTCTGCACCGCAGAGTGCAAATTCTCTCACATCTGGGCGTGAGAGTTTCGACGTACGATGGGATGAGTCAAAATGGGCATAGTGGATCTTGAACCAGTACCATCTATCTATATCTAATCACGTGAACTGTTGACGAATAGACAAATCCTAACTTCTCGCGGGGACTGCATCAAGGAGTCACAAGCTAAGCTAGATCTCACCGCGTTGCCAACTTCTTGGCCGTAGCAACGGATGAGGAGAAAGAAAGTCTTTCAGGGAGCCGCGATGAGTTCCAAAGGCTCGTAAGCGCTGTAATTGAAGCAAGCAAGCTGCGTGATCCTGACGCAACTGCTGCTGGCCCGTCTGTCGCCGAACGTTTAAAGCATGGATGGAATGTAAATACTAGTGCGGTAGCATACGAGTAGGTCAAGATTTCCGATGTAATGGTTGGTCAAGCTCCCGACTACGTCGGTATTGCCTACGGAGCCTAGTGTGTGGCACGAGTTTCGAAACGCTAATATGCGATATCTATCATCAGAGATGCTCAATCTTATTGAAGATTACCAAAGTAAGTCTATTTGCTTCCAATGGTGTATTTAAAATGCTCTGATAAGTTTCGTTATTGTAGCTATTGTGGCTCCTCGTATGGGCATATTGATCACAACTACGGATAGAGTTGGACTTATTGATGACAGTGTTCTATCCAGCGTAGATATTGTGCTAGAGTTCAAGCTAAACAAAAAGATTCGACGCAAGATTTGGACTGATGGCGTCGTTGAGTCTGGCAGCCAGAAATGTCTCACCAAAGCTGACGTCGACAGCATCTCTGCGATTGCTAAGCGCCGGCTCGACGGCCACGCCATCACAAATATTCTCCATTCTGCTTCTAGGATGGCCAGAATTGAACAGAGGGATGTTGATCTAAAGGATATAATGACTTATATCGAGGCAAATGCTGCTTCTCGGACTACATGTTGCGACTTAATGAAGGCAAACGCCCGGGAAAGATTGCACAGTCGGATGGATCGAGATGTGACCCGAGTACAGATGATGCAGCGAGGGGAGAAAATGAACATGACATGGAAGGACAAAGTATAGACAATGGGGGAGGGCTTCAGACACATACGCAGCGAGCCTCAATACATGAATTGAATCCAAGTCACCGTTGCCTTCCAGCGAAGAGAAGGAAGCATGGTAGGAGGCTACCAGATGGATTAAATTAAGGGTTGAGATGGGTAAATTGAGGATATTTGAAGAAGTTATTAAGACACAATGAGCACTAAAAATGACTTAAGTGACGCATTACCATAGCAACGAGCCTCCATGAGGTATCACACCTTCACTAATGAATAACGGTAAACGACTATCCATAAAGCTTTTTTATTCTACTCAACCACTGGGTACCTTGAACTACTTCCGAGCACTGTGAGATTTGTTCGATGCCGTGCAACCGTCAAATTCACCTTCTTTCCTTATACCATCCCTCACGAGATGCCGATCGTTGAAGTCGTGGTACAGAAGTCGACACGCCTCTCGATGGTTTGTGTCTGGGTGACTGTGCTGACAGTGCTGCTGGTGTCGAAGTAGTCCACGACGACAGACACCTGCACCGCGACCTGGACCTGGACATAACCCTGCTCGGGAATCGCGGTGTAGGGCTCATTCCCGGGGACGGAGATCAGCACTGTCTGGGCTGAGGCCAGAGTTATGATCGTGGTTGCGTCATCGTCGGCTGCGGCGAAGAGGGCGCCGTCCACCGCTGGTGTCAGTGCAGAGAGCCCGGAGGCGGTGACTGTCTGTAGTGTGGATGATGTGGTCTCCGTGGTGTGTGGGGCTGGCGACGCGATAGCCGATGCAATTACAGCGAGGAGTGGGGGAATTATTCCCGAACGCATGTTGAAGTCTGGTCGTAAAAGAAGATGCATAAGATACAAATAGAGGTTGGTTTGAAAGAAGAGATCCGAAGAGGGGAAGAACGTTCAAAGAGTGTATGGGCCACGCCGCGAATGAGTGAACGGCATTGGTTGCCAGAAGAGAAGAAACAAACTTGTCCATGGATAACACGCAGGAAGAGGCGCTGCATTTATAAAGAGAGACTTGAAATCTTCCCTCTGCCTCCCTCAGAGGGAATTGAGCCCCTTGCATTCCGCATTTGGGCTTCCGGTTGTCAGCATCGAATGATACGATGGCCAATGATTCTGCATCGTTTAGCACCAACTGCAGGAAAGCCCATACTTTTCATCTCAAGACCAAATGAGATATGCGGCACAGCAGGGCCTAAGCAGTGCTGCAGTGTTGGATCAGGGGTTGGCACCGTCTCTGTTGGTGGATCGAACATGTGTGGGCCCAACTCAAGTCAAATGAAACGGATAAGTGATATCGACGGAAACGCCAGTAAGCTTTCAATGGAAACAATTCGACGGAAAGTGGCCATTGTCATTTTGTACGACTCGAAAGGGCCTGGTTTCAGCCGCTTGACCATTGCTTGCGTGCCTCGTGTGACTGATGTGTCAGTTCTGATATCTTGAGTTTCCTCGCTCGGAAAGGACAGCCCAATGCACGCATTGAGGAACTCTACTACATTTGCTTCTACCACGCACAGGTTCAACACCGTACTGATCGCAACTGATCCTAGAGCAGTACGTGACACGCAAATGTCTATGGAAGACGGGGAACATAGCTGACAAGGCGAGCCTCCCCAGGTAATGATGATAAAGCCCGTGCCTATCCAACACCCTACCACCGAGATTCACTGTGTCTCGAATCTACCGCAATATCAAACTTCACTTGCTACAGCTGATGGTAACTTAAGACGGTGAAAGGATATGAGAGCACATTGGGAAAAACAGCTGAAGCCTTCTTGGGTACCATCTTGCATATTATCCTACAAACACAGCTACAGCAACTAAAGAAATTGCCCCGTAGACTACTAGTATCCCGTAGGATATTATCCCACACACAATTGATCATCCCCCAGCGACTATCCCAAGGCTGAGTATCCCGTGGTGTACATCTCATGGTGAGCTATCCTATAGTGTGTACACGACCCTGTGGCAAAATATCCGACGGTAGGCTGACTATTTAATCGCAGGTTATCCCACAAAATAGGGTTGATTACGACCTGGTCAGGTTAAACGCGCATGTTTGCGTTTCTTCTGATATGTAGCTCCACGAGAGACGATGGCACTGACTGACTTACACACGTGGATGTCGCCGGGAACTCCCAGTCCAGGACCAGACCACCCACAGACGATCGATGGTGCATGCGCACCAATGCAGCCCATGATGCAGGGACGAATCGCGTGGTTCGCTCCGACAGGCGGCGTCGAACCTTTTTTTCTTCTGCGGCGACGACTCCTGATCTGGGCGCCGTGTGTGTCCCTCAAAAAGGACGCACAAATATCATCACTCGACCATGACGCACTACAAAAAGAAGACCAGGACCGCAAGCCAGCAGGCCGTAGACGCCCATCGCGGGAGCAGTACGCTCGCCCGCGGCAGTGGGGAGGGTGGGAGCAGCAACGTGAGCGACCCTGCTGTCGCCGCCTGGGTCGCGCACAAGACCGACTGGTTCCCGATCCGGCTTCTATGCTGGGCTACGGACTCGTCTACTACGACAAGACATGACGTCTAGCTTTCTAATATGATATCACATCATCGACAGCAGATCATCCTGGACGCCGCCGAGACTGCAGGCAGCGCGGCCACAAGGACATTAGGTGCACGAGATGCAGGATGTCTCAGGCCCAGGGAGGCCGTGGTGGGCGCCAATGCGTGGCTGGCTTTTACCATTCGTGACAGTTCTTCGCATACGATGAACGGCGCTATCTTCAGGTGTGGCCAGCTCGTCCGTCACGTCGAGGCGTGGCTGGAAGAGTGCATTAGAGTGCCGGGCTGCGGCGGGCCCCGGGTAGGGACGGACTCCATGGGCCGCATGTTCGGCCTCATATCACGGCAAGCATGTGCGTCCAATGTCGCGGGCGATTTTGCGAAAGGCGTCGGCAAGAGTGCCTGCTCATAGTCGATGAAGAGCCAGAGGAATACCGAACAGTGATGGTCAATGATATCGAACGGCACCACCACCGCTACCCAGTACGCTGTGCACACTTTTGCAGGCCCAACCCAGAAAAGTGCACCACGCGACCGCGGGGCTGGATGAGACCAAGCTAGCATTCCAAGACACGGCGGACAAAGAGTATCCCTTCTCCGTAGCGGTGCTGAAGAATGGCAGACAGGGAAGGGAGAGGGAGATCGAGACCAGAACATTCTAGCGGCCGTCCATTCCCCAAGGGGTTGATCGACATTGGCTGGTGGTGTGTCTTGTCCCGAGGGATACAATCTCAGCCGCCGGCCTATGGGACCGCAGCGTTGACCTCCGTCCCGCAAGCGCGTCAATCTTGGTGAAACACCCGGGCGCTCTCCCCGGAGTGCACACCTCCTCTCCTAATTAATTTGTAGAAAGAGCCGAGGTGATGAACACCACATGGACTGGACTGGTATTGCGTGGCTAGGCTCTGCTTGCGATATGAAGCCCACCCCACGTAGTTGCGCGGCTCATCAAAGTAATTTCACGCACTCCAAGGTTCACAACAGTCAAAATCATTGCCATAGGAATCAGAGAACATGAAGCTGCGAGTTGAGAAGCGAGAACGCTCCCATCAATGTAATCATTCATAAAAGATGTGGTCTGATATTTTTCCCACTCCGGTGATGCAGAATGCCAAACATGCCCAAGGTATCATCAAAAAAGCCGAACCCAGAAAATACAAAATAGCCTAATCCCCATAGAAGTTTTGGCATATCCAAGAATTGAATTTAGTCCACACCGTGACGTCCTCAGCAACTGCCAAGGTCACACACACCCTAAGCCTGAGGGCCTTTTCTTTTCCCCTTGTGACCTAGGCCTTAGGCGGCAAACCGGCGCTGGTGGAACCGGCCGGCCCTCCTCGCGCTGACCATCTTCAGGTTGGCTGCGACGCCAGCCTCGCACGAGGTGCCAGCAGCGAGGCTCTGGACGGCACTCCACACGCCCGAAGCGCAGCGCTGGAAGGAGGAACCGCCAACGCAGTTCCACTCGCCCTCAGTTGTGCACGCAGAGCCTGCAGCGGTTGATCCAGAGTCGCCGGTAGCAGGGGCGGCAGCGGCAGGCTCTGCGGTCTCTGGGGTTGGTGTCGGGGTGGCGCTGGTGACGGTTGCGAGGGTGGTGGAAGCCTGGGTTGCAGCAGGGACCTCGACGGAGGCAGACACGGTTGCGAAGATACCACCGCCACTGTTCGAAGATGTGTAAGCATGTGAGATCGATGAAGAAGACAACTCAGAAGAGGTAGGTCGCAAGGGGGGAACATACACTGGCAGGCTTGCGGTCACTTCTGCGGCGGCGCCAGAGTCAGAGGAGCCAGAGCCGCTGGATGAGCCCGAGGAGCCACAGCTTCCGCTGGGGGCCTCTGGGTTGTCGCTGTTCTTGGTGACTGCCTCGCCCGGGTTGGGGTAGTCGACGTCGCCACCCTCCGCCACGTTGCAACCGTTGCCGATGTTGGCGACGAACATGTCGGGAAGCGAAGAGAAGGAGGCTGCTCGCTTGTCGGTGGCCTCCCTCTTGGCGCTGCCGCCAGTGAGGGTGACTGCGGCGCAGTTCATGTAGAACTCACGGTTGCCGATGCGGTTGTTCCACGACCAGGCCAGAACAGCATCTCCGGCAGGGGCGTCTGAGGGGACGGTGAAGTCGAAGTTGCCCTCGCCGTTGGTGGGGCAGTTTCCGATGATACTCTGGATCACCTTGAAGGTCTTGGCGCCATCGGTGGACAGAGAGATCTGGCACGAGCCACCGCCGTGGGCAGCTCCGCCAACGACGGTGATGTTGCCCTGGCCGCCGACCGCGAAGGAGGCGGTTGACTGACCAGCGGGGGTGCCCAGGTCGCTCTGGTAGCCCTTGCACGGGTAGTCTGATCCGTCTGCCGCAAGAGGCGCGGTGTAGGAGTAGTCGATCTTGCCAGAGTCCGCGAAGGGGTTGTACTTGCTGTTCAAGGGGGCAGGGAACGACAGCATCATGTGGGCCGAGGCAGATCCCGCGAGGGCAGCCATGAGAGCAGTGGATGTAGTAGCGCGCATTTTGTCTGTTGGCGATGATGAGATGAGATATATGTCCTGGGAAGTCAAAGTTTCCTGTATCGAGTCTCGAGTTCCTCTTGACTGTTCTTGAATCTCAAAGAGTGGATCTCGAAGATATCTCCAGATATATCGAGTCAAATACCAGCCTGTGGCAGTTGATATGACAATGAATGTGTGGTGGTGGCGGGACCAAGTCAGAACTTCTTGTGACTTGAAAAAAGATGGTTATTGTTCAGCTGCAGTGAATCAACGAACAAAGCCTTTGTCTGGGTGATCGGCCGCCTGGTGGGGTTTTTTTTTTTTTTCCGACTTGGAAGGAATGTGAGGTCCCTTGTTGGTGAGACAAAGAGACGTAATCGTGGGAGGCAGGGAGACAGCACCGGGCTAATCTGGGAGTTGTTGGTCTTCGCTGTTGGAAGGAGAGAAAGAATAGAAGTTGGTGGGAGGTCAAAGATAAGGAATGCAATGAACCTCGTTGCGTAAGAGAACGAACAGACAAGCGATGTCGAGATGGTGAGCCGGAGAAAAGAGTGAAGCTCAGAGCGAGAGAGAGGGAGAGGCTCCTTTTCTTATGTCTCAGGAGGGCATGGAGGCTAGGCTAGCGGAGTAGGGGTATATCAAGGGACATCACGACCCAGGCCCAAGGTGAGCCGATCAGGCCCACCCAGGCAGCACGGCCTAACCGCGGTAGTGCAAGTCCGCAGATCTTTTTTGACCAGGTTGGGAAGCGTGGGAGGGAGCAGGCGTGGCAGGGCAGCAAATGGAAGCGCAGAAGAAGCACAAACCTCCTATTCCCCTTCGCTTCAGGATCTGCCGTGGCCACTCCCATGCAGATAACCGCCACTAGGCGGCATGTGGACTTCCATATTGGGCCAATTCTGTGTCCCGGCCATCCCTGACAAGAGGATCCTACTGTCGGTAGCAAGGGCATCAACGTCGTCGATTGGATTTGGCCCAGATGGCAGGCCCCTACTGCCCGACGCCCACGAGCGGCAAACAAAGAACGACGGGGCAGCCAGCAGCCAGACGGCGAGTGAGAAGCCCAGGAGGCAAGAAGCAGTCAGCCTGCTCAGCTCAGGGGTATGGGACCCAAGATCCGCAGGGAACTGGGGCGAGGTGACATCGCGGAGGGGCTGCTCTTCTTCTTGGGCCGCGGATTGTGGTGGTGGTGGTGGACTGCACTGGACATCCCCACGTATAGCTGATGGCTGCGGGCATATGTTGACATAGGGCCCAAGATTGCCTGCTGTGTGATAATCGCCATGACCTGTGAACAGGCAATTTCACCTGGGAGCTGGCATCGCGAATGACAGAGCGGCATGGGAGGTCAGTGGGCACGGTCTGAAGCGAACGGGTTGTTTTGTGCGGAGGAGGAAACATGGGTGCCCCTATGTCATGCCTGCTTGGCTTCTGGGACTGTTTTCCCCGTCTGTTTCAATCCTTGCAGACGGGCAGGGTGACTTGGCTCGAGTTGCAGTTCTGTGCTGTGCCGTGACACATGCGCAGGTGGTGAGTGAGAACGGCCGAGTGAGCGATGGAGGAGGTGGGCAGTCAGACAGTCGGGGAGGGAGGGAGGGGTCAGACAGGGGTCAGAGCAGGGTAGGATGGATCAGGGACCAGTCCTGGAAAAAGATCCGATGGTGCGTGCTGCCACGCTACCAACGCAGGAGGGCGTGTCTGGGCCAATCAGCTCGGCAGCGTTCCTGGATCCTGCAGTTTCCAAGACAGAGGGCGGAAACAGTAGCCGCCAATGACAGGCGCTACTCGCCCTGCACGTCTTCGCGGTCTCGCCAGGACCAAGCTGCAAGCCACCAGAAAGAAAGGTGTCAGGGGCTCAAATTAAGCTTAGTCTGGCCTAGTACCTGTGTAGCCTAGCTGTCCTAGGGAGGCAGGAGGGACGGACAGGGACGACGGTCTGGAGTGCATCATAAGTGCATACTATGGTAAGTGCAGTAGGGCTGGGGGAAGAGCGCGGCTCAACCCATCCTTTCCTTTACTCCCCTCTGCCGTGCAGCGTGTGCCTCTCCTGTCTCTCTGCCCTCCTGGGCTTATCCCTGTTCTGGGCCGATCACTGGCCGGGCCAGCAGGTGCTTGGGGGCGGCAAAAATTCCTGCGAGGGGTCGGTCGAGCACCTGCCACCAGACGAGCACACACACCGGGCACTCACAACAGCTGAACGAGTTGGAGTTTTGCCCTCTCCCATCAACCTCCCCCTCGCGGCACACGACTGAACTTGAAACATGCCACCACCTCCTCGCCTGCCCACGAGCCCCCTGCCCGCTCGACCGATTGTTTCTTGCGCTCGCAGGTTCCCTCGGCATCTACTACGTAGCATGTCAATCTTTTCGTCGAGCACGAACTGCTCACAGTCGGTCACGAAGCAAGCCGCGCGAAGCATGTGGAGTGGATCACGTCCAAGACGGCCCGCGGCTCAGCACGATGCGACACGACGGGATACGATGCCATGCCCTGCCCTGCCATGCGATTGATTTTCACGGCCCCGCTGCCACCAGCCGCCACAGTGGGCCAGGCAGGCCATTTGACTCGTGTGACAGGAAAAAGGACTCTTCCTGCCACGGTACCAAATGTCTCGATTCTACAACCCCTACACACAACGTAACGTTGCCGCTCCCCAGACTGCCCCGAGTCCCTGACTGCCCAACTCAGATGGCAACAAGCTCTGTCTGTCAGTCGCGACACCATCCTTGGCATCGCATCTCCCATCGCGGAACGAAAGCATAAATGGCCAAGACGAACCCTCTCGTACCGGCCGATAAGTCCCGAGTTAAGACGAAGGCTTTAAAACGAAACATCCATCCTCTTCGCCACTCTGGCCTGCCGAGGCTACCACCTCCGTCAAATGCCTCAGGTGGCCTCGAAACCGCCAGCCTATAGGCGCGCAGGCTTGGACATTGACCCCGTCTCAGGTCAGGCAACCCGCGCCAAACGAACGAACGAACCATCGCCACCACCAGAACTACCGCCGCTCCAACTACCATTACTGCACTAGTACTACCATTAACACCTGACATGCCAGCGCATCAATAAATCCGATGTGCTGGCGTCCGAGCTCACAGAGCTGCGATTGACGCCGACGGCGGCAGATGAACCTGGTTGTGATCGTTATTAGCAACGGGCCCACGACTCCGCCGGCTACACTGGCATTGTGCGATCGACCTGATCCGAGATCCGCAATGGGGAAGATCCCGAGGCCTCCATTTGTATTTGTGCCCATGTCCTAACCCCCTTGCTGTTATTACTGTAGCAGTGTACGGTCCTCTCTGGGACCATGCCCTTCCTGGGAACCCTGTTTCACCACCAAAAAAAGAGACAGGGTCCGTCGCGTGGGGTCCTGTGTCTTTCGCGGGCATCGCATTGATTGATTGACATTCTGCGAGCCTCCCTTATTTACAACACCCGGCTAGCGACGAGGCTGTGCCCAGATCGCCGTCCCTTCGCCACGACGCCCCATGCCCCCAAAAGCTGTATTATTATCACGAGGGCCGGGACAACAGACACGAGATGCTGGGACGAAACCACCGGGACCATGGCCGCTGGCATGTCCCTCCTCGCCTCAGTTCGTCCATTTTTCTCAGAGCCCAATTGATCCTACCACCCCCGCCGGCCCGTCTTCTGCCAGTGTCTTGTCGGCCTCGGCCGCACCGCTCAGCCAAGCAGCACTAGCCTAGGCTTGCCTCGCTAGACGACTGGTCTTTGGCTAAGCTTTCTCTTGCTGGTCTTAGGCACCTCTGCCAGGGAACACCCATCCTAATGTGATCTGCACGACTTCTCGTAATCGCCAATCGTTCTCAATGGGGTATTGTGATGTGTTGTTTAGGTGACAGCCTGACTGGGGTTCATCCTCGTCGCATCTCTGTTGCTCCGTGGCCTACCAAGGGCGCTCAGGTCGGATGCTGTCTGGCAGCGGCAATTTTCCTAGCACAATAACGGGAAAACACCCGCAGGCTACAACAGAGAAGCTTGTCTTTCAACCGGGGAGGCTTCCACCAGAGCCTGGGCCCATATACAGACCCGCATGCAACGTGGTGTTGCGGCCTCTCTTCCACCTCTTTTGCTCGCGGTCAGGACCAGGGCTATCGATCCTTGAACAACATGCGAAGTAAGCTGACAACACAAAGTATCTGAACATGGACATCCAAGCGATCATGGAGATAAATTCGCAATTCCCTTGATCCATCCTAGGAACCATGGTGTGCTGCACGCCTTCTTCGCCTGGACGGCCAGCTTTGGCTCGCCATCCGCTACCTAACCAACCCAGAGACAAGTCAGAACCATGCCTTTATCACGGTGGCGAAAGACACTTAACCGCTTGACATGTAATTTTGCTGCATCGCCAATGCCCTCAGGGCTCCTGGCGGCTGCCTCGGAGGCCAGCCCATGGGCAAAAATACCTGGGCCTCATGGTTGGCAGGATCCCACAAGGGGGGATGCTGTTGGTGTTTGCCGTCCTTACCACTTCAAAACGTCTCCCTTGGCCAGGCTCAGGTGCTAGCAGGTCATGATTTCTTCCCCTCCTCGGCTCCAGTCATGCTGCTCCTCCTCTGGGCCGCTCACCTGCCTTTGGACGAATCTGTTGTGCCTTCGCATGACTGACCACCCACTATGGGGCTCTGGAATCTCTCCGCCTGTAGCGAGGGCCTTCCAACTCCAAGAGGGCAAAATCAGCAGCACACGGCAGCATCGCCCGAGGACCTGCGGAGTTGGGCTGAGATCAATCAGCGTAGATTCCAAGTCCCCAAACATCCAACCTGTCTGGCTGACTGCTGTAGAAAAGGGGGTCTCCTCCTTAGACAGGGTTGGTCCATCGCCCGAGGGTACGGGAACCTAGCAAGAAGCCGGCCACTCTTCCCCTTCCACTTCAAAGACAAATTAGTAATAAGTAAACACTGAAGCAAATTTGTTTGGTCATTTGTGCAAGGTGTCTGAGAATCAGATTGAACTGATGACGATCCGTTCAGCTGGGGGCTTATATACAAGAAGAAAGAAAGACATCTACACTTCGCATACGCGCAGGAAAGCCTGCAGAGATGCTTGACAGGGCCAACCCTAACCCTGTCGACAACACACCGTGCCTACCACAACCGCAGTGCTCGTAAAGAATACTCGCAAAGTTGAATACTCGCACCGAATACTCGTACAAAACACTCGTAGACAATATGACAGCGGTGCATAGATCTAAATCAGCGACGATCGTAATCAAAAACAATTTACTGAACGCTAAATACTATGTCGTGGCCTTGTTGCACCTAGTCAATTGTGGATAGACGGTGTTGTGAGGCTGTAGACGATGAATGCACGCGACGTATACAGGTCGTACAGGACTCGTACGAGCAACAAGAGTATATAGAGTCCATACTTCTACCGCAGAAGAACACTTCAGTCCAATCGATCATGACATTTCATCATCTTCTATCTTCTGCATTCACCATGCCTTCAACCAAGTCTGCCGCATTGACCGCTCTGGCGGGCATCGCCTTTGGCGCGCCGTCCAACATCACCACGCACTCAATTGATCTTAAGCCCGTCTATACCAACGGCACCGTCAGCGTGGAGCACCTCTCTGTGGCCGGAAACTTTGACGGCTTCAAGATGAGCACCCCCGCCGCGCGCGGCAGTACCGATTTCTGGTACTTTGACGTCTTCTCCAGCGCGAGCAACCAGACGCTCAACATCGTCTTCTTCAACTCGGGCGAACTCTCCCAGTACCCGCACCCGCTGTCTGTTCAGGTCTCTGGCGTATACGCCAACGGGACCACCTTCTACTTTGAGGTCTTGGCCGACTCGGGCGTCTCCATCACCAACGGCCCCGCTGGTGTCACGGGCGAGTGGAAGGGCGTTGGCTCTTTCAAGGGCTCGGCTCTGGACGAGCCCGATGTTGAGTATACCATCAACCTCTAATTCACTCCAGATGGATATTTACGGCACCATTGTCTTCAAATCGGTAGGTCTGCTTTTCGGAAGACCAATAACTACCACTGCTCTCTCGCTAATCCATACGAAAAACAAACAGATCGCCCCCACGCACTACCCATGCGAGCTCAACGGAGCCGCAGGCGCCAACCAGAACCTCCTCCCGGGCCTGTACTGGGCCAACGCCGTGCCCGGCGCCAACACCGCCGTCGACCTGCAGGTCGGCGACACCACCGTCAGCTTCGCCGACGGCGTCGGCTACCACGACAAGAACTGGGGCAACCAGTCCATCGTCGACGGGCCCCGCTACTGGGACTGGGGCCGCGGCCGCCTGGGCCCTTGCTCGGTCGTCTGGTACAACCTGCTCGACTACGACGGCAACGAGTCGCGCCGATCCTTTGTCACCAGTCGGGAACGGGGAGGTGCTCCTCGTGAGCTGCGATTCCGACGCGCTGTTTGTGCGGCAGAAGGGCGGGGAGGCTGCTTGGCCGCCTACCACCGGCCTGCTCGGGACCGAGGGCATATCGGTCAACTACACGCTGGCCGACGGGCGGGTCTTCGCCGTCGACGTGACGACCGAGTTGATCGTGCGGGACGAGTCTGGTGCCTACTAGCGCGCCAACGGCCTGTTGAAGGGTGGCTTCGTTGGGGAGGAGATAATTGAAGGCCGTGCTCATTACGAAGAGTTCATCTTCGGTATCGTCAACGACTATACTCCTGCTGTCTAGAATTCTTGGCAGGTTAGTTTTTCCGGAGTTGTCTTTTTCGCCTTCTTTACAACTTCTGTAAATATCTTGGACCACTGGCCGTTCAACATACTCAACCCTCATGCAAAACTTTTCTATGCTGTATTCTAGTCTGTCGTACCGTTGGCGAGTAACAAATCAACTCGATTATTTTTAGTCTTAATACATCAGGAGACATGGACGCAATTGCCGCAAATGCGATGTTTTCACATGTGTGTCCCTTGCTTAAGATACCCAAGTAGAGTGACTCGATCCGAGTCTCTACATACCTACCCGCGAAATATACTAGCCATATAAAACATAAGGGGAGAGAGAGGGAGGAAAAGTTAGAGTGAGGCTTGTGAGCGGTCCATCCAGCCAGCAAACATCCTCACCCTACAATCAACCCACGACTTGTTGGCCATGAGAATAGCACTGTCTACTTAATTAATTGACCGAAAGGCATATAGAGAGCGATGAGAAGGTGAGTAAGAATCCGCATTTGAGGAGATGAGGCTTGGGGGGAGGGGGGGGCAGTGGTCCGATGTAGCTTCCGTACCTTGAGCAAGCGCGGAGCAGAAGAAACCTAAAAGCCTCTTGGGGAAAGGAGGGTTAGGTGCCGAGCGGGTGGTACAGACTACCCGGGCTCCTGGCCGCTCTGTGCTTACACAAAGATAGGGAGGTAAATGTTCAACATCACGTTTGATTTCACTCAGTCACCGGCAGTCTGATCGATGGGAAAGAAGAGCCGACACACCATAACAATCAATTCAACTACCACCGCTACCACAATGCCTCAAGACCCCCTGGTGACAGACACCACAACAAGCGGCGCAAACATCCAGGTTTGGACCGTCTACAGCCCGACATGACCTCTCTTGTCCGGTTCGCAGTCAGCTGGCCGTCCCTTTGATCGCGAATTGACTTGTCGTTCGGTCGCGACCAAATGTGCCCAACCGTCTTCGAATCCTCTGAGCAAAATTGATACTCGACTAGCAGTATCCTGTGATGCCTCCGCCATATTCTGCCTGTGGCCGACGAAAAGCCACCACTACTCCAGCAAGCCCTCCCTCCCGCCTAGACTGCGCTCAGACGGCGGATATGCTCGTCACCTAGCTTCCTCCCTGGCAGAACGATCTCACCCACGTGCGCTGCCACAGTCCGGCATCGACAAGCACTGAAAAGGCAACGTTGGGTACGCACGCGATTCCTTGTCATTGCCTTCACGCATTGAGCATGGGTGAGAAAGTTGGCCATGACAATGGCCCTACTAGGCCCTGTCTGAAATACTCCATACCGCTGAAATCGATGGCCATAACGTTGCATCAAGCCCGTCGAGGCGCGCTATGACTGAGACAAGCGTATGATGAGCATGTTGAAGATTGCGCCATGGTAATTCGGGAGAAAACTGGAAATGCACACCGCTGGAGCCTGTCGTGGCCTGGTATTGATGTAGAAGAGTGACGCTATGCTTATGTTGACCTTCCAGCAAGGGCCGAGACGACATCGACCAGGGCAAACCAAGAAAAGCGTCATCATTTGGTTCCCTCCTGTGTTTCAGGCGTCCGGGCCTGGGCAACAGCAGGGCCACCGTGATTTGTTGATGGCCCTTGATGGGGGCCGGTAAAATTCTTACCACCGTAACCATTGCCCCGATGCTGCTGAGGTCCATAGTAATGAACTTGTTGGGGACTGCTGCCGAGTTGCTGTGGTCCAGGGTTGCTATGTACTCTCACATTGCCCACTTCGAGACCTCGTTAGTATTGACGGCCCGATGAGCTGTATCGCCTGTTGCTATTGTTGTTGTTGTTGTTGAACTTACTTTGGCCAGGCTGCTGCGGGGCGAAGACGGGCTGCTGGTATTGGGGCATCGTGCCGGGGCTCATGCCGTACATGTGTTGGCCTTGCTGAGATCCCTGGGGAGCCATCATCGGCGCAGCTGGTCGTCCAGGGCTTGGGTATCCATTAGAGCCGGGCATTGCCGGAGGAGGCACCGGTCCAGGGGGCATGAACTGCGGGTGAGCACCGGGCGCATACATCGGCATCTGAGGACCGCCTTGCATGAGGGGAGAAGGCGCAGTCATGTACTGAGGCCCCATCATCATTGGGCCTCCCATCTGGGCGTGTTGCTGTGGCATATACTGTGGGTTCTGCGCAAAGCTCCGCATCTGCGGCGTCATCTGCGGCGCACCAGGGCCCATGAATCCGGGCATGACAGGCTGGGAGTAAGGCATGTGAGCTGGAGAGTTCATGGTGTTAGGGTAGGCCATCGGGACTTGGCCTGGCCGAGGTGACGCATATGACTGTGCCGAGCTCGAGGGCATCATCCTAGTGGCGTCCTCTCCATTGTTGAACGGCATGTGAGGCGCATGCCCCGGCTGACCGGCGTGCATTTGCAGTGGTGGCATGTGCGGTGACTGACGAGGCCCGACGGCGTGAGCTCCCTGCTGTAGGTGGAATGGGAGCTGATGCTGGTGTGGCATCTGAGGGGCCACTGGAGCAGGGTTTGGTGTGGGCATGGCACCGGCGTACGGGGGCGGGCGCTCGAACAGCTGCTTATAGCTGATCTTTTCCTGCTTGTCGTCTCCCTCTGACAGATTGTTCCATGTGGGCATAGTGTCGAACGGAGGCCGCAAACCTCCATTCTCCTCCCATGCGCGGTTGCCTGTCTGAGGCTGCTTGATAGACATCACGTGGCTGAGGGCAAAGCATTTCTTGAAGTCGATTGACTTGATCTTGCGCTTGATCACTGGGCCAGTAACTGGCGTAGAGCTTCCCTGCCCCTCGACGTTGTTCATGGCTGAGCGCGGACTAGAGGCCGCACTAGGGCCTGTGGGATAGAAAGGCTGCGCGTTCGGCCTGAACTCCTGGGTGTTGGGGTTCAGCCTTGGACCAGGACCCATGTGATTCGGTGGGAGGCCGGTATGACGGGGAGGGAACGAGGGATTCATGCTGTTCGCTGGGCCAGTCGGAGGCATGCGCATGTCTGGCTGCATGTGGGGAGGCGGCTGTGACATCCTCTGCTGCTCCGCGCTGCGAAGACGCTGGGATAAGTGGCCAGGCTGCTGATGTTGACGAGGCACATTCTGGCCAGAAGAGCGATCGCCGCGGAACTGCTGTGGGTACGATCCTGGGGCATAGGATTGGCGGTTGCCAGGGTGGCGGTTCGGGGCCCCCGCGGTAGAGTTCGCGTGTTGCGGTGCAACACCGGGGCGGGAAGTACCACCACTTGCGGCGCCGGCCGCAGCAGCAGCGGGCGTACCAGCCGTAGATGAGGCAGCTTGCTCCGTGGCTGGCTTCGATTGACCCGGTTTGGCGGCAGTCACCTCCTTCTCTTTCGTAACAACGGGGTCCTTCTTCGCATCCTCCTTGGCCTTGCGCGATTCCTCGGCATTCTTGAGGGCCTTGGCCTGAATCTCTTGTTGCTTCTTTGGATCCTTGGCAATGATGCCGATCAAGTCGTTGGGCACCGGTGTGCCCAGCTTGAAACTGTCGGCGAACTTCTTGAGCTCGATCAGCTTGACCTCCTTGTCTGCCTTGGCCTTGGTGCTGCGAGCCTTCTCTGCGACCTGTCGCTCTTTGCTTGCGAAGTTCTTGAAGGAGGTCAGGACGGTCTGCTCTATCGTCGTGGACGTTGGCTTGGCGTTCTCCTTGTCAGCGGGTGAGGTTGTACGTCCGGCAGCGCCGGCAGGTCGCAGGGTCGAAGCAGGCTTATCAGCGGGCTTTGTGTCAGACTGCCCCTTCTCCGTGTCGTTTGGCTTGATTTCATCCTTGCTCGCCTCAGTTTTTCCCTCAGTCTTCCCTTCGGTAGCCTTGGGCTCGCTGTTTTGGGCAGTAGGGGTCTTGGATGAGCTTGGGAGGGCAACCTTCGATTCATCGGGCTTGGGCGTAGGCTGCTTGCTCGGACCACTTCTCAGTTGGGACGAGATGATTGCAGGGTCGACCGGTGCTCCCTTCACGTTTGACTGAGCAGCCGGGGCGCGACGCGCTGGGGGGGTGTACTTGTTCGGGTTCTGGCTGCCGAGAGGGGGGTAGTCCGGTCGCTTGACACCGCTGTACCTGTAGGATTGTTAGTATACAGCCCAGGAAGCAGGAGGGTGTAGTAGCCGTACTTCTCCTCTTCGTCTAAGCCACCGTCGGCCGGTCCGGAATAGTCCATGACACGCTCCTCGGCCACGTGTGACGAGACTGGGTTGCTGCGCTCGATCTCTCGAGCCATCTGATCGGCCTTGGCCATCCTTGTCTTGTAGCTCGGGTGGCTTCGATCAATCGTTGTTGTGTAGATGTTCTCGTCGTAGTCTGTCTTGAGACCAAACTTCTCCTCGTTGGCCGCGAATTGGTCCCAAGGCTTGTTGTCTGTAGCCTTCTCCAAACTGCCATCTACGTCGCCAGGGCCATCGGCGACCCACCTTTTGAGCTCGCGCTGCCCGCCAAAGCGCTCGCCAGAGATGTTGCTGTCTGTTTGGAAGCCTGCCCTGTTGCCTTGCGGGGAATTAGCGAACTAGGTACGGACAAGCAGGCGAGTGTTTGTGTGCGTTTGTTTACCATTGCGATTGTTCTGGTTTCCACCTAGAACACGAGCGTCCGCGATGTTGCCTCGCGCAAAGGACATGTTGTTTTGCTGTCTCTTAGTCGAACCGTTCATCGCGTCAGCAGAACCGGCCTTCTTCTGCTGAACCATCTTCAAATGGCAGCTGGATGGGTTCGATGGGTTGTTGGCATATATGCCCTCGAACTCGGCGCCGCTGTCGAGGGTGATCTGGACTCGATTGCCCTGTCAACAGAGATGGTAAGTATTGTATCTTGTAGAGAGCCACAGACTGCAGGTTGCGGATTGCCTGTGGCTATGCTCGGGAGAAGGGACAGGGAGAAAAAGGAGCATTGGTGTCTGGTGTTGTCTGAAGCCGCGGTGAAATTGAAGCCAGGTGTGACAGCACAGCTGGGGGTGGGTGGATCCGAGTGGGTCCACGCGAGGCAGAGAAGCCAGGGCGCAAGGGGAACGTCGACTCGGAGGGATGGGGTCACCGACTTACCTCTCTCACGCGATTGAAGAAGTTGGCCAACGCTGGCTTGTTGGCGACCGAATCAATGTTGTTATTCAGCTGAGGACTATTCGAACGGCCTGTGATCTTGGGATTGGCAGTTGTCCACGCCTTCTGCTGCGGCGTGAGGTCCTGTCTTGAGAGCTGGTCAGTTCGGGGCGCCAAGCACAGGTACGACCGACAATGGACTGGTCAGTGTGTTGAGGCATCCACGGTCGCCAATTACGCCGCGCCCTGCATGAGCATCCAACGACGGCAAGGAAGGGCGGAGGCTGCGAGGAGATGGTGCATGCGCCTTTGGGTTCTTTGTTGTCCAAAGCGAAAAACGGGCGATGTGACAGAGGGAGGTGAGAAAACCAAAAAAGATTTGGGGGGCCGGACAAGTCTCGTGTCTCACCTCGTGGTCGGACTGGAATTACTTTCGGGGGCTTTTGATTTTGTATCGCCGAGTTTGCTGCTGTACAATGGGCGCGTAGTGGCAATTGCAGTGCCCTTGGATTCGGAGACACTGGACAGTGCAGTCGAGGGGCTGGCAGCAGCTGTTTTGGATGCAGTTGTCGTTGCTCCCTTTTCGTCCATCACAGTCCCCGGACTACTCTGCGCGCCGGTGACAAGTTGAACCCTGTCTCAACGAGTGGTGGGCTAGACTTGATCGAGCGACGCTTGGTAGAGAGCACGGAAATGGCGTGCTGTGAGTGGGTGACGGCTTGGGTGCAGTGGCCTAGGTACTGTGCGACCCGGCTTAGGCTTTGTGACGGACGTTTGGGGGGTGCTATGGGGGGAATCAGTATGCGACGTAGACCAAGGCCGATGTTTGTTGAGCCAAACGGGGCCGGAACACAGGATTTCGCCCAGCCAGCTGCTCACCGGCCAGTGCGATGGGCGCGAGGGGACGCTCGTTGCGCCAGGCGTGGGAAAATCCCCAAGCTTGGATGATACGAGAAAACTGACTACCTACCTACTTTCAAGCCGGCAGAGTGGCGGCGCCCTGAACACTGTGCGCTGTCGACCTTCCAAGGCTGTTGTGTTGATACGAGGAGCTTCGCAGAAGTCGCCGAGGTGACACAACGGAAGTTCTGCCAAGGCGAGCGTTGTCGCGCACGGCAACGTCCTCAAGAATATGTATTATGCGTGTGCGTGTGGCTGTACAGTGACAGCTTCTATCAAATCCGGGGCGATGGGAGTCTTCGGTCAGGTTTGTTGTTCCATGCGAGGGCCGATTAGGCGTGGTTGCAGGCCTTGAGGGAGGAGGGTAGCGGTTCGAATGGTCGGTTGCGATGCGCTGCGACGGGTCTGGGGACCGGAGTCACCAACGACCTGGCCGGCGATAAAAAAGCCCGGGGGGGGGGGGGGGGAGGAGTGTCGCAGTCGAGGAGTGATTTGAGGCTCGATGCGCTTGGGCTTGGTAGACTGGGCTGCCTGGGGAAGGCCAGTGGTCGTCGTCCGGGTGGGTCGCAAAAAGAGAAAGAGAGCTGTCGAGGAAGAGGGGAGAAGGGAAGGGGAAACCTGGAACGGTCAACACTCCAACTGACGCCCTCAGAAACGTCCTGTGCTGGGCTACGCAGGGACGAGAAGGACAGGAGAGGGGGGAAGAAGGTGAGGAGCAACAACGGGAACGGGATGGGACGGGGGATGGGAGAAGAGAGAAGCGAGAATAGAGACAATCTCTACGGTTTCTCGTCGACCCGATGGTGGTGATGGAGAGGATGGGAAACAAAACCAAACAGAATGTGGCTGCTCCTGCTCCTGCTGAGTGTGGTCTACTGCACGTAGGACCTTGGAGGGTACCACAGTACTGCCCAGAATTGCCCAGCGAAGGTGGTGGCATACAGCACCAGCACCGTACAGTGGTAGTGGATCGGAATACACATGCCACAGACCAGGCTGGTCTCGCCTCGACTGCTCCCGGAAGCTGGAGCTCTATTCGCTGCAGACAGGGGTGAGGGGAGACATGGCACCACGCAAGCCATTGGAAAGCCACGGATCAGAGCAGGCTAGTCCACTCCGGGGAAGGCGCGACGGGCGAGGTGGGGCAACGTCCATCTGCCGTTTCTGAAGACTCAGGGACTTTTTTCTGGAGACTGGGGACTAGGGACTGGGGGATTGGAGCTTCTCTGGGGTTTCTGGGGACCAATTTCTCTCCCACCGCATGGGTAAGATGTCGATTGACTGATTGAGTGGCCCAAGATGAGTGGGAGCGAGTGACTGGCTTGCTGCATTGCATTGCATCGCATTACGTTGCATCCTCCCAAGCAGACAGAACAGACTGACAAAGTCCTGCTCGTCAAAGCTCGGTTGACCCCAGACCAGCTCATGCCAAGCTCGCCTTTTGACACTCGTTTGCCTTCTACATACCCTTCACCAATACAAAGAGAGGATAGACAGAAGGCCAAAAACCAGACTGTCGAGGTCACGATTCTTGTTGCGTCTGTCTCACCGAGGCCCAGGTGCGGACACGCTCCCGTCATGTCTCGTCTCAGGTTACCCTTCTTCTCGGACTCGGCCAGCAACATGATGGGACACAAGGTAAGAAGCTTTTCAGATGCAGAAATGCAGAGAAGCGCTTTCAAATTGACCACACTAGCAACAATGCTGTTCAATCCTACCTCGGTGCATATATTCTACGGCATGTTTCTCTACCCACCCCGTTGTCTCTGGGAAACCTGAGACAGCCACAAACTGGCGAGAAAAAGGGCCCTTCTCCGTCGGCCAGCTCCGGGAGCTCTCAAGCCATCGGGGCACTCGGCGACACCATCCGGACTCGTTGTCTGTTTCTCCATTGTATCGTAGTCTGCTGTATCGAACACTCTGAAATTTCGAGACGTGACTCATGATGCTGCTGCCATGGACTGTGAGCGGCTTGACTGAAGGGATAGCTCTGCCTACAGTGACCACCTCTTTATCACGGGTAACATTGGGGCAGCTGCTCTGCTCCACACCTGCTCTGCTTCTACCAGGTTGCCAGCGTGCCAGCCTACCTGGGGGGCTAGAGTAGTGCCCGTCGTTCCGCTGTCATGCACTCCCCCCTCTCTAGGATCCCCAGGGCTGATTGCCCAGCGATTGGCCCACCGGCTAGCAGCCGCCGAAAGCTTCGCCCCGGACTTTTTTGATTTTCGTTCCCAGGTTTTTCGAGCTTGCTTGCTGCCCCTCTTCCCCGATGGTAAGGGTGCCAGCACATCAACCAGGTATCGCAGTACCTAGACTACTGTGTACCCAGTCAGGTCTCGCCCTCACTTAAGAGCACAGGAATGGCAGACGCAAGCCGGCGAATATGGACACGCCTTAGTCACGCCGAACGCCTTTTCAGGTGTCTCCAATTTCAGCCCACGAAAATGGAATCCGACTTATCGCTTGGAGCGCTCCTGTCGCCACGGCTTTCGCAATAGGGTAAGGGACAAGCGGGAGATCAACATTCTTACCCCCTGGTCTTATATCAGCCTACCGCTTGGCCATCCAATTTCCACAAAACTCAATTCGTTGCCGCACCTCTTGTCCCCGCCAAAATATGAGAGTCTCGTCTCTCAGGTGTCACGATGTCGAGATCTTTGCAGGACGTATATGCTCGCCCAAAGCATGCATCCATCAAGTCTCAATGTTACTCAACGCTTCTGCCACCCATAGTCTGTCTGTACCGCATGCTCGTCCCCTTTAGGCTGCTGAGAACGTCCCAATATACAAGAAAGTAAAAGGACTAGGAACGAAAACGAGCACATTGTGCGCTGAGGTCGACTTACTTGACTGTGTGACTTGCACGTGCAAGAGTACCCCCCACATGCCCACAGACGTTGTGTAATTACTCGATGTGAGTGTCACGGCAGCAGCCCATCCCAAGACCCTGTCATGCTTTTGGCCGGCAAGTCTCACATTGGAATACAATTAGACAGCTGTTCGGAATATCAACTTCCTGCCAATGGGACTGCGAGCTGGAAACAGGCGTGCATACGCACGGCAGGACGAGGCTGGCCGCTACATAATGGAGTGTCAGCTTCAACTCCAGCTTCAACTCCATCCAAGCCCTTCAGGCATGTCAAATTGATTTATCGCGGGGAGCCATTTGGTGAGTCTTGTCTAGCACAGCTTGGACGACCTCGTGCACAATGAGAAGTCACAGTGGCGCCGTTGCAGTCTTTCCAAATGCAAGCGCCGGCGCTCATGGTCATAACGATCCCTCAACGGCTGATGGCTGACTGTTTACAGCAAATATACAACATACGTGCACTAATTCACTAGTCCCACACTAATTCCAAACTACAACTGACAATCCACGAGACCAGGAAGAAGAAGAAACGAATCAGGTTATTTATGGCAACGTGAAATATTTTCGCACTTCCAACACCTGCTTTGCCTCTGTCAACCTTGGACACGATACGACACAATCTTGCAGTTACTTCTCTGCGCTACGATCCGCCCCATCTGCAGTCATCTTTGACTGAGGAGGACTGAGAATAGGAGAGGAAACAGCAGCCGAGATGGCCATGATTGAATCAAAGTCCTCCGGAGGCGTCCTGCCCATTCCGCACTCAGTCCCAACACCAAAAGCACCCAGCACCCGCGAGGCCGCCTCGATCCTCCTGCGTGTCCCCTCATCATCATCAACATGCACCAGGCCGAGGTAGATTTCAGTTCCCCCCTTCCTGAGGGCCGGCACGAGTCCCACCAGCGGCGCGAAATACGCATCGTCGTCGCGGCTCTTGGGGACGGGCAAGTGCAACCAGGCGACCCGCCTCCCGACGCCCCGCACCACCGTCCACGCAACATCGACGAGCAGGCCCGTGTCGCGCGGCTCGCAGAAGTGCCGATGGCCCTGGTCGCCATAGCAAAGGTGGTACCCGAGCTCGACACCCCCGCCGACCGCGCGCCCGAGCCGCACCAGCGCCGCGTCAATATGCGCCCGCCTGGCCGCGGCGTCGTCGTCCCCCTCGCCTGCGAACCACGGCCGGAACGCAGGGTACTCGACACCCTCGAGGATGGCGAACTCGATCGCGCAGTCCCACTGCACGGCGAGGTCGCCCGGCGGCACGGCCGCCTCGATGCGGCGCAGGTCCCGGAGCAGCGCGGCCTCGTAGACGGGCTCGAGCGCGGCCTGGTACGGCGGCGCGATGGTGGTCATCACGTTGACGGGGGTGGGCAGGCTGACCTGGAAGCGCACGCCCGGCGGGATGACGCCCTCGTCGCGGAGCCGGGCGAAGAGGCTGTACGACTCGATGGCGTGCGTGTCGTAGCCGGTGTGCAGGTGCTCGCTGAGATGTTTTGCCAGGAGCTCTACCTCCTCTGGCGGAACGGGGTCGGAAGGGAGGGGGTTGCGCTGTGCGTCGTACTTGCGCAGGGCTTGAGATGCCCCGGCTTCCGCAAAGGCGTCTCGCTGGAATCTGAAGAAATTCTGCCGGTGCTGGGTCTCCCCGTCTGGGATCCGCCGCAGGCGGCCCGGGAGGAGCGCCGTGGTCTTGCGGAAGACTTCTTCGGCGGATGATAGGCAGATGCTGCCCGTCAGATGGACGCCATGAGGTTCAAATCTCGTCATCTTGGTGGCTATGCCTGGGAAATAATACAATTCGACATGTGAGAAAGCCAGATGGGTGAAGAGAGTCCGGGAGAACGCGCGACAGAGAGCGAGAAATGTGGGATAGCGCATCAGTCCGGACGGAGCTCCATCCCCCTCCCCCTAACTCGGCAGTTGATATAAATCCTGTGACGACAGGCTGTCAGCAAGCCAGGAAAACCGAAGGGCGTTTCTGCTCACATGTGGAGTGGAGAGCATGTGAGAAAATAGGCTGCCCGACGGGGTTAATCCAATGGGTTGTATTAAGCTCACACTATAAGAGGGAAGAGTCGCGATGTAACGCCCGAAAGAAGCAAAGAGTATGTACCAGTTGTAAAACACGCTGCCCTCCAGCTCATATCAACACAAACATGGCTGCACTCGCTCGAAAAAGAGACCAATACATCCCACGCGCTCATTTGCTAGAGGCCATCTTCCGGACCGAGAAATAAGAATACGCCAGCCCGCCCACGAGCGGCTTCAACAGCCACGGCGCATGGAAGCTCGCGTGCGTGGACAGCGCCTTGGGGACGACCGACCGCGGGCAATCCTCGGTGAAGAACCATGCGCGCAGCATAGTCTCCGTCAGGGCGGCGAACTCGCCCGCGCGGGAGAACATGTCCTTCTCGAACTTGTTGACCTCGATGTCTAGCTTGTTCGTGTCGCTGCCCGCTGCAACCACCGCCTCGGCTAGACGGCGTGCGTCTTCCATTCCCACGTTGACGCCCTCGCCCGCGAACGGCGTCATCAGGTGCGCCGCGTCCCCGATCACCGTCAGCCCCGCCTTGTGCGCGAAGCTGAACCCCACGGGGAGCATGTACAAGCTCCTGGGGACGGTTTTCCCCTGCGACCGCGAGATGGCCTCCTTGATAATTGGGTGCCAGTCATGGTAACGCTGCAGCGCGGCGGCCTTTGCAGCCTCGAGGTCAAAGGCGTCGAAGCCGCACCTCGCCTGGCTCTTGTACCAGTCCTCGTCGTCGGTGCGGAAGTTGAGGTACACGATGATGCTCCCGTCGCCCATCTGCTGCAGGTTCGTCTTGTGGCCGTCGGCGTGGCTAAAGATGCTGCCCCGGTTGACGGCGCGGTAGACCTCCGGGGCGGTGTTGGCCGCGTCGGGGATCTCGAACGCCTGGTTGGACACCCCCGCGAAGTGCGGGTTGGCGTCTGACAGGACGCTCCTGATCTTGCTCCACGCGCCGTCCGCGCCGACGATCAGGTCGAAGCCGGATGCTGTTGTGGTGCTCCCGTCGGCGAGGGTGAAGGTGAGCTTGGTGTCTCTCGGCTCCTTGCCGGGCCGCACCTCCTTCAGGCGGTGGCCCCATGTGATCATGTCCGCCGGGAGGCTCTCGATGAGCATTTCTCGGAGGGCGGCACGGTCGATCTCGGGTCGCTGGCCGCCCAGGTGGCCGCCTTTTTGATCGGGGGAGGCGCTTGGCTTTACTTGGTAGAAGGGCGTAAGGTTCTTATCCGTCATCAAGAGCGACTCTCCATCATAGCGGGCATGTTTCGAGAACTCGTCCCAGAGGCCTGCTTCCTTGATTGCTGCGAGCCCAGTGGCGGTATGGAGATCAAGTGTGCCGCCTTGACTGCGGTAGTTCGGAGAGGGTTCGCTCTCGAAGATGGTGACAGATGTCGAAGGTGACTGGCGTAGTAGCAGACGCCCGAGCGTAGTGCCCACTGGGCCCGCGCCGATGATTGCGATTTTTGGTGAAGGCATCTTTATGGGGGTATATATGCAATGTGATGTGAAATTGATGATGCCGGTCTATTTCTTTGCTGAAGCACACTCGTGCAAACCATCAAGTCTCGACATGGGAAGCACTCCTTTATAGATGCCTTGCACTTGCAACGCGTGACGGAGCTTACACGCCAACCCGCTCGCGGTCAGGCATGCCCGTCATCCAGGATCCTTCGAGCGATTGGTCGGTCGCCGACCTGCATCCCTACCTGCGTCGCCTAAGGCGAGGCGCAGTCCTGAGCAGAATCGGATGTGTGAGGCCATCGATACCAGCAGGCGAGGAACGACCAAATGGTTCCACGCATGCAAGGGGTGGGAGGTTCGGAGAATCCGCGGAGGTTGAACAAGTGGTACGTCGCCCGGGCCTCGGAGTGTAAGAATGCCGCCCGACTGAACGGCAGCGGGTTGGAATGAATTGCCCCTTCTATAATCAAAGGTATTTGGAACGCAAAGTTTACAGCATAGGGGATAGATTCGATGGATGTTTGGTCCGTAGCGTCTGTGAGCACAAGGGATGGTAGTCAAATGAGAAGAACGGACTTTATGCGGGCGGAGTTGTAACGTTGGCACGAAATCGCCGGGCCGGGGTTTACGGCCGCTCCGGTCGTCAACCACAACAACATTGAACCCAAGTCCTCTGCAGGTCTTCCTCCCCGGTCCAGGTGAAGATATTATCTGGCGGCCTCAATTCGGGCTTCTGACCCAAACAATTCATCCATACCTCCTGCTCTTGAACTCGACAGAATCGCATGACTTTTAGCATCGGACCAATGTCGCATATCCATTCCTTGATGTCTCCAATCCTCATAAACTTGGCAGTGTCTTCCGTGGTTGACTGCTCTTGGGCTAGGAGTCTGGAGAGTGCACTCTGGTTTGATATATAAACGCCTTATCTAGGGACAAGGGAATCTCGTACATATTCACCACTCCTATGCCACTAACTTGAAGCTCCCCAGATCAACCTCCTTTTCCAGAGGTTGAACAATGTCACGATACATGCCAGACCACGTCTCAGGATCATCCAGGCTCACCCTAGAGACAGATGAGACCCACGGCATACTCAGGCATGACTCGACTGCGCTCGTGTAGGTTTCGAAGCAATAACCTTTGAGTGTCTTCAACACCCGTCTCGCGACCTCCATGTCGGTGTTCGGAGTGGGCTCGCCATCTATCAGGTCGCTGTCGTCTCGGCAAGTCTCGAGAGGTTTCCAGTTATGAATCTCTATCAGGAGTATACCAAGCCTCAGGATGCCCGAGTTCCTATGAAAACGGCGTAGATCAACCGGTTCTGGCCCCCGGGGAAACTGGTCGAAAGACGCGCTGAGAAAGGGCCTTTCCAGGTCGGGGGCCCCAGACGCCATGCGAAAGAAGTGCACCCGCTTCTTGTCCCACTGGCCACTCAGCCAGGGGCTCTCGTGGAGCTGCATCAGCGAGTAGGCAAAAGTGAGTGCTAGTCGTCTCCTTTCGATCAGTGATGGCATAGGCTGACTCAGCAGAGTCTCGAAGGAAATGGGAGGGACTGCTTCTGGATATTGGAGTTGGGCTTCTCGCATGTTGAGCCGCCATAGCCGTTGAGACGGCTCTGAATCTTCGATGAGCAGTTGCATGCAGTAACTAGCATTGTTTATTCTTGATGTGATAGCGTCGCAGATCTTCTGAAGCTCGGCGCGGTCATGTGATGTTGTGAGGCTGTTAAGATATTAGTTAGCGTCATCCTGGTTTCCCACTTCCACGTCCTCCTCGAAGATGATCTGAAGCATACTTGGTAGACTCGATTACCACACTGCCCTCAAACCATCTCGACTGGTGATGCGAGAAGAGAAAATCGAAGTTGGTGCTCGTCTTGCTGAGATTATTGTTCCCGTTTCTGCCACAAGTGGCGATGCAGAACCTCGCCTCGTGGGGAGCCTCGCAATCGCATGACCAACGCCTCCAGAGCGCATCGAAGAGTCTCTTGGAGAGGGTGCGCAGGTGAGACGATGGTAACTTTGCCTTGTGTTGCAATACGACCGCCTTCTGCTTATCCGCTGCTTGACCCGCGGAATCGATGACCCTACCTAACCTCTTGTTCCACTTTCCGAGATTCTTTTGATACGTCCCGCGATGTCTCTCTCTGAGGAACTTGAATCGTTCCCAGAGGCTGCTGGACGTTTTGTTGGCCGAAATGTCTTGTTTCAGATTTTTGAGTTTTTGCAGCATTTTCCGGTGGTCCTAATTTGATATTGTCAATCCCTTGCCGAAATGTATGCCGCGCTGGGCGTCTTTCCCCCTGCAATGTGACACGCACTCACAGTCTCTGACTTCGATAAATGGACCGTCTCGTCCTTGATAAGACGCGCAAGTAGCTCCAGCACTTTACCCACGACCATCTGGAAGGCTTCATAATCGTCTTCACTTAAGAAGTCTTGAAGTGCGGCTGCGACATCCTGAGCCTGGTCCCAGTTGTCCAGGTCCCTGCTCTCGATGATCTCCTGCTTCCGCTCGTCGGACAGGTCAGGAAGCATCAGCACGACCTTCTCAATTTTCTTGCGCAGCTCATATGTGTCCCAATAAAACTCTTCGTAGAACTCTTGCAAACCCTTGTCTCTCGCGGATGGCGTCACTGCCTTCTGGAGGGCCGTGGTCTGGTCGCCACATGCTTTGTAGGTCTCAATGAAGACTGGGAGGACGGAAAGCACAATTCCTGCCACCTCGAAGCCCGACATCGCTTTTGACTTGTGCGAAAGGGAACTCACGACGCAATACCTCCTCTGATTTCTCACAAGTAGCTGTCTTGACTGTGATGATTTAGGCGCCTTAGAAAATGTGAAGCAATTTGCAGTTAGATTTGTCAGATCACGAGGAGACTGTTGTGTAACCTGCGAGCCCCGCGTTCAGAACGCCACAAATGCAGTTATTTCCTTTGTGGTCATTGATAGGCCTGTAAGACTTTAGCCATCAGCCATCACCTCACCCCACTTTCTCACGCCGTTTGGATGTTAACCATGCGTGAGGCTCTTCTTTCCCGGCTAGATTTTCATCTGTCTTCTAGTTCCAGTGGCCGGTGTCACCAGAGAATGAGAGGAGTGCACAACTGGTCTATGTTATTACAATGTCAATCTCAAACGCGGTTCTCGAATGTGTGCGAATTCTCACTCCCACACAGACCGACAAGACGCTGAGCTCGAAACTACGGCAGGAGCTTGCCGACATACTGGTCAGACTGAAGACATGGGCTGGAAATGTTGGTGTATTTGCGCCCGACAACGCCTCCGTGGACTATCGGCTTCGCGACGACGAGGATCTAGTTGAAGTGGTCTTTTCGATGATGAGAAAGCTGAAACAGAGTCTTTCCCAGGCAATCCATCCACCATTGCTTGAAGAGAGCGATGTCGAAGATGAAGATGAAGACGAAGAGGGGAATGAGGGGGCAGTGGCAGATCCACTCTCTTCCGGCTCGTCGTCTGCTTCGTTAGACCCGGATTCTAGTGTCGAGGAGTCGGACTCGGGTAATGACCCAGAACGGCTAGGTCCTTCCGCAACCTTCATCGAGGAAGCCAACAACGTTATCAACAGACTATATAGGCTGGCCGAGGTCATCAGAAAGCCTGTATCGTCCTCTGAGAACGCCAAGATTCGGGGTTTTATGAAGAAGCAAAACGAAAAGGGAAACGTTGAAGAGCTCGCGGATGTCGAAGACCATGTTCGGTGCCATATCAAAGCACACTTTCCGCAAGCACCAGAATTTCTGGTCAACCGCTTAGTTGAGGCCGTCGTTTTTCGGCGCATGATGATTCGATACAGGTAACACCACCAGGCGAAGCTCAACCAAGGCATCGAACCGGTATTCGCAGACCCAACGCTATATGCACCGTATGATGATGGCGCAGAGGCACCGGTAGCTCGAGAGACAATGTCCAATCTCCTTTCAGGCAGACGCGGTAGCATAGTAAGGGGCATGCGTGGCCCTCAGCCAACGCCGCGCAGCGTGGCTTTCTCCGGGACCATTGCTTCTTCAGTCAATAGTGCAAGGTTGGCCGACTATGCAAAGTCCACCGCGTTATCGGGAATCACCAAGGCAGCTGTGGGCAGGCGGAAACAATTGGACGTACCTCCGCCACCAAATAACAGTGGAAAAGATAAGGTCGCATGTCCTTACTGTCTGAGGTTGATCAGTCAGGACGAGATGAGACAACCCCGTTGGACGCGACATATCCTGAAGGACATTGACCCGTTTGTTTGTCTCTTCGAAGAATGCAAAGAGAGCCTCACACTCTTCAAGACAGTGGAGGATTGGCTTGGTCATATGCGATGGCAACACACAATCGTCTACTCTTGCCAAGCTGTTGGCCATGAGCGAGAGGCTTTTGGCTCATCCCAAGACCTCGAGGATCACATACGGAGGGAGCATCCTGGTGCTTTCACAGAGTCCCAACTACCTGGCCTTGTCAAACAGGGCGCTGTACCAACCTCGAACACTATCGGCGCCCTCAATTTCTCACTTTCCTTGAACGATTCTCAGTGTCTTCTTTGTCACACTTTTGATCCCAAACCAGTGGATGCGGAGACAATGGAAGATGCAGCACCTGCAAGTACTCCCGAGCAGATAATGCAGAGCCATATTCTCGAACACCTCGAGGCTATTGCCTTACTAGCACTCCCTGGCAGCGATAATCTAGATGGAGTGGACTCGGACGCCCGGCAGTCAAGCCCTGGTTCCGATGCAGAGAAGGAAAATGAAGCCGAAGATCTCCCCTCGGCAGTATTCAAGGACACAGTTACTGAAAGGCCTGTGGATGAGAGTGTGCCAGATCAGAATGGACATGGCGATTGTTGGGCCGCTGTATTCCAAGAAGTCAAGCAGTCACGCCTTCTCGAGCCGCACGGCGATCCTATCCTTATCGAACTAGGAGAAGCAAGACAGAAGAATAAGAATAAAGAAGTCGTCGTTGAGGACGTAGGGGCAACAGAAGAGACGAGCCTCGACGAGGACGCGAGTCTGGACACAGAGGCGAATCTGGACAAGAAATTGGGAATCAAAGTTGTTTTCCACCCGAGGCATGAGCAACATATTGATCTTGAGTAAGTATTGAACTCCCATTCATGATGAAGAAAGGTTGACCAGACCCCTTCAAACGCAGCATCCTAGCCGTGCATGGAATTGGGGCCGATCCTGAGACCACTTGGACATACGTCGATCGTGACCCTCAGGACAAGTCCAAGGTGACCAAGGTGACATGGTTGAGTGACCCAACAATGCTTCTCCAAGAATGCCCTAATGCACGCATCATGACCTTTAGCTACCACTCATTCTGGCTTGGTAATGGCCCGGTCAGGTTTGGTCATGCCGCCGCCAGGAACAGACTCGATGGAATTGCAGCCGCGGCCCTAGAGGAGCTGGGGCGATTTCGGAAGGTTAGTATTCAAGGAAAATACGTGGCTAGATGACAATTCTAACAGCATACCAAGGACTGTAACCAACGCCCTATACTACTTATTTGCCATTGCTACGGGGGTATCGTTATGCAGCAGGCGTATCTAACATCTAAGCGGCATGCCAGTGCTTATCCCGGGATCTACGACGCAATCACTGGCATTATCTTCCTGGGCACTCCCTTTCAAGGGAGTAATATTGCTCATATCTCAACGCTGCGCGAAAACTATCGGGTGATCTCACAGCAGAACTTGCAGTTCAAGGACGATCTTCTGCAGACTTTAGAACGTGGCAACGAGATCCTCGTTGACACTGTTGCTGACTTTACTAGAGAAGTAAAGCTGCGCACCGCGCCTCCGGAGATATTCTGTTTCTACGAGCGACGTCCGACCAATATGGCTCTTATACTAGGCCTGAAAGACATCACAAAGGAGTTTGTGGCGGACGAGTCTTCTAGTACGTTACCTGGCTATGAGAGAAGGGGCCTAGCACTTGATCATTTCAGCATGAACAAGTTCTACAACAACGAGGACTACCACTACATTTCAGTGGTCGATGAGCTGGTCAAGATGGCAGGCAAGACCAGAGATATCATGCGGAAGAGAGGAAAAGCATCGAGTGCGTTTCCCTTCATAGTACTGACCAAGAGCAGTAGGGCTAATATTCTCATGCTGTATCCATAGACAAGGAGTCTCGCCATACGACTCAACAGTCCCACTCGGCAACGCATAGATCAATCCCGATGCTTCCTTTCCCCGTTGCGAAAGGGTTTGCGGGGAGGGATGGAATATTGGAGAAGATCAAGGCCAAGTTCGACTATTCATTGTGGGTCGCTCTCGCGGGTCCATGTGGCTCCGGGTAAGTCACGTCTAAGCTCGAGGCAATGTTATACGTAGTGGGATATTTGGTAACAGTTTGAAACTCTAGCAAGACACATGTAGCAGTAGAGTACGCAGATGGCTTTCTCAAAGAGAACCCGGAAGCCAAGATCTTCTATGTATACGCAAGCAACGCAGCAGAGTTTCAACTGTCTTTCGACGCGATCAAAGACAAAATGAAGCTTGGGCAGGGAAAGAAAGGAGATACCATGGGAGCCGTAAGAGACTTTCTGAATAAGGGCGAGAGCGGCCAGTGGCTCATGATAATCGATGGCTTGAACCTGGCCGGGGCGACCAACGACGCAGACCAGCCGAAGGAAAGCGAATCCACCAAGGATTACGGTTCGTTGCAGTCGCTCCTTAACTACATTCCCGATGGACATGCGTACGGCGGGAATGTACTTGTCACCATGAGATCAAAGAGCATGGCTACACGCCTCATCAACCGCAAGTATGTTGTTGATCTCCCTGCCAAGTTAAGTGAAGATGACGTTACAAGTCTTCTTTGCGGAGATAACGCCAAGGACTCCGCTTCTAGGCCTTATCAAATGAAGATTGCGGACCTCCTTCAAGGCTCAGCAGGGGCACTGGCACTTGTGCGGGCATATATGGAGACATCGGGCAACGACGTCTCCTGGGAAGATTTATGGAAACGCGTACAGGCTTCAAGCAGCGAGACAAACAGCCCTGAGCACTCATCCCAGACGGAGGAGCAAGTCAAAGCCACGGCCGGGATCTGGGAACCTCTCTACAGTCAACTAGGGGCCACGCATGAGGAGGCAGCATGTCTACTTCATATTCTCAGCCTTCTGGATGTCCAGAGCATACCGATGTTTCTCATAGAGGGATATTTTGACAACAAGTCACAACAGGCCGAGCAGGTCAAGGCACTGGCGGACTACGGCATGCTTCAGCTCTCGGTCAACCGAAAGGATGCGTGCATAATACCCCTGGTGCGGCTCTCGGCCAACGCGATGCTGGACAGCAACAGGCTTGATGACGTGAACTTCTTCAGGGAGGCTGCGCTGTCGCTGGTCGTGACTGAATACCCCTCGACTGACGAAATGGACAACATTAAGTGCAAAGTTCTTGGGCCATGTGCAATGGCAGCATTGCGGCTGTGCTCAGGCTCGGCCGAGTTGCGCTATAAAAGAGCCCAACTCCTACTCAAGGTTGCAGCATTCGAGAAGCGCGTTGGGAGGTACGATGCCGCCGTGGAGTTCCTCGTGCAGTGCCTGGATCTGTGCAAGTCGAAGATGAACGTGCCCCTCCTGGCACGAAAGAAACTCCAGAAGGAGGCCGAGAAGCTTCTGGACGAGGCACAAAAAGAGGATCAACAACTCTGGGGGACTGATTCAGACTCAGATAATGACGGAAGCGATGTTGACAATGCTACAGAACACGAGTTCACTGAAAACGGGTCTGGCGTAGAGCGAGACAACGACAACGATGATGTGGAAATCCAGGTGTCACACGAGGACCTTTCCAATGAGACAGCAGAGGATATAGTTGAGCAGGATCCTTCAGACCTGTCAGGGGATGATTAGTCTGGTGGTGAGGAAAGCAGTCTCCAGGATAACGATATTGCCAGCGAGGACGGACCTTCTGAGATCGAAGGGAATGAACAGTCAGACCCGGAAGTCTCAGACCCAGAGGATTTTGACGAAGAGTACTGAGAGACTGGGGTGAGATATTGCCTAACATATGATGGCGTTTAACGGAGCACTTTCCTGTATGTGCATGGATGAATGGTTCTCTCTTCTTCAAGAAGTGCAGTGAAAATGGGATCCCCGACCTTGTTGCAAGACTATCAAACGACCACAACGACTTGATGAAAATCCGAGTACTTATCCATAACTTCGAACATCGGCCCACTCTTCAAATCGGATAAGTCGATCCGAGCGCTCCAGCTGCCCACTCTCCTATAAAAACCATCCTCCTGTTTCAGCAACGCAAGTCCCATGATATCCCTAATCTTGCTCCCGCTCCCGCCGAACTCGAGCACCGGTATGAAGTACACGTCTTCCTGTATCTCCTTTTCAGGCCCGTCCAGATCTATGATCAACTCCATTTCAGAAAAGTGATCATCGTGTCCTACTATTTCCCGCGAATGGACTGTCCAAATATTCCGGTGCATGCGCTGTCCCTGATAAGCCCCAAGCACACATCTCACAATCAAACACCTCATTGTCAATTGACCTCCTTTCACCGGGCCATACTTGTGAGATGGATCTAGCAGACTCACGCTTACATCCTCTACCTCGACCAAAGACCGGTCGAAGACGGTGGCGTGGACTCGGAGTATTTGTGAATTAACACTCGTCCAACTCCACGTCGGGTGGCGTCTTGTCGCAGACTTTTCTTCAGAGTGTGGCGTGAACACATGCCATACCAGATCAAAGGGCATATTCTGTCGAAAATGCCCGGCGTAGTAATCCTCGCCGAAGTCGGGAGAAAAGCGCTGAGCTACCGCGGCAAAAGCAGCAAGCTTATCCTTCTCTGGATAGGTGAGTTGACATCCGCTGTACTTGTGGACTATCCTCTCCCAGCTGTGAAATTGATCCACTTGACGCAGATGTGGTTTCCCGCTCGGGAAGCGGTCAAGGCTGAAAGGTTGGAGAGTCATATCGAAAGGCTCCCCGTTCCCAAGAATTCCATAGGGAAGGGCTTCATGCAGGGATGGGCTCTCCTCGCATTCCCACATTATCCGATCCTTCGTGAAGTGTAAGACCCGCGGGGAGGGCAATCTTTCTTGAACGACCCACCCCCTACTTGACAGAGGGAGGTCACCCGTACTCATAGTAAAGTCAAGCTCTGGAGCAAAAATCAAGCATTTCAGGAACTCTCTTTTTCTGACTGGACTTTTCTCCGTTTCCGAGCCGCATGGATCTTCTATGCCAGTATCGACTGAGTAGCTTGCCCCAGGTATGATCGAAAATGCGCAGCATTCCTGGAGAACGTCGGTGTTTCTGTCCCTGAATGCGCCTTCTTGGGGATTTGCTGCAGCGGCGAAAGACAAGTTGAGATAGCAGTTTTGATAAATCAAAGACATCTCTTCTGTGTGAAGCAACCAGTCTGATTCTGAGTCTTGTATGATACAAAGACTATCTATCCAGATATACCGGATAGATAATTGGTTGCAGATAACTATGGCATCACGGAAGCTTTTAGGGAGGGTGTGGACGGGTATGCATTTGTGAAAGTCATCCAAGTTGTTGGTCGTTAAGGTGATAAAGTTCGGTTTGGAACCCCAGCAATGGCTTAACGTTGCGTATCGACTGTCTGGAGGCTCTAAACTTGTTTCCAGAAGGCGTGGCGAAATCGAGTTGGTGAGACAGACCAATCTTTTGGGATACCACGTGGAACCAATAAGGCCGTTGGATCTCTCGCAATTGTGAAATTGATGGCATTGTTGCAACCACATCTTGCCAACTCTTAAGACGCTCTCATGCGCAGTGTTGTCTGCAATTGGTTTGAGTGGGAACATCTCTCTTCTGACTCTCCATGGCTGCGAATTGAGGTCGCTCGCAGCATGTGCTGAAAGCCTTCCGTACCAATCAGGTACTGCTTCATCAATGGACGAGACGTGGATGTAGATGCATCCCAAAGCGCGCTACCCGACGGCAACCAGCGAACCTTCGAATTGAACATAATGATCCATGAACGTGGTCGTGAATCCTTGAACTCATCATAATTGAAGTCAGGTGACCACTTGTAAGTAAGAAAGGGTATGGCAGTTTGTTCGTTGTCTGGGTCGGGACCAAGTTTATCGCGCTTCAGAGCAAGAGAGATGCATATTTTGCAACCCCCTTGTGCCGCTTTCTGTAGGTTCTTGAAGGATGTGTGATGTAATCCAGTGAGTTGACCACTGGAAAACATGGATAGGCAAAGTGCGCAGAGCATATTGATGAAGCGGTGTGTGTTGTAGGTCCCAGGTTCAGATTGACCTTTCTGGATGAAAATATGAAGCCTTAGATATTACGAACGACGCAGGTATCGAGATGTGACCAAGGCGTGAGTGAAGCTTGTTAAGTTCTGGTGACCGACACGTGGAGAAGCGGCTGACATGATGGTTCTGCGCTGCTTATGCAGTTCTTCCAGGCAGACAATCGCGACACTTTGGAGACATGTAGCAAGACCCGAAACGGCCTCTGCGCCAACCTTATCAGGCTACGCCCAGAGTAAGACCCTCGCTCGCATTCCGTCGGACTGCATGCTGACTGCCTTACGACACGTGATACAACCGACCTAATTGCTTTTGTATTTGTGCTCAAAATAAAGATACATCCGCGCCTTCTATGGAGGTGGAAAACAACAATTAAGCTCAAATAAAAGGACACAACGTAACAAAACGAAAGGGCATCATATTTGTACTATTGAAAACGGAGATTCGTACAGACTAAATTGGAGGGTACACAGATACTTCACCAGCGCCAAAGCTGCAGCATCTCACACCCAATTCGCACACACGCCCAATTCACACGCTCAATTTACATACCTAGTTAGCCCTAAGCGTGTGACTTGATCTTAGGCGTGTGAGTTAGCTTTAAGCATGCGAATTAAGTATGTAAATTGGGTATGGGTGTTAGGCATGGGTGTTGGGTGTGGGTGTTGGGTGTGGGTGTGTGATTTGCTATTTGGTGCACTAGGGGTATTATGTATCTGTGTGCCCTCTGATTTGGTCTGTACGAATCTCCGTATTCTTTGTATTTAGGGATGCCAGATGCACAGGGGACCTCATACGACCGAACTGCACTCACTTTGTGAGCATCTCTCGCACACTCTAGCCATTCTGATGTCAAATGGGAGACTCAATTTTTTGGGGCCAGGGTATCCATGCAACACGTCTGAGATCTAGTTGATAAATGTCAACAGGTATACCGTCTTCTGGTAAATTCGTGACAAGATGTGTGTTTAAGACTTGAAGATTTCACAAACCACTAAGGAGCACCACTTGTTTTTACTCGCTATGATGAGTTGTATCAAATGCCAGATTTCATTGAGCGCGACGCTTTTGAGGTTATCTGGTACTAAACTGAAATCTTCGGTGCCGAATGCTTGAAGACATTCTCTGGATCGTACTTCCTTTTCAACGACACGAGTGTATCCAGGTGTCTGCCATAGATCTTCTTCAAATCCGCATCCTCAAAGTCGAGCAGCGAGATTTACGCACTGTCGAGAATGTTTGCCCGTCATGCCCCCTCAGTTCCCGCATCAAGCTCTGTCCCCATGCGGCGGTCTCATCCTTGAGAGCCGGATCGGAAGTCATAGAAACGATCTCTATCAGGTGGTGATCCTGCCGTGCCCCGAAAACCGATTCCTCGTTAGGCTTGGGGGAACGAAGGCTGTGTATTGTGATCGTGGCGTTGCCGGCTGGGATTGAGTGGCTATATTTGGCCAACGCGTTCACTGAGGCGGGCGTCCACTGCTTGAGATTCAGGGTGAAGGACCGTCCGTACACGCCATAGTGTACCAGTTTCTCGTTATCCTCCGCGTACTTCGACACGGTCTTGGCCTCGGTCATGTTCACGATGCAGTTGCCAAATCCAGCAATCTGATCGATCCACTCTCGGCCTTACTCATGGTTATCGTTGGCCCATGTGACGATGGCAGCAAGTACCTTTCCCATGCCTGGGAAGTCCGCAGCGAACAGCTAAATTTGCAGAGCTGGCGGTAGTGCCAAACCGTCTATACCCCCAGTAAGGCTTTTCCAGATGGATTGCATATTGCTCGATTCGTAGATAAGGGTGCTGACAAGAATCTGCATACAACAACGTCCTGTTAGAATATCAATTGCACCACGGTTCTTGGGTTTATGGTCGACATCATTAGTATTCACCTCGTTCAGCAGATACACCTCGATAGTCAGCTCAACGATGAACCCGAAGATCTGGCCCGCGCCACGAATCCCCTTGAGTAGCTCTTCACTGGCTTCTATAAGATCACCTTTGTAGTTGACCAGCCTTGCACCCACGATTTGGTCAACGCCCAGACCGTGCAAACTCGAGAACGGACCATAGCCGCCGTTAGTACTCCATCCAACACGGCCGACTGACCCGATAGAGCCACTGTACGGGAGGGTCAGCTCATAAGGCTTCATACACCCAAGAAGCTTTTCAACGTGTAATATCAAACGAACCAAGGAGTAATGAGGCCGTGCTCCCCTAACGCCTTCAACAGGCCGCCAGCCAAGATCCCGCCACCGATTTTCGCCGTCCTCTTGTCCTCACTGACAGTGACGCTGGAAATGTCTCGCATGTCAATCAACACGGAATCATCAACTAGCGTGCGCACGACGCAGTTGTGGCCACCGGTTCTGAGTGCCTCTCTATTGCTTGCTCTCGTGTACCGGATTATCTAGGCGGGTCAGCAAGTTTCACAGGACCTGATCAGGACGTTTTGGGTAAGTAGCTTCTGCTGATACCTACGTTATGAAAAAGAGTTCATCATACTGAGGTAATATCGCAGTTACTACGGCTTGGAATTATGCACTGAACAACAAACTAAGTTCTACATATCGGCCGCAGTTAGGGATGATGAAAAAAATACCTGCTCCTTCCTCCATGGACGTCCCAAGCGCCCATCCCGACACCAGGTAGATATCCAGCAAGATTCTAGGTTTGCAACCCAAGCTGGTGTAATGTCTGGTCATAAATGTTGGTGATAGAGACTTGGGTTACATCCTCATGTATTATAATTGACTCGCAGGGAAGAAGTTTTAAACCTTGCGAGCTGTACCTAGGTACTCTTATCGTACCACTGTTTGTGCATTTGCCCTATACCATTTCCAGAGCTCTGCTTATGCCGGGGTTGAGGTTGCCTCATGCTTAGACGCGCCACCCGGAGCTTAGTCAGGAGAGCTGCGGTGTCCTGAGACATTGAAGAACCTACAAGCACGCAAGAGTTCCGCCCAACGCCACGGGCACAGCATCCAGAGCGATGCCGCGATGGTAACCGGTAAGAGGAAGCGCGAGGTTTCTGCCTGCATTCCTGAGTCCTTGCTATACTCGGAAACAGAAGGTAAAAGCCCCGCCCTGTGTACCCAGGTTCCCTGTTCCACCACTTTGAACCATTGGAGGGGCTCTGCTGCTGACATATTCCTTGTTCCTGTCTGGGACAATGTGACAGTCAATATCCGTGCGACAGATGCAACCGGCGCCGCCAGTCTGAGCAGTGTGCATACTACCCTAATCACCCCCCGGCCATCACCGAAAAGCGCCGCGATGAAGTCAACACCATGGAGCCGGGTAACGAGGGCGAGCCTTTAGACTCGTCCCCAACATCCGGAGCCTCCCGAACGGGAACAGAGCCCAGCAAAATATCCGTGTCCGTGTCGGCGTCGTCGTCGTCGACGACGACGCACACGCGCTTCCCAGGCATAATTTCGCCCTTGTTTGAAGGTGCCGTACCGCTCCTCTGCCTATGTGCGGACCCAGGTTTTCCTGGAGCAAGAGAAGAAGACAGAGAACCACGGCCGGGGGCCCAGTCACAGTCTCTCGAGACGGTGATGAAGAGAATGAGGTCCGACCCGCTTGAAGCCAGGCTGAACTCGATGACTCAAGCAGAGTGCATGCAGGCGGCGCGTGGTGCGCTCGCAACTTTGCAGATCCTGGCTGAGGTCAGCGAGATGGCTCAAGTAGGAGCCCGGACACTGGCACGGCTAATTAACACAGTCGACGGCGGCAGTAGCAGCAGCATCGCCACTCCCCCACCCACCTTATCACAGGCAAGCAGCCGTGTTGATGCTGTCAGCTTTGGAGGGCCAGGCCAGCACGATGGTGGCACCTGGGCAGGGGCGACGGGACAGCGGGATGTAGCAATACAGCGACCACAGCCGGCCGTCGACGCGATTCCCCAGTGGGCCTGTAATCCGGAAACACACTCTGCAGGAGCAGTGGACTACCACCCCAATTCTTTCTTTCCAGCAGGCGACATGGGGATCAGCGCGGGAGGAGCAATGGGGCCAGAGAGCTGGGAGGGCTTCTTTCGCGATTTCACAGGTGGCTTTGGCTTATAGCCTTGTGGAATGGCATTTGTCAAGTTGAAGTCAAATTCAAGCAAGGTGTCTTCCCTCAAATCTGTGACTTTCTTCATTACCTCTAAGCAAGCCTCTGAGGGACAGTTGTGGAGAGGCAACAGTAGCCATCTCCTTATAAAGTTGGTTTGTATAAGTGCACAACACTACTGACATTCGTATGTAATTATGGGAAATTTGAGCTCAAGTATTACCTGATCTAGACTTTCTCCCACTTGGACTTCGCAGTCCAGGATAGTAACTCATTGCAGGTGGCCGTAGGTGAGGAAAATGCACCAGCTAATCTATACAACTGCCTGAACTTATCCAACTCGACTCTTCATGGTGCAGCCGTACGAGACCGTAGCTGCCTACCTAGTCCGCCAGTATGCGCACTAGGTGGGGTACGCTGAGCATATATGAGGCTTTTTTGAACAAAGACTTGCTCAATTGAGTGCTGCATATGTCCTGTAAACGGGAGATAGAAGACAGATCCACGTGTTCAAATAGCTTCATTGGGAGCCAGAGTACGCCCACCCAGCTTCCAGCGTTGGCTCACCCAGTACTTCCTTTTCTTAGTATTATATTAATAAGATTAGGTACTTTTCTAAGTTTACCCCGCATATAAGAAGCTAGGGTAGCTATTTTCCAATTTAAGCAATACTTTAAAAATATAAGCCTAAAAAGCCTAAAGCGCCCAGAGGGCCGCAGAGGGCCCAGAGGGCTGCAAAGGGCGCAGAGGGCCGCAAAGGGTGCAGAGGGCGGCAGAGAGTAAAAAGGGCGCAGAGAGCAAAGACGGCGCAGAGGGCGAAGAGGGCGCAAAGGGCGAAGAGGGCGCAAAGGGCAAAGGGCAAAAGTAACTTTTAAGTCATAAATAAAGGGGTAGCTATGGGACCCCTCTGGGATAGCTATAGCTATACTTTATTAATAACCCTATAGTACCAATATTTTATAACGCATACCGCCAATTTCCTTGTACTAAGTGGGCCAACGCTAAAAGCTAGGTGGGCGTACTGTGGAAGCTAGGTGGGCGTACTGTGGAAGCTAGGTGGGCGTACTGTGGAAGCTAGGTGGGCGTACTGTGGAAGCTAGGTGGGCGTACTCTGGCTCCTTCATTGGGACCAATAGACTGAACAACCAATCAAGCAACACTTTCCAAACCCATCGCATAATAGAGGACCCTGTGTCCTGATGAGACTGTCTCTGAACAGGCGCAAGCCTGGTATCCGGTCTGAGTCGCCGGGTGACGATTAAAATGCCCTGGGTCAGTGTTGTGAATGTCTGGCAGTAAAAGGCAGATTGACCGACCTTCTTCGGTTACTGGTAGAGAGAGCAATTATTGGAGATTTTTTTTTGTCCGTGATTGGTTGCTGCGCCGTGACAGAATGACACAAGGGTTTCGACCGACATTTCTCGGCCGACCGGTGCTCGTGGTGCTTATAGGGCCCTAACAACGCGGTGAACATCCCAGGAGCTGACCAATATTGCACCAAAGGCCATTTCATAATCTCCCGTATCCAGGCTTTTCTTAGTCAGGTTGGGACTGGATGAGAACGAGAACGACTGCTGTATATTCTTTTTGACGTGGAAGTCGTCGCGACAATGGCGCTCCAGAGACGGTTTTTAATTTCACGCCATCGCACCACTGATTTGACCCTTGGCACATAGCTCATCGTCAGCCCGTACATTTGATTTTAAAGCCAACCTAATTCATCCTCTCAGCCAACCATGTCAACCAGCGAGTCAACCTCGGTCTCGGGCACTGGCACAGGCGACCGCAAGCCTGCGGTGCCTACCGGGAACGACCACCAGTTCAAGGATGAGAAGAATGGTCACCTCAACACAGCCGGTGATGATGTTGACAACGAAAAGGGGGTCACTGAGGACGCGGCTGCAGACGGAGCAAGCAAGCCGTCCCCAAGATCCGTCCACGGCTTCTCATGGACTCTGGTCGTCGCAAGCACCCTCATGGCCAACTTCCTGTTTACAACCGACAATACTATTGCCAGCAACATCCAGCCTGCCGTAATCCAGACATTTCAGTCTCTTAACAAGCTTGCGTGGCTGAGTGTCGCCTTCATGATGTCCTCTTGGGGCACATGCTTCTTCTGGTAAGTCTCAAGTCTCGGCAAGTATCTATGAAACACAAGAACAGACCGGACTAACCACAAGCATCCATCAAGGGGAGACTTATATGCACGATACAGCGCAAAGTGGACATTCTGTGTGAGCTTCGTTGTCTTTGCTGTCGGCTGCGCCATCGCCGGGGCGGCGCCTACCATGGACACCCTCATCGTGGGCCGAGCTATCTGCGGTGCCGGAGGGTCTGGCATGTACTTTGGCTCCATGGGCCTCCTAACGCAGATGACCTCGGACCAAGAGAGGCCTCTCTACCTGAATCTCGTCGGCATCACCTTTGGAGCCGGCACAGTGCTGGGTCCCGTCATTGGTGGCGCTTTTGCCGGAAGTAGTGCAAGCTGGCGTTGGGCGTTCTACTTGTACGCATGCCTCCCAGACGATATCAAATGCTTTGGATGCTGAATTCCAAGCGTAGCAATCTCGTCGTCGGTGCCGTATGCGCCCCTGTGTACATCTTCCTTCTGCCGACTCTCAACCCACGCCCCGGCCAGTCCATAATGCAGCGGGCCAAGGAGATTGACTTCCTCGGAATCCTCCTTGTCATCGGCCTCATTGTGTCCATTGTCATGGCCATCTGCTTCGGTGGTGTCCTGTACGCCTGGAACTCGGGTCAGGTCATCGCCCTCTTCGTGCTGTCCCTTGTCCTCCTCGTCGCATTTCTCGGCCAGCAGCACTTCGCCATCGGAACCAGCCGGGAAAGCCGCATGTTCCCCATGCACTTCCTCAAGTCCGCGACAATGGTGGTGCTGTTCCTCGAGGTGGCCTGCTGCGCGACCAATGTCTTCGTCCCCGTCTATTTCCTGCCTCTCTACTTCCAGTTCGTCAAGGCAGACACGGCCATCTGGGCTGGCGTACGTATGCTGCCCTACATCGTATTCCAGTCCGTCATCGGCATCATATCTGGCCTGGTCACGCGCAAGACGGGATACTACGTGCCATGGTACATCTTTGCCGGCATTTTCTGCATCTCGGGCGCGGCGTGCCTGTACACCGTCAACGAATTCACCGATCTGGCCCACATCTACGGCTACGAGATACTGCTGGGCCTAGGCTCTGGTGCTGCCACACAACTCACATTCGCCGTCGCCTCGATGAAGGTGGCACCCGCCGATATAGGGCGCAGCACCGGGTGGGAGGCTTTCGCGCAGCTAGGAGGACCGACCATCAGCCTCAGCATCGCTCAGGCTGTCTTCATTAACAAGGCCCAGCTCGCCGTCGGTTCGCTGCTGCCGGGTCTCAGCATCGAGGAGATTAGCACCATCATCTCTGACCCGTCCAGCGAGCTGTTGAGGGGCCTGCCGGACCAGATGCAACACGAAGTCGTAAGCGATGTTGTCAGTGCGATGCGCGATTCTTACATTGTCTGTCTGGTCGGCGGATGCTTGGTATTGCTTCTCATCTTCCGGTTCAAGGTCAACGACAAGCTGTGGTAATGAAACGTGCCCGGGGGACAATCCGACGGGTGCAATTAGGTTGACCCAGAAGTCTTCTCCAGTTGTCGACTCGTGACATGGAAGTTTATTGAACACTTCAAGAGCACAATCGCATTTTGGTTCTTACTCTAACAGACCAGTGAAGCAAAGGTTGCGACGGAAAAGGGGCACATGTGTATTGTGTTGAGGAGTGATAATGCCGCAAAAGGTTTTGCAACTAGTGATAGGTTGACGCGTGTTTCTATTGGGCTATGAAGGTTTACAGATGCCAATAACATTGATGCATACCCGAACATAGGTGTGTGTTACTACATCAAGTCTCGCCACAGATGCGATCTTAACTCCACGGGCTGTGTGACTAGTGACGACATACTTGGCTATAATTTAGGACTATTGCCAGGCTAGAGACATCCGATAGAGTGATTATGTTGGACCTGACCCAGGGTTCATAATTACTATGAGAAGCAATGACGACATATCCTTTTTACAAATTATCTAGGTACGCCTCTCTCGTAGCCACGAACCGCTCTTCCGTGAAGGAGCCTGTCGGACTTGCACTTCTCCGCCATCTGATGGACTTGATCATAACCGAACCTATGGAGGTGGACGAGGCAATTTGTTGGTCGTGCCAAGAGTTGGTGAGTATTACTAACATCCCATACAGGTGGTTTTGCCGTTCCCCTCAGTCCTGCATGTTCCGCGCGGAGCCAACACAAATTTCGTCTTCCTTCCGTATTGTTTCCTTGGTCGTTATGCTACAGGAACACAGTACAATTCACCATATATGGAGTCCTTGCCCCAAGAAATCATTGAAAAGATTGCTGGGCACGTTCACGATGGCCAACACGATTTGCATCTGTCAGGTCACCCTACAGAACCTCCTCAACCTTGTTCTTACAGCAGGGGAGCACTTGCGTGCATCTCCCGAAGGTGGCAGAATGCGTTCGAGCGGCAAGCTTTTCGTTTCCTGCAATTCAGAAGCACCGAGCTCGAAGACTTTGATGCCAGTAAAGTTCCCACCTGAGAATCCATTCTTCACGTCCAAAGCCCCTATCCGGCTGCATCACCACGAAGGCGCACATGAACGAGCAGCCCATTGTTCTTCAAGCCATCAGAAACAGGCTCATCTACTTGAGCTTAATTATCGAGTACCAATACTAAATCAATGCTCTAAAGTTGTTCAGAGAGAGCGGCGGTTTATGTCCTAGATTTGAGTCTAGTATTCGTACTGCCGCCGTGCCCTGAGGGTACCACCCATCTTTTCGAGCAGAACTCGGACCGTCAGGCTATTGATGAGGCGTTCTCGTCAGCATTTCACCGCTTGTTTCGCATCCTGAGCACCTGGAGTCCTCGAGAGACTGGAAAAAACGCACTCAGCCTGCATCTCCAAGAAATTTATTCTCCAAGCGATCCCGATCCAAAGATATGGCCACGCGACAAAGTTGAGCGTTATATATACTCATACGTACGTCTTCGACGAGCAGAAGACTTGCCGCTTGTTCCAGTCATCAGTGGATTCGACACTCGAATGCATCAAAGCTCGTCAAGGCGATGCCTTGCTCCACAGACCGGGCTTGAACTTCTGGCCAGGATGCCGATGGTGCGCTGGGCGATCATGGCTCTGCCCGACTCAGAAAACAGGTATCCCGCCCTTCGTCGTAGGAACCGAGACGGCCTTTTATCCATCCTACAGAAGCAATCCCTGCCAAGCTCTCTGGAAGAGTGCCTGGGGCTTGAAATGGATGGCCATCCCGGTGCTAACCAAACATGGCGTCCAACAAATCTGCTCATATCGGAAGATCAGCCAGATCCTGTTAGTTCTGCCATATGGGAGACATGCTCAAAGCTCAACAGATTGAGGCAACTAAGTCTCAGGGGTACCATGGATTCCTCCATACTATGGCCTGGACCTTTCAGAACAAAAGCGTCTTCCATTTCTCGCGCCGTTCCTGCGCCATTCTGGCAGAACATAACAGCTATAGTTGTTCAGTTCGATCTTAGGGCACCTTCGGGCGAATGGTACTTCCGCGCACCCGATGGAATCGATGTCCACGATTGCCCATTCTTCGACCCAAGCCAGCCTGGAGCCGAATTTGACACTCCTATCGACAGAGATGTTCTCGAAGCCGAGATGCCTCCCGGATACAACCCATCCGAGCCCCCGGAGTCGATGACACTGGATCGTTTCGAATGGCATCTCAATTCCTTGAACTCAGGCTGGGCACCGACCTGGATATTCCGCCTTGTTCCCGAGGACCGTCTTCTCCTTCCGCCCATTGAAGCCTGGGCTCGTGCGCTCAGTCAGATGCCACAAGTGAGGAGAGCAAAGCTCAAAACAACGCTGTCACTCCCAGTCGTCAATAGGCAGTGATCATCATTACGACTGGTCTTTGAGATACCTGCCTCCATGTCAGTGCTCGAGATGTCGCATTGGTTTCGTTCGTGAAGGAGAACGAGAAGGCCGTTGCTCGGGGCGGGCGATACGGGGCTTGTCCTTTCGAACCCTCACCTGGCGCCCGAAGGGTGCTCTTCTGGGGCTTCTGAAAGAGATCGGTAGCAGATATTATGATGGCGGCATGGAGGAGTTATATTATGACGCCGGTAGTCTTGTTCAAGATTTGGGTTTGTGATACTTGTGTGTCGGAATCGAGAACTGATGATTGACCATCCCACTGATGAACACGTTTGTTCAATTTAAAACCATTGATATTGCGCATGAGTTCCGCTCTCGGAGGGAGAAGGGTTACCAAAGACGCAATGCCGTTTTATGCTAGAAGATTTCTGTTCTAATCAATGATGTGAGATGAGAAATGAGATGATCAAATGGGGTCTTGCATCCCATAACAGGAATCTGTTAGACAAGCCGCCGTTATAGTCCACTGCCTATGTGTACCTGCCCAGAGCTGGTGAGTAGGTGATTATATGGTGTCTAAGTGGCACTAGGATTGAATATAAGCTATCGGACAAGCTGGCTTGAAGATGCAAGGATGAAATGGTCGACAAATACATAAGTAGATTCGCATCACACAAACGCCCCCGGGTTCCCCAAAATTCGGAGTATCGACGAAGTTACCCCAGTTCCCAGTCTGGCTGATAGGCAGGCTGCTAATTGCCTGCTTTTTCAAGATCCGGGGCTGACTCAGTCAACGATGTGCCCTGTTCTTCGTCACTCCAAACTTGTGAAGCGTGGTGGTCTGAGGTATCATGAGAAGATTCGTCTGAAGAGGTGGAAAAACTGGGACTGTTTGGCTCAGAGTCTGTGTCTGTTTCGGTGCGATGAATCTTTCCTCGGCTTCTCAAAATCCTCGACAGCTCAAAATCCACCTCGTTACACAAGTCTTTCGGGATTCCTCTGGCCGACAGAAAGCTGGTTAGGGCCCACCTATGGTAGACGTTGAGCGAGGAGGATCGGATGACAACAAGCTGATGTCTGTCCGCTCCCCGGAAGAACCAGTGACACAATCTGCATGTCAGTTTGCTAACGCCGATCACCACTCGGTGGCTTGATGAAGCTTTGTATGGGTGCGGCCTGTCTGGATGGAATGGGAAAAAGTCCGGTAGGCTTTTTTTGATGTGGTTCCATAGTTGGATCTCCGCATGGACTCGGCGGTCTTTGACAACATGTGGAACACATTTGTTGAGTTAAGTGTCCAAACCAGGCCACCTTTTTGTTGCATTCTTGAAAACACTGTTGTAGAAACGTAGCTCGTGGAGGACCTTCTTAGTTCTCAGCCCGGCCAAATTGTGAAACCTGTAGGGCTTTGGACCAATGGATGGAAGGAATTTGACTGTGAAATCTCTGAAAAGGTTAGGCCATCTGATAGCGGTGGCTGCGAATTTCTCGACCGCGTCATTGTAGGACAGAATTCGCATCAGAGCATGCCGCAGCTTGTGACAGGTCACCAAGTGCTTATTCTTGCTCACGGACTTGCGCAGCCCAATTTCTCCTTCGAGTTGTTTTCCCTTTTTGACAAGGGCTTCCAGCAGATCGAACAGTCCAAACGGACTACTGTTTCTCTCCAACTCCAATGTTTCCAGAAGACTTAGGCTCAAACGTACAACTAACCTCATGTTAATTTGACCTGTCAAGATAATCAGGATGGGCTAGGAAACTCACATTCTTCCCTGTGATGGTTCTGTAATTTGTCTAAGCGATGGCAAGTGCCGGGACGTCTGAATTGGCTGTGCTTGAATTGGGGTCTTTGAATGAAAGTGCTGCGAACTGTGCTACGGAGCCTCTCGACACATTCCAATAGACCGATTTTATTGGATTTTTCAAGCAGCTTCTTGACTTCTGTTATGTATGAAATGTCAGCAAATTCACTTGTGTGACGAAATATCTCAAATAAGAAAAGGCTCATACCAGTATCATCGAGATCCTTATTGTTGTACAACTCCTGCAGACAGTCCAACACAGCCCCCTGGTATACATTCAGTCTTCCCCGATTGAATGTCAATATTCTTTTCAACACGCCAGCGTAGGTCTTCAGAACATCTTTCCGCTGTTGAGGGATGCGATTTCCCTTGTTACCGCTATGAAAAGCCTTCAATATGACTTCGATATGAGCTTTTACGCGCTTCATGTCCTGCTCGGATCGCTGGTTGGAAAGAATGAGATACTCTGGAAAAACGCTCCTGCCCTTGGGGAGGTGAACAGTGACAGCTGTTACTGTACCTCCGCTGTGTGTACTAGCACAAATCTCAGCCATCCGGTCCAGGAAGGTTCGGAGTTCGATATCTTTGTCTTGGTCTCCACGTGCAGTCTCAGTCAAGTTGCTTGCTTCGTTCCTAGATGGCTGACTTCGACCCCTCAAGCGCTTGAGCCTGTAATAATCCTCCCTGTCAAGAAAGTGTAAGCTTGAAAGCAGGATCACTCGCTTATAGAAATCATGTTCGTATATGCCGGTTTGGAGAGACGGGCTCATGATGATGTGTGAATATAGAAAATACGTGTTGTATATTCAAGTCTGTTTGTAGACGTCTTGATTACAGACTCGTGCTGGTGATGATCAATTAGGGGATTGTTGAGAAACATTTACAAATTTCGAGCTCCCATTCGTATTATTATACACATCTCGCCTTCGTTAGTTATTCGATCATCAACCTGTACTGGCCCCTCGAAGCTGGGGCTTGTTCCGTAGCAACAGCAAGTCTTTCACGGCATGCAACTTGTATTCCTTTGATAATCGCATTCTAAGGACAGATGAAAATGAACAATCTTTGACTGTCGATGGTTGAAATATCCAGCTGAAAATAAGGAGAAGGACTGGTCATATTTAATCTATGTGTCACCCTGGCGGGAAAATCTTTGTCTCGGAGGCCAGGGCATGGCGTATTGAACATATCAGAATAGAAATCTCAAACGGCAATGGGGGGGCCATGCGTGCTTTTACTTGTATAGATTGTCTATTCTTATCTCCGACCTGATCACATCTCGAATTACACCCCTATACCCCGGTTGACCTCATCCTGATCTAACTAGATTAATTGGTAGGTTTTCTAAATAGCAATGCAGTGTATTTGCCGACTCCAGGCACCGTCCTTTGTTCACGAGTTTCACTGTGGGCCCACAAGCACTCAGGCTTGGACCGTAGCACAAATGCCATTGTTCTTTGTTGTGTTGCGGTCGTCACGACCTCTCGCTCTTGGACACAAACAACCCGAGAACCTCAAGTCTCGCCGTATGGAAAGGAATAATCAGACGAACACACATCACAGAATGCTAGTGATAATATGGGCGACTTTGGATTTTGAGATGACTGAAAATTCAGTGTACATCAGGAGGCGCTCATTGATGGGCGATCTTTCCAAACTTTGGGCGAGACCAATGTAACGGCGTAGAATACTACCAATTAGATAACCACCAGTTGGATAACCACCAGTTGGATGACCACCAGTTGGAGTGAAGCTTTCTGAGCTCATGCTTGCTAAATCTGCGCACCTTTGCACAGTCCTTGATGGGCTTCATTGTGTATCGAGAGGTCCCCTAAACGTGCAAATTGAGAAGAGAAAATAGTGAACTGAGGTTCCTCAGGAGAGAAGACAGAAACGAAATGGAAATTTCCTGAATAGGCTTTACAGGAGGGGGACTCAGCCGGGGCTCAGCGTTCTGTGTCACGATTTTTACCAAACTTAGAGGAGTAATTGGGTGAGTATGAGAACTCGTGCAAAATTCCAAATTCATTGAAGCAAGCCACAAGATCGTTGGTGGCGACCCAACAAAAATAAGCTTAGATCCGTTGGCTGCCGCAGAAGGACATGGCACTCACTGCGAGGCTTCCCATTCCCCTCACACTCCGATCTGCACTGCGCCAGCTACGACGTCCCAACACCGACACGGAAACTCCGGATTCAGTCCCCGACAATGGATGTCCTGAAGCGATTACTGTCTATATTCAAGTCCGTCCGGACCCTCATATCCATCCTGCGCGACCTCTCCAATGACTGGTCCAAGGTCGCAGCCCGGATGCGAGCGGCCCCGGGCTTCCCGCCCGCCAAGCCGACCCTCTCCCAGTGGCAGGACGACCCACCCTTCCCGGAGCTGGTCGACGTGCAAACGCCAGGCGGGCCGCCGCCCACGGCCCACATCGTCATCATCGGCTCGGGCATCAGCGGCGTGGCCATCGCGCGGACGGTTCTTCGTGAGCTGCGGCGGAAAGGCCAGCTCTCGGGCCGGCGCGTCGTGGTCCTCGAGGCCCGCCAGCTGTGCTCGGGCGCCACCGGCCGCAACGGCGGGCACATCAAGCCCAGCTCGCACGAGGTGTTCCACGGCCTGGTGCACAAGCGGGGGCTGGGCCGGGACCGCGCGGCGCGCATCTGCGCCTTCCAGCTCAGCCACCTCGACGTGCTGACCGGCCTCGCCCGCGCCGAGGGCATCGAGGGCGTGTCGGAGTGCAGGCGGGTGGAGACGGTGGACTTTGCGGTCGATGCCGACACGGATGCGAAGATGAAGGGGATGGTGGAGGAGTTCATGCCGTATGCGCCTGCCGGGTTCGAGATGGTTGCTCACACGGGCGAGCAGGCGCGGGAGAGGTTCGGCGTCAATGAGCGCGTGGCTGGTGCCGTGTCTTACCCGGCCGGCGCGCTGAGCCCGTACCGGCTTGTCACGGCCCTGTGGAGGAAGCTGTTGGGTGAGTTCCCTGGTGTGCTGGCCATCGAGACCGGGACCACGGTGGAGGAGGTCAAGGTTGATGACCAGAGCGGGCGGTCCTCCAAGCTGGAAGACGCTGGCTCATTCCCTTATGCCGTCATCACCAGCAGGGGACAGATCCTCGCCCACCACGTCGTTCATGCCACGAATGCGTTCACGTCACAGCTCGTCCCGGGACTGAGAGGCAAAGGCACATCGGCTCTATGCCATATGACCGCCCAGCGAGCGCCTGAATATTTCCCTGACAAGGATGGTAGCCGTTCCTGGTCTGTTATTTTCGGCCAAGGCTTTGACTACATAACGCAGAGGCCGACGGGCGAGCTGATGGTTGGAGGTGGTTATTTCCAAGGCCCAAAGCAAGGAATGGATCTGATGGGTGTCTACGATGACAGCAAGATCGACGCCCTGACGGTTATGCACCTGGAAGGTGCCATGTCTACCCTCTTCGACCCGGGCTACAAGGTGAAGGGCGAAGGCGCAAGGGTGATCAGGGCTTGGTCGGGGGCTATAGGCCTAGTTCCTGACTTCATGCCGCTCGTCGGGCGGCTTGATCCAAGGATCACGTCTAGGAAAGTCAAGCAGGACTCTAAGACTGGTGGCCAAGTGCTACCAGGCGAGTGGATCTCGGCTTATTTCTGCGGCGACGGCATGGTCTGGGCTTGGCTTTGTGGTGTAGCGCTCGGTATCATGCTCACTGGGAGCGAGGACGAGGCCCTGCCCGCAGAACCCGGTCGACCTGCGGGAAAGCTGGTGGACTGGTTTCCCTCGGAGCTCTATGCTGGGTGGGAACGAGTAAAAGGCATGGACATCGTCGATCTGGCTGATGCATTGTGAAGACGAGATTCAATTTGGTGTTAACCATATTGCTGCCTCTTCGCTACCACCTGCTTGCTACCAGATAATTGTATAGATGGGTCTCGCGAGAAATACCGTTAATATGGCAGTGGTGCGAGGTTCAATCCTTCAACAGAGAACTTGAACGAGTCATTCCTCGAGTAGCTCCCACCCGCGTCCAAATCCAGCCTTCCCCTGATGCAATCCTTGAAATCCACGTCCGCGTAGACGATACCAGTGTCGTCCTCCCACTGCGGGCCGGCGAGGACTTCTCCAAACGGATCGGTGATACATGATCCTCCACGGCAAATAAACTTCGCCCCTGCGCCGTTCTTCTTGACAGCCTGTTCCTTCCCAACAGCCTTGGGGCTCTGCGCTCCGTTGCTCGCAGCGGTGGTGGGCTTGCCGTCCTCGGCGCCGCACAGCACGATCTCGTTTCCATCCTCGTCAAACACACTCGGCCGCCTGCGCTGCGGATTCTTGCCGGTGCCGTGGGCGCTGTGCGTCGGGAGGGCGATCTCGAACCCTTCCTCCGTGACGCACGAGCTGCGGCGCCCGCGCGCGTACGGCTCGGAGTCGGCCCGGATCTCGTCGTCCGCGATCGCGGATGACGACCCGTTCGCCGCCGGGGTCTCGCTACCGCCCTCGCGGACGCACATGTTGGAGCTGAGCACGAAGCACCGGCCCTCGATGCCGACGGTGCGCATCAGCGAGGCCCACGCGTCCCGCCCGTCGGCGGTCGGCGCCAGGTACAGGTTGATGTTCTGCGCGTACAGGGACTGGCGGAGCAGCGGCATGTAGCTCTCCCAGCAGATGGCGGCCGCCATGTTGACCCTGACGCCGCGGATGACGGTGGTCACTGCCCGGAGGGTTTTGGGTGACCCCTGGGCCCATATCAGGCGCTCAGTGCCAGTCTGTGCCAAGCATCAGCATCCTTATGCATGAGAAAGTAAAGGTCAGGTGAGGGAAACTTACAGGCATGACTTTCCTCCTCTTGCCAATGACGCCCTTCTTAGGGCAGACATAAACAACAGCACAGTAGAGGCTACCACCCGCCTTCTCAATAAGCCCCGTGACCAAGAACACCCCCGTCTCAGCAGCAATCCTCTCCAGCTCCTCCCTCGTACCATCCCCGCGCAGGGGGGCCGCCGACGCCCCATCACCACCGACGTTCACAGCCTCAAGCCGGCGAGCGACCCAGTCGTCCCCGGCGCCGGCGCCCTCGCCGACCACGTCGCCGAGGTCGACGGCCTGCTCAAAGTACCGCAGGTACTCGTCCCTGCCCTCGGCGCTGCGGCCGCCGATGACGCAGCCGAAGGCCGAGCCGCGCGGGTACCCGCCCAGGTAGGCCTCGGGCAGGAGGAGGATGTCGGCGGCGTGGTCGCGGGCGGCGCGGCGGGCGATGCCGCGGAGCTGGGAGAGGGTGGCGGCCGTGTTGGACTGGGTCGAGGGGGAGCTTGTGGCCAGGCGGACCTTGCCTGGGGCTGGGGGCGAGGAGGACATGCTGGGCTGTGGAGGGGGAGAATGGGGGATGGGAGGGTTGTGGGATGGGGAATTATAATGATGGCTGCGGGGTGAGTGAGGATGGATGTTGGAGACGGCCTTGTCTGTGAGAATATGAAAGAAGGGAATAATTGAGGTGGTGTGATGCCGATACCGGTGGCAAGTGCTGCTACTTGCCGACTATTACGTGATTCTCAAGACGTGATGCAGCAAGAAGAATGTCGACCAAGAGTGTCTGAGAAAGGAGAAAGAGATATATTCATCCAAATTGGATCGTCGTCGAGTTAGCTGACGATGGTGTTGCCTCGTGCTACTACCCCGCATGCGAACCTTTGACCGTCGACGGATTGGGGTTACTCACTCGCATGTTCGCACAATTGGGCCCGGCGACAACCAGAGTTGGAGGGACAGGCTTTCAAAGGTTGTATTGAGAATAAGATGCGCGCCTCAAGCCTAGAATATCAATTTCTTCCTATGGGTACTGGGTATCGATTCCGTCCAATCCGTAAGTCATCAAGTAATGAAAGCCCGTCCAAAACACACACACCGTAAAACTCCTGATTGTGTCCGCCCAAACCATGTCTTGTACCTATTTCCCTGGATGGACCAGAATGTGTCCTTTATGTTTCCTTTGATGCGCCTGACAGCAATATCCCCGTCCCATGAGAGCTTGCGCTCGCGGCTATCCATATTGGAAGCCATTTGTAGTTGGTCTCATAGCCATCGTCAAGATTCGCTCGCGACGGGCATTGCTCCGCCTCCAACACTGCCGCTCAGGCTGTCGGCTCGTCCATGGCCAAGAGCCAGGCCGCTGACCGATCGTTCCGCGATGGACCTTGCCGTAGTCAAGCCTGGGCTCGTCGGCTGCTGCCCGTCGAGGTTGGCGCTCAGCACAGATAGGGGCAGCGACTCGCGGCTGCCGCCGAACTGTGATGCTGGCGGCAGTGCGCGTACCGACGCATGGTCGTAGTCCGTGTCCCAGGAGCGCCGCCTACGGCGTTGGGTGGACGATGCGAGCGTCAGGATCGAGATGTTGTCGCTCAGGAGATTGTTCGCGATGATCGCACTGTATGTGGCGGGGCGATAGGCGCTCCGTCTGTTTCGGTCGCCGTCGCTGGCGGGCATCGCGGTGACCAGGGCCTCGGGCTGGGTGTACTGGACGGTCTGGTGCTGTTGCGGCCGTGAGGTGGGTTGGGCAGCAGTGTTGGCGGGTTGGCCGTTCAGCAGGCCATTGGCCATCTGGGTCTGCATGGTCGACAGTGTCGTCGCGACAGACCGGGCGGACGGGGCGGGCGAGGAGAAGGTACTGTCGGGCCTGCGTGCGTCGGTCGCTGTGATGTTCGTGCCGGCGAAAGATGTGCCGCCGTAGGATGGGGCGGTGGTTGGGGGTCGGCCCTCGGCGTCGCCATCGGCGTCGCCTTCAACTTCAGCCGATGGCCTGCCCTCGCTCGTCGACTGCATGGACTGCCTGCTTAGCTCTTCGGCGGAGTGGACGACCAACTCGGGGTCCGGCGTGCTCTCGACGGTCGATTGGGGATAGTCAATGGAATGCGATTGTCGCTGCTGTTGATGATGAGTCGTGGACGGTGGTGGGAGCCCATGTCGGGAACTGACATGGCCTGACTGTGGGTAGGGGTTGTTTGGGCCCTTGGTGCGCTTCATCTTCTGATTCAGCCTTTTGACCCAGCTGGTGAAGGGTTTCCGACGATCTGTGGGCGCCATGGCCATTGTGCAGGCGGGGCGACGGGACAAACGGGGTTGTCAAAAAGAAAGAATGGAAGAAAAGAAGGAAGGGGGAGCGAGCGTTTGGAGTTGGTTTGCTGAGAAAGGAGAGCGATCAAAAAGGAAAGGAGACGGTCGGATCGTCGAGCTGTTGGTTGTGTGAAGACGAGACGACGAATTGGCTGGGCATGGACGGCAGTGGAATGGGGATGGACCTTGAAGTGGTGGTTACTGGCGGCATTGGGAGGGTTCTGGGGCCTGGGGCCTGGGGCCTGGGAATTGGCAATTGGCAATCGGGGGCGGAGAATGGGGGTAGTTGGACTGGAATTCCCGGGGAAGCAGCCCAAAACGCGATCATCCCGACAGCGAAAGGTTAATTCAGGCGGCATCAGGCGGCGTCAGGCGGCGTCAGGCGTTCAGGCGAGCAAGCGAGCTCTGCGAGCTGAACAGACGGGGACCGGGGGGCCCACTGAAGCCAGCCCTGTGACGTATTGCCGGTCCTGCTGCAGATACCGCAGATACGGTAGGGAGATACGGTGGGTACGTACCATGGCTGCTTACATCATCTTCAGAACGACGTCCGTTGTTTTGTCTGCTCCGTCACAAGCAAGGAGCAGCACAATCGGGGGACCCCTCGCAGACAACTCGTCTATCTGTGGACAGCTCCCTGACAATCCAGCAGCAACCAGCATCACCTCCGAGATGTGCAGCCGGCCATGTCCATCAAGCCACTCCCGGCGGATGTCGTGGCCCAGATCAAGTCGTCCGTCGTCATCACCTCCCTGAACAACGTGATCTGTGGGCTCATCAAAAACTCGCTTGACGCTGAGGCCACCAAGATCAACCTGAGCGTGGACTATTCGCGTGGCAACTGCTCCGTAGAGGACAACGGATCTGGAATTCCACCATCTGAATTCCGCGATGACGGAGGGTTGGGCCAACTGCACTGTATGTGGGAGCCCAACAAACAATAAAACGCTGCTTCTAACCATCTGATCAAGACACATCCAAATACCCGTCGCGTTCAGATATCCATGGAAAACATGGTGTATTTTTGGCGTCGGTCGCGTCTCTGTCACTGCTCTCCGTGGCATCCCATCACAGAGAGTACCACTCGCACAATTCGATGAGCATCCACAACTCCAAGGTCCTTGCCCGACACGTTCCTTGCCCTCCCGAGCAAAGAATTCTCACTTTCAACCATGGCACGCGTGTTACGGTGAGAGACTTATTCGGCTTGATGCCAGTTCGAGTGAAATACCGCGCTCTTCAAGGCGACAGGTCTTCCTTTGGTAGAGAATGGGATCGGCTTCTCTACGACCTCGTTTCTTTGATGATTTCCTGGCCCGGAGGAGTCTCTGTGTCGATTCGCGAAAATTCTAGTCGGCAGACCCTTACTTTGAGGTCTGGCTCTCAATCGAGAACCTGGCTCAATGATGGCTGCCGACTCCTGCACCAGGCATCATTCTGTGACAGCCTTGACTCAAGTGAATGGGTGTCTATCGGAGCATCTGCACCAAGACTATCTATAGATGGTTATGTCTGCCGTGAGCCGGTCGCGACAAAGCGTGTTCAACTCATCAGTCTTGGCATCGAGCCGCTTTCAAACGAATCTCGGTGCAACGTTCTTTTCGAAGAGGTGAACAGAGTCTTTGCAGACTCTGCCTTCGGTGCTGTTGATACTGAAAGTAATTCAGACGACGGCCTCAAGGAGCCTAAGATGGAAGGCTTCACCGGCAAGGAACTAAAGCTCAAAAAAGGCGTGGACAGGTGGCCAATGTTCTTCTTGAAGATTAGTGCTACACGTTCGGCCACCGATAGTTCTCTGGATGTGGAGGACATTCTTGATGATCGACGACCATCCCTGGCATTAGTCACAGATCTTCTGAAGGCTACGTTCTACGAGTTCCTGAAGAAGAACCGTTGCCGACCAAAACCAGTCAACCTATCTGTAAAAGACAGAGGTGGGCGTAATCAGGAGAATAAGAGGCCGCGTGGGAAAGCAGAGGAAGCGGGAACAAGATCGAGCACTGCGTCCAGCGTTGTACCAAATCAGAGGGAGGAACCCGCTCGCAAAGCCCAGAGGCTCGAGGTCTCTGGTAGCAGGTCAGAGTCACCATTTGATGGGTGGTCGAGAATCAAGTCCGGCCCGACTCTGCCTACATTCAAAGAGTCAATGCAGCCGTCTTCTCGTTTGCACTCCTTATCTTGGAGTTCTGCCGCAGACCCCCAGGATGCACAGGATGCGACCAAGTCCACGCAGTCGGAGCCTTCCACAGCAGAACCTTCTCAGCCCCCGCTGTACGATCACAATGGCAAACTCATGCGAAAGCCCTTTGAGGACATTAACCCGAAGCAATTGAGAGGCAGAGGTCTAATTCAGAGGGCGACTCCGCAACGAACAGCCGACGAAGGCTCAACGAAGCCACTGAGACAGTCTGCCAAAGAGGATCCCATTGAATGGATCAACCCTGCTACCAAATTGGCTACTCTTGTAAATCCTAGAACTGGGTTTGTCTTGCCTCCCAAACCATTGACACTCAGCAAAAGGGCCGGGAAACAGCTTACCCAGACGGACACATCTGACCGGAACAGCCTCGTGGGAACCAGCAACACTACTCCTTGGGTCAAAGACCTAGTAGAAAAGTGGAAGAATCCCGTCTTTGAGCTAACTGAACGTCCCATACCAAAATTACCAGACATATCAGACATGCTGGGCATCGACATCAAACCTGGTGGCCACCAGTGCGATCATGGGCTGTCAACTGTCAGCTTGGGATCGTATCACGAAGCATCCGCCTTGGGGCTTCGAGGACGGGTGTCAAAAGACGCCCTGCGCAGAGCTGAACTAGTCTCTCAAGTTGACAGCAAGTTTATCCTGGTGAAGGTGCCATTCAATCAGGTCCAAGATGGCCGGATGGAGACCGAGACATCGACTACTTCATCATGTCTGGTGCTGATCGATCAGCATGCTGCAGATGAGCGGTGCCGCGTGGAAGGTCTGATGAAAGATTACTTTGCCCGTGGTACGACAAATGTGGGCGGCAACATTTGGGAAGCAGTCACCAAAGTTCTGCCGAAGCCCTTGGTTTTCGAGCTTTCAAGGCAGGACAGAGACGTTCTGTGCCGAAGCCAGGGACATTTCGCGCACTGGGGCATCTGCTATGATATAGAAATTCCAGATGCCAGTCGAAGTCTGGGACACAGGAAGCCCAAGACTAACGAAATTGGCCCCAAAGCTCAAGTTGCTGTGCGGAGCCTCCCACCTGCTATATTGGAGAGATGCAGGACAGAGCCCCGGCTTCTCTCCGACCTCATCAGGACCGAGGCGTGGAAGCTGAATGATGAAGCAGGCCTTGCCCAACAGCCAAGACCAAGGCCCGTGATACCTGGAGGAACTGAAGATGGCAGTCCAGCCTGGGTATCGCTGTTTCATAGATGCCCGCAGGGGATCATCGAGCTGATCAACTCGAGGTCGTGCAGGAGTGCTATCATGTTCAATGACCCATTGACGCGGGAGCAGTGTGGGGAACTCCTAGAGAGGCTGGTCCAGTGTGCATTCCCCTTCCAGTGTGCCCACGGGCGGCCGTCGATGGTACCGCTGGTTGATCTGGGTGAGGGCATGGGCCAGATGGGAAACGCACCGGAGGAAAGAGGACCCTCATTTGGACGGGCGTTCAAGCATTGGAAACGTCAGAAACGTTGACGAGTTAGCATTGGCGTCAGGCGTTGGTATTCGCGATATATACGCGCAATCGCACCTAGTATACCACTTATTGGAGACGCATTCATTTTGTCTCACCATGTGAATATACTGGTAGCTGGAAAGCATCCTTGATTCTGCAAATGCCAATAATGCTCCACGATGCCGACGCTCAATTTCGTCTAACATCCTCCAGTTGCACTACCACCAACGCACGGCGGCCCGGTGCACTCGAAGCCCTCTGGGTTCACGAGATTGCCACACAGGTAGCCCGCTGCTGCGGTCCCGTTGGTAAACCTCACGTCAATGTCGTAAAGTCCAATATCAGTGCACGGCGCGACGGCACTGCACTGGAAACTGGCCACGTTCTTGTTCTTCGTAGTTCCGCGCGCGTTTCGGACCTCGAGGTTCCGAATCTGGAACTGCGAGTTTGTGCAGTTGCCTGTCCCCGGCGCGCCTGAGAATCGCGTGCACTGGGAGATGGTGAAAGCACCACCGCGGATGCCTTCCATCTCGAGATTGTTGGCGTGCACGTCTGATGCGACTGGGACGAAAAGCGTGAGACAAGGTTCCTGGCCGGGAAGGTGTAAGCACTTACAGCCGAGACCGCCGCCGCCGCCATTTGGTGGGTACCCGTTCTGGTCATTGGTCCAGGTTTTGACATAGACCTACCAGCAGAATCAGTTTTGTCCCTTACCGTTTCGTAGACTTCAGCTTACCGCGTGCAGAGTGTTGAAAAACGAAATGTTCTCGAAGTGCAGCCTCTCAATCGTTTCATACGCGCCTTTGTACTGCCCAATGCTGCCCAGAGCGATGCCCAAGCCATTGTGGAACTTGGAGTTGGTGACACTGACATCGGTGCTGTTGGCCTTCATGGAAATGCTGTCGTCCGCATTGTAGACGGTCCAATTGTTGAATCTGATATTGGAAGAGAAGAATGTGTCGGCACCATCCGTGTTCGCTGTGCCTATTAGCAACCTTTGCTGTCTCTTCGGGGTTCACGAAAGCTGTAATACGTATACTTACAGCTCTGTACGGTATTTCCGGTGTTGTTGACGAAAATGCTGTCAAAGGTGTTGTTGTGGCTGTGAATGATTGACATTGTCCTGGATTCCTTCTCAGCCCAATGCTGCGCTCAGGATCTATTGTAAAGACCGGATACTTACCACATTTGACTTCTCAAGAAACTCACGCCTCGGAACACAGAGTTTGTCAAGCCATTGAACGTGATCGCGTGCGGCCGGCCTGGGTAGTTGGACGTGTTCGGCTGCTCTCGAATGAAACGGTACCAATCATCACCATTGCCATCGAAAGTGCCGTGTCCGTGCCCTTCGAAAGTGATCCCGTCCCCGCCCAAGATGAAGGCGGTCGACTGGTTCTGATAGCCTACTGGCATCGAATTGTTCAGCCAGTACGAGATATTCGTTCCCCACTGATGAAAAAGATCAGCTCTGGTCAAAGTTGGATGGTGGAACAACGTACTGAGAGGGTCCCCTGGAGGTCTATTTTGACATTTTGCAGCCAGGTGATATTCATCACCGAATTGACGTGGTAGGTCGTGGGCTCAAATATGACCGTGGCATCTTGTCCACACTCCCGGAACGCTTCAATTATTGCAGGAGCATCGTCAGTCGCATTGCTGCCGCCAGATTTCACGGTGCACGTTTTGGCCTGCCTGGAAAGGGACGCTGCTGCAGTGACACCTGACAACAAGGCGAGGAGCGTGGTTGCAGACTGGCTGAGCATCTTGAATTATTGGTTCATCTGCTAAGAGAAGGGTAGAACCAGCTGTGATGCCAAAACCATTAAACCATGTTGATTAAATATAGTGAACAATGGCCATGACTCGGTACATGAAGAGCCGAATGCCCCGGCATCACTTGCTCGCTGCTCTGCTTCACGCGGAAGATATACTATCCAAATACGCACGCGGGGAATTTTGCGCGAATCAAACAAGATATTGGTCTACTTGGGACTCAAAAGTAGCCCGAGGCACATTGTCGATCGACGCGGGGATGAAAGCAGATGCGTGTCATTGTTGAGCTCGGAGCTTCGTGTTACAGTGACCCCGAAAAAGTCTTGCAACATCTACCCATTCCTGTACAAACTCACCAACTTTAACCAGCCATTTTAATATTTTGATATTTAATGATGACTTTACACTTTATTTATATATAATTTTAAAGTATTATATTAACTTTTATAAACTTTATTTCTTAATAAATAATATAAAGATTTTTAAAAGAATTTTAAAAAAAATAAAAAAATATTTAAAATTTAAACATTATTAAGGATCTTAATCACTAAAACCCCTTGTAAGGATATTAATGATTTATGTTTACAATTTTAAAATTAATTAAAAATATTATTTTAATTTTAAATCTTCATAACTTTTAAAATAAATTAAATAATAATAAATAAGTTTATAATATATAATTAATGTTATGGGTTGGCCTTAAGCGTTTATTAAAAGGTACCTAAAAGGAGTTATAAATTGCAATATTTAAGAAGTAAGTTAGGCCTTAAAAGGGCCTAACTCTGAATTTATTTTTTAAGTATATGCCTTATTATATAAGAGGGTTGAGTATAATATAGGCTTGGCATAGGTATGCATTATGGCTTAGGCAATAGCTTAAGCCCATTATATAGCCCCCTTCCCGCTCTTATATTATGCATAATAAGGATTAAACTTAAGGCTTTTACGGTTTTATGCTAATTATATATTTACTATATATATAGTCCTTTATTAATATATTATAATTATATATAAACTATATATATTAATTATGCTAAGGCCTATTTATGCTTAATTAAGAAAGTATAAATTATATATCCCTACCTTATTTTATTAGCATTTATGCACCCTATGGTATTATAACGCATTAAGTTAACGTTATATCATAATATGCATTAAGTATAATATATATTAGCTATATGCTTAGCTTATTGCTATTTACTTACTGTAATAATTACGGGTTATTAATTCTTTAATCTTAGTTTACATTATAATATAGCTATTTCATATTTAAGTTTCTTTTATGCCGTAATTATAAAATATTGCAACCTTCCCTTAATAACTTTATTATATAGCCATAGCGTTAATTACTCATTATCACTATATATTTATATTATTCTGCCTTATCTTAATTATTACTATTAATTAAATAAGTTACTCTTATTATTACCTTATTTTCCTTTTAACTTATACTTAATATGCAGCCTTAATAACTTTAATAAAGATATTCTTATTAATTAACAATACCTTTATAATTCCTTGCTACTTATATTATAAACCTAACCCTTTAATTAATAATACCCCCCTTTATATTATTAATAATAATACTTATATAATCCCTTGCTATGCCAACTTACCTACCTTATAATATACTTAATTTATATTTAATAACATTCCTATTATACTTAGCTTATATTTAATTTATATTTATAATATAAATATATTAACCTTATTATAATTTTAATATTAATAAGATAATATTCATTAATGAATTTAATAAAAATTATAATAGCTAAGGTATTATTATTATTAATGTTAAAGGAAACCTGCCTTATTCTCTTAATAATAATAATTAAGGCTTAAAGGGTTATTATGTTATTAATAACTACCTTATCTTAAGCAATAATGATAATAATAATTAGCAGCTTCTTATTATTAAAGAGTTTTTATATAAGGGCTATATTTAAGTTTTAGCTAATATTAATATTTTCCTTAAATATATTTATAACGCTTATAAAGATTTATATATTAATTATTGCTATTATTATAATTCTTGCTATTAATATAAGCAAAAGTTTGCTAAATTAATTATATTATGCAATGCCTTTTATGCTCTTTTAAGTATATATTATATTAATTATAAGTATATTTTATATATATCTTAGCGTAAAGGTAAACTTAATATAATTAAGGGTAATGCCGCTAAGTTTATAACTTTTTTTAATATCGTTATGCATGCATTTAATTATTTGCTTGTCTTAATTTAATAAAAGCCCTTATTAATTATGCTTATCCTTGCCTTAGTTACTTATGTATATAAATTAGCCCTTATTATTAACCTTATTAATAATAATTATGCTATCTTAATTCTCTATACTTTTTAAAGTGCGCTTAATATAATAAAGCTTTTAATCTTTATTTATAATAATATTATTGGCGGGTGCAAGGAATTACGTAAGAAATGATATCGCGTTAAATTCCAGCTAGCTATAAAAAGCTAGCTTTTACGCTTATTTTAAATATTCTTTTAAGAAATTAACTTTTCTCTTTTCTTATATATTTAATGCTTTAATTAAGCTTTTCTTATTTTTAAGAATTTTTAAAATATTTATTTTTTTTCTTTCTTTAATTCCCTTTTATTTTTATCTTCCCTCTTTATTATATTAAAGCTCTTCCTTAAGTTATTCTTAAAAGGATTTAGCAAAACCTATTTCTTATTATTTAAGTAGCTTATTTTTATTAATAATTTAATTTAAGTATAATTTTAATTTTATGCATTTTTAATTAATAATAAGAAAAATAAAAAGTTAATTATAAGTTAATTATTTATTAATTTTATTTCTTTTTATTTTTATATTAAATATTATTAAATTATTTTATATATTAACTTAAAGCTTTAATTAAAGCTTATATTTATCTTTAACTTATTATAAAGAAAAGTTAAGTATAATTAAACTTATAATAATATTATAAGTATTTTAAGATTATTTTTTAATTTTAAGGTACTTTTTATACTTTTAATATTTAAATAAAATATTACCTTAATTATATATTAATATATTATTAAGTTTTAAACTTATTTTAAGTTTTTTATTAAAAACTATGCTTAAAATATAATAATAATATAAACTTAAGATTAAAATAATAAATTTAAACTTTATAAATATTACTTAATATTAATTAAAAATACTTTAAACTCTTAATTAATATTTATTATTATTATTATAACCTTAAATTTAAAATAAAAGGAGCTATAATATAAAATTAAAATACTTACCTTACTTACTTATAAGTTTAATAAATAGCATTATATTATATATTTTTATATTAATTAAATTATATAAAAGATTTAAACTTAAAATATAATTTTACTTAAGCTTTAATTAAATTTAAATTTAATTTATTAAGGATTTAATATAATATTAATAAGTAAGGTATTAAATATAAATTTAAAGGGCTTTCTTTATTATAACCTTATAATTCTTATTTCTTAATAAAATATTCTTTTATTAAATTTATTTTATTTATTATATTTATTAATACCTTTATTTTTTAAACTTTAATTTAAATATTTTATAATAATATTAAAGATAAATTTTTTAAAAGTAATTGCATTAATTAAAAATATTATTACTTGTAAGTTTCTTTATTTTGCTATTATTTTAATAAAAATTATTATAATATATATATTATACTTTTAAGCTTAAAATTCTCTTAAACCTATTTTTATTTTAAAAGTATTTTTAAATCCTAAAAACTATTTATCTTTTTTTATTTAAAGTTAAGAAAAGAATCTTAAGAAACTTATTAAGGGAAAAAGGAAATTTAATTTTACTTATTATTAATTAAAATATTAACCTTACTTTAATTAAACCTTATAATTTATTATTAATAATAAATTAAGAACTTAAATTAATATTTTAAAAATTTTACTTTTTATTAATATAATAATTTTATTATAAGTAGCTTTATTTATAATTTATAATTTAAATATTTTAAAGTTTAATAAAATTAATATTATTAAGGTTTTAAATAGCCTTAAGATTATTACTTATTAATTCTTTTACTTAAATAATTAAATTTTAAAATTACTTAAGCAATATTATATTACTTTAAATTTAATAAAAATAATTAAAAATATTATTATTAAATAATTTATTTAAAATAATTAAAAAAAAAAGCTTTTTATCTTTTATAAGTTTAATAATTAAATTTATTATATAAATTTAATTATAATTATTAAAGATATTATTTATAATAACCTTTATAATAACTTAAAAGCATAAAAAAGGAAAATTATAAAATATAATTAAAAACTTAATAATATAAATAATATTTTTTTTATTATAACTTAGCCTTTTTATAAAATGCTTTTATTATATTTAAAAAAATAATTAATAAGGAAAGAAATTATTTATAAGTTAATAAGAAATATTTTTTAGCTAAATTTTAAGTATATTTTATTAAAAATTATTAATTAAAAACTTAAATATTTTAAGTAAAATAAATATTTATTTATATAAAATAATTTTAATTAAAATTTACTTAATTTAAAAAAATTAAATTTTTTTTAAGAAAGCTAAAATAATTTTAATTTTTTAAATTACTTTTAAAATAAAAATTTATAAGCTTAATAATCTTTATTTAAATTTAATTATATTAATATTATTAAAAGATATAATTAAGATTTATAAAATATAAATAAATTTATTAAAAGGTTTATAAAATTAAAACTTAATTTAATTAAGTTTAAAAATAAATTTAAGTTATTTTAATAAAATATTAAAGCTTTTTCTTATAATAAATAATAAAGTAATTTTAAAATAATTAAGCTAAGAGTTATAAATTTTATTTAATAGCCTTTAATAAAACTTAATTAAAATAACTTTAATAATAATAAGGTATAAGCTATAATTTTAATGCTTTTTTTTAAAAAAAATAAATTACTTAAAGTTTATTATAATTATACTTTTTAAGATTATAATGCATATTAATATAATAAGCTTAAATA